GGCGACAGTTTGACGCATTGTCATTGGCTGCTTCGCCGGGACCTCTTTGACCGCCTCGATTGGTGCCGATATAGTCGGTGAGGAGTTGGGCTTGGGTGTCTTTGCAATCGCCTGCCATGGTGAAGGACCGGTTGTTGCGGGTTTCGGGGACGAAGGCCCCGAAGGTTTGGCACCTTGCTCTTTCATTTGTTGCTGCTGTCGTTTGCGCTCCTTCTGCGAAACTTTGACCGTTGCCTTTGATCCCGTCGAGACCGTCCGCATGGCTTGAGTCAAATTTGACACCCGAGCTGCTGAAGCTTGCTCCATAATGTCTTTGAGACCGTCTTTCTTTTCGCCTTGAGTGGGAACTTGCCATGCAGTTCTCCCTGCTTCAAATCCGCTGGTCGACGTTGCAGTTACGGCGGAATCCAGCATGTCCTCACCATCGGGCCTCAGCGAACCGGGGAATTTCTCACGCGACCTACTCGTCGGAGGCGAATCATTTATCGGGAGTTTTGTTGTTGTCAAGGACTCGGCCGTGGTTCCCCGAGACAGCCGCCGTCTCGCAGAATGAGGCTGCAGACTCTCACCAGCTGGAGCCGGAAGAAGCTCTGAGTCATCACCATCCATGTCGAATGGTAAATCGTCTCCTGCATCATTTGCCCTAATCGCGGGGCTGGGGCTTGGAGTGCTAGGTGGCGATAAATCCATGGAGGTTGGTAATGGGCTCTTGTTCTGAGGCGAACAGCCCGAGCGTTCTAGACTCCCATAGCGCGTCTTCATCGATACTGAATAACGTTCCTCGTCCTCAAATAGCCTTGATCTCAACCTCATAGAATCTATCCTCCTCTGTCGGCCTTCCTCAATCTGGCCTAACAGGCCGGGGTAGTTCTCCAGCAAGTCTGCCTCAGCCCGATCGCTACGAGCGAAGGGAAGGAAAGCTAACTGGTTCGCTTGGACGACCTTATCAAGTTCAAGCAGCAGATCTTCATCCAATTCGTCAAGTAACTTCAGCTCCAACATGCTTTCCAGGTTCAGGCAAATGTATTCGAGTGCGGCATTCTTGAAGCTGTCAACTCTGCACTCCGCGATTATGTTGACCAAAGAGCACACATTTCTGATATTGACGTATCTGCCGAGAATCTTTTGGCATATTTGTGCGAGGCGATCGAGCATAAGCTCGTTGGCTACCGACATTAGCTCGATAACAATGTCGACAAATTCGTCCAAGCTATCGGTGACAATATCGTCAAAGAGCTCCTCTCCAGTATCAGCATAGAGATGTCGTAGCACCATAACGAAGATCTTCTCGTCAATATGCTTCAGGTCTACACGTACAGCCTCAGATTCTTCTTCGGCTGTATTTCGTCGTGAAGCCATCCACATACCGCCGGCCCGCCCATTAAAAAGACTGTCAAAGAAGGGGCAACGACTGCACAATAAGACACTATGTGCAGGTAACTCGGCATCGTTTGCGAGTTCAACGACCACGTCGGCGTCTGAGAAGAAATCAGGATCCAACACTGCAAGCTCCATGTCGTTTGCCAGACTTCGGGCGGGGTCAACCATCACTCTCACGGCACGTTCAAGCCCTCGCATTTCAAGGTGGTTTGCCAGTTTCATAAGTTCGACCCGTACTGACCTGTAACGAGGAGCAGATTGTAATGCCTTCGAGGTATAATGCCAAACGTCCACCAAACTGTCGGTGTACAGGTACAGTACAAGGTTCACGAGAGTCAGGAAGTCCGCTCCTTGAAATGAGACTTGTATCTGGCCGTCTTGGCCATATTCGATCGACATGACGTCAGGAATAGAGTAGTAATATGTCTCTTGGACTTCAGTCAACGCGTTGCGCATGACCCGGCTCCTACCCTTAAGCATAAAGGAGTGGACGGGGATTCGAACATCCGTGAGGGTAGAAGTGATCCATAAGTTGTATTGGCTCTGGGAAAGAGGTTCGTACCGCCGACACGTATTGAGGATGTCTGTTTCCGCCGAGCTTCTGTTGATCACAGCATGAGCAATCCGAAATGGGTCGACCTTCGACTCCAGCACCGTCTCCGCCATTCCGTATTCTCGGAAAGGTAGTAAGCCGAAGGTATCTCCCCACAAGCCTGGTACGACCGGTACGATCTGCTCGCGCGTTGTACTGACATCCTTACGCACAGCTGCAAAAGCGCCAAAAGCATTGCTCCTGACGGCGATGACTCCCGTCAGATTGGGAATACGGACAAATTTGTAGTCTTTCGGACGTGCCGAACCTGACTTAGTGTCTCGTACAGTCTTGATGTTTGCACGCTTTTCCTTGCGCCAAGCGGAGCCTGATGCTGTGCAGAGGATTATGGAGCCATCCTGACCCACAGCAACGTCAATTGCCGACATGTGAGCTTTGCGCAGAGACCAGAGACGTGATGGTGCAGGTAGAGCGTTGCGTGCCTTGGTAGGATTAGTTGTTGACATGTTTGATGGTACAGTTTCCGAACCCTTGGGAACATCGATTGAATATACTTCTCCAAAGGATGACATTGCACAGATTGTATTGCCACCACTGGTTATGTGCTTGATATAGTTGGATTCCATGTTGAATCTGGCTGAAAGATCATCCGCCATATAGTAGTTCGTAAAGGTCTCCAGAGGGAATGAGAGTTTCGTCCAACCATATTGTGTGAAGACAATCACATCGTGATTTTCGAGCAGAACAATTGTAGCTCGGTCGATTGCGCTGACCGATTGAATTGGAGACTGCAAGACCGAAACGCCAACTCGACGTGGTAGCACTTGCACTTCCAGTGAGCGTGCCTCAGCATCCGTTAAGCCCAGTTGGCCCTCGTTCTTGCCGAATGTGTACAGAGCAGAGGCAGTGTATATGGCAGAATGGATAGCGGATGCTGCGGCCCCAATGATGATTTCCTTTTTGATGTAGCCGAAAAGCTGGCGCGGGATTAATTGGGTCGGGACCTCATTCTTGGGTACCTCAGGAAGAGCATATCCCAACTGTCCAAAGCGGTTGCTTCCCCATGTGTACACCTCGCCCTGGGAGCACACAGCCACAGAGTGATCCTGGCCAAGAGCTATCGACGAGATGCGCCTTTTAGCCAGGCCTCCAGCTTGAATGCAGCGATATGTGAAGCTAGTGTTTTCGTCACCAGTACCAAGGCGGCCACCAGGACCATACCCACATATGTACAGGTTGGAGATCGGGTCGTTGGTCAGGACAGCCGTGTGAAGCTTCGACATGACCACATTTTGAATCGTGATGGGCCGATAACGGACAACAGCTGGCAGATCTGGACGCGACTGGAGATCCCCAACACTGTCCGCCATGTCTTCGTGCACCCACACTTTCCGTCTTTCAGCAAGATGGTCATCGAACAGACGGCGCAGCAAGTGGTCGGGGCGTTCAAAGTGAAGGCACTCAGGAAAATGCCTATCGTCCCCATCGCCCAGACCTAGTGACAGGTTTTTGTTGCTTCCAAATGCGTAGACCTCATCACCGACCAGATCTATTAGAGGGTTCACATGACGCTTAGATAGTTCATGATCCTGATGGTCACCATTATCGTCCACACCATTGATGCTATCATCATCACGAAGCCCAGACGGGAGAGCAGAGGAATCGCGGTGGAGAGACCGGGGCGCAATCGTCAATCCAAATACCTCAAAAGGGCTGTTGCCTTCGTGATCTTTGATCTTAACCAATCCTCCGGCATGGGCACGCTGAGCGTTGGTTGTGTAATCCGTTGCATCTTGTATGGCCCGAGCCATGAGAGCATGCGCAATTGAAATATTGCCAAAGTATAGTGCTCGGTGGAGGGGTGTCCAGCCGCTTTCTAAATCCTGGACGTAGAGATCCAAGAAGGGCATTTCCAATAAAGCCCTGACAAAAGCTAGAGCATCCCCCGAGTGCGACGACGCAGCATGATGCAGGATCGTGCGTCCGAAACTGTCCTTGGTGTTCACTTCAGCCCTCGTGAGCACCAATCCGGCATTTTTCCCAAGCGTCGCACTGGTAGGAGTGGTTCCCAAGCTCTTTCGAAACTTGAACGGCGTCTTCGGAGAGACTGCCAGATTCCCCGGACTACCTATCTTCAAGGTAGCGCCACCAATTTGTCCGGTGCTCGTGGTTCTCGGCGTAACGGAGGAGAAGGTGGCGTTAGCCAGGTACTGTCGAAATGAATCGACATCATCTTCGAAGAAATAGCGCCACAGATTGTAGCTCATGTGTCTGACCGACTTGACGAGGTCTCCGGTGACCTTAGACGCGCCTCGCTGTAACCTCGATGGATTACGGCGTATTTAAAGGCGCAGAAGGTCGATCGGAGACGAGGGGAATAGGGTGAATAAGAATGACTCAAGCCGAGATCATAGTGGCGGGCACCTGAGCGTCTTCGGTCTCGATGATAGGTTTACTGGTAATCAGGAAGGTATTTCTGCAGAGGATCGCGACTGGTAACCGAGGGGCTGGACGAGGGAAGAGTGTCTGATTTATGGAGGGGTGTCAGAGAAAGTCATGTCGCAGCTCGTGGTCGCGGTTGTCGGTTGCGGTTGCGATAACTATGCGGAGTGGCGCAGATGCTTGGATGATGGGTGAGGATGGCCTTGTGACCAATCACATGGCCTCGTGCCAATACGAGCCCCGTGTGGTGGAAAAGCCATCTTGGTCTAATGGGGGGCTCATGGAAGAGTAGTTGTCCTTAAGAACAAACCTCTCTGATAGCATGGCCCTTTATGAAGTGACACCAGGAGGAGGAGGAGGAGGAGGAGGAGGAGGAGGGGTAAAGCTGTCTGTTTGACCGACGAGCTTCATGATGGGACAGGATCTAAAACACTGGGCTCTAGAAAGAGCGGTGTACTTAGTTCATAGCAGCTACCTGGACACCTACAGTAGCCAAGTACTCCCTGCATGTGGGGTCGATTGATGTTCAATTGATCTTATTTCTGCTTGGTATCTGTGCATGATTCATGTACCAATCTGCCAAACCTAACTTCAGAAATCTTCGACGGGCATGCAGCTCAATGTTCTAAAGCCCCATGATGCCGGCCGCAAGTCCCAGCCCTAGCAGAGCCGCAGTCGGAACGGCTGCATTGTTCGCTGCTGCAGAGGAAGATGTGGACCCCACGGTTGTTGTTGATGATGAGGTGGCCAAGCTGAATGTCGGCGTGCCTGCGAGGATCATGCTCGAGCCTTGGACACTGGCAGTTGGAACACCTGTTTCTGCGGCAACTGCCGTGAGTTGAGTTCCTGTGGCGGTAGCAGTGGCTGTCGCACTCGGTATGTTTGTTCCCGTCGGGATCACAACGATGCTACTCGTGCCTGCTTCATTTTCAACTGCCTGGGCAAGTGCTGCAACCTTGTTGTCGATATCAAAGACCGCATACGCGCTTCTCAAGAAACTGTCGCCCAGGATGCTGAAGCCACCACTGTCGGCTGGGGTGCCGAAAGCTAGAACACAACCTCCTGACGGATCGTCAAACTGGGAGGATGTGTATCCCTGACCCCCGACCACCTGCGAGACAGGGACCTGGATTGTCACGCCGCCGTCGCCGCCAAACGAATAATTAATGGTACCATTGGCCGTGGAAAGACTACATGGGATCAGATAGGCTTCTCCAGAAGGATCGGTCACAGCCCCCAATCCGAGGGCCAATCCAGTAAAGATGTCGTCGGTCAAAAGGGTGTTGGTCGTGCCGGAATCAAGCAATGTAGCCTGCGAGTACCCTTGAGGCGACAACTGCGTGGTCTGCCCTGTCGAATCCGTGAAAGAGACACTGGTCAGGGTGACATAATACTCGGACACGATTCCCTGGGGGCCGGGCTGCAGAGGAAGGGCGACAAGGTCTCCAGAATATTTCGTCGTGTCGATGCCGCCGAAGATAACCGCACCCGTTGTGGCTTCGAAGTCGTTCAAGTACAAGCTGAAGGCTTTGCGATTGATGATTCCGGACGACTTGAGATTGTCCAGAACTGTGGGATAGACCCCGCTTGGACTGTCGTTGTTGGCTTCATTGGTGTCAAATCCAATTCCCATGACTCCGTGCGGATCAAATAGCTGAGATGCTACTCCGATCTGTTGGCTGTCAATAGAAGGAGATCCTCCAACCGTGATGGTGTCGGAACCCCAGTCGCCAGCGTCAGTGTCTCCTGGTGCTGCATATGTCTGAGAAATGACGTGTCAGTCGGAAAACTCTTGAACTCGATGGTTTTGCTTGGAAGATGGGGCACAGCGGCTTACGATATTGAATCCCCCTTGCTCGATAACCTTGTAAGTGGTTGATGCATTCGGATCAAAGTCGCCCAAGTCGCACTGGCCCTGCTTGCAGAGTTTTGCTGAGGATGCGGGAATCCAAAGGTCAGAGGAGCCGGTATCTAGAGTGACTCCCAGATCCTGTGGAGGTGTGCCGACAGTGATATTCACCAAGTATTCGAGTTTGTTGGAGTTTTGTGTCAGCACCGTGTCGACACTCCCGTCTGGGTTTTGTCTGCGTATTAACCTGCCTTCATAGGGACTCCGTCTCTGTAGGTCGAGTTTGAGATAGCCTGGTGAGGCGACACATGAGGTCGCAAGAGCCACAATGGTAGCTCCGGCAAGAAGATGCATCCTAGGATGGTTTGACCGCTGGCCGGTGAGCAAGCCAAGCTATGGCTGTTGAATGAAGGTCGAGTTGAGAGAAGGCAAAACGGAACCAATAACGGCTGTGTTGTGTACACAGGAGCAGCAGAGAATGAAGGACCAGATGGCGTTGGCTGACTTTTGTTACACAGCTACAAGAGAGCGGGAGAGAGTAGTGGACGGTGGAACACTGGCAGTACGGAGTTCGAGGGCCAAATGGAGAGTAGAGGAGTGGATGGAGTTGGTTGAACTTGCTGGCATTTGTTTTCCTGTAAGTGTATGGAAGGTCAGCGCTGATGGCTCCGGGTTACGAACTGCAAGCTGAACCGCACAAGTGGCAGCCCAACGGCCCACGTCATCGCCACAGCTTCCCATCGTTTGTGCTTGTTTACCGGGTGCCTTGTTTCCATCAGCCTGGCCAGCAGGGAAAAGGGAAATGGAAAGAGAAAGGGAAAGTGAAAGGATTACTAGTACTCGGTATCACAAGGGACGAATTTGACCTAGCCCTCACCTTCCAAGGCCCCTAGGCTCGCTTGGCCGCGCCGGGTCAGCTGAAGCATGGTTAAGCATGGTTCCCGGTGGCACTAACTCAAATTCACCTCAGCCCAGCGTTGCAGTAGGTGATTTCGGCAGCCCTGTGAGAGGCTCTCTACCTCCAGTTAGGGGGCCAAATAGCCGAATAAGGGCCCTCAGCCCCTCCCTAAGCTTCAAACCCAATGCTTAAAAGGCCGCCAAATCTTAGCTGCGGAGAGAGCATTTAAGTGCTTCGCATCATCCGCCCCCAAATACCCAAGTAGGCAGAAAGAAAGAAAGAAAGGCAAAGCATTCCTAGCAACTACTTGGTACATACATACATAATCTAGAGCAGCTTCTCCAATTCCTTCTCCTCCTTCAGATCACATTCGGTAGGTCAAATTTCCGTATCCAACCATTGTCCTCCAATGCATGGAACGCCCGAAAAGCAAACTCAGAGTCGAGGAAACCTGCTAAATGATCGACTATCCAAAAAGTCATGGTGCTTCTCCTGTTTTGTTTTGTCTGCTTCAGTCTTCGCACATCATTCCTGTTTTCCAAAGTGCTTATGTTGATTGCTTCAGGTTCTCTTGTCTTTCCCTAAAACTCGTTCATCACGGCTCCAGATGGCAACAGCGGCTGCTCCACACGGACCGAGCAAAGCTGTGATTAGGATTGTTTTAATGACTTCAATCAAGGTTTGAGTAACTGTCACCTTGCCATGTTTGCTCGCATCTCGCACTGTCAAACTCCACAGAAGCGAGGCCGAGACCCCGACGACAATGTCCCACTGTAGGAACCACAAAGCTCCATCGGCCAGAATCTTGACCTGTGGCTGTCCAAATGGCACGACAGGGACAAAGATCTTGGCGGGTTGAAGCTGCGGGAGGTAGGTGGCGCTGAACAGGACGGGGAAGAGGTAAGCCAGCCCAGACAAACTGAACGCCGCCAGGTGGGAGCCAGCCGATGATATGATTGCAAACGCGTACGCCAGTCGGAGATACCTGGCACTCTTCAATCTCTTGTCGTTTTCAGTTTGGATCGAGGCCCGTTGATCGATGGTTAGAACCAGAGTGCTCAGGATAAATTGTGTCAGCCCAATCCAGATCGACCAACCCTGCTGAATACCAGTCCACGTCTGTTTGGTCTCGAAGGACACCACGGTAGGAGCTGGGAGGCACATCAGAAGGGATGGAAGCCCGAATCCAACGAGGATGCTGATCGGGGCAATGGCGATTTTAATGGGTATGTCGACATCAAGTTGATAGTCCTTGGGATTAACAACCGTGGGAGAAGTCCACAGGTGCAGAGCAAACCACAAGGGTGCGACGCAAGCATAGCCCACAATAGCAACTCCTACACCAAACAATGTCGTCCTGGGGAAGGTAAGTTTGAGCCATAAAGAGTATAAGACTGGGGTTCACACTTACGCAGTGAGGAAGAATTTCCCTCTGTTACCGTTTCTGAGGCCCTCAACCATGATCAAAACCCAGGCTGCAAGGACCTGGCCACCGAGGTAGAGAAAGGACAAAGAGACATCCGCCCGATTGCCATCGATAGCAGTGTAGAAGAAGCTGACCAAGACGGTCAATTGCTTATCGATGACGCCAATGCCAGTGTAGGTCTGCTTCATAGGAGCTACAGTAGGACCAGGAATGACAGCCCCTGGCTCTGATTGCTGGCCCAAGATCTTGAGAAGGCCATTTTGATATGGAAATCCCCAGAGCGTCCAGAAGCCGGCCAGGGACAGCAAAATCAATAAAGCTTTAGACAGAGTCAGCGCCATGGCTGAAAAATGGTTCGTGTGAGGATAAGAGGGTACTTCGGGCGAATCTGAACAGGGCCAACGTCTGCCAGAGGGAAAGGGAGAGATGTGAGAGAGGCGCAGAACGATGGAAGTCTGGCTGATGAGGGAAATAAGAAGAGATGGCAGCCTGGGGTGACTCGTAGAAGGCGAAGAGGGGGATTTTCAGCTTGTCGTGTCTCAGCCTCAAGCCCCCAAGCCTGGGCGTCAGCTTCCAATGACGATTGACCGGTGTCAGACGTCTTCTGGAAGGAAATGCAGGACTGGGTATCTCAGGCTCAGCAGTGGTGGAACACGCTACCCCGCTGCCTTCTTTCGATCGTCTGTATGACTTGCACAGCCGGTGCGAACCGCCAGAAGGTGAAGTTGCCTTGGTGTTTCGACCTCCTTTTCGTCCTTGTCGTCTGCCTCGATGCCTGATGCACCAGCCATTGAGTTGCCGGCAGGTGCCGGCGCTAATTATACGAGTAGTACTAATGAGTGCTAGCGTGGTCTATGTCCCTCTTGCTTATCTAAGCGGAACTGTTCAAGCCTGTTTCGTCATTTGAAAATAATTTGATGCCTTCGTCAAACTTCGCCATCTCATGTCGACAACGCCAGTAATCCTTAGCTGCGTCCATGTCTCTCGTTGCTCCTGCCGATGCATGACTTCTCGGATACACTTCAACTTCCGCCGCGACAATGCTGAAGCGAAAGCGCGATAGTGATGACCTGAATGTCCCTGAAAAAGAGCACCAGTACCTCGGGTTAAAGGTCTCTGGGCTGAGGGCTAGAGTCACTCGGAGCGTCAAGAGCCTCCACGATGCTCTGAAGCTTGCTCGAGGCTTCGAGAAGCAGAAACTGGGCCGCCGTCAGAAGAATGCGAGCGACAACCCTCAAACGTTGCTGCGACTGCGAGAAGAAGTCATTGTTCTCAAACAGCTGCAACTCGAACAAACGGCGAAGAACCAGCTTCTCAAGCACTTGGCCAGAATAAAACGTATCAGGGAGCATCCTGTGTTTATCAAGGCCTTTGGACCGGAACCTGTACTGGAACACGTCAAGTCAAGCGCCGAGGCAAATGTGATCGGAAGATTATTCAATTCGAATCCTGTTAAACAGGTTTTACCTGGGATTATGAAAACGATATATGACGCTCTTGGGATTACTCAGACTGGGCAAATTGCTTCAAAGCAGGCAAAGGAAACAGCCAGTAAACTGATCAATCCAGGCGCAAGCTCAGCAGGAGAGGATGGATTCAATGGCTCTCAGACCTGCGGCTCCGAAGACCCGGAGAGTGGACGAATTAAGGAGTCATCGGGGCCAGAACTTAAGGATGACGACATTCTCGAGTACGCAAAAGGTCACCTAGCGTCTTCCGAAGAGGAATCTGAGGAGGAAGTCACCGAGGAAGGGTTGCTTCTACGGCAAAAAAGCGCCAAACGAACAGCTGGCCCCGGAAGATATGCTAGAAACGAAGATCTCTCAATAACACAATCTCCGAGTGAAACGCCTGAGCCCGACGGTGGACGCCCTCGAGAGGCACAACCGACGAAACCCATGGCCAAGACCGCATTTTTACCGTCTCTCAGCATGGCAGGCTACTATTCTGGATCAGAATCGGAAGATGACACGAATGGCTACCGCGGTCCGGCACTGCCCAAACCCCGAAAGAATCGACGTGGGCAACGCGCCCGACAGCAGATAGCAGAGCTTAAATTTGGCAAAAATGCCAAACACCTCGAGAAACAAAAGCGTCAGGATGAAAGAAATACAGGATGGGACCCAAAGAGAGGAGCGGTGGGTCAATCCGACCACCCTAGGAACCGGTCCCGCAATGGGAAACTCAATCAGAAGCCGACAGGAGGCCATGTGGTCGCCCGCTCAGATCAAGCACCCAAGCTGAAGCCGAAGTTGCGAGATGATCAGGGACCTCTCCATCCTTCTTGGGAAGCCGCGAAGAGACGAAAGTTGCAGGATCAAGGCCAAGCCACCTTCCAGGGCAAGCGAATAACCTTTGATTAATTAGCGATAACCGCCCAATCTATGAGACTTGCTTGTACTATCAGTCCTCTCTCATGGCTGCCACTGGTGAAATCAAGACCCAATACCTCATTCCGTGATCGCTCCTTCGGTGATGACAGGTCCACAAGAATATAAGAACAATTCCACATCCTCGCTCTTCACGACGACATATTGCAAAGTCAATTGACAAGTCCGGCGTCCTCGGGATCAGATCTGGACCGGAAAGCGAATTGTCTCCAGCGATCGAGATTCGCTAACTCTGTCATGGAGAGGCCGCAAAAGTCTCCAGCCGCCCTCCTAGACGGGGAGCTATTGACTGTTGATCAGGCGTATGAGTATTTCCTCCCCAAGTCTCCAGCCTTGGAGCTAGTTCAGCCTTCTTTCGAGGCTATAGGCGACGCTTTCCTTCGAAGAAAACTCTTTTACCGCTAAAAGACACTCCATGAGCTTCTGGTCGCAAGACTCGACGAAAGAACAATGTCTGAGAACCACTTCGAACTTGCCTCAGAACCTCAGATCCTGAATGCGATGCCTCTGAGGATGACGACATGGATAACCCAGTCTTTGTTGAAAAGGTTCAGTATGCGCCTTTATCCATGCCTCCAGCGCCTATTCCTCATCGTCCCGAATGACAAACAGAAGAAAGCACTTGGCCGAATAGCAGGCGAGCTAAATTCAAGTGGGATGAACCAATAATTTTGAAAGATTCTGAAGTTGTTGCCTGTCCTGACACCGGTTCTCAACAAAATATCCGATCGAAGGAGAGACAGCAACGCAGCTTGGGATCCTAGACCAATTAGACTCGAGCCGCTCGGGCAAGGTCATTTTGGGTAATGGCAGGGATGTGCAGTCTCTAGGAACTGTTGACATGGAGCTCCATTTCCACCAGGAGGCCGAAAATGTTGACCAAATGCATGTTCCATGTGTTTGAAAGCTTGATACGACCCGCAATTCTAGGTAGTGTTTTTCTGAGATATACCGAGACTCTGACAAAGCATCGCCGACTCCGTCTGCGCGAGAGAAATGTACAAATTTCGTCTCTTTTGCAGGTCATGCACGTTAGCGCAGCCAGGGAAAGGTTCAGATGCTATGTGGATAACAACCTGGTGGGTGCAGACGCCGACACCGGCTCTGGAATGGAGCTTTGTGTCCAAGCAGTTCGATAGGAAGTCTTCCCAGCGCGCAAGGGCTTTGCGGGATCACCGACCTGTGGAATTCGCCGATGGAAGCATTGGCTGGATATCCCATCGGATATTGACCAGGTTCTCTTGTGACCTGGAACGATCCAGGTCTGAATAGAGCTGTAAATGGTTCCACGTGCTCGACGATCTCCTTTGCGAGATCCTCCTAGGAGAGGAGACTCTCGAATACGTGGACGCCTTCAATCGAGAGACGTCCTTCGTCATGGAGATACTGGATGCGGACGGCATTGAGCTGTGTACCATATTCTGAACCAGTTCTCTCGAGCGAAAAATGACCGCAGTGTTGAGGTTCAACCGGAAGGGACAATCAGCGAAGAGAAAGAAAGACGGAGGCTGTAGGCTCATGCCCCTTCCCCTGATAGTGACATTGACTTATCTCTTCACAGAAGCTGCGCTCTTCTGGCCAATGTCAATTTCAAGTTTCGCGAATGGCTCGGGGAAATGCTCGCTGGAAGGAGAGTGCCGTCAGATCAATCCTCTTGAAACCTGTCTTTTTTTGGGTCCATATTAAGGAGTTGAATATTTGCGGGCAGCCTTCTTGGTGCCATCATGTGTAGCAGCTGACAAACAGGTAATACAGTAACGTGGACGAGCCCGAGCTGGTCCGGGTGAGCACCCTCGGAACAATGATAACCCGAAGTACATGCTCAATCTTCTCCGCACCTCGACCTTCTCCAACGCTAGTAGCTATATAGCAGCCAGCAGCCAGCAGCCAGCAGCGAGCAGCGAATCTTTCCCAGGGCTCCTTCTCGCGATGACTTTGGACTGACAGCCTTCATGGTCGTTCTCTCGTCGACCTCGGAGAGCACATCTGGTGAATACTATGCGCAAGTGTTTCAGCACGTGCGCAAGAGTTTTCAGTCATGAAAACCCCTTAGTACGTTGCTTCCAACCCACCCCAACATGAAATCAACCGTCACTCGACATAGCTGTGGCAGGCAAAGCGCATGGCATTTTCTTCCCATAGCTCCCCCCGCTACAGTATGCCGAGCACTGACTGACAATCACCTTTCCTCCTTTTTAGGGTCTCCCTCGCTCTCCTGCACCAGGCGGCAAAGGACCACCACCCACCCTCCCACGCGCCCAACGCAGTCTCCCTCAAAAGCGCCCGCTGCGTAATGTGCGACACACCATCGCCGTTTCCTCTGCCAAAGGCGGCGTCGGCAAGTCCACGCTAGCTGTGAACCTCGCGCTCTCCTTCTCCAGGCATGGTCTGCGGACGGGGATTCTGGACACGGACATCTTTGGCCCTTCGGTTCCCACACTGCTCGGGCTTTCAGATGCCGGCGAGCCAAAACTCACACAGCATAACATGCTGGTCCCTCTGACGAGCTATGGGCTCAAGAGCATGTCCATGGGCTACCTTTTACCGAGCGAGTCGGCGCCAGTAGCATGGCGCGGGTTAATGGTGATGAAAGCTTTACAACAACTCCTGCATGAAGTCGACTGGTCTCCGGGACTCGACGTACTTGTCCTCGACCTCCCACCCGGCACGGGCGACGTGCAATTGACAATTGGCCAACAAGTGGAAATGTCCGGAGCAGTGATAGTATCGACGCCGCAGGACATTGCGTTGAAAGACGCCGTCAAGGGTGTGGAGATGTTCCGCAAGATGAACATCGAGGTGCTGGGCATGGTGCAGAATATGAGCGTCTTCGTGTGTCCACATTGTCACCAGGAGACCAGGATCTTTGCCAACAGTCGCTCTCAGAACGCGCACAACGGCCTAGGCGGGGCGGAGGCCAAAGCTCAAGAATTGGGCGTCGATTTTCTGGGCGACGTCCCTCTGGATGCCAGGATTTGCGCCGACGCAGACAGGGGCATGCCTACGGTCGTCGCCGAAGAGGCAAGCGGTGTGAAAGTCAACACGGGCTATTACGAACATATTGCCGAGAAAGTTGCCCGAAAGATTGGGTTAAGCTGGAATGATGGTGCGGCGAAATAGGCTCTTGCGCGATGACATGGGCTTTTTGATTGATGCAGAGCAGACGACGATTGCAGGTCCAAAATTTTCCGCGGAGTCCTTCTGCCTCATGAGAAGCATTCTCGATGTCTTCATCACACCAAAAAGGAAACGGTTTACGGATGCAGTTCATCTTCCATCTTTCATCCCTCATTCTTAGTCACGATGATACAGAAGTACTTGAATGTCTGAAGGTGAAGAATTCTGCATTCAGGTGCTTGTCCGACGACACTTCAGGATGTATATATATAAGCAGGATGGAATAATGCAGGGTGAACAATACGAGGTATGCAAGATGGCATTCATTGTATTTGCGTCATTTCCCCCCCCCCTCATCCATCAAACTCCAACTCCGGGTGGAGAGGCGTCAAGAGAGATTCTCCAGCGCAGTCAGGAACTTCGTCTCTGTCCGCTCATACATCCTGGGCCGCTGCTCGGCTGTAGTCGCGTTCGCATCGACCTGTCCCGTTCGCACTGACTTTTCCGGCCTTTTGGTTCCTCGTCGTTATCCAAACCATTTAGATCTTTCTCTTTCTCTAATATCTGGCCTTCTCTTCATCACCTTCGGCCTCGGCTTTGTCTTCTTCTTTTCGTGCATGCTCTTCATTATCGACCACGCCAACCACCCCCTCTGCCTTGACTATGGCAGTGGAACTTGGACTTCTAAGGGGAGCCAGTCGACCCATCCCCTCGTCGCGTTGGTGGCTCCGCAGCCGCTCGAGACTGCGCTGGCTCCGAGGCGTATCAGTTCCATACGCGCCTGTGAGAGCTCTCCCCGCCGGTTCAGCGCCCAGATTGATACTTGCCACGCCCTCGTTGAAACCTTCACTTCCAGACACAAAACTCGCCGTCTCATTTGCCGTGGGGCTTCCCGGTCTTGTGTTTGTGGCTGGACTTGATGCCTTTGCCATTTCCACCGCCTGTGAGTCGATGCTCTTCGTAACACCTGGCACGGCGAACACTGCACGAGTGCTCGCATCGTCGGCGACCACCCCGCTACGCCCCGTCATCGTGCTGGCGGCATCGGACAGCACAGGCACTTGTCCGCCATTGTCATCACGAAGATGCGCTGCCGTTTTGAACTTCGGGATGAAGCCTGCTGAGAGAAGGGACGAGTCAGGTGATGCTATGTGCACGTCTTGACGTGATTGTTGGTTCATTGCCGTCTCGGGTGACTCTGTGGATCTTGTGGCATCAGAGGGAGCCATAACTGGCGGTACATTACGACCTTCAGCTTGGCCTCTATCCGTGACCGAGATGGTGCGTGTCCTGCCTCGAGTTTTCGATTCGCTTGCCCTGCGTTTCGCGCTTATGCTTCGCTTCCTACTAAGGCTTCGTCGCGGACGTATCGTAGGATGCTTGCCTTCGACAGCAGTGGGCGCCGCGCCTTGCTCTCGTTCTCGACTCAGCCGAACCTTCTCCTCCCTCTCCTCCCTCTCCTCCCTCTCCTCTCTCTCCATCTCAACTGCTTCCTTTTCCCTCTTCAGCGCGGACTCATCATGTTTGCTTCCCCACATACTCCACATTGCGAGTCCATAGCTCTTGCTCTTCTTTTTAACCAAAAGATCCTTATCGGTCCGCCGACCGGCAAGAGCGCACAGCGGAGGATGCTCGCCGACCTCGAAGCCCTTGACTTTTCCTCTGGAGAGAGCTTTGACTCTTTGTTTCTGCACTCTGCTCCTTGCTCTGGCATATTTCGTGTCCCAGATCTTTTTAGCCCCAAGCCATGTTCTCACGGGACCAGGTTTGATGACCCCAACCTGGTCTGGATGCATTTGCAACGCCGCCAATTCTTGTGCTTCGGCGAGGGGGTAGATCCTCCCGTGCCGGTCAACGCGTTGACGAATCATGTTGTTCTCGAAAGGGGGGATAGGATCTCCAGCTCGACCAATACTCCCTGTTGCCTTGTTCGGGTCTACATTCGTCTTTGCCACGCCGTTGTTTGATGATTCGGCGTCGGTGTCTGGTGGGGAATGACTGGCTGACCGTGAAGAGATGGTCGAGATGTTGTCATCCTCCATGATCTCGATTGCTCGCTTCTGAGCCCTGGCCAGCACCCAGGCGCCAAATTGTGCAACTGAGCGATACATCAATTTTGCTGGGCGAGTAAACGACAGAGTTGGAGCAACATGACACAGATCTTCCCACACTTGTAATTGCACCGGTGTGGCTTTGTATTTTTTGATAATGGTACCATCTGGGTCATATCTTGACTTGAAATTGGAACCTAGTGAAAATTTAGAGGGATTTGCCATCTTGTGAGCGAGATAGATCTGTTCATCGCGCAGAATTTCTCCGCCGCCGGTAAGAATCAGGATTGGAGGAAGGCCTCCCAGAGATGGTTGTAAGACGGGTGACACCAGAGGGTGGGCCAACAGCTGGTTGGTTGTATACATCTGAATCTGGTCCTTTAGGACGATTCGCTGTCCGTCAAGTTCAACAGATAGTGGGAGTTGATGACTGGGCACGATCTCGCCGTCGTCATTGATAGGTACCGACACTGGAGGATCGTCTTCCTTGTCCTCTTTGAGAGATACATCTTTGCCTTTCGCCAATCCGCTGATGATCGCTATCTCTTCGTCGTTGGGAGGCGGCCATGAAGCTGAAGGTTTCTGCATGAACCCATAGGGTGGTATATAGTCAAACTCTGCATTGCCACTCAGGCTAGGGAAAGAATGCGTGAGGTCCACCCATGGCGAGATGAGGACCGCACCAGCAGGCAAGGGAAGTCCTTGATCGCGCAGAATGCAGAGTATCGAAACCGTCATGCCTCCACCAGCCGAGTCTCCTGCCAGGATGATCTCGGAAGGATCATGTATGCTGAGGAGATAGAAATACGCAGCAAGACAATCCTGCAGCCCGCAAGGGAAGGGAAATTGCGGTGCCAGCCTGTATCTTGGAGCAAATACGCGGGCCTTGAGTTTCCGAGCGTATCTCTGCATCTGGTACCGGTGGACGTCGACGCTACTGAAGAAATAGGCTCCTCCGTGGATATAGAGCATGATCCTCCTGCTTTTCGTGCCTTGTTTTTTCTGTTCGTTGTAGTGCGCGCGCATCTCAACCCACTCTGCCTTCAGATCAGCTCCTTTTGGTCTCCACTGCCACCACTGGGTCCCGCCGATTTGTTCAATCCCTGTCGGTCCCAGCTGGTCCGTGATCGTCTTTGCGGCCTTGGAGACATAGTCGGTCGTGATGGTGACGCCCTCGGTCCTCACCCAGGCCGGACTGGGGACCCATTGCGCGGTAAAAGACTGTATATCTTCAACTGTATGGTGTGAGGCATAATGTAGAAACGATCGCATTAGATGGAGGCCTTCATCGTACGAGATGTGTGCTGTGGGCTTGTGGCGTCGGGGTTTCCGGTTTGTATACTATGTACTCGGTTAGGGCAGATCCTTGTCGCAGGCGAGATCCGTACATGAGATATGCAAGTTTTGACGACCGTGGGAGTGACAGCAGCACCGGCGGTAAGGGTGTTTATAGTCATGTTGTAGTTCTGCAGCTCACGCGTCAGGCCAGCTTCATGTTGATCAAAGGAGAAGGGGAGAGCCAGATATAGAATGCAACATCTAATAAGAATAAGCTCATAAAGGCAGGAGTAAAAGATGCCAGCGCGCTGTGGTAGTATTATTGCTGAACGCTACTTTGCAGACTATCCCATGCGCCGGGGCGACGGGGGACTTGGATGCGCGCAGGGCGACATCGTACGGCGTGCTCGGAAGGGGAGTTCAACTCTCCATAGCTGCGTCATACGTCATTTCCAAGACCGCCAGCCTTGCCGCCAAGAGTCCAGCCTTGTATCGAGTAAGAACAGTCTCATTCTGGCTGTAATGTTACTCCGGACTCCGCGTTCTTTACAAAACTCAGCCTTGAGCACCCCACCCAACCCAGTCCACAAAAGCGTTCCCGAAGAAGTCATTGGCCCATGTTGTCAAGTCACTTGGCTCAGCTTCGTAATTCTCGCCCTGTAGTTGACCTGATACAGGTGCGGCAGTGGCATAGTTGAAGAATGAGTCCCAATCCAACATGTTTGTAGTTGATGGCCAGTGATCGGGTAAGGCTCCTTCCAGGGATGATCCGGACGCTTCTTCGCCAATACGACGAGCTGGAAAATAACGATGGTCAGTTGGCACTTGATGTGTGGATCAGAATTACTCAGATCCTTGCATACCTTGAGGGTGGATCACATATCTAGCATGCTGCACCAAAACCACAGCGACTTGCTCCAGCTTGGCTGCAAGAGAACTCCGCGAGCTCATCTTACCCAGAAAGATTGGGAGATTCTCCATAGCAGCCAGAGCTTCCTTGTTCTCCTCTGACTCGCCCTTCCCGTTGGAAATGAGCTCACCGAACAGGTCTAAGAATGGGGTGAAGGGACCACACAAAAGGTGCCATGCCATGCCATCAGAGGGTCCCTCGGAGTCAGGGACCATGTTTTGTAGTAAACGAAGCATCCGTTTCGAGGATTCGATACACTGGGCCCTCATTCGCGTGGACGATCGAGCGAGGAGGATGAAAAGGTACTGATATTGGAAGCCAACACTACATAAGCTCAGATCAATAGAAGCAGCATCGTTGGCGTCAAGAAAAGGCTTTTCTGCCATTGCAGCAGCTTCGAGAATCTGCATCGACATGTCAGCTATGAGAGGCCAAACCTGCCGAAAGTCGATGAGTACCCGTTGTGCCTGCTGATACCACAACTCAAGATCCTGCTTGGTTGCTTCGATGCTGCGCTCATTAGGTGTTGTTTCTTCGTGAAGACGATACCAGATATCAGCCATTACGCGCGATAGCAGAAACATTTGGTGGGTGTAATCTGAAGCTGCTGTCAGTCTTGGTCTGTTGTTTCAGATCCATCTAGTGTCCCCCTGGCTGCTTGTGTTCGAGAGCTGACTTACGCGCTCCAAATAACGCTGGGGCGCCTGCCGGGGTAACATGAGGCTGAAAGGATAATAGTTGGCTTAGCGTGGGCAAAGGAATCTCTCTCGCCATTGCGCGGTGGAAAGTGGGAGGTCTGCCAAAGATGAGAGCCAGGCCTATGTCCACAAGATTCAGATGCCAAAACATCACGACACGCCGGTCCTGGGTCCGAGAGTCAAAACGGCGATGTCTCACTCCCAACGCCTGCAGCATCCTGCAGGCGTTTGTGACCAACATCCAACAAAGTGAAGGTTTGGTGAACTCCTCGACATCGACGGCGAGCAGGATCAAAGCATTGATATTTGCTTCGCTGGGCTCCAGGAGGAGTCTTGCGTCATTGAGGGCGAGCCAGAGATTGCACCGAAGCTTTGCCTTTGTATCTTCGTTGCCGGGATCAGTGGATGAAACAAAATTGAGAATGATGCCATAATACATCACAAGCCAAGCTCTTTGCTGCACTTGTTGCGGGCGAGATGCTCTCAAATGGTCCAGTACTTCTGGAGGAACAGAGATAAACAAGGGACGATCTCGTTTCAGGCCAGCGACGAAGGCTGTTGCAAGCGATGTCAGTGTCCCCATCATGGAAATGTGACGATGCTCACCATCGACCCAGGAAATCGCCCGATCTTCGAACAAGTAAAATTTTTTGCAGGTCTTATCAAGCTCCCAATCGTCGTGCCAGACGGCCGCACAGGCTTCAGACAAAGATGACAGCGCACGCAGAGAGTTTTGTGGCGACGTATTGAGACCCTGCAGCCGGTCTCGAGTTACTTCTATGTCCATTGCGAGGTTGGACTGAAGGCTGCTGGTAGCCGCTTCAGAGACATGACTGCCAGTTACTGTGACAGGAGAAATATGATCAGGAACAGCGGCATCGTATTTCCGCTTCCTATTTCGACGAATTATCCCAGATCGCGAATAGATGCAAGCAATGGCATCATCTCTGCAGCGCTGGCATCCATCGCGTTCGCGGGAGCATGCAACCTACAGATTTGTCAAAGCAATCCTCCCGGCTCGTGAAATGGGTCGGATAGACATACCTTGCGGGATCGGCATGTATCGCACTCCAATCGTCCTTCTGGTCAGTCCACAGTCTCTGCTAGATGGTAATTAACGAAAGCTTACAGCATATGGAGCGAGGGTCTCGGGCATGGTTGAAGCGGTTGATAGTTTTGAGAAGAGTTGTTGTGGCAGCTTCGCGGAAGTTATTCAGTAAGTATCAACCTCCATGACGCTTTGACGCTCCCGAAATACCTCCGACGGAGCTTACGGAACTTACATTTGCCATAGGTCATGACTTCATTGTCGAGGCAACACAATGGTACTGAGCACACGCAATATTGAGCTTGCTATAAAAGATGACACGCCACACAGATGGTTTCGAAATGTATTACACATCTGGCCTAAATACACCTCTATGGCACCGTCCATCGCTATCCTCGGCGCTGGCCCCAGTGGTCTGCTACTGGGCCGGATGCTTGAACTCGCCAACATCGCCTATGTCATCTTTGAGCGAGACATATCAGGCAACGAGTCCTCTTCGCGAGCTGGTACGCTCGATATTCATGCCGACTCTGGTCAACTCGCTCTCCAAAATGCCGGCTTACTGGATCAGTTCAAGAAACTGGCCCGCCACGATGCGCACACCATATTAGCCGACGAAAAGGGCAAAGTGTACATCAGGACCAGTGAAAGCGACGAGGCCAATGAAGACAGACCCGAGATCGACCGCAAGGATCTACGAGCGCTGCTCCTGAATTCGGTCCCAGCCAACAGAGTGCGCTGGGGTTTGAAGGTTCAACACGTGCAACGAGATTCGGACGGGTTAATATCTGTCCATTTCGCAGACGGAAATATCGAATCAGGATTCCGACTTGTTGTAGGGGCGGATGGTGCATGGTCCAAAGCTAGAAATTTAGTACGTCACTTACCTATCTTGCAAGATATCTGTCTTTGAACGACTAACAGCAAAGGAAGGTCACTTCGGCCAAACCCCAATATTCTGGGCTGCACTACTTGACCACAACTATAGACCCACAGAATCCGTTCCACTCTATCGCCGTCTCGCTTGTTGGAAAGGGCAACTATATAGCTTTCGGCGGAGGAAAGCAAATCGTTTCCTTAAAGCTCGGTGACGGCTCCTACTACGTCGGCGTTGGCCTGCGTCTTCCCGAGAATTGGAGTTCAGAGTACGCCGCTGTTCTCGAGGACCCCAAGGCGATACGTCGGCTGTTGCTCAATGACCACTTCAACGATTGGCCCAAGCTACACACGGACCTGATCGAACACAGTGACGGGACATTCTATGCTTGGCCACTGTACGCTATGCCGACAGAATCTCTATCGTGGAGGACAGTTCCTGGTGTTACTCTGATAGGGGATGCTGCGCATGTAAGGTAAGACTCATTTACACTCTGGGGTCGCTCCACTTCCTCTCGTGCGAGAAACTAACCGACGATACACCAGCACACCTTTTGTCGGAGAAGGCGTCAACTGTGCCATGACAGACAGTCTCCAGCTCGCCCAACAAATTGTCAAGCATGGGGTCGATGACCTTGATCGTGCCGTCTCCGGGTACGAGAAATTAATGTTCCCCCGTGCGATCGATCTCATCAGCCGAAGCGCGAAGAGCGGCGAGCTGTTCTTTGCGCCAGATGCACCTCGAGGCTGGCTCAAGACTTTTGCTGGCATTGACTGTGACTAAAGAGGTTCTGGGCTAAAGAGGAGATCCCTTCGGGAGTGGGCAATGTATGTTACATAGAGACACAAATCGGTATCCTAGACTACCACAACAACAAACTTCTGGAGTCAAGTCACGTCCCTCTCTATACGCAGGTCTAGCCATCTTCTGTTGCGGTTCAATAGATTGTAGCGTATACGACGTCTTCAGGAGGTACTTGAAACACAGAGATCTCACCACCGCCGCCTAGCCTTCGCAAAAGGGCACCACAACCCCCGTCCACTTGACACCCAGCAAAGTCTCTGGGCCGGAGTTGACCATTACACCCGTGTCTCGCGCAGATCTCCGAAATAGACAGAGATGGCGAGTGATTCATGATCTGCTTCTGTACTAGCCATTCAACTCATCTGGCGTCTTCGAAGCACACACGAGACTACCGCTCAGGGGACGTTCTGCAAAGTCAGCTTGGTCTCTCCATCGTAGACCCTCAACTCCTCGCGAGCCTGCCTAGCAGCATCCAGCACGAGGGCGGCGTGCTTCTCAGAGCGCGGAAGGAAGCGTGCTTTGAACGGCTCAGGCCGCATATTTTCGCTCTCTGTGTAAGCGAAGATGTCGAGCTTCACTGGATTTCCCTATATCGGAGCAATCTCGTGTTAGTTGGGGGTCGCCCTAGACAGAGCGTAATAGGTGATGGGGATGGGGCTGTAATTGCCATTGTGGCCACTGCATTGGGTGTTCAGCTCTTCTTACCTGCTCGTCCAAGCCTGGTCGAATATCAAAGGCCCACAGCATCCTGGCGATGGTGATGAATAGCCCCTGCTCGGCAAGCGGCTGTCCGCTACACTGACGCCGACCCCATCCGAAAGCGTTGTGTCCCTTTTTCGACGGATGGGGACGTTCGAGACCGTTGAAGAAGCGCTCCGGTCGAAAGACGTCGGGCTCAGGATAGTCGTTGGGGTTACGATGGATGCCCCATAGGTTTCCGGTAATGGCCGTTTCCTTGGGAATGAAATATCCCCGGTAATCGTCGTCCTGAATCGGGCTGTGCGGGATTCCACCCAAGATGGTCACGGAACGCCAGCGGAGGACCTCCGAAACTAATGCTGCGACGTAAGGGAGCGAAGCTTCGTCGGACCACTCGGGCATGCGGTGGTCGCCGACTACCCGGTTGATCTCTTCCTGTGCCTTTTTCTGGGCCCCTGGGAATACACACATAGCTAAGACGAAAGATAAGGTGGAACTCGTGGTGGTGTCGACGCCTCCACCGATCAAGTTGGCCGTTAGACAGGCAATTTCTTCCAGCGTCAGGTTATTCTCGTTATGCTGTTTCAACAAGAGGGTCGAGAAGTTTTCTTCCTTTGCCTCTGCACCTTCCATAGCCAGAGCATAGAAGTATCGCTGGAAATGCTTCGTGTTGGAAAGAATCAATGAAGGAAGCTTGTAGAGCCATCCGGGGAGCTTGGCAAGGATGGGAATTGTCTCCATAAGGTAGAGGCCTGGAATGACATAGTTGACGCCCTCCATAAAGCCCAGAGCGCACAAGGCGACGTGGTCATTCATGCGATCGATCCTCCTACCCCACCCTATGATGGAAACAGTCGAGCAGGAGTATCTCTCGATCGACATAACCATGTCGTCCGGTCTCTCCATGAGATCCCGGAGTAGGACTTTGGACTCGTTGCCCTGAAACGTCCGATGCGCTCTCACAGCTTGGGACCCCACCACGTTGTGCTGGACCACAGTAAGTAGTGGATAATTTCTGATATAGATACCCCTGGACATACCGTCAAACGTCGGTGAAGGCGCCAGCGGTCCCCATATATCTGACAGACCTGGTTTTCCTTTGTCTGGTTCATCATGTCACCCATGACGACGAACTGTGGGCGTGAAGAATATATCGCCGCCCGTTTCTCGAGGAGACCAGAGATCGTCCAAGCATCGTTGCAGACAATGATGGGACGACTCCCGTTCCAAAGTGTGACCATAGGACTGTTGTATCGGTGTGACATCTTCTCAAACTCGAGCCAAGGCCGGGACTTTGGAATGTCATACCAGTTGCCAATGACTGGAAGAGGGAAGGGCCCCGGAGGCATCTTCCTGCGGAGACGCAGGATATAGACATAGTCTGCCAGGACCCATAGCAACGGGACACCAATTGTTAGAATCAAGAGGAGGGACGCCAGATGCTTTGTGCTTCTCAGGCTTTGAAAAAGGTCGAGCAATTTGCTTGCTTTGCCAAGAATACCCATAGTGGTACGACTGGGAATAAGCGGTTTGTGTAGGAGCCGATGCCTTGGTCTGAGCGGGGAGCAGCTCTACCGGAGAATGTCCATGAAAGCATTTTCAATGGGGGATACATTCAGTCTTTATACGCCAAAATTCCCCAGGGTAATATTTCTCAACTTCCGCGTAGTCTGGGGTATGGAACTGCGGAACTAATCGAGGTTGGTTCGGGCACATCGCACGAACATACTTGAGATAGCAGCGTATCTGTGTGTTCATGTCAATGGCCATGGTCATCCGTTGCCTCATCTTCAGGTTCCTGATATTCCCCATCTCTCCGGGACAATCTAGCTCCCGGTGTCTCCCAACCTATCACTGGACGGATTTGGCGCCCCACATAATGTTACTAACCTCTTTATTCATCTCCTGGGTTATCATGTGGGGCCTTTGCTTTCTCTCTCGGCTCCTACTAGCATCTCTCAAATCGGAGCGGAAGTTTTTCCTATTATAGTCCGTACTATTTGCAATCTGCGAGCTGTATGATATTGTGGGAGTCTCGATCACAACCATGAGAGCTGCAATTGGCTTTATCACTAGTTCTGTAGGCTACTACCCAAACCTCCTGGATTCTGATACTAAGAATCCGCCATGGTTGACTTTTGTGTGTCGACATCTCTGCTTAAAGTCTTAAGGACAACTGTCCTCCCAATGTCCCTGTGTTGATTGCGTCTTTAATTTTTTCTCCAACGTCGGCGTCTTCGGACCCCGAATGCAAGGCGCTACCATCAGTTTTCGTCCCGTACGGCTGCGTCCGCAGAATCTCGAAGCCTCGTCCGCGTAGTCTCTTCGGCCACACTCCACTCTTCCCAGGAGCGAGGATGCCATTGGGATCCAGGCTGTCCTTGAGCTGTTCGTTGAACTTGAGCGAGGCACCGTTGTTCCAGTTGTAGACGCTCGCAATTTGGTCCATGAAGCATAGGTGTGTCCTGTATTCACCGTAGCCCTGAATAGAATCTTAGTCATCGCCGCAGGCGTTGAAGTGCGGATTGGTGGAATAATGGGGCGATATGCTCGAAGCAACAGAAATATTTGAGCTTACCTCGGCAGCTGCATCGTCAATCAAGAGCTCAATGCACCGATGTGCGCGTCGACGAGAATCAGGGTCGGACTTATCAAAAGTCAAGCACACTGTGGTACCTTCGTCAGCCAAATTCAAGCCGTTAAAACCTTCTAGGGGTGGGAAGACAAACGAACCGATATGGTGAAGTTCGCGCCAACCCACGACAAAGGTGCCGAGATAGTCGAACCCGAACTCCCGGAACCTCTGTTTGACCATCTGGTACTGCTTGTTGGCATCTATGCCTGTTGCGGGTGAGATTGGCGAAAACCCCAGCAATGACCCCGGCTTGCAGGTCCAGTCCAGCCATCCCAGCTCGTAAGTGTTGGGCATGCCCTTCAGGGTTTCCTCCCGCATGTGAAGAACTGTCTTCTGAGCGCCTTCTTTCAAAGGCTCTGGAAACATATAACTTGCCTGTAGAGAGGGTGATCAGAAATAAAACATGGTTAATGGAGCATAGCAGGAATAGGCACTGGTGGTCAGACCCGCCATAGGGTGGCAATCAACGGGACTCACTCCAGGAATTTGCATAAATGTATTCTTCAGCACTTCCCACTGTAAGTCGCGCATTGGCTTAGGTCCATACATGGCACCGTAAATATTCCACCGACCAACCCCTATTTTCCTGGAGATTTTGTCAATCTCCATATCAGTCAGAATGTCATTTGAATCTGTGTAATGAGACTTCTGAGCGAGGACAGCAGCATCGAGGAGAGTGGACCGGATTGTTGGTGCATTCTGAATGACCATGCCAATCCGGAGAACACGAATGGCTTCCACAATTGCGGGAAGATCGGTGTCATTCTGGAAAGAGAATAGGTAGGATTGGTAGCCCTGAACAGAATAGTTAGCCCTGGTGTATCGAAAAAGAGCTGTGGTTCCGGGCCAGAGGAGAGGTCTTACACCAGGGTCCGGCATGAGCCAAAATCCCATCTTGGTGACAATACCATAGTTGGACTGTGTGAAGATGCCATCAGGGTAGGGGCCAAAGCCGTACTGGAAAGTCTGCCAGGTATTGTTGCCTGGCAGCGCACCCATGCCCGTGCGCATTACTTCACCAGTAGGCAAGACAACTTCCATACCACAATGCATCGAAAAATGCTCTCCGTAGGGTGTGTAGCCGGCACCTCGATCGAGAGCGTTGCCGACGACCGAGCCACCACCAAGGTCGGGATTGTCGATCCAAAGATGCTTGAATCCATTCTTCTGCAGATAATCGTAGAGCGCGAAGTATGAAACGCCAGGCTCCAGGAGGCAGGTGCAGTCTCGGTCACTGACCTCCAGCACTTTGTTCATGCGGGCCCCCATATCAACAATGATGCTACCGCGAAGACGTGGTGCCGAACCTCCATACCCTGTAGTTGTTAAGCTTTGGTTAGAAGATCAAGTGCATGTGGCAGATGTAGGACTTACCAAGGTTTCGACCCATGGAGACCGGCCATAGTGGTGTCAGGTATTTGTTAGCCAGTTTGACAATGGCACAGACATCCTCAGTGGAGCCTGGCCGGACCACTGCACTGGCAAGAAAGACGTCTTTCTCCAGCACGTAGAACATGTCATGTTCTTTGGGAAGGTTGTAGTAATGTGCTTCTTCGTCAAGCTTCATGGTCTCCTTGGAGTAGAGCTCAACATTCTCCGGCCCAACCACCAGACTAATGTTCTTCAAAGCCTCTCTCAGGACACTTGCAGAGACATCTGGAGGGGTTATCAAGTCGGCATCGCTGAGCGAGTCAAGCAAAGAAATGGAGGTCATGGCTGGGTAAAGGAACCAATTGTCCACGTAGAAAAGTGCGCTGCGTATTCAAAGGGACGATTGAGCCAGATGCAGAAGAGTGTGTAAAAAGAATACAGATGAAACACACGGAGCCCTTCATATGTGGCATGCCAGAATATCGATTTCTCGAGGACGCTCGAGAGGACTGTAAGTGACGTGGCATGGGATAGCTCCCCACGGGGAACACGAGCTATGGTCAGCATCAGTTAGCCTCGCCCCGGGGGCAAGCCCCGCGCACATGTGCCGCCCACATAGAGTCGTTCAGCAGAAAATGGTGAGATGATTGGGGCTTTTGCAATGAACAAGCTCTCCAGCAAGGGAAGACAAAAGTTCGACCGCCGCACCTCCAAGCACCTCTTAGTCAGTTAGATGTGTGGGTACCAAGTGTATGTGGATACACTTCCCTGCACGAATGATGTGGCTGGCACGTGCTGAGGTCTCCACCTGCCCCACACGATTTGGTTGCAAAGAATCAGAGTCCACAGAGTCCCAGGGTCGAGTTTACCCGTCGACGGGGAAGTCGGAAAACAGATGGAGGAGTTATCATGAAAGCATTACTGATCATCCACGTCCGTGCTGATGGTTGTTGCTCTTTTGCTTTTTGCTTCAGCTTCCAGGGTCTTCATCATTTTTGGGTAGAAGGAGTGGAAGCCGATCCAGATCATTCTTGCGTGCATTCACAAGCTCGGTGATCGATCGACGAGCCTCAAGTAGTTGTACAAGTTCTGGGAACGGAGTCAGACGGATGGTGCATTTGGTGAGATTTTGGGAACGCTCACCCAATACAGAAGCTCCAATTTGCCAAAAGGAGCCAATCGCCCCAAGGACGAGCTTCAACATCTCGAGATATATGGGCCTGCTCTCGTCTGGACTTGCTGCAAGCTCGCATGCTGTCTTCGCATTAATTGCACCGGGACCAAGCAGGGTAGTAGTGACCAAAGGACAAGTTCGAGCAATATAATCGGGGTCCCATGCCTGAATAACGCGGCAAATTAGCTTCTCATCTTCTAAAGCCGACGTTTCCAGGGACACGTCCAGGTGTTCTGGGAATTTCCGATGACACAGTAGTCGAAGTGAAGCACGACTTTCATCGTCTCGAGTTAGCATTCCAGGACCTTGAATCTATCAGAGTTTTTCGACAAATGACTTACGAATGGAGGATTAAATGAGTACATACGATCCAATTATTGGCTGCAAAATTGGATTCGTCAAAGCTGAGACAGTTCGCGGAGAGATGAAATCTCTGCGGAAGGATCAGAGAGAAACAAGCAATGGAGGACTGGAAGTCGCATAGTGTCTGCGCGGTTGTATGCCGTCTGTGGATTATGTCGTGAGCGAATGCCCTCAGGAAAGAGGCTATAAGAAACCAAGCCCTGTCATCGTCGTTAGGTGAATTCTTTAGTGTCTTCCATACGTGAATTGGGTCTGGTATGACCACGACCGATACAACCGGTGTGTCAGAGGACCAGGCTTCGTCAGATACCGGTAGCAGTACATTGATGTGAGTTTTGTCGATCGTATGTGGCCGCTTTAGGATGGTGCCCGAGAACATGTCGAGCTCCCAGGCCAACCACCAAGCTCGTCGAAGTTCTTCTTTCTTGCTCCATTCTTCTGTTGATGTCCATTGCACTGTGGCTTTCGAATCTAGAATCTCATGGTCGATACTGTTCAGTCCAAGGTCATACGCCAAGCGGCAGGAGACACCAATGAGATTACCGCAACGTCCACTGGAACCACAAACTTGATGATACCAGCCCAGAAGAATTAATCCTTGTAACAATGACAAGTTTGCTTGGATTGCCGCGTCTAGCTTCATGGCGTCCTGAAACAACTGCGTCGCCTGACTTAGAAAAGGTTCTGCCCGTCCCTTCGGAGGTAAATGGGTGAAATACGAAGACGTGGAAAACCGGGCTGCCAGAGCGCAGATGGTGTCTAGGATCAAGCAATCTTCCAAAGAGAGGCTCTGATATTTGTCAGTGTCCTGGCCGTTACGTTATACTTCGCGTAAAATCGTGGTTTATGAAAAAGAGGCAGCCAGCCAGCCACGTGCTTGAAAAAAGCATCGATGCTACAAAAGTAAGTCTCGAGTTTTTGTAAGGTGTGGACATTACATCACTCACATCTCATCCACAACCACGGCAGGGAATGGTATGGTATATCTGGTTGGCCTTGCATTTCCGTGGCTCATTGAGTTTGTACTGGATGCGGGAAAAAAGCCGAACTGAAAATTATAATTCATCTCAAATCCTCCCGTGGAGCCTTGTGTCCCCAAAAGAGTCATGTCTGGCATCTCTCCTAGATTTCCCTGTAGGCCTTCTGAGCCCTGAGCATTCGAGAAGCCGTCCGTAAGCCAGGACCCTAAGGTTGGGTCAAAAACATCTGCGAAGAATCGCGTTTCAGTCTGTCCGGACAGGAGACCAGGATTCAGGTCATTCGTACATAGAAGTCCATTTTCTATATCGTTCGTTGTCATTTCCCCGACGTGGTCAGGAGAGAAGCCAGGTGTTGGAAGGACCTGGGGAGACTGGGAGTTGGTGTTTGAAAGGCTGTACTGCCTCTCTCTACGTCGCAATAGAGCATTTTCCAGCACAGTAGGATCCAGCAGGTCGAGGATGCGGTCTAGGACCAGGGACATCAGGCTTGCCGCTTTCCTGCTTTGAACAATTCAATAAACTCACTCAAGCCCTCCTCTCCTTCTAATTCCAGAAGCCGTCGAGGGGACGCGCTCAACTGCCAGGGACGAGTTGCTGGTCGTCTCTTCTTCGGGTAGTAACAGTCTTGTCCAGTTCGAACACACAAGGAGCATCTTGGGGTTCGTTTGTCACCTTCCTATGGTTATTCGTGCGCTCACAAATACGGGTCTGCAGCGCCAACATACATTTGATTTTCTTCCTTCGCAAGCATTAGATATAGTGCAGCACGCTTCATGACAGGGGATCGTACCTGTTACATTCTCCACATGCTCGAGCTTGTCCGCCTCTCTTTGGCTTTTCTTCTACCGTGACTTCGTAGGTTGATTCCACACCGTTGTTGTCGTTGTTGTCGTTGTTGTCGTGGCTCGACACGTCTGAGCCCTCTCCCGTGAATATATCGTCCATAGGAGCATCCATGAAGGAGAGAATCTAGAACAAGGGACCGGGACAGCTTTCACCGTTGAAGGCTCGCGTTAGACTTGCGGGTGGATTATAATTATTCATCCAGCGGAGGGAGCGGACGGGTTCCAGATGGGGAGAAGCACCGTGCACCGCTGAGGGCCTCCATAGCCTCCCTGTAAGGGTTTACATAGGTGAAGGAGGTGGTGGCGCTCTTGGCACTGGGTTGCTTAATCACTCGGCGGGTTCCCCCTAATTATCCCAAGCCCAGCCCCCCATAGTCCTAGCTACTTAGGCATGCACTCATCGTTTTGTCCGGGGCTAGGAATTTCGTTTTAATGATCATTTCGGCTCCGATGGCAGGAAGTCTAGATTTCATTCTGGAGAAGACTCTGCAACGCATCATCCCGGCAGGAAACTTTCGCGGACATATACTGATTACATAGCAACGTTGATAGATACCTACAGAAGGCACAGTTCTGGGATCGAGAGCAGCAGCTTTTCACGATCAACTGCCAGTTAACCAAACGGCAATGAGTTGTGCTCCATGCTACCGGGTAGTCGAAAAGGTCTGCAACGGCTTCCTGTCAATGGGAAACCAGAGCTAGAGGATCTCAAGGGATAAAAGCTCGGATAATGGGAAAAACTACGGACTGCTAGAAGAAAGAAAAAAGGAAAACTTGCCTCAGGACGCGGGTCGGTATTGAGTGAGAAAGCCGTCGTCATGCAAGGCTGGGGCGGAATGCAGCTGGGGAATCATCGATACAAGGAAACAGGGCCTTGTCGTATGCAGCCCTGCCAATCAGCTCGAGCCAGAAATGAGCCCAGGGCGGCATACAATGCGGGGAAGATTTCTCAGCACGGCATTCAGAAGGCCGGATATCCATACAAGGATGCTCAAGCAGGTAAGCACCAGAGTCGACTCAGAGAATGTCACAGGTTAGCATCGGTATCCGGCATCTCCAAGCACCTCCAGAGCGGTATGTGATGCACATCAAGCTTATTCTCGACAATGTCCGCGTTTTCGGATCCGGCTATGAAGCCAGCATGGCACGGATAACGGAACCTGAAGCTATTTCCCTTGAGAACCCTGCGAACTCTGCCGGGAGTCGCCCACTCCGGCTTCTGCTCAAGTAGGATTTTGGTTACCAACAGTTCAAATAGGCTCTCCCGTTGATGGAGCCCTGAGACTCCGCCGGCAGTCGCCCAGTCCGGGCTTATGTTAGAGAAAGATTTTAGCGATGAACAGTTCAAATACCCAGTAGGCCCTTGAGGCCCACTCAGAAAATCGATCCATACTTTCAATAAGCCCAGGCCACCACTTTCTTGTTTGTCGCGCCCCTTTTGGACCAAGTCCCTTCCTCGCTGACTTCAAGATGCCAATCGATAAATCTTGGCCAGGTTACAAGAAAGGCACCATTCCTGACGATGGATTCGAATGGATATGGCAAAAAGCTATCCCCGCAGATGAACCAGATAGACCTGTGAAAGTGGTTACCATCCCCTTTGGATACGAGAAGCGCGTGCTGCCTCGAGGATGGCAGAAAACGCCCGAGAACATGCCATTGGAGCTTGACATTATTTTTGAGAAAGATATTGAGATCATCATGCGGGACGGAGTCAAGGTAAGATTTGAGGCAATAATGCCCTTGGGCAACGAACTGTTTGCTAACGTGTTGCTAGATATACGCCGACATCTATCGGCCTGCTGACACGGGCGGAAAGAAAATTCCAATTATTATGCCATACTCACCATATGGCAAAGGAGGCGGTGGCGCGAACCTGATGGGTGTGGTGCCTTATCGAGTGGGAGTCCCAAAGAGTCGTCAAAGCGGTCTTGAGAAGTTTGAAGGGTTCGTGGCTTCTCAGCCCAGAAAGAGTTTGCGCTGACCGACCAAAGTCCTGATCCTAACGAGTGGTGCCGCCGAGGCTACGCCATCCTCGACCCAAATGCCCGAGGGTCGTTCGATAGCGAAGGGAATTTGCATTATTTTGGCCGCAAGGAGGGTAAGTTGAATTCAAGCCGCCCGTACCAATTTTCTCAGAGTTTCTCCTTAGGTGAGGACTGTTACGACATTATTGAATTTGCCGCGAAATACGGTTGGTGTAATGGAGCCGTTGGCATGGCTGGCAACTCCTGGCTCGGAATCGTGCAATATTGGGCTGCCATGGAGCAACCGCCTCATCTCAAAGCCATTGCTCCATGGGAAGGTCTCAGCGACGTCTATCGCGATTTATGCCGCCGGGGAGGAATTCCATGGGCCCCTTTCTTAAAATGGGTGCTCATGGGTATCCCAGGTAAGTAATTTTCTTATACAAGTCTATACGCTCATTCAGATAACTTAGTCCCGTAATCATAGGTCGCGGTCTTCAAGAGGCTGTCACGGAAATGGCTGAAGCTCACGAGTTTTATGATGCCTATTGGGAATCAAAAAGGGTTGATTTCAGCAAAATCAAAATCCCGTCTTATATCCTCGGATCATACTCGACAATGCTGCACACAATAGGCTCGGTCAGCGCATGGAGGGATACTAACACAGATAAGAAATGGTTGCGCTTCCATCCTCATCAAGAATGGTACGAAGACTATCATTATCGCTCCATTGACGATTTGGATCGCTTCTTTACGAGATATCTGAAAGGAGAAGAAAATGGCTGGGAGAATACGCCCAAAGTTCGCGTTTCAATGTATCGATTTGGTGAAAAGGTACTGATAACCTGTGTGGACGATCGAAAGCCACTAGATCGCTAATGTCGCCATCCAGTACCCTCTGTACGACCAAGTCGAAACGGACTATCCGATCCCTCGCACCAAGTACACAAAGCTATACCTCACATCGAATAAGACTTTGCAAGACTCACCTGGTACAGAGGAAGCGGTTCATTCATACGACTCCACTAGCGGCGATATGGTAACATACGACTACATATTCCCAGAGCGAACAACGCTCGCCGGGTTCTCGAAACTCAAAGTTTTCGTTTCTTGTCAAGAGCACAACGATCTCGACATCTACGTCATGTTGAGGAAGCTGTCAGTCGATGGGGAGCTTATGGAACAGTCGAATGTGCCCCTCCACGAGCTTCCAGTGAAGTCCGTGAAAGAAGTCGCCAATGTGAACCCGACAAAGTATCTCGGTCCGACTGGCATCCTCCGGGCTTCTCATAGAGAACTCGATTCACAGCGGTCAACGGAATACTGGCCAGTCCACCCTCATTTGCGTGCCGACTACGTCGAGTGTGGAAATGTTGTCGAGATGAATATCGGCATCTGGCCGATGGGTATCGTCTACGAGAAGGGCGAGGGATTGCGTCTGCAGATATCGGGAAAGACAATGGTACTCCCCGAATGGGACAACCCCCACGTCAAGCACATGGAACCGCAGTTTAACAAAGGACGCCACAGACTGCACCTGGGCGGAAAGTATGCAGAGAGCTTCTTGCTGGTGCCGAAGCTGTAGACTCCTGGAATCTCGTGTAGTGGCTTCCTTCAAAAACTCACCACATATGTGGTATATTCTCTACTATTCCTATTTGAAGAGGTTAATCCTAAGAAGAGCTAGACTTCTCCTCCGAGTGATTTGAGAATCATTTGAGCCGGCAATGATAACGCCGATTGCAACCGTGCAATATCTCAGCGGCATTCCGTCGGGAGCAAGTTCATCCATTGGGCTAAATATCCACCAAATGAATCGCGTTCTCGGTCCAGATTGGACAGGCGCCAGCCACTGGCACGATTGGTCTGTGTACTCGAGATCCATGCCAGCCGGAGAGACAAGAACGAAGACTAGCAAATCGCTTCCCATATACGTCAACCTCAAATTCCACTCTGCGCGAGCTTCTTGGATCATGGTCTGGCGCATTGGTACTCGAGCGGCGAAGAAGTAATCTTCCTTGCGTTTCCTCATGGCTCAATCAAGGGATTCACGTCTGCGAGATAAAGTGGCTATCGTCACAAGTCAGCACATTCCTCCATGCACACTCACTTTTATGACTTGCAGGCCTAATTGGTGATGAGGAGGTACTTCTGGATTTGGAGCAGCCACAGCCAAAAGATTTGCCGAAGCTGGGGCCAAAGTCGTCATATCTGACATCAATCCTGACGACGAAGCACGCATTGCTGAGAGCTCTCCCTCAATAAAATTCTTCCAAGGCGATATCACCAAGTTGTAAGATTGGCAAAGGCTTCTTGATTTCACCCTCAAGGAGTTTAGAAAAGTCTCGATCCTCGTCAACAACGCCAGCACCACATATCGGAACAAACCCATACTTGAAGTGACCGAGCAGGAGTTTGACCGGGTCGTTAGGCGTCAATTTGAAATCTATCTTCCAGGCCATACGCATTATTGTGCCGCATCTGATCGAAAAAGGTGAAGGGGGTTCAATCATCAATATTGCATCCATTGGTGCTGTGCGACCACGTCCTGGCCTTGTCTGGTACAACGCCTCGAAAGGGGCAGTCGTCAATGCCACAAAGAATTTGCCCATCAAGGCATCCGAGTCAATGGAATCTGCCCTCTTTTATCCGGCACCGGTCTCTTTTCTTCATTCGTAGGCGTTGAAGACACGCCGGAGAAGAGGAGCAAGTTCATAGCGAGCGTTCCGACAGGAAGGCTCACGGATTGTGTTTGACGTGGCCAACGCAGCGTTGTACGTTGCAAGTGACGAGTCAGGCTTTGTGACCGGAACCAATCTGGAGGTCGACGGAGGACGCGCTATTGGCTAAAAGAGCAGCACAATCCAGCTATACCTGTGGAGCTAGCGAGCTAGGTGGCTATTAGTATGGAGCAGTTTGAGATAACCTCGAAATTGGAAATTGTTGCTAAACACTCCAGGGCACTAGTGACGAGGACAAGCAAGGACTAGATAGATTCGACTACTGGGTAGTCTAGAACGCGACTTTTCCCCACCTAATAAATTCACGCGACATCCTCAACTCATTTCTTCTCATCATCGAGATTCACCCTGCCACAGCTTTTTCTTGCATGATCGCGGAAGGGTTCCTCCAGTTGAAGGGCATTTCAAATCAAGCGGACTTCGTCACATCAACAGCTCTGCCACCACAGTTGCATCGCGACAACCATCGTCGTACTTGCCACCCTTGTCTGAGGTAAGATGCATTTGGCTATTTGGGTCGCGGCCTTGCGAATGCCGAATCCCGAGGCGACGCCTGACTCCCAGCAGGCCAACGCCCTGAGGCAAGATTGCGGGTCTCCTACCCATACCGACGACCTGTTGGCCAGAGCGTATCCTTGGTTCCCAGATTGGTGCAAGACCCCCCACAATAAGATTAGTCGTTATTGTAATATTTCAATGCCCCGCTGGAGGATGTTATCATTGAGGTGAAAATGCATGACGACTATTTCCTTCGAGTTAGTTATACTCCTTTCCAAAAAGGAGTGCATTGAGCGGGGAATTTAGTCACCCAGCAACAGGCAATGTCGCCAATCACGCCATACAAGATCAATATACCAGACGAGAAGATTCAACGTCTTAAACAACAGATCGCGCTTGCCGACTTCCCTGATGAGCTTCCAGACGTCGAACCTTGGAGTCGGGGTACGCCTTTGGCTGATCTAAAGCGTCTCGCTGCTTATTGGCAAAATGGTTTTGACTGGCGTGAGCAAGAAGCAAAATTGAACCAACTCCCTCAATTCATGACACAAATCGATATTGATGGCTTTGGCACCTACGATATTCACTTTGTCCATCAACCAAGTCCGATGAAGGAGGCTATCCCGCTTGTTTTCTGTCATGGATGGCCTGGAAGTTTCGCCGAGATCACAAAAATTCTCCCAATGTTGATAAGTGAAGGGAATGATTCGCCCTCATTTCACGTGGTTGTTCCTAGTATGGTCGACTACGGGTTTTCGTCCGGGGCGAAAAAGGTTGATGCACAACCGGTGTACCTCAATATTTTTGCGCTCACGCTTCGACTAGGCGAATTTTCAATTCGAGCAGCACGCCGAGGTGGCACATAAACTAATGGTCAAATTAGGGTACAAAGAATACGGTAAGCTGGTCCGCGATCTGTGCGCCTACGGCAATTGACATTCATTATAGTTGCCCAAGGAGGGGATCTGGGCTACTTTGTGGTCCGTTTTCTGGCAATCCTGTATCCAGAGTCATGCAAGGCACAGCACATCAACATGTGTCATCCTCCCGAGATCAGCGCTGCTTCCCATCCTGTCCTATGGGCTCAGTTCCAGGCGACTCCTTTAACCGAACACGAAAAAGCTGGGATTGCTCGTTCCCGTTGGTTCCGCGAAGAGGGATTTGGGTACAATCTTCTTCAGAGCACGAAGCCTCAGACTGCTGCTTACGCGATCACCGCGAGCCCAGTGTCTCTCCTAGCTTGGATTTATGAAAAGCTCCATGACTGGACCGATGGCTACCCTTGGACCGATGACGAAGCACTCATCTGGATCAGTATCTACCACTTTTCTACGGCAGGAGCTGCGGCCTCACAGCGAATCTACTATGAGAAAACCCATCGTACGCCAAGAAAAGGGTTTCCCCTGAAAGAGGCCCATCTCGAAGTCCAGCGATACATTGATGTGCCTCTTGGATATTCACGATTCCCGAAAGAGATAGTTCTGCTACCTAATATATGGGTAAAAGCGATTTCGCAACGACGACAACCAATGCTTCGTTTAGAAACTTTGTTTTCCTTATATGCCTGTCAGCTCTAACCGTAGAAGGTCCTTTTCTAAGATCTCCTGTTTCCTCGTTTTCATTTCTTCCACATCCCAATTGGCCCATACCAGACGACTTTTCAGAAATTCCGCCTCAGGACTTACAAGCCAAACGGCGAAATGAGCCGGTAGGTCGACTGTTTGGTCACTCCCCGTTAGCGTCTGCCACTCACCATGCAGCGATTTGGTGTAGAAGACCTACCAGAATCCATAGAAACCGCAGTGTTTCCTATTTTTGCCGACATGGCCCTGGCAATCAGACCTGGGTGCAAATTGACGATGCGGACAGTGGGTAGTTCTTCCTGTATGATGTCCATAGCCTTTGTAATTGCTGTCTTTGACGCCGAGTGGCCACTGTGTCCCGTACAATGGCCCTGCCTCACACCGTAGTGCGCCAAAATGCTCGAGAGAATGATCAAGACGGCGTCGGGCTTAGAAAGCCGCAGAAACTCGAGCGCGAACAGGAAGCTGCCTTTGACATTGATCTCAAAGCACTTGAACCACTCGTTGATGTCGATATCCAGAATGGGTTGGTTGACGTTTTGATACCCAGCGTTGTTGACCCAGACGTCTATTTTGCCAAAGACTGCTTCAATTGGGTTAAAGGCTTCTCGGACCGCCATAGTATCTGTTATGTCCAGAACTAATGGGTGCATTTTTGACTTTCCCAGTTCCTCAAGCTCGGCCTTCAGTTTGAGCAGTCCGGTCTGATTGAGGTCGATTAGGACCAAGTATTTCGTGCCCGCTTGAACAAATGCTCGACATGGCAGATCCAATCCCACCAGCCGCCCCTGTGATTAGAACGATCTTTCTAGCCGTTGAAAGCTCTGGTCGCGACGGCGAGATGGCTGGGTAAGGCGCATGATGGTACTGGGCTGTGAATTCTGCGAGAACAGGGTCTGCCATTTCGATGTACAGCAATTATCCACTCTGAAGCATCAAAACTCACGAAATCTCAAACTGAGTTGGTGGCTTGAGCGGTAGCATCATCATCTTCATCACTGCTATGATGAATATGCTCACATCTTGACGACTGCCTGCATAGTGCTTCCGGCAAAAGAACCGGCCTTTACAAACGACGGCACTTCAATTTTAGCTTCTGTTACCCCGTCGATTTGACTCGTCGAACTAGTAATCACGGCAATAAAAACACAGACTTCCAAGCCCGTGTGTACTTAAGCTTTTGAGTAATGAGCCTGCTGAAAAACACAGTTTTCCCGCTCCATGTCGCTGCCGCGAGTGCCAGGCGAGCATCGGACGCTGGGGACGGGGTTTTGTAACTGCCTGGTTTTCCGGATCACTGGCTACAGGCGCTATCGACGAATCCGAGAATCTATGGAATCAAAGGAAAGCTTGAGCCTGAATTATACTCGTACACATGTACAAGTTGATATGTTTGTGCTTGTATGCCTCTGCATTCATCCTGCTCTTCTACCCATCATGGAGCATCTTGCCGTGCCTCACTTTCTGATACAATCTTGCCACAACGGACGTAAACCTCCTCCCACCCAATGGCCCAAGCCACACCTTTAACATCGGAAAATTTCTCCTCGTCAGGTCTAACCTTCTCTATAAAAAAGGGGTCGTCTCGAGACTTTTTGATCCTGTGAATGTCTTTGACAATGAATTCGGCCACACGGTCGTACGGTGTAATATCAAGGGCCTTGAGCTCCGGCCATGCGCTCATCATGGCTTGCTGAACAGTCGAAGAGGTGTGATACTGCCATTGAAACAAAATGTGTGTCAGCTACAGAGAGCCAATGTTTCGTCCAAAACCACGCCTCAGCGCAAGAGTAAGCCAGAGAAGAGGGAATTACCAACCTGGGTATATTTCAGGATCCCATATTTTTCCACCAGCGGGCTAACCAAGGGTCCGTGGACTTGCGGCCAGTAGTGGTTGAATTGTTCTTCGGTCAAGCCTGGTTTCCTTTTGAGATACATGGACACTCGCAGGACCTTTGTTTTGGTGGCCATGACTAAACCTCAGACTGCTGCGAATCTGATAAGAAGATTACTTCGTTCTACAACAAACAAAGAGTAGGGAAAGGTCTTAGAGAGCCGGAAATCTTTTAAGGGCATGTGTTCTGTAAAAAGATGGCTCCCATGAGGCCGCGTTTACCAGCCCAAAGCAACGGGCTTTCCATGTCTGAAAGCTCTTAGCATCTTAGAAAATCCTCATGGGTGGATGGTGACTATGATTTCAAATAACTTCACATGGACCATTGGCGGGTGAGCAAGAACCTGAAGCGGCGTTGTGAATACCGATAGTTCCCCAGAGGCGACTTGCCTAGCATTTGCGGGGAATTCTTGCTAATGTTGTGAAAGGATACATATTGCAATCTGCCTTGTGATGTCCTGACATCTAGCGGATAACGAGTCTCGAAGCGAAATGTTCCCTATAACACGTAGCAGGCGAGCTCGTCGTATACATATTAGCATTAACCCTACAGCAGAATACAGACTGCTTACTCTGCCTGATCTGCAGCTTCCTTGATCCTCCTATGTGCAGCTTTCACTTCCTTCGTCTCTCCAAATGCTTGGAACCATTTTGTAATAAGGGGGTGCTTGTCCAAAGTCGACCCTGCAAACCCGTGCAAATGAATCCATGGCTCATAGTGGCAGTCGACAGGAGTGTATCCTCCAGGGATAATCGTCTCGCCGTTGCTCTTTTTAAAGCTGTCCTTCCAGTATGTCATAGCAACGTAATGTCTGCACTTGGTACCTTTCTAGTGCATCATCATTCTTGATCTTGTTGTGGAACCTTTGGAGGCTGTGTAAATACCGCCGTGAAGCATACAGGGACGGGCTAAAACCTCACCTGAACTAATTGCACTGGCTACTCATCGGAGCCAAGGTGGTCAACAAGAGGTATTCCCACGTCTCCAGATCCGCCTGATCCTGCTCAGTATTGCCCCTGGGGCCGATCTTGTTGTCTTTGTCGTAAATGCGACGTATATAACCTCTTAGATAACATGCATGTCTCCGGAAAAGCTTTGTCGGCGAGCCATCTGTGACGGATTCTGTATGTTACACAGAGCTCCGCCAAAGAATATGCGAACCCCGGAGTACATTCATCCAAATACAATGAGTAATCCGACATAAGCAATCCAGAGCGCTATTGCCGAGAAGTCCATCAAACGGTGTTTGAGAATGCCGTCTAAGACTTTGAGCCCTCCGGGTTGGGGGAATTAGGCAAATCCTACATCTCCCCGCCCAGACGAAGGCCAAAGCCAGTTCCGGCCACATGAAGAAGAAAAATATAAAGCTGAGACTGAATTAGTCTCTACTTCCATCTTTAGGGGTCTAGTAAAAGTATTCTAGATTGGGGAGAAAGCAAATCACCTTTGAATGTTGCATGAAGAAAATGGAGCAACTTGTCACTCCTATCAATCACTTGAAGAAGCCTCTGGAGATAGGCCCACTGAAGCTTCGGAATCGATTTGGGATGTCCTCGATTTCTCGAAATAGGTATAACTGGTTACTATGATTCAATCTGAGGCCGATTCCAAGCTCATACTTGCCAGATCGGACGGTACTTATCCCAACGAACTGAACGGGGAATACTTCTATCAGCGGGCTTTAGGGGGCGCCGGCTTCATTTGTGCAGGAGGCGCCCTCATTGAGCCACAGGGGACACCAATGCGAGAAACCCCTCAAATTAACACGCATGAACACATGCTTTCTTGGAAAAAGGTCGTCGACAAGGTGCACACTGTGCCTGGATCGATTTTCTTCTGTCAGCTCTGGCATTGTATGTCCCAACGCAGCATAACTGAGTCCTATGTTGATATTGACCTCTGCAGGTGGACGAATGACGTACAAAGACGCCAAAATCCAAAGGGATTACGGTAAACCTACCGTCGCGCCCAGCGCGGTTCAGGCTCGCATGGGAATTGCACCCGACAACGACGGAGTATACGACTTAGAGCCAGGGCTCGACAAGGGATATTCATTGCCAACGGCTATTGAGGATCCGAAAACGGTCGTAGAACAGTTTCGTCGATCGGCTATCTTCGCCAAAGCGGCTGGATTTGATGGGGTTGAGTTGCATGGGGCAAATGGATACCTTGTGGCACAGGTCTGCTTCGATATATTCTTGACGTGGTTAAGGCTATTCACTGACTTGACCGTTCAGTTCCTTGATGATGGTGCCAATATTCGAACAGACGCATATAGCGGTTCGGTTGAAAACGTAAGTCCCGATACCACCTAATAAGACCAGAGCGGAACTTAAATCACAAGCGAGCAAGGTTCTGTCTAGAATGTATCGATGCTTTAATCGACGTGTGGGGACCACATCGCGTCGGCATCAAATTGTCTCCGGCTGTTGGTCGAGGTGATCTGGGTATGTTCCCAGTGGAAAGACAGGTTGAGCAATTCACCTATCTTATCAAGGAGCTCGACAAGCGTCCCTTGGCATATATCAACCTGGTCAGATACCTTGGTGCGTCTAAAGCTCCTCCGGGGCAACTCAAAAAGCCAGTGGCTGACTAGTGACAGAGTGGATGGACATGGAAGTCGACGGCAAGATGCGCGGTCCTGTGCATCCCGTGTGGGCGACTTACCGCCATTTGATCAAGAACGCAAAAGTGTTCTTAAACGGCGCCATCTCTTTAGTTGAAGCCGAAGAGCTTCTGAAGGATAATACTGGCGATGTTATTGTCTTCGGTCGCCCATGGCTCGTCAATCCAGACTTTGCGAACGCAGCGATGGCGGGAAAAGAAAAGGAAATCTTGTTCGACTATAACTTTGACGTAAGTTCTCTTTTCCATTGTCAATTCTTGGGAAGTTCCTGATCGTGGACCCAGTACTTTGCGCAGTACCCACCTGGAAACCAGGCTAAAGGATACATCGATTACCCTTTCATAACCTCGAACTACAGAGCTCCACAGTTGGCCGCAGGAAAGTTGTGAAGTGAAGCAGTTGTATATCGTGCCAACGACGGTTGATGGTGCAGAATCTGCTAAACCGCAGTTTCCATGTCAGTCGGCTGAAGTCCAATTGAAATAGGGGTTGAGGCTTCTGCCTTTTTTTCTTTGTTTTTCTTAAACCTCTATTCCCAAGTCCCTCCTTCGTTAAGTTGTCTGGTTTCGTATAGCAACCACGCTTTGAAATGATATTGTATACGTATGTTTGTTGAGCTTTGAGTTAATAATATAAGATCACTATTCTTTCCGCCTCTGAACAAACCACTCCCTGCCAGACACATTGGCTTGAGAAGGGAGCACAATACGCACACCTATTCTGCATCATTCGGAGACAAGAGATAACTTGCCTCAGCCCGCTGGAATCGGCAATGCCGTCATCAATACTAGTAATGGTCTCGAGCAGCTTCTGCATAAATTTCCGGTTTCTCGAAGCACATGCTGAATTCGTAGTCAGGGTGATTGAAATAATTTACCCGGATGACAAACGAGAACGTAGAATCAGAGTGTCTCATGTCAGGAGAGGCGGGATACATGAACACCGTTCCTTCCCGTGGTAGATTTCGAGTATAAATGGTCCATAGCCCCTCAGTTTCTCGGTGAGAGAGTCAGTTTATGAAGTCTTTCAGCATTAACAAATAAAAAATCCACTACCGTGCAAGGTATCGATCGTCAAGATGGCGATTGAGGCGAATGGTTCAAACTACTCTTCTCAAATTGCCGCTCTCACTGAGAAAGTAGCCCAATTGGAACGCCGGCTGCAAGAACAGGAGGACATCGAAGCCGTCAGACTCCTGATCGACCACTACACCGCCCTTCACGACTTGGCTTTCCAAGACCCCAAGGCGCTCCAACAGTGGGAGGACCTGTTCACCGAAGACGCACACGTCAAATACGCCTTTGGAGAACACTTTGGGCGTAAAGGACTAGGGGCGTGGGCTTGGGGCCCCGAAGTCTCACAGTACGAACAATGCCACCTGCAGAGCAGCAATTTCGACATCAGTTTCAGCAAGGACAGACAGCTTGCGTACGTCAGGTCGAATGGCATCACCCACTGGCTCTACAGGCGGGACGAGCTGGACAAGCATTTCGACGCCGGGGCTGTGTACCGGTGGGCAATGAGACGCGAACCGGATGGAAAATGGGCTATTTGGAAGATAGATCTGTACTGTGCGTGGATGACTGGTGAAGACCGCAACGGCGTGAGCGGCACGAACAAATGAGCCAGGTACGAAACACTGATCTGTTCAATCTGGCGGTCACGGTTTTGCATCGAGGTCATGCAAGCATATGCTGTCGCTGAATCTCCCGAAAAGCAACAGAACGTGTTCTTTGCTAGGCCACAAGAGCAACTATGCGTTGAGATTTTTCAACGCTGTGAACGTTTCCGATTCGGCGTTTTGTCATTCTTTTTTTTTGGGGGCCAGATCATAAAGCCTGGCGAAGCCATCGCGCTTCCCAAACTCCGAGGAACCCCGTGCTCAACGAGAAGCTCCTCTCCGGCCAGGTGGGCAATCTTCTCTGGTCGGCGATCTCGAACTCCGGCGGACTCTACATGTAGGCGGGAGGCGTTTCGACCTCAGATGCGAAATCACGTTGACCTTGGCTAGATATTAGCGCCTTATCAGAGGCACCACCCGCGGGTACCCGTTGATGATTACTTTGTACTCCGTTCTTCGCATAATAGTTGGCATATCTTAGTAGTGGAGACATTCCAAATCGAACTAGTCGGAGATGGTCGACGTTCTCCACTTCGCGCCTGACTTCTTCTCCACGCCCCTATTCTTCAGCCTTGCTCACTCTACACACTCTCGCTCTGCACTGATGATGATGCGGAGGGAACTCGGGAAGCCCTCGCAAGAGCATGAAGCATAATGTAACGAACAGAGAAGCCTGCGTTCCAAAAGCCCACGTCCAACCACCTCGTACCCCATTCAGCTTTGTGTCAACCTAAAAGCCTGTCTTCTCCACATGTACTCCTCCTGGCTGTGCACGTCCAAATGCACCTTGTGTATGTCGTGATCGACAGTAATATCCTCAGTGTGGACGGCTCCTGCAATCGCCAAAGATCTCAGCCAACTCCTCCAGCGCAATGCCTTTCGTTTCGGGCACGAAGAAGTAAATCCACACCAGGCCACAGGCGGTGATGGAGATGAAAAGCTGAGGAAGCTTGGGTTAGAAACCAACAATATCAGAGTAGCAAGCAAATGGCTGCAAGCTTACCAGGAAAAATCTTCGGTGGATGTGTGCAAAGGCCGTCGGAGCAACCTGAAGATAGACCAAGTTCGTCAAAGCATTAGCAGTATAGGCGACGATGCTGCCCTTCGCACGGAGATTGCTGGGGAAAATCTCGCTGACAAAGACGAAGACAAAAACGTCGCCGCATGTTGTGTAACAGGCCTGAAACAAGAACAACATAGCAGCACCAGTAGCCAGGCCTGCCCTATTCGTGCCTGCCGTGCCGTAGAGAGCGCGGCCATGGCAGTCTCGACAGTAACACACGTCATGCACCCAGCCAGGTCAATGAACAACAGAGTCGGTCGGCCAAGGTGATCTGCGAGGCCGGATCCAATAACATTGAAAATGGGAGAGATTGTAATGTATCCAGCTTGGAAACACAGTTGGGTGAAGGCATCGTAACCGAGATTGCTCCATAGGGTTGAGCCCCGATTCCATTCGTCAGCCTGTGAAGGAAGAGACCCAAACATCTGGTAGACTCACATAATTGTTGATTACCAAGTTTCCTGTGCTCTGAGAAAGAAATGCCAGGGTGATGACGATAAGCACCCGTCGCCGTACGGAGGGCTTGCTGTAGAACTGCTTCCAAGAAACATCGCTGCTCAGGTCAAGCTCCGCTTGCTTCTCCATCTGGAAGAATTCGGTTCAGGTAAAATCCTCCTGATCGCCTCGGCCATGCTGACTCAACATAACCTTCAGCGAGGCATCTTTTTGTCCTTCCATGAGGAGATGGCGAGGTGACTCAGGGACAAAGAGGTACCCGATGGTAACCATCAAGGGGAATATCGTGCCCAGCGCAATTGGGACACGCCATTGGACTGTATCAGACACATGGAAAAATGCTACTCCAAATTAAGACGAGACAGCAAAGCCCAACGCGCACACTGCTCCATTCAATCCAACATAAAAGTCCCCGGTGCCTTGAGAGAGAAACGAGAAGGTGACTGGCTTATGTGATCCAAATAGAGCCACAGTTGAGGCACGAACCGATATCTTAAGAGCCCCGACCTTCAACCCGACTTTCTAGCCTGGTCTGAAACAGAAGGCTGTATCTGGGGTCCGAGATCCCTAGACCCTAGAGCATAGCTCCAATATCCGGCGTGAGAAGGCCGTGTTGTCGAGAATGACCAATTCTTCGCAGGAAGAGCGACCTCCCATGAGAGTCGAGTTTCTGGAACCATTGAATGGATAATTCCAAAAGGAGACAGCGCACTGCTCTGGCTGCTAGTAGCAAGTTCGGCCGAATTGCTGGCTGGTTGACTCGCCAGAAAAAAGCACCCGCACACTGCCCGGTCTCAGAGACTAGGAATTTGTAATCGATAAACGGAGGTCTTGGGGTGTTCGTCCGTCCGGCTGATTATAGCCTAAGTTTTGAGCACTTTGCTTCTAAATGCAGAGCCCCCTAACAGCAAAGAACAGCCAAAAATTGAAGTTGTGGACTCTGCAGTCGTGCCAAAAGGATGAGTCCAAAGTGCCCCCAGGTCATCTTCGGATCAGGGTTCTTTGGAAATGCAGAGCCTTTCATCAGCGATGCCGGTCTCGAGGCCACTTATGACCTGATTTCCAAGTATGGGATTAGCCGTCTCGATTCAGCGCAGCTTTACGGGGAAAGCGAAAGGCGGCTGGGAGAGACCAAGTCCGGGGATAGGTTCTCTATTGACACGAAATGGTTGATGGGATGGGGCCCAGGGACGGGGACAAAGGACGGCATTGTTGTTGGTGCAAAGGAGAGTGTGAGGAAAATCGGCTGTGTGGTAAGTGAAAACTGAGACACTATACTCTCCCTGCGCGTTTCCTTCTTTGTAGAAAGAAGACTCTGAGGACTGAGCTCCAGACACTGACTACCACATGCGTCTCCCCAGGTTGACGTGTTCTACCTTCACTGCCCAGATGCTAGCATCGCCGTGGAAGATACTCTGGCAGGCGTGAATGAAGCATACAAACTTGGCCTGTTCAAGCGCTTCGGGCTTTCCAACTACCCAACAGAAGAAGTGGTCAAGATCTTCGACCACTGTAAAGCTCAGGGCTATGTCCTTCCCACCGTCTTTCAAGGCAACTACGCTCCTGTGGCCCGCAAGTTAGAGACTCTCCTCCTACCCACTCTTCGAAAACTCGGCATATCCTTCTACGCCTACTCGCCCCTGGCCGGAGGGTTTTTGACGAAGACGAAGTGGCAGATCACGGAGGGTGCCGGCCGCTTCAACACTAACCACATGGGCGGGATGTACCACCAAATATACCTCAAAGAGTCGTATCTAAATGCTCTGGCCGATTGGGAGGATATTGCACGAGAGCAAGGCTGTTCTCGCGGAGAACTGGCCTATCGCTGGGTTGCCTATCATGGTGCTCTCGAGGCAGAGTGCGGTGACGGTATCATCATCGGCGCCAGCAAGTTCGAGCAGATCGAACCGACTCTTCAGGGTCTGCAGAAAGGAAGACTGAAAGATACCGTTGCCAAGAGAATTGACCAGCTTTGGGGGACTGTTAAACACGAGGCTCCTATGGATGCATTTGCCAAGTAGGATGAAGTCAGTCGAAGTCGATGACGAGCCTTCTAGATACCTTTGCACAGAATCTAAGTAGCTTTCGGCCACTTCTTAGAGCTCTCTATCTGACTGGACCGTTGGGCTCGTTGCCCTTGCGTGACAAAACTGTTCGTAATACTTGCAGTAGGGCATCTTCGGGACGATCAAGGAGTCCCATGCTCCTCCATGCGATGAATCTGTCTGGTCTGACCAGAATGCAGCCGTCTTCTTCAATCTCTCGCACCTTCTCCCACTCGAAGTACACGTCTTCATAGTCCTGCCTGAAGCCGATTGAATAGGCAGCAACTGGAATTCCAAGAGCTTTGCTTGCTTTGGTTGCTGCCTGCTTCCATGGCTCTCCGCCAATGCCGGTCAGGACGGTGAACTGTCCTTTACCAGCCAAGTCGAGCAGTGGTGTGGGCTTCGCAGGAATAGCCTTATTTAGCCAGACGTGAGGAAGACGCGATCCCGGGTACGTCGACTTTGTATGGTCGAGGACGGGATCTCCCTTGAACGATGGCATTGGCCCTTGATCGACTGTGTAGACCGCCGATGATTGATATCGTTGATTCATCTCGATACCCACTCCTTGGAACTCGAACCTTGTTCCGTGGATCGCCTCGAAAAATGCTTTACGACGGTCTCGGCCTGCTGCTGTGGCAGCAGAGAGCTCTCCAAATTCTGCTACCCGTGTGGCAGCATCGGGAGCTAGAATACCCGCAGCTTTCCAGAGAGGGAGGTGATCAAGGTAGCCTTGAAATGCTCTGTGTCACATCAGAAAGATATCTCCCAGGGTTGATGTCAGTACATACCGGTCAACAATAGCTTCGCCCACAGGCTGCCGTTCCTTGTCATATGAATCCAGCAACTCCGGCCCGGCAAGACCTTAGGAGAGGTTAGCCTGATAAAGTAATCACGCAATGTCGGCACCCACCTTTCAGAACGTAGGCAATCTTCCAGGCAAGATTATATGCATCTTGGATGCAGGTATTAGAACCTAGGCCGTTGGACGGTGGATGTCTATGGACAGCATCGCCGAGGCAGAACACATTCCCCTTCGAGTACTTTTCGGCGACGATATCGTTGATCATCCACTTGCTGATGTTCAAGATTTTGACTTCGACGGAATCATCGCCGATTATTTGTTTGATTCGCTTCATCCACTGCTCTTCGGTGGGCGGGGGATCAGGTTGATATCCTTGCACTGGAAACATGATGAAGACCCATTCGTACCATGGCTTCACCATGCGAGGAAATCCGATCCAGGCAAAGTCAGGATGGTCGATATCGTGCTGGTAACACCAGTGCAAGTTTCCCTTTCGGTACTGGACATGCTTGCTAAGATCTGCCTTGACGAGTACGTTCCATGCGAGACCTCCTCCAGGCTTTTGCTTGAGAGGCATTCCAAGTTGCGTGATGATTTTGCTTCGTGCACCATCTGCACCAAAGAGGTATCTGCACCGTATTGTGTAAAAAGAGTTAAAGACGATGTCTTTTACCAAGACGTCAACAAAATCGCCCTTGTGATGGTCCTCGAAACTGACAAATTCGGTGTTGAAGCGACATATGAATCCGCTCGTCGTTGCCTTGCGCACGAGGATAGGTTCCAGCTGAGTCTGTGGGAGATCAACCGGGTCGCAAGGACTGCATTCCTTGTATTTGGCTTCCAATGCTGGACCGTTTCCCCATGAGTAGAGTCGTGCGTACTCCTCTCCTGCCATGCTATATCCCCACAGGGTATGCATCATGCTCTCCTTTGGGCTGGCCAGCTTGCGGCATTCATCCTCTAGATCAATGTCGCGGAGACATTCTAGATCGACAGCGTCAGACTCATACACATAATTGACTTTAAATTGGGGAAGCCTATACCCAGTGCTGCCATATTCGTAATATGGGCTCGCGGTGTTTCTGCTGTTGTGGATGTCGCTCCAATCATGATACCTTTGATCCCTGGCCGATGTCAGTTTGACTGCTTCAAGGCTGCCTCTGACCATTTACCATATGATCCAAGGAAAGAAGCAACAGAACCTCCGGAAGGTCCAGTGCCTACGACGACGACTTCAGTTTCGAAGTCCGGCCGGGACGAATCCTTGTCGAGGGGTCCTTCGCTCGCCATGCCTGCAGAGACAATGTGACTCTTGAAGTACTTGCTGTTTGTAAGCTCGTTGAGGGGAGTAACAGGAGCATATTTGCTTTATCCATCACAAAATATTCGACGGTATCGTCGTCCCAGATGCCGGGCCTCCACTACAGGATTAGCAAAGACAGTGAAAGATATGCAGGTGGAAGTATGGCGCAGTCTGACGGCCTTTGGCCACGGCATTGGCGAGTGCCGGGCATTGTTTTGTGAGAGTAATCCCGGAACTTACCGCGGTTTGATGTTACCAGGCAAGCAAGCTAGACATTGTTGACCGCTACCAGCGTGCGGCTCGGATGAGACTGAGTATTTTCTTAGTCGATTTGTTGAACACCAGCATTTGTGAGGGAGTTGAGAAACTCGCGGAACCCCTTTCGAGGGTCGCGCCAAGCAGTATGCGAAATCTACTCAACACATGGAATAGACATGGAAATCTATATTCCAAAAATATGTTTCATGTCGTCAAGACGTATAGGAGCGACCACTATAGCCATCTCTTATTGCCCAGATGAGAGATAAATGCCCCTGCGTCTCCGCTTTCTACGCTCTTCTCACTCAAAACCTTCAAGAAAAAATCGACCGATTCTCGAGTATTCAGCAGCTTTGTGTAACTCGGTTCATATTTATTGAACTTCAGACCCTGTTCATGGCAGCCTTGCTTATTGAGTAAGCCACAGCCATATCCATATCCAGCTCGTTAGTAAAGTCAAGGTCGCCCATGCCACTGGATATTGCGATAACCTTTTCGAAAGCTCCTTTTCGTACCAGGGGAATGAATGCTGCAGTCGCGTTGATGGCCCCGATAACATTGATATTTAAACAATCGTACAAGTCCTTGTCGAATACTTCCACCAAATCATAGCTATTGGCGAATAGGGCAGAGTCAGCACTTCTCCTGAGATTAGATTATATGCTCGTGGGGGAATTCAACCAACTAATCTTCCAATGTTCGAAAAGCGGCGGGCTTTGCTATTAAGCCAGCATTGTTGATAAAAACATCCACACCTTTTCCGCCAGTAATCTGCTTGGTTTCCTTTGCTGCTTTCTGGGAATCCGTTAGCCCCTTTACACCCAACTTCGCGTCTAATGGCGAAGGCCAAAGAAAGTTGTAGGCCGCAGACATACCAGTAAAGCGTTGCGATCGGTAACGTCAGCCTCAATCACATGGATATTTTGAACACCATCGTCTGCAAGTTCTGCCTCTGTCTCTTTCTACCCCAGCACCAAAGCAACAATGATGTTGTCCGGACACTCTGAGAGTTTGCGGACGAATTCGTACTATTCCGTGCATTCAGTGGTTAGTCCGCAGTTTGATAGAATACGTCAAGAGAGCTCCATGCCTCTATACCCCGATCTGCTCCAGTGATCACATAGCGAGGCATTTTTCTCGCGAGATATTGTTGAACCTATACCAAGGATGAGGTGAGGTCCATTTCGTAATGTGACAGCAGAGTCCGATAATAGTGGAGAGGAGTGTTCAGGCCCGTCCGAAATCTCGCTCCAAAGATAAAGGTTCGCACAAGCCAGTCCGTGCGCAAACAGACGCCTGCTAATACTGAAAAATGGAATAGGTAGATCGATTCACAACAAGGAATGAGCGTTTCAGTTGCTCCAGCACAGAAAGCCGTATGCGGCATTCGGAGGACCGGTGGACAATCACGTCGTGATTGTTCGGGAATCTCCCAGACATCGTCCGAGATTCTGTGAGCAGTACTCCAAGCCGTGGTTATCGGCTAGTCATCCAATACAGTGGTCGACCAGGAGATAGGCTTCTTTCACCTATCTCCTCCCACATGACAAACCTCATTGTGGGACAAACATAAACAATCAGATATAACCTAAAGAGCTCCATAAGCAGTAGGTACTTCTCACCCCGCCCAACACTTGATACTCCGCTGACAAACTTGCTGTGCAGGCTATTGCACCAGTTAGAGGACAAAACGAATATATGTCGCTGGCAATGCTGCATGTTTCAGAATTTGTCCATATCTCCAAGGGGAGGCAAACGTAAAATCCAGGGAAATGCCATCATACGTCGTGACCGGAGCTAGTCGAGGGATTGGAGTAAGCGAGTTCTTCCAATTGCAATTCTACTCGAAATGCTGACCACAGAGTCAGTGTGGCTTCATCCAGTATCTCTCTCGGGATTCAGAGAATGTTGTAGTTGGCCTAGTCCGAGACAAGGTCGCGATAGACCGAAGGATTCAAGAGGATAGCTTGACAAATGTTACAATCCTCCAAGCCGATATTACCGACCGTTGTGCTCTAATCGTTGCTCGAGATGTTGTCGAATCCCTGACGGGCGGCTCGCTCGACTACCTGATCAACAATGCAGCGTATGTGTCCCACCTTACGACAGGGAAATTTCTCAATGAGTTCGAAAGCGACCCGACACTGCTAGTCGATGACATAAAGACAGCGTTCACCACGAACGTCGTCGGAGTCATCAACACCATCAATGTCTTCTTACCCTTGATCCAAAAGAGCCATATCAAGAAAGTAGTGACGTTGAGTTCTGGAATGGGGGATCTTGACTTTGTCAATGAGCTTGGTATCTGGGAATCAGCACCATACAGCATGAGCAAAGCGGCCGTCAACATTGCGGCTGCCAAGCATAGTGCTCGATATCAGGAAGATGGAATCCTGTTCATTGCCATTTCTCCCGGGGTGGTTGATACAGCGGCAGCTGCAGGTGAGTAGCTCCCCAAGATTCATTTATTCAATGACTGATACTTAACCCTCTCAAGCGCCTGGGATAGAAGGGCTCGTTCGGAAGTTTTTGAAAGCGGCACCTAACTTCCCGGGTCCAATGACACACCTTGAGTCTGTCGAACAAATTTTAAGCGTGGTGAACTCAAAAAGGGTCGAAAATGGTGATGGAGGAGCTTTTATATCCCACCGCGGGGACAAGACATGGTTCTAAGCCACGTTGAGACATAGCTGTGATAGCATGAATGTGAAGCCAACCAAAATGTCGGCAAGTTCTCGACAACCTCTTCGATGAGACTGTTCTGCCACCGTCCTTTAGTAAACTAGTGGTGAGTCCTAACTTTCCTATCGAGGTCGCGGTCTGGTGACTCTCGAGCAGCGTAGCAGCTCTTTCGAAGGATATGAAAGAAGTTTCAGATGCATATCCAACATTCTGGTGTTGTATTTGTAAAGTCGACGGAAAAGGGACTCGTGGTGTAGAAGCCCTTCAACCATAATTGCGCCAGGCCCAATCGTCAGTCTTTGCGCATTTGATTGAAACAAATTGCGAGCTTTAGCATGGTCCCTTAGTTTCACGAGGTTTGTAAACATATTCCTGGTGTGAACCCAGACTCGAGACGGCGACAATGGCATCCGCCAGCTAATCATATGTAGTATTCACTGAAGGTGAGGTGGAGTAGGTCTCTGAAGGGTGTTACCATTGGTGAGATAGTCGGGGCTCTCCAACACCGCATACGGTGTTTCTGGCAACTCCGGATTCCACAACGGCTACCCCGAACACCGCGCATAGACCAAACCAAATTTGCATAGTATATGTACTATGAGAACTCTTTGTGTGCATTCCCGCCGACAACTTGCTACGACATCTTTCAACATCTCCCTTGTTCCGTTTGTTCTCAGTGAGATAGACTTTTCTGAAGCGCACGCAAGCAGCCATGGCGAAAGGACTTGGCCACCCCGATTTTCAAGCGTTCAGACCATACGACTTCAAAGCCGCAAATGAGGATTATATGGCAAATGTCTTCTCCAAGCCGAACATGACTGTGGGAGCAAAGTCTCGCGTTGGCATAATCACATGTTGTGATGCAAGATGCAGTCCGGACCAATTTTTCCGCTTTGGCGAAAACGAGGCTTTTGTCATTCGCAATGGAGGTGGAAGAACTGCAACCATGGATGTTCTTCGAACAATTGCCAGTATCGAAGTATTAAGTGACATCAAAGAGTTGAAGGTCATTCATCACACAGGTATGCACTGCATGAATGACAGATCAAGGAACGCTTCGCTCATGTCGACACAGACTGCGGCGCTTTAGCATGCTCCGACGACTGGATCCGATCAATGATATCGAAAAACGACCCAAGCATGAAAGACGGACCATTCCTGGCGGGATCGAAACAGTGGGCGGAGGCGTTGACCTACTATGCATTTTCGTGGGAAGAGGGGGAAACGGAAAGAGAAGTGTTGGAAAGAAGCGTGGTAGAGGACGTCCAATTTTTGAGGAGCCACCCCTTGATTAAGCCGTCGATCCCAATCACAGGTTGGATCTTCAATCAAGAGAACGGTGCGGTGGAAGAGGTCGACTGCGGGCTGCAAGATGGACGCGATCCTCGCCTGATTGAACTGCTCAAAGAGCAGCTTTCCAAGACTTTGAATGGAGAGATGAAAGGCGTCATTGCAAGCATCGGCAAGACCGCCCACTGATAGACGGTATAAGACGCAGATGCTTCTTCACCCATATAACTGGCTCTCTGCTGCATGTTCTTCTGGGGCGCTTATGATATCTGCGACCTTTTTCTGCCAGCAACAATGAAAAATCACTGCGGGATAGTTCGTACCATCGTCTCGGAGCATCTTTATTCCCTTTTTTTTTCTCCGCATGATCTTGTAGGCTGTCCAGCTTGTCTTTGGATGAACGTTTGGACTCCGGTCGGAATGCTGCAATGGTCAGCTGAGAAACAGGTCTCCGTACAGCTCCATTGTTGCCCGACCAGGTGGATGGAATCTTGAAATCAGTGGATATAGTACCTCAAAACACGCACTCAAGTGTCTTTGCCTGCTCAGACAGACTCTCGGCTAGATTTTGGGGGTATAAGCTCCGCAAACAAGTCCACAACATATTGTGAATTGGTGTCCTTATTGCACAGACCAGCGCAGCCATTCTGCCAGAAGAGGGTCTAGGAGAGATATTCTGGATGACTAATGATTCGCGCGTCAGGATCCCATTTCCCTCTCTTTCCAGCTTTTGGACGATCCACGCTCCTCTCGAGAAGTCCCACAGCAGCAACGCATTCTTAGGGATCCTCACTCCTATCATCAAGGATGCGTCCAGCACATTCATAACTCTTGTCCATCATCAAAGCGCGTGCATGAGAAGCATCTGGACGACTGTAGGACGCGACAGTTGAGGCTAAGACCACCACTGGTTCTCTCGAACGAAGTAAGATTGCTGATGTACGTATCGAACCATGGAACACGCTAATCCCCGCAGCGAAGAGGCATTGTGCTGAAGAAATTTAAGCATGAGCTCGGCCACAGAAAGACTGGATGATGTTTGTGCGCACCCTTAAGCAGCAGGAAATCAAAAGGGGATCGAAATCTCCTTAGACAGCAACACGTGCTGCACGTGGCACCGTGTGAATATTGGTCTAAAGCAGGCAAGCGGCAAAGTTTCCAAATGGATATCTCCCATCCACATCGTTTGACTTCGTCGTACTCAATTGCTTCAACTCGGCCCTGGTTTTCCATCACTGAAGCGTCGATGTTGCTCGGTGAGAAGTCCCAGCAGGGAAACAATGATCAGCCTAACCACATCCACAACTTGAACGACTGTTCTTCCCTCCCCATCTGGATGCCTCCTGCTCGCTGCAAATGGCCCAAGAACGCTCTGCATGAGTTAGAAAGAGGACAGCAGAGCTCGATCAAGCAAAACGTGATTTATTATCTGGAAACACACGCATCGCCTTCAATCTATGATGACCCCTCGGAAGCTTTCATGTAGGAACCATCCATTGGTCTGGGGTGCAAGATGTGAGACTCATGGAGGTTGAGCTCGCAGCCTCTACGCTGGAAGTGAGAAGCTATCTGATGGACAGAATATCCAGCTCGTCTTTCATTTCGGCCTACCTGACTTGGATTCTGTCCTCCTTGTGAAAGCGGTGAGTTGAAATCATCACAAGGTCAAATAGGCACAGTCAACATTTGCTTTATGCGTGATTCCGCCCTGGCTGCAAGGTCGTCTATGAAACAAGCAACTCGTCTTTCTTTCACCAGTCCAGGCTGTCAGAAATCTCGTTATCCTGTCTCTCGAAAATTCTTCACCGAGGCTGAATATCTACCTGATTTCGCCCACCGTCGAAATCCCAGAGACGACCAACTGCTCTTTACTCGGATCTAGCTCATCTCAGCTTTGCCAAAGACATGGACTCTCGCAAGGAACAAGAAGCTGGCCGACAGCGCATGAGAGATCTATTTGAGCAGAGAGAACTAGACCGTGGTAGTCTCAGACGCAAACATATATTCAAGACTCCGGAAGAAGAGGCCAAGCAGGCAAAAATGAGACTCACTCCCAACGCGCAAGCCAGAAGACAGCGAGAGCTGACGGCAACCCGTGGAGCAGCCCCTGTATTCAATGAGAATATCTGGAGCGGTGAGAGACGCGGACCTTCCCATGGAGAAATACGTTCAGTCAGTCCCCGAACTCGGGTGGATGAAGAGGAGGAACGCGCTATGGGCAAAGACAAGGGTGACGTGAAGAAGAGCTCTGTCAGCGACGGTCGGGCCAGGGGGTCGGGATCATCGTATAACGGGAAAATGAACGACAACAAATTCCCTAAATCTGCCCCGGTCGCCAAAAAGAAGTCTTCTTGAGCCATTTTCTCTGCTGGTAAGTGATTCTGAGCACACGTGGACTCTGACTTTCAACACTCCCTGCCTGATTCTGAAGCTAACGACCGACCTTTCCAAAGTTATCACCGAACGACCGTACAAACGTCTCCAGATGAACGTCTCGATGTCTATTGTTCCAGTCGTTAAAGACGGAATGCTAGCTTCCTCCTGGAACAACACATGCTCCGCCTCTTGAGGGGATCAACTTCACATGCATACTACATGAGCCGAGCTTTGCCCATAGAGGATTTTGCCCCAGGAGGCGACATTCTGGAATCAGGACACTCAGTGATCGACCGTCGTATCAAACCCAACCAAATGCCGGGGATTCAAGATACTGCTTAATAGCCATGGGTCGCCGGAAGCCGAGGATCACTCACGCCTGCCTCTCTCTCACAAGAGGAAGCACGACCTGGGACGAAGTGAATTTGACGGAGGGGGAAAAGGTCTTGAATCGTTTCATTAAAAAGAGTTGGTCGCCGTTCGCCGTTTGTGCGTTTTGAAATAGAAGGGCTTTCAAAGGTATTTGAAAAGAATTCCTGGAACCATTCTATCTCGTTCTCATCAAGCTCCTTTTTTGTGTAAATTGGTTCTTTCCCCTTTTGTTTCGAATTCATTCTTCAGTCCCCACAAAGTACTGCGGCGGACAAAGCTGTCCGCCCGCCCGATGAAACCATACCCATGGCTTTGCCGGAACGAAACCCTTGCCAGGGCTTCCACGATGACTGATAACATCCACCTAGAACGACGACAAAGGAAAGCCTGTGCACAAACTCCAACAATGGATGTGCCATCCCAAGGGTATCCAGCGATCCACCCGCCAGGCCGAAGACCATATCCGTTTGACCCTTGATACCCGCCAAATCACGCCAAACAGTGTTCCTGATGATAGAAAACACACAATGAGAAACAATGAGGTTCCCATACTTGCCTTTCTCCATAATCATGCGTCCACCATATCGTTCCCCCAAGCGGAGGCATACTTGGAAAAGTTGGACCTGCTCAGCCTCTAGTCTCCATCTTCATCCTCGCCCTCACGTCCCCTCTTCGATCCTCTCTTCTCATCCTTCTGACCCTCCTCGATCATCATGAGAAGGTCGCTGACATAATCCCTTAATGTCCGACTCACACTCAATACATGAAAGAGTCCGTGCCTATGAGCCGCAAATAATTGCTCGTTCAACCCGACCCCATCCTTCTCAAAGGGTTGGCCATGTCTGCTGGCATATCGCGCCAAATTCCGTAGAATCATAACGCTCATCCAGGGTATCCCGCAGGGATGGCCGGTTTGATCCGTCGCTGTGTAATGCCATTCATGCGTCACCTGGATGGGGTCTGGATCTTTGACGTCTTGCGCCAAGTGGTGGATGATTTTGGACTGTTCGCTTGCCGCCCTGGGGATGTGCATTTTGAAATGAGGGCCAATCTCGTTGCTCTTTGTTAGTGCAGATTGTCGTCCGCAACCTGTCCACCGACAGATCCACGTTTCACCAGATTTTGGCATAAAGCGTCCTTCAGGCGTCTTCTCGATCTTCAGATGGTCTGTCATGATGTGATTCCATAGAGTTTCACGTTTTGTATGCCAAACAGGACATATATTTCGCGGATGGACTTGGCCATTCTGGTCCTGCATATCCGAGCGAGTCATATCCCACAGACATTTAAACAGAGGTCGACCTTGAAGATCGACTAGAATCCTCCGAGCCTTGATCCCCTTGATGATGAATCTTGGGGTTGGACCATTAATCACTTGGGCCTGGGCGGAGACGAAGGTATTTGACACATTCTTGATGAAGTCGGCCGCAGGAACGGGATTGTTCTGCGCAAATTTGCCCTGATATGCTTGCCAAATGGCGATTTGGGTGATGTCGTCGGTCGGAGACTCTTCAAAGCAACACCGTAGCCACCTTGACGAGCGTTCGGGCTCCACAAATTGCAGAAGATGCGCATGCACTTCGGGTGGAATGATTGGGATGGCGGCTGGAATTGGTGCCACTTTAGGCGCCGGTTTCGCCGCGACGGGTTCTTCGTGCTTGATTGACTGGTAAAGGAGAAGACTCGTAAGGCGCGAAATGATATTTGGTAAAAGGTGGAAAGAATTAGCGAGCAGTTCCGTATTGTTCTCGGGAATCGCTGTGTATTCGTAGAGAAAATCGAGTGACGTTTCGAGAAGTTCGTTGTCGTCAAGAAGGGTGAATGAAAACAATCGTTCGACTGTCGAAAGAGGTACATCAGTGAGACGATGTGCATCAGGCATTTCGAGGCCAATTCTGTTGATTGACCTCAAGGCTGAAATTAACATACCTCGGTCTTCGGACTCGAGGTATGGAAGAAGCGACTTGTACAACGGGTCTTCAGGTTTCATTTCCCAGTACCTGGTGACTTGCTCTGTGATTTCGAGAGCTGACTGCTTGAACTCGACGATTCTAGGTTGGTGTGGAAGTGAGAGGGCAATCGTGAGGAAGTCCTTGAAGAGGGGGAATTTTTGGATAAAAACCGCATTCTCCTCGAGGATCACCATATTGCGGAGGACGAGGATAGCCTCCTTCAACTTCTCCAATCTCTCTGAAAACTCGGCCGATTCCAAGTCCTTATCCAAGACCCTTGGAGTGACAGCTTGTATGCGTTGAAGCAAGTTTGATGTTCCAAAGGCTGCATTCAGGGTGTTGATCGGTTGGCCTTCGTCATCTTCATCATAGCTGATCTCCCATTTGACACCACAGATCAGTTGGGTGATCTCCAGCGCCTTCTCGAGCAGACCCTCTGCGAGGAAGGGAAATCCTTCGAATTTGTACTTATCGCCGCGCTCGAATGACACCTTGACCAAATGGTGTAAAGCAAAGTCCTGCTCTTCCTGAATTCCTGATCGCAAACCTAAAAGGCACCTTAAGTAGATATTCGGGCCACTCATAGCCGTCGGAATCGATGATTTGAGGAACTGCTGCGGTTCGGGCAGGGACCGAGGCATGCTTGCGGCTTTGAGATGGGCCTTGCGAGCGTAGTACAAGGTGTCATTTCCAGGGGTGTGAACTTGTCGGAGGGTCAATGCGACCGGTTGTCGTGGCTCGTACCTATCAAACCAGTCGTAACTTGGGGTGCGCGGGTCATTTGAGGTGTTTGTGTAAGGCTGTTGCGAGGGCGGCGGCACAGAGGGAGAGTCAGTTGCGCGGACATTGCGACTGCGCGGAGGCGCAGTGTCGGGCTGGAACATCTGCGTGCGCTTAGGGTCTTGTCTCAGTTGACCTAGAGTAGTCGCGTTAATGGAGGGAAAGGTAGAAAGATGTTGGTGAGATGGTGGTGAGAAGACATACGGGTGGGATATCTGCTTGCGCTTCCTTGCTCTTCGAGTTCGGTCTTTTCGCGCTTGGGCGTCACTTGCATGTCGTCTTCAGTGGACTCTGCCCCTGCTCCCCCAGCGTCCGCCATCGCAGACTCGATTGCCCCTCGATAGCTAGGTGGAGGATAGTTTTCGCGCGTCCGGGTTCGCAGGTCGCCGCCTTTTGCACTGACGTCCTCAAGGATGTCCCTTGGCGGCGGCTCTTCCCCCCAAAATGTGGCAATTTCGTACGCCCTGTTCACAAAGCAAAGTCACGGGAGTGTCAGTGAATAGTGTACACAAGGAAAAGAAGACGTGTTTGGTGTCACTCTTGGTCACTCACGCTAGATTCTTGTAATATACCGTTTTGAGTTGAAATGTCATGACGGCCTCGTGGGTTTTGCCAAAGCCAAACTCCTTGACGAGGGTCCTCCATTGCATTCGTTCTGAAGACACGGCATCATATCCGCCTCTTTCCATGACCAGTCTATATAGCTTGTGCAAGGAGATGGGCCGGCCACTAACTTTGCCCTCGCGGTCGAAGGGGGTTCTGTTGCAAGGATCGTTCTGTCAGCGTGCGTACCGTATGGCTTGTGGTCTCGCGGGAATGTACGCACCCTCGTTGCTCGTGAAACGCGGCAACATCATTGAGAAACTCCTCCTCGCTCTCGATCATCCTACCGGGCGGAGTGGCCATCTTGGTCTTCGCTGGTCGAGCGTACTCGGGTCGAAATATCACCGGGAAATATCTGCTGGATCGGTCTCGGTCATGGCGGCGCCGTGGCGTCAACGAGGGGAGCAAAGATGGTGGCGAGGGGAGGGGGGAGCAGAGGATTGAGGTGAATTGGAAGCGATGTCGAGAATTTCAACGAAGTGATGCTGGTGCACTGCGCTTTTGCAGTTTGCAGTTGAGCAGTTAAGGCGCACTGGGCGCATTCACTCTTCTACCCAGTGCCCTTCACTTTTCTCGGCTCCCGCCGCTCGGATCACCATTCCCGAACTGGCTGCCGCAGTCACTAACCAAAGTGGTACGTACCGAGTACACGGTACTTGGTACCTGAACTCCCAACCTCGAAACGCTCCATCGTCCTCGCTTCCATCATATTCGAACCACTGTCACACACTGCTCAGGGCCATATTCCTGGCCACCTCTATATCCCTGCTTGCTCAAGCTACCACTTCCCGTATCTTTCATGGTAATGTCCTGCTGTAGTTCTGCTGAGTTATGCCGCAATGCCTTCTCAAGGATCTCAACTACTGTCTCAATCATCTTCCTTGTGCCTTCCTTTGCTCAAATTCTCTTATGCTACGGTGTCTAATGAAAGTATCGCTCCTATACCATGGATCCATCTCTCCAGCAAGGATGCTCTCTTTGCCATCTTTGAAAGCAGCCCTGTTCAACTGGAAGACGGTCGGACTGAGGAGAGGCAAAAATTCAAAGTCTTACAAGATCCTGAAGTCATGGTACAGGGAACCGCTTCAGAATCGCTCTTTGGTCATTGCGGACAACGCTCATCAGCTTACAGGAAGAACTGGACCTCAATGCGTTGTCGGTCGAGGCCCATCGTGCTCTAATTCAAGCCCCAGCCGCTACGACTGTCAATGTCCCTCACGTCGCCATCATTGTCAAAGTGCCTATGATTGCTATCAAATATCCCATGCCCAATGGACAGGTGACAAACTCCCATACCCAAGCCTTCAATACTCACTAGTCTCTAGATCCGACGTTTTCAGATTCGCTTCTCCAAAAACGAAGACTATTATGAAGCTATGAAAATGCTTTCGCGGGCTAATGTGCCTACCGTCGAAGCCGGTACCTTTCCAGCTCATAAGCCACAAGCAGCCCCAAGATCAGCTGCACCCAGCCTGTTAGCACCTAGTGACTCTGCCTCTCAAGTTGGATTGTCAATAATGGGGCAGAGGAACTACGATGACATGTCCGCACTCTCGCTGTCTCGGCCAGCGGCAGCAGCTCAATCCGCAATGCCTCCGCCGCAGATGTTTCTGGCACCTGCACAACCGGCACAATATCCTTCGCGTGTACGGCCACTAGCTGATGGGGACTCGCATACAGCCTATGTGTCGGACCTCGGACCTGGATATCCCAAATCTAACATTTCACTCAGTACCGCCACGACTCTCGTTCCCGAGAAACAGCAGCTCAGATTCCGTGCTACACAACCCCCACCAGGGCCCGAGGACGGTGTTGGCGTACGCAGCCAGCAATCGACCAGAGTGTGTCAGCAGCACCTCGGGTTTCAAGCGCCTCGAGGCGAAACAGGCCTAGGATTTCGTGGAGGGCAATTGGTACCGCAGATAACAAGACCTGAAGTCAATGATCAGATCTGCTCTATGCCTGCAGGTGGCAATGCCGATTCTGCTAGCAAAAAGGCGAGAAAGTGTCGACAGCCCACGAGTGTGGAAGCGAACGACTCAGAATCTACCACCACCACAACCGCAAAGGGTAGGGGAAGGCGAGGGGTTGCCAACAAGGCCGCAAAGACTCCAGCAGTCAAAAAGCCACGAACTGCCGCAACACGTAAGAAGACCGCCGCAAACAAACCTCAAAAAGACAAGCGAGTGCCAACCGTTGATGAATTACTTCAACAACCGGGATACAGTTTGCTCCCAGACAGCGCGATCACTGAGCCCCGAAGCTTTCCGTGTGCGCAAAATAACCTAGCAGAATCCGACCAGACAAAGGCCCTGGAGATTGCCGAAACAGAGTACCATGCGGACCAGCCCCGAACCCAGGGTAGCCCATGCCTCGGCGGCACAACGACCAGGCATATAACTCGTTCTGCATCTCGAGCTCTTTCAAGCGTTCCGATACAACACGCCGCAGGGGACGACGGAGATGTCTACAAGGCCGCCCCTCCGCCATGTACGCCGGCAGACCAGATCATTACCAACGCTCCAACTCCAGCATCGCCAGTAGCTCAGGCACATACTACTGCCGCTCTTCCTCAACCTATGTGTCTTTCGCACTCAGGAGAGCCAGAAGCTGCGCCAGATTCGCAAGCAGCACAAGCTCCACCTCTTCCTGTAACCGATGACGTCCTCCTTGGCCTTGCTCAAAAGTGCCTTTCTGCAGACCCGGCCTTCGACCTCTGCTCCGCCCGCTCCCGCCTTGAGGCCTGGCTCAATCTACCCGAGCCAACACAAGCGACGGCATTGAGGACCTATTTCTGTGAGTTAATTATGACGGATGGGTTTAGCCAATTGTGCAAGAGCGTCGACCTGTTTTGGGAGGGCGCCATTTTAGAGGGGAGGATGATGAAGATGACAACGGCGGCGGCGGCGGAACCCAGTGCAGGAATCGAAGCAGACCAAGAAGAGGTTTGATTTGAAAAAAAAAAAAAAAAAAAAAAAAAGAAAAGAAAAGAAAAGAAAAACACGTACAGCAGAATTGGGGCCGTGCCGGGGAGACGAAGACAAACGGGGGCACTCAAAACCCCCCCAAAAAAGGAAGGTGAGCACCACCCAAGACCCGGGGCCATGCATGCATCCATGCACTCGCTACTTCACTCTAGTAAAAGGAAGGATTTGAAAATTTGCCAAAAGAAAGGAAGGAGGCCAGAAGAAGGAATTTATTTGCCAGAAGAACTTGTGTGTGTGCGCAGAGGAAGCAACAACGGACGCAATGCAATGGCATTTGATTTTACAGACTGCTGTTCGCCTTAGACCTGGACCTGGAGGTGGTGGGCCCGAGGACGTACGTGTTAATAGGGGATGATCTGGCCTTTGGGCTTTGTGTGGGAAGAAGAGCAGTATTCCACTCAATGGTACTTACTTAGAACTACTTCGCACCTATGTAGCAATAGCTACCTAAGGATGGATGGGGCATTCAATGTCTGATGTCTACCATGAGATAGATGACGGCAGTTATGCATGGAATTCAACCAAGGTCATACGCTTCTTGCGAGTTGAGACATCCATGTTAAGGAGAGGAAGATAAGTATGTCAATTCAGTGGACAGTAATCTATTCATGGTGACTCGATCAATTCCTCTCAAGCTATCATCTATCTATGCGGTAGAGAAAGCGCTCCTCTGCCATAATCTATCGACCTGCTCATGCTGATGCTCGTAACACGGATCATTTGTGTGGCGCACAAGGTAAACAGCGAACGGGTCACATCACCTTCTGCTATGCTAAGTTGCGGCAGTAAGGACAGTGAGAGATGAGAGTGGTGGTGATGCCCAAGCCCCTCCCATTTTCTTTTGATGCTTTCGCTACCAGTCGAAACATCTGTAGCAGCACCAATAGCCATAGCCTGCCCAAGTATTCGAGCCATGAGAAAGAAACCCAACATACACAGCACAGATACGTTAGGTCGGAGAGAGAGCACAGCAACCAAGAAATACATTGCTTGAGAGCTGATTCGAGAAAAGCGAGAGCTTGCTGAAGAGAGAGATCAACAATCGTGAAAAGTCGGAGGTTTGAATGTGTCTGCATTTTTTGTCTCATTGAGGCGCCGCAGAAGTGGCTTTGCTCGTACAGCGCCTCCTGCTCTGCAAGTTGACACGTACACAAGGTGTATTGAAAAGTGGAAAGGAAAAGGGTGGTCGTGGCTGGACCAATGCGCGCTCCGGCGGTGTCGTCGTCTCCGCGCTCCAACGCTGAAGGTCGTCTTAAACAGTAAAGGAAAACGCCATGTGCGAGGTCCACCCAACCAGGATGCTGTCACCAAAGCTATGAGCTGGTATAGCGCAATGATGCACGCACAAAAGAACAGGTGAAAATTCTGGGGTATAGCTCGATAGGAGCTCAAAAAGCGAATATCGCTATCAGGTTGCGTCCAAACCTCATCTCATCCGACGCCCAAGATGACCCCCTGAAAGATGATGAAACACCGTTCCGAACGCCGGGCTAAAACGCAATTGAAGTTGAAGAAGAAAGAACACCGCTAATATGACAGCATTCGGTGGTTGCGAGTACGCAAGACGTCAACCCCAGGTCTTGGTCCAGCAACAGGGGTATACTGCAGGCCTATGTCAAGGTCCATATCGCTATCCAAGTTTCTTCGGCCCATGGCAGTGGGACTGGAGTCAAGAGGTGAATGTTGGCCAAAGGCGAAGGTCTGGGCTCGAAGAAGTTTGGATCTTTGTTTCACTTTCCCGAGACCACGCTCGCAGTCAAGAACGTGTTCCTTTGCATCCATTTCGACATAGTTCTGAGGGTAACATCGCGATTGATAATCCTTGAAAAAGGTGCTATAGCCACCATCTAGTATGTAGGCTTCGGGGTATGTGAGTGCCGGGTAGCGATCAGCATTGACGGCCCGGTCTTTGTTGCGGATGTACTTGGCCATAAGAGGCGCTCGATGAGCAGAATATTCACAGTGAAAGATAAGAAGGGCTCTCGGGGTAGGCTCGACGTCGAAAAGCTGCGCTGACAGCTTTTCCTTGTCGTTGAAATTTACAGCACCTTCAATATGGCCGCCGTCATACTCGTACTCGAATCTGCAGTCAATAATGACTCTCTTCTCATACAGATGATCGAAGCGACCGTCTAGAACTGAGACCATTGTCTCCTTTGTTATCCTAGGCAGGCAGCCGGTTTCACCTTCCGGCGTGAAGTGGGGTAGCTGAGGAACATGAGGTGCCTCAACGTCCATGATTGAAGGCAGTAACGGGGGAGGGCTGAGTCGTTCTTTTTCTTGTCTCATTATGTCTTCCGGGTGCTCAAACATGCTCAGCGATCGTCGGAATTGCTTTCGGGGCCTCACAAGAGGATTGGAAGTTTTTCTCATGTGATTTCCGACAGGGGACCCATTGCGAGACGAATGTCCAGAACCAGAGAGACTTGGACGGGATCGAGGAGGAGCAAAGGCCGGCGCACCTAACCTTGGGGCCAACTTCTCCTGGCTGGGCGAGTCTGCAAATATCTCGGATAGTGACAGCGAGGAGGATGTTGCAGGTTTGCTCGAATAGTTGCTATTGCCGAATCTGAACGGCGGTAGCTGACTTTCGGGCGCAGGTCTCTGGGACAGACTGCCGGTACTGAAGCCCTTAGCTCTGGTTAATGACGGCCGCAGAAAGCCTTGTTTCCGTCTGTCTTGAGGGAGGTTGATCTGGAATGACTCGGTAGGCGAATCGCAAGACGGTGAAGGTATCGACAGTAACGAAGTATCAGTGGGCGTCAGGTCCGGGGTCGGTGACTGGAGCTGAATTGCCACTGTGCAGAAGGGCATTTTGTGCGGCAGGGGTGAGATGTCCAAATCCATGTCCATCATGTCATTTGGTGCGGGAGAGGAAGACGGTATAGGAGGTGTGGTGAGGGTTCCTTTTATTTTTGACAACGTCAATTGGGAGATTCGTTCACCAACGACAACCCTGTACTCACTGTGGCCTTCTTGTGCAAACAAGCTGTTGGGAAAGAGTGCCCTCCGAGGGGTGGGTAGTTGCGGACTGAGCACTAGTTAGCATTGAGGTGAACTGTTTCTGTCATGGCAGGCTGGATGCAGACCTCTGGTCAATGTGGAAATTCTGTGAAAGATCGGCAGCCAGGCTGGCGGTGGGTGAAGACCCCCGAACCGATTTGAGGCTGAAGTAGTCCGGTTTTGGCTTCTTCATTGACAGATCTCTGAAGTTGAAGCTGTTTGTGCCAAAGGATTTGGCAGCCGCAAACGACGCAAAGGACGTAGGCCCGTCTGCTCTGTAGCCACCACCGCAATGGCCCATGAACGTTGGAGGCTGCATTGCCGCCAACGGTGACGAAGCCTCAATCATGTCGCCGAATACGAAGACGTTGACTCAATTGCTCCCTCTTATATTTCCATTGACCAGCCACCCTTCTAGAAAGGCCGTCGGTGAACGGTACCACCGAGGGTGCTGTCTGTTTGGATCTTGTCCGGAAAAAAATCGGTTACACAGGGACGTCGAGGTCGAAATCTCGGCGGAGATGGAGAGAATTCTGGTCGGTCGGTGTCAACTGAGGCTTGGACAGAACGATATCGGTCTCTTCTAAGCAATCATACTGCTCGAGGTCCCGGGGGCTCGTGGGTATGTGGTCAACCTGCCTGTCTGCCAGTGACGGTGAGGCAAAGGCGGTGATGAAGATGCCAAAGCAAATGGAGAGACGGACCACCGAGCAGGAGCCTCTTCTCGCACTGACAGGAGACAGAAGACTGAGAAGAAGCGTCCTTTGACCTGCAGCTCGGTGGCTTGAAGAAGGAGGGGAGAAGGAGGAGTTTTAAGGCCGGTGCAAAGTCAGGTCCTTGTTGTTGCTGGGCAGCATTGAAGTTGGAGAAGTGGGCGGGACGACGCTGGGAGCAGAATCAGCTTAGCTGGAGCTTCACTGGGCCTCTCGCTGGATTCACTGCAGTCTGCAAGGTACAGAGACCAAGCGCCCCAAGAGCCCCAAAGGGCCTAGAGACGCACTGCGGGGCCTCGAGTCCAGAAGACTGGTTGGCACCGAACAACCGCTTGACTATGGCACTGGCTACTAGGCTTTGGCACTGGCACTTCCACAGGCACTGACAGCCGCTGGAGGCGTTGGATCATCTCTACTGTCTATGGGTCGAATGATCAAGTATGATTACTAGCCAAGCTATGATTGACCGTTACCGGTCGAGATGCACGCACGCACATGTTCACTCACACACAGACCAGCGGATAGGGAGACTAAGGTCCAGAGCGCAGTTCAATGTGAGGAGTGACAAGTTCAGCTGTGCCCGCCGCGACGCCCGTCGAGTATTGCCCATTCCTGCTCAAGCTGCTCAACCTAAGCCTCACTAGCCCACTGGCGCACCAGGCCTGCCTAAGCTCCACCTCCACAGCCCAGAAGGCCCCCAGGCTGACAGGCCAGGTAGCTCAGGTAGCTCTCCGTGCCTGGAGCCTCGCAGCGGGCGTCTTGCCCTAAGACCTGAAGGCCTTTAACAAACTTTTCACATTTTACGAACTTGCTCCACCTTGGCTGCAACACCATGTCTGTTCCAAGTTCCTCGTTTTATCACCCAACCACTCAGCGCCGTCCACTTGATGGTTTCTCCATTGCTCCCATCCTGCACACGATGTCATCGCCTTGATGTTCTCTCTTAATCGGCTGATCGTCATCCGATAAACAAGTACAATCGCTCGGTCGGCGGTCGCAATGTCCTCGACCCATTTCTGGATCTCGATTGAAAATCCTTTACTCTGTTCATCTCCATATCCATAGCGCTTCGCCAGCCTGTCTCAACCAATACCTCGCAGTCAATTTGATCACAGGATTGGAAAGCCTCCCACCTCGGCGCGAAAGCTCTTCTCCTCGAGCTAACGCTCTGTTAGGAAGGCTAAAGCACCTTCAGCGCATCCTGCAAGCCCCCAAACCTCCGTTCTCCGTCCTTGCGCAGGATTGACAAGGTTCATGCGCCATGACGCGAGGTTGCCCCGTGCAATAACCGACCGCTATCGCCCTATCACAGATGGCAGAGCTGCAGGTCAAAGAAGCTGTGCTCTGTTTTGGTGCTCTAGTTGGGGTTTGTCCATGTCATCGCGGTCGACCCAGATGGCCTCCATACCGATACGTCCGACCTGGACGGGCGCGGTGTTATTGTTCTGGGCAAAAGGGCGCGTGCGGAAATCACGTTGTCATACTTGAACACAAGGAATGAACTCACCTGTGTCTGTGGACAAGCACAGAGCAACACGAGATGAGTAAAAATGCCTGGATCCTTTGCCGATTGTATTCTTAGCTTGTCCAAGCCGCCTTCCAGGCCTACGTGCTGGAATTTTGCATTCATGCTGTAAGAGATCACTGGTCAAATGGATAAGCATCATCCACTCCATGATTGCGGCCCTCATTCACGTGGGCATCAGCAGAAGGACATCCATTCCGCTCATCAGTGATCAGTCGATGTATTGCGCCATCCTCTGTCCTTATCACGATTGGTCATCAGCACCCCTCGTAATTTGACCCATTCAAGTATGGCTTCAGGCCCTAGGGTGCTTCATCCTCTCGGCTGTGGCTGTTGTCCCCGGAGACACCGTACGAATGGGCGATGTCTTTACGCAAAGCTCGCAAGGCTCACACCAGTCCAAGCGAGCCTCTGCCCCTTCAATTGGAGTCGAGTCGGTTCACATCATGAGCCCTCGCCCATTCATGAACGCAAAGATGAAGCACATTCTGTCATACTACACAAGTCCTTGTTTTCGGCAAGCTTGTTTCACACTAGTCGTGGTTGTTATCAGCTGGGGGCGTTCAACCACGGATCCCCCACATTGTCCATTCAAGGATGGATCTCAAGCAACAGCTCGACAACATCAGTTTTCGCGGACCTGCTGACCTTGAGACTCTCACTACTGCGTCATTCAATAAGAATTGACTTTTTATTTCCTTGGTTTTCGTATCAACTTCGGATTTCCGAACCGCAGACGCTGTACAGGATATTAAATCGAGATTGTGTCTCAAAGCCCAAACAAAATACGGCTTCTCGCGCGTTATGCCCTGTTTAAGGCTGACGGAGGGGCACAAGAAGCAATACCCAGTACCTGGATCAGCGTCGAGATGACAGGCCGGTCCCCGCTCAGTGCGACACTACCATGGCCGAAATACCCCGGAGAATTTCCTAGTGTGACTTGCTGGACGGCTCAAACAGCTTCAACTAGGTAATGCTTCCTCCGTGCGTGCTCTTACAAACAGCACAACGCGATCTTCGATCAGCTTCAGAGCCCGAGTAGTTCATGGAGCCCGAACGATTGCATCGATGGTTGTCTCAGCCAGTCGTCATCTCGAACGGAATACAACCCCAATGGCACGGGGTGCCCTTCAAGCTCTCCAACTGATGGATGGACAGAAGCAGCCTTTTTGACCACGTCGAACCTCTGACTGGGAGACGTGTCTGCCAAGAATAAACATCAACAATGAGCGCGTAGTGATTGACAACCTTGTTTTCTGGTTTACCACACGGTCCACACCTGCAACCTAAGGCAAATTTCCATGTAGCCACTTTATTCTTATAAGATTAGTATCAATAGAAATGCCTCTCCGAGACGAATCTATTGACATAAACCTCTCCTCCAGATTCGCGTTTGTTGTTAAGTTGCGAGCGCTGGAAGTCTTACCCCCAAATCCGCGAAGCTCTCACGTCTACACGTGACTCGACGTGACCGCTGAAGAACGTCAGTCAACGTTGAATCAATGTCAATCGACCTATTCTTTCACCACCTTGACTATATCGACGACATCTCCTTTATTCCAAGCCTCTCCTAGCTATTGAAGAGTCTATCGCTATCTACAAGTCTAACTCTAATCAATTGACCAATCAGAATGCTTCAAAATCATATTCCTCGTTAAGACCTGGGCCTGTTGCTGCCTCGCGAGTGGTTAATACCTCTAGTGAAAACCTGCCACTCCCGGCCGTGGGGTCACGGTCGTGACCGATCATCGCTAAATCTTTTTGCGAGAATGATGCTATGGGATGCTGACGTCGGCCCTGCGGATCTTTGGTCCTAAGCCAGGACCTCAATTGTGGGTGCGATGTTCCAAGACAGCGGCCGAGGTGGCCGAATTTTGAGACGGACACGGTGCGGTTGCAACATGTGGTTGGTTCAAGCATCCCGACTACTCAGGTTGATCACAACGCAGCTGAATTGAAAAATAAAGTGGCACACTCAAAAGTTTTGCGCTGTCAGAACGGGACGAGGCCCTCGTTGGTAACGAGCATTTTTCTAACCTTTGCAAATCGATGTACTCTGTCCTCTACCGACGTCGTTGGCTGCGTTCGATGTACCGACCACTTCATCCTTATTGAGCCGTCTTTAGCTACATGAGATACAACGTGTCTTTGGGGTTAGACTGTGTTAATTACTTTTTAGTTCGGCTTGACCACTCGCCATATCTACGATTTATCTGCCGTTGAACCAATAATGGGCTATGAACTTGAATAATTGACTGATCAACTAATTGATTGGGAAGGAAGAACAGTTCTCTCGACGATAAAAGAGACTTAAATACTATCCTAGTCAGCACTGGGATGCCAAACTCCTCCGGCCTTCCACCTTTCTCTCTCCCTCTCACAAGGCACATCGCAGTCGACCTCGTCACCGCATTTGTTTTTTTGTTGTTGTTTTTTTTTTTTATCAAACGTTCGAGTTGTTCCAACAATGCCGCCAGTATCATTCATGTTGATCATCCCGATCCGTTCAATTGCCCTGCCGTTCTTCGGCTGTTGGTTTGTTGAAACAAGCAATAAGTGTCCTAAGGGAAGCAAAAAGAGTCTCGTAACCGGTTGAATCACTCAACTTATGGCCCCAGATTGGTTCAGCATCTACATTCCCGGCGAACATTCAAGCGGCCTTCCACAGATCCACTACTGCGGCAACCTCTCCTTCGCCATGCACCGCCGCAGGAACCCAACCAGGTCGTCCACACCGCGTGGCTCATTCAGCCAGTGCCTCCCGTCCTCGTACTCCCTCCACTCGACCCCCTGGTGGCTCCACGTACCGGTCAGCTCGTCGCGAAGGTGCCGCCCATACGCGACGGCAATGACGTCGTCATCGATGCAGTGCTGTAGCATCACCGGCAGGGTCCGCCACGCTTCACTATCGGCCGGGCGGTGGTGATGGGCGCCCTGCTCCTTCTCATCCACCTTGTCTTGTCGCGGCATCCAACTCGACAGGCCCGCGACCCCGGCAAGCCCAGCCATGCGGCGCCACGCGTTACCGTCGCGGCTTATCAGCGCCGCAATCGCAGCCGCGCATCCCTGGCTGATGCCGCACACGAAGATGCGGCTCGTGGGGACGAGCCGCTCCTCGGACTCCAGCGTGTGCAAGATCTGCGAGACGACACGCCGGAGGCCAGGACGCTGGATGGCGGCATGTTCAGCCTCGCGCGGATCCTCGGTCGTCCACACGTCGAACCACTGCGGCATTTCCGAACCGAAGCGCGCGGACTGCAGCATCGGGGCTTGGGGGAAGACCCAGCGCACGGTCGGGAGGAGGGCGGGTAGTGTGCGGTCACTATCCGCGAGTTCTGGGCTCGACTCGCTCTCAAACAGCTCGTTAGCGAACTCGTGCGCGCTGCTGTCGCGCCCGTGGAGGAAGATGACTGTGTGCGTGTGCGGGTGGCCGGGTCGGGGCTCGACCACGTACGGTGCCGGGAACTCCGACGACGCCATTCTACTGTTGCTGAGAGAATTGCTGGGAAAGGACCGTGAACGGCCGTTCTACTTCAATACTCTTGTTCCTGATTTAGGTTGTCTCAGATAAACCAGATTGTGTACTTGTTATGCGGTGCCAGAGAATTGCATTGCCGTATAGATGCGGTAACCAATCAAAAAAGTTGAAAACTTGTTTACTAACCAACCTGGGTGCGGATGCCCTAAAAGCGATATCTTGGCATTTCACTAGCGCGGAATGAGCCGTGATGGGAACGCCTTCTCGGCCTCTCGGGACTATGTTATCAAGGTCTTGCACCTTCACAGCCTTGCCGCTGTCATTGACAACACCGTACGCAGATACCTTCCAGAGCTGATGAGTTTGTTTCTGTCAGTCGTTTCATTGCTGGCTCTAATGTTGAAGTAAAGCCTTTGAAAGGTTACTTGTACCCTTTGGTTTCTATTCCGTCTATCAGCGATGAGCTGACATGTCTATTGTCCTCTATCCATTTTCTTGGATTCAGCGTGTTGTGGTGCTACCTCGGGCGAGTAGTTTCAACCAGAACGCCGCTCAAGCTTCTAGGTTGTCATGCGTCAGACATCATCCACCATCTCCTCTCCAACCATTCAGTTCTCCTGCTCAGAAATACCCCTCAAACAGCCACCTTAACTTCTCCAGTGCCTTTTCCCCTCGTCCTTCGGGGTAGGTACTGACTCCAAATTTCCTTGCCCCGGCAAGGTGCGTGGCTCGGACAAGGTCGTCGTGTTCTTCTTTGGAAAGCTCGTCTAACACGGCAGCAATGAAACGGCGGGCGTTGACGGCGTTGGCACGCATGTGTTCCATGACCATCTCGACGGAGACGTCGCCGTGGACGTCGTGCCAGCACTAGCATGAATTAGAAAAACCAGGCAGCGCAGTGTGTAGTAATGACGGAGAAATCACTTCAGAGGGAAGAGTCTTCTTATGTCAACGTGACCGGGAGTGATAGAATGGTACCTACGTCATAGTCCGTACTCATCAAGATAACTTGATAGGCGATCTCGGCTTCGGCAGCGAGTTTGGCTTCTGGTAAGGTCGACATATTGATAACAGTTCCGCCCCAGGTGCGGTACAGGTTTGACTCGGCGCGAGTGCTAAATTGTGGCCCTTCTGTTGAATTTCGGAGGAGTATTGGTTAGCCATGCGAAACAATCACCGTCACCAAGTTAGAGGCCTTATGCCTCTGACCAGTATTCATCACGTTCTCCCCTGATCACAGAAGGAGAGAAATGGAACGCAAGGCCGCATCTGCGAGTGGGCGAGGAGGACCAGAAGATCCCTTCAAAAAGCAAGGCCAAACGATCGGCACGGACGACCCACACATGCTGGTCTGCTCGTCGCGCTCCCCAAATCCTCTTCATCTCCTCTTGGCCCAAGCCTCGACGTCACATAAAGCATAGCCAACGACTTGCGGGACAGAAACCTATTGTTTTGAAACACACCACGTAAAGATAAAGAAGGGTGGAAGGAAAAGCATATGGCGAAAGCAAAGAAATAAAACTTACCCATAACAATCAACGTGCCTGAATCATGCAACACAACGCCGTCCCCCTCCAGGCTATGGCCGCATCGCCTCACCACGTCCCCTACCTTTGCATCAAATGGATCCGCGAAGGGGACATGACAAACCACGCCTTCTTCGAAGAAAGTCCACGGCCTGACCCCTTTGGTCCGATCAATAACCTGGTCCGGAACGACAAAATCTCTCGGCTTAACCTCTTCCGCCAAACTCCCCGCTGCGGAAAAAGCGATGATACATCTGACGCCGATGTGGCGCAAGGCGGCGATGTTTGCGCGGGAGGGGACTTCATGAGGCGCAAGGGCGTGGTGTGGTCCATGGCGGGCGAGGAAAGCGATGGGAATGGGATGGCCGGTGGTCGGAGAGGGGTGTTCGAGGATGGTGATGGGCGAAGACGGCGGGCCCCAGGGCGTGTCAACGGTTAGAATGGCGGCTTTTCGGAAGTCAGGCAGGTGCTCCAGCCCAGTGCCACCTATTACAGCGATATGAACGGGGCCTGGGAAGGACATGCACCTCTGTCAGTCTCTCTTGCACGAGAGAGACATAAGGGAGAGGGGAAGGAGGGGTACTGAAGGAGAAAACAGACCCGGATATGTAGTCGCGATATGTGCCGGTTCGATTTTGACCTCCATCGCTACAGACCTCAACGAATGCTAGGGAAGTCGGCGCAAAATAATATTATATGTCTCCCAGTCGGGCAGCACTTCCGGCAATAACCCCTCCTCAAAAAGGTAGGCAAGAAGACAAACCACTTGCGGTCAAAGGTGACTGGGCAAATTGGAGACACGGGTGGTCTGGGATGAACACTGAAATCTCAAGTATACAAACGTGAAAGGCAGATTCAAGAGGTTGGATTGAAAGATTGGCCGCAGGAGTCCACCGCAGAATTGAGTTCTCACTTCTCACTGTCTGAAAAGTTGATATTTGCGGAGCAAAGGTTGATATACGGCTTCGGATTAACATTTTGCCGAGAAAGACTCCTTGGTCGCTGAGAAATTGCGCCATCATTCTCTCACCGAGAGTACCGAGTACACTCTGTACGCAGTACGAGGTGAACAACAGTTACAAGAATGCACCGAGGATGATTACAGGATCCAGATGCTCTGACTCAATCACACGATATGACCCATGAATCACTAATCTCGGTGTCGCCGTCGTGGTCATCTCCCACGCCTCTCCCACCCATTTTCCGTCAGCTCCTTCAAAGCTGAAACATCCTTCTATCCTCCTCAGTACCATACAAGCCTCTATATCGCATCATACTGGCGGCCTCCAGCAGTGATATGTTCGAGGTCCCCGATGCAAAAAGGTAGGTCCTCCCCGAAAAGACAAATACGAAGCTTTCTGACCCGAGAAGGGTCAAAAGATCGGCTCTTTTCCGAGAAGACGAAGACTCGCAAGGCTCGCGCACATCGACCAGATCTGTCTCGCCGGCAGAGCCCACAGGTGAGGACGGAAAGAATATTGTAGAATCAACGTATTGTTTTGAATACGACTTCATCGCCCCAAGATCATCCTCGCCGAAACCAACTCTAGCATCAATCAAATCTCAACTAGTGGTCAACTCGCCGGAAGAAGAACAGGAATATCAGTTCCGCCTATTCACGTCGACTTTGAAGTCTGCTGTTTGGCCCTCTCAGCCCAATTCGACTACCGCCGACTCAAGAATCAGGCTCTCGCGCACCCCAGAGCCTGTCACACTCGCCGACTTGTTGTCACTGGACAAAGCACAATTTCTTCGTCCCAGTCGCCCCGACTCATACTATTTCACCTCCGCGCTCCCAGAGGAGACGACTCAAGTCCTAAGATCACAGTATGCAGACGTTGCCTTGTCAACCTCTGACGTCCTCTCTAGAGCAAAATCGACCAAATGGCCTGGAGCCGCCCTCCCTTGGCGTCTGATTCATGTTGACCTACCTGGTAAAGGTCGCCAGCTCAAGGACACTGTCCAACCCGCTGGATCCAGTTCGAATGCCCGGGAAACCAAATCGCGTCCAAAGAGACCCTCAAAGAAACGGCGCATCCTCCTCCGTCGCCGCCTTGCCCTGCGACAAGACCTTGCCGCACAGACAAGGGCCGCAGAGGAGATGGAACGGGAGAAGCGCACACGACGGAACCGTGAAAAGAAAGTGAAACGGAAGGAGAGGGAGAAAAGGAAGAAATTGGTAGCGCCGGAGGCCGATGGAAAGTATACCAGTGATGGGGAAGGAGAGGGTGACGAGAGAGGCGAAGTAGAAGAAGCCATTCTGGCGAAGGAACGACATCCCAAGATAGAGGGCGACGTGAAGCCGAACAGTGACCGGAAGAACAACGTCCGGTCGGAAAGGGACTCAGCTTCCCCTGTCAACGCTCCAGACTCGGTTTTTACTGCCAAGGCGGCTGCTACGATTGTAACGTCGACCAACGCATCCAAATCTTCAGTGCCGACACGACGAGCTCCTTCGTCCAGAGCACCGACCGCGGCTGTTCGGCCACCACGGCGGATGTGAGAGCCCCAAAATCAATGCATCTCACGCGGCCACGGCTTAGGCTGCTAAGAGGTTGACTGAGTGTGCAAGCTGGCATACAAGTCAGGCTTTGAAAGTAACTCAGATCAATATTAAATCGAAAAACATCCCTGTCTCCCATTTCCATATGTGCTTCGGAAGAAAGCAGTCAACGATACCCTCCAAACAAGCTTTTTGAACTGGTACAAGCTGTCCTCCCATTCGCAGAGCCGACCCCCGTAATCAATCCCTCGGGTCAAATTCTGGTGTGGTTCCACCGTCCTGTACGACTGACTGACAGCCCGATCGATAGACTGAAATCAGGCGGTAGTGTGCAGTGCAGACTTTGCAAGGAAGATGGAAGAAAGAAGAAGGGAGAAGGGAGCTTTAGCTCACGTACCTAATATCAAGCAGCGCGCCGGTCGGCGGTATTGAAGCCTATCGATATACAACAAGAAACCCCTTCCTGGTGCTCGTCCTTCTTATTCCTCCCCTTGTGGTCCTCGTTTATCATATCACATCTCACATCTCATAGATAATGTCCGGTGCCTGGTATCTTGCGGCCTCATAGACGTGTCTGATGCCCCATGTATATTACATGCCTCGCTCCTGACGAGCCTAATAGAGCACGAAACACAAGGATATATATATATATATATATCTTTAACTGATACATTAAATGCCTAGTGAAGAACCGCATGGCGCTCAGGCACCCCGTTCCCGTCCGTAAGGCTATGGATATATACGCCGTCCGCAGCACGCGGCGCGCGGCACGTAGCTCTGAGGACAAGGGAACCCTGCCTTCTTGGATAACCTAACCAACAACATGGACTGAAGGGTGGAGGCTACCTTGCAGGTTGGCCGTGGAGAGGAAGGAGAGCCTCGCATTGTATCGTCAGACTGACGAGCATCGAACCATGGTAATGAGAAAACAATGGGCAGCCATGCATGCATGGAGGCAAGGCTTGGATAATCTGGGTAGGTACCGCGCAGTTCAGTCTCGCGCCGATTACTCCAAATGGAGTATGGAGGACGCGGAGTGGGGCACGGAGGATGGAGGATACATGTATAGAGCTCGAAAGGTAATGGTGCAAAGGGTAGCGGGAGGGTCGTAGAAGTAGTGGCGGGTAGTGAACCCAGTAGAGTAGAGAAGGCCAAAGTTGGATGAGACGACGGAAATGTGATGCATTACTCATTCAATCATTCAATCAATCAGACAATGTCTTTTGGTAAGTCTGGGTTGTAGGGAACTTGTGACTTTCTTTAACGCTTGGAGCAGCTTTGCACAAGGTCCCCAAAGACAGCAAGTTGGTGCTCGAAGCCGTGGAATCCAGACACGCTGCGGATCGTGAATCACATTCATTTATTGCTCAAGTCGATACATGTCGGTGCTCTCCCGGCCTCAGAAAATCTCTTGCTTTTTTCTTTCCCTTCCCCCTTTTTCGTGTGCCAGTCCTTCCGAGTCTCGCCACTTTATACCGCAATGAAAACCCTCATGTGTACGCTTTCAGGTCAGCTCTCACGGCGCCAATCCCGTCTCACTGCCCATTGGTAATCGCACCTGCAAGTCTTTTGCTCATAAAATCAAAAAAGGCAAACTGACTCGGCGTCGCGCCGTACTCGTACACAAATCGACTGGCCAGGTAACTCCCAAAGATAGACTTGAGATAGTTGTCCGGCACACGGCTCAAGATCTTGTCCAAGCCCACCTTCTGCTGGAGTGTCTTAGGGAGCGCTTCCTTGAAGACCTGGTGTCTAAGCGGTTCGTTGTTCCACAAATCCTTGAAGTTCTGAAGGTCCTCATCCAGCTTGGTGATTGCAAGGGACAACTGATCAGAGAGGGTCGAGCGAGGTACCCCTGTGGCCTCGTGTTCGCGCCAAATGGCTTCAAACTCGAGACGAGCGTTGCGTTTAATTGTCTCTTGCACTTCCTTGACGTACATCGTGTAGAACTCTGGAACGGTTCCATCGCTGTCAACACACATGTTCTCAATAAAACCCTTGTCGTCAAAGGACAAGCTTGCTAGGACCTCAAGCGACGACGAAGTCACGCCGCCCTTGTTGGCAGAGGCATCCTTGTAAATGATACAACCGGCCTTTTCAAGACGAAGCTTGGCGTCTTGCGTGATGAATAGATTGGCGCCCTCGACAATGTAGGGGATTTTACATTTGCCATCCACGATCAGCTTACCGGCATTGGATAGATCAATCGATTCCGGTCGACCACCACAAGGCACGAAGAGGTCATACTGCGAAGCGTCGCGGAGGTGATATGTGTTCCGAAAAGTCATGCCGTTATGGACCTTCTCGCCGGAAGGTAACATGACATTATTCTCTTCCACCAGGACGCGGTATCCCTGGGGTGACAGTTTTGAGATGTCGTATTGTGAAATCATCACTCGCTTCTTCGCCAAACGCACCAACTCCGCGTGATCCAGGCCCGCTGGGTCAACGAGGACACCGGAACCATCAACGATGGCAGTGTACTTCTCGTTGCTAAGAAGGATTTCATTGGAGCCCAGGTCTCCGTCTGGACCACCGGTCTGAAGCTTTCTGATTTTGCTCGGATCCAAGTTCAACTTGCGATAAATGCCCAAGACATACTCGCGGACGGACAAAGTCGTCATTCCATATGCGTCGTGAGGAATACCACCAAGTTTGGGACTCTTGCCGGTGAAGAAGGACTTCCACCACGGCGCGCCTCTGGCACGGGCATGTTCCGTAGCCCAGTCCACAAGGTCGGCAGTGTTCTCATCTGGCCCCATGAACAGAATTTCCTCTTGCCCATGTAGATCGACAATAGGATCTTTGATACCTGGGCTCGTAGGCGGCAACAGAAGATCCATGATACTGTCAATGTATTTCTCAAAGGCAACACGAGCCTTGTCTTGATGTTGGTAGTCAAGAAGGATGACCCCTTTGGATCCACCTTCTGGAATGTCCTTGTTCTTTCTCTGCTGAGTGTTGGCCAGGTTGTAGTTCTCGTCGAATTGAGTTCGAGCATTGATTGCGTAAAGTTCCTTGTTACGGGACTTGACGATCCGGATGCCACCACGCGCAATGTCGCGGAACCGAAGATGGAATCCCCTGAACTCTGAACCAATGACCAAGAACATCCCGTATAGGGGTTGTGGATATTCGTGATCAGGTAGGAATTCAGTGCTGGGTTTGAGTCGGAAACTGAGTGCTACCTTGGTCGGGGTGTAGAAGTTTGTCTTAAGGACCGCTTTGTTGAAGGTTAAGAAGTATTGCATCACCATCTCGTCGTGTTGGTTTTGGGTGGTCGTAGAGATCATCTCAGACAGGGTAGCATCGTCAAGAACGTTTTGCACGTCCAATCGCAGGTAACTAAGTGTCGGAATGAAATCATCCTGCTCTCCTCGGGTCTGGACGTAGTGGTTGTTTGCAAAAGAGAGATACAGGTTCCGAATGAGCTCTGGGTACTTGTTGATGATCTCGAGGATATAATCCGAGGTAAATGTCTCTGTTCGCAACCGCTTCTTGATCTTTGAAAGCAATTCTGCATTGGCGTTTGTGTCTCCTTTCAGCGCCGCAACCAAGGAGGTGTACTCGGAACCAAGCCGGTTGAGGAATTGCTGGACAAAGACATGCACGCAATGGGCGTAGATGCTTTCTTGCAAACTCAGATTGCCACTGGCAAACTGCCCCTGAAGTTTGTTCTGAGGAATGCAAAAGAGCAAAGAGACTTCTTTGATGATCTGATGGATGGAAGCCTCGATAGGAGGATACCTTGACTTGGCAATTTCGGTACTGGCAGGCTTCAAATATAGAGAGACGACCGTGATGCCGTTGGAAAACTGCTCGACGTATTTTCTGGAGCTGGTAACTCCGTAATAGTGGTAGAGATCTGACAGAGCACTGAAAATACCCATAGCCGACCCTTGACGGTACGCAATGACCAGTCTCTTTTCTCGGGTGCCCTCCATCTCAAACATTTCGATGACCGGGCCGGTTCGGGCCACGGCATAGGTTATGATCTCCTGGTAGATCTCTTTGGTGTTCTGAGTGGCCTTCTGGAGAAACCGCTTTTCACCAATGACCTCAATGTCTGTCTCGTCCGGCCCAGGGTTTGGGTTCTTGAATTGACACTCGTAAACGAAGTAGCATCGCAATGATTCCTCCGGGTTTTCCGGCAGGGCATTGCTCGATCTGAAGGACTCGACACGGAAGCTCCTCGCCGGTGTAGAACCGTCAATGTACTTCTCGTCGATTCTCTGTTCGTATCTCGGTCCCTCGATGACACTTATTCCAGGCTTGCTTGTGTCAATGTAGACTGCATGGTCAGACGCCTCTTTGGCCAATCTGATTTCCAGCTTCTTGTCATCTCGCGCATATGCAGCGAGCTTGGCGGCGTACAACGAGAGAATATTGCTTGCCACCGCCTCGACGGTCTCGGTGGAGAAATACATGTCGTCGAATCCCAGCGAATTGTAGAACCACTCAGTCTCGGACGCGATAAATTCGGTTGGCAAGAAGCCCTTTTCTTCGATGAGGTCCATAACTGCGGCCCAGTTAGCTTCTATCCATCGTCGCCATGGACTGCGAACGTACCCTCCTCCATCTGTGCCCTCTTGCCCTCAAACTGAGGAGCCACATAGCCTGGACTGTGATCCGACAGAATGCGGTGTAACGATTGATTGGATTGGGAGGCACCAGGAACTCCCAGCCAAGTCGGCTGGGGTGAGGGTTGTCTCCCTGGTGTCCTGATGACTTGTTCAAGCAATTTGTGTCTTGCCGGATTTAGCGGCTGTTCGCCGTTCACCGAGAGAGGATCCATGGTGGTCTGAAAAGGAGTGCGGCGACGATTACGAGAGGATAGTGCTTGTAAGGGAACGGAGCAGTGAGTGACAGAATCAATGGAGTGAGATGGAAGTGAGTGAGAAAGAAGTAGCTGTCGAGTCTAGGCGCTCTTTGAAAAGGATACGTAGGTTCAGCTAATGGGATCTGTCTCGAACGGTGAGCATGTCAGCCCAGCCGTACCAGGTCAGTCCCCTGAGGAGATTCTGATATGGTTGTTGAAGCGGGAATTGGGCTGATTATGAGAACAAACGACACTAATGAGGCTGTTGGCAGCGTAGTACGTTGCCGCTCGACCCAGGTCAGTGTCCAATTCGGGCACCGCGTCAGTCAGACCCTTGTGATCGCCAATAGTGCCGGTTCGATAAGAGACGAACAAAAGATATCGGAGGGCTGGACGTCTCACCGCAGCTGAAACACCTTTTTTGGGGCGGAAGTGCGCAACTGCGTGGTGGCTTTGGGCGGGTGAACGGTGAACGGGGTCCAAGGGGGTCTCGTGGTCGCAACAAGGGCGGATCCTTGAGCCGTTTTTATACAATGGAATCTCTGGAAGAAAAAGAATTTTTCATTCCCTGCATCACATGGCTACTGGAATGAGAGAATTCAGGAACTTGTTACGAGACAGCTTCGTCAGATCCCCCCGCAATTGGATAGAACCAGTGTTAGCCACATCCTTGCCACAACCCGAGCGAAGGGGCTTTCAGGCACAGATGGAGCCGTTGGAGTCCCTCTTAACCAGATCCATCGCCACGCAGGGGCTCTGCCCTATCAGCAGCCCTTTCCATTAGCCAACCTGTACCGCCTTGGGCCGCTTAGCATCGGAGCGAATAGGGCTGGGGGCAGATGCTGAGCCGTTGAGGGCGAGAAGAGGTCACGATCACATAAAACTTGCGAGGAAGAAATCCCCAGAGAAGCGATGCGGAGTAACATCAGACGTAATCAAAATTCAGACGTTGATCATGACGGCTTCAGTGGCATTGCGTGCGTGTATTCCTCTTGTCCAGTATCCAAATGTACACAACTCCATATCTGCCAGACGGATCTATTCCCATTTCCGGTACACCATCCATAGCAATGCGGTCAAAGGCCAAGTCATACCCGAGGCCTGTCTTCCAAGCCTTCTTCCTCTGCGTGGGCCGTCAAGCTGCTGCCTTCGCCCGGTGGTCCGCTCAGATCCACTTCCCCGTCCTTATCAGGGTCGTATGAAATCATCCTCTCGAGCTGGGTGGAAGACGACCTTTTGGGCTTGCAGACCTCGTCCTCGTCGACGGAACGGCCGTGGTCCGGTCCCGTATCAGTGAGCAATGAGCCACGCTCCTCACCCCTTTCGTGCTCTGTGTCCTCTTCAGCTTCCTTGTGTGGACCCTTCTTCTGTTTGATGAATGTGTCGATGATGTAGTACTGAGCAGCGTTCATGATCAAGGGAAATATGAACATGACAAATGCAATCTGAACCGCTTCGTTGCCCTCGGTCCAGCCAAGTGCCCAGTCACCAACACGTCCTAACCAAGGGCAAAGCTGGAAAATGATAAACACACAGATTTTCATGCCAATCAACCCTAGGAAGTAGAGGAGGCATTGCTTCGCCCACCAGGCAGTCTTGGGAGGCGTGCCATAACGTCCTGATTCGACTGACTCAGGAGGGTTCGCAAGCGGTGTATACCTTGCACCCAGGGTCAAAATCTTGAGAATGCCGATGAGGATGGGTATCCCGAGCGTCGTGTCGATGCCCAGATTGAGCAGGTAGAATGAACATGGATTGGGCTGGTATTCTGCTGTTGTTTCAGACCCCACTGTACTTGCTGCTGCGTTCACCACACCCTCGCCTATCTGACCAGAGGAGAAAAGCGACATGAGGAGATTTAGAAGATGGAGCAATATCGACCCAACAACTTGCTTTGACACGTCAAAAGACCACACCTTTATAGGTCGCTGCGGCCTTTCTCTCCATCTCTTGAAGACTAAAGACAATAGAGCGAGGGCGCCCAGCGCTCCTTGCACCAGGATAGCAAAAGGGCCCAGTAGTTTACATTCGCCACCGCTCTCGTCTTCGGACATGGTGGAGGAGGGCGATAGGTCTGGCGAAGCGACGGCGGTCGAGAGAGGAGAAGCCGCTGCTGTCGCTATACTGAGGATAATAGAGGTAGCTGTTATTGTGAGGCTTACGGAAGGATGGGTCGATTGGAATGCTGAAACAATATCATCGTGCAACTCAGCAGCCGAGGAGGGGAGTTCGGGAGGGTGCATAGGCAGAGACGGGATAATTCACTGTCTATATTGCGATTGTCCCATGTATTCGGCCTGGGAGCAAGTTCTTCGATAGCTTTGCTCGAAGGAGAGATGTCTAAAGATTGTTGCAAAAATTCGCTCGAGGACGGACGCGCAGCCTGTTTGGAAAGGGCCAAGGACCGTTGCCTTGCGGGCGGGGCTGAGGTCATGACCCTGCCAAGACAATTTTTAGCCTCACTCCAACCAGCTCTGCCAGCCTTGCCAGCCAAGGCGGAACCAGCGGCGGGGAGATGGATTTCGCCTGATGGCGTTCCTCATATCGGTATCATGCCTTTGCTCATAAGAGTCCTCATTTCTATTGAATGTGCGACTTCTGTACAGCCACCCGTACCTTACCTTCCCGCCCCACGATGACTGCGTCAAGACGTCTGATGCGGCTCGGCTGACCCATACCGCGCACGACCTTCCAGGGCCAGGTCAGCTGCGCGAAAAACGTTCTTCCTCTGCTTGGGAGCCGAATGAGGGTACTTATCCTTTGAAGGCCATTCCTCTCTCAAACTGAGCTCGATGTCTTTTACTGGCCGAACGTTGGCTCCATCATACTGTCACCACGAGCTAGGAGAAGAAGAGTAGCAAGCCGATAGACTCGCAGTGACAGGTGCAGGAAGACAAATTCTACATGGAAATATCGGAACTCTCCCTCAGTCTCTTCACCCTCGTTTTCTCATCAAATTTCAAGCTCAACCGAGTTTGATCATGTCATCCAAGTCTTCTGTTGTGTTTCTTTCACTTCGGTCCTTGAGTCACTTTCGTGTATTTATGAGACAGGACCCGTTGTAGATCCATGCCAACAAATCCGTCGATCAGTCATACCGATCCAGAGAGGGTATGCTTTATGGTCTGATACTGGGTCAATAGCAGGTGTACTACAGCATGCCGCCGAGGTCATGGTGGGGAGGAAAGAGACTGGATTGTGCTAGAAACGAAGGCCTGCTGATGATGTGCGGTTCAGCACCAAGCCTGACGGCCTGCTGGACCGCATTTCAAATTGTGACCCTGGGCACGGTAGGTGGAAGTCCAGGCTATGCCCATTGTCTACAGCGCACAGAACGTGACTTGCGACGTGGCTTTGGAGACGGCGAGTGAGATTCAGTCCGGCGAAGATCAACTGGAAGAAGATTTTTGACTCCTCAGCGAAAGGCTGCCGCAGATTGCCACATCAACCAGAGCCACCGATTTCTCCACGCCCGGCAAGTTTAATAGTGAAGAGTCCAAGGACTATTCAGATCCTCTGGTCAAAGCAAGCACCAACCAGAAGCAGCAGAGAACGACGAGTAGCTCGGTCAGCCAGTAGCGCCTGGATATAAAACCTGCCTCCAGGACAGCTGTGGCTCGAGGCAACCGTGACGATGCGGCATCTAGGGGTAAAGTATCTTACCGTCTTCCATTGGGAACGTACTGATAACATCTCAGGTAGTGGTCAACGTCTCGACGGTGCACGAGTCCCTGACGCTCAAGCTGAAGGTAAGTCACGGATCAACCCAAAGCTCAAACCCATCACCGAGCCGACTCTACTTGTAGCAAAGGCCACAACTCACCCTCTTTTCCGCTCGAAACGAGTCTGTTGGCTTCCGAACGCAGGCCCGCTCAGAGGCTCGAGCCTTCACCAGTCACAATTATTCTATGGGACCTCACAAAATTCAGGATTTAACCCTTGTAACAGCATGAGCGGATTCTCGCCCAGCGGAAACAGATGGTGGTGCTGTAAACCAGATCAGAGACACATAAACCCATGGAATCCGAACGTCTCCTTCAAGAGGGCCAGCAAACAGCCCGGCTCTTATTATATAGCACCAGATATCCGTTCGACGGCCCCAGCCGATCGAGGACCCGGATCTGCGGGAAAACCTCTCGCAATCACGCATTACCGACCATGTTTCGTTCTTGTCAAGCTGCCAAACCCTATTTGTACGCACTCAAGGAAACAGACTGCCCCTATTTTCCTAGATTCATTAAAGAACTGTACTCATATTTGGCAAACGTCACCGCAGTAGGTATTACCCCCGAACAATTGAAGCATTTCAAGTTCCCAACTCTTTGCGAAACATGGATTCATTCTGTCATGGCATGAAATTGGTTCGGGGCAGTCAGTCAGAGCATCAGCATCCCGGCGGGGCATCGCAGAATGAAGCGAGTGAGATGGCCCGAAGGCCACAGTTTACCACCGAACCAGACAAATGTCTGAGATGATCGTTCAATGCTGGTCACCTTGAGATCTATAGAGCGGGGTGGTTTGGAAAACCCATGGCGGGTGTCAACTTTCATTTTTCCTGTCCAAGTTTGCCCAAGGACCAGATTTATCTGAGACGAAAGCTCGAAACGTATATGTGACCGGATCCACCTCATGCCGATGAGGTTGTGGTCCGGACCAACTGTCCTAATCTGGCCCAATTTCCTTACCCTTACGATCATGATGTCCCTGCTTCGGGGAGTTTTAACAAGGACTCGGTGCCTTTTTGAATGATTGAAAATGGGGACGGCGAAGGCCCGGTTGGCGGTAACAGAGTGGGGGAGAAGAGAAGAAAAAGAAGAAAGCACTAACCACCTACCACATCCTCGTAGTCGTGAGTCAGAGAGCATGGGAGGTGTGGGATGCAGACGACCGAGATGAGGCATACCGTAGACCAGCCCTGTCCGCCCTAACCACAGTACTTACTCGTACGTACCTGACTACAGGACGGAGTGCCCGACTACGGTACGTGTTCCGTCCTTAGGTCCTTGGGTGGTTATGCAACCAGCTATAGTCATGCACGAATATATACTTAGCGAGGCAGCCATGCACACACTAAGTACTGTACTGCTAATGCTAGTTGACAGTCGAATCCTGCATGGCGCCTACCTATAAGTAAGTCCCGATGAAACTAACTCGTACTCCCTAAGTAGGTACATGTTGTACCCGTAGCGGTGTGTTTGTGCGCGTTATCTACCCGAGGACCGAGTACTTTTGTGCACAGTTGTATTTCTAATGCGGACCTTCGGGAAAATTTCCACCTCAATGCCAAATGCAGGGCAATGCAGGGCAAGGCAAAGCAATATGACGGCCTCTTGACTTTGATACCCCGTTAAAAATGAAGTCTACAGCACGGAATGGAGTAATGGCATAGAACTGTGTGCTTTGCTTGTTGTGGTCTGAACAATCCGTTCAACCTCAAATTCTTTCAATTTCGAGGTAGGTCACTCACTCGCTCCCTCACTCACTGTTTTCATATTCAGGCCGTTGGTACAGTAGCGGGACATCCAACCAAGTCTATGGCGGAGGGTATCAAGCGGTATAAAGACAAAGATCCTTGGTGTCCCCCCCCCCCCCCCCAACAAAAACGCCGTTGCCCCCAAAATCCTATATCGCAAAGGGTATCATGATGCTGGTCATCAAAGGACTGTAAACAAATTCAAAGGCATCACAAGCGTCGCATCCGTATCCGTGTCTCGTCTGCACATCCCCTGCACTCGTCTATAGATCGTTGTCGCCCTCCTCTTCTTCCAGAGTGGACAGACGTAAATGGCCAATCTTATCTCCACTGCTCAGCCAGTTCTTGACCACACACGGAGCGGTTTCTGGCCCCTGGCAGATCTTCTTCCGCCCCAGGTTCTTGAATTTAGGGCCGAGCGGGCCGTTGACATAGTGATATTGTCCGGCGAATCTATATTGCCGTTTATCACCCAGAGGGTAGAACTTATCCCCCCAGCGTCCGGCAAAGTTGAACCAGTTGGTAGGGGCGGTCGGCGTGCGGTTCGATGCCCGCAGTGTGTCGTTCTTGTAATCGTATGTATAAGCGTGCGAATTCAAAGCCGGATCCCATAGGGGGCCGCGGTCAGTCAGGTCATGAAGGATACCCCATGGCAGAATGTAAGGGTGTGTGCCGGGAGTTGCATACATGGCATGAGTGCCATAAGCGGAATAGATGATGGGTCGCTTCCCGATTTTCTCCACAGCTTCGTAGCTGTAGGCGGACCCGAAATTGTGCTCACTGAAGAAAACAGCTTTGGGCTTCCCGTGTTGAAAGCGAATGGCGGTGTGCTCCCAGTCGCCCACGTGATTGCCAAATCGCACATTGAGTACCACGTTCCCCAAGTTGAAGCTGTAGAAGAAGAACCAAAAGGCGTCGACGATGCCATGGCCCTTGTTGACGGTGACGAGGACAGCAGGTGCGTCACTCCGGCCCCCTCGAATCCTGTCGGGCGGCGCATGATCTGCAGTTGAGCGTCTCAATTCATGGTGAACTCGGCGTGCGGCCTGTGTCTGCTCTGATTGGCCCGAGGCGGTCATTTGAAAATCATCACTTTCCTCGAAACCATCCAAGTCTGGTGCAAACCATTCTTTCGCGTCGTCCAATGCATTCTTCACACCTTGGAGATATGTCCTTCCTGGTTTGTGGACCCAACCCTCGTTGTCTTCGAATGGGTCATCTGGTCTCGACGGTCCGGTTGGGATGTTCTTCTCTCCCTCCAACCAGTCTGGCCGTTCTTCCACGTTGTCGTTGCTAGTCAGATACACCCACCGGCCATTTTCCCACTCATTGAGATCGTCCAAGTTCTGAAGGGACGGGTGTTGTTGCTCGGACTGGACCGGGGTATAGTTCAAGGTCGGGGTGACGTGGTAGAGGTGCTCAGCAATGTCACACGGCCAGAACTGTTCCCCCGAGAAGAGGTGAACCAGAGGAGCATATTCCAAGACGTAGTCTGGGATCTCCCTCAGCACCCGTTCATCGTGAGTCCAGTCTTCAGGTCGGTCATTGCCCTCACTCCAGGCATGTTGCCAGTCCCAGTCGGGGGTGGGAACCACCAAGCGTTCTCTGTGATTTATCGAGGGACGATGGCCAAACTTGTCGTGCTCTGAGATGTAGTGCATGTGGAAGGCACCGCAGACTCCCAGCCAGCGACAGCATTTCCTGTCGAGCCAATACCGGGAGGTAGCGATCCAACTGGACTCCTCTCGGTCTTCGTCTTGCCAAATGAATACCTCTGGGCGTGTTGCCCGCAGGATGCTGTTGGCGCACATGTAAAATATTATAGTCGACAGCACACCAATGGTGGCCTTTGTCTTGACGGGACCCATCTGCTCTTCTGCCTCCAAGGCCTTTCCGGTCACCGTTTCATATGGAGACTGGTGTTGAGTGCTGCTGGGTTGGACAGGAACGATCACACTCGAGGGTACCGAATCGATGCCAGTGTTTGAGGGCGCCTGCGCGGTGAAGAGAAGTTGGTCGTGTGCTGGAGTGACCCAAGCCGCGGGGGAGGAAGTGGTGGGAAATATAGAGGGTTCCGCCGAAACGGCATATAATGATCGGGTAAGCGGTGGTTGGCTGGCATGATGCGACCCCAAGGCTAAGGCCACTGCACATGAGAGCGAACCCGAAAGGATTAGCCAGAACATCACGAGGGAGGCAGTCTGACAACAAGGGAAGGAATGTGATTTGATCACAGCCTCATCCACCCACGCGGATGTTACGGCGAGAGCGGAAACACGGCCCAGCAAGGCCCCCGGAAGAGGGAGGCGGTGGACTGCATTGAGAGAAATATGTCTTAGGTGATGGCAGGAGGGACGGTGCATTACAACGAGAAGAGTAACACCATTGACTTTTCATCATAATCGCATTACTCTCCGCCGTCGTAAGCTACCGAAGAGCTCCTTGGGCTGGGGGAGGTGGTGGCTTGGGGGGTGTTGGGAGTCCCGCTGCCATTCCGCCAACATCCGCGCACCGGATGTGTAATACAGTAACAGAGCAAGGAAACGAGGGCATTGACGTACTATTGGGTATGATTGGCGATTGAGACGCAGGCTGACCGAATGTCCGACTTTCCGGGGCGGGTTTGGGGCTCTTTTCTGTTTTCGTTTGGATCTTATCTGGGTCTGACGGGTGATTGGCGGGGCTGCTAGTTTAGTCAGAGGACAGTCTGTCAGTCATGCTGCTGCTGGATGAGCGATGGTACGAGAAGAGATGAAAGGCACATGCCAGAGATGAAGGCAAGTGGAAAGAAAGTTGGAAGAGGAGGGAGAGACAGGAGGGTGAGAAGCAGAGGGAATAACGGGCAGCTGAGGCAGAACGTGAATGGCACAGACTCGCCCTGACTCGTCATTTGCTTTCCAAAGGTTGCCAATGACTTCACTGGCCTCGTCATACTCCGGCCACTAGTCCGGCGTCAAACTGCGCTGGCTAAACGTAGCGACGCCCTGACACCCAGCGACCCCCAGTCAATGTAGAGCCTGATCCGGACTTGGGTCGGTTTTGGTCGGTGAACCACCAATCCACCTGCGGTGCTTTGGCACCTTCTCAAGCCGCTGATCTTGACTTGTTTCATCGCCTGTCGCTTGCAGCTGGCCGTTTCAGCCATCGCTTTGTTTTCTCCCTGTCAGGCGAGAAGATAAGAGGCGCCAGAGTGGGGGTGTGGTGGGTGAGACCTCCAATGAAGCCAGTAATTTATAGCACGTTGGATCTCGGAGGATATCGATATAGCTATAAAAGCCTGCAAGGGTGTGATGGTCGAGCGGCTGGGCACATGCTGGATTCGGTCATGGATCGAGCAAGGGAACGCTGAGGGGTGAGAGGGAGGGGGCGCAGGCAAGGGTGGGAGAGACGTCGAAACATGTCATTTGAAATATTTATATCAGATCACGTGGGCATCAAGAAAAACTCGGGCGAGAAGCCTAAAAGCGAGCGAGTAGTAAAATGTGAGGTGACTTCTTTCCATCCCATCCACCCCTCGACCTCCCAAACCAAGCTCGATTGGTGCAATGATTGTTGGCGTGATGATCAGTCACCATGAATCACCCCGAAAACCGACGAGAAGACGATTCTGAATATGAATACGACGACACTGAGACAGAGGTAGGGGACCTTTTTCAATTGAAAAATCAAGACGCCTTATTTTTGACCGCCCAAAAAATCCCATTAAGTCGTTCGTTCCTTGACAATTTTCTTCTGCGCAGACCTTCTTCGTGGATATTGATCTCTCCTCCTTGAACGCTAACATCAAGTCCAACCTCCCCGTACCTCCCAAGCCTGTGCCACCGGCCAAGCGAAAAATATCCAATCCTGACCCTGACACGCCTGCTGGTCCGGATGAGCCCGGTCCTGATGCTGCTGTAGAATCCGGCGCAGAAGACGCGCAGGGCTTGACGCAGAAACAACCACACGACACACCTCCCCGGAATGGAGAAGACGATGAGAATGCACACCTGCCCGCTCCGTCACGTGTGCAGATTCTCGATCTAGACACGGTCAACCCTATCATCTCCTATCGAGGTCAGGTGTATAGCTGCATGTGGACCGATATGGTCGGTACAAACATGTTCTTCACTCATCCGGGGGTGTTGGATGCTGCCGAGGTTCTCCAATCAACAGACGACTACGACCTGATCAGCATGTCTCGCATTAAGCTGGTCAGCCAGGCTGCCAAAATGTTGAAGAAGGAGAAGCCCACGAAAGAAGCGGGGATTGATGATCAGATTACCAATGACCAGGCGGGTGGGAGTAACGAGACTCCTGAAGCTCGAAGTGCCGAAGACCAGATGAGAAAACAGGCCTCGTTCCTGGAAAAGCTGACGGAAATCAAACGACAGCGCGGTGAAACCGATGCTGTTCGCACATTCGTGGATGAAAGGACGGCATCGGTTGACCTGGCACTGGTACATGAATCACATCGTGACGAAATCCAAGACTTGAATGCGAAAGTGGTTGGGGGAGATGCAGACGCTCTCGCGAGGTTGCAAGAAATCTATTCTCAATCTGATGGCAGGCCCACTCAGATACGAGAGTCTTCTGAGAGACCTCCAGAGGCCCACAATGAGGCCAATATAACTATGTAACAGGAGGAAAACGCCAATGCTCGCTCGCAAGCCATCGTTGTCGTTACCCAAATCCCAAGACAAACATAATGCAAATTAACAAGCCGTATGAATGACAGCGCGGAAACAAATCCACAAAGGAACAAAAGCTCTATTCAATAGCAACACTCATAAGACCCGAAACGCCATGCTGAAATCCGACATCTAGCAGGTCTGCTTCTCGCGGGTCCAATGGACTGGTGAGGGTGGAGGTGGAGGAGGATGATGCTCGGGATACTGTCGTCGATCGGAATAAGAGACGAACTTGGGACGTGGGGAAGCCTCGAAGGCTTTGTGCATGTCGCGGCTCGATGTCTCCGAAGAGAGCACGGTGGAGCGGTAGGAGATGCGTTGCATGGTTCCGGCTATGGGAGGGATGGTCGAGGTTTCGATCGATTCAGACAATGTGAACGGACAGAGATGTGTTCGAGCTGCCAAAGGCTGGTCAGTGCTTAATTCATGCAGACCCAATATTATCGAGGTGATGATCCAACTTACGACACCTGGTGCTCGGCACTATTATTTTTCGTTAGCCGCGGTGATCGGCAGTTGCTGCAGGTACGATGTACCAGGGCGCGAGGCTGGTGAGTGGTAGGTGGAATAAAGGTGCACGATAATAGTTGTCGGTGAGCCAGATCAACAGTGAAACTGAAGACTGGTTATATCAGGAAACTGAGTGATGGGTGAAGGAGGGAAGAAATTCAAGAATAAGAGGGATTTTCTTTTCTGAGGGAGCCTGAATCAAATATACCCCTTCGCAAGCCAGAGTAGGAGTGGGATCGGGAGTGGGAGTGCTCAGCAAATGTTCGGATTCCCCAAAAATCTAGCGGTCAAGGCGACGTGGGATTGTCGCATTTCAAACGAATCCGGCTGGACCTTGCAACCCCCCCGAAAAAGCCACCAGAGGTTTCCCCGGAGCGCCACGAGGCGCGCCGGGCCAGGGAGCAGGGAGATGGAATGGACCCGAACCAAAGGACCAGAAGGCTAGGCTAGGGGGCTGCAATGGTCGAGCCGATTGCAATCCAATCAAGCCCATTCGGTCGGTCATTGACTGAAAGCTCTCAGGACCATCCAAATCTTGGTATTTGTTCTGTACACGGGGTCTGACTGTAGGTTTTTCTCTTTTGGGATTCTGGGCTCTTTGTGGTTGGCTATTCCGGACCTTGACTGAGACAATTGTTTGCCCTTCGTTGGTATGCATCAGTGGAATCCGTGAGTCGATTGATCGCCCCCCTTTTCATGCTGCAAGCTGCAAGCCTCAGGGATTGACGTGCACTCGATCGATTTGAAAGAGGACCCGACGCAAGCAAACTTGTCACCGTCCCCGTATTTCGGCTAGGCAAGGTGGGCAAATCCATCCTCGGTGTTTTGGGAGCTTACTCGTAACAGCCCAAGGGTGAAGCGAGTTCCGACTCGTAGCTATGGACTCTTAGGTAGTCCCGATCCACTGGTGGGTGACTGGAGAGTTGAGACACAGGAAAAGCTGCACCATCGTTTTGAGGCTTGCAAAGCTGCCAAGTCACAAACAGCTTACTTGATACAAAATGCCCTTTTCCCATCCACTCCATCCCACGCTCGTATCATCCCGCCTCGAGGAGGTCACCGAATCCTGGTTGGCAGCTTTTTGTGATTTTCCAGGTTTTTTTTTGGTGACAGTAGTTGCCTATCCCCTGGTCGGTTTGGGGGACCCGGTGGAATTTGAAAAGCGAGAAACCTTGCCCCAGTCTCCTCGGCCGCCGTTTGGTTCACGCGCGGAATGGACAACCCGGGGAACCAAAAGCGCAACGGGCCTTACTGGGTAGAAAAGAAGATCAAAGGTTAGCAAGCGGAGGTGGATGTCACCGCAGGACGGGGAAATGACGGGTGGCGCCGGATGTCACCAGCGCCCGGCCCCCCATTTCCTTCTCTTGCTCTTCCTTCTTTTCCTTGGCTTTAGGTAGGCAAGATGTGGGCACAGAGGGGCTCGTTTAGCTGGTAATACTGGAAAGCGGTGCTCCGACCTTGTGTGCTGTACTCCGTATGCGGTACCTTACTCGCACTCGCTGAACTATGCTCTGCATCATCATCGCGCGCGCAATCGAGGGAGGTGTAAGTGCAAGTGCATTGATGCCCAATACACCGACCGGGGAGGCCAAGACGGGGGGGAGATTCCAAGGAGTAACTGTGATGAAGGGCAGGGAATGCGTGTGTGGATGAGGCCTGGACACGTTGGGCCGGTGGACTGTGGGCACACTGCATTCACGCATTCAGCGCCGGGGCGCCGGGGAATGCAAGCTTCTCCGCAAACCAAATTACCACAACCAAGCGCAAACAAGTAAGTAAGCCCTTGCGTATAAATACCTGGGGCAGGCAGTGATTGTCGGACGAGGGATGGGGGATGAGGAATGTGGAATGAAGAGTGGAGGAATGCAGAAACGAGGGCAAGCAAGGGGGTCGCCCTTTGTATCACCTTATTATCAGCACACACCGAATCATTCTCCTTCACACTGACCTTGCTCTGACCACAGTTACTCCATGCAGTCCGTGGAACTCTACTTGGTAGATTCTCACTTGCAAAAGTAGACTTCCAAGAAAACTGGTCTTATGATTGTAACCTGACCTCATCGCTTTTTCCCCAGCCTTTCCCTGGTCGCCGCCATTTACCTCCTTCGCACACCTTAAACCTTGTTTGCGCTGCCCCATCCCGAGAAGTTACACATCGATGATGCTGTGACCTGTTCAACTGCCTGCTCATCCATGGGGACGTTGTGTGAGAAAATATGGGCTACCTTCCCCGAAGCAACGGTCCGGGAATCTGTGAGATTATGGGACAATTGTTTCCCGCTTTTTTACGGACCAAGATCAAGAACGGCAAAGGGTGGCCCTGGCGGGTGCAAAGTTCCCACCCTCCCAAACAAATTCAGTGCGACATAGCTAGACGTCGTGCTCTTTCTCCTACGACTTACTTCTGCAACAGCCCCGGAGGATCGAGTCTTGGGCAACAAGTGTCAAAAACTCAACAATGAGTTGCTGAATCCAGATCCCGCGCCCAATATCCCATTTATCCCATGGAAGAGTGCACGATATCAAGACCACCCCAAACTTTGTACCATTCAACCATCCAGTTTCTTGTAGACCTTCCAGCCTTCTCTCTGCAACCGATGCTCCTTCTCCATGTTCTCGTCGTCCATCTTGTGCAGATGATCAGCTACCCACTTCCGTGCCTTCTCATCGCTTGATCCCACAATCCTCGCCGCCAGTATCGCCGCATTGACAGAATTCCCAATTCCCACCGTCGCCACAGGAATTCCGCGTGGCATTTGCACAATACTCATTAAACTGTCCAGCCCATCCAAGGAGCTGGCTTTCACGGGCACGCCAATTACCGGCACTGTGGTTTCCGAGGCCATCATGCCGGGTAGATGTGCTGCTCCGCCCGCCGCGGCAATGATGGCTTTAAATCCACGACTGGCCGCAGCCTTGCCAAAGTCGAGCATGTACTGTGGCGTGCGGTGAGCCGAGGTGATGTGTACTTCGTAAGGGATGTCCATGGTGTCGAGTAGTGCTAGACCCGGGCGAAGTGTAGCCAGATCGGTGTCAGATCCCATCACTACGGCAATGACGGCTCGAGGAGACGGCGCAGGATTCATATCAAGAAGCTCTGCCCGAGTCTTCAGAATTGAGTCTGTAGATGGCTGAATAGATCTGTCGTTGCGGTGCACGCGTATTGCGTCGACCATTTGAATCAAAGGGTGCATTTTAATCTCACATTCCGATAAGCTTGATCCGGTGATTGTGATATGTCCCATCTTCCGTCCAGGTCGGCCTTCGCCCTTTCCGTAGAGGTGGATCTTAGCGCCTGGCACGTCTAGTGCGGCTTTGGCGACCAGCATATGTGAATCAGGCTGCGGTCCTCCGAGGATATTTAACATCATCGCCGCCTTGACCGTCAGTTCTGTCGCGCCGGCAGGTATCTTGGAGGCTAGGTCCGGCAGAATAGCACGGATCTGTGCTTCAAACTGGGACATGTGGCAAGCCTCGATGGTGTAATGTCCCGAGTTGTGCGGTCGGGGCGCAATTTCGTTGACGAGCAGACTGTTGTCAGGGAGAAGGAACAATTCAACGCCGAAGACGCCGGTACCGCGAAAGGTGGAAACAGCACGCCGAGCTAGGTCCTGTGCTGCGCGTGCCACTTGCTGCGAGACATCCCGAGGCGGAACATAAACAAGCTTGCAGATACTGTCTTCATGAATGGTTTCGACGGTAGGGTACGCCAAGGTGTTCTTCTCCCACGCGTCTGGGTCGTCTTCCTGGGCTGTTTTCACAACCATGACAGCGAGCTCCATTTTGAAATGCACCCATTTCTCCGCATACAGAGGCCGTTCCGCCAGGGCCGAGATGGCAGGTCCTATATCAGATAGCGACTTGACCGGGAAATTACCTCTCCCGTCGTAGGCTTGGGTTCGAGATTTCAACATGAATGGGTATCCAAGCTTGTCGCCGACATCTATCAGCCCTTGCTGCGACGAGCTGGCTGCGGTGGATTTGGAGATGGGAATTGCATATTTCGCAAAATGCTGCTTCTGCGTAAATTTGTCCTGGATCGTCCTAACTGTGTGCCAGCTGGGTTGGAACCTGGACCACTTGGTTCCCTCGACATATGGTCTCCCCGCTTCCAGTTCTTCAAGAATCTTGGTGTCGACGTGCTCGATCTCATAGGTTAGCACGTCGCACTTAGAAGCCAGAGCTTTGACATCAGACGCATTCGCAAAGGATCCAGTGACATGCTTGTCAGATTTGGCAAGATATTTTGCGGGAGCGCTGTCGACATCGAGGATCCCGACCTGAATATTGAGACGGTTCGCTGCCTCCACCAACATGCGCCCCAGCTGGCCGCCACCGAGGACACCCACGACATGGTCATCCATGATTGTAGTTATGGCTGTGATTCTAAGAATAGTCGTGCAATGAAGCACAAAACCTTCAGTCGTGCTCCGTGACGTGAGAAGGGAATGAAAAATGGCCCACTGTTGCTGTTTCTAGCCGACTCCGGGACCTGAATTAGGGTGCAGACGTACAAGTAAAGAAATGGTTGAATGCGGAAGTGAGAAGTTGGAAAGTCGGGGCAGAGAGGAGGTACTTATACTCGGTAGGTGGCTCGATCAAAGGTTTCTTAGGTTGTAAGTCCCCAGAGGACTGCCTGGGTCAAAGCTGTGAATATGCTGGGGGTCCAGCGAGTTTCCTGGCGCCTCGCGATGGTTTGACTTCGCAGGATCTTGGGTCGACTAAAGGGCCTCAACACCGGGACACTTGAACAATTTGTTGTGTGAAGACTCGGCGGCGACTCGATTTTATCTGACGGCTCAACTTCGGTCAACTCCGCTTGCGCCCTTTGGCCATTGCGCCCTCAGCACTCCGGCTGCGCTGCGGACCATTATCAGCCTGCGTACCACTACTCCCTCCTCCTTTAGTCTATTCCATGCTCCTTCTTCATCTTCTCCAAGTTTGCCTGCCTTGTTGAAATATCCTCCCTGACCTCCATCTTCATTTTCTCCGGCTGATGGTACAGCACCACCAAATACCGGTTCCGAAAGTTGAACCCGTTCAACTTGTCGCACGCCTGTTTCGCGTCCAAGACATCTTCATAGACCACAAACGCCGTACCCTTTGTAGTATTCGATGTACCTAGGCGGATCTGACGTATGGGACCGAATTTGCCGAAGAGATCGAAGAGGGCTGAGGTGTCGATGTCGTAGGCAAGGTTTTTGACGAAGAGGATCCGATTTGCTTCCGGGGCGAGTTTGTTGCTGCGCGACATTGTGGAAGAGAAGGGCGAGAATATCGTGGCTCCTTGAAGGGGAGGGAAGTCGTCAACGAGTACTTTTTGAAGAGGGCGTGGCGTGCCTTTTGCTTGGAAGGATGTTGGAAAGATGCAAGAGGAGAATTTACGCCAAATTGGTACGTCGCCGTACAGGGGCGTGTATTAACGTCTGCAGGACGGTGAGCTGTGGTGCAACTGTCACGCCCGCGGGATGGATTTCAATGGTAGTCAGAGTTCTTCCTAGGCACGGCAAACAGAATGATCACAATGGGAAGCGGAAATGTGTTGTTGAAAGGTGCGCGGCGCCAGGAGAAAATGTGGTGCTGTAAAATTATGTGGTAATCGCAGTACAGATTGTATTGTCACAGTTCTGCTCCCGTCTGTCTGCGTTCTACCTCGACCCTACTGACCCAACTCCGGACAACCACCTCGACCGTGTCTATTCTTCGCCCACCACCCAACGACTCTCAATCCTTTGCTCACTGCATCTGGCCTCCTGCCGGAGGTCAAATCCCCTTATTCCCCAATGTAGCCATGCTCTTGCGGCCCTCCTTCTCATAGCTTCTCGCCGCTCGACTCACCAACCCCGCCTCCGCAACCAGTTCAACATCAACAACGACTGTGACCTTCCACCCGCCTTCGACGGTAATCATGCCTACCTCGACCGTCTGGCGCCGCAGCCACGATCTGGCAGGACCGCAAGGTGCGAGCCCTCTGCGCCCATCCGCCGAATTCATTGAGCGCCTTTCCCCTGATCCCATTTTCGGATCCCCTACGTTCGACTACCCTTCGCATCTCCTACGTCCTTCGCCTGAAAGCGGCTTCTCATTGAGAGGACTCGGCCTCTCCGATATTGGAACACTCAAAACAAATGAATCCGCCGCACAACCAGATCACCTATACTACGATCACAACGGCGCCGTTCACGTTGCGGGCAGGACGAAAGGTGGCGCGGGTACACACAATGGACGCGCTCGAGTCGGATCGCTGGATTGGGCAACGAGAAACGCTCATCCTGCCTCGGGCTTCTTGCAAGACAGTCGACGCATTCATGGAAAGGGACATACGCGCTCCGGCTCTACGATCGATGACCTCGCGACCGCCGCAATTGCAACTAGCCCTGTTTTGGCTGAAGCAAGCACCTTTTCTCTTTTAAATGGAAGCTCAAACACTGCTACTCGCCCTTCTACATCCTATATTCGTCGCTATAGTCATGACGGTCCATCAAATGGTCCGCCCGCGAAGCGCATCAAATCCGAGCGATTACCTAGCTTCGAATGGTCGCCTCGCGCAGAGAGACCGAAAACGAGTGGTGGCTATAGCAGTAAACCCGAGGTCGATCACGAAGATGCGCTTCTATTGCTTGAGTTGAAGAACGAGGTCAATTTCAAAAACCTTACAAATACCCCCAAGCTTGATACGATGCCTGAACACCAGCTATCGACATCTCCTACCTCTCCCCAGTCACCTTCAACCCTACGGAACCCGCAAAGGAGCCCGACCACACAACTACATCAGAGCATGAAGAGTCGGTCCGGAGAACAATACATATTTGAAGGTCTATCTAATCAAGGGGACGTGTTAGTGGCAGACGGTCCCGAATCAATACACATAGAAGCTGCGATTGGGGAAATGGTTCGGGATGCTCAAGCTCGGGGGACTAGAGAAACTCACGCCGCAGCTGACTCTCTGCCACCAGTAGCCGAAGAACCACTTGAGTCTACACTTGCTGAAACAGAGCCGCTGCCGAAGAAGCACCGTCAAATCAGGCCGGAACAGCAAGCCGAAGTCTGCGCGGCATGTCAGCGTTTACAATTAGACACTGTGGATGACGATGACACTTCTACGTTCTGGATCAGTTGTAACGCTTGCAAACGCTGGTTTCATGCAGAATGTGCTGGTTTCAAGACAAAGGCAGAGGCAAGAGGCGTGGACAAGTATATCTGCAAAGATTGCGAACCGATCCATGGGCCGACTACATACGTGCGAAAGTCGTCCCGTCCTAGGACTGCCATTGACTATGCTGGTCTCAACCAAGGAGTGGTCAAGTCATCTGCAGAGACGTCGACTCACCACTACATCCAACGGCTCAAAGAAGGCAAGATGAACGTCCTACCGGATGATTTCGCTCGAATCAGGCCAGAACTGCTTACAATGGAGTTCATGGAAAGTTTTGAGGGATTCAAACGACCCTTTGTGGTTCCCGCCGAATGGAACCCTCGATTTGGCGTAAGGCCGGTACCTGTCGAGCGCGATTCAGATCCTCCCGCGAAAGATTCCACAACTTTCACACTCATCAATAGTGCAGGAGGAGAAGCAGGTTCCGATACCGCGTCACCGCCGGAGGTGGACGAAGAAGAGGTTATTGATTGTGGCCAGGACTTACTGGACATGGTAATTCCACGCGAATTGACAGTCCGAAAAGTGGCCGAGCTTTGCGGCCCTGAGGAATCTGTACCCGTGATCGATGTTAAGTCTCAAGAGACCAAGGGCCATTTCACGCTCCAACAATGGGCAGACTATTATGAGCTTGAGGGCGAAAAGCCTATCCGAAACGTTATCAGTCTCGAAGTTTCACACACTCCACTTGGCAGACTGATCCGACGGCCCAAAGTGGTTCGAGATCTTGATCTGGACGACCATGTTTGGGAGGCTGACGCGGAGACCCGAATCAAGAAAAAACCAGTATCGTTCTATTGCCTGATGTCTGCTGCCGACAGCTACACAGATTTCCATATTGATTTCGGGGGCTCCTCTGTTTATTACCACATCCTGCGAGGTAGGAAGACGTTCTTCTTCATTCCGCCAGAAGACAAATACCTCAAGAAGTATGAAGAATGGTGCAACTCTGACTCGCAGAATGAGACTTGGCTTGGAGACCTGTGCGGGGGCAACTGTACAAGAGTTGACCTTCACGAGGGAGATACAGCATTTATCCCCGCGGGTTGGATTCATTCTGTTTGGACTCCCGAAGACAGTTTGGTGATTGGCGGCAACTATTTGACTCGTCTGGACTATGACATGCAGTGCAAGGTCGTCAACATCGAGAAGGTGACCAAAGTTGCCCCAAAATTCCGCTATCCATATTTCCAGAAAGTCATGTGGTATGCGTTGATCAAATATCTCGATGAAGATCCGCTTCCCGAAGAAGTTTTGAATGACTTCCACGACGATCCCGACTATGTCTTCTTGCGAGCAAACCCGATTTGGCACGAAGTCGGAGAGTTTGAAAATACAGCGGAGCCCGGTGATCCAGCTTACAATTCGAGGTATTATCCGAAATCCGAGGTGAGCGGCTGGCCAGCACTACGAGATTTTCTGTATCGTACAGCTCGAATAGATGCGGGTTTGCCTGTGCCAGACATTACCAAGAGACAGATCGATGCTGTCAAGGCGTCTATACCCAAGGGATATGGCGATCCACTCGTGATGATTAAAAACTTCGCAATCTGGTGCGCTTGGAAGATTGGCAACACCACCGCACCAGACTGGGTCTACTCAGATTTTGACTTGGACCTAGAAGAGGCAGAGACAGCGAAGAAACCCGAGCCAATCCGTCCGTCCGGAGAGCGAAGTTCACCTCGAAAAGCAGCACAAGCGCAGGCACAGGTGCAAGCGCAAGCTAAGGCACAGACACCTGCCAAAACCGGACCCAGAGGGAACGGGTTGAGAGTCGCTTGTGAGCCTTGTCGGAAGCGACGTATAAAATGCCGACATAAGTCTGGTGGTGAAACACCTCGCCGAACGCCAGAGATTCGACCAAGAAGCTTTTCCAGCACCGATCATCATCCCCTGGCGGGCGCTGGAGCGTTCACCAACGGCACCATGGGGGATGCTTTATCTCCGGAAGCACGAATATCGGACGGTGTCGGTACAGAAGTGACACAATCTGACCCTCAGTCATCCTCGAAGAAAAGCCGGAGCAAAGCCTGTGAAGACTGCAGGAAGAGCAAAGTAAGTGATCTTGAGAATGTAGCATTATCCTCATCCTAACATGCCCTAGCGTCGTTGTGTACATGATCAATATGGCCGCATCGATCCTGCCAAAGTAGCAGAGCCCTCGAAGCCCCGTGGATCGGCGAACGCGAAACGAGCCACGCAGGCCAATGACGAGGTTAGACAAACAGGACCAGAGATTGACAATCTAGAGGACTTAATTGATCCCGCCTTGACCAATGGTGACGCCTCTCAATTAGCCAATGATGCTAATGAGGAGGCGTACCCTACGCCAGGACCTTCGAAGAACGAGTGCCCTGCTGACGATACCAAACACGAAGACGGGGATGTTTCCCTGACGAACGGGGTCAGTCAAGAATCGGTGCCAATCGATCCGGCCCTAGGGAATACCGAGGAAGAAGCAACACCCATCAAAATTGAGCGTGATCAGACCGCAGTGTCGGCGGATTCGAATCAAAACGGCAACGTTGCCACTCCGACTACGATTCCAAATGGAGGATCGGTTAAAGGCGAATTTTCTGGTCCTAACACTTGGTCGCGTGGGTCGAGGCAGTCGTCTCGGCAACCCAAGCAAGTAGAAAGATACACGCCCGAAGATAAAAGGTCGCCCAGCAAGCCATATCCAAAGCCGCAAAGGAACGATCGACGGGCTTCCAGTGCTGCAAGCGCACAGACAGTGGTGACGGTTATCAAAAGCGAACGCTCATCAAGCAACACTTCGAGTACCACGCACCAAATGGCGGGCATGATCGCCAGCAGACGTAGTGCGTCTCGCGAAGCCTCCGTCCGACCCGTTAGCAGAGGAAGTACAGGCGGAGAAAGCGACATGAACGCAGACGAAAGGTTTGCAAGAGAGCTTCAGGCGGCTGAAAATGGGTTAAGGCGACGGACCAGTATGAGGGCTTAGAAGGGCTTCGGCTGAATGTCCAGGGACAGCGGGTTATGATGACATGACAAGGAAGATGGCGTTTAGATGTGACAAAGCTTGGGATGAATTAGGATTGATGCAGAAAGCAATTGCACGTCGCTTGAGAACGGCAGTGGAGCAAGATTCAGTGGCTTGGGGGAATTTTGTGTCTGATTTCCGTTCGTTGCAATACCCTCGAAGCGCGACGGGTACTTGAGGGGTTAATAACGAGCTTCCCAATGTACATCTTCCCTGGTTTTTGATCTACTCTGTACACACAGCCACCACAGCCTTGGGTACCGATTTCTATAGCCTTGCACGTGACAGGGGTCCTTATTGGACCGAGCAGACTAGGCGACGAGCACAAGTGTGGGGTAAGGGATCCGACATAACATCATCGCTCAATCGCTCACCGAGGGACAAGCTCAACATTTCTCTTTCATCCAACATCCTGAAGTATTCAGTGTCTCTCTCTATCATCCTGTTAGTCCTTTTCAACACCATGGTGCAAATGATTCTTATGTCATGACCATGGCGAACTTCATGGATAACAGCCAACTCGTATGTGCGGTGGTCAATCCTCCTTTCCACTCTGGGTCAACTCGGCCCTCTTCCCTTGTCTCTCTTCTTCATTATGCGAGTAGCACAAACTAACCGATGTAATCCCTATTGCAGGATGCTTTTGAACTATTCCACCTCGTACAGGAAGAGGATGCTTCCCACCTCTCTTCACGACCACGAAGATCCCATGCCCTGGAGGCCCTAGGCCACGCCCTTTCGGGCTCCTTTGGCGCCGCCATTTCCAATGCGGCGCTATACCCAGTTGACCTCATAATAACTCGCCTCCAGATACAGCGGCAACTCCGCAAAGACCAGTCATCCCCTGGCCAGGAGGAGTATAAAGGCTTCTTCGACGGCCTGCAGAAGATTTACCATGATGAGGGAGGGATAGCGGGGTTATATACAGGACTGCTGCAAGACACGGGAAAGACGATGGCGGATTCTTTTTTGTTCTTTTTGATCTATTCCTTTCTAAGAGATCGGCGGATCGCGCGGCATGCGAAGTTCAAGGGCGGCAAGAAAGTCAGTCTGCCGGCGCTGGAAGAGTTGGGTGTTGGGTTCATTGCCGGGAGTTTCACGAAGTTGGCAACGACTCCAATCGCGAATATTGTCACAAGGAAACAGGCTGCTGCGTTGATCAAGGCTTCGGAGGGAGGACCGGAAGAGTCTTCTATGATGACAACGACGAAGACGCCCACAGCCCAAGAGATCGCCAAAGACATCCTCTCGGAAAAGGGCCCTATGGGATTTTGGTCCGGCTACTCGGCGAGCCTGGTCCTCACACTGAACCCAACAATTACGTTCTTCCTATTTGAAACGCTCAAGAAGATTCTGCTACAGAGCGATAAAAGGCACAACCCACCCCCGAGCCTCACATTCTTACTTTCCGCTTTCAGCAAAGCTTGTGCATCGTCAATCACATACCCTTTCAGCCTCGCGAAATCGCGGCTACAAGCAGGTGGGACTTCCACGCAGCGGGAGGATCAGGACGAAAAAGAAATTATGAGTGAAGACTTCAAACACGAAGAAATGAGAAAAGCCGCGCGGGCCACGATCTTCAGCACACTCCTCACCATTGCACAGACTGAAGGTGTTAGCGCTCTTTACGAGGGATTACACGTTGAGGTGCTAAGGGCCTTCTTCTCCCATGGAATCACCATGCTTGTGAAGCAGGTCATCCAACGCTTCCTCGTCAAGGCCTACTTCCTCGTCTCCATCATCCTCGGACGCTACAAGAAGCGTCGTAGCGCAAGTGCAAAACGTCTGGCAGAGAAAGCAAAAGCCAGCGTCGAGTACTACAATCTTGCAATGGCGCGGGCGTCCGAGAAGCTTGAGGAAGCGGCAGAGAAAGTAAAGGAAAGCGTGGGGGGAAAAGCGAACGAGACAGCAGAATTTGTGGGAGAGTATGTGGAGGAGGATTCCGAGTTAGGGGAGAAGTGGAAGGAGCTGTATGGAACAACAGGGTTGGCTCGGTGGTTCGACAAGGTGAGTGATGAGAGATGAGACGTCCTCTTACATACCTCATTGCAGAGGGACTTGCCAGCCTGGATGAGGGGGCCCTTCAGAGCAATGTATAACGGCAGAGCGTTGGTGGATGGAATGCGCACATGGAGCGGTTTGGTGCCTGTGACTTGACACGTGGACACGGTCGTGACGGATCCTATACCATGGATGAAAACGATCTTTTCCAGTTCAGCGATACTTGACCTTTTGGCCCCCTCTTTTCTCCATTTTTGTCTGCCTCTTACTCTGTGCCATATCGTCACCCTCTCCGCCTCCCCCAGCCAGTCCTCCCATCATCCCCTTGACACCCCTCGCGGCACCAACAATGCAATATACGGCATATGTAGGAACGATCACGTAGACCCACCACCCGCGATTCCCCAAAATCATTACTAGGATGAGATTGATCCAGGTCCAGTACACAATATCCCACATAAACTCGGTCAGGCCTTTCGCATCTAGATCCTCTCCTGCCTTTTTCAGGTCCCCGTTAGGATGATATGTCGGACGCGCGAGGATGTCGAGATATACTTCGAGGAGTAATGCTGGAGCGCTTAAAAGGAGATAGATCCATAAAGAGAGAGAGCGGCGGAGCGTGAATTTCAGGAGGAGGAACAGTGAGTGTATTGAGAGGGTTATGAGATGCGTCTGTCGGAGGCGGGCAGTATTGCGGGTGGCAAGAGATTTGGCTGCTTTCTATCCAAAAACCACAGTCAGTGAGATCAACCCGATGATAATGACGCGGAAGTGCAACCTACCTGAGCCATGATTGAGACAAAATCGAGCAGTTGGGTGGCAGGCGGGGGGAGGGAGAATGCCTGCGTGTGAAAGGAATGGTGCTCAATGCGAGCGGAAAGCGACTCGCTGGGGCAGAAAAGAGGCTTCCTGCTGGCCAGCAGCAGATCACACGCAGGAGTAGAGCCGAGAAACAAGAATTTGGACAGTCTAGTCTAGTGTTGGCAGTAAAGAATTCTTTGACGGACAATTGAAGAGGTCAAACTGGGCTTGACTGGGGTGAAATTTCCCCGCCGCATGTATTACATAGGAAGGTACCTCGTACTCGGTACCCAGTACCCAGTACCCAGTACCCAGTACACACATTCCCTGTGTTTTTTATTTGATGGTTGCGGTGCCAGCCTCACCAGCCACAGCTTTGCTAGCCCGGTCCATGCAGCCCTCGCAGCCCTCGAAGCCCTCGAAGCCCTCGAGTGCATTCGCTGCCACTGCGTCTGCGGTCTGCGTCTGCCCTGCAAACAGAACAACACCACCACCACCACCACCAACTCTCACAAGTAACCGCCCGCATTCCTTTCTATTGATACTCACACTCCCAACATCTTCACTTCACCTTCCTTCTACATCCTTCTGCGGGCCTCGAGTAGTATTACGGACCAATACTGCCTTCCATGCCCTAATTGACCATACCTGCAGCATCAACGGTTGTGGCGCATTGTTTTGGGCAGAGCAGCCCTTTGGGGGGTTGAATCCATGACCTCTCGACCGCGTCTCCCTACAAGCCCCCGGACGTAATCATCTCCTACGACATATTCCTCTACTTGTCTCAGGTCGCTTGACTCGTCAGCCGACGCCATCATGGCACCTACACAACACCATGTCGCCGCTCAGCTCCGCCAACTGATCTACTATCACCTCGACAACAACCTGCTCAAAAACGCCCTCTTCCTCGCTTCCCGTCTCGTTGCCTATGAACCCCGTTCCCCCGAAGCAGCCTACTTACTCGCCTACTGTCAATTTCAATCAGGGTTTCTGAAAGCTGCATGGGACACTTCACGCGCTGCAGCTGTCAAAGGTATCCATTTGGGGTGCAGTTACATTTTCGCTCAATCCTCTCTCGAACTCGGTCGTATCCTCGAAGGCCTTACTGCGCTTGAGAAGTGTAAACACCACTGGCAAAATAGAAACACGTGGGGTCAACATAATGAATCAAGACGACAGCATCTTCCCGATGCTGCGGCCGTCTTATGCCTCAAAGGGAAGCTCTGGAAAGCGCATAAAAATGTGGATCAGGCAGTGGAGTGCTGGGCCGCCTCTTTGAAATTGAATCCGTTCATGTGGGATGCATTCATGGGCCTATGCGACGCTGGCGCGAAGATCAGTGTGCCCAACATCTACAAATTGAGCAATGAAATGGTAGCAGCTGCACATTCAGCGCAACAGCAGAGCGCAAGGATCGAGAATGCGCCAGCAGAGAAGGGCTCGGGTACCATGTCACAAGCACCATCAGATCCGTTTGTCTCCACCCAAAAGTCAAATGTGCAACAACAACAACCGGCAAACTCAGTGCTGTGGGAGAAGCTTAACGGAAGTAAAATGAGCGTCAACACGGTCAGTACGATTCTGGACGAGGAAGGTCTCGCTACCCCCTCGACGGAGGTCGAAGTGGAAGAGGGTGTTCTTCAAGGCGCTCCGCTCAACAACCAATATCACGAACCGCCGCCGGCACCGGTAAGAAAAGCGAAGACCTTGACAGAAACACATGCGGAGCCTCCTCCTAGGTGGAAGTCAGGATCTGCCCGGATGAGAACAAAAGGAAAAGGGACATCGGATGATCCCACCACTGTCTTGCAAGACCCTCCACAGCCACCGCCAGCGGCACCTTCTAAGAGAACGGTTTCGGGCCAACTGGCTCCAACATCATCGCACGCTGCTCCGTCCAGTATTACTGAAGGGACCAGAAGAAGTAACCGGCTGCTAAACACTACGAGGCCGCCGAGTGCGAGTAGCACAGCCGGGAGCAAGATTTCATCTCTAGCGAATACGCTCGGCTTAAGGGAGGGGCGGGATATCAAGAAAGCGAAGGCCCCAGCTGCAAAGGGCAGAATAGCCAATGCCTCAACCGTGGGGAGAGTTGTGAGTGGGAATAGAACGAGGACCGGGTCGGCAGACCAAATGGATGTGGACGCGAAAGAACAGAAAAATGCTCCGAATGCAAACGCACCTCCTCCGGTACCCGCTCTGCCAACCCACAAAACACGAGCACCATCGACCGTGGACAAGGAGCTCGAAGCACTCCAAACTCTTTTGGATCTGTGTGGCAGAATTGCTTCTGCCCAGCTCTGCCTTTCCAACTTCGACTGCCAAACCGCTATTCAAATGTACAATGCCCTCCCTTCGTCCCAGCGTGAGACACCTCACATCCTAAGTCAAATCGCCAAAGCATATTACGAACAAGCATCCTACAGCGAGGCCGAGAAATTCTTCATCCGCGTCCGTCAGCTTGCGCCCACTCGCCTCGAAGACATGGAAGTCTACTCTACAGTACTCTGGCACTTGAAATCAGAGATTGAACTCGCCTACCTGGCGCACGAGCTCATCGAGATTGACCGGCTATCACCTCAAGCGTGGTGCGCCGTCGGGAATTCCTTCTCACTCCAACGCGAACACGAACAAGCACTAAAATGCTTCAAGCGCTCAACACAACTCGACTCACAATTCGCGTATGGATTCACGCTCCAAGGACACGAATACATCGCCAACGAGGAATTCGAGAAAGCACTTGAAGCGTATAGAGCAGCGATCGCCGCGGATGGGAGACATTACAATGCCTGGTACGGATTAGGAAAAGTGTACGAGAAAATGGGCAAGTGGAATATTGCGGAGCAACATTACCGAACGGCGGCGAAGATTAATCCCACGAACGCGGTCTTGATATGTTGTATCGGTCTCGTCCTCGAGAAACAGAAACATCACGAAGACGCACTGCTTATGTACACTCGCGCGTGCAGCCTGGCACCCCAATCGGCCTTGAGCCGGTTCAAGAAAGCAAGATGTCTGATGAGTCTAGGCCGGCCGAGGGAGGCGCTTGCCGAGTTAATGATATTAAGGGACGTGGTGCCGGATGAGGCAAATGTGTGGTTTCTGATGGGACGACTGTACAAGACCTTGAGAGACAAAGCCAATGCGGTAAGAGCCTTTACCATGGCGCTGAACTTGGATCCGAAGGTATGTCTCTACAGTTTCGTATTGGCTCGCGAACGACTAAACATGGGATTCAGGCTGCTCAGTTCATCAAAGACGCCATGGAGAGTCTGAACGAGGATAACGACGATTATGACGAGGATGAAGATATGGACTGATGATGGTCGCGATTCTTCTTTTTCGGCCCTGAAGACCTCCACTTTCCAAGGAATCATTGATGATAGCCTGAAACAAGGTTCTGTCTGGCTTACAGCACCCCATCATCACCAGAATCAACAATGGTTTATGGATTCCGAACAAATCTCTCGATTATTATTCAAAGGATTACCATCCACGCTACCGCAGTGAGCGCTAACTACTTATTGAGTTCACCATTATAGTGTTTACCAGCAGTCCACGAACCGATGAATTCAATGGACCAGAGAGTCTGCTGGAAAAGGATTGCATTAAAGATGCTAAGTCACGTTTGTGGGATACGAAAGAAGCAAAGAAAACGAATGGGTAGGATAGCTCTGTTCGACAGTGGAAAGCGACCCCAGCTAGCAGGGCCACCGCATATCATATCGCAACAACCGGGACAGCAGCGAAGGGTGGAAGCATGTGGTGTGTCCGCCCTGGCGCTGTGCAGAGAGAGGACCTTTAAGGGCAGGTCTGAGATTCTATTTGCGCTTCCAGAAGCTCTGATGTGGATTGTTTTGCTTCAATGAAAAGACGCCTTTGATGCTTTTTCCCGAGTTTCTGCATGGGTGGGATGCGTGGGATCGGGCACGTGTGCTTTCCGCTTTAGAGCAGCTTAGTACGTGTGCGTTGTAAGGGTTGGCTCAAGTGCGTTCGACGGCGCTGGGGATTTCGGCGGGTATCGATGGGTTACTGGAGCTTTTGGAAGCTTTAAGCGTCTTCTTGCATTTTACGGAGTAAAGCAATGAGCATGGAGCATGGAACAGCATGGCATGGGTATCGTCTGGTCTGGTATCATATGGCAATACAATAGCATGGAATAGCATAGCGCACGCGGCCACGGTCAGACACAGACACACACGCAACGCGCGAGAGAGCAGCAGTACTTTAAGGTTCCCAGAACGGCTTGAGAGCTGTATAATCACCCTATGTACCTATGTACTTCGCCCCGACCTACTCGTCGACCTCCCAATGCAATACGGGTGTGGAAAATAAAACAAGCTGTAGTGTACTGGGTACACTGCAGACCATGGAAGAGAGTCCTCTCATGGCCACTTTGATATTGATCCTGATGGTAATGTTGGTACTCCTCCCCGTCTGTTGCTCTCCCTCCCTTCCTTATTGTGTGATTCTAAGAAGGACCCGTGTATAGAGATCTAGAGGATATATATATATATATATATTATATATACCCCGAACTGTGCATCGCCCATTGCCATATTCGTTCAGGAAACGGAGCCAGTTTACTTTAATCACGCACGTGACGGAGCATCGCGGGAGCCGCTTCAGAGTACGGGGGAGCGCCGGGAACCAAGCACTAGGCGAGACACAGGGGGAGCGCGCCATCCGCAGAAGCCACTTCGAGCTTACATCGGCAAAATTTCCCGCGCGACCCTGAGAGCCCTGGGCTGCCCTGGGCTGTCAAGGTAAGTCTGCGTCTTACGCAGCCCATGAGACCGCTGGGCTCGCTGGGCTACTCTAAGAGGGCCCTAGGCTAATATAATAATTTATAACTTTACGAATATATAATTATACTAGTCGTTTAAACTAGTACTAACTATATTATACTAAAATTAAAGTAGATATATATAAAATATAAGGTTTCGAACTAAATCTTAAATTATTAGCTTAATAGCGTTAGTATTCACTAAGATAAAGACTTAGCGAGTTATTCACTTTTAATATAAACCTTATTTCCGAAATAGGAAAGATCTTTTTAAATTTAATAATATTATATAATAAGTATATTATAAAAGTTACTAAAAATAGATAGTCTATAAGAGCTTATAGCCTAGATATAAGAGCTGTGAGCGACTGTGGGCTCCCTGGGCTCCCTGGGCTCCCTGGGCATATAAGAATGCTGTGAGTCGCGGGAAAAATTGCTGATGTTTTAAGCAGGGAGAATTCGGCAGGTACGGCCTGGTCTGAGATGCATCTGAGTATTTATTACAGTGGGCATTGCCGTTACTAATTATTTCTCTTTCTATACATGTATTGGCGGATCAGTTAGCGACAAGAAGAGTTGTCAGCACTTTAAGGTCAACTTTCGCTTGAGCGTACCCGATAAAGCCCATTCAGCTATCGAGTCACACCCTCAACCTTCTTAGTCATCTAATCCACCCTTTCGGTGTAGTTTCTGTAATATGGACTTTGAATAAAAGGTTCTCTATCACCGCCATCAAAAGATCCATCTGGCGAACCATTAGCGTGGTGAAGGAAAGAAGTTCTTCAGGAGGAAGGATACTCTCCGGAAGCACATTCGACCAGTGAGATGGTTCTCATGCAAATCTCATGTACACTAAAAGGCTCAAAAATATCCTTGTAACAGGGTTTCAAAAAGTGTTTTATCGATCGGACGCTTCGAGCAGGTAAGATCCTCAGTAGTTTTTGATGTTATGAAGTCAAAGCCGCTCATATTGTTGACAGTCACCTTATAAGTGCTTCTTGCTGACTGACTTCCGTAGTCATTCACATTCTGTCAGAAGCTTTGATAGTGAAACTTTTGTAAACAAGTGGTGATGGAACCATTGCTTATGGCATGTCTATTACTACCAAGTTCTATCAAAGTATAGTATAGCTATACCACTATAATGCTGGCCACAGAAAGTGAGAAAGCGAAGGTGCTTGCAGTGCAGGACATAGAGAGCTCGAAAGGCGATTAAGTCTTGAGTGATAACAACTCAAAATAGTGGTATAACTAATGGCGGCCAGAAATTGGGGCCTCGCAGACCTGTGGCATTGACACTGGTTTCCTTGCTGCCGTCCCGGCTGTCCACCTGACTCGGCGTTCTTGCACACATTCTCAGGAGCATGCGTAAATGAAGCTACACCACGTGATCCCTCGGAGTTACAATATTCCACCTAGGGATAAGAAGGCGAGAAGGTCCTATGGGTCTCAGCTGCAGTCGCCAATTATAACACTCTGTGGGGCTTTATGTTGAGGAAGGTTTTCAGACCCACAGGATCCCCCTAGATCCACAGGCCAACATTTCCAGAGAGGTTAACAACAAGTCGATAACGTGTTGACGTTACTTGAGACATTAAGCCGGGACTCATGTCCGTAGTATGATTATCCTAGGGCCCAAGGAGTATATTCATACCATAAATCCAGCACATTTTTCATGGCTTCTCTCTATTCTAGGTCAGAGCGTCTGTTGTGCACAGAATGAGAGTGGATTCATCTGCTTGATTGTGTTCTGTCCTCTGGCTTTTCAGAGAGACTCTGCCTGCCTATATACTATTTGCCCTGTGGCAAGAAGCGATCCACTGAATAGATCTGGACCTGGCCAGATCTGTCCAGACCTCGTTGTCGATCAACGGTGGCACCGAGGCTATTATAGAGAGGTCTCGGTTGAAGCATCGGTGGATTGATTGGTTTGCCACAGTGGCGCTCTGCTGTCAACAGCGTCTTGCAGCTCAATCGATCATTCACATAACCAATAACTTATCCAGAGCCTGGTTCTTGGGCCTTGAGGTTCCCAACGCCAGTGTCCCCTAGATGGCCGTGTAAAGTTGCCATAGTCGTCGAAGAGAGATACCTACAAGCAAACTGTGGCCATCGAACGATAATAGTGGTCCGAAAGTAGACTGAGCATGGGTGATGAGTAGGGATAACGGCCTGAGCAGTTTCATGGTGAGCCCGAGCCGAAGTTGACCCAGGCCACTTGTCAACTGAGTAAACCAAAGGAATGTCAAGGTGCTGAGTCGGCGCTGGATACCATAGTCAGACTTGACCCCATCACAATTTTCACCGCGATAGCCATCAAACTAGATATGATATGATCAACTGTCCCAAGTCACTTGTCGGTCGATGCTTCCGAAAGGTGGAGGCGTTATCGAGGCCCGCCTTTGAGCTTCATAAATTGCGCATGTGGGGGTGACTCTCTCCGGAGGTGCGAGGCGAGAAAAAGTGCCAGCATTAATACTGTATCAAAATCATGTACCTTTGGAGTCATCAGCTACACCGTACGCAATGTCTGGGTGTAGCAGATTCAGCACTCATGAGCACCCAGCTCTGGGGAAGATCAGGGGTGTGTTGATATCAGACAATTTGATTCAGTTTCGCAACTTGCTGTACACGGTTATTCCCGGTCGCGCTGGAAAACCTCGACCATCCTCGATAACCTGAGTCCGTTCTATGGGCCTGATTTTGTATATGATGCAACCTTATGGGGCCCAATGGCTCCTCAACACGAGCTTTCAATTGACTTTGACTTCGGCCTGATTCAGAAGAGGCTGCCTGTTGAACATTCCCCGGTCTGCAGCGAGGACAGGTGCTTGAATTTGGTTATTTCCGCCCCTACTCTGCATGCGAAGGACCTTCCTTATTGTTACTTTGTAAAGTGGCTCCCTCAGAGGTCCTATTCATCCTGCCTCTGTCCAGACCCGCTAATTCATGTACTTCTCGTATAGCATCCACGGGTGAGATCGATGTCCCAGCGTGTGATTCCACGCTAACTCTGAGACCACGACAGCGGGGGTTTTTTCATCGGTAGTAACGCCTGGCCTCAATACGGTAACTAGGTTCTAGGATAGCACTCTCCACCCTTCTTGCCAGCTTTAAACGCGAGAGTAACTGAGAAATATTTTCTAGATATTGCCAAACTGGTCCAGTTGTCGGCCAATCTAGGAAAGCCGGTGGTTGGCATCAGCATCAAGTGAGTCCACCCTCAGAAGTGTTCGCTGCAGCACGGCCCATCTATATCTGAACCTGACATCTCATACCAGCTATCGACTTGGGATCATGGGCTTTCTAGCATCCCGGGAAATTTCTGATACGAACATGGTGGGAAACTACGGCCTGGAAGATCAAGCGAATGCTTTAAGATGGGTACAAAGTAAATGGCATCCATAGTCCATTGCTGTCTTTATCCGAAGTATAAATCTCTACGCGCAGAGCTATGTTAGAGTTGAAGAAGACGGGATATATCGAGCCCCACGGCGACGGAGCAGGGGGCATTCAGGACATCTTCGGAGTAGGTGGATTGAGGACATGCTGGCAGTTCGAACTCCGCTGTCGGAGGGAAAGAGAGAAAATTTAGAAGCTGGATGTGGAACTTCAAATAACTTGGTTGTCTACCCAGTCACTAGATTAAGTCTCCGGTCTAGGGGTTCTTTGGCACGGTTTTGTAGGCTTCGGTCCAGAATGCAGCACTCTCCTCGCCTAGCCATCTCTGGCTTTCATTCGGCCAGTCTGGCTGTTTCCTCGAGTATATTTGATCCAGACTGAGTTCCAAGATCTCTCCTGTGAGTTTCCCGTCCTCCAATACCCGATCTATTGCCTTGAGCACCGTATTCATGGGGGTAATGTGCTCCTTCGGAAATAGGGAAAGCATGTGCGGCGAGCAGAGATTGGTGGGCACAAACGCCGGGTAGATACAATTTACCGTGATATTTTCCTCGCCCAGCTTCGACCCCACTGATCTCGTCAAGCCGACCAGGGCATGCTTCGCGGCACAGTATTGAGGGTTGGTGGGCATGGGACTAGGACGCGTTAGCAACTAAAAAGAGAGATCCCCAGAAAAGGCGAAGGGGACCACCAACGTACTACAAACCGGCAGCCGAGGACGTAATGACGACTTCCCCTCTACCTTTTTTGTGGGCAAAGTATTTGAAAAGCCACAAGCCCTGGAAGACTACGAGCAAATCCACCTCAAGGGTTTGCAGATTGAGCGGTAGCAGTCGTCCGCGGTCATCCAGGGGCGTCGATTCGTTGTCCTAGTAGAGACTCTGCCGGTCGTCAATGCCCGCATTCGCCGCGAGGAAATCCAGGCGCCCTCCCCATTCAACGGCCGTCGAGAAGAGGCGGAGTTGGTCGTCATATCTAGAGACATCGACATGGACAAAGAGGGTCGCCGGTCCCAGTTCGCCTTGTAATCTACGGCCTTCGGCTTCGTTCACATCTCCCATCACAACCCGAAAGCCTCGTGTCAGTAAGTGTTTGCTTACGGCCAAGCCGATGCCAGAGGCAGCGCCGGTTACAATGGCTACTGGTTGATCCATGCTGGTCCAATAGACCAAACAAAGTCGTGTGAAGGCTTGAGACTCCCAGAATGGTAATGTATGTTCAACATCCTCTTCAGTGGCGCCGTCGCTGTGCTCACTTCAATGTAGCTACCCCATACGCTGGCCATGCTTATGTGTTAGGTCACATCTATTTGCCCGAGAGTCAATTCCTGTCCCTCCACTTGACGGGGATTCTCCTAGAGAGTAGAAAGACTGACATGACCGATGACCACTATTCTCCGAAGAGGTCATCTCCCTCCGTCTTGCTCTTGGATCACTCGTACGTACTGGGGAGTGGAGGGAGTACGGGCGCATATTCCTCGATCGGACTTAACAATGGAAACAAGCACTTTCTCCCCACAGCGTTCATCCTAAGGGGACTCTGGTCTCCAGGTCATAACTTTGGACATTTTCTCCTTTGCAGCTACTGGGATCTACGGTACTAACGCCATGGCCACTCCACAGGGGAAAATTGTAGTCACACACATCAACGCTGACGGCAAGGCAGCCTTCCTACCCGACCTGTCAGTCCAGCCCGTGCAGCTGCCCGGTGCTAGCATTCGAAGGATCTGGGACACTCCAGCTGTTCCGGTCCCTAAGTGTGTCATTGCTCCGGGCGATGTTAGCCCCTGGCATTCCACTTCTTCAGTTGACCTGGGGTTCATCATGGCTGGAGAAATTGTCTTGATGTTGGATGGAGGAGAGGAGAAGACGCTTAGGTGCGTGTTGCTACTGTCTAAATTCCGGGTCTCAGGGTAGGCCACTAACGTCCACAACAGCGCTGGAGACATGTTCATTCAGCAAGCTACGAACCACGCATGGGCCAACCGATCCTCTCTGCCCGGCCGTTATTATACGTTCTTGGTGGCTTCGCAAATGGGGGGGGAAAGGAGAATAACGCACTGTGTGAACTGTTAAGAGGCCCGCTGTAGGAGCATCTATGCACTATAACAATAACTCCTGTATCATAGGGTTGCAACGGAATTCTCTGCTGCCACACGGAACCCTCAGAAGGCGATCTAACAAGTTTCCAAGGGTTCGAAAGATCGCTCTAGACTGCAGAGCAAAATTATTAGAAATCAGGTGGGATTCGCTGAAGAGCGAGAAGACAGGCAGATACACAAGGACTTCAACAGAGAAACTCATACACTCCACAAACTGCGTACGAAACGCACCATGAACGACTAGGAAGATTGAGGTCTTTTACTTGGGCAACGGATACCTTCTTTGAATCAAAAATCCCTGCGCCAGCGATCGGGGACTGATAGCACTTGGTAGAATGAATGATGCCGATTCTTCAGATTAGTGATTTAATTCTCTTATTTCCCTTCTACAACGGCCAACGCAGTGCCACCGTCGTTAGGAAGGCCTCCCAAGAACTCCACCTTGAGATCGTATAGACCTTTCAGACCTTGCTCTCCCACAGCAAGCACTGTGCCAATGTCTTGCTCGCAATCAAAGTATTTCCCTCTTAGCAACTTGGCTTTTCCAGCAGAGAGAAAAGCACATGTCTGGCCACAAAGAGCAGGGCTGACTTTGAATAATTGGTGGAACTGGCGCCATTTGACGCCGAATTCTGGATATTTCTCTTCAATGTCGGGATCAGGCGGAACTAGAAAGCAACATTCAGGTCGAGGTTCGTACCATTCGGCTGCAGAATTGTCATACCTGTCATCTCCGTCTTGACGGCGCCTGGATGGAGTGCATAGAGATGGATATTGTCGCCAAAGCCATCCAACTCCAACTCTGCTTGCCAAACGCCGGTTGCTCTGATGAGGCCGGCCTTCCCAATCGAGTATGCCCCCGCGAACGGTGACACCACCGTGCCGGCCCTCGACGCGATGTTAATGATGCAACCGTGTCCTCGTCTCCTCATGGACGGAAGCACCTGGTAGAGACATATCATGGCCTATAGGCAGGACTCGGTCAGAGTAGCTAACTTCGTCGCAGTGAACCTGGGATCCCGCACTCACTCCTTTCAGATTCAACTCGACGCCAGCCCACAATTCCTGGAACGTTTCCATCGCCATCACTCGGCGCGAGTTTCGACCGGCGTTATTGACGAGGATACTGCCCATGATACTTAGGGTGCTGAAATCTCGAAAGTGTCCACCGTGTGCAAGGAACTTACTCCACCGGCCCCAGATCTCGCACGATCTGCTCAAACACCTCCTGGCATGTTTGGAGGTTGGTGACGTCGCACGCGTACCGCCGAGCTTTGACGCCGTGTTGCTCGCAGTCGGCTTGTGTCTGCAACTGACGTTCCGTGTCCAGGTCAAGCAATGCGAGATCCGCACCGGTTTTGGCCAAACTCTCTGCGATGGCCTTGCCGATTCCTTCCAGTACAGGTCAGTGTACGGCGATTAAGCTGTCATTCAAACACCCTATGAGCCACACATACCTCGGGCAGCGCCCGTAACAACTGCAGTTTTGCCTCGGTTTACACCGACCAAGGTCTCAGGCGCTATGAGCGCATAAGGGTCGGTGTTCAAGCTCGGGCGTGACATGATGAAGAATACTTTGGTGAGCCGCAAACGCTGATTGCCCTACTCACCCTCCGTTCACACGGAACCGGGGCATTATTTGTAATGGGGGACACTCAATTAATTGATCGACACAACCGGTCGATACCAAGACCTTTCCGATATCTGGGGAGTCCTCATAACTCCATGATGATCTGGCTGGGGTGGGGAATTCGTTCACCCCCACATAAAGGCATGTTACTGTTACTCACTGGTTACGACCTGTGGGTGAAATTGTACGACAAGAACAGACGATTATTGAGAAAATTTCATTCAGCTATCAAAGACGGACTATAGATTGAACCCGAATCACAATCACAAGTGAAGATGATTGTTTCGGGCCTAGTTTTACCGATAGAGGCGCTGTGCCTTACTATCCACAACTTCTCACCCATGGCCACCAAAATCACCAGCAGAAATTCTCCGGCTGGTTTGGTGGATGTGCCTTCTCGTAGAGTGGAACCGTCTATTTTTGGAGAAAGCCCGAACAGAAAGCCTCCAAACCAGCCATGTCTTCGAGGTTTCCAATCCAGGAGACGTATTGGTCGGGTCGCACCAAGACAAGGCATCCCCTGACGGCGTCCACACCGTAGTTTTCGTAGGCATTCCCAAACGGCTCAGAATAGGAATGGTCGTCGACGAAGATTTTGTTGTACTCGTATTTTTCTCGAAGCGGTGGCGGGAAATCCGATAGCTCTACGTCAATGCGAGGACCAGAATGAACGGTAATCACCTCGAACAGAGATCTCCCGCCTGAAGTGTACGTGTTCAAGATGGAGGAGGGTGAAGATAAGGAATGGGCTAGCTGGAGAACTCGTGGGCGTTGTGTTGGATCGGTCATACGCCCTGCAAATACGAGAAGGCGCCACAAGCCGTCCGAAGGCAACGTGTCCTGTAAGTGCCAGGAACGCATGTCTGCCTGATTGAGAACGCGGTGTGAGGCAAACCTCATGCCAATGGGGATGCCTTTTGCAAGGTCCTGATTTCCCATACCAACGCTAGGAGGGTTGAAATGGACGTTTTTGTGGTCCAAAATCTGCCCAACTAATTGGGATGGACCATACTGGACCGTGATACCTGCGACGAAGAGTTTTGCATTCTCAAATGTCTGTTTGAATTCCTCGAGTTCCGTTCCATCCGCTGCGCGCTCAATCTTTTTGAGCTGCCCACTGAAGAGGGCGGACCATTTCTGATCGAAGCGGATCAGCTCCTGCGCTACAGGACGTCTCTCTGACTCGTAGGTTGATAAGATGGACCGCCCCGCCCAGCCTCGCAGGACGTGGGCAATCTTCCATCCGAGATTGTACGCATCCATTAAGGAGACGTTCATCCCCTGGCCCGCTTTGGGAGAATGCGTGTGGCACGCATCCCCCAGGATGAAGATGCGATCAGATTTTGCGTAGCTAGTGCTCACTCGTTGGCCGATCTGATATGCGGTGAACCAGTCACAGTGACTGTATTCGAGAGTGTAGGGTGCTATGATCTTTTGCGCGGCCTGTAAGATTTGGGCTGGCGAGATTCGCCTTCTGTCCACCCTCCCATATGCATCCCGTTCGAACTCTTCTAATTGGATGTACAGACGCACTAGCTCGTTCTCCCGGGGCACCACCATTAAGCTTCCGTGATTGAGGGACTGAATCGCGCATCGACTTCGAATATCTGGGAAGTCGGTTTGAGGTATGATATCAAGGACGCCCCAAACAAAATCGGTTTGGTCCCCTTCCATCTGGGCTCCCATCTGGCGCCGAATCCAGGAGTGCGCCCCGTCACATCCGAGGAGATACTTGCATTTGATCACTTCATGGTCTTGTGGTTCTGCGCTCTTTTCAATGGCACGATCTTCCTCTTTTGCCGTCATGAAATTGGCTGAACGATACAAGCCATTGGCGACCGCATGGCCAAACTGCGACGGGGTAGACTCTTCTTTGGATAGACGTCGTAGGCGGACGGTGATAGGGTAGCTGTCGACCTCGTCGACCTTTGATTCGTCGATTTCCAGAAGGTCTGGCTGGATTCCGTGCTCAACCTCTTGGCCCCCACGATCTCTCGCAGCATCTTTCAAGAATTTCTCGATATGACCCTGATGGAGGACGCTTCCTTGAAAGCGAGACACGTTGGGAACCCCGTCCGGGGTGCGAGAGCTTCGATGGAGTCGGCCCGAATCGTTGGGTTCCCAAAAGGAGAACTCCGCCATGGGCTGCGCAATCTTCAAGATCCGGTCCTCAAATCCGAACGAATGGAAGACTTCCTGGGTACGGCCCACGAGACCGTCGGCCTGGCCTGCAACGACATCCGACGTTCTCTTGTCGATAATTCTGACTCTCAGGCCCTTGAAAACGGACAGCCAGAGATTGGACATGAGCCCAGCAGGCCCCGCTCCGACGATGAGAACATCCACTTCGCTTGTTGGTAGATCATTTCGGTCCATCATTTTGGTCTGGAGAGAAAGTGACTGGTGGCTAAACACTCACGAGCACTGGCAACGATTTCACTTTGCTGAGTACATGTATCCAAATGATCTCCTCTGTAACGTCAGATCTTCACGTTTGGCGTAAAGACTCCGCATTCCTGGAAGCACAGGACATTCATTTTCTAGCAGCTGCAAGGAATAGCACACCAATAGTCTACCACCCCGCTCCTGATCTGTGGGTGGAGCTGGGATGTGGAGGTGTTATAGCCGCAAGGGCACAGAATCCATTCAATCGTGCCGAATATGTGCTAGACTGAATTGGTCGATGGGATTGAATTGGTGGAAGAGTCTAACTACCCCAGTTAGTTCTGGGTATGGCACAATGGAAAGACCGGAGACCAACTGTAGTCACATGACTACGGTTGCACCAGTATCATACCCAACATACCCTAGGCTTGGGTACGAGGCTGTCACTGGGGCTTTGTTTTCCGTCCTTTTCGACGTAAAAGTTCTCCCTCATCCGTGCAGTTAACTAGGTCGGCAAGTTGTTTCTACCGAGAAATGGACTATGAACACCTGAATAGTAATGTGCAGCTATGCCATCAGCTACATCCTTTGGTAATCATACAGGTGGACGAGGTGGGCAGAGAGCTGAAACTTCCTAGGAACTCCAGGTGTGGGGTTAGCTTAACCTGATGAAACTGCCCAATATGTAATTCTCTTTTATATTCTGGGCCACCACAGCATGCCAATGATGCTCTCGTGGATCGAATATCTCTAGCACTTGCGTGTGGGGAAGTGTGAAAGGGTTGCGGATGAGGCTGTGGGAGTATTATGTGGCGGTGGTGTCCTCGATGCCTCAGTTTATTGTCTCTACATTTATATGAGATGCAAGTTTTCTGTCTGGTGACATCGCATAGGACCGTCAGTTGTCTTTCCCAGCCTCCGAACACTGTCATCTGACGATTTTGCTACCGCATGATGGGTTTGGGAGTCGCAGAACCAAAGACTCCGGTCGTTCAGGGCACTATCCAACTCTTTGACCATGTCAGCGATGCCCAGAACAGCCACAGTACGGCGCACCTTAAACACGACAAGACCGGGGTCGTTCTTGCTCCTCAACCATCGGACGACCCTAATGATCCTCTGAACTGGCCATTGTGGCAGAGAAATCTCAGCTTCGGGATGGTGTTGATCATGGCCACCCTGAGTTTGGTCCACGGCCCTATCCTGACACCCGTCACTGTCGAGTTGTCTATCCAATACAGCAAGTCCATCAACAACGTGGCCCATCTAAACTCCTACATGCTGCTCGTCATTGCAGCCTGCTCCTACATTTACAGTGTGGCATGCCGAGTCTTCGGGAAAAGGGTGCTGTTTCTCACCGCCGGCGTAATTCTTGTAGCTTCTGATGCCTGGGCTGCTTGTGCCTCCACTTACAACTCGATGCTCGGGGCCCGGATCCTCTCCGGCGCCGGTCAGGCTATGTACGAGACCCTGGGCCTTGCCGTAGTTCCTGACTTATTCTACGTCCACGAACGGGGCACTCGCATCACACTGTTCCTCTTCTTGTCCCAGACTGGAGTTACTCTGGGTGTGCCTATCACCACCCAGATCGCCAATAGATTCGATCTTCGATCGTGTTTCATTGGCCTTGCTGTCTCCGAAGCCATCGCAGTGACCTTGATTTTCTTTTTCTTTTATGAGTGTGCCTATCCACGCGGGCATACCGTTGTCTTGGCACATCGAAATGACGATGGAGTTGTAACCCAGGTCCACGATGGCAGCCTCAAACACCAGGAGATTTCTCATGTTGACGTTCAAGAACAACCCGCAGAGTCTTCCTCAGATGAGAAACCTGTGAGCTACCTACGAAAACTGAGACCCTGGTCTCCAAGGCTCAGCAAACGACCAATCTGGACTCTTACCTGGCATACTTTGGCCCTCAGCTTCCACCCTACCATCTTTTATACTGCTGTTGCAGGCTTACCTCTGTCCTGGCCCGTCGGCATCTCTTTCACTATGGCTCTGCTGCTAGTGTCGCCTCCCTATAGTTTCGCGTCTAACGCCGTCGGCAACATGTACATTGCCGCTTGGATTGGGACAACATTATCAATCTTGATCGGATCCTCGAGCGACTATTTCGTGAAGCGTCTGGCGAAGCTCAACAAAAATGTCTACGAGCCCGAATTTCGCCTCTGGTACCTGATTCCTGGCACTATCCTCTGGCTTATTGGCTGGATCGGCTGGGGTTTGGGCGCCCAGGTTAACGTATCCTGGGTCGCCTTGGCTGTCTCTGTTCGCGGTCAAGAACATCTTTCCTTTTGGGATGGGCTACTTTTGGGTAGACTGGTACATTTCCGCTGGGCCGAAAATAGCTCACGTCGTTTCCGGAGCCATCTCGCTGGGTCTTATCCTTCTCGGCATTCCCCTTTATATCTTCGGAAAGCAAGCGCGCGCTTTGTGGGCGCGCCATCCGTTCCTCGGGATCTACGATATGACAAACTGAATATCGTGTGAAGCTATCTATCAACGCTCCAATGTCAACCAGCTTAGAGTAGCCACCTATGGCTGCTTTCGGAAAAGTCCAGGATCTCTCATCTCAGTACTGTCCAGCCAAAGTTCTGTCGTGACAGTCGCTCTGCCTAGGTTTCATAGAGTGATGGCCTTGTGATCAAAACCATTCTACGTGATGTACTTGCACAAAGCATAAGTACATCTCTGATAGGCACCCAGGAGATTCAATATGAAAACATTAGCAGATGTCAAACTGGTCATATACTCCCAAAAGATGTAATTCTCAATATTCTCTCGTAGATTGTGGGTTGACATTGATACTAGCCCCGCTTTGATGGTTGGCGCCGTCAGCTTGTCAATCTCTCCCTTCATTTGCTGGCACCAACTATGTATTTTCCCAAGGAAAATACCCGAAATAAGCCCAAACACTCCATCCGGAACTAAGGTTATCTGGCCACACTGGCAATATCTCCTTGGTGGTTTAGAACTGGGCGCTGACTGGGGTGCAAAGCCTTTTATTTTTTGTTGAGGAGTCCAAGTTTTTCTTGCTTCCAATTTATTCCAGTATGTCGGGTCTCCGTCACGCCTCAAGCTACCAATTCAACGTCCTTATTGACGCTAGACTACTTCTATACGGGAACTTGCAGTAGACCAGCAACAGTCCATGCTTTATTCCTTTCCAAATGGTAACGTCCGAAAGCTTGGTACTAAGTTCTCTCAGATCTTACTGCACGCACGAGGTTTGATCAACACTTTCATGTCCAGCTGGTTGCAAAACCAATAACTGCTGATCCGCCAGGGCGTCTTCTTGTTGGCGAGCTCAATGTCAAAGTTGCGAAGCATTTGGGCCACGAATTTGTGGACTTCCACCTGGAAGTAAACGGTCAACATGGGGCCAAGGAGAGAGAAGAGAGAATTGGGTTGACATACCAGGGCGAGATTGCGACCAATGCAGGTCCTGGGTCCATTGCCTCCGAATGTCATGTTGCCGCTCTCCATGAATGATGTCCGTTCGGCGCTTTCCAGCCACCTCTCGGGTCTGAACTCACTAGCGTCGTCACCAAACACAGCAGTGTCTCTGTTCTGGGCAATTGGACTGATCCCGATCTCGACACCCTCTGGAATGTACCGTCCGTCGATCGTCAAGCCCGGTGAATACCGAAGCAGCGGCCAGACAATAGACGGGAGCAAACGCAATGCCTCGGTGACCACGGCTCTCAGGTAAGTCAGTTGCTGCGTCTGAGTATAGGTGATTGGTGAATCCAAGTTGTTCGCTTCATAGAAGCTATCCACCTCCTCCTGCAGTTGCTTGTAGACTTGCGGGTGGGTACAGATGTAGTAGAGACAAGTTCGGATCCCGATTGAGGTAGTATCTGCTCCGGCGCCGCTAACATAACGCGTCAGACATTCGATCAGCCAAGAATACTTGGATACTCACACAATGTTCATGGCTTCAATGAGGACTTCTCCAAAACTAGCAGGTTCTGGACCATCAACTTTCTTCATCTTGAGGAAGTGGGAAAGCAAGTCTTCACGATTGGCTCCGTCCCTCGCTTCTTTTCGAGCAGCAATCTTGGCATGACTGAAAGATTTCAATTTTTCCAGGCCGTTGGTGCCGCCGAATAGCTCTACGGCAGCGCTGAAAACAGGGTTCATGACCCATTTCGTCTTGCCAGGGATGTTGCCCATGACGGCACCAAACATAAAGCCGATCCGGATGGACTCTCGTAGATTGTCAACATCTTCGCCATTCGCTTCTAGATGTCCAAGCTTTTGACCGAAAGCGAGTTCGCCGACTACATCGAAGGAAAAGGCGTTAGCCCATTTGGAAAGGTCGATCACCTCTCCTTCTTCTGCCTGAGTTTGGAGTTTCGCGAAGCAGAGGTCCAAGCAACTTTGAATGTACTGTTCGACCCGCAGGATCGCCGTCATCGAGTACGCTGCTGAGACACGTTTGCGAAGACTGGCGTGTTTCTTCTGGTCCTGCACGGCAAAGAACGCCTCGGACGCGTTGGGAACATGCCACACATCATACCATGTCGTCTTTTTTGCGCTTTTGCCGTGACCATACAGTTGCTTCATCGCGGCCAACTCGACCGCAGAGACCTCGTTGGGGGCGATCCTGACCACTCGACCATATTTCTGGTGGATTTTTAGAACTTGGTCGTGCCAATCTCCCCGATAGTAGAGATAGGTGCGGTAGAGACCAGTGATAGCAGCAAGTGGCGGACCGGGTAATTTGGCCAACGGGTGGAAATACAAACGGTACAGTACAACAGTTGAAAGAAAGATTACAGCCAATATTAGGCTGGTTTGGAGGTTGATAGAAGAGGCGAGTGTCATCCTCGACAAGATTCGAAGCAAGTCACCGTCTTCGCGAAACCGCAACAGCTTCGAGCTGAGAGGAATGGTAGAAGTTTCCCAAAAAGAGGTCATTGTTCTGAGGCCGGCCATCGCATTATAAACTCCTTCACGTGCTGACTAATGTATTGAACGGAGTGTGAGGGCATAGAGAGAGGAAATACAACAATCAGGTCTGGAGACACGTACTTTGGGGGGAAGATTTCAGCTCTCTCGGATCACCTGGAGTTGCGGGGTCTTACAGTAGTATTCAACTTCAGGCCTGTAGCCTCCACCACCAGCATGAAGGTCTGAGATACACATTCGCCCACTTCACCAATTGGTTATCACAATGTGGGGATGGGTGGGGGGAGCCATCGGCCCCTCGAACTAGCCTAGGGGCACCATCAGGTTGGGAAATACGCATGCTAGGTAGCTAGAGGGAGAGCTGTCAGTGACATGGAGAACTATCAAGGGTGACACGGAGACAGAGCTGATTTGATTTAATTCTAATCTGGTCAAGGAAGATGAGAACGCAAGATCGAAGAGACAAGTGATAAAACCTCTGGGAGTTGAGAGATTCACTGTTTCCCCGTTCATGCGAATACAATCCTCAATAATTGGTTATTTTGAAGTCTATAATTTCAGTTTTGTTTGCTGTTCGACACGGTATCTCTTGGGCCAAATTCCTTGCTTTCCTGGGGAGAGGATGCCGTTTGGATCCAAAGAGTCCTACTGATCATCAGTTGCAGATTCTGTAGTGCAGTTGTAGTCACGAACCTTGAGACCTTCAATGAACCTGCGATAAGCATGGTTGTTGAAATCGTACATATCGGCAACGGCATCTAGAAGTGTTAGTCATGAAATGCACTCTAGAGCTGCTCTGTACACATACCCATGTCATTGATGTGGGAACGGTATTTGCTGAAGCCTCTCTTTTTGCTTTCCCTGACGAGATTCTGAAAGATGGTTTGCACTGCAGCACGTTGGTTTGCGTTGGACTTGTCGAACAAAATCATGTTGATCAACACCATATGTCGAGCGTGCAAATGACCCCCACAGTAAGCATCAAAGCCCTCCGCTTCAATGATCTTTTTGGCCACTAAGAACCATTCCAAGACGACTTTCCCGGAAGCAGGAAGGATCGGAGAGAAATCAGTGTGAGCTCCAAGACCAGCAGCCTTAGGGCAGCGATATTGCACTGCAGGAAGTGTCCACATGTCCGGGACTCCAACTTGTCCGCCACCGAGAGGCGTTGGGATCTTAGTTGCATCAACTAGCCCACCGTCGTCTCCTTCAAAGAGGTAGGATCTCAAGCGTGCGGTAGGTGCCTGTTGGCTCATGACACTCTTTACGACGTCCAACCGTTTTTCGACAACGTCTTTCGGACCGTAGAGGCCAAATCGGACCATCCAATACCCGAGGTCCATCTTCTTTTGCAATTTCTTCAATATTGACTGGGGAATTGGGCCTTCCCCATCCCAGACATCCTCCCTTCTTCCCTGCATACTGGACCATGCAATAATGTTGCGAATGACTGGGTTGTTTTGTAGTATGTCTCGCCTACGAAGCTCTCCCAGGACATCCACAATTGCTTCAATATCTTCTGGATCGTCCATGTCGACAGTGCAGGATATGAAGGTCTGGGGCTGGGGGTAGAGCCATAGTCCAAGCTTAGTAACAATCCCGAGATTGCTTTGGAGGAAGAGTCCTTCTGTCGACGGACCGAAGGAATATTTGCAAAGATGAGCTGTCTTGCCGTGGGAGATTGCATATTGGCCCGTCCGAAGAAGGTCTCCATTTGCGAACATGACTTCAAGTCCACACATATGCTGATGGTGATCTCCAAGGGGAGTGTAGCCAAAACCACGATCCACCGTCTTTAAAGTGTCAGTTTTCTCGCTCAATGTCCGTTCGACAACGACTCACATTACCCAACACGCTTCCCCACCCCAAGGAAGGCACACTAGGCCATAACTTCAGATTGTTGCTTCGACAATGGTTGTAGAGATCAAAAAATGTGACACCCGGCTCGACAACGGCGTAGGCATACTTTTCGTTGACTTCGATAATCTTGTTCATCCGGTGTAAACTGAGCACCACACTCCCTCGCATTCGAGGCGCTGGGCCTCCATACCTGATCTTGTTACAAGCGTATCTTCATCTTCGGATTCCGAACTAACCCTAAATTTTTCCCTCTAGAACACGTCCAAAGTGGAATCGCTTTCTGATTCGCAACTTTCAGAGCTTCGCGAAGTTCTTCTACAGAGCCTGGGCTTGAAAAACGTCACTGCCTTGGTGATTTAGAAAGGGGGAGATATTTACCAGATTGCTGCTGATGGAATACTCTTCTTGTCAATCTCCATCATTTCGAACGGGTCAATGAAATTGAAAAGTGAGGAGCCTGTGATCACATTCGCGACTCCGAGGTTTTTTCTCCATTCTTTAATTGCCCATTCGAATTCTGCAGCGGTCACTTTGGGAGGCAGGACTGGCTCAATAGGAAAATCAATGGACTTTTCGAACAGTTCCCTGTGCTGCCGTTGCAGGTCTTCGTCAGAATACAACACGAATTTCGCCATCGATGTTATTTTTGGATGATTGGAATAGAAGGTTCGACGCCCAGTGAAACCGCGAGTCGAGCTGCAAGGCACTGTTAATCACATTACAGGGCCTCTGACACCCCACAGTGGCGTATGCATTGTGGGGGTATGAAAGACACCCTCGTCACTTTCATGTGGGTGAGCAGTGAACACAACCAAGGGGGCGAGGTTCGAACACCATTGATAATGACCCTGAAGGATCGTTACAGTGTTTGCTAAACACAGGGCCAGTTAATCACAATGCTGGGCAGAGTAGTGGTGTGGCTGGCGCTTGTCGCAGTCGCAGGTATCATTTTATCAAAGACGCGCTCAGTGAGACCACCAAAAGGTTACCGGGAAGTACCTGGCCCCAAAGGCCTTCCGCTGATAGGAAATATCCTCCAAGTCCCGATTCAACCACGACACCAGCTGATATCATGGGCTCAGCAGTATGGAGAACTTTTTCGGCTCCGTCTAGGACGGTACAACTGGGTATTCCTCAATCACCCAGCAGCCATAAAGGAGATCATGGACAGACAGGCTGCATCGACTTCGGGACGCGTTCCAACCCCTGTGCTGAGTGAGCTGGTATCAGGGGGTCGGCGTTTTCTTTTGATGGGAAATACCCCAACCTGGAGAAAGTTACGAGGTCTTGTTCATAAACTCCTCACTCCGAGGATGTCTGAGAAGTTCCGTCCAAGCCAAGATTTTGAAGCAAAACAATTGATCTACGATTTGTGCAATTCTAATCTCGACGACAAAGAATTCTACAACCACATTAGAAGATACACAACTTCAGTCGTCCTCACTTCAACCTATGGAAAAAGGGTGCCGACTTCGGTTCGTTCGTGCAATCGCCAACAAAGCCAGATGGTAGCTGACTCTGTCTCTCATGGTACAGGATAACCCAGACATTGTCGAAGTCTATGGCATCATGAAAGACTTCTCAGACACAACTGTTCCAGGTGCTTTCTGGGCGGATGTCTTCCCGCCGCTCGCCAAGCTTCCAACAGCGCTTCAATCCTGGAGGAAACGGGCATTGCAGTATCAAGAACGTCAGACCCGAGCATGGATGAAGTTTTGGAACGATCTGAAAATTCAAATCGACCTGGGAAAGGCTCCGGAGTGCTTTGTGAAACAATGGCTTGAAACTGACTGGGAAAAGCAGGAGATCAGCGAGCTTCAGGCGGCGTACGTGGCTGGCAGTAAGTTTGATCCCACTTCCGATCCAACATTCCCCACCAGAACCATGGCTCACGTAGTTTGTTTCAATAGCAATGATCGAAGCAGGATCCGAGACGACAAGTTCGGCCTTGAACAGTTGTGTGAAATACTTGGCAGCTTATCCTCATGTACAGGAGCGAGCCAATGAAGAAATCTCCAGAGTGGTGGGCGACGCCAGGTCGCCTACTTGGGAAGACGAGGAGAAGCTTCCTTACATTCGAGCGATGGTCAAGGAGATCCTTCGCCTCAGGCCGGTGTCGAGTCTTGGCCAGCCTCATATGACTACGGCCGATGTTTACTACAAAGACTACTTCATCCCCAAAGGCACAGTTCTCGCTCTGTGCCAATACGCGGTGCACTACGATCCCGCCCGGTACCAAGATCCCTTCGAGTTTCGGCCTGAACGTTATCTCAACCACCCTCTCAAAGCCGGTGCGTATGCCGGCGGAGATCCATTTGCTCGCGATCACTTTGGCTTTGGAGCTGGCAGGAGGATCTGCCCAGGCATGCATTTGGCCGAGAATAGCCTGTTCATCACCCTTGCAAAAATTATTTGGGCTTTTGACATTCGTCCACCATTGGATGCTGAGGGGAGAGAAGAAACTGTCGATGTATCCGACAATGCCTATGAAGACACGGGAAATATATTGCCTAGGCCTTTTCGGTTGCGTTTTATCCCTCGAAACGAGGTTCGGAAGAGCAAACTGATAGAGGAATGGGAGCAGGCTTTACGAGAGGGGTACTACCTCGGGGATGTGAAAGTCGACGCTCTTGGAATGGTGGTCGAATGAAGGGAGCACATTGCATCTGCTGGAAGGAGGCTGAACTGCAGCAGCTGTGTGGCATAAAGCCTCAACAATTCAGGGCAGTATTTCCTGTTGTATTTAGATCTGGAAAACTTAGGACATTGAGAACAAGGAACGCTGAAAATACTGGGTGCGACTAAAACGAGATAACATGAATCTGTCAGTCAGGTTTGTGTCGCCGCGTTCTCCCATTAGGATGTGGCGAGCTCGTGGATGGGAATGGCGGAGTAAGAGCGTAACATGTGAACAAAAAGTCGGAGGTTTGACCTATATTTGCACGGTCTCTATAAATTGTTTACTCAATATCCAGCCACGAATCTATCCAACGCCGCCGACATGGCATCGAGCGCTGTATCAGGCATTCCGTATTCAGTCGCGATGGAGGAGATGATGCTCCGTCTGCCAACATCCTCAGGGCGATCACTCAGAACAAATTCTGTTGCTTCACTAGGACTGCCATATACCATTGCCCCACCTTTCCCAGGTACGTGAGATGGGAACGGGGCTTCACCACAGATGAATGAGATGAAGTGGCTTCCAAACTGCTCTGCCACCGCCTTCTGCTCTGTCGTCAAAAAGTCATTGTAGTTTTGAAATAAGAACGCAATGTCCAGTATGTGGGTGGCTTGACCTTTCCCAGGACCTTCCCAGGGATTACCGACATTGAAACAGTATACAAATGCTTTCCCTTCAGGCCAACCCTCACAAAATGCCTTCAGTGGTGCGTCGAATGCAATATCGTTAATAAACTTGAGAATGCCGGACATGGCTTCCTCGTCAGATCGAGCTGTCCGAATGCCATAACTGTTGAGTATGGCATCAGCTAGTCCCTGGTGATCTTGGAGACTGGTTTGAATCGACGTTTCGAAAGCCTCTGCGATTCCTTTCCGTCGTGGTCCGAGCAAGATCGCGAATATGCTGGCCTGGAGATATCTGAGTTTATGGATTGTATAGCCGCGCTGCTTCACTCACATCAAATTGGCAATCACCAATCATGATACCCTGGGTCCAAAACTTCCCAGGCAGGAAGCTCGAGTCCTGCGTGGCAATCTGGCCAAATGTCGGTACACGATGCACCAAGTGTCCATCGGCCACTGGAAAAAGTGGTATTTCAGGCTGGATGCTGGCGTATAGCTGTTCCGTGGGAACTTGGAGCAAAGCTTTTAAGCGCTCTGGTGGAGCCAATTGGTCCAGACCTAAAGCCTTTAGTGTTGACTGATATGCAACCTCCGCTACAGGGAGTGGAAGGGGTTTGAAAAGAAAGAATGTTCCGGACATGATCATCGCTCTTTGAAAGAGCTCCTCGTGGGATTGGAGATGCAAGCTACACGATACTAAATAGTCTCAGTGTCTGGGCCATAAGAGAATATAGTCGGGCAGGAGCTTACTGGCACCTGCACTCTCGCCAACAACGGTGACATTGCCCGGGTCTCCTCCGAACCCAGGCGCATGTGTTCGAATCCACTCGAAGGCAATGCGCTGATCTCGGATTCCGTTGTTGCTTTCATATCCGGCTTCCCGGAGCTCCTGAGAAGTCAGATACCCAAGAACACCTAGACGATAGCTGGTCAAAGGGTCAGCAGCTGGATCAAATGGCTTTTACTCCGGGAAGTGGCTCGCGAACTTGATATTTATGCCCAGCACGGGCGTTCCATTCTTCAGAGAAAGGCGTACAATGTTCTTAAGGTCGTATTGAGGCCAGGCATTTGAACCCATACCAAACCCACCGCCATGAATAAAAGCGAATACCGGCAAGTTCGTTCTGCTTCCTTTGGGAATTGTAATGTTCAGGTTAAGGCCGTGGAGCTCGGAAAACGACAAGTCGTTCACTGGCAGAGATTGTTGAATGAGACCCTGTTCCAAGACACAACCTTCCGGCAGAGAAATAACGCCCGGGCTGTCCGATCAAGACTGAAACTTAGCCACCCTTGAGACTTCAAGGAGCTGTGTAGGAATTTGCAATGGTGCCCAAGCTCTGGCTGCCAATGACTAGTGGAACGTACCCGGGTTCGGTGGCCTGGATCTCTCCCGCCGCCTTCTCGTCAAAGAGGACTGCTGTTGCAAACCGGTCGCTTAGAGTGGCATACTTGAGTCCCAGACACTGCACAACATCACCGTCGTCTCTCCCTCTGATGCATCCCAACTTGGGGTGCTGAATGACAGCAGTCATTGTTGGTAGGTCGTCCTGGTGTCTTGGAGTCGGACCTTTCTCTGCCTGTGTGGCACGGAGATCATTCTTGAACCAGACAGGCCGCGCCAACGCTGAAATACCCGCAACCCAAATCAGATTTCGATATGGGAGTTGAAAGCAGTCGGAGACATCGCTCATTCGAGTGGGGAGCATGTGGGGAGGACGAATGCCATTGGTTTCAGCACTACGTGACTTACCGGATGTGCAACCGCGCTATGTGGGGAGATTACGACAGCTAATCCAATTAGCTTCCCCTATTGGTTCGGTCCCACTAGCCCAGACCTCGGGTCGGAGCTGTCCAATCGATCAGCTCATATATAGGCCTAGTCCCGAGTAGGCTCAATGTTTCTGGAGACTGGGGAAGAGTATGGGGATCCTAAAGCGGAGACTCGGCAAGCTCTGTTCCGGGCCAAGGCGCAGAGCCCTTCCATGCTCCTTGTTTTGCTGCTGCCATGACTTGCCGTCTAATCATTGAATCCCGTCTACAGAGAGCATTTCTACTAACGTAACCATCCTTGCGGTCAGACATAGGTGTCTACAGCGCCGAACGACCCTTCGCCTCTTCTCCTGCTCCTCCGAGTTGCCGTAAGAGTCGTTGCGCCAATTTTAAACACTTTGCACAGAAAGAATTGGTCTGTCTGCTTATTTTCAAGACTGACTATCATGGCCTCAGGTGGTAGGTAACTGAAACGAAAGGCATGCTTATAGGCACTAATGTGTTATACCTCGCGCAGCGCCCCGTCCGCGTAACCATATTTGCAAAACATGTCATAAATCCTTCACGCGCGCCGAACACCTCCAGCGCCATATGACATCTCGTACGTGCCTCTCCTTCTCCTGTTGGGTGGCCACCAGATAACTGACTGTCCATCACGTAGATGAGAACCGCCGGCCATATGGTTGCCAGGCTTGTGGCGCTAGCTTTGGAAGGTCTGATGTCCTTCATCGCCATCTAAAAAAGTGTTCGGAATACATAGCTGCCCTCAGCAACCCCCATCTAACAGCCAGAAGTCCTCTCTCATATCATAACCAGTAAGTATCTCTTGTATCAGTACCGAGGTCTGCTGTAATCAGCATGACATGTGTTGGCGACTGTGTTCTATGCTGTCGTAACTACTCACTACTCTTTTCAGCACGAAGATTAGAGGCGGAGCGGTCGCAAGCTCCACGAATGAGCCACATGAGCCTGGAGCTCAGCCCATGAGTACAATGTGCACCGGCGACAATGGTACTCAAGACTCGTCTGATTTGGAGAGGCTTTTACCCCGGCAAAGTGCAGCAGATGTATGTTTCCTCACCCACACGGGGGTGATTCGTTCCCCTCTCTGATAAGTGTAGACAAATCAAACCGCAATTTTGAGCACGATCTCGCCGTTACCAGACTCGTCGCGAACTAAAACTTCTGCGGGCACCGCCACATTTGTGCAACTATCTGTATCTCCTAACGGCAACGACGGCGCGGGAACACATTTCTTGAGAAATCGAGGCACCTTTCCTGAGTCCACGCCCTCTCACAGGCGCCTGACTCCTGAGAACTTGTCAAGGAACGGAATATTCGTCCCCTCCTCTCCGAATAACGAGAATATGCAGCCTGTCACGCAAGACAACTGGTGTGGAAACGACCTGATTGATATTTTCCCTGATGTCAGCATGACCGATTTTATGTTTCTGGAAGATACGTTACTGCCGGACTTCAACTACCTTCCAGTTGAGGTCTCTCCGCCGCAGTTCTTGGAAGAGGCACCAAGCGAATCGTCGCAAATGGCGTCTAGCTCCGTGATTTTATCCACCAAGTCTCGCCATATGACTCCATCTCCCGTGGCAGTCGACATCATCCAAGAAGCTGGTAACAGTCAGGACGGGCACCGAGGCATTCGCATCACCCAGGAAGATGTGGACAGCTTCCACCAAGCTGTCAAGAAAAGCGACCAGTTCAAGCTTCTCACCGACTTTCAATTGCCCAGTAGATCTCGAATCTCAAGATTTCTCAACGCGTACTTCGAGTACTTCGATCCCCATGCCCCAATCGTTCACCACCCGACTTTCCGAATTCACTCCTCTCCACCAGCTCTCACACTCGCGATGATAGCCATCGGAGGCATTCATCTGTCTGAACACAAAGTAGCTAAGGACGCGCACAAGGCGGCTTGCGACCTGATTGCTCAGTTTGAGATCGTACATCTGCGGGAGCTGTCTGACGACTTGAACCTGTGGGCTATTCAAGCCACCTTGCTCTGCATTCAGTTTGGCGCCTTTACTCATGAAAGCAGTCATCACAGCCGCTCCCAACGCCAGTTTTCGTTGGTCATGGCCCTGCTGAGAAACGGACTGCACTGCTGCGAGAAGTACCGAGCGACCGCCGATACAAATTGGGCGAATTGGATCGTTCTAGAAACATTTAGTCGACTGGCCAGCTGGATGTGCATTCTCAATGGGGTGATTCTAGCATTTGACCCGTACGCAATTTGTGTTCCTACGCATCAGGAGTGCGATCTGCCCCTTCCCTGCTACGACAAGATTTGGCGCGCCAAGTCATCCTCGGAGTGGTCTCACCAGCGGGCCCTATATCCTTCGTCACAAATTGGCCTCTGGACAGCAGCTCGAACGCTTTTCACTAGTCAGGCTCTGCCTACATCCGTGGGCTCTTTCGCGTTGTTGGCATTGATAGGCTCGACGTTCGCATATATTTGTTCAAATGAGCGATTGTCTTTGGGGATAAAGGAGCCGGATCTCAATTTCATTGCTAGAATGGAGAAGAGTCTATCTATTTGGGAAGCTTTATGGAGACAACACCCGCACGCTGAACACGTGCCCACCAAGCGCGGTGATTCTCTGATGGTGGATTGTCTGGCATTTCTTGGGTCTTCATACTACCATCTCTATGTCGGCAAGGAACTCTTGGCGCTGAAGATGATGGCAACCCACTCCGAGGCCAAGGCAACCGTCCTGCCGACCGTGTTACATCTTGAGCTGGCATCGAAAGCGGTAAGATACGCTGCAAGCTCATTGCTGGTACGGGCAAAGCTGGGAATTGCCCATTTGCGGCGTACAGCAGCTTTAGAATACGGCGGACACGCCCTTGTGACAGCGTACGAAGGAGCATTGATCCTGTCTTGGTGGCTAGCCATCACCTCCCAGCCTGCCCAGCAAGTCCATGGCCTAACCATCCGGCAGGAAAGTAATCACCTACTGAAGGACTTGCTTAAAGAAGTTTTTGGCGAAGTTGAAGATCAGGGTATCCCGTGTCGCTCCGAAGGGTCTGAACGGGCGGTCATGCCAATTTCATTCTACTCCATGTTGATGCAACCCTGGGTGTGGACATGTAAGTGTCACTCTTCCATTGCCAATTTGCTGTCGCGGACTAGCAATTTCATGTCTTTTATCATGATCACTCCATGCCGACACTAACTTTCACCCTTTAGATTCGAGCATTCTCGATCAGCGTCTGAGGTCGTTCGGCGAAATCATTCGCCAGATAACCCAACCCGCAGGGAGACCGACGCAACAAATCGAGATAAGCTAGGATCCATGGACTCTCAAATCACTTGGCCGTCCTCTGTTCAGCCCGGTCGAGCGTTCAACGAGGACGAAGATCTGTTTGCACCATATATCCATTCATCTCTCTTCCCTCTTCAAGCTTTCGTGAAGCTCAAAACACATTTCCCGCCTTTAGGAACCGTCAGGCCCGCCTCGAATTCTTGCATAGAGTCATCGGTTGTCTCGGCCGCCGAAGTAATCGACGAAAAGGTCATCAAGAGGATGGCCAGGAAGTGGCGGATCTCATGTAAAGCCAAACTATCGTTTCATTAGCCAGTAGAGCATAAATTGGGGAAGATGATAGTCCTCGGTGGTCATGTTTCTCTGCCTCGATTGTTTATCAAGGGCTTTAAAGGATTCGTACTTTTTACCCAAGCAAATCCGAGGACCAACTGTTGATGATGCTTGTCAGTATTTAAATTATCGAGATGCGAGCGAAGAAAAACCAATCCTATTTCAAAGGACCTTAGCAATATCATAAAGAAATCCACCTACATGAGAAAGCCATCATAGATTCAACCTCCCTGTTAAAAGTTGTCTCGTCCATGTCCCATCTGTAGATCGTGGTTCTCGTTAGCCTTGAGATAGAGATCATCATATGCTCAATGCAAAGCTCGTCACAAACCTGTTTGGATCGAAGATGCTCGGGTTAGGATATTTCTCAGGATCCCTACCCACCGTCCACTGTTGGACTCCGATAGAGACCTGCGGTTCGGGAGGGGTGGTTAATCAGCCGACTCCAGAAACGTGGTCTTTCCGAGAGAGCTTGACCTTACCTGCGCAGGAATCATGTAACCATGAAATTCCCTGCCACCCTCAGGGCACATACGCGTCGGCAGACCAGGTAGGGGTGCGTGCAATCGAAGGGCCTCGGCGATGCAGCCATTAAGATACCGCAGACTTGATAATCCTTTTGAGCTGACAGAGTCAAAGCCGCCTGGAAATGCATCGAACAGCTCCTTCCGAGCTCGGTTTTGTACCTCTGGATTCCGAGAGAGCTCCCACGTAGTGTATGTTGCCGTATTTGCAGTCGAGTCGACTCCTATTTTTTTTTATCAACCCCAATAGTTAGCTGAACGAGCAGTCGAGTCGTTTTTGGACAGGGTCGGGAGGGTGGGAAGGACGAACCAGCAAAGAAGAAAACCATGGTTTCAGATACAATCGACTCCAGAGGCAGGGCCTTTTCCGCTCCTTCGCTGTTGGCATTGAGCAGAGGTCCCAGACAATCCTTACGGTCTAACGTTTTGGTGGTATCGGCAATATAGTTAGCGATTGATTTCCTTGCCACCTAGATGCATGTCAGCGCATAACGTGAATAGTCACCATCACCTTAGACAGCAGAATACTGACATCAGCAAGGCGATCACACCCGTAGATAAAAGGAAAGATCCGCGGAAACAACCGCATGAAATGATACAGGCCACGCGAGAACGAGTAAATAAACTATGGAAATGTCAGCTACACCAAAGCAGCACTCAGGTTTTACGTTAGCCTCCACTGTACCTGTGCATGTAGAGCTTCGTCAATGAGTTTGACCGTGTCTCCATCCCCAGCGACAAAGCATCCCCCAAAAGCAATTTGTACTGGTCCAGGTCAACACTGAATATTCCCTCTCGAATCAAAAGAGAACAAATGGAATAATCTCACCGATCACCTCTGTAGCGCAATAGCGGTAGACATGCATGATGTCGACGGTGCGACTGCCGGTGGCCAGTACTTTGTCAATCTTGCTCACCAGGCTGCGCGCCACATCGGCAAAAATGGATTCATTGTCATTGAGGAACTTTGTTGAGAAAGCCGTCGAGATCAACCTCCTCCTCTTCATGGCAGCCTGCGCTTCTTGGATACCGGCTACGTTGGGATGCTCGGGACGGCACATGGAGAAGAGATCAGCTAGGCGTGCGTCCTTTGCAAACGGCCGAACTCCGCCGTAGATGGACCTGATTGGGTTCTCTCCAGTGACTGCAACCACGGTTGGGGTCACGCGTACAATAGGTCCTGGTTCAAGCGTGTCAGCAAGCAATCCCATTTCTGGCCGTCTGTCTCATCGACGTGAACGAGTACCATAGGTTTGGTGTAGTCGGTCAACATATTTTGCACTTTGACCCGAAACTGTCGCCGCTTGAAAACCAAGCGACGTAAAGCGAGTGTGCATTGGTCCTGGAATGTGCCGAAGAGGGCAGATGCAGAGACCGTATACAATAATGTATCCTAGCCATAGGGCACCCAAGACGATTGCTGCCCCTACGGCTTCGCTCAGCGTGATCGTCTGCATCGTAACAACACCTCTTCACGGTGTTCTGGTGCAGTGACTGAAGTCGAGGCAGACCTCGGAGGAATTCGTCAGAGTTGTCGTGCTGATACACCCCTAGGCAGCTTTGCCAGTAATTCTTGTCAATCAAGACTTCTCTAACTCTAGCTAGTGGGTTGGGGGGGGGGGGGGGGAGTTGCGGCCTGAAGCAAGCGGAATCCCAAGGTGGTGGTATGGAGGATGGTGAAAGGGGAGGTGCCATGTGGGGTTAACGTGTTTCTGTGACCACCTAGGGTGTTGAACCAAATCGAGAGTCATGAGGGGGTTGATTAGAGAGATTTACTTGGACTTGTAACGTGCAAGGAAAAGGTGCCGCGACGTATGGAGCAAGGAATACTACCAATGAGCGACAGTAGGCTTCCTAACCGAGACAATGGAACATTAACCTCTGTTCGTGACCTAGGGTAATGGGAACATGGAGTGTTTTCAATTCGGTACAATCTACAAAAGAAAGCCACCGTCAAGTGATATGAAGCCCAGTAAGGTTGAGGATTATGCGGCATACTCATTTCAGCGTTTTGCCCAAACAGGATGATTAGCCAAGTTCGTATTTAGATTTTTGTCCCGCACGAATGGACCAGGCGTGGTCTCAGTTTACGGACACAACCTCCCCTTCAACCTCAAATGAGGACTTTTCCTTTACACTGGAGTCGTAGTCCTTGGTGAAGTCATGTGAGAGGTTTTTGACTCCTTGGAGTATCTCACAAACCAAGTCAGGATCGGACTCTCCCCTTTTACACATCTGAAGAAATTCGTCGACTTCCAACACGTTGGCGGGATCCTGAGACAATCGAACAAGGTTACTACTTGAGATCGGATTGATCATACTGTTGTAAACGTCCCTGCGCACTTGGTCGTACCGGTCCAGTATTGCAGGGCTGGTCAACCCTTTGAAGATGCCGATTAGACAATCATACAAGCCACCAATGTCCACAATTCCGCCCGTGAGGCCGAGACCACCCATTGGATTGCACACTAGACTGCGTGAGCGGAAGGACGACGACAATGGGCTCAACTTACAGTGTGCGGCGTCAGCGGCTAATAAAAATCTCCCGACGCGCATCCTTTCGGCAAGACGCTGATGCACACGGTACGGACTGATGTTGGCCACGCGATATGCCCCAGATTCCGGACTAGGGTTACCTGGTAGTAATGCTTGGAATTTCGCGGGCTGGCGAGCAAGTAGTTGCTCTGGCGTGAGGTTGGGGAGGTCGCCGTAGGTCACTCGCCACATGCCATCCTTGGAAATTCGTGCAGCCATATGCCAATGCTCCGGGTCAATGACAAAATTGGCGTCACCATAGCCATGCTTCTTGAAGTCGAAATAGATCTATTACCGTCAGAAGATGAAAGGGGCTAAATCCCAAAGACTAGAGCTCACGTTGGTCGCCACGAGATTGTCGTCCCATGTTTTTCCAGGAAAATTGAGGTCACCAAACAAAGAACGGCGAATCTGGCTGTTTGCGCCATCACACCCCACAATATAAGGGGCATGGAGCTTTTCTCTACCTGCTGGAGTGTCCACCTCCACGTAGGCGAGGTCGGCATCTTGCGAGATGCTGATCACCTTGTAGTTCCAGGAAATAGTGGCGCAAGGCTGACTTTCTAGGTGAGATAAAAGAATTTTCCCTAGTTGGTTTAACGGCAAACATATCATTTTGTCGGGGTCCTCGGCTGGCAAGACGTGGTGACTGAGTCCGGTAATGTACGTGCCGTCCAATTTCCGCCACTGAACTCCCTCAGGTTCAAACCCTTGTCGACGTACATCATCGACCACTCCAGCACGACGAAGTTCGTAGACTGCAGGTCCTCCATAGTGAGTTGCTCTTGGTCGGTCATCGAGATCGTCATTCGCCTCCACTACCTGTACCGGCACCCCTTGTCTCGACAACAGCAGCGCAAGGAGCAATCCTGAGGGGCCGGCACCAACAATAATAGCCCAGGGGTTAGCCATGCTGAGGAATGTAATGGGTGCGAGTCAAACAGAATGGAACGTTGGGCGATAAGATGTCGAGCAGTCCGGATGTATGTCTTGATAAGTATAGGTTGATGGTTGCAGATGTTGGCTATGGAACCGTTGCCTAATAGTGAATGTCAACCCCACATAGCCTTCACAAGATTCGAGTTCCCCCTGGAAGCCAGTATTAGGCTCCTTGTTGAATACCACACATCATGAGCGCTGGCAGAAATTGGATGAAACCGACAGGCCGGTGACCTGATACATCCGTCAAATGGTGATATGAATCTGTTGACTCTAGGGGACATAAGATAGTTGCTACCCACAGAGCTCTTTTTGGTATCGAAGATGAACCAACGTAGCATACACCCTTTGCAGCAAATCGAGCATTCAGAATTCAAGCAAGGATCAAGGTTTAGTTTCTGAAAATAACTAAGGTATCTCAATGCTCATGATTGTAGAACCCTTTCTCAATGTACGCTCCATCGATACGGAGGTCATTCGAGGAAAACTTAGAGTTTCCCTTTTTTGCATACTTGTAGAGAAATCCACAAGCCATTCCACTGGATGATAGCTGATTCCGGCTGTCTGATGTAATCCGATATTAAGTCAACTCCGACTGCCACAATTGGCCATGGAGCCGGTGTGGGGGTGTGGGGTCCTCGGGTGGGGGTGTGGGGTTACTGGTTTGGAGATGGCAAACAGCCTGCACTGCACGAACATCGTCCATGGCTTTCTCAACCTAGTGCAACATTTTGAGCAGGTCTGCCTGGGATAAATACTAAACTGGAAAGTGACGGAGAATCTGGGAGTCGAAAGATCTTGCTAAACAGACAGATTAAAAGCCCCAAGTCCTGCATTCTTACCATCCTTTCCTCATGGGTTCGTTAGGTTCACATCATTTTCCAGTCATCGTCATTGGAGGGGGTCCAGTGGGCTTTGTCACGGCCATAAACATCGCGAGAAACGGTGTGAAGGTTGCGGTGCTCGAAAAGGGACCCAGGATTGACCAGAGCCCAAGAGCAACCTCCTATCAGCCATGTGTGCTGGCAGAGATGCAGGAGTGCGGGATCCTCGAGGACGTGACTAGGAAAGCGGTGGTGAACAACATTCTATCTTTCTGGGTTGGTGAAGGCCCGGAGAAAAAGAGGGTCGCATACGTCGAAAAGCTCGAGGGTGGCAAAAATTTCCCCGCCGGCTTGAATTGTGGCCAGCCCGTGCTGACAGAGACTGTGATGCATCATCTTCTCAACAATTACGACGCTGATGTCTGTTTCAATCAGCAGGTGGAAGATGTCTACCAGGATTCCACCCTCGTCACTGTGCTCTGCAAAGATCCGACAACTGACAAGGTCACGAGATACACGTGCGATTACCTTGTCGGGGCTGACGGAGCTGGTAGCATGGTAAGGGAATGTCTGGGGATTGAATTTGAGGGCTTTTCGTGGCCCAAGGAGGACTTCTGCGCGTCCAACATCCGATATCCCTTCGATAAATACGGTTTCACTACGGCTAACTTCGTCCTCCACGACGTTCATTGGGGTGTCATCACGGTCATCGATGATACCGGTCTCTGGCGTTGTGCCTTTGGCATCAAGCCCGGAATGACCAACGAACAGGTCCGCGAGGAGCTAGACGAGCACTACAAATATATCCTTCCCGGTTGGCCGGGCGAGGGCTACGAATTGGTGCAACTCAATCGATACAAGCCCCACCAACGCTGTGCGAAGCAGTATCGGAAAGGACGCTGCTTCCTCGCCGGCGACGCCGCACATGTAAGTTATAGTACTCTCTGCGTGAAACAGCGGCCAGCGGCTAACAAGAACGGCAGAGCAATAACCCTATTGGCGGACTCGGTCTAACCACTGGAATTCTGGACGCCGGTCCGCTGGGCCGGGGGCTGGCGGCAGTGGTGAAGGGTGAGGCGCCAGAGTCAATCCTTGATAAGTGGGCCGAAGCCCGACGACATAAGTGGCTGACCTATACCAACGAGTTTTCCATCGAGAACAAGAGAATGGTGCAGCGAGGCGGGTACAGTCCTGACCCAGCCGGGATCTGGAAAAAGGACGAAGTCTCCCGCGCACATGGAATGGACAAGTGGATTGAGAAGGCGACCGCGAGCAAAGAGGGTGAAGACTTGGCCTTGTTTGAACAACTGAAAGACCGTGAGCTGCAACTCCAAAACCGTATGAAGCAGTGGGAAATCACCATTGACCCATTGTGGATGGCGGAATATGAACACCCAGACATCGTGAAAGCCCGAATGGCTCTTCGGCCTGAAGGCCTCACGCCAAGTTCCACTACGCCTCTAAGCAGCGTCACAGGCGTATCTATTCAACCTAAAGAATAGAATTCATTGAGAGAACGATCCACCAGCGTTCTCGATCTCCTGGCCAGCTGATAATATATTGGGTTTGGATATATAGGTCAAAGTTCTCGATTGGAGTCCGTATACACGGCATATACATGTAGAATCAACAGGGAGTTGTCTGAAGGTTGATTATCTATCTGAGTGCGTAAAACATTAGGATGATGAAGCAGCATGTGAGCCGAGGAGTGAGTCAAGCGCGAGCGGCTAGTCACGATGGAGGATAGGTTTTTTGAGTGATACTGCCTTAGCTATACGGAGTACCCAAGCTAAAATTCTTGTCTTCCGAGGCTCAGCCACAGATTACCTGGCTGCTCATCGTCCAGCGTAATCGGGTTGTCTGGAGAAAGGCGTCAGTATGCACCATTCTTGTATGCGTACGACATGGGATCGCTATTACTCACCTTGGCGGGCTCCGAGTTGAATGCCTACAGAAGCCGTCGAGGTAGGCTCCTATTCTCACAGTCGCCCTCGCGACAACACTCCTTGCCGATCCTGTCGACGAGAGCAGGCGATGCGGAAGCCTTGCAGCTGGGGTCGGCCCTTCCTTTGAACCTTAAGTCGCGCCGCAGAAAGATATCCGTGAGCGATAGAAGGTCGCTGATTTCGCTTTCATCGTCAATCTCATCATCTTTGTCGCTTCTTTAATGTTTTTCACTATGAATCACGCCGTCGCAGCAGGCTCTGGCAACTCGGACGCCGCGTTTGTCGGGACCATGAGCCATTGGCTTCAAAATCTCTCGCACCACCATATATTCTCGAGCGGTGTCCCAGCCAGAAGTAGTTAAATCCACGAAATCTACATTGCTCACTGGCCCTGCCTGTAGAGGAGATTTTAAGCTCCATCTACTCGGCACCCGATTACAGAGGCCGACTGTGGAAGATTTGCCGAAGGGGTGACTTCCGAAGGACGGTCCATTTGCCCGAGGCTGATACGCGATGAAAGTCGCCATGATTGGAGTGCACTGTTCTAAGAGATGTGAAGCAGAAGAATGGGTTTGACGGTAGAGAATAGTGAAGGAACCGGTGCCATCCAAATAGACATTCAGCACTGCCCAACGTCCTGCGTCCTTTCCCTTGCCTCACAGGGCGCAGTTCCAAGTCCTTCACAACCGCCGAGTTTGAACCCCGGCCTGCTAAAGGTTTCTCTGTTGGTTCCAAGCCTCGTGGGAAAAGGCAAAGACCAGTATGGTAACGAAGTGGAGCTGGCCATGCCATCGAAACGTCATGAAAGATAAGGAGGCTGCTATTATCCTGGGGGTGGGATTGGCCCCGGCGACGGTAGTCTCGAGCCTTCCACGTCCCCTTCGTTGCCGAGGCCGTTTATGGGTAGCGCTATCGTCGGAGAGAACAGTGGGTTGGGTACATGACCGAGTTCGTTTTCGACTCGGTGCTTCCCTGGATGTCAGCGCCAGGATTACTGTAGGTCGAGTGACGAAAGGATCGAAAGTTGCTAGGGAGTAGGCTTGGCTGAAACTAATACGGGGGTTTACTTGTTACAGCTGGCTACTATAGCCGAGGCCTAAAGGGGACCCTTGAGCCCGAACTGGCTTCTACGAATGGGCATTAGTCAGCACTCCCCGTGACTCGCTCAGTGCTCTGCCGTGGCTCTCACGACGCTCCGTCACGTGCCCGATTAAAGCGGCCTCGCTCCTTTTTCTGAACCAAAATGATAAGGGACGAAGCACAGTTCGGGGTGTACATAATATATATATATAGGTCGAAACACCTACGATATATATGTGTATAGACTCTATATTATGTAGGGAGGGAGGCAGGTGAGTATACGCAGGCCAATATACTCTGCACTTACTAGCTAAGGTATTCTCCAATTGTCGCTGTAATGAGGGTTTATTTTTGATACAAACACGCGTCCCACACTAGGTACATAATGGTAAACAGCACGCATAATCAGTATTAACCAAACAGACAGGAACGTGGTATCATTGGCATGGCAACACAACGCCGGAACAACCCATCCATACGGACTCCAATATCAGCAAGACTGGACAAAGGCTGCGCAGAGATATTACCAGCGTCACTTATAGACACCTCTCTCCTGCTCCAGCGTAGCCCATTGTCCCAGCCGCGGTCAACGTCGACGGACTTGAACTTCGAGGTTTCAATTGTGCAGATACGTTTTGTCAAAGGGAGACGCTTCCCCCTTATTCGTCATATCGCTTCATCATGTCGTACTCGCCCATTCCTCCCCTGTGCTTTTAACTTTTTCCTCATATCCCCTCTCGACTCTCTATAATTCGATGATGCAATCACAACTCATCCTTCACGTACTTTGTCGCGCTGCTCACAGAGTCACTTACCAAGCTGGCTATGCTCTCCACACTTTCACTCACAGCACTCGCTGTTCCCGTGGCACCTTCACCGACTTCACTCGCCATGGCGGCAATCTTGCTGCTGGCACTTCCCACTGCTGCCATGATCTGTGAGTTGATGCTTTCCATATAACTCTGTTCAGGTCCATAGACAGCTTCTGAGACTCTGGCGGCTACGCCCTCGACAGTATCACTTATTGCAGAAGCAGCGGCAGCTGCATTCTCAGCCACGATGGATGATGCAGACGCGTACGTATCCGCCGCAGCGCTGGTTAACGATTCAATCGTTCCCGTCGGCGTGCCGTAGATAGCAATGCTTACGGCATCCTGCGCACTCTTCGCTAAGTCTGCCAATGAGGACGATGCGGCCTCCGCGTATCCAACGGGGGTGCCATAGATAGCTTCGCTGACTGCCGCGCTGGCGGAGGCGTAACTATCGGCAACCACAGAAGTTGCTTGTTCGATGGTTCCCTTTGGTGTGCCGTAGATCTGCGCACTTGCTGCGTCGACTGCGGAGTTGAGTTGTCCGGTCACCGAATCCAAGATGGATGAGACTTCGGGAGGAGGCGTGAAGTAGGATGATGCGACAGAGGAGACGGAGGAAGCAATGGATGATGCCGAGTCGTACGCTTCGCTTGCAAGACTGGAGGCCGAGCTGTAGCCTGTATAGTAGACAGAGCTGAGGCGGCTCATCACCGATTCAGTGAAATCAGGCTCTTTGCCCACTATCAGCTCCGAAACATATGATTGGATGACAACATATTGATCGTCGGCAAAGTCGGTGACTTGAGCAGAATATTCTCCAACTTGGGTAGCGAACTCTTCGTAGAATGGTTTGGGAGAGCCGTAGATTTGTTCGCTGGCTTTGGCCACAAGAGCTTGCCAATTTTCAGATGCCACACTGGAGATGGATTCAATGGAGCCGCTTGGGGCACCGTAGACAGCAGCACTTGCGGCGTAGCTGGCTGCGGAGAGAGACGAAGAGGCTGCAGCCATGGCAGCATCATACTGCGACGAGATAGAATCGATTACACTCTGCGCAGGGGAGGTCTCTTCTTTGCCCATCGCTGATGACGCTGAGTCTAACAACGCGGACATTTGAGAAGCGGCCGCTGAGGATGCCTCATGATATTGAGATGATGCTACGTCCAGAGCATTTTGATAGTATGGGGCAGGAGTGCCGTAAATGGCGGTGCTCGCGGCATAGCTGGCTGCGGAGAGAGATGAAGACGCTGCAGAGACGGCTGCGTCATATTGTGACGAGATGGAATCAAGCATGCTCTGCGCTGGAGAGCTTTCTTCCTTGCCTAGCACCGACGACGCGGATTCGAGCATTTCAGACATATGCGAAGCGGCCGCTGAGGAAGCAGCGTTATACTGTGATGATGCAACGTCCAGAGCGGTCTGATAGAATGGCGCAGGAGTGCCATAGACGGCGATGCTTGCAGAGTAGGATGCCGACGATAACGACGACGAAGCGGCGTCAACGGCATTTGAATAGGCTGCCACGGCTTCATCCAACAGGCTTTGTGCTGTTGTGCCTGAGGATGATCTGAAAGAGTCCAGACTGGAAGCAGCCGCCAACGACGCTGCCGAATATTCGGAAGCGGCTGAGTCAATGAGACTCTGGTACGCTGGCACCGGTGTACCATAGATTCCAACCGATACAGCACTCGACACGCTGCTCAACACAGGTGTGGGTGTTCCGTAGATTGCACTCGAAGCCGCTGCAAGAAAGTCATCGTACTGCTCGTGTGCCATTCCAACTGCTGCATAGTATTTCTTCCTTGCCTCTTGGAGATATCTTTCCCCAGCAGGTGTAGGAGTAGCCCCTACAACAACCTTCGCCTTCGAGTACTGAGCCGAGGCTGCAGCTAGAGAGTCTTGCAAAATCGACGATGCCATAGACGATACAGACTCAAGGGGGTTTGTCTCCGGAAGTGCATTTGACGCAGAACTACGGGCAGATTCAAGTCTATTGCTCGCAGCTGCCACGGCGCCAGAATAGGCTGACTCGATCGAGGAGAACATTTGCTCATGGATAGGTTTTGGGGTGCCGGAAATCTGCTGAGAGGCAATCGATTTTGCAGCGTTGTAATTGTCCTCGGCCCTGCTGACAGCCTCACCGTAGAGGGAGCTGGCTTGCTGAAGCAATGAATCGGTGACGGGAGCAGGCGTTCCGAAGATGACCGAGCTCGCAGCAGCCACGGCTTGCTCATATTTTTCAGACGCGGCGCTTGCAATACTTTCTGCCGTACCTGTAGGCGCACCATACAAGACGCTGGAAGCTGCAGCTAAAGCACTGGTATACTGCTCGCTCGCAACAGATGTCAAGCTTTCCACTATGCCTTGAGATGTTCCAAACATGGCTTCAGACACTGCACGAGTGACATCTGCATATCGATCTCCGGCTTCACTGATCACGCTTTGAATATTCTCAGAAAATGTTGAACCTTCGTTGTTGTCAAACATGTCGTCTAGGATAGGTATAGAGCCCTTCACCTCTGCGGCCATGACGCCTCCAAAGACCTTAGATGCTCTAGTGGATGCTGAATCTGAGGCGGCTGAGGCGGAGCTGGCAATATCCTCTGCAGCAGCGCTTGCTGGGTGGAGATCATCGGGTGATGGTGAAGCAATCGATTCGATCGATAATGATGCCGAGCCCGCCGAGTCCATCAAGTCTCCTGTCAAGCTTGAGCCAGTCTCTATTGCGTCAGAAAAGATGGCCTCAGCAGTTCCGGAGCCAGTTCCAATGATAGCCGACGACGCAGCACGATAGGCGTCTTCAGCCGTGGGGCTGATATCGGATCCCAGTGACTCAACAGGCTCCGCGATGGGAGATTCCAACGAAGACAAGACCGATGAAAGGGCTTCACCTCCAACCTCGCTGGCTTTGGACGTTGCGGACTCGACAGTGCCAGTGCTTGTGCCTGCGACTGCAGACGATGCAGACGAGACCGCTTCGGCGGCAGCATCGCTCGCTTGTGACATGATAGAGCTGGCAGATTCTACAGCTTCTGAGGGTGCGCCTTGAAGGTCGGCGGCCAGGCTGGAGGCAGCTGATACCGCTTCAGCCGGCATACTTCGGGTTCCAAAATCATCCGATGCATCGCGGGCTTTCAGCTTCCACTGAGCAACACTCTTGAGTCTAACCAGTTCTTTCGCTGCGTCTTCGGTGATTGCCATGCTTTCTTCAAGAATTTGTCGAGCTGTGGCAATTGCTTCCTCTGCGTCTGGGCTGTGCATGGCAACGTCTTTGACCTCGGTTTTCCATTCATCCAGCGTCTTCCGGACCTTATGAAACTTCTCCCAGTGTTTGTAGGTGACACCTTCCATCCAAGCCCAGCGCATCCCGACTTCTTGGAGACCGATATCCTTAATCCCATCTAAGACCTCCAAAGTTGAGGCGGAGGCAGCTTCAAGTCTTTGTATCAAGCCTTGTTCAAAGTTCTTAGACCAGTTCCGGACATTTCTGGCACGCTCCTTGATTTCAGCGCCTGAGGATCTGATTGATCCGAGAATTTCTTCTGCTGCTCTTTTCACCGCCTCTGCATTCCCATCGTCAGGAAGTGAAGCAACGACTGACTTTATCTTTGTTTTGACCTTCTCCAACTCATTTTCCGCGGTCTTTTCCAAAGCTTTGGCCAGTCCTCGGCCGACTCCGTCCATGTCGCTCTTGACAAGACTGTTGACAAGCGAGATGACTCGCTCTCGAAGGTCATCGCTCCCTTTATCAGCCGCCACCGCAAACTTCTTTTGCCAGCTTCTGAGATCTTCAGCTATTTGTTCTTCCGTAGCATATACCACAGGGCGTTTCACACGTTCTTGAGCTGTCGGTTGGGTTTCTTGTGAGGTCGTCGTAGAGGACTCTGTAGTGTCTTCCGAATCAAACATGGCATACACATCATCCATGATACCGGTGGTTGCACTTGGAGTGGCAGAAGCAGTGAAGGTTGATTGGGTCCTATCTACTTCGTCCATGGCGGCCTTCAATTGTCGGCTCTCTCGATACTTGGCGATCCTCTCATTGATCATGAGCAGCTGAGGCCTAACATTGTCGATGTAAAGACCCTTCACAAAAGGCCAGAAAGTGCCGTCCATGAAAATAACGAGGTCCGACCAGGCATGTCGCAGAAGAGGATATGCGGTGTTCAGGGCGAAGTCTTGGCAGAGACTATATGCTTTGTGAAGATGGGGCCGGGAGTATTCCATTGCTGGGACAAGATGTTGTTGGAATATTTGATAGGCCTGATCTCGCGCTGACGTGTAATAAGGACCAGCCAATGCAACAAACTGGTCAACGTGAGGACCCAGATTGCTCTCATAGAATCGAGCGGCATTTTCTCGTGCCAGATTGATTTGGGGCATGATAACTTGGTCCCATTGAGCCTGGGAGTATGCCTTTGCAGCATCGATCTGTGGAGCAGCATATTTTTCATAATTGACCACAGCAATCTTGGTTGCAGGCCGCACCACTCGGCTATTGACCAGATGTGCGTATGGCTCGGTTTTGGCAACGTAAGGAGCTGCGTACTCATCGTAATATGGTTGCAGATGTGGTTGGATATATTCCTTTGCGGTAAGGTACGGTCCACATATTCGCGGAGAGGTATCGGTAAGGGCAATCCGCGACGAGGGACAGTTGAATAGGATGGTGAGGATGCAGTACCATATAGCAAGCCTGTGGAGCGGTCAGGGATATCTTCAGTTGATGAAGTGACAATTTGCCATACCTCGCAGAATTGTTGAACAGCCAGGAGGCCCAGCTCCGGCGATGGCGATGGCGAGCAGGTCGCCGTGTAGGCGGTCCTACACCATGCCCGTTGGGTCTGTCTTTGACACTCTCTATAGGTCTTCCGTTCTCAGCTACTGCCATTGCAGCTGATGTGCCTTGGAGGATCGCTCCTCACTCCCACCCAGAGTGCTGAATTGTTTTGTTCTGCCAACTTTTTTCAGAGCACAGATGCTCGGGCCAATGCTGATTGAGAACGGTGAACAGTCAATTGCCGGGGTTCAAACCGAACAATGCAGCAGCAACCGGGGATGCGAACAGATGATGGGGAGGGAAGGAGATTCCGGAGCAAGTCTGGTGGCGTGAGGATGATGGCCGAGGAAGAGTGGTAGATGGGACGAGCAGGTAAGTGTAGCTAAATTGCCGTCTTTCGAAAAATTGTGGAGGACGTCTGGAGTGAGGAGACCTGTGAGGCGTGCAGGCGTGCAGCTTGCAGGGGGGGTTGTTCAAGTGTCAAGCTTGCGAGGCACCCTTTGCGGCCAATGCGTCACCCGGCACCAGAATGGCATAAAACCTGCGACGCGGACAGTAGCAGCTTCGGTGCAGCCAGTCACCGCCAGGAAGAGGCGAAGCACGGATGGTCAACCCCTAACAACCAAGGGACCAAGGACCAAGGAGGGTGGTGTCCGTGATAAGCAAGAGATTAAGCTGTCAGATCGACAGTTGTATCATCGATGATGATGGACAAGATGGATTCTTGGTGAATGTTTGTCCCAGATCAGAGGCTGTAATGATGTCAACTCTGCACATGCTCAGTTCACCGACCACCAACGGAACAGCTGGTGGCTCTTGGTGGCTCTCAGTAGTGGATGGATGCGCGCATGTTACGCAGATGTGGGATGGTGGACTGTGGGAAATGTGGCGTTGCTGCGGGCCGGTTCTTTGACTACCACGCGCTATGTCGTCCACCGTAGTAGTCTCGCTCAATGGTGAGACGGATAGATGGCTCTGTACCTCCCCGTACTAAGGAGTACTGCTAATGATGCAAATGGTGGTATGCCTTGCATGGGTTGCTCTTTTCAACAAACAATACCGACTAAGGCTCATGCCCCCGTTATAAAACCCAGACGGGTGCCTCATACTATACCTGGGTTTCCTGTCGCTACAATGAATCATGCCTCATGTCTAGGTACGCAATGCGATGCCTGTCTAATTTCCCCCCCCCCCCCATCTCTCACAATGCCCTCTCCTTGCCTTTGCCTTTGGATACACCCTCTCTCCTAGTTCTCGGCTTCGGATCCTGGAAATTATGTAACCTCTCCCCAATCAAGTACACCTCGTCTCTAATTTTGATCCTCCAATTCTCCACTTTCCTCCTCATATATACCCAGCCCACATAACTAACCAGCATCCCCAAGAAAAGCGGATATGCAAACCGATACATTCGCATCCGTTCCGATGTTTTTGAGATCTGGAGAATGGTGATGATGACTTTCATGAAAGTCAGCGGTGCAATGAGGAGTGTAAGACAGATGACCGTAGCCGGGAGAACGAAAGCGCGTAACGCGAGAAGAACGTCTGCGTGGAAAATGCCGTTACGGACGATTGCGCGGAGAGCCCTGGCGGGGCGCACGGTAGGCGGGAAGGTGTGGGACAGGATGCGGAAGACCAGGCGTAGGAAGATGAGACCGATAGTCCAGGACTGGAGGACAAAGATTGTGGCAGGTGGAAAAGAAGCGATAATTGTCGTCCTTTCCGCCCTTTCCGCCCTTTCCGCAGGGGGGGAGGTGGAGGATGGGGAGGATGAAGGGTTTTGACCAAGGGCTTCGAGCAGGTCGAAGATCGGAATGTGGATGTACAACTCTGCGATTAGGGAGAGAATGAAAGGGAGGACAATCGTGGTGAAAACCCCCAGGTACGCCAGGCCGAGGATATGGAGCGTCGAGGTGAGCAGTTGCTTTGCAGACCATCTAAATTTCTTTTGCAGGTAGTCTCGAGCGGGCCGGGCGTAGGCGATAGTATATCCCACCGCCGCAAAAACGTGGATCCCAACGGTGAAAGCATACAGATCGTTTGGCGGGTGAGGTGACTGCGAGAGGAGCCAAGTCAGTTTGCGACCAACTAATAGAGGGCCGACAGTGAAGGCGACCCCGGTCGAGGCTGCGAAGAGCCACAATAGAACGACGAACGTTGCGATCCGAGTCTTGAAGTTTGGGGGAAGGTAGACCTTGGTGAACTGAGGGTTTTTCTTGCCGTGCGGGGCGAAGAGTAACTCTGGCACACCATCCACCCTCTCATTGTCTTCTGTGACTTCGAGAAAGACCCTTCGCCCCTTTGCGATGCGCACAGAGTCAGACGCAGGTGCTCGAACATAACGTCCATCACGTTTCGGTTCTGTCAACGTGTCTTTGGCAAACACGTTCCACGGAAACCCTTTCGGGTGACTGAATGTTTCTTCTTTGCGCTCCTCTCCAAAGAGGAAGTTGGTCAGCCTCAACCACCGAGCACATCCTCGGAACCACCATTGATAAATTGCGGAGATCTTCTTCGATGGCTCGGCCTTGCGCAGAGCGAACGGAAGGAGAAAGTTGTAAAAGATAATGTCAACGGGAAACGAAAGTCTGGGTTCCGGAGTCGACCATTGAATCGGGAGAATGCCGCCAAACCAGTCTATCGACCATACCACACCTCCCAGGCAGACAATGACCAAGCCGCCATAAACCAATGCCGAAAACGCAATTTTGCCCAGTTGTGCCGGTACAGGTCGTTCTAGAACATCGCGCACCGGATGAAACGTCGGATCATCAGGATCTCGAATAAAATACAGCACTCCTTTTCGCATAATCTTCCGGCATATTGATACAAAAAGGGCGAAATGAAACATATAACAGGTTCCGATGAACCAGTGGATGAAAATTCCAGTCAAAGGCGTTCGCATCAGGAAAGCAATGCGGCTGGCGATGGTGGCGTTGGCGAACAGGGGAAGAAGTGCTATATCCAATAGCAGTCCACAGTACAAGGGAAAGACCAGCATCTCAATTCCAATGATGACAATGACTTTCATCACACCACCTGCTTGCCGCAGCGAGTCTGCAAAATAGCCCTCGACCTTCTCGCCATCTTTCAAACCAAGGAGAAGATGGGCAAGCTCGAGGAACATGATTCCAGCAACGGCGAAGAAGGCATAACCGAGCAGAATCGTGAGGATTCGGTCTTCTGTGCTCCATTCAGTCAACGAAGGATCCATACCATCTCCACTGCTGGGCCGGGAGAAGTCTAGATCCGTAGTTAGAGAACGGAGGAGGTTCGCTGCTAACTTGCCGAGCTGAGCGATATTCTCGTGCAGTCTGGGAAAGGATGTTAAGGTCTGCCAAACGGATGTGAACGGGGCGCTCAAGCTCTGATGCTCCCTGGTCAATATCGTTTGGCCTTGGATTAGCGCGGAGGTCATCCACTGTAATGCTGTGTATACGGATGCCTTAAAAGAGATAAGGGCGCGATGTGACTGCACCGAAAATGTCGGCAAATCCGGCTTGAGACTGAGAATAGCTGCGGAGAGAGTCCTTTCCAAACGTATACCACTTTTTTGACTCAGGTCGAGGCTAAATCCTTCCAACATTGCAGTGTCGAGGATGCTGCCAAGACGAGGTATAACCGGAGACAAGACAGCCTTCATGATTTTTACAGGCTGGTTCAGGAGGAAACCAGCAAGTCCGGCCACGAAGAAAATGACATCGACCACAATATCCGCAGTTCGAGACAGCACGAATAGCGGGGCCCTCACCAACGTAGTGGTAGGATTTGACAGAAATAACAGTGCAATCTTTCCCCATACGTAGGGACACCAGACACTAGCCGACAAGGTCACAGAAATGAGGAAAAGCGAGAAGATGACATTCTGAACCATGCCGAAGATGGGTCCTTCCATACCAAGAAGTTCCAGGATGCCATCAAGATCCTCTGCATCATCGGGGTTAGGCTCATTGAGGTCGACTCCAAAAAGAATGTTGGGCTCCCTGGCTTCTCCAGGCACAGCGGGTGGTGCCTCGATGGCAGCAGGAGGCGCCAGACCCGGTGCAGCATCTCGGTTTTGGATGGGAACAAATGGAGCTTCTGCATTGACATCTTCCACAATGCGTTCCTCATCTTGATCCTCTGCACGTGGGGGATCGCCGGTCTCCGCCCGTAGCTGGTCGTCATCTTCCAAATCGACGTCCCAGAGAATCTGTGATATCTTCCCCCATAATGATGTACCTGGGCGAGAATCTTCGTCATAAGGTGCAATGACTTCCTCAGACTGCAGATGATCTGCACCGTCAAAGGGGGCTTCCCGACTCTCGCCGCGGAGCGCGGTTCCCCACAGCTGCAGAGATTGATCTGCATCATTCGAATCGGGTGTCGCTATTACCGGAGCGTCTGAATCAGTCCCGTGTTCATCGACATTGGACGCCAGTATTTCATCCGTTGCATTATCAAGCTCATCAAGCACATCAAACACATCTGCAGATGACATTGTTGGACCGAATGGTTCGCTTAATTCCGGTTCTTCCTGCTTGCTTTGCTTATGCTCTGAATTTTGCATCCATCCGGGCGTATAGTTTGCAAAAATATCCTCAGAAATTGGGGAATCTTCCATTTGGATGGGGGAGGCATCGACACTGTTCGTGTCAACAAGCTGAGGACTTGGAGTCGCTCTAGGCGGGTAGGGAATAGCTTCACTGTCACCCGTGCTGTCTCTTCTGATCGGCTGACCCCAAAGACCATTCGTGCCCACGCCACGCTCCTGTACAACATCAGCAACGCTTGATGAACTTTGCGATCTAACCCTCAGAATCGGTCTGTCAACCTCGCATCCCGTTCCATTGCCAATGTTGTCTTCTGACAGAGCCCGATGCGGTGGTGGTCTAACAGGCGGTGTTCTCGGCGGAGCCATGTCCTCGGGAGTTATCCGACCTTCAATGAGCTCCGCAGTGGTAAGTTCTTCTGCGAGGTGATCGCCAACAAGGGGAGTGCGCTGTAGGTGCAGAGGTGGTCTTTGCGAATCAGAGTCCTCAGAAGCTACCTGCCTTGCCATACGCTCTGTGGCGGCTAATGCTTCTTCGAAGCTAGCATCCGAACCAGGAGTGCGCGGTGGTCTCGGCGGGGCGATGTCCTCAGGAGGTATCTGCGCCGCCAGAAGCTCTATGGCGGCTAATTCATCTGCAACATTATCGCCAACACGGGGAACGCGCGGCAGGTTAGGAGGCAGACGTATTCCCCCAGCATCATCAGCCTGAGCATTATCGTCTGGGTCAGGCATATTCAGTATCGGCTGTTGGTTGATGACCCATTCCCGAATCAGAAACACCAGGATAAATGCCGCAACCAGTAAGACACAGATCAACTGACCTTCAATCACATCGACGGTAGCGTGGTTGACCATGGGTGAAGCCGACCATGTTGATACGAATTGAATGTCTGACAGCAATGATGGAGGTCTTCTGGCCATTGAAGACAATTCCGACGTGGAATTCTGCGCAGGTCCAGCTCTGTCAACATGTCTCAGACGTGGGATGAAGATGGATAGAACGAAGCGGAAGATCTTGCCAATCATGCTTTGGCCAAGGAGCAGTCGAGCAATATCAGCGAGCGAAATCTGCATGGGAGGAAACACCAGTTTTATCTTTTCAAGGTGTTCTGGAACAGTGAAGTTGAAGGAGGCGGCGAGTGAGGCTTGAGGCGTGGCGAGAGTACCAGTAACATTTGATGCCTGTTCGGACGTGACTTGCAGGTTGAACTCATCCACCCAGGCGCCGTCGGCTAGCCAGAACAAACCTCGCCATATCTGTCGGATGCACCAAGGCAAGCAACATATCCATATCATCCCCACCAGCAAGTAACGAGCCCAACGAGCAAATTCTGTCGCCCCATGACGAGCAAGCTGGCGTAGAAAGAGGGGGAAGGGCAGAGTGGCGGGCATGGACCGGTCGTAGAGTTTCGTGAAACGAAAAGAAGTCTTGCACAATTCGCAGTATTTTTTCTGAGAATGCGACAGCCATTCCATGAGGCATTCTTGATGGACGAATTTGATGCTGCCAGAGCACTTGCACGGATAGTATAGAGGTTGGGTACTGGTGCCTTCGCCACGGCAGATCCGACAATAGTCCTGTCCTTCTTCATGACCCGCAGTGCCGACAGAGGTTCTGCGTGTCGCCGTGCGAGTCAGGGGAGTGCGGCGTTTCTCTTCGAAGGGATTGAGCGGCATCTTGTCTTGCACAGACAAACGTAGGACTTCGAGGATTTTCAATGGTTTGCATATCGGCCGGGTGACAAACTCAGGCCATCACAGGGGAGATTGAGAGGAGGTGGCGACGACAGTCCCAAGGTCTTACTGTCCCTATAGCGTATGTGAGCCAGGAAAGGTGAGATCTTGCTTTTCGAAGGGCAAAAGATGGCAGATTAGTGGTGAGATGAAGAAAGATATGAGTGCAGCGCAGTCTGGATGGGAAATAAGTACCTAGTGATCAGTGGCCAGTGGTCACGACTTTCCGATGATGTCGGTATCCGGGATCAGTCACGTGCTTCTTCCGATACGGTGAAGTATTTTTCTGATGCACGCAAATATCTCCACAGGACTTGCGCGTCTCGTTCCCGCTTGTCGCCCCCAAGTCTCCCATACTTCGTACATGCCTCGCGAGGCTCGATACCTACGAGGTACATACCTAGGTGCCTACTTCAAGTCCCAGCCTCTGATGTTACCTTGCCTCGACATCCCTTGCTTTACCCACAGTCGATATCCACTCCGATGCGACCAACCAAGAGACTGCTCAGGGCACACGCATGTCACAGAAGCAAGGACCCTGCTGCTCATCACTGGTCAACCAAACCGCCCTCGTCTGCGATGTGGCTGGCCTTAATTCTCCCTTGCAGCAAAACTATGCCACGTCCGCTACCATCCGCGACGCGCAGCTGCAGCATGCCAGAGCATGCCAAAGCAACTAAAAGTTTGCGAGTCTGGCTGAATGTGAGGTCTATTGGTGTGGGACAAAGCAGATATTTAACACACTCATATCCAGTTGATATTTGCGTGATTTTCCGGTCAAGATTAGTACGCCATCCCTTTTCCTAGTCTCATCTATTAGCATAGTGCCAGACTTAGCCAGAATAATGAGTCTGATCGAAGTGGCGGGGAATGGGGCACTCCAAGCCAAAGGCTTGATGCAAAAGCTGCGAAGCCGGCCGTTTAAAATGTGGCGAAAACCATCATGTCAACAGCTTGCCACCTCCCCCTTAAGCAGGTTCATCCAGTCGCTAAATTCCCTACCGCAAACGTGGAGGTGGAAACTGTGCTGGTTATCGAATATACGGTCCTTGGAACTACCGCGCTGGTCGTGGCTGCGAGAATCAAGCTCTTACTGTTTCTCTGCAGGAATGCGTGCCCATTCTGTTTTGATTCACCCCCCACGACACGCGAAGCGAACTGGCCTGTGACTCCCTAACCACCCCCAACATCAATGGTTATCCAGTAGATGCAGTACGAAACACTCTCGAATCTTAAATACTAGTACTTCAGTATTGGTATGTTGTTCAAGCTACATACTAGTAGTACATAGCATCTGGATACTAGAGGACATCGCCTACTCTCTACCGCATTGAACACAAACAGTTTGAGGTTCGGCCTTCAAACATAAGCTCATACAAGCTATCCTCAAGCAGAGACAGCCGTCGTTGTCTACAATGGTCACTGCAGTGATGACAGCCCTTGTGTGTCAAGACTGGGTGCCGCAACAGTCTGCTCGGCCGAGAAGGAGGAGCAAACGTTAAAGTACCCAGTATATTGGAGGAGAGATGCTGACTTCCATCAAGGTCATCTTCCATGTATACTAGTACTATGTAAAGTGTTCACCACGTCTCGGCCACGGAGAAATCTCGAATATGATTGCGCAGTCTCTCGGTCCTCAGCTCAGCCACGGCATGGATCCAGGCTTGAGCAGACATCAGCGGGTGACCCATGGAAGATTGCATCACAAGCATACCAGATATAGTATCACGAGAACCAGAGGGATGTTGCTGCCAATGGCAGAAGTCGTACCGTCGAAGGGAAGGAGCAGACCACCGCAATCCGTGTCGAAGAGTCGCCCCTTTTTAGTCCAGCAATAGGCATGCGTATATGCGGAAGGTTAGTATAGGCGACCACACTGCTTTCAACTTGTCGTTGCTCACGATACAACTAACACTCGGCTCTAAGAACATGCTCTGGCGTGCCGGTACCGCCCTACCCTATGGAATCGATCGCGGATTGGAGCCATGATAGAATCAACAGATTAAGGCTTTACTACTAATTCCGGATCAGGGCCAGATCTGGGTTAGATTGGATTAGACAGGAAAGGGTCATGTAGGGATGCAAGTGCTTAAGGTCCTAATAAGTACTAGTACTCTCCAAACTCTACTATGTCCTACTGCTACTACTCTTGTGGCGTGTGGGGTGTGGGTGTTGGGTCGCGGACTTGACGTGCACTATTGTACTATGTACGTACTACGCTAAGTGATCAAACCACAATCTAGGATCGACTGTGTATCTGATGAAGAACAGCACCGCCTTGGACGAAACCTCAAGTTATCCCTCTGTGTCATGAGCGTTTGATAGAGACTCGGAAACTCCATGAGTCTGGGGGCTGTGTAGGAACGAGATTAGTACGGAATTGCTTCAACGTCAGAGGTATGGTGAGCAGGTACTACTAGTACTTAAAAGCCGCCACGTCGAGATCTATCTGAATAAAATCTGAAATCTGAGTTCCTGTGTATGCCTCAAGCACCCCAGCTCCCCCTCCACGCTGCATCCAACTCCGACTCCTCACCAGCCAGCTTCCTTTTCTTCCTCGCGATCCCGTCTCTTACGCATTCGGCCACGTCCTCGGGGTTCGTGCCCCGTTTGCGGCGCTCGACCCGTTCATCACCCAGGACTGTGTCGTTCGCGACCAAGTTGTATATCTCCGCTATGCCTTCAAAGACGCCAGACACGTGCTTACCATTGCTGGGGACGATGGTGCTATTCGGGGTCTGGTGGTCGTGACTGCCTCCGTTGGAGGAAAGGACGGCGTTGGTGAACCCACCTTCTTCGCTGAAGGTTTCGTTGATCTGCCGCATCTCTTCCACCCAACGGTACGCTTTGGGCGGCATGCTCACCAGCCCCCCCTGGGCGAATGCCAATAATTGCGGAGAGAATTCTTGCAAATGAGCCTGCAGTTCCTTGAGCACGCCGCATGTGTGTGCCGTTGTGAATGACAAGATGGAAAGCGCCGTCATGCCCTTCGTCAAGGAGGCGAAGCAGGATTTCAAGGCCGAAGCCGTGCCGATTTTGGGGCCGAGGATTTTGATGTTCAAAAGATCGACGAACGCTGGAGTCAGGAGTTCCGCATGTTTTGGTCCAGAAATGATGACTGAGGGCTTTTTCCAGGATTGATCCTGTCTGAGTGACGGAGGACCCCCAATGATGCCACCGTCGAGGAAGTCAATTGATATGGGTTCCAGCTCTGGCTCGGATTCTCTTCTCGGGTGGAAGGTGAAAGTGCGCGATATGGACAGTCGTCGAGGTGATGCGGGAGTCATCGGTGTCGAGAACATGGCGGCGATGGATCTGGCGGTTTTGGGGCTGATAGCGTTCAAATCGATATATGTTAGACTTGGCGCCTGTGAGACAGCCGTGGTGCCTCTTCTTTCACTGCGCCTTTTGATTGCGGTTTGCGAGCGGCAGGCTTCAAGCGCCCGTCGCGCTGTTGCTATTGCATCTCTCGGCGGCACGATGCTTAAAATGATGTCGGCTTCAGCAACTAGCTGTTCATCTGATTCCAAGGTCGTTATCTGCGAAGCCTTGATCCGGTCAAGAGTGTGCTGACTTGAAAGTGAAGGCAGCTCAGCAAAGAGTTCAATACTAGTACTATCATCTGGACGAAGGTCTGGAAGAACTTGCCTTCTGCCCGTGGCGACTGTATAGATCGTGTGATCGTGATGGCGGAGCAGCCGGGCAACCCCATTGCCCATGTCACCGATGGAAAGGATGCCTACAGTGGGGTTAATCTGGGCTGATGAGGTCGCCATTGTTCTTCGGAGCGAGAAGGGATGGAGAGAGGACAGAAAAGTTCGAGTTGTGCAAACCAGGAATTTTGCAACGTCCATGAAGTGAAGGCATGGTGAGACCAAGTCAAACGCGGCACCTGACTGCACCATTATGGTTTAGCTGTTCGGGCAGGTGCAACCGCGGCTATTCCCGCCAGAGGGCGGGGCACTGACACCAGCGCTAGGCGAATGCTAGGCGAATGTCTTTTCGAAGACATGCGTGCCAAGTCACACACAGCCCCAAAGATAATGGGGAAAAATTTTTTTCTCCAAAAAAAAGAAAGGTATTTCCTTAGGAATTGAGCCGCTTTGGTGGATGTTAGCTGAGATCCCTTGTTTTCTTTTTGAGGTATAGGCAACTCACAAGGCGGGACTGTCCCATGGTTAGTCTTCCTGACAAGGTTGTTTCTGAGCGAGGGCGAAGTACCTCGAACCCGCAACCTTGAGGTTGGATCTTAGATAAGAGCCACACGCTCTACCGATTCTGGTGTGATCGTTAGCAGGCTGGTCAGGACCAGATGCCTCAGAAGGTCACTTACGAGCTACTGTAGCAGTTGTTAGAAACCCAGTACTGAATGGGTGATTCGGATGGTAATGACTTACCCCCGGCAGTGCTGGGTGATTGTTGAAGAAAAGTTTTCTACTTCAAAATATACAATTTGATTCTCAAGCTAGTGGGGCAGACTGCGCGGGGCACGCTTATGAGTGTGAAGTCATCTACAAGTATCCGTCCCACTCTGAGCATCGAGTGCAGTGCTCCTACCTTACTATTACACCAACCTTTGAAAACCTGAACGTTTCTCACATCCTCATAACCTCATGGCTCTTTCTCAAGCTTAGATTGCTCCCGGGTAGGAAACTCCAATGTTCCTCCTTTATTATACAAGGTATCGAGCTGGCTACCCGCTCTACATACTGGCAGGGAACCAACAGCCTCCGTCCACTGGCTAGACATGCAATAATCTGACGAAAACCAGTATTATGGTAACTCAGAGCCTGCAGTTGGTGTTGACGCGTCTCAGACCCTCGATTTTGTAAGGGACGTCCGAAGCAGGGAATATCGGTGCTAATAGGCGATTTCCGATGTCATATCGAGTTCATAGATTCAGAAGGATGCACACTGGAGAAGCTGCAAGTAGTGTTATCTAAGACTAAGTGGGAGACCATCCTCATAGTACCTTCGTAGAGGCAGTGGGCATGACAATCTCGTGACGAACTCGTGCATCCATACAGCAGCGCCTGCCCGTCAACCTGCTCTTCTCCCTTGCACCAAATAACACAGCGGAAGCTGTTATTGTGATAGAGTCCACATATCGAGGTCACTACATAGCATGGACGATTTTGTAAGGTGATTGCGAATTCTCTAGGCAACGGAAATTCCGAGCCGTCGGGCGGAAAATTTTATGAGTGCCTAACACAAGAACCACCTCCTGTCCGTCTCAGCCCTCGTTACGGATCGGAAAGAAGACCACAATTCCAATGGATAATGACTTCGCTCTTGGTCGGTGCCAGTTCTTCCGAGGGTCAATGCCCGGCCTTCTTCCGACTCTGTGCGAGAACTACATACATTTCTCCAATAGGGTACGTTGTGATGGCCACTGAATCGGAGATGTCGAGACGCTTTTCGCTTCTTTTCGACTTTCTTGGACACTTCAAAGCCAGTATTTCTGGGATCAAAGTGTGAGTAGTTGGCACTGATTTGACAAATTCCTTCCGCAATCATGGCGAGCAACCCTACGCCAACAACAGTAGTGCAGAACGGTGGCGGTGGCAGTGGCAGTTCGACATCGAAGGACTATGATCTATCTCAACCCATCACCTCGACATCTGGCCTTCGCTCTGGGCTCACTTCATATGGCGACGCCCATTTCTCGCTATTCCTTAGAAAGGTCTTCATCAAAGCGCTAGGATATTCGGACTCGGCACTCTCCTCACCCATCATCGGCGTCATCAACACGTACTCTTCATTCAATCCCTGTCATTCCAATGTACCGCAACTCATCGAATCAGTCAAGCGTGGCGTCTTAGCCTCAGGAGGGCTCCCGGTCGATTTTCCGACCATCAGTATCCACGAGAGCTTTGCCAGTCCGACCAGCATGTATCTGAGGAATTTGATGAGTATGGACACAGAGGAGATGATCAAAGCTCAGCCGGTAGATGCAGTGGTCATGATAGGTGGGTGTGATAAGACAATTCCAGCGCAGTTGATGGGCGGTGTCTCCGCAAATAAGCCAGTCATACCTCTCATCACAGGGCCAATGATGCCGGGCTCGGTAGAAGGGGTCAGAGTAGGCGCTTGTACGGATTGTCGAAGCTATTGGGCGCGATATCGGGCCGGTGGTGTCGACTTGGAAGACATCATGTCTGTCAATGAGGAGTTGGCGCCTACAGGAGGCACCTGCGGAGTGATGGGCACCGCATCGACCATGGCTTGCATAACTGCAGGCCTCGGACTGCTTGAGCTTAAATCAGGCGCTACAGCCGCTGCCGTGAGCTCTGCGAGACTGAGAGTCGCAGAGCAAGCTGGACGTAATGCAGTGGCGATGCTTACAAAGGATGGGATGAGACCACAAGATCTGCTTACCCGAGAGAGCTTCCTCAATGCCATCACTGTTCTTCAAGCCATTGGTGGAAGCACGAATGCTGTGGTGCATCTGCTGGCCATTATCAACCGACACCCGAAGGTGGCAGGCACCATTGACCTCAATACCTTTGACGAGATCGGAAGAAAGACTCCGCTGTTGGTCGACCTGAAACCCAGCGGTGACAATTACATGACCGACTTTCACAATGCAGGTGGCATGTTGGCATTGATGCATACCTTGAGGCCATTGCTGCATCTTAATGCAAAGACTTATTCTGGCCAGACTCTGGGCGCGCTCCTCGACACCACCCCCTTCAAGTCGTTTCAGTATTCCAGGCAGATTGTCCGGTCTCTCGAAGACCCCCTCTACCCTACCTCAAGTCTGGTCGTCTTGTACGGCAACATCTGCCCACAAGGGGCGGTCATGAAAGCCTCGGCCTCGAAGGACCGGAAACTGCTGCACCACCGTGGCTCAGCGTGCGTCTTTGAGAACACTGCAGACATGGCTAAACGCATCGACTCTCCGGACCTGGAAGTTGATGCGAACTCGGTGTTGATACTCAAAAGCATAGGTCCCGTAGGCAACCCGGGAATGCCCGAGGCTGGACTGATACCTATTCCGCAAAAACTAGGTAAACAAGGTGTGGTCGACATGTTGCGAATCAGCGATGGGCGAATGAGCGGCACTGCTGGTGGGACGATTATACTACATATATCACCGGAGTCCGCAGATCTTGACTCTGTGTTTGGCATCGTTCAGACAGGAGATAAGATCATTTGCGACGTCGAGAACAGGAAACTGATCCTAGACGTAGGAGAGCAGGAGATCGCTGGACGCATTGCCGAACGCAAAATGCGATCCCTGGGCGCTTCCTCTTCTGGGAAAGCTGACGAACAGATATCGAGCAATCAAGAACCGTGGGTGGAGAGGACTGGTCGGAGAGGGTATCGAGGCCTCTACGAACGCGAAGTCAATCAGGCGCACCTTGGTTGCGACTTTGGCTTCCTAACAGCCCAGGGTCCCTCAGGCAACTGATATCTTCGACTGCTGTAATCATTTTGGGCCTTTGTGGGACTGTTAGTCAACGCCCTTGCTACTGCTGTAGCTGCAGGGGGAACAACTCCTGCTATCACGCCTTGAATTTATAGCTGGAGTGCATCTGGGCGCCCAGCTGACCTCCGCGGCTTTTCCGGCTCTTCGTGAACGTTGTTATTGTCTTGCTCAATGACCCGTGGAGTCTCTTGTTGGACAGTTCTGCGTAAACCGACCGGAGTCAGGCCAGCAGAGCTTTTTCCTCAACGGGCAATTGCTGGCTCGAATCAAATGGGAACATGGCTCATGCTGCTAGTCATTTGCCGGCTCGCTAGCAGAGGGGGCCCATAGGATGGTACGTATCCACAGACGCGGCTTTGACTGGATCATCGGGTATCATCTCCTGCAGCCTGATGTTTGTTCAGTTCCAAAGGAAATGCAACACTTTCAGCTCCGGATCGAGTGATTCGCGTCCTGCCCAGCATGGTCTGTAGTCTACCAAGTCGTGCGGGGGGTGTCAAATCGAGCCATATATTGTTCCTTCTCAAGGGCGAAGAGGACTATATTGACTGGCAGACCGTTAGCAGACAGACTCATTGACTCAGCTAGAAATGTCTGGCCGAATACGGGCTGAGAACCTGTGATTGTAATTGTGATTGGGCCGTGTCTCCCAGTCCGGGGAGGAGGGTTGATGTTTGCCACCAAGCCTCGCATCGCAACACATAACAAATTCCCGATCCAGCTTTAGGACGAAACCGGAATGCCTGACAAGGGGTGACTGTGCCATCTCGTCAAGGTGCGAACAGCTGACGTTCTTGTCAAACTACTCAAACCGGCCATGTAGTTGCCAGGTTTGACAATTCAGAGAAAAATTCATGGACCAGCAACTTGGAGCTGTTGCCGTTTCAGGAAGTATAGCAATCCGAGGGCGTCGTGACATGGTGACATGGATGCAGGCCATGTTGGTCCAGGGTGATGCACCACACGTACCACGCGATAGTGGATGGCTTGAAATGGCAAATGTGGCAAGGTCACACGCGTTACCACTACAGGACCCGACCGCGGCCTTCAGTCGATGGACGTTCGCTATTTGAGGAGAGCTGTCGAGCTGTCCACGGAATAGATGCCAAAGACAGGCACTTCTTAGAGCCTCCCAACCAACATGTTGCCGTTTGGGGAGAAACCACCAGAGTTTTGTTATCTTGTACTCTGGCGGATCGAATCCATTGCTCGGCTCCCTGGCACTCACTCCGCAATCTAGTTCGGGACTAGCCATCCGTCTCTACATGCCGAAAGAGGATACAGCTTCTATCCACTACGAGGACGCTAGAGCCCGACAAGGGGGAGACACCTCTCGGCGCGAGGCTCCCTATTCTGATGATGTTTGATACGTACGAATGGACACGAGAGTTGGGACAAGGCAAAGTCAGTCGACTGGTGACGCAGCCTTTTTTGATTACGCGCGGGACGCCGAATACTATTACTTGGATTTCTACCAGGACAGGAAGTAAGTCAGTTCCGGAAATCGATCGCAGGGGAAAGGGCTGGAGTTTCACTGGCCAAAGAACACGGATGACCCGAGTGAGTGGGTGCCCTACCAGGGCTGGGGCGTGACCACGAATTTCTGACTTCTGACTTCTGACTTCTGACTTCTTAACTCCCGGACCTTGCTTGCTCACCAGGAAAGAGAAGATGTGCGCTGTGTACTTGTTACGGGGTTGCTGCAGTTCGCGAAACGTCTCCAGAACGAGGCACCAGCATCAGATCGGGAACTCTTCAGATCAAGTTCAGCATAATATTATACACAAACTAGCCTAGTGCTCCCAAAGCAGCCCATGCAAGCACCAAGTACAGCACAAGGTAAATAACACTCCCCTATTGCTCGGACACGGGTGGAAGGGCCACTAAGGGAAGACTAGGCCGAAGATGGCGTTTCCTGCACCTCTTTGCATCATGCATATGTACATAACCCCAACCCCTCCCTGTCAGCTGTAGCGGCATACTACGCGGAGCAACAAGGGGGGTTGGAACCTGGTAAGACGATGGGATCTAATAACGCATTGTTTCAGTACCGGGACTGAAGAAAGTGCCACGGATGCGGGACGGGCAAACTGATTTGCGATCGTGCCGCGGTGTCAATGCCCTAATACCGAACAAACTCCCTTCTCATGGGACATTTATTCGTCCGAGTTCGGGAGGAGCTACCTGGGTCATCATTGGCATTCTCATTCGAAGGAGAATGACATCCAGGGCTTTTTCCACCCTGAACTCGTCCTGGTCTGAATCCAGCCTCCTCTGGATCCTAGTTACACCCATCACGACTTCATACAATACACACAAGTTATCACCCCCTTCACCAATTTGCCGACTTCTTGAGTCTCTCATTCTGGATGATCTCGACCCAGTAGTCATCCGGATCCAGCACAAACGCCACGTTCTTCATCCTGCCGTCCGTTAGTCGCTTCTTCCAGTTCACACCTTTCTCCTCCATAAATGCACACGCCTTGTCCAGGTCATCCACACTGATGGCAATATGTCCGAAACCCTGAGGCTGGTCATTGCCGTTGTGGTATACCTTGCCTTCTTCCTTCTCCGTTCCATAGTTCCAGGTCAATTCGAGCAGACCTTCTTTCCTTGCGAGCGGGTTCACCCCGTTGGGCGTGTCCTCGGGCTTGGGAATCGCATAATCGCCTGGGTATCCCAAGAAATATAAAGTGAACCCGGCCGCCTTTTGTTCAGAGGTTCTCATGAGCGACATGCCCATGACCTCTTGGTAAAATTTCAATGACTTCTCTGGATCTTTGACACGGATCATGCTGTGGTTCATCCTGTAGGTGCCCGCTTCTGTCGTCTTTATACCTTCTGTCTGATCCACCGGCTTTTGCCCGATGACTTCCACCCAGTATCCGTCGGGATCCAGCGCAAAAGCGATACTCCGCATGCGCCCGTCGGTCAATTTCTTCTGGAATTTATACCCGGCATCTTCAATGCGTTGGCATGCGGCTTGGATGTTGTCAACCGAGATACAGATGTGGCCGAAGCCTTTGTGGGGTTCCTTATTGCCGTTATTGATGGTGAAGTCGGGGTCAGACTCGGAGCCGTAGTTGTGCGTGAGTTCGATGACGCCTTCGCGGTCGGTCCAGTGTGCATCTTTCGAGGCAGAGGAAGGACCATTGTAGGCTGTTACGGTGCGTCAGCCAGTAGTGGATAAGAGGAAAAGGGATGTTTGGAAGCTCCTACCTAGGAAATACAAACTGAACTTGTTGTCGGGGAAATCCAACTTGTTGATCAGGCTCAGACCCAGGAGATTATAGTACTCGATGGAGCGCTGGGGATCTTTCACCCGGAGCATGGTGTGGTTGAACTTCCATTTCGAGTGATCTGTCATGGTCGCAGACTGGGAGGTGGATGTCGTGAATGGTTTCGACGCGGCAGTTGTGCTTGAGGGCTGGAAGTGTTGCAGGAGTTGCTGGAGTCGAGGGAGGCGTGATGTGAGGCGTGATAGCATCGAATACCGGTCAAGAGAGGGAGGGACGCAGATACGACGCAAGGGTGAGAAGCAGTCGAGAGAAGGACAGAAAGTACAGCGGCTTGAATGCTGCCCTCGACAGCTCATTGGGATTTTGGATGATGATGCAGGTGTTTCGCAGGATGACGTGGGGCAACACGCTGGCTTACGAACCGTTGCGCACTTCTCCCCCTCACGGCATCGTACGGTGGCGCTCCGTTTAGGCGGTTTGGGCGGTCGAACCCCCGCCATGCTCCCTGCAGCCTCCTACGATATCCGCATTTCCACCAACCGTCGGGTGCCCGAGTTTCATCCACTCGACTTTCCGGTGGAAGACTTGGAGAGCTGTGAGCTGCCGCTGCCCCTCAAAGCCTTGGGCGTCGAATCACCGAAGTCCAGTGCTCAACGCCCCAATCATGAGCACCACCAGCAGCCCCCAGCTAAGTCTAGGGGTCCCATGCTTCGAGTTGCTGGGAGCTTCCTCCACACTTTGCCTCGGCCTCCCTCCACATCCACCAAGAGACGAGTATGGGGCTCAATGTTGTTCAAGTCTGCTTCCATATTGTTTTATAAGTCAACCTTGCGCCGGTGAGTCCAACTACTGCAAACAGTTAGCTATCGAATAGATTGCCGTCATCTCTCCTCTCTTGTTCCACTCGCCTATCGCGCGGCCCGAGATCTGTTGCCCATACCTGCGCTCAACCTGTATCGTCGCTGGCAGCCATGGTCCGTTCACCCGCAATTCGTGTCGCAAGGACAGCTTCGCAGCGCTCGACCTCTTTGCTGCGAGCAATTCAGTTCGGCCATCCTCCCAATTGCCCTTGTCACTCGAATCCCAACCACCATCATGCTCCGGCAGTTTTCGGCGAAGCCAGAAGGCGACTGGCGACTCCCATTGATAGCTCGCGATCCAAGGACTACGCGTTCGAGATGGCCGCCAGCTCGATCCGCTTCGGGCCTGGCTGCACAAAAGAGGTGGGCATGGATTTCAAAAACATGGGCGCCAAGCGGGTCTGTGTCGTCACGGACGGCAATGTGTCCAAGTTGGATGCCATGAGGCAAGTCGTTGAAGGGTTGTCCAAAGAAGGAATTGAGTTCACCGTCTATGACAAGTGTCGGGTCGAGCCCAAGGATAGCTCCGTCAAAGATGCCATTGCCTTTGCTAAGCCGTATCAGCCAGACGCCTTTCTGGCAGTGGGGGGAGGTTCAGTAATTGACACGGCGAAATTGATGAACCTATACACTTGCTTCCCAGATGCCGACTTCCTTGATTTTGTCAATGCTCCTCTCGGTAAGGGATTGCCAATCACGAAGCCGCTAAAGCCGCTGGTGGCTGTCCCGACCACCGCTGGAACAGGGTCAGAGACGACGGGAACAGCCATCTTCGATCTAGTCGAGAAGCGGGCGAAGACTGGTATTGCCCACCGGAATCTGAAGCCTACACTGGGCATTTGTGACCCGCTCAACACTCGCACGATGCCATCGGCTGTTCATGCTTCCTCGGGCTTGGATGTGTTATGTCACTCACTGGAATCCTGGACGGCCATTCCCTACCACGAGAGATCTCCGAGACCAACGAATCCGATCAATCGCCCAGCCTACCAGGGCGCAAACCCCATCTCCGATATTTTCTCGCTGAAGGCGCTCAAATCGACGGTCAAATACTTGCCTCGGGCAGCGAAGGATCCCGAGGACTATGAAGCTCAAAGTGAAATGCTGCTCGCGGCAACTTTGGCCGGTGTGGGATTCGGCAATGCGGGTGTCCATCTGTGTCATGGCATGAGTTACCCAATCAGCGGTCAGAATCCCGGCTATAAACATGCCGGTTACGTGGTTGAGACGCCCTTGATTCCCCACGGCGTCAGTGTTGCTGTAACTGCCCCTGCTGTGTTCAAGTTCACCGGCCCAAGCAATCCAGAGCGACATCTGGCTGCGGCAGAATGTTTCGGCGTGGATGTCTCCAATGTCAAAAAGGAAAGTGCAGGCGAGGTTTTAAGTGAAGCATTGGCAGAGTTCCTCATCAACTTGGGAGATCAGCCTCGAGGCTTGAAGCCCCTGGGTTTCACGCGCGAGAGCATTGATGATCTGGTGGAGGGAACATTGCCTCAAAGGAGAGTGCTCATGTTGGCACCCAGATTAAGCGCAGAAGTGAACGAGGAAAGAGAGCAGCTGCGGGGTTTGTTTGAAGAAGCATTGGAATACTGAGAAAGATTGCCATGCCTGTTCTTGTTTTGTTGGAGGAAATGCATGGTCAGGTTGGCATTCCTTCCGTTATGTTTGGGACGAATTTGTTTGCTGCGTTTGCACGGTTTGTCTCGCCCCCGAGTCCCCGAACAAAATCCCCCCCGGATCGCGGGGTTTGGATCACATCTTGCACAACCTTGCCTTGCGACTTCGGCCACTCACGACTCCACATTCCTCGACTTCATTGCTTTTGTGTCTCGCTAATATCGTGACGCACAACATCGTAGCCGGCGAATGGATTTGGAGCATTGACTGCCCCACGGAGAAATTGAAAAAAAGTCTTTGCACAACGCACAACCTGGCTCGGTCACTGGTCTACTGGACATCAAGAATAGTCAAAAGCACGAGAAAATATCAGACAATCTATCTGCCACTGCCTTCTCGTCTCTATCCCTGTTGGTCTCGCATTGTCGAGGTTCCGGAAAGCTTTAGATTCTCAGCTTGAGTAAGTCTTTCTTTTTCGATCGACGCGATTTGAAGGTGATACCTACACCGCCCTTGACTTCCGGAGAACAATCCTCGATCAGCGAGTTGAGGAGTAAAAATGGCCTCGACAAATGGTGAAACAGTCCAGGCTCGAGTCCTCTGCCCAGAGAAACTCTCCTCGGACGGACTCGCTCTGCTTCGGAAAAACCTCATTGTCGACGAGAGGCAGGGTCTAACGCCCGAGCAACTTATCTCAATCATCCCGGACTACGACGCCCTTCTTGTTCGCTCTGAGACCAAAGTCACGAATGATCTGCTGCAAGCAGCCCGCAAGCTGAAAGTAGTTGCTCGAGCGGGTGTCGGTGTAGACAATGTCGATGTCCCCGCTGCGACAAGGTTGGGTATCGTCGTGGTGAATTCTCCAAGTGGAAATATTCAGGCTGCTGCGGAACATACTATTGCCCTGTTGATGAGCATGGCGAGAAATATCCCGGACGCCTGTGCGAGCCTCAAGGGAGGGAGATGGGAGAGGAGCAGGCTTGTCGGTGTGGAGGTCAAGGGTAAGACCTTAGGGGTCGTGGGACTCGGCAAAGGTATACACAATCCGTCCAACTTCGCCATGGGCTGAGACAAGTTCTGACTATGAATGTCTTTCTTAGTTGGACTGATTGTCGCTCGAATGGCTCGTGGACTGGGCATGAATGTTGTCGCAGCAGACCCCTACGCCGCTCCATCAGTGGCAGCTGCCGCCAACGTCGAGCTCGTCGAAACCCTGTCCGAGCTTCTGCCTGTCGTCGACTTCCTGACCATTCACACACCAATGCTTGCCGCAACACGCGGCATGCTTTCCACGTCTGAACTCAACTCGATGAGGCGAGGTGCTCGCATCCTCAATGTCGCTCGCGGGGGCATCATCGACGAAGAAGCCCTTCTTGCCGCATTGGACTCTGGACATATAGCCGGCGCGGCAATAGATGTTTTTACTTCGGAACCACCACACAAAGACGCCAAGTCCTCGGCAGCAAGACTCGTCCAGCACCCTAAATGTATCGCAACACCACATCTAGGCGCATCGACGGTTGAAGCACAAGAAAACGTCTCCATTGACGTCTGCGAACAGGTTCTACAGGTCCTCGCAGGAGATCTACCGAGAAGCGCCGTAAATGCCCCTATTATCCTTCCAGCTGAATATAAGACTCTCCAACCCTTCGTACGGCTTGTGGAAAAGATGGGCTCTTTGTACACGCAACACTTCACATCCCCCACGCAACCGCTCCATCAAAGGAACATGAATACATTTGACCTCATCTATGAGGGCGAGATAGCAAATATGTCAAGTACGAAACCGCTTTTTGCAGCCCTTATCAAAGGGCTTACCTTGCCAATTTCTGACGCCGAGGGGTTCAACGTCAACATAGTCAATGCGGAGATGGTTGCCAAAGAGAGAGGGATATTTGTCAACGAGCAGAAGTCGAGAGATCCATCCACGCTGGCGTATTCAAGCTTGGTTACACTGATCGCACGCTCTGCCAGCAGAGCCCCTTCTCTAACTCGACATCCTAGCGCCCTCGAAGGGCTCTCTCTATCATCCAACGTAGCGAGCGACCAGCAAGCACAGCTCGCTAGCAAGCAGCACATCATTTCTGGCTACTGCAGCGACAACTCCCCCGTCATTTCGAGACTTGATCGCTTCGCAACCTCATTTGCCCCTGAAGGCACCCTGTTAATCTGTCACAATTATGATTCGCCGGGGAAGATTGGCGTGGTGGGCAGCATTCTCGGCAGAGAAGGTGTGAATATTAACTTCATGAGTGTGGCACCTGCAACATTCTCCGCTGGCTTAGCCCCGACGGGTTCGAGTTCCGTGAAGGATTTCGCGCCCAACCCTCCTGCCCCCAAAGAGACCACCGAGGCGCTCATGATCCTGGGCGTGGATAAGGAGGTTGGAGATGGTGTCAAGAGAGAGCTGATTGGGGCGAAGGGTGTGCTGAATGTCAGCAGCGTCACTCTCTGAGGGAGCGTGGGATGGAATGTATTCGGATTGTTCAACCAAAAATGGTCATGTCTCCCGAAACATCAGATAATATCAGTCTGTCAGCTTCAACATCTTGTGCACTGACCTACGTACCTATTGTGGAGGAATCAGCGGAGAGCGTCTTTCAGCGGGATCAGATCAGCATCGGGGTGGATCCCAAAAAAATAAAGTGGAAGGGAGGGCGAAAATCGAGACCGGATAAAAGATCCAGCAATGGAAAGAAATATAAATTCAGGAGAGTCCTTGTTTAGAAGGGGCTCTGTTCAAAGGGTTGTCTGTTAACACCAGCCTGACCTCGTTCTATCTCCCTGGTCCCCCAGGAGACATGGTGCTTTGTGTCCGTTCAGACTGACCCTTCAAAGCCAATGGATCCTCTGAAGGTGCTTGTCAGTCAATAAATCTCCACAGCACCGGCGAGGGACACGACTTGGATCTCAAAATGGCCTACCCCCTCAATACGGCGTGAGAAGTCTCTCGGCCGTGGAATCGGAATCGGGATCCGGACCGGCCTCTGAACCAGTATGTACTTGCAACCTCAATGGGACGACACAATGTCTTTCTTCCCACGTACGTCTAAGAACCACGATAAATACGCTTGTATGAGATGGGCGATGCGATGGCATCACCGCCGCGGCGAGGAGGAGGCCAAGACGCGCTCATTTTTCTCGACAGGGCCTCGAAGGTCAATTCATGGCTTGCACTGATGTTTTGGAGCAAGCCAGGCTGGACGGGGTGTCCGCTAATGTTCAGTTAATTAACCTTGCACTGCGCAGACTGTACGAGGGTAGGGATGTCTTGTTTGTACAGTTTGGATGTGAAAGTATATCTGTCAAGAGTTTGGGGTGTCTGTCCTTGTTTCTGATCGTTGTCGTGCAAAGATGGGCAAAGGCAGCGCGAGTTGGATACTCCCTGTTGGTAAATGGCGGATGACATGTATGCTCTTTCCTACATCGTATCGGTGTCGATGAGCGGGGGTACCCCTTCGTGCTAGCAGCTCCCATTGTGAGCCAAGTCTGCAAATCAGTAGGACATGGCGCGATGCTCCTCGATGCTTCCGATCGTCTTGGAGATGTGAAAAAGAAATGCTACTTTGCTTAGTCTATCTCTAGACCGCTGAAGTGAATCGTAGTCGGCTGCTCCTCCTCCCCCGCCACGGCAAAGATGCCAATGATAGGACCGACGAAATCGAAATTTGTCAAGTCCAGGGTATCGAGAGTGCCGATAGAGGTCCAGCCCGCTGAAGATTGGATCCCTGGTACCCTATAGGAGAATCGGTATTGTTGCTCGGTGTACTCGAGTCTCAGAGCAAGATGCTTACCAGGCTCGATAACATGCTTCACGGTCCGGTGGAGCCTCTTCGCGTCGTTCCGGACTTCGAATACGAGGGCTGTTTCCTGGCTATCATCATAGAAGACCCTCGCGTGGCGATGCTCATCCTTGTAGACTGCAAGCCCTGCTTTGACGCTGCTTGTTGGCGATTGCTGCGCTGGGCTTGGGCAGGTCATCCAGACTGAGCTGACGCCCTCGAGTTGACGTTGGCGTTTGCCGATAAATGTGGGAGACTCGGAGGGACTCACCAAGTCGACCCTGCGTGCTTTGAGAGCGATGTCTCGGCCGCCATTGGAGAACATATAATCATCTAGGTCCGCGTCGCGTATGTAGACGAAATCGACCATCGGCTTGGTAGTAACAAGAGCAGCAGTCCTTCCCTGGCAGGGAAGGCCTCTCGGATCGGACTTGACGGGCTCCAACGACGGCCACCCCCCCTCGGACCATTTCCCTGGGGTGATGAACGATTCTCTGCCCATGATGAATCGGCCCGCTCTGTCCTTTCGGACTCCCAGGCACACTCCCCACCAGTTCCCTTCCCGATCTCGGAACATGTCGCAGTGTCCCGTGAACTGGATGTATTCACCAGTCCTACGTGCAGTGAGAATAGGATTGCCTTCGAAGGCTTCGTAAGGACCAAAAATAGCTCTGGACCTTGCGATGGTGACCATGTGGCCCGCATGCGTGCCACCTTCGGATATTACAAGGTAATACCAGCCGTCCTTCTTATAAAGATGCGGGCCTTCTGGATACACCCCACCGGTCCCGGCCCAGACCATTTTCTCTTCAGACAGTTTCTGACCGGTTTTGAGGTCGATTTCGAAGAGGTGGATTTTGGTCATTGGGCCGGGGGCGGCCGAAGCTTGAATGTAGCTGCGGCGGTCATCGTCAAAGAATATGCTGGGGTCGATGCCCTGAAAGTCGAAGTAGACGGGATCGCTCCAATTGCCTGACCAGATGTCTTGTGTTGAGACGATGAAATTTTCGCTAGCCGACCCCAAGGAGCTGGCTGCTGGGGTCGTGATGTTGGTGCAGACTGACATGTCGTTAGTATGACAAGGTAGTCTCAAGAATTACAGTGTTTTTGGAGTTTCCTAACAAAACTTACCAACAAAAATAGTCCCGCCGTGATATCTTATGGTCGGAGCATAGAGGCCGCCTGTTCCCACCAACACGTCTCCATTTCCGTTGAGAGGAAAAATACCGGTAGGGGATCTGCGAAGACTCAACTGGGCGCGTCTGTTGATTGCATTCCCTTGGTTGAAGACGTTAGCTTTCTCTATTTCAGAGGGTAATACAACTGACCTATTTGTTTCCAGGTGACTAGGTCCTGAGAAGCATAGATCGGTAGGCCCGGGAACACATGGAAACTTGAGTTGACAAGAAAGAACGTGTCCTCGATCAACACGATGGTGGGATCTGGTGCAAATCCCGGGATGATTGGATTGACACAAGTCATTGACGAGACAGGGCGACGGATTTGCTGGGAGGAAGTAATGAGTTGAACCGGATACACCGTTGAAGCTCAGGTTTGGATATGGAGAGGGAGAATCAGGCTATTCTGGTTGTAAGTTCATTTTCTATGCTTTGACGTTACTTACAAAATGATAGGAAGCTGTGGAAGGAATCCTCATGCTCCAAGCCAACCAAATATTGAACCGGCGAGTGGTGTTTGAATTGAGCGAGTGTTAGTTGACTTCTCTCAAAGGGCCGGATGGCTCGTTTCGGCATCAATCCGTCTCATCCTAGGAACCGGAACCGGGAGTCACTTCTCAGGGAACCGGACATCAACACATATTTCTCGAGCAATCGCAACACAAACCATGATGAACCGAGTGCTGCCCTGGCAGATCGTACGGTTCGTGGTATTGAGGAAATTCGCGCATTAATAAGAAACCCCCGGGACAACGGGCTGCGACGGACCATGTTGATGTATTGTCCTCCATATGTACAACAGCATCTTAGACGCTCCGTATTTTCTTCTCACCAATCTCCGAGCCTCTGAAGACTTCAAGTGGTATGCTAGATTGCCTATTTCTTCTCTTCCTTCTTCTCCTCAGGTTTAGGTGTGGGCAGTTTGAACTCAGCTGGTTTTCTGTCCGAGCCAACACCAACCTGTTCCCAAGCACTTGTACCACCTTCAAAGTTTCGGAACGCTTGTGTCATCTCCAGGGGCTCCACCACAATTCGCTTCTTCTCCTCATCATATCTGATTTCGGTGTACCCAGTCAAGGGGAAATCCTTGCGCAGCGGATGGCCATCAAAGCCGTAGTCGGTCATGATCCGGCGTAGATCAGGGTGTCCGGTGAAGAATACTCCAAACATATCATACACTTCCCTCTCATACCAGTTTGCGCCATCGTAGAGTGAGGTAATTGAGGGCACAGGGGTCGCCTCATCCGCGTATGTCTTGACTCGTATTCTGGAGTTGTGTCGCACACTGAGCAGGTTGTACACCACTTCAAATCGATAATTCTTGGTGGGAAAATCTACCGCAGTGATATCTGCAACCATGGTATATTCTGCCGCGGTGTGGTATTTGAGAAAAGTGAACACAGGGATGACGCCGGTGGGACAAATATAAATGCAAAGCTCGTCCTTCCATACTGAGAATTGCTGGATATATTTGGGTAGGCAGGACATGAGGTATTGGCCGTATTGGTGGAGGGGCAGAGCTTTGTCTGCATATTTGTCGGCATCGTTGACGATGGGTGCTGAGAGCTTGCCCATGGCTTTCCCGGCGTCAGCGATTCGTTCTGATCCTCTTCTATGCCATACTCACGTGGACGAGGGGCCTTTCGCAACTCTGAGAGGAGATCAGGCCCAGCTGTTCTCATGTCTGATGAGGTCTTGTCCTTCCGACTGTCGGCGGCATAACTCCTGGTCGATTGAGAAAGGGTCGCGCGCTGAGCGCATCCCTTGGCCTGTGAAGCTGCTCCAAGGGGCCTCTTGCTGGCGAGGCGCAACATTGTCTTTGTCGACGACATTGCGCAGGTCTCAGACCTCGGAAAAACGGTCCTTGATCTGACAGTATCTATCTCATTGAGAGGATGCAGGACTGTCCATGGTCGTAATGACGGAGCTCTTCGCCATGCCAAGACTGGAGCTTGGCCACTAGGCTATATCAGGGCTAGTGCCATGACTTTGCCGCAGTCGCGAGTCTTCAACGCAACCTTCGCCTTTCGCCTTCCCTCCGTGGCTTTCGATGCGTATTTCATTTCGCTTCACTTTGAATGCACCCTTTTGCCTCACTCCAGCCATTCGTCCTGATCCACAACACCTCTTAGAACTAGTTCTTCAACAGCCTGGTCTTGCACCAGACGACTATTATACGCCAGACTGGATATTGAAACCCCATAGTGCATGGAGAACACTTTACACCTTTACTCACCGGTGCAGGCGTTGAAAGAGGTGGAACACTTCACATCTATATTATCACCTCTGCCATTATGAGCAGGTCGCAGGACACCGTCATCGACGATGACGAGGAGACTTGGTGAGTTCACCCGCAATCGATTTATCGCAACGCCGGACTGGAACGCTGATTACGTGACAAACAGCCCACTTTGTATCGAAGAGTTTGACCTATCCGACAAGAACTTCAGACCCTGTCCTTGTGGCTACCAGGTATGTCTCAAATCCCGCCCTCACTTCCTGGATCTTCTATGCTTTTCCTCCCCTGCTCGTGTTCTGATCCATACTAACGACCGCGACAGATTTGTCAGTTCTGCTTCAACAGTCTTAAGACTACTTATGAAAAGAGTACCTGCCCGAACTGTCGAAGACCCTACGATGAGAAGACCATTCAGTACAAGATCCCAACAGCTGAGGAATTCAAACTCGACCAACTAAACAAGAATAAAAAGCAAGCCGCTGCGAAACGAAAGGAGACAGAGAAGCGTGAGGTGGAGAATTCATCACGTCGCAATCTCGCTGGAGTGCGCGTCAAACAACAAAACCTTGTTTATGTTATTGGCCTCATACCGCAGATCAAAGATGAACAGGCTCTGCTCCAGACTCTCCGTGGTCCAGAATATTTCGGCCAGTACGGCGAAATTGAGAAGATCGTAGTCAGCAAGGCCAAACCAGGAGCAGCAAACCAAGGAATTGGCGTATACGTCACGTACGCTCGCAAAGAAGACGCCGCCCTCTGCATCAATACTGTGGATGGTTCTCTCAACGGCGATCGCGTTCTACGGGCCCAATTTGGCACCACCAAGTACTGCTCTGCCTATTTGCGGGGTGAAACGTGCACCAACAAAAATTGTAGCTTTCTGCATGAGTCAGGCGAAGATGGTCAGCACAGCTCGTTGCAAAACGAACCGCATGGCGCAAAACTCTCTACTCGACCTGCCGTGTCAGCTCAGATGGCGCAAATGAACCCTCCACCTCGACCTCAGTCGGCCGTCCAAACCGCAATCACTCAGCCAATGGCTCGACAAGGGAGCAAGGACAATGACAACAGCAGGAAGAACTCGCAGGATGGTTCTGCCCTGCCCTCTACTGCAAGCTGGGCAACTGCAAATGCTTCTGTCGCGCGGACGAGACGTGCCAGCCAAACCAACAGCAGGGCTACTCCTAGTCCCCAAACGACCCATGCTTCACTCACTGCCCAGAAGCCAGACGAACACAAACCCAAGGAGGCACCTGTCAGCCAGACATCTAGCTCGACCGCTCCTGCGAAGACGGCATCCAGACCAGACCAGACAGTTTCTAAACCGAAACCAAAACCACAACCGCTGGACCCGATACAAAAACAATACGAGGATGTCCTGCGAGTTGTATCTCGGAGTTACCGATTCATTTACGACGACTCATGTCTCAGCCCAGAAGCTCGCTCTGCAGTAGATGACATGCCCTGTTTCATCGATCCTTATGGTGGTGCCAAACGCCGCGCCATGCGAGAGAGGGAAGAAGCCGAGCGCGCAAAGCTAGAGGCCGAAGCAAAAGCCAAACTGGAAGCTCAGGCCACTTCAGCTGCGGAAGAGACCTTGGATGAAGACAATGTCGTTGCGGGAAGCCTCGCCCTGGGTGGTGAACCAGAAGACGATCCGAGAGATTCTTCAGCACGGGGGGCAATTGGACGTCCGTCGCAGTCCCTGAACGACCAATTTTCGTCAATGAGTTTGAATTCTCGCAGCTTGACACCTCAACAACGACAACAGCTGGCTCTTCTCAGCGCCAGCAATCTACCACAAGCGCCTGGTCTTGGTCAACCAAGTACCCAGAACACTGCTTTCGAGATGTCAGACTTTGATAGACGAGGACCACAGTACAGCCAAGCCCAATACGAACAGATTAGCAGTCACCAACGCCACGGTTCCAGATACTTCAACAATGATACTAAGGCCGGCACCGCCAGTCGCTTCCAAGGACAGCAGCAGAGCTTCTACTCTAGTGGAGTCCAAGGACCTCCTCCCGGCTTGCCAACTGCGGGGACTCCTCCGGTCAGTGGTGGTGGAATGTTCGCTCATGGCCAGAATTTCACCAACCCTGGTTTTGGAACTTCTAAAGACATCAACGCGGAAGCCTATTCGAGGAATCGGAGTGGAACGAATCAAGGTCATGAAATGTCTAAGCGTGAGTTGCTCCTTTCCTTGCAAAATAACCCCCTTCGGTCACCCCCACTGTCAGCCCCTGCCCCTGGCGTCCTCAACCCGCTCTACGCTCAGTATCAGACATACCAAGATCCTGGGCTTGTCAAGCAAAGGAAAAAGGGCAAGAAGCACAGACACGCTAACACTTCCTCTTCAGGAGGTGGTGTAGAGCATCTTGCAGACCCGAGTATTGCGTCAGCGAGAGTCCACCAGGGCAATACGACAGGGCAGGGGCTGTTTGGGGGTAATCAAGGTGGGTACCAGCAATCGAACCTATACGGCGGCGGCGGGTACAATCGATGGTGATCGACGACATTCCGACCACAATATTTCAATACCCCTTTCTTTTTCTTCTCTTTTTTTATGATGGGTCTTGTTTGGCGTTGGCGGTACGAGGCCTACCTATTCGGATCAGCGAGCAATGCATAAGTCAGTAGCTGAATGGCGAAAGCTTAGTGGAGTAACGGCATGGTCACAGTCATGGTCCCGGGCGAACGTGGGACGCATCGAAAAATCAATCTATCGGCATCAGGCTTTTCCTTCAGCAGCATCAATCGTCCCATTTTCACGGCTCTGTTATGTATGTTAGTGCCCTTCCCTGACCATGTTACAAAAAGGTCAGGCAGATCAGAAAACAATTTCTTACAATTCATTTTAGGTGCAATGTTCTAGAGACAGTAAAACCTGCGCTGAGGGATCTGATGATGCAAAAAGCCTGATTGTCTTTGCCTGTACCTTTGAGCCCATATCATGTACCCGCCGCTGTGCTGTCTGACGGTTCTGACTGTCTTCTTTCTGGTTTTATCTGTTGCCTGGATTCTTCGCTAACTATGTCATTGCAGTGGACGAGAAGAATTTCCCGCCTCTGCCGACTCGCTCAGATACACAGCCTCCACCTTTGCATTCCCGCGTCTCGTCCTTTCAGAGTCACTACAGCTCGGGTCTGCGATCATCAACACCGAAAATCCCTCCAGGTTTTGAACTCAGTCATGGACATCCGGTTCCCAATAGGCAAGTGTCTCCTCCGCTGCCTGCCCAGGTAATTGGACAACGAAGCACGTCGACCAGTTCTTTACCCATCGCTCCAGCTGTGCCAATCGTACCGATAGGCCATCGCGCGTCGACTCCAAAATCGAAGGCCTCCGAGTCACTGAAAGAAGACTGCAAGGTCACGCCAGCTGACGAAGCACCTATCTTGGGCAAGAAGCCTAGCAGTGGAGTGTCTGAGATTAGTTTAGGCTCTCCTAAATCGAAGCCGATCCGCCAAAAGCCTGAGGCTGAGAAGAAGCCGGATATAGGGGGAAAGGCTGAAGAGAAGACTGAAAAGAAAGATGAAGCTCGCACTCTTTCGAAGGCTGATGACCCTCGGGGCAAAGGGAAAGCCCCGGCAGTCAAACCTGGGAAGATAGAATTACCTCAAGGAACCGCCTCGGATGCCCCAACCAACCCGCCGCTACCATCCGCCAACACTACTGGTATGGACAAGTCTGCAACACCGATTCTGGATTCGGCAGTCGTTGGCACACCAGGGACAATGAGCCCCCGACCGATCACTCCTGTCACTACCACTACATCGGAGACATCCAAGACGTCGATGCCTCGACCGAGGACGCTCCGCGTAACGACTGGTTTGGTCACGAAAACGCTAGAGCAGACTCCTGCATCGGCAACGACCGAGAAATCGAGCGCTGTGCCTCCCATTTCAACCATCAAGAAAGGGTCCAGACGACCATCTCTCTCTTCGGCTCAGTTTAGTAGGCCATCAACGCCAGCAATGTCAGAGCGCCCTTCTCACGACGCTTCTCGCGCCAGCTCTCCTCCACCAAGTATCGTTGGTTCTGCTCCGGAGCGAGCCAAGAGCAAAGCTCAGCTAAAGAAAGAAAGACGAGAGAAGGCTAAGAAGACAACTGAGACCAGTGACACCGTCGCAAGTGCTGCCACTACACCAGTTGTGGAAGAGGTTGCTCCTGTCATTGCTCGGCAAAAGAAACAGAAGAAACAGTGGGTGGAGAGTACTACGGCAGCTAGTGGCGACGAGAAAGCGAAGGTTAAGGCAGAAGGTGCCAGCACAAAGTCACAGGAAACAGTCCAGAAACACGACGTTGGAACTTCTGGGGACAAGCTGGAGCTCAAGAAGACAGAGGAGAAGGACAAAGCCGCAATTCCCGCTTCGAAGCAGCCCGAAAAATCTGCAAGTCAGCCTCAGAAACCAGACACCCTTCGAACGGCAACACCAAAGGAAGAGCCTGCGCCAAAAGTCGAAGAGGCCAAGGGTACGTACACGATGCGTGACCTGTTAAACGAAGCCGAGAAGATGGCTGCGGCCAGTGACGGTCCCTCGACACACGCAGCCATGCAAAAACTTCTCAACGAGCATATTTCATCCATGCCTAAGATTTTCTCCTCACTCATCCAAACGGGCGACCTTTCTAGAGATCATCCGTGGCTGAACCCGCCGTCTTTCAACTCTGCCGCGTACAAATTACCGCCAGATTCCCGACGCGGTCAAGAGTACCTGGACGGGAACGGATATAGTGCCAACGATGCGTTTGGCTATATCTACCTTCCACTCAAAGAGAAGCAAGCATTGAAGGATGGCAATGCTGTGAGTGTTGCTGACGCAGGGGAGCGAAAAGATGATCTATTGAAGAGATGTTTGGTGACGCCTAATGGGTGGGTCTTGAGGCATCTCAGCGCTGACGAGGGTGAAAAACTCCTCGAGCTTGAGGAAAGACGACAGATATATTTTGAGGAATTTGGAGATATAGGCACAATGGCCGGATTAGGTGTGCTCGAAGCCGATGATTACACGAACCTCGGAGGTGGGATGGAGAGGCTTGCCAGACGGGGTGAGCGCCACGGCGTGGTATGGATTATGGGCGAGGATGGCGAGATGGCCGAAGACGACGAGTTTGAGCCATTCGATGATGAAGACGGCGAGATTGATGGTGAGATCGGCGATAGCGACGGAGAAGGTGAAGAGGAGTTTGCCGAGGGAGAAGGCTTGGATGACGAAGGCGAGGAAGGCTTTGAGGCCGACAGCCAGGTGAATATGCCCGGGGGTTGGGATCTTTCACCTCGAGATTCTCATCATGCGGCCAGAGTCGGCTCCGGCGGACGGATTAACTCTCTTCCCGGCCTGGGCCCGCATTCGAGAACGAATGCTCTTCGCTTGCCTTCGAGAGGTCCACCGATCGGTCCAGAGGATCCTTCTCAACAGGAAAATCGTGTCGCTGTTGGTCCGAGCACGGCTCCCCAAAACGCAGATAAGAATCCTCCCATGTTGTTGGCCACTGCGACCGCAACAAATGCAACAACGGCAGATAATGTCAACGTTCGCCTTCTCGATGCCGATGCACTGCAAAAACGCGTCCAAGAGTCACAAAAGGCACTCGAGGTCGCCCGCAAGGAGATGGAGAAAGCCGAGAAACTTTGGAACAAGAAAGCAAAGGATATCGGACGGTGGAGAGATGGCCTCATCGGGTCGTTGGGTGTGAAGGGCTAGGAGATTCCTTCGGTATCCCCGGCCGCAGCAGCCCCGGAAACTTCCTCAAGAAAAGGGAAAGCAAAGGGCAAAGCAAAAGACAAAGGGAAAGCAAAAGCGACCACCGACAAGCTGCAATTGGAATCATTCGGGGAATTCGAGTTCGAATTGCCCCAGCTAGAGCCGTTACCACCGCGCTTCCTCGACTTCTTCGACACCGATCCAGATGGCCCAACCAAGTCTATGTGGTATGATGGTCCCATGATCACCGACAACCTTCAGGTTAACCATCTATTGAACGGTTCTGCACAGAGCAGAACAACCTTGACTGACCGAGAAAGGGAGATGATTTTAATTCTGAGGAACGCTGCCTTCTTTGATTGTCAGGTTCTTCGGAGAAAGATCTTCGTAGTTGAGGAGTGGGATTGGCGCTATCGCGACCCACAACTACGTGACACTGCCCCGGTGGTCGCATTACGTGGATCGGATCGCCTTGTTCAACACGTTGCTGCTGCTGCCGCAGCCTTGGATGGCATCGACGTTGCAGACTTCAGAACTGAAGTTGAACCCAGGAGGAGAATGCGAGATTGGCTCATCGTCACCAAGAAAGTCCCCCGACCGTGGGAAAGCAGGAAGAGCCTGCTTCCATCACCGGCTCCGCCCGACGCCCCCCACCCACCACGCGAACTCTGGCATCTCCTCGGATCTTTCGGGGTTGGTAGTCCTAAAGCCAGGCTGAGGCAGGTGAATCGCAAGGAAAAAATTGCCCTCATCTTCATGCGAGAACTCTTACATGTCAGGTACGAGTTGGGCCAAAAGGGCATCTTGACGCGCGAGCACTACCACACTACGCAACGGAGAACCGACCTTTGGGACTGGGCGATCAACTGGTACGACGGCTTGCTCCGGTTTTTGCAGTTTCAGAACGGCTTGAAGATTGAGGGATACCTGAATAATCCTTTATGATAATGGCGATGATGATGGAGTTTAGGGAGACGTGGAATTGCTGCATGATGGATGGGTATACGCATGGGTATGGGTATTATTAGTATTGGTGTTGGTGCGGATACCATGGTTATTCTCGACTTCATTGCTTCCATTGAAGAGCGAGCATTGCGTGGCTTCTGCACGTTATTCAATCCGTGTCCAGGGTATGGTATGGTATTGCTACTGAGAATATCATATGGACGTTCATTCGCTCTCCTGCAATTCATCAAATCAAATCCCCTTTCTGCACAATAAGGCCCTTTGCATCTGTCCCCTGATTGTCTATACTCACTCTGCTCTGTGTCGAACTCGAGCTCAAAATCACACTTGTCTGCATCGATTGTCCTACTTACTCCGTAGACATTGCGCACCATACACTCCTTCATTCTTCCTTTGTTGCACAGCAGTCAATTCTCATAATAAGACATCAGCACATCTGTCCCGTCCCGTCCCGTCCCACCGCACCCTAGTCGAGGTCGACGACAACACTTGCCACGCAAAATGAATTCTCTAATTCTCTCCATCACGGAGACGGATTCTCCAGCCTTACGAGGTTGCGCTTTCTCACATCCTCACATTCTCGCTGCTGAATCTTCAAGAAGAATCAAACCACCGTCTTCCTTCTAGCACTTTCTGTCATCTGGCCGTTGTCGCTGCCGGTCGTAGATTGCTTCAAAGGGACGGACTGAGCGGGCGCCATAGCTGAAGAAGCTTGCTCAAGGATTGTTTTCACGCGCTGGATCTCGTTCCAGTCGGATGGATTGATCCTCAGGAAGGTGACGTTGTATTTCCCCGCCGCTGCCGCTGGAAGGAAAGTTTTGTTCACGCCAGGACTTGACGATGACGACGACACGAGCGCGTTTGTTGTCACAGCGGCCACTGCGTCGAAGGTGGATTGTTGAGAGATCCGCACAGTGGCGCGCACGACGCTGCCGACGTTTGGCAACGATCCCGGAGAAGGGGCGGGTCTCATCAAGGTCGACGTCGCTTGAGGAACAAGAGCACCGGTGAGATAGGGCGGCCGGTCTGGAAAGAACATATCCGCGAGTGTCACTGTTCGAATCGCTCCGGTGTCTTGAGTAGAGTGCAAGATGGCGTAGATTTCGAGACCCAGAAACATGGGATTGCTGCTGGTCTTGTTGTTCGCCTCGGTCTGGGCTGGAGCTGTTGGTCTTAACGAGGAGAAGGTGAAAGAGACATAGCGGCGGGCCTCGGCGATACGAAAGCAGATCGGGAGGGGGTGCAGAGTAGAGAACACTGCGAGCGGTCCTGTGGATGATGTGGCGACTGATGAAGGGGGAGGAGGAAGGAAGGGCCGAACGAACGGCTTCATTGGTGCTTTGGGTGTCCAGGTCGTCGGAATGGCTTTCATAGCTGAGGATGCCTTTTCAGGGGACTTGTAAGGTTCTGGCCGTCGGGCTGGGGTGGTATTTGGATATGGATGTGTCGGCTTTGCAGCCAGTACCTTTTCGGCTTCAAGAAAGGTATCAATGTCAATGCTGTCGTCATTGAAGAGGTCTTCATCTTGGTTGTGCTTGCTGGAAGCGTCGGCGGCGACAGGAAGGGCGCTCTTCGCAGCCCTTCTCATGACTAGTGCCTTCTTTACCGGAAGGTCCTCAGTCTCGGCATGAAACGCCTCTGAAGATGTCCGTTTATACCCTGCTGCAGCGATGTTGAGCTTGTTCAAGCCGATCGGCAGGAGACTCTCATTGGTCTCGAATCGAAGAGGGCTCGACAATTCGGCGGCTCCAAAAGCCTTTGCAGAGAGGTTCCGCTTCTCTTCTGGTAGCATTACACTGTGTTGGGCGTATGCAGAACTGGAGGTTGCAAGCCGCTTCTTGCGTGCTGATGAAGGTGGTGTCGGGACTTTTCGCTTCTTAGCTGCCCTTAGACGTTCCTTTATGCGCCCGGCTGAGCCGAGGATTTCCTCTCGGAGATGACTTGCAAATGGAGAGGGTCCTTCACTATCATCGATGTCCGATTGAGATGATGATGGAGAAGGAAGAGCTGCCGCGACGGGCTCGGATGGCGGATTGATGGGCGTCCAGTTGTTTTGCCTGCTGTTGTTAGAAGTGTTGCTATATGGCATTGGGCTGGCAACACGCCTACCAGACTGGCAAATTTGCCTGAACATCAATCATGGATCCAAGCTCATTCAATTCGCTGCTGGACAGCCAGCTCAATTCTGATAGTGGAGAGCTCATTACGAATGGCTTGACCTGGAGACACTTCAAAGAATCAAACATCGCAAAACCAATCTCGAGAGAAGACAACTCGAGGTCCTAAGAATGGAAATCTTGAAGGACACGAGGCACGAAGCATGGACCATGGAGCATGGAGTGGGTGTCAGTGTGAGAACAGCGCGACTCAGTGGTGAGAGGAAAGAAACCTGTAAGGCACAACGGATGATTTTGACCACAGGTCTGTCGCAGGTGAGGCAGCAGGACCAGCCGTAAGTGACAAGTTTTTGTCTCTAGTGTGCAGGAGACATTATTCATCACTCTGTAGGGATCATTCACGGGATATCGAACGTTCACGACTGGGTTGTTTGCGCTGTACATGTGGATTGAGGGGGATGGTGACCTGGGTGAGGCAGTCCATGATGGCAGCACTGCAGCAACGACCAGGTCTGCACTTGCCCCAGTGGCAATCCCCAGCCATCACACGAACCGAGTGCATAGCTACCTAGGTACATAGCACATAGTGTGGTCTCTGTGTGAAAACAGGAACACCATCCTTTGTCAAGTGTATGTATGTCGTGTCGGTGGGGAGAGTGAAGAAGTGAAGCGTCGTCCCGCCATATCAAAGTGACTAGCCGAATGTGGCTAGCGCATGTTTATTGTTCTGAATGTGGAATCGACCATCCTTCACTGTTCATCCCGCGCACTGAACTGCGTCTGTCACGAACGCTGTTTACCTACCGAGTACCAGGTAGGTAGTTAGAGACACACCCCTCCCAACAATGTCGTATGCGATCGAGACAAAGAAGCGCAAGTTCGATCGCATCCTCGAGGCTCTGACCGACAGTGCCAGTGCCGCCTCTGCTCCCCCCTCGCCCTCGCACTCCTCGATCAACGCCTCCACCACCTCACTTTCTCTATATGCCGCTTCCGATTCCTCCAAGAGACGCCGCATCACTCCCCCGTCCAAAACAGCAACAACGCATACCTCGACGCCAATCGCGCTGAGCGGACACTATCTCCCATCAAGCCGAGCTGCTTTTCTCCAGCGATTGGAGACATTCCGACATGTCACTCAGTGGCATATCCCATCCACAGACCCCGTCAATGCTGCCGCGTGGGCGAAAAGAGGTTGGACTTGTGTCGACACAGACACCGTAGCATGTGGTGTTTGCAAGGAGAGGTTGTATGTTGACCTAAATCTAGACAAGGAGTTGCTCAAATTATCAGAAAGGCACGGCGGCGAGGGTGCAGATGAGGAAGCAGCTGCGGCGGACGAGGAAGACAGCTTCACTATCTCGTCCGAGATCTATGGCAGCATTGTCAAAAAATACCAGGACATGATCGTCACAGCGCACGCAGAAAGTTGTCTCTGGCGAAAGCGAGGCTGTGATTCATCAATTCAGCGCATCGAAGGGCTCCTGAACACAACCTTGGCCCTGTCGGCTCTGAAAACTCGCTACGACAGTCTTAGCAGCCACTCTGACGAAATACCCCGAATCGAGCCTCTACCCCCAACTCCTTTGGTGGATCCTCAAGAGTTGGAACAATTTCGTCTCAGTGGGCAAGAAAAACCTCACATCGACGCCCTTAGACTGGCGGTCTGTGGCTGGCAGAGGAAATGTGAGGATGTCATTGAATGCCATCACTGTTTCCGGTCACTGGGTCTCTGGTTGTATCGCGGCGAATCACCTGCGATTGAGAAATTGGACGCCATAGACAATCATCTGGAATATTGTCCGTGGAGGTCGGCCGAGGCTCAAGATACGGAGCTCCAAACGGGGCACGCCAGAACAACGACTTCGGGGGAGGAAATTTTGCCGAAGAAAGAGCGAGTGGCAGGTTGGGTGCTAGTGTATCAAGCAATCACCAAGGACAATAAGCAGAAGAAAGCATCAAACGGATCGCGTTCAACTGCAACCTCGGAGACGGTACTGGGCGCAACGAGCAGCGAATCGACGACGCCAGAGCAACGCGAGAAGAAAATGAAAGACTTACTACGGAGGATCAAGGAGATCAAGAAACCTTTCAACGTCAAAGCCTTGCTGAAGCGCAAGGACAAGCCCAAGGCCTGACCGTTCCTCGGCGTCCAGCGATAAATGGCGCATTTTGCTCGGGCTGGGATAGGATAGGATCCGAAAGTTGGCCTATCCGGGATGGTGTCCGGCTAGAGCCAGTGATATTCAAAGGCACTGGGAGAGGTCTGGACCACAGCTTTCGGGAGCAAGGCCGGATGCCAGTCGTAGTAGAATGGATGGGCGGCCGGAAGCTGCTCGGAAAATGTCGGAAAATGAGCTAGCCCCTAGGGTAGGGTAAGGGGCGGAAGTTGTAGTTGTCCAAGCACCGACAATTTATCATGAAGCGTGATCGTATGGTGAGACAAGGCTGAGGCTGAGGCTGAGGTTATGATTGATATCCTGGATAATGGGAATAGTTTGCCCTGTGTTGGTGTGTGTCGGGGCAGTCAGGTATCCAGTGTCGAGTCAGGCACTGAGACGGGTGCTGGCGAAAAGAGTGCCCGCAGGCGTTGACCCAGGCGTCTACTTGTACAGTAACAGTGGGTAGGCTTAATTATTAGCCTTCCCCAGATTTGCATTGGGGGGACCGGCTAGGCGACTTTCAGCAGGGCGAGGGGCAGACGTTAGGCGGCGAAGGCCCAAGGGTGGCCGAGGTGTTGGAACCAAGTGGGGAGCCACAACAATGACATCAATAGGCCGATACTTACGAGTCCGTACGTGGACAAGGAAGAAGGAAATAATCCGAGTCTTCCCGGGAGTAGTCTTCTGTTGGGGGTTGTTCGCCACTTGGCGGCCTCGCAGTGAGAGGAAGGGGGGACAGCAAGCAATATCCGAGCGGTTTTGTACGATTGGTTGGGGAGGGGGAACGAGGTGGTGAGAAGTGGTGGTGGTGGTGGTGGTGGTGGTGGTGGTGGTGGTGTAGTTAGCGGTGCAACGGGGACCAGGGACCAGGTCAGGCGTCAGGCGAGTGCAGTTCAACACAGAAACAAGGCTCTCGGACAATGACATGCCATGGCTGGTGGGCTGTTGCTGGCTGCTGGCTGCTGGCTGCTGGCAGTGCATCATGCCTGTGTCTTGAGAAAAGCTTCCCCGCATCTGGTGCCCTGTGCATCCCATTACAGGCCATCCCATGCCACTGCCCGTCGTGGCCGTCATGCCCATCGTGCCCATTGTGCTGCCCATCCCATCTGATCGCTACCGAGTCCGGAGTATCGCAAAGCCCATCATCCCGCAGCCCGCAACCTGCAACCCGGCCCACGCTCACCATCCAATCCTCGTGCCTTGAATATCACACACACACACACACACACGCACACACATTCACAGACGGCCAGCCCTGAGCTACTCTTCTCGAGTGGGCAACCTCTCTTCCGACCGACTTCTCCCTTCTCTCCTACCTACCAAGCTGGGCCATCCTCGATCTTCATTCTTACTCCAACACACCTTCCCGTATATCCTTCCCTTGTGGATTGCATCTTCCTGTATATACTGTCGGTCACCGACATCACTCTCGTCGCCTGCCGTTGAGTCCCCCAAACCCATCTTCATTGCCGTTGCCCGTTGGAGTCTCACAGGACAAGCTCCAGCTCCAAGCCTCCGCACCAAGGCCCTACCTCCTCCTTCCCCGCTCCGAGTATAGGCAATAGACCGCCTTTCACAGTCACCCACACGAGACAAGTCGGCCTCTACTCCCACTGAGTTGCTGGTGTTTGTCTCTGGCCGTCGTAAGTCATCCCCTTTCTCTGTCCACAACGCCTCTTCCAGAACAAACCTTGAACACGGCAAGCCTAGGAATGCGACGTGACCACAAGTAGAGACAATTGCTAATAGAGCATGCGCCAGCTAAGATACGAGCTCTCCTCGGCCTGGTTCTGTCTGGGCTAACCTCACCTCATCTCACCTCTCTCCTCTCCTCCTTGTGGCATTATGTCTAGTAGCACCGCCAACCGGATCAAGGAAGGCGCTCGATCGGCCGCCACAAAGGTCGAAGAAGCAGCCAGCGAGGCCGTCAACAACCCTGTCCAGGCCAAAAATGACTTCCTCCACCTCCCTGTCGTGCGCGCCGCTCTCCCCTTTGTCAATGGAGGTCTCGCAGGCATGTTTGCAACGGCATGCATCCAGCCCATAGACATGGTCAAAGTGCGCCTACAGCTAGCGGGCGAGGGCGTGAAGACGGGCCCCAGGCCCACGGCTTTGGGGATCACAAGAGACATCATTGCTCAAGGGAAGGTGCTCGATCTTTACAATGGTCTCTCAGCTGGTCTGTTGAGACAAGCCGTGTATACCACCGCAAGACTGGGCTTCTTCGACACCTTCCAGAACATGCTGCATGAACGCGCTGAGCAGAACGGCACAAAGGTCACATTCGCCGAGCGAGGCGCTGCTGGCCTTGCAGCCGGTGGATTGGCTGCCATGGTCGGCAACCCGGCCGATTTGGCACTCATTCGCATGCAGTCTGATGGCTTGAAGCCCAAAGACGCCCGCGCAAATTATAGATCAGTATTTGATGCTTTAACTCGCATTGCCAAATCCGAGGGCATCACTGCTCTCTGGGCCGGGGCGTACCCGACCGTCATCCGCGCCATGGCTCTCAACTTTGGTCAACTCACATTCTTTGCCGAATCCAAGGCTCAAATCAAGCATTATTTCCCCGACATCTCGGAATCGACGAACCGATTCGGCGCATCTGCGATTGCCGGCTTCTTCGCATCCTTCTTCAGTTTGCCGTTTGACTTCGTCAAGACGCGGTTGCAGAAGCAACAGAGGGGTCCTGATGGCAAGCTTCCCTATAACGGCCTCTTCGATTGTGCGAAGAAGGTTATCCGTGATGAAGGTTGGCTACGATTTTACCGTGGATTCGGCACCTACTATGTCAGAATTGCACCGCACGCGTAAGTCCCAAACCTCGCGAGAAACTTTCGCAGGCTGCTAACGTTGAATAGGATGATCACCCTGATCGTTGCCGACTACCTGAAGTTGATCACCGCCTGAGTCGATCGGGCCGAAGCCATGGTTGGAAAGAGTCCGCATCGTCGAGTTATGTTGGACAGGAACGTCAGGAAGTGGTTGTTTTGGAGGGGAAACAAGGAATGGAAGAATGAAAGAAAGAAAGAAAGAAGACGCCAACCGTCAAAGAGGGGGTTAGAGAGGCAGTCACCATGGTACTAGGTACACTGTTCCGGGCTGATGGGCCACGATATCGCTCGATCTCATGGGTCAGGTCAAAAGATGCTTTATGGCAGGTCGACAATCTGTGGCAAATACCTCTGAGACAAGGGCGTCCTCTAGCAGATGTCATATAGAGCACAAATCTAGCATCCTTTGGGCGTTGATAGGTAGCTAATCAGGAAGACTTGTTAATAGATGATGCGAAATATACGACTTGTCGAGCAAAAAAATTGTTATTTCGCCCATGTCCAACTGTCACCTCGGCAGCTTTTGAATTGCCGACAAACAGGCAACTATTCCGACCGGCACATCCCTGTCTGATCGGGTGGCCTGCACGCACTGCTGCACGCACTGCACTGCCTTCACCGAAAAGGCAAACTGCGGAGTTCCAAACCAGATCCTCCGTCAAGATTCGCACCAAAAATCTACCTGCGCGACCTTCTGCGGCTACAACAACAACAACAACGACTATGAGTGACTGCTGTCAGCATGAGCGCCTCGTTACTCTTACAACTCGTCCTCACCGGCACTCAGACTCACTACGAAAGCCCCGGGTTGATCGACGAGAAAAGATTGGAGCACCTGTTGATCGCGGGTAAACAAATTCTCTACAAGTCACATCAAGAGAGCGATGTCCGATCTGCGCTGGGATTCAACCCCCGAATATGGGAGGGCTTGACAGCGGTGCTGAGATACGCCCTCCCGGCCATCGAACGACGATGCTTCCCCTACAGAAACCCTTCACAGGGCGGCTTTGGCGGCACCGGTGCCGAGCTCATTGCCGTTAATTACATGGATCTCGTCAAGGACATCGAACGACTCAACGACCTATGCACAATCGCGCGCAATCTTCTTGCCACCACCAAAAAGGCGCAGAATCTCGCGGCTGAAAAAGGGTTCGACCAACATATCCTGAGGCTCATCGATGACTGTGTTAAGGTCACAGCTCGGGGCTTCGATGGTGGGTCAAACCCTCGGAACGAGGAGAAATGGCAAAAGGTGGTCAATCTGTTTAAGAGGCTGTTGATCACCTGCCTGCAGTTCCTGCACAATTTTATCATGCACAACGAACAGCGGAAACTGGTGCTGTGGCTGGATCTATTCGGACAGTCCCAAGCGAGTGAGGCGGCTGATGATCAGGCCAGCAGCCAACAAGAGCAGCAGAGGACCGTCGAGGATGAAGGCAAAGATCACGCTGCGAGAGAAGACAGAATCAGGTCAACCGTGGAGAGATTGCCGCGACGAGTGGGCCGGCTTGCAACGGATGGAGATGACCCCGGGTACAACATCGACGATGTCCATGCTCTGTTCGATCTGATGAGCACCAACAAGGAGCCCGACGAACAGACTCAAAAGGGGGCAAAAGTGCTCATGGACAAGATCAGGTCTGACATGGAGTCTCTGTCGGGTATGAACGCGAATCAGCTGGACGATAGCCCAGATGTGCTGCTGAAAGTGGGAGCTGAACTGCGTGCTTGGTTACAGACCAAGGAAGAAGCCGCTACCAGTGAGGCTCATTCTGCGCAGGTCAAGCAAGTGGCTGAGAAGATCATGGCTCTAACCCATGGCAATGGCTACTACAAACCCGGTGGCAAATCTCACTGGAGCGATCTACCAGAACCCGGTTCGTATGGCGACCTGAATGAACCCGCCCAGGATCTGACAGAAGAAGACTTGAGCATGCCCCGAACCGCTCAGTCCGCAGCTGCGACATTGAAAGAAGCCAAAGACGAACTCATGGCCCGGTTGCCACGGTCGCCCGTTATGCGCCCGCCGCCCCTGAGAGAGTACGACGGCCCGATATACCCTTACGTTGACACCGACGATGAAGATGACGAAGAATATGAACTTGAAGACGAGGACGAGGACGACCTCATCAGCGTTGGAGACAGTATGGAAGACGATGATTACCGCGGATCAGGGGACCAAGAACGCGGCCTCCTCACCGATGTCCCACTTGTCCTTGGTCCGACCGAAATCGAAGCACTACCCATGATCATCCAAGCAGGCATCGTAGATAATTTTGGTTCGAAGAATGGCACCACTGCGCAACAGCAGGGGCTGAAAAATATGCAAGCGGTTCGCTGCCATATTTTGCTAGCTCAAGAGGCAGGGCGTAACGTTCTGCGGGAATTGTTGATTTTCATCGCCGCGTGGGATTTGCCGGACGATGAATTCTACTTCAAAATGATGGTGCAGATCATGGAAGCCATCCTGAAAAACGGGCTAATGTCCCACGCGTACGCCGACTTTGGGCAGCCCAAGGACATCATCTCTCCGGCGCAAGCTGTCGTTATCAAGATCCTCACGCACATCTTCCGCGCCAAGTATAGTCCTCCATCGACCGCGCAGCAGCAGCAACTGAATGGATCGGGTGAAAAACCGCCGGCAGCGCAACAGCAGCAGAAGCCTCGCTTGAGTCCCTCCCCGCTCAGTCGCGTGGACGTGCTCACCGTCCGTTACATTTTCATCGTCTTTCGAGGCAACATCATCCCTGAAACCTGTGCCCTCATCTATCTCCAGGGTCAAATTCGTGCCGGCCTCGCGCTAGCAGAGGATTTCCCACTGAACTTGTGGGACATGGAACGAGTGTACGAAGGCGTCTACCAGTTTCTGGAATTTTTTGCGGTGTTGACGGAGAATAATGATTGGAAGAAGCTCCTGGTGCAGTGGGAGATTGTGTATGATTTGGTGACGCTCATAAAGGAGTTGGATCAAAGCATTGCAAAGGTTGGGTTGACGCAGGCTATGCCTCCGACGACGACAGGTGCGAACGGGAATACGAAAGCGACAACGAATGGAAATGAACCGCAGGGTACAACCGGAAGGGGACCTCCAGGGCAAGCATCAACGCTTCCTGCTCACGTCGCCGTCGAAAGACCGTATGATACTGCCCTCTCGGCCCAGGAACCTGCGCAACAGAATGGCACCTCAACAATCACCGAATCGCTCCCACAACCACCAAATGACCTACCTTCAGCGTCACCCCCCGCACAAGCTCCTCCCGCGGCAACGACTGTGACCGAGGAACCTGCAGATTTCGAATGGCGGAATCTCAAGAAACTCATTGTGCTGGTGTTGTCGAGTCTGGTCTGGAAGTCCCCGACGGTGCAAAATCAGATCCGCGAGTATGGTGGGGTGGAGACGATCCTGAGTTGTACAACCTACGATGGTACGTGATTAACCATTCCATTCTCTGCTCTGCGGATAGTTATTGTTATGCGGAGAAATGGTTTGTCCCACACAAAATTTCCTGCATGCCCTTTGACCATTCTATTTTGCTGACAGTTTTGGGGTTATGTAGCGTGCAACCCGTACATCAAGGAACACGCGGTGATGTGTCTCAAATTCCTGTTGGAGAATAACCCGGAAAACCAAGCGCTTGTTTCGTCGCTCGAGGCAAGGGAAATTGTGCCTCCACCTGGTGAGGATGCAGAGATTGTGAGAGAGACGACGGAGAGGCTGGGACTAGAGGTGCGGCTGGGGAGTGATGGGAGGGCGAGGGTTGTCCGGAGAGATGGCGCCCAAAGTCTCACGGCGAGAAGGGACAACTCGAACACGAACAGGAGGGGCGGGAGCACGAGCGGGACTGGGAAGATCGAGGAAGTGGGATATGACTATGACGAGATCGAAGCCTTGGGACTACCTGTTAATGGAAGCGAGGCTGCGGCTGAAGCAAAGGACAAGGACAAGGGCAAGGGTAAAGAGCGAGCGGCGGATCCGGATGACCAGGAGATTGAGTTCATGTAATGATCATCCCTGCATATGCCTTCGATAGAGGATGAGATCAGACTTCAGAGATGGGACTAGATACTATATGTAGGTACCCACCTACCTGATGATAGAGTAGAAAAAAAGAAGAAGAAGAAGAAGATAGTATACAAAGTCAGTTTCACTCCATCCCATATAGATATATATAGATATCTCGCACAGCGGTACACGAGGGCAGCAGTACGGTAATACTGTCCCAAAACAGCTACATAGCTAGCTCCATATTGTAATTGATCTTCAACTGGTTGACCGAGTTATTAAGCTGAGCCAGGCCGAGCTGGGTTTTTACTTACTATAACGTACTCTTGGGTACTGTCCTGCACCCGACGTATTCTCGAGTCCTCTGCTACCCTCCTCTTTCTCGGAGGGTGCGATGTTACTTCCTCTCTCTCTCTCTCTCCCCTTCTCTGGCTTTCGTTGGGGATTAGAAGAAGGGGGGTGGGGGTGGTAGGGGAGGGAGGGAGGGAGGTATAGGTACAGAGATAGCATTCCCCAGCCTCGGCCTCGCTGAGGTCGAGCTCTAGACCATACTATACCAAACTGTTTCATAGAGCTGAGGAAGTGTACGTGTAAGTGTATGACGGTCAGTCTTCTCAAGTCAGGTGGTAAGTATCTCTCCGTCATGATCTGTGTCGACATGTGTGGTTGTGTGTTTTGTCTGTGTATGTATTTGTGTTCTTGCCATCTGGCTGTCTACCTCTTTGGATGTACTCATATGTGCGCCGGAGGCTGCCTCCGTCGTCTATATACACAACCCTACATATTGTAACAAGGCAAGGTGGCTGTGCTGTGATGGGCCGTGCTGGGCTGGTAGAGCGGTGGCAGGGAGGAAAAGTTGTCTAGTCACATGTCAAACCTAAATGGGCTGGCAGAAGGGGGTGCAGAACAGTTTACAGTGCTGGCAGTGAGCCATTCATTAGAGATTGAGCAGAGCATCATGAATTCCATGGTTTTTGGCGCCGTCTACCTAATTCCTGAGTGTTTTTTATCAGTCCTGTCCTGTCCGTCGATGCTCCCGCTGTGCTAGGTGTTTGTAGCCCTAGCCGCTGCCCCTCTGGGTGGTGTTGGTGGTGTTGTCTTGTCAGTATCAACCAGAAACGCGTTCTCGATTCCCGATCTGCTGGACAGGCCTCTGTGCGTTGTTGCACGTGCACGCCAAACCCTGAAGTGCTCTGTTACAATATATGGACAGCAAAGTTAATTACCCCGGCCTCCCTATAGAAACAAAGAAAAGTACTCTCGCTGTATAGCCTCCCGCCTGATCGAGGCCCCTACCCCAGAGCTCCCGCCAGAAATCCTTAAGATTGTCTTAACAACCACTGGCAAATTGGACACCTCGACCCGGGCATTCCTATTCCGGTGCAGCCTATCGTGGAGCAGCGAACGAAGCCCGCCGGGGGCGGTGGAGGAGGCTTGGGTGGTGGATCTCTCCCCCTTTCTGGAGGAGGATTATTGGTCGTCATTTTTTCGTTGTGTTCGTCCCCCTTTCGCTCTCTTTTCTCTTTGTCCCACTTATGGGGATGGGAGGCAGGGGGGGAATTGGCTCCCTGGGTTGTATATAATTATGGAGGAGGATGGGTCGGATATAATGGACGGGTGAGCGGATGAGACGGAAGAGGAGGAGGCGGGAGATAGTTAGAGAGGGGGAATCTCTTTGAAGAAAGTCCTTAAATGAAGTCGTTCTCGTAGGTCTTGTTCAAAAGAGTGTTCCTTTGGTTTGGAAGTTGCTGTATTCGTATATACTCGTTGAAATGCAAGATGGTATAGAATGAATGATATCCAGAGTGGACGGAGGAGTGAATGAATGAATGCAAGGGTTCGGGGAAGAGAGAGAGCGGATATTTGCACCATTTGAAGAGAGGAAAGACCTGTTTGCAAGGTCGTGCTCTGCGTTTGAAGTGAGCGTCTGTCTTCTAGGAAAATGAGAGGAACCCCTGAGTGATATGATTGTTTGGATACACATTCGTGGTCAAACAATCTAGGTAAACATACTCGAGTGCGGCAGAAGCATCACTGTTGATGGCGAGGCTGAGCAGTCTCAGGAAGGGTTTATGGATAGATGCGACAAAATGTGAGGTTTTGGGGAAGAGTCATGACTGAGGTCAGTCTTCATTCCTGATGGAATAAAGTCAAGCCACTGGCCTGGCTCTGGGTGATACTAGCAACGGGGTCATCAAGGTCGCGAGGATGCGCAGCAGCAACATTGACGACAAAACTAAAGTCGTTGACATCGCTGGCTTGTAGTTCCGACTTCTCAAAAACGGGACCCTGGGAATACAGACACGCAAAAGCGGTAATGGAGTTTTGTCCTTGTTGAACCAAAAGGGGCCCCATAAAAAGTTGGTTGATTGAGAAGTCTATTATCTAGAGTGACAAGGAGGGTTCAAATAGGCGGCAGCTTGGCGTGCCAAGACTGTTTACCATAGGCCTAATGAGGCTAGTGCAACAGCCCTCATTGCTTATCCACATTCCGCAGATTCATTCCAACACCACGAACATGTCTATGAGTTTGTCGAAAAACTATCGGATTCGGCGCAATGTCGACCCATTGCGCGAGCGTTGTCATCGATACGATACTGAATTTGACACCGTGCTTGAGCTCCCGTCTCGGGTGCTTTCATCCCCAGGATGCTCCAACCCCTCCAAGCTGGCCAGCAGAAGTCAAATGCTCTGCCCCTATGGCACTCATGGCCTGTCGAATTGGGCGCTGAGTTTCTCACCACTGCGGCGAGAGGCCAATGGTGGCTTAGAGCCAATATCCCCCCCTGTACCGCGTTCAAAGGCAGAAACTGAAAACCTTGGCCATCCAGGTCCATCTCGCGCTTACATTTTTCTATGTTCTCGCGATTAGTGAAGTTTAGAACTCCATCTCTCGTCTGCAAAGTATCAGTCGCTCCCAAAGTGCCCTCGGATATTGAGTGAAGTTTCTGCCGTACAAAATAACCTATCAGCCTCAACTCATCAACGTAGAGATCACGGTTATCTGCTCGAACGACCAATACTCTGCCGATATCCATATTCCAGTACATAGGCGCCCATCCCCACAATCGCGTCCAGTATCCATCTCCATCATCAGGAATGCTACGTCCCGGTTGCTCTGAGGAGGCATCCAAGAAGCTTCGAGATGGGGGAGATGTCTCCTTCTGGAACACACGGCGGATGGGTTGCGTCTCTGGCATTTCAACTCGGACGTACAGCTGCGTTCGGTGGAGCTTGATTTCACCGTAGCAGCAGATGTTGACGCCGCGGATTGCCGTGCCTGTAGGCTGGGGTCCAGAGGGTCAGCGATCTCCCGTACTTCGGAGCTGTTGTACAGCGCAAAGTAGTCGATGATGTGCCGGAAATCCACCAAATTAGTGTCCTCGTAGAGCTGATTCGAGACCCCCTGCATTGCAACAACATGGCCGCACCAACGGTGAGGGACTGGGACTGTCCCGGATAACTTGATTGAGTTCTGGATTTTACGATTAATAGTAGAGCCATCTATCGAGAAGGCTTCTCGAAAGCCTAAGAAGCTTGATTACCCCTCTTGGATCCCCAGACTGCCTCCCAGGAGCCTTGATTCCTACCACGTCTCGGATACCGCTGAATGTAGGCAGTGCCAATGGGAGGATCGTCCGTTCCGAGGAGAGGATGAATGTCAACGGTTTCTTATTCCTCTTGCCATCCATCGCCTCCCCCACCGAGGAAGTTTTGAGGCCACACAACACCCAGGCAAGTAAAGGGTTGGCTTCCTTCTCGGGAAAGATGATTGCACATTTATGGGCTGGACATGGTCGAGGAGCCTGGCTTGACATATCTTCGCAAAGAAGTTTGTGGCAGGCCCAGTCACTCTTTTGACATTTGCAAGAATAGTAATGTCAAGCATTACATCGAGTACAAAGTTTGACAGGCGATGTGTTGCGCATTACGCAAGAGTCATCAGGATCGATTGCTCAGCGACGGAATTGGCTGGTCTGGTGATCGAGGCTTATCCATCCTTAGAGGCCAGAATCGTCAGCTCAGACAGCGACAATCCATATGATGAAGGACTTTGACTTACATTATGCGACGTTCTCTTTGAAGTGATTTTTGACGGTCTTCGATAGACCTCACCTCTCATTCTTCCACGGCATTCTTTCCAAGGACGAACTTGGAAGCTCTGCCACAACGGGCGATTAGGGGATTTGTTTGGAGACTGCCCTGTTGAGCCAATCTGGGACCATAAGTTGATTGATTGGTTGATTGAAAAGGAAGAGAAGTTCTGTGACAAAAGAGGCTTCAATTTATCCTGCTCGCGGAATAGTACCTGTACTTGGTACTTGACTCGTTGGTAGGCGCAATAGATGCCAAGGTTTGCCGCAGTGCCAAGAGGCTCACTGCCTAACCTAATATGGCTAGGCCCAGTGTCCCCCGGAACTGACCTTTCAGATGCATCTTTGAGAAAATCAGATTTTCTACAAGTGCCTCGAGTGCAATGCCAACTTTGCCAACTCCGAAAATGGCACTCCCTACACCGGATACCAGGTGCCATGTCTTGCTCGAATGGACATAAGATGAAATACATACCCTGCTCGGGTGCGGATGATAGTATTTCCGCGAATGCTCAAGATACTGCGAATCAGCAACCTCGCCGTGAGATGTCCGCTTTGGTGGCTTTCAGCCGCACCGAGCCTGTCATTCCTCGCAACCCCAATCTTGATGGGGCCCTCAGACTCTCGCAACTGTATTAACAACCTGGTCACAGCGTTTTGGCGGCGACAGGAACTCAGGAGCACAACCAAGATATTTGGAGCCCATGCGTTTATCGGAATCTGTAAGATCTGCCCAGTTGTCCGTCTCTACGTCCGATTCACTTTCATCCGAATCTGAGTCTTCCTCCTCATAGTACATAGTCTCGGACAGTAGAACTTCGCTATGGCCCTATTTCCTAGTTAGATAAGACGGAATGTGCAGTGCCCAGACAACATGAGTGATGCCTCCATCGTATTTGCAGTCAAGAACATTTCTGATCTCGGAATTATCCGTTCTCACCTCAATGGTTTAGGATCATGAGATCTTGAGTGCGTGTCCCCAAGCGGTCGAGTCCTGGGGAGGTCGCTTACCTACTGGATAGAGGTGCGAGGGTGGGAGTGTGACTCGAGGCGCAGTGGTGTGCACGTCCCCACCGATTCAGCCTCGTATGATGCAATTAACCTTCAGGAAGTGGCATTAGCGCCGTGTGGCCGACATCTCTAGACCAATAGTAGCCCTCATACGTGAGCACCGCCTCAGCTAGCTGCATTAGACCAAACTCTAAAGTTGCAGGCCACATCTCACCCCGCGCTTCCCATCAGACAAAAAGCCGCCTATTCCCTCCAGCCTTGCCGCCTGGACTTCTCCCTCTTCCTCTTCCTCTTCCTCTAGTAACATCTTCTTGCTCGCCTTTTCAATCTACTCCTATACCTGACAAGTCGTCTCCCCCCTTTCCCAAGCCTACCGCCTTCCTAAAGGGCGGGCTATCCTAACTAGATCCTACAGCCTCACCACCCCAAGAAATTCAACCAATTAGCTCTCACCAAGCTCCCTTCCCCCAGTCCATCTCAATGCCACCTTTCTCCGACGGTCACATCTGAATCTGCAAAGACGTACTTGAGCGTACGGCAACGATGCGCCTCCTCATGTTGAAGCACGAGATGACTTCTGGGCTGGTTCTAGAAGTTGAATGGCTTCCAGGAATCGAATCCTTTGCAGAAGTTGAGCTGAGCTCCACCACCACAGCAGTTGGGCCCATTGTATCTGGCAGTTGTGCTTTTACAGATTTTCTTTATTCAGATTCGTATGGCGGTCAGGCGGGATTTGAGAAGCTACGTATGATTGCAACTCAAACAGTGTTAAAGCAAGTCCGCCTAGCATTACTAACCATTCATTTAGGCATGCGCAGCTCATTTCTACACCAAGAATTATCAGAACAATTGTCCAAAAAAATGTCCAAAAAAATGTCGCAAAAATTCGAAAACCAGAAATTTGAATATGAACCACCAAGGCCCTTGTCGCCGGAAGGCGCGGCTCCGAGCAACACTCTTTTGACTGTTCTTGGGCTTCACCGGTCAGTGCAGTCATTTCTACGGTGTCACCAATACACTGGAAGATTACTGTCAGTACTGCGAATTGTTGACGGACATACGGTTGCTGATAAATCCGATAGTGATATTCACCCTCCATCCTTAGTTTGGTATTGCTGCCAATGCGCCGGACCTCTCAAACCAGGTGCCAATGGAGATGCAGATATCTCTCAGTTAGACTCCTTCTCTGCCCGGCACCTGGGCTCTCGCCATGACAGAGGAGACGAAGATCCAATGACTTGCCTTGAAGTTCTCTCGCGCAATGCGTGGGAGGAAAAAGTTGATTGTTCGGACTGTCCCAGAAATTCTCTTCCACATGGAGGCAGAGTGAAAGACGATTCGAAACCGACGACCTTCCCACTGCACTACATGGTGCGCCATCGAGCACGCAGTCGCAACGCGGAACAATGGCGCCCCATCATTCCTCCTCCATGAACCCCCACAAACTGCAAGGTCACACCCGTACCGCAACGCAAGAACCACCACACACTTTCTACCTTCAAGGAGCGACGTGTCAGCCCTTGGAGACCGCATTACCACTACCACAATATCACGCCCGACAAGTACTTCATATACCCTGGGCCCTTGTGGCCCAAAGCCCGAATATGCACACCACACAATCAACACCTCCTCTGTCCTTCGATTCATCACCCGACCAAAACTCCGAGATGGGAGGCTCGGCACTGGACTTTGACATTTTAAACAATCTCAGCTACTTGGACGACTTTGAGTGTAACAGCTACGGGGACTTCGATTATAACAGCTACGGCGGCGTCGAGTACGAGACCTACGACGACGTGGTCTTGTTTCCCACAGACCAAAGTTTCATCCAACCACCATTCACCAATGTCCATATGTTCCCAGCTCTTGACTCACTGTCGCCCCCAGATAATCTTGGTCCTTTGCCTCAACACAAATATCGCTGCGCTGACTGCACAGAGTCCTTCGCACGCCGATGCGAACTCACGCGGCATGAATTCAAGCATACCAAGCCATTTCAATGCCCGCAATGCGGCCGCCCCTTCGCCGAGAAGCGACGCTGCATTCAGCATGTTCAAGCAGTACACGGCCTGGCGACCGAGGAGGACAAGGTCAAGTGTCATTTGTGCAAGTACGCGCACGTCCGGCCGGACGCGGTGAAGAGACACATGAGGCTGAAGCATGGGGTTGGCGAGAAGTCCGAGTGTTCGCCTTTCACCATAGGATCGGGAGAGCAATCTGATGCAGAGGATCGACCGCGGAAGAGGAGGAAGTGAAGAGAGGTCTGAAGAGAAAATGAATGGCATGGTAGCAGTGCAGGTTTTTTTTTTTTCTTTCCTTTATTGGATCTCAGTCTTCATAAAATGGGCGATGGGAATTGCGACTGCTTCATGGGCGACGGGTTGAATGTATTTTAGACACGAGTAGCCAGCATCTTGAATTTTAAGTGCCTTTATACCCTCTGCGCATCTGGACCGAGCGGTGCTTCTACAAGACTGCAGTTTGTATCGGGAGAGTAGGCGGAAGAGCAGTCCTCGGAGATGTCTCAAGGTCATTGAAGTGTCCTTACATCTTTGAAGGGAACAGGGATTCCGTCCAATATTTGCAACGATGCTTGCAACACAACGGACATGCTTATAGTAGTATGGAGCAGAAAGATACCCTTGCCAGCCCAACGACGTGCTTATTGGGATAGGTACATAGCATCCGATGTTATGAATTTTAAAGCGTAGAGCAATACATGTTCGCTGTCGCTTTTCAGTGAGAGCAACCTGGACAAAGAGAAGCCTAATTTTCTGAATGGTTTCTGCTGATTTGGGCTAGCAATACCCGTTATAGGCCCGTCAATATCGTGTGGATGAGTCAATCAGTCAGTAACGTCGCGCAACGTCAAAGCACCAAATATTTTGTAGCTTCTTATGCGTCGTGGTGTGGTGGTGGTGGTGTTAAGCGGACCAAAAAGCCCAGGAAACAATTTACCATGGAAGCTGGGTGTCGTCGTATCTCCACAGGCGCACCTCGTCGTCCACCGTTGCCCTGTCGATGATCTTCATCATCCCCTGAATACTCTCAGCGGGCTCGATCGTGCCGAGTCCGATTCTGCTCGCAAGCGGAGCGACGGTCTCGGTCGCCACGACGCCCGGGTGCATGGGGAAGGTGACGATGCCGTTCTTCTTCTCCTCGTACGCAAGATGCCGAATGAACATGTTCAGCGCGGCCTTTGAGATGGCGTACGCAGATGACTGGCCCGGCAGGCCCTCCACCATGGCGAGCGAGCCGTACTGTGTGCTGATGGCCACGAACTTGGGTGTCCCGCCCTGTCGGGCCGACTCTAGCATGAGCGGTCGCAGGGCCTTGAAGATGGCGATGTTGTTGAGCAGGTTGACGTCGAGGAACTCTTGGTACATGGACATTGGTGAGTCCGCGATGCTGGTCTCGTGGTGGATAATGCCTGCGTTCGCAACCACGACGTCCACCTTGCCGGCGATCTTCTTGACCACCTCTGCCGCCTCCAGCGCTTCGTTGACCGATTCGGGCTGCTTCGTGATCTTCACAATGTGCAAGTTGCCCTTGTCAGTTAGTGCCTGGAGTCGAGTTGCGCGCTCTGGGTCTCGAGATGTCGCGAAGACTATGGCCCCCGGGCGCTCCCTGAGTTGGCGAACGAATTCATATCCGAGACCCTACGTCGTCCCAATGCCACGTTAGCGAGCAGGTCACCGCTGCAAAACGGGGGGGTTCCCAACTTGCCTGCGTCGTCCCCGTAACAAAGTATACCGTCTGGTTCGACATTTGTTGCAGCTTTGGGTCCAATCTCTTCTTGTAGGCGAGAGTGAGTGGACGACGAAAGAGAGAAAGACGGAGAAGGTGAGGAGAATTTACCTTTCTTTCTCACCTCGAGAAAGGAGACGTAGGCGTAGGAGTGATTAGCTGATGGATAACCCACCCGATCAACAATCATTTACCCCCCTTCTATCAACCAACTCGACCAAGATATATCCTCAGACTCCTGGTATGTCCCCATACCCCGCTTTTCGCTCTCAGGGATCGTTCAGAGTCCCCCGCAATCACCGAGGTGGTGGAGGCATGGAGGAAAAGATGTCCCCGCCCCTCTGGGTCCGAGGTGCTTCCGTCAGCCAAAGAGGAACCAGAAACTGCAGGGGAGGAACGTAGCCTTGAGAGTGACCCCTATGATATATGGTCGCTGAGGCGAACCATCGTTCCTTGGCGCCGTTAGTTGTGTGCTCCTCGTCTACCTAGCCTTCGACGAGAGCATCAGAGAGGGATGCATACGATCTTTCGTTGAATTGACTAGAATACCAGCGAATCAAAGAGGGAGAGAGAAAGCTTCAGGGAAGAAGATTCCAGGAAATTGAGGAGAACAGCGTCAATTTGAACTATTTTCTCCAGACCCCATCAAAGTGGGTGTCATCGTGATATCTCCCAAGAACGCCAGATTTCGAAGTCAAAACACCGTGAACGTCACAAAGACGTTGTGTCAACTACCCAAAAACGCAGTACCCAGATTACAATTTTCCGCAATAATGCATCATACCAAATCTTTTCATAAATCCATCACAATGAATTCTACCTGTCGACACGTATGCACTTAGGCGATTTCAAACAGACCAGGTCCGAACTTGGCCACGGCGGCAACATCAGCGACGCTGGCGAACGGGCCGGATCCCTCGACAACGGCAGCAATGGTCAATCCAAACATCTCGTTCTTGGTGAAAGGCAGGTTTGCGGAGAAGGTGACGGTGCTGCCGCTGACTGTAGCTTGGGTGATTGGCTCAACAACAGGCACGTTCTGTTGGTTGATGTACACCAAGCTCAGGCCTTGGTAGTTGTTGGCGTACTGGGAGTATGAGCCGGTGGCAGAGAAGGAGAACTGCAGTGTCTGGTCTTGGGGTTGGATGTTCTGGGTCAAGACGTTCAGGGCACCGAAGATGGGAAGGTTGATGGTGTTGCTGTTAGGGCAGGAGCCTTGGACAACGAAGCCTTGGTTCAAGGCAGAGAAGGCGAACTCGCGGGTAGAGGCGGTCAAGAAGGGAGCGCCGCTAGGGATGAGACCAAGCAGGTTGCGATAGAAGCCGTTCTGCTCACCCTCTTGACCGATGACGGCAGCGACACCGCGGATGAGACCGTTGTCACCGTTTTGGCCGAAGTGGGTTTGAACATCGCCAAGGGTGCCCAAGACGACGTCAGTGAACGTCTTGGCAAGCCCGATGGCGCTCTTGAAGTCAGAGACCGGGGCAACATATTTGCAGGGTTGGATGGGGCCGGCGTTGAAGTGAGCGAGGGCGCCATTGGCGTTCAAAAGGTGCAGCTCCTCTTGGGCCTGGACGGCAGTAATGGCGTTAATAACGGTTTGTCGCTGGGACTCGTCCTGGAACTGGTAACCCGCAACGTTGTGGGTCACGTTGTAGAGGAGCTCAGTGAAGAAGGCGACCTCCCAGAGCTCGTTGAAGGCAATGAGTCTCAGCGATGTGAGATCATCAGCGGCAGGGGCAGTCGGCGGCGGGGGTCCGTTGGGCAAGAGACCATGGGCCTGCGCCTCAATGGCAGTGAGCTGATCAGACGGGTTTTGGATGTTAGGGAAGCCATTGGACAGAGGGAAGCTAAATGGGTTGCTGCTGCCGTCGCTGGAGCCAGAGCCGCCACCACCGTTGTAGCCGCCAGAGTGGCTGGCCGGAGGGGCGCTGGTGGAATAAGAACCGCCGCCGTAGGTCGCTGATGGGGTATAGTAACCGTTGGCAGGACCGCTGTACGAGGCGGAGGGCGCAGCACCATTGCTGTTCTGGTAGTTTTCGAGGTGGGACCCGCGGCCGCCAAACCAGATACCATTATCACGCTTCTCAACGTCGACAGGGACGGCCGAAACGAGTGAGGCAAGGGCCAAGGAGCCGAGGACTGGTGCCAACTTGGAATACATTATGAATATGATGTGATTTGATAGTGAACGTGTATTCAACGATAGGAAAGAGGAAGAATTATTGTGAAGTTGCGAATGCTGGTATAAGCGAAAGAATGTGTTGAAAAGAAGGAAGCCGAGCTGTTAATGTAGTAAAGAATGAAGTGGTTGTTGTATGAGTGAGACCTAGCACCAAGCGAGAGCCACAGCTGAATATATAGACGACGTGCGTCAGAAGGAAGTGGGTAGGTTGTACTCGGTATACGGAGCACCGTGTGGCAACTCAGCATTCGCCATATCTGGGGGCTAAGTTAAGCAACCGTCGAGGCAAAGCTTGAGCTGCAAGCTAAGACGTGCCGCATAGCGCAGAAAGAGATTGGCCATTGCTGACGAGGTTGGGTCCCAGGCGGCGCGGCGGTGATTTGGTGCTCGACATCTCATCCTCGACGGCTTTGTGTTCACCGACCACATGGCCTCCATTTGGAATCGCTCTGTTACCCGTAGCCAGGTTATACCGCCACAAGGAGGACGAAAAAGAAAGGAGGATTCATCTCTTGCCAGACAAATTTCCATTCCCACGTCATACGGTAGTTCCTGCACATCCTCAATCTTGTTGCGGGCAGCGAAACCGTGTGGAAATGGCAAGGACCTACCTGTACTAGGTACTGTCAGCGGGGGGCGTTCGCAGCTAAACTGCACAGGTGCAAACTACGATGCGATCCAGGGACACAGCAAATACCGCAGGAAGGCCAAATCTGGGTGTAACCTGTGCCATGGGGAGCTGCAACCGACTCGGGATATTTTTCTTCATGGAGCAGACGGTCAGCGCTTGCGCAGATCGGGCTATGGCGGTGATTGCGATAGACGAGATAGGCTTAGTGCTGATGAACCTAGATCTGAGAGTTTGGCGGTGATGAGGATGACAAAGGGTCGCGCTGAAAATAGGGAGCGAGGTGTGCGCTGGCGGCGGCTGAGCTGCACAGAGTCCCCTTTGGACAAACGAGGTGCGAACCAGCCAATCACTGCAAAGAGCCAAGAGAAACCACACTAAAAAAGGCTTGACCTGTGCAAGCAGCCTCGGCATCAAAGCTTGGCCGGGCCTGGCCTTGTAATTGGGTCGCTGGAGGAAAGGGGCTCCACGAGCTCTATTTTTATCCCCAGTATTAATAACGGTAGCCGCAGCACACTGACCTCGTTACTTGGTACTCACCTACACCGCCAGCATTGGGTTGCGACCCTCTGGATCCAGCCTAGTGTTGTGGCTCATCCGGAGTACAGCACCCCCGTCCTATTCTGTACTCAAGCATCATACACAACCCCTTGCCCATCAGACCAAAGAATCCGCCATCCCCCTCCGAAGTTTTCGAAATTGAGATCGCCGTCATCTTGGCTTCTCGCCTCTCCTACCAAAGCGGTAATAGCTTCTATCCCCATATTACATCTACAGAGACTTTGTTCAGCTGGATTTATGCTTCCCCGCAAAGAGACAAGAAACCCACGCAAAAGCTTAACTGTGACTCGGCTAGAGAGCCTAGTCACATCATGGCCTACCGCTATTCTACTCTACTGGCAAGCTGTCCAGCCTTCCAATCATGCAACCGAGTGCGAATGGGCTCGGTATTCGTTGGCAAGAACGCTACACTGATTACAAAGACCTTTATTGCCGTCGGGCTTCATCGGGCTTACTCGTACATTGGCGACTAGCAACTATTGCTGATTTTCTATGGCGAGACCGTCCCAAAGTCCGCGTTCGTGCATAACGTCCGCATGGATGCCACCAGGAACCGGTCATGTGGACCACGTGTCCCGTCGGGCTGTTCATCGGTCCCCCAAAGGAAGAAGTAATTCAATTCTTACCCGAGTTCATCGTTCCCTTCGCAGCCGACGTGATTCCGTTCTCCTGTGCTCATCCTTTCTGTTGGAGCTTTGGTCAATGATGGCGAAGATCTCGTTCTTGACGTGGCTTCTTTCGAATTTGGGAAAGAGCAATCTCCATGCGGAGGGCCTTGCGTGGTCTCCCCTCAAAATCTATACCCCGGGGTCAGACGCCTTGCATGAACCCATCTACTAACGAAGATCCATGAGATTAATGTCTCGGAGTGTTAGCACAACCAATGGAAGATTTGCAAAAATTTTTCTAGACGGCGTCGGAACAATATGTGCAGACCTTTCCTATCCCCTTTATGGCTCTCACGAAAACAATTCCGGAGAAGGATGCTCCCTCGTCATCTCCACGGCCAGGTAAGCATACCGGTCGTTAGCAACAGATGAAGGAACAAGAATAGAAACAGAGGCTACAACTATACTACCAAACTGCAGCCTTGCGGCCAAGTTGGTCTCCGACCATGTGCAATGGTGTGTATCCTCCGTTCCTCGAAGCGACAGGAGACCCGGAACCACAGAAGGGGGAACGCGTTTGAAAAGGTTACGGCGCCCGTTGTCCCTGGCCAGACCTCCTGTTTGTATTCGGTGCCCTGCAACCGAGACCAGATGGACAGTTGGACACACAGCCACGTTCTGTTTCCTACACTGTGTTGGGGCCCAAAAAAATCTCTGTTCAAACTCGCAGAGCTCGTGAGGTCGAGGCCGTCGTGGCACTTGGTCGCTTGAGAGTTCCTTCACCGCCAACAATGCAAGACATGGCGAAGACCTAGCTCCTTGTATATATTTCTTATGGTGATGGAACAATCTGCAACACAGCGGTCCCTTTCCGCCTTGTATCCTCTATGCTCTGTTGGAAGAGCGTCATTCTCTAAATGTTGGGATCAGTGGGATACAGGGGATTGCTAATTCGATCTGCAGGAACTTGCGCACCAATGATTCTGAGCCGAACTTTGACGTTCACGTCCAAAAATATTCTTCGACCCTAGGTGGACAACCCCTTGATGGCTCGACAAATGCCTGCTTGTGCGTTGCATGGTGATCCAAATACGTGGGATATGTGAAGATTTGTGGAGGCATTCGAGGTCTGACCATCGCCAGTGCGACCACCTTCACACCCAGAAAGCAAGCGAACGCTAAAGTAAATTTCCAGATCATCGGTGTAGTTGACCATGAGAGATTCTTCTACAACTGACTCCTGCTACCCAATTCTCGTGCAACCCTTGGAGGGAAATGGAAGAGCCAGCATCCACCAGTTGTGCCGCGTTCTTCAACGCCGCAGCATGTTCGTTGTCGCGTTGGCGACTATCGACAATCAGCCATTTTGTGACTTTGATATGATACAACAGGCAGCCCGTAATGCGACCTGTCCCATTCTGGGCTGTTTAGGGCAGCAACCCCCCTTGCGGAGTCGTCTGGACTCTGACTGCTGCAGAATACATGTACTCAGCAATATCTCCCCGTTACCGAGGCTATTAGCTAGTCCTGGATGGATGTACTCAGGTATATATGTAAGCAATTGGAGAGTACATCTCCAACCATCAATCACCATAGGCCACATGGCCAGTATCAGGACGGAGTATGCCCCGACCCCGCATTGAGCAATATTTGGACTGGATGGCATCATTCTGGCTGTTTTTGTTTATCTTTGCAACCTGGGAATACTAGATGGGAAGCCCCCTGGGTCCCTTTCGTACCTCGACATAGCATAGGCAAGAGCAGGCTATTTCAAGAATGGCAACTGAGACTATAACGCACCCGGCATTTCTGTCCTTGCCGAAATGGAACCAGGTTCCGGAAACGAAACATGATCGTATGTGCTCCTCTAGTCCCATCAGCTTGGCTTCCGGCCCAATATCCAACGGCATACTAATGAATGGGTCTCCCCAATACAGTGGATTGGGCCGATTTGGTAACACTAGACCTCAGCAAGTTTGACCAACCGGGGGGAAAACAGGAGTTGGCAGCTCAGCTCTTCGATGCTGTGAACAGAATAGGTGAGCCCGCATCCCCGACGCGAGGAGTCATCGAGGTGGAGGAAACTATGGAGCAAACAGGGAAGGAAGAAGGCTTATCGTTATTGATCAAATATTTGATTGAGCAGGGTTCTTCTACATCATCAACTTTGGCCTCACGCAAGAAGAGGTCGACCGACAGTTCAGCCTGTGCAAACAGGTCTTCAACCTCCCCACCGAAGAAAAGCTCAAGTATCGCGCCGATCTCGAGAATGGGGGCTACAACGGCTACAAGCCTCTCGGCATCCGCGAGATCAAGAACGGCGTGAAGGACAATACGGAAATCTACAACATCCCCAAGTTCACCCCCCAGTACGAACGCGAGCACCCGGCAATCATCCGCGAACACTGGGACGAGATCCAGTACTTTGCCAAACACATCCATTTCCAGATTGTGAGGAAGTTGCTTGTGCTTTTTGCGCTGGTGCTGGAGCTGCCCGAGGATTACTTTTTGAAAATCCATCGGTACGAGGAGCAGAAAAGTGATTGCCACTTCCGATATATGAAATACCAGTGCGTTTTCAACCTTTCACTGTCATCGGCTGACTGATCATATGTAACTGACCTGGGACATTTTCTTCATTTTGACAGTCGTCGGTCGCCGGAGGTGAATAAACAACTGGACAATGTGTGGGTCAAGGGCCATACGGACTTTGGAAGTTTAACCCTGCTCTTCAGGTAAGCCGCAAGGATGAGGCACGAATCTCCCTTTCTTGGGGGGAGGCCCCAAGACCTATATGTGAATCACTGATGTCCACGACTAACGTTCCGTGTGAAATCCAGACAACCCGTCGCAGCGCTCCAGGTCCGCACGCCCGAGGGCGAATGGAAATACGTGAAGCCGTACCCGGAGAGCATCACGGTCAACATCGCCGACGTGCTCCAGTTCCTCACCAACGGCTTCCTGAAATCCAGCATCCACCGCGTCGTGGCCCCGCCTCCAGACCAAGCCGACGTCGACCGTCATGGCGTCTTGTACTTCGTCAGACCCGAGGATGACACCGAGTTGGTCCCAATCAAGGGCAGTCCCGTACTGGAGAGGCTCGGGTACGACAAGGTCCTGGATCCAGCGACGGTGGGGTTGACGGCCGGAGAGTGGGTGAAAGCGCGGGTCGCGAAGAATGTGAGCCGCGTGGGCAAGGAGGAGGAGAGTATTATCAAAGGGGTCAAGGCTAAGTATTATGACTGAGGGAGAATGAGACCTGTGCGGTGGAATATATATGTCCACCGTGTATAGTGTCTGGAGGCTGTGTGGTGTACCCGTGGAGTTGACTGTAAAATCACCGGTCGAAGAATGACTGTCGACGATTGATACCTCAAACTTCAAGGAGATGAGGTGCATAGGCACGTAAAAGACAATTTAACTCGCAGAAATCCACGGCGCCATGACAAAGCCCGTCTATACATGATGCACACTGTCTTTCAGGGTGACAGGAATTTGCTCCAACACCCACAAAACTGCCTGCTAAAAGAATGTTGGACAAATGGGTGTCCACTGTTTAGGTCTGCATTTCATGATATCGACATGATTTCCTCATCTACGTTCTGGTGGGGGATTTTGGCTCACATATTGAAAGGACGCACGGTTTCTCGCCAAAATGGCAAAAAGGCCCCAGTGATCCGAGAGAGCTCTGAAGACCTTCCCCCTTCCCGCATCGACCAGAGGATCACCAGGATAACTCAAGATTTGAGTCGGATTGTGAGCGACCAAGTCGGCCGACTTCGGATAGCAGGCTTTCTGTTGCCGCAGTGGATCTGAGGGATTGGCTGCCATGCGGCAGGAAGACTCAGATCTGACGTGCATCCTAACCTCGCTCTGGCAAAAGTCATCTTTTAGTGCGAGATCGAACAGCTTGGAGCACGGCCAGCAACTCGGGTGATGCTTGGACTTGGAAAACAGGTCTCTCCCTCGCACACCGTCCGTCGTATGCACCGCGTTTCCCTGGCACAGAAAAATGTAGTGAGACCTGGCGACCGAATAGGTTCGAAGGATGGCTTGTAGTCATGCGTCTTATCCACTTCGACCTTCTCATCCATATCAAATGATGTCCGGATTACTGACCAGCTCGCCGGCACGAGAAGCTTCTCCCTTCGAAGCTGGACTCGAACTGGGTCCGTCTTCGCCAGTATGAGCCACCTGCTTTCCGCTGAGTGTCCAAGATAGTTTGAGGGACAAGAAGTAGACGGCACCGCAATCCCCATTGCTCGTGAACGAGGCGAGCTGAGGTAGGTAGGATTTGCGCAGCTTCTCAGGAAATCCTTCTGGCGTGTTCTGCGGCCGCCGAATCGCATTAGTGGCTTCTGCGTGCCCAAACCGAACATGACGATTCTAAATGCGTACATATCGAATCCTCTGTGAAAACGGAGGTCTTTCCAATACGGTATTGCAGTCAGGATGAGCTGCGGATGCCGGTTGAGGTAGTGGTTATTTGCTCGAGCTGGGCCGACAAATCTCTCAACGTTTATTTCATCGGAATGGTCTGGTCGTGAGCATCCGAAGCCCACGACGACTGGCCGAATGAGATCTTAGTGTTCGGCGAGGATTTGATCGTTCAGTTGGATTGCGTCTGATAAAGCAAGGGCATTTCGTTGACAAAGGTCAGCACGTTCTCGCATTGCAGACTCTCCTGAGCCTAGCTTCAGACATGAAGCTAAAGCAGAGAGAGATTGACAGCATCTTTGCCATGTTGAAGCCGGCATCTAGACGTGCCTTGCCCTAAATTGCAGCCTAGTATAGCATACTCCATAGTCCATCACAAAGGCGCTTGATCAAGTCCTGCCCTGTGGTTTTTGAACCAGAAGCAAGCATCAGCCTTGTCACAAATATAAGAAGGGAGTGAGGACTTCTTGAAGTCGACAGGCTTTCTTTGTTAAGGATCAGAGCTAGATGGTTCACTCTCAAATCGCCCTTGGTGTACAGATGCAGGGCGCTACTGAACTACGCTTCGATTCGTAGAAAAATGGCCATCGCGACCTCTGTGAATTTGTTCCCTTCTGGCTGGATCGCTTCGTCCAGGGAGCTGGCGGTGAATGGTGCAACTTGGTCCCGAGATCTTGAATGAGATGCCACTGGAAATTCTGGTGTGCAATGATTCGAGGCTCTCTTCTCGCTTGGGAACCTAGAGAGTCAGGATGGACGACGTTGAGGTTGTTGTTGTGGATGTCGATGAAGGCGTCGGTGTCAGCGATTCGGCGGAGCAAGAAGGCCGACAACGACGTCCCGAGGTGGAAAATGATCATTGATCATTCCCCTGACCTTGTCTCGCTGCTGGGCTTCCTCCCTCTTTATTACTTCAACTGTAGTGCACCCGAACGAGATGTGGCCCGGAGCTGACAGCAAACAGCCCCTCACCAGGGAAAAGACAGAGCGGGAGATGTGAACCATGGAATCTTACATGTATCTCAAGCCCCTACCGGGTCTTTGTGGTCGAAAGGATGTTCGTAACCTTATGTGGCTCTTTCAATACCCTCACAGTCGTCAGCAGCCATCAAGAAGCCATTGGGGATCCGAACTCGTATCTATGTACAAGCAGTACCAGAGAGTAAGGACATACCAAGTTCCACTGCCTTACGATGGTTTTCAGATTCCGCCATGTTCCCAGTTCTCATTGCGTAATAAACAAAACGTGATTGGGAAACAAGACAATTAGCACCTGATGGCAGGCAACCTTTGAAACTCTGTGGTCCCCTTGATCCGAGGTGGAAATGTGTTATTCCGTACAAATATGTTCCTTGCTCATCTCTCCAGGACTTTCGATCCGCTGTTCTAGATACACTTCTACATAATCGCCACAGCGACTTTGGACCTCTGAAGTGATCAAAGGGGCTTTTTCGCCGACCCAAAGGAGCTGGAGTTCGAAAGAAGCAGGACGAAAAGAAGGGGTATCGGGCGTGATATATCTTTGCGCGACTTCGCACGCTCTGTCCAGTGCCATTATCCATCCTTCGTCCCGGGTTGCCTCCGTGCACGGTGCCACGAAGCACAGATCATCATGTCGCGCCAGACCCGGACCCCCGACATAACGCTCTTCTTCCTGGGCGCGTCGCGTGCCATCCGCATCGCCTGGCTCCTGGAGGAGCTTAACCTGCCGTACCGGTTGGTGTCGTCGGCCCGGGCAGCGAACGGGCTCGCGCCCGAGGAATTCAAAGCCCAGATCCCAACGCGGCTGGGGAAGAGCCCGGTGATCAGGGACGGAGATTTGGTGGTCCAGGAGAGCGCGGCGATTGCCGAGTGAGTGATTGATTGATTGATTGATTGATTCCATTTCTTTGACCTGCATCGGTCATTCCCTCGCTCCCTCTATCAAAGGACCAAACGTGATGGGCGAAAAGCCAGAGGCTGGAACAGCCGTATGACAATCTCTCAGCGGTGGGGTCTCGGGTTGGGGGCAGGAATAAGTGAATGACTGACTGATGGATGCGGGCCGGAGCAGATATCTCTGCGAAACATACGACCCTCGGGGCCGCCTCCTCCCGCACGAGCGCAAAGCGCGGGCAAAAGCGAGAGAATGGATGGCCGCCGCCGAGGGGACCTTCATGATCCATGCTCTCGCGGTGCGTTTACTTTTTCTCTTCTCCCTCTCGTTCTCCCTCTCCGTGACATTCAGGCACATCCGTTCAAATCTCTCTCTCATCCATCTTCCCCCACACACATTGTATTCTCCAGGACAAAATGCAAATTGGTGTCAATTAACGAACGCTCACACTTACTTTCTCCCGGCCCGATCGACACAGATCCTCTACGCACGATGGCGCTTTCCCAAATCCGCCAATGCGTCCAAATACCTCCGGGAGATGGAGAAGGGGCTGGCTGCAAACGTGCAGAATGATCTCAACTGGCTCGAGGCCGAGCTGGCTGATGGGAGAGAATACCTCGTCAGCCGCGATGACGATGGCGAAGGCGAAGATGACGGTGTCTCCGCGGCGGACATCCTAATGGGCTTCAGCATCGAGTTCATCTTCGCGCGCAGGCTGGGCACAGATGGCGCCGACTGGCCGAACGTGCGGCGGTGGTTGCGTGGCATCACGCATCGAGAGGCGTATATAAGGGCGGTCGAGAGGACGGGGTATTCTCTCTAGGCGACGCACACACGCACACACGCGTACTCTTGTCTCGCACTCCTATTCTCATACGCGTCCGTACGCATGGGATTAAGAGACGATGATGAGGATGAGGGACGGAAGACTTCAAGGTGCAAGTAAAGTTCTCGGAAGAAAGAATGGGACCTTGAGCAGGAGGAGAGCATCCTCCCCAATATTTCCACGTCAATGTCATTTGCAATCAACGAGGGGTATCATGATCAAACTCTTTGCGAAATTGGAACATTGCTGAACCCCCAATGCCCATCCATCATATGTATCTGATGCACTGGCTTGCAGAAAGGCGCCCATCAAACCACTCAATAAAACCGTTTCGGATTGCCAATTCGAATACTGATTGGTTTTTCATCATCATCACCATAATACCTGCCAATTTAGCAGGCGTCCAGACAGATCCCAAAAACGCGTCTCTCCATACCAAGTAAGACCGATCATACTCAAAAAGTCTCATTGACGTCGTACCCTTCCTGCACGTTATTCAACCCGGCGCCCGCCAGACTCCCATTCAAACCCATGCTCTGGCGCTTGGGCAGTTTTGATGTCCCACCGATGCTGGCTCGCTTAGTCGGACTCGGGATGCCAGAACCCACATCACTACTGCGCCCTCGGGCGAAGGTGGCTCTCCTCGGGGTGGGGGTGATTCCAGATTCGTTCTCATTGTGGTTGAGACTGTTCTCGCTCTCTTCGTCCATGGTGCCATCGTACCCACTTCCGTAATTGCTAAGGCTGCTCTTAGGCCGAACCCGGTCTGTGGATGCGTTGGGCGCAAAATTTGCTCCCATGCCACTACCCAGCGGAGCTCGCGGAAAGCCAGAGACACTAGCTCGGCTTCCTGGACGGCTGTGCGACGGTGCGAAAGAGGACCGCGTCGATGCGAGCCCGCTTGTTCGCGAGGCTGGGCGAAGAGGAGGCGCGGCCATGTCGCCTCTTGTTGGGGAAGGGGGCTGTTGAGTTAATGATGGTCGACTCGTCTTGGGTTTGGGTATCGAAAAATCGGTCCTTGTCGGAGACGGGGGCTGCTGATTCAATGATGATCGACTTGCTTTCGTTCTGGGTACTGATGGCGTCTCTTGCACCTTCTCCGTGAACGAGTCGTTCCCGCTAATTGTGCTACCGCCTGTCCTTTTTCGACTCCGGACGGTGACAGACGCAGGGATGTGATTGCCTAGCGCTGAACCACTTCTAGGCGAAGATCTAGGTGGAGTGCGCACAGGACCTGGAAGCTTTGAACGGGCAGTCTGAACTCTTTCTTCCAGTGTCGCAATTTTGCCGCGGAGGTTGCGAAGATGGATGATGGACGCCGATTGTGGCAGTCCTGAAGGCCGTTGAGCATTTCCAGGCCTTGATAGGCTTTGTCGGAATGATGATGAAGGTGCCGTTCGCGCCAGCGCTGGAATCGACGGACCACGAGCATGACTGGCAGGTCTCGGGGCGGTTGATCCTGAAGTGGATGGGCGAGAAGTTGGGCCATTGGCAGTCAGAGACTGTCGCGTTTTGGGGATTCCTGGCGTTACAAAAGGCTTGGAAACTTGAGTCGATTTCTCTGAGATTGGAGGTGATGGGGGAGTTGGTGTGTCTGACAGGCCTGATGAAGAGCCTGCCTTTGTTGGAGGTGTGTCGAAGGTCGGCGAAGAAGCATTCGTAGTAGTGGGAGATAGGTCCGAGCGAGGAGAAGCAGACACGACAATGGGTTGCAATGACAGGTGCTTCTCTCGGCGGGCCAGTTGGTCCACCGCCTTCCGCAGCTTCTCTTTCGTGATGTCGGTCTCGATTTTGAGATCGGAGAATTCGTCGCGCAGCCTTTGCGCTTCAATTCGCAGGGATTCTCTTTCCTGCTCTCCGGAGCGGAGTTCTTCCTCGAGCATTACGCTCCGTTCGATAGTTTGATTGTATTTCTGTTCCAGGTCTTCAAGGGAAGACTCAGTGTTCCGTTGCTTGCGCTCGTAGTCATCATTCGCGACTTCGATATCGCGAAGCCGCAGATTTAGTTCCCGGTTTGTCTCCCGGAGTTCTCTAATTTCTTTTTGCAGCGTATTCTGGACATTGGAGGCTTCAGTCTTGGATTGCTTGTATTTGGTCTTCCATTCCTCGACCTCGTACTGGAGATTGGCTGCTCTCTCTTTCAATTGGCGCTCACGTTTCTCTGATGCGTCGATATCTCGCTCGAGTTCTGCTTCGAGATCTTTGCTAGAGGCTTGGAAGTCTGCCAGTTCGGCTTCTAGCAGCTCGTATTGTGCTTTGTAGTATTTTAGGGACTCTTCAAGAGAGGAGCTGGGGCCAGGGGGAGACGAAGGTATGGCGTCTTCGACGGCCATTTTCGGTGTTGATGGTGATTCGGCTGTCTGAATGTGGTCGCTTGATGTTGTTGATCTGGTTGATAGTGTTGGATATGGACGATGGGCGATTTGGTCGTGGTGGTGAGTCGTCTGAGGTTTGTTGGTGGCCTGTTTCTGATGTACCAATTGATGCGACGCGGGTCCGGAGGCGGTGAGGTCGGGGTTGGTCGGATTGCTGTCGAGAATCCTGGCGGTCGCGGATATCCAAGAGGCGATGGTGATGTTGCTGCTGCTGCTGCTGCTGCTGTGGTTAGTATTCGCGGGGTGAGCCTGCGCTGGGGGGGGGGGTGGTCCCAGCGAGAACGGGAGGAGGCGCAGTTTTGTTATATAAAAGTTGATTGAAGGGGCAGCGAGATCAACGCAGGCACGTCAAACGACAAACAACGGGTCACCAGGCGCTAGGCGCTAGGCGTCATTAGCCCGGGGGTTTGCGGTGGTTGGGCGGGCGAGGGACCATTGAGCGCGCTGCACCACTGGGCACCACTGGGGCGCCACTGCACGCACACTGCACAAACTGCACACCGGCGGGTGGGTGGCGGCCCCTGCACTGGCAACAGCCGGGTGCCAAGAAAAAGCCTATCTGCAATCTCGTGCAGACTCGTGTGGCTCGTGTACCAAGTATGTAATTCTCCGATTAATCCATCTTCCTCTCTACTTGAATTGTCTGAATTGTCGTATAAATACCCCTGTACCGAGGACTTATCACACGGCGAACAAAACTGTCCAGAAAACTTAGTGTCCATGATTTGATTTTTGGTATTTGACATTACCTCTTCCATCCAATGGTGCAAGAAGTCTCTCATTGGGACCAGGTTCCAGCAGACCCTTACCCATATCCGCATGATGCGTCCCTATCTCCAGAAACCACCGCCCTCGTCATCATCGACATGCAGCGGGACTGTAAGATAATGGTTGAACCGACTGCTTGACTCATCGCACTGACCTTCGCTACTGCAGTCTGCGAGCTGGGCGGCTACTTCGACTGTCAAGGCTACGATGTGGCAGACGCTCGTGCCATCGTCCCGACCATTCAAGCCCTTCTCTCTACGGCCCGCAAGGCCTCGTTCCCTGTCTTTTTCACTAGGGAAGGTTCGACTCTAACGTAAACGCAGACATGGTCCTGCTCTGCTGAAACTGCTCCAGGTCACAGGGGAGACCTCTCCACGCTGTCGAGCCGGGAACGATTCCGATCTCGCAACAACCCAAGACGTCTTGGAATCGGAGACAGAGGCCCCTTGGGAAGGTTTCTGGTTCGTGGTGAACCTGGCCACGATGTCATCCCTGAACTAAGCCCGTTGCCCAATGAGACCATTATCGATAAACCTGGGAGAGGTGCCTTTGCTCATACCGATTTCGAGCATATCTTGCGCCTTCGTGGAATCCGAAATTTGGTTTTGACTGGAGTAACCACAGACGTCTGCGTTTCCAGCACCATGCGAGAGGCGAATGACCGCGGCTTTGATTGCCTCATACTAGAAGACGCAACAGCTGCAGCCACACCAAGTTTGCGTCGATTTGCACTGGAGTCCGTCAAGATGGAAGGGGGCGTCTTCGGTTCTGTGACACAGTCGAACAAAATCGTCGAAGCCATGAATTCTTGGGCCTGATTTCGAAGTTGGGTCCGTGATTCCCAATGTCCATCTAGTAGTCCTCCTTGGTTATTCAAAGAGATCACATTCTCCTAAACGTGTTACCTGACGCGCTTCTCCGATCTTGACTTCTCGATGTCTCGGCATTCCCACCACTAGCGTTGTCTGTTCGCTTCGGTTTCTTTGTTGGATCGAACGAGATAACCTTGTCACCGACAGCATCCCCAAACCTTGTTCTTCGCGCTCGTTCGACCGGCCTAAAACTTTCAGCTCGAGAGCCAAAGGAACGGTGATGTGGCGTTCTGACGGCATTTTTGGACGCAGATGACGAAACATGCATTTGAATCTCATCACCCTTCTTTCTCTGTTTCTTGCTGGGACGGCGTTTGTAGTCGGCAGTAGATATTCGATCTCTCGTCTTGTATCGAAGACCATTGTCTTCTTCTTCAGTCTGATCTTCGTCACTCGACCTCGGTATCTCATCAATTGCTTCTTCCTCAACGGCGGTGAGCGCCTTTTCTTGGGCTTGATCTGATGAAGGCACTTTGGTGCTGGCGTTGAGTTGCTGAAACTCTCTGGAAGTTTCATCCACAGCAAAATCTTCATCTTGAAAGAGTTTGGCAAAACGCGAATCCGCCAGAAGACCCTTTTCTTGATCTTGAGCCGAGTGGATTTTGGTGGCTTCCATAGGAGCAGTCTCGTCGCCTCCTTGTGCCAGAACCCGCTGAGCGCGGCGCCTCTCATTCTTCTCTTCGCGTTCGAGAATTCTTTCCACCATCTTCCGGTTGACTTTGACGCTAATCTTTTTCTTGCCGCGAATCCTGCTTTCGCGTTCTTTGTCAATCTTCGCCTGGACACGCTTTGCCCGCTCTTCTTCCCAGCTGGTCGGATTTGCAATCAGCCTGGCCTCTTCATACAAGCCCTGAGCCACGAAGAAACCGTGCATATAGGGTCGGAGGAGATTCGTCTTGCCCACAAGGTGATCCAAGTTGAGCATGCGCAGTTGGGTCGGCGTGAGAAATTTGTAGTTATCGTACACCTCCCCTATCTTTGATTTGGAGAAGGCATATGGATCATTTGGATCCTCTGCCATCTCCTCGACGACATTGTCCAAGAACGAACACCACTTTGGAGCCGGTCCAAGCTGAGGAATGAAAAACGCGTGTTGTTGTCGACCTTCATTGGCCGTCAGGAACATGCCGCTATCCTTGCACCAAGCAACGCAATTAATGTCCACAGCTGGCTCTACCGAGGTCCATGGTGTCCCGTCCCTTTCATCCCAGAGCTTCAATATCCGTCGGTCTGCCGACGCAATTTTGGGTTCCCCGATGGAATCTCGGGTTTTGACACCCTGTGTCAAGAATTGCACATAGTGAATGGGGTAACCGTAACCTTGGTCCTTCTTCAAAGTCGGGAGGGAGGATCGGAGGTCGTAAAGGTAGATGAGACCAGAAGAAGTCCCCACAGCCATGTTAATGCCAGATCGATGGAAGTCAAGTGCCGTTACCTCGGATCGTCCTTCAAAGTCGGCAGGCACACCAAGGGTAGCCACTCGAGCTCTTGATCGTGTGTCCCAGTACTCGACCGTGCCAAGTGACGTTCCGAATGCCAACACATTATGGCTGCCTTCTGCCACAGCGGCGACGTTTACACTGCCGGCTCCAATGCCTCCTTGTAATGCACCACCGCCTACAGAGCTCAGGTCGTCGCCTCCGACGTCTACCTCAAATTCATTCATGAATCTCCCCAGCTCAAGATTGATTCTGAACACCTCTCCCATACCATTCGCATTAACACCAGCCGCAGGTACCAGCAGTTCGGTATTGCTCCGGTCATACGCGAGGTCGCGGCCATACCGGGGTATTCGTAGCGAGTCATGGCATCCGCCTGGTGTGTGGAACTCTAAGGAGCGGTCTTCTTGGAGATGAACGGACTTGGAATAGTCGGAGGAGAGAAAGATGAATGTCTTGTTCAAAGTATTCGTGTGTCTTGCCCATGAGAGCGCCAGGTTTGGCAGGTAATGTGTATGGATTTGTGGCTTGTATGTCCCAGTGCTCATAACCCATTCGCCATCTTCGCTGACTCGCACGCATTGACTGGCTTCCTCAAACTCGAAGTCTTGCAGCAGCTCGACGCGGTTGGCAAACTCTGGATCTTTCTTGCGCTTCTGCTGCTGCGAAAGCCAGTCCGGAAGACTGCGAGAGGCCGATGACCCAGAAACCGTATAGACTGGCACCGCACTGTTGGTTAGTCTCATGCTGGGTTTGTACGAGGAGCGAAATGGTGAAGCATGCTAAAGTAGGACGCACGGGAGGGAAAGCATGTCAATCCTGCTTCTTGTTAGCTTTTTGCAGTTGAATGTGAAAGTTGGGAGCACCTTCTTACCTGGTGGCACTTCAACTTTTTCGCCTGACCAAAATCTACAGGTGCGGATCGAGTATCACGCAAAAATCCACGCCAAGATTTTCCGTCAAGTCACGTGCACGATTGGCGAGCTCTTCTGGTGTGGTCGCTCAACGACAACTCCTCTTCACATATATCACAGCAGAGCTGGCCTCTTCCTCTCTCTCCATATTTTACATTCCTCATCAAGGCCAAAGGACTCTGGTTCTACCTGAACATAATGCGACCGGAACTTCAATTTGTATTGGTTTAAATTTGGATCATCTTACCAAGTCAGCCGACACACCGCAGCATTGTTGCCTTGACAGAGCCTTGAGGGTCCTTGAACGACCAACCATTGCGCATCATTGGAGACGCTTGTGCAATGCACCTAAAACTCAACCAGATTATATTGTCTTGCTGTTCTCCACGAGCAGTCCTGATTCCACCCAACGGCTGACGACATGACTACCACTCTGGAGTTCCCGAGTAACTGTTCCACCAATGTCTACACCCTTGTGAGTTGGTGAATTGCAAGAATTTCAATCCCACTGAAGCTAATAGCTCTAAAGAATGATTTTGGCGAGATTGCTTATATTGTATGCACAGTAGCAACTCCGCCGACCCAGGATCCGTCAGCGTTTATCGTCACCGCAGAGAATACTCTTACTCGACTCCGGAAAACCGAGCGTCAATTTAGAGAAGCATCTATCCTTGCGGCGTTGGATGTTGAAGCTCGTCAGCTTTTCACCTTCTACAAGAAGGTAGATATTACTGCTCCGAAAGACCAAAAAACTTTGCTGTTGAAGTTTGGCTACGTCCTGCGGAGCAACACTTGTACAATCGCATACAAGACTGCTGCCCGCCTACCCGACTTGCTGAAACCAGAACACTCTCGGCTTTACCGACTGTTTATTTCTGCAATTGTTTCCAGCATCAAGTTTCTCCCGAATGGCGAAACTGCTCTTCAACCACTTGGCCGCAACATGTATTTGGTGGAGCAGACTCCATCTGGTACCAAGATTGACCATCTTGACAAAACCAAGAAGTGGATTCTCTACCGCATTGATCTGCAGGTAGTCCCCAGTGGCCATATCATCCTGACAATCGCAAAGGATGGCGCATTCTCATTCTTTCGTATCCAAGAATGTGTTACCAAGCTAAAGTGGAATGGCACCAAAAACTCTGATTCAATTGCCATATACCTCGCACCTGTCGGGCGCATTGCACGATTGAGCCGATCAAACATCCTCAACAAGACAAACCTTATTGGTACCTCTGGCAAGCAGAACAATGGCGAAAGTCTACTTTCTGATGCACGAAGAGAAGCCTGGCAAGAGCTACTACCATCCTGGCTCAAGGAGCACACGGATACTAGCATCGAAGAAATGGAAGGTGGCTGGATTGAGATTGAAGTGCCTATAGAGGAGGTTGATCAAGTCTCCAACGACAGTCAGCAAGATCTTACAACTTCAGATATAGTCAACTGCGACTCGATCACTTGGAGGACAATCTTCTGGCCTGCAGGCCTGTGCTTTGTTTTCAGCGATGAGGATCCTATCGTAGAGGAGGATACTGACGTTGGCCAAGATCCAATGCAATTTGTGCAGGATTGGATCCTTGGAACGGGCGGCGGTACGTCAAATGCCGAAGGCGGACGCCAAAGTGTGATGGATGAAGATGATGAACCACTATTTGCTGATGAAGGTGCATTTGACGATCCAGTGCACTTTCATCCGTTCGGACCTCCAGCCTTTGGCTCTAGCCAACCAATTTATCCGACTCCGCCTGACGTTGGAATGATACATCCTACGCCAGGCTTTCCATCTGTTGACGGGATGGCTCTAACACCGGCGAATTTCCCTCGTGGACCTGCTGAGAGGTCTCAACCGCCGGATGAGGACATGGCGGATTTCGAAGATGCGCACACATCAAGCGGACTACAGGGACTCTATGACGAAGACCTTTTCGAGGAGAATCCGGATGATAATCTGTGTGCGGAGACTAATGGTGACGAGCCAAATTGGGATTTCTTCGATGGTCCAGGTATCAACCCGAAGCCTGCGCGCTCTGCAAGCCACGGGCGGAATGAAGAGTCGGTGACGCGCAGCGACACCCAGCCAGCGATGGCGGAAGCAAATAATGACACCGATGGTCAAGGTGCCGCTTCTCAGAATCCAGCCATTGCGAAGAGCGAAAATTTGCACTTTAACGCTGCACCCAAGATACCTGCAAGCACAAAGTCGCCCCAAACCCGAGACCAAATTGAGCAGCCGGACAGTCTCCTGCAGGCAAAAAGCAGGCTGACACCCCAACCTCCGTCCAAACGGGGTCCTCCTTTGTGGAAACCCGAATTCGCCACAGATCCCACCATTAGTGTGGTTTCCGGCCGTCGGTCAAGCCTGTACGATGGTCTACGCTCACTCCCGTCCGTATCGACGCATGACAGCAGATACGGCGCGGACGGAGATTATTGGTTTGATCCAACGCTAGTTCTTTCCAACGTAAAGAGCTATGCGAAGCCAAATCCGCTGTTTCAGAAACCAGTATCAAGTCCATCAGACAGCGACAGTTTGATGACCAGTTCCAGCAATTCGCCAGATCCAGCATCTCAGCAAAATACGGCCCATGTGCCGTTCAGACAGTGGACTGAGTATCACCACCCATCGCCGACTGCTGCCAATCGCCAAAGCGAGATCGACAAGAAGTCAATTTATCAAGACGTACAGCAGATACTAGGATTTCTGAAGCTTGGTTTGATAGAACATCCGACATTGTCTGATTTCCGGTTAGATGAGCCCGATTCTCGCAAGATCCCTCCGACGTCGCCACAGAAGTTCCTGCAAATTGCCAACGTCTTAGTTGAGCAGATGTCTCAGACGTCTTTACTACCTCAGGGAGAGTACCAGAGTGAGATGCAGACTCTCTTCCAGGATCAAATGGATGTAAATGTTGATTTGAGCGGTATCAAAACCTCTGCGACTCCATCAACTGTGTTTCAACTTATCAACCTCAAAGCTGACCACAACAATGGCAGAGTCCAAGGGAAGGTAATAAGAATCCAACCGGACCAGATTCGCGTGCGACGGACGGAACGGCCACTTACCGCTTCTATATCTATCTTGAACTTCTGGGATACGTTGAACCTTCAGCCTGAAAGCGGACTGAAAGATGTGACAGCTTTTTGTATTCATCCAGGTCTGGCAAATGTAACAGAGGGATGTCTCAGTTTGCTGCAGCGGCTTGCAGAAACTTACAACTCTTGTTCACTGGGAGCTTTTACGATCGGTCAACTTCCTGGTCTCACAGACACTGGATTGATATCATGGGTGCCGAATGATGTGGGTGAACGCAACCTCCTCCAAACATGCAAATTGGTCGGCACCACTCTCGCAACTGCTTCCAATATAAAGGGCACTGTCCTTGTCTGTATGATTGGCAGAAGTCAAAGCGCGACTGCGTACTTGGAGACGTGCATTGCATTCTTCAGCCTTTTTGAATCATTTACAGAGGCCCGAACGGACATCCAGGGCGTGTCCGATATTGCTTTGCAAGTCGTTCCACAAAATTTTGTCGCCAATGCGGAGGCCTTGGTGATCCCTTCTCAAACAGCCTATATCCGGCTGGCCATCGAGGTCTACAATCGGCTCCCGCCACCCAATTTTCCCGCCTCCCCAGCTACCTGTAGCTCGGCCGTGGTGTTGTCAAAATCGGAAAATTCGGTGCATTTGCAAATGACGCCAACATACGGCTCGCCTCTGGAAAAGAACGGACCGTGCCTTCATCTCGCATACTCTGTTAGCCTTGACAACAGGTGGATTACTGCAGCCTGGACGGACGAGTTAGGACGGGTTGCACTTACCATGTCCTACTGTCTGCGTGTCCGACAGTCGGGGAAGAGCCGGCCTCTGCACGACATATTCCGAGAGATGTGGGACGTGTCCCAAGACCTTATGAGCAAAGTTCGTGGGCCGTGGCGATTGGCAATTGTCAGGCACGGGTACTACGAACAATCAGAGCTGCTCGACTGGCATCAAATTTTCGACAATTCCCCCTCCTTGCAGAAACGATGTCTGCTGGTGCTTCTCTCTGTCCAGGTCGCTCCAGAGCTAGAAATCTTCCTACCCCCTAATCACGGGAAGACCGCCCAGACGGGGACACAGAACCTATATGGGACACCTGCTTCGACGCCACAGGGCAGTATGACATCTCCTGAACAGACTGTGCCAGCGACTCCAACGCCCGGCGGCAGCTCCTTCATGAACGCCCCCACACCTTCCGATCCTGGGTTTGATCTGAATGCTGAGAGCGATCTCACACTCCTGGATCCTTCCGAGGAAAGCTGTGCCGTCATCTTACCCTACGGGGTTAACCAGACGAGGAGTTTGATCGAGCTTCGGCCTTCGCAAGTCACGGGCTATCTCATGAAACGTAAAGGGGCGAAGTGGGAGGGCGGATACAATATGATTGAGTTCAGCCTAATCACCTCGACGCTCCAGATATCGAACACATCCAGCGAAACGTCGCCAGACGAGTTGCTTGAAGATTTGATCAAACAGTATCGCGGGCTTGTGACTCTTGGGGCTACTCGAGGCTGCGTGGATCCAAACCGCGAATGCCTCCCCTGGCATATTGCCACGGCCATCAGAGGTGCTCGGCTGCTGGGGCAGGTCATGTAGTTCACATGAGTCCAAGTGGGACAATGTCCGTCCGACCTCGGAGCAAGCAACGCCCACGCAAATGCTACGCTATGGACAATCCCTGTCCCCGGGCTAATATTCTTTTGGTTGGGCACTTTTACTCTACAATTTCAAGCAGACTGGGCACTGCAACCTGCATACTACCTAGATTACTCGAGAACGAAAAACCTAATTGCCATTTACGGTTTGATCCTAGAGGGTGAGCGAAGGCCGCTTTAACCTGAGCTTTAACTGAGCCTTTGGTTTAAACATCACTGAGCGCCCCCTGAGTAGTCCCTGAGCAGTCCCTGAGCGACATACAGTGGGCCTAATCTGGCCCCTCTAGAAATCAGCTATACCGGGTACTTGCGCCTCGGCTCGGCGCCTATTTCAGATAGGGGCCAGGGAACCTGGCAGATTCCCTGCCCTTACGCTGCTGCCTAACATTTCCTGCAACCTTGGCCCTGACGCTTGCAACAGAAGCGATACGTGGGTCTATCGAGATTTGCGTCATTGCTGTCTATCTGATTTCTGTCCTCTTTCCCAGTCTTTGAGGATCAATTCCCGTTTATATACACTTTGCAGGCTTATTCAGAAGTCCTTGCTAATCTCCTTGAGACGTCTCAGAGTGCGTTTCTTGCGCAGAGACGTTTCGAGAGTGTTTCCTGATAAGTCGACATCTGCGCAAGTGGGTCCCTTGAGCGCCACTTCCTCAACAGTCAGACATATGGACCCAAGTGAGCTGAGTCACGTGATATACCCTGCTGTATAGTCGGCTCTGTTGGCTCTTGTCACTGACAGACCAACAGAGCGCACAGGGCGCACAGGGCGCACGGGCGCTAGCATTATATATACTGTAGCTGCGTCAACAATGCGGCGGGAACCCTCCCTTTTTAGGGGATAAGAGCCCAAGGTTAACGGAGGGTATGTGATATGTACCTCATAATGAACACTGACAGTCTCTGGTTGCACAGCATTCTACTCTGCCAACTACCATAGTCATCACGCTCTGATATTCCACATGCCACGGCACTCAACGTTGCCGATTCTTTTCTCAGGTCGAGCCAGGCATCCCGCGCTTCACTCCCGGTTCCCCTAGCCCTGCCACGACCAATGGTTTGCGCTCCTCGATAGAAGTGCGGAAGATAGGGAAGAACCTCACGATTGTACTTTGTCCATAGGCTTCCTCAACAAGGTAAACTGTTACACGCCACCAGGCCAAGATGGCACTGACGATCCAGAAATAAGCGGCTACTTTCATTCCCTTTTCAACTCCGCTCCCATATGCAAAGAGGCAACACGCGATGGTAGAGCCAATAGCTAGCGTCATCAAGGTGGCGCAAAGCACTAGGTCTCGAGCTGCAGATGCGATGACCTTCGCAGTTATTAGTCATGTTCCCGAAGCCAAGAGGTGGGGGAGAAAAGGAACACCCTACTCCAGACCACGTGAAGAAACTCAGAACGACGAACCACGCGGCTAGTTCAGGGAAATGCTCATGAATGCTGTGATCAGCGATCACACCGGTTGCCTAGACAAGATGTCGGGTTAGACTCGCTACCCAATCCGTCGCCTCTATATCAAAATCTTACCACCAGAAGATTAAGCAAACCGCTACTCATCCAAAAGCTTCCCCACATAACGTTAATAACGGTTACTAACGCATCTCTCGCAGGATAGCCCTTCAATCCGGCCAGGAACTGGGCAAGACCGCCCCAGAAAGCCACGAAAGGAAAGAAAACCGTCGGTGAGCTCGGATTTCCCCACCAACCAGCAATCCAAGAAGCGGTGATCCAGGTTGAGCCGGCAAAACCAGCAAGTCCGAGGGCCGCTGGAGGTGCCAGAGGCTTCAGGAAGATGCGGACGCCCGGCTCCTGCTGGATGATCCTGTCAATTTTGTCTTTGTCGTCTGGGCGTACAGACATCGTGATGAGCTCAAACAAATCGAAGAATACGTGTTTGGCAGGCGGATTGTATCTGTATAAACGTAATGGCTTTTGTCCTGTGGCACATGGACCCTGGCAGCTGGTGACATTTCGCAGAGAGAGAGAGAGGTATATATATATATATACACACATCTACATCTATAATTTCCGAGTATGTGGTGCAACGCGGAATTTATGGGAATTTACCTACCCCTCGTTAAAACATTTGTGTGCAGCCACGCAAACCGATTTCTGCCAAAGACCTTGATTTCTGGGCCTTCCGTGCGATCTGTCGGTGTGGCGTGATAGTCGACAAACCGACTCTGTTGTGATGCCTTGATCATGTGGAATGTTGATGGCAGCCGCTTACTTCCGTATGGAAAAGGCCGTATTCATCTGGCACAATTTCCCCGCCTTCTCGTCAGTAGTTGGTTGCTTCAGTTCTAAGGGGTTGGTTGGGGCCGCGCGCTGTTGTTGATTTTGTCTTCTTGCACAATTTTGTAGGTTACACAGCTGACCTGTTCATAGTCTTTTGGGTCGTCTGTCTGTTTATACAGAGCCTCCTAGTGTTCGCGTTCGAAGATGCTCACTTCAAATGAACACGAGACTACAACAGTCAATATTAGTTCCAATCCCTTTCCCTGAAAATGAGGGAATCATACGATTCTTACGCGGCCCGTATTTGGAGGCTTTGCTTGGGCTTCTTTGCCCTTGAAATTGCATGACTATGGATTATACGAGAAATGGGCTCTTTTCCCGGCAAATGTATGGTGTGATGGTCAGAGACGTTTCTCAGGAAACGTGCTTTATCACCACGAAGCATACGTATTGTCGTAGACGGCTGCTCCACCATGGCTGGCCTCACCGACTACATAAGACCGACGTATATTACATTGGCTTCAGACCTTGACAGTGGTTTATGACCTCTATAATTTGCATAGCCTTTTAGTCCACAACCGGAAAGGCAAGATGGTATGCAGATATTTTGTCTCGCGGCTAAGTGGTCGCCCGTTATCCCTCCACGTCCGCCGAACAGCGAGCAGTTCTTTGCCCGGGCGTGTGAGTCCGGCTTTTAGGAGAACTTTACTGACTAAGTCTTGGGTGAATCAGGGCAAAGTTCTTATGGTGCTCTATCCCGTAAGTCAGAACAGCCCCAGTCCCAGCACCCGTTCCTTATTGTCCCTGCACTGCATTGATTATCAAGTGCTGATTGTGAAGTAGGGTGGTCAACATGCCAAGGATCAACCGGATCTCTTGGGATGCGTCGAAAACGAGCTTGGTCTCCGAAAGTGGATTGAGGGACAGGGGCACACGCTTTTAAGCACCGCCGACAAGGATCGTGAGGGTTCTGAGTTTGACAAGCAACTGGAAGATGCTGAAGTCATTGTTACCACTCCGCCAGTGTGACTCTGTGTTTCTTCAGAGGACCTGGGCTGACTCAATGAATAGATTCCACCCCGGATACCTGACCGCCGAGCGTCTATCCAGAGCCAAGAATCTCCGACTTGCGGTCACCGCCGGCATTGGATCCGACCACGTTGATTTGGACGCGGCTAACAAGACCAACGGCGGTATAACCGTCGCGGAAATCACCGGCTGCAATGTTGTCTCCGTCGCGGAACACGTGGTCATGACTATGCTCATTTTGATGAAGAACTTCGTCCCGGCGCATGATATGATCAGGCAGGGACGATGGGATGTTGCCGAGGTGACCAAGAATAACTACGATATTGAGGACAAGGTTGTAGGTACTGTTGGAGCTGGCCGTATCGGTGAACGAGTACTGCGCCGTCTTGCGCCCTTCCATTGCAAGGAGCTGCTGTATTTCGATTATCAGCCTCTTACATCGGAGGTTGAGAAGGACATTGGATGCCGTCGTGTCGAGAGTCTAGAGGAGATGGTTGCTCAGTGTGACATCGTCAATATCGAGTGCCCTCTCTATGCCGAGACTCGAGGACTCTTCAACAAAGATCTCATCGCCAAGATGAAGCGAGGTTTGTGACTTGATATATCAGCTTTTCTCTATTTTCTTGGAGTGTTGGAGTTAACTGGGTCCTATATAGGCGCTTATCTCATCAATACCGCGCGAGGGGCCATCGTTGACGCTGAAGCCGCCGCGGATGCTCTAAAGAGCGGCCGCCTCCGCGGCGTAGGTGGTGACGTGTGGTTCCCGCAGCCGGCTCCCCAGGACAATCCTCTCCGCTACGCGGAGCATCCATGGGGTGGGGGAAATGCCTGGGTGCCTCACATGTCGGGGACATCTCTGGATGCACAGGTCAGCTTAAGGCAAGGACTCGCAACCAATCGACATGCTAACACTCTGGCTAGAAACGGTATGCAGCTGGTGTGAAAACTGTCTTGGAAGCTTACTTCTCTGGCCGTGAGGATTATCCACCGGAGGACTTAATCTGCCATAAGGGGGAGTATGTCACCAAGGCTTATGGCCGGCGGCAGAAGGTGTAAATGTCACTTTCTCTCCATGCCAGGTTCGATCCTTTAATTTTCTGTGATCTGGGTCTGACTGGGATGCTTGGTGGCCTTTTTTTTTCGAAGCCTGGGTGAGGGATACCGTCTCGCGGTGAAATTCAAGGAACGATCGCGCTACTTCACAGTGGATGTGATCTTGACATTCCGTATCAGGGCCGCGTTGTCCTTGGTATCAAGTACATGTATCCGAGGAGGTGATAATGATGAGGCAGAATAATCGGGGACGTATTTCCCCGCTACTTGATCGGCCTGGAACACATGCCCTAGTATTGGATAGCTCCTAGTCCTTCAACTAAAATTTTTTGCACGCTCACCAAGTACGGGTCAGCTCTATCCGCTTGCGCTTGCTGCGCACAGATGGAAGCAGCAGAGCAGAACTGGTCTTCATGTTGAGGAGTTTGAACAGTTATGACTTCCACAGAGGATCCATCGATGGTGTCGCCTGTCTACCAGCGAAGGCAGGAGCCAGTTCCCACGGTTTCGACTCTTCTTGGTCATCAACAAATCTGAGCAATCGACGCATGAACCGACTCCCTGATAAACCCTGGACGTTATTCGATTGGTTGGCCAAAGTTTATTCCGATCCGGATAAAGCCACAACTTAGATACACCTTGGTTGGACCTGTTGATAGGGTTGCAAGATCGCTGACTGTGGCAAACCACCTGGGACGTTAGCTGTTTCACCGATTGCGCCACTTACCTCAACGCCGTTGTTCTTGCCTCATCTGCGATAGTATGACGACGGAATAGGAGGTTTCAGGAATGACCTTCAGATCATCACAGGCCAAAGTGTATATAAACAGGCAGAGTCTCTCTGAATAGGCAGAGGGACAGAACACAATCAAGCAAATAGATCCACTCCTGTTCTGAGTACAACACGCTCCTTTGCCTAATTTGCGGTCAAGCAGTCCAACATTGGTTTTTGGGATTGGATATCAGAATGTATTAGTGGTAGTGCAGCTGCGAATGGAAGGGCCTTGTCTACTTTAGGGTTCAGCTTGTTAGACTCCCTTGATAAGGCATCCTCAACAGATCCCAAAAAAGCCGTCTCAGGTCAAGGCGATTGTCGTTTCTATTGTATAAGTCTGCGAATATCACTTGATTGCATCATATTTTTGGCCTACATCCCAATCCGCGTGAGAAAAGTGTCGAGGAGCCGGGTGTAATGTGTGACTGATTTCCACATAATGTCGAGTTCACCGCTATGATTCATCCTCCAAATGGCTTTTTCAGCCTCGTTCGGAACCTCATGTATGCGACAGGGCCAAGCTTTTCCAGTTTTGCCTGAATATCTGAGATATCCTGGGTACACCTCTTAACTACGTTCTAGAGATCTTCGGAAGTCTGTTGTCGAGACCCCCGGAAACATGGGGGCGAGAATCATCGGTAGTCCTCATGTAAGTCGCGAATGGTGATCTCGAAACAGCGTTTTGGCTCACCGCCTACGTATGAAATTGCCTCGTAACTTTCTTAAAAAGGAAGTATCGACGACTGTGAGGTTTCCATCCGGTGGAGCATCCGCTTTCCCCAGGGTTCAAGATCAGTACGCGGAAAGCTGAATGTGCCTCGGGGAATGGCTGATATATGTATGGTTGCATTGGTACGAAGGCCGTGTCGTCTTGAAGTTGACAAGAACCGTTACTACTAGAATGCTGAGCGTTGAGTAATGGGATCTTCCATCTTCATGCGATGATGTAGTCGTTTGAATCACATGAAAACCGAAAGGCAATTGAAAAAAAAAAAGGCAGATACATATAATATCGAAGATTACGGTGCGCTTTTGCAAGGTCACCTGCATGAGGCTTAGAAATCGTTGGCGTCCAACCAGATATCCGTGGCTCGCGGGGAAGATAAAAAGGCTTAGGTACAGTAGACTCTGGGAGCGCTGAGGGAGCGCTCAGGGATCGCTCAGAAAGTAGAAGGTGAGCCGAGGATGAGTAAAGCGGCGAGCTACTAATACATAAGACCGGGGCGATAGAGGACAGGTTTTTCGCATGATACTACATGTACCCTACTTGACCCTACATACTGTATGGACGATCAACGTGGTTGGCCTCTCCTCTTGCCCTCCCCGGGACCTTGAGATTTGGAGTAAAGCATTCTGCCAGTGACGCCAGGGAAAGGGAAGCCGACATCTGATTAGATCCCTGTCTATGTATGTACATATATGTACATACCCAATGGCTTGTTGATTGCGTTGACTCTGTCCCCACCGTCGCCTCACACATCCAGGCAAAAGGAAGTCTTTGATGACACTTTCGTCCCCCGGCCAAGGTTCTAAGATGGGCTCGACTCTTTGCCAACGGGTGTTTAATGCTTGGGACAGCCCAACCTCAAAGTAACTCAAGCCGGCTGCGCCGAGCGAGACTTGCCAGGGTGTTTCCCCTTCCATGACTAGATAAGCTGCTCCCCTTCCCTCTCTGTGATCTCTTGCGCCGATTGATATCTGCTGATATCGGGACCGCCGGCACCTTGATACCGGTCTGAGCGGGATCCCACTTCCTTCTCATTTGCCATGTCATTCTCGGGTGATTCTCATCACAAAGCCCGAGACATGCCCTCCTCTCCGCAAGTTGCAGAGCATAATGATGCTCGTAGCGTCCAAGAATCGCCAGACCGATGCAGTTCTATCGTTGACGCAGAGCAGTCAGCGGGTGTTGCGAGAATCGAGGCCATCAATGAAGTCCTCACAAGAACGGATCGGCTCTTCCTTTTCATCGGTGTGTTTCTCATCGCGTACGCCTATGGGTTGGATGGCACTGTTCGATATACGTACCAGACCACCGCCACTGCCTCGATGGGCCATCATTCTCTGCTGGCCACAATCAACACGCTTCGCGCCGTCATCGCCGCCGCCGCCCAGCCAACTGCTGCCAAAATCGCCGATGTCGTCGGTCGTCTAGAACTCGTCTTTGTCAGCGTGGTCTTCTATGTTGTCGGAACCGTTATTGAAGCGTGTGCGACAAATATCGACACTTTTGCTGGCGGTTCAGTCCTCTACCAGATCGGCTACACATGCGTCCTATTGTTGGTGGAAGTGATTATTGCCGACATTACCTCCCTACGAGCTCGACTATTCTTCAGCTACATTCCTGCACTACCATTCTTGGTGAACACCTGGATCAGCGGCAATGTCACTTCGGCCGTGTTGGGCGCGACGACCTGGAAATGGGGTATCGGGATGTGGTGCATAATTTACCCAGTCTGTGCACTGCCGCTGATGATATCTCTTTCCTTTGTAGGCCGACGTGCGCGCCAAGCCGGTGTCCTGGAGAAGTACAAAACGCCTTACCAGATGATGGGGGCGAGGCGACTGACACGGGAGCTCTTCTGGGCCCTGGACATTCCGGGAATCATCCTGTTGATTGCGGTTTTCGCTCTTATTCTGGTGCCGCTGACCATTGCTGGAGGATCAACTTCGTCGTGGGGCACCGCACATGTTATTGCGCCTCTTGTCATTGGCCTTCTCGGCATTCCGGTCTTCGTCTGGTGGCAACTGAGGGCACCTCGGCCGCTCGTTCCCTTCCACCTTCTCAGAGACCGCGGCGTTTGGGGGGCATTAGGAATCGCCTGCACCTTAAATTTCGCTTGGTACATGCAAGGCGACTATCTCTACACAGTCCTCATCGTTGCTTTTGACTGCACTATTATGGGCGCCACCCGAATCACTTCCTTGTATAGTTTCTCATCTGTGGTCACCGGCTTCCTTCTGGGAATGGTGGTTTACAAGGTCAGACGCCTGAAATGGTTCATCGTCGCCGGAACCTGTCTCTTTATGGTTGCGTTCGGGCTTCTCATTCACTACCGTGGGTCTCCCAGCTCAGCTGGCCAGTCGGGCGTCATTGGCGCACAGGTCCTCTTGGGAATTGCTGGAGGCATGTTCCCATATCCGGCCCAGGCCTCGATCCAAGCTGCAACCAAACACGAGCACGTTGCGGTCATCACTGGTCTGTATCTGGCCACCTACAACATCGGGTCTGCTTTTGGGGTGGCGATCTCTGGGACGATCTGGACCCACGTCCTCCCATCGAGGCTCGAAACCAACTTGGCGCCATTTGGAAATTCGACCTTGGCGGCTGCGACCTATGCCGATCCATTCACAGTTGCGTATGAATATCCGGTAGGCACGCCTGTGCGAACGGCCATCATCGCCGCGTACCAACATTCGCAGAGATTACTCTGTATCACGGGAATCTGTCTCTGTTCGCTCCTAATCGCGTTTGCATTCTGTCTCCGAAACCCTAGGTTGGGTGACGAACAGAGTTTGCCTGAAGCGGAAGAAGACGTGGTTCGTTGAGGAGCTCGTCGCTTGGATTGGAGCTCAGTCACTGGAACCACCTGTAAGGTACTTGGTGACTCAATAACAGCCCCCCGGCTTCTACAAATCACGCATGTATACTTCCTAGCACACCTGTTTTGGCAGTTGTCTGGTAATTGTGTTCTCGTATGCGTGGACAGGGAAACAATTTGTCAGCCTGATGGAGCGAAAATTGTATTCACTACTGCGCGGGGCGAGTGTATATCATCCACCGAGCCGTATTGAGAAATAAGGGACACTGTCTGAATCCGTTCTAACAGCTGGTCGCGAAGGACTTCGAGGTGCCACTTATTTAAGTTATTTTCTTCTTCGGCGTACCTCATAGTCGCAAACTGAACCGCAAACCGTCCGACTTTGGCTCACGGCTCCTACCGGACAGCTAGGCTATGCCTCCTGGTGTTTGAGACCCAGTCAGGATCGCCTGGACCATTTGAGGACCTCCATGTCTCGCCGATCGACAGCTAGAAATATATATTTCGTAATCTCCCTCCGAAGTAGCTGGCTTTTTCTTTATCGAGCTACTTACATCTAGACGTAGAGACACACGAAATCCTCCTCCCAGCTCGCTCCCTTTGTTGAATATCCACATCCTCCACCACACCATGGCCATCAAACAAATCCTCTGCACGGTTCTCATCGCTGTGGCTACCGTTGTTACTGTGGCCCAACCTGTCAGCGTCCCCAAACCTGTGAAGGCCAGAGCTCTCTCTTCGGGGCCTTCCATCGACCTGTTGAAACCCGATAAGGGCCTGGCCACGAGCATCGTCAACGGCATAGGCCAGATATCAGCACTTTTGACGATGGTTGGAATGACAGTCAATAATGTCCCTAACGTGGTAGGTGTTATCCCTGGTGAGGCTGAGGCAGGCGCTCTCCATGGTGATGTCTCCGGCCTAACGATCCGTGATGTCCCTGATGAAGCAGGCGCTCTCTATGATGATAACTATGGCCCACCAGACGATGCGTCTCAGCCTGTTGATATCGGGGAGATCCTTGATGATGCCTTTGACCACCTCCTAGGCGATGGGCCTTACTCCACGCCAACCGTTCCCGACGAGCCATCCTCAAAGACACCCTCCAAGACGTCGCCGCAATATTCCAAGCTCACGATTGGATGCCGGGCGAAAGGGTGTGACAGTGTGGTCAAGATCTACTACGACAACATGCCGACGCCGACGCACAGCTGCCCACGAGACGCCCTCGCCGCCCTCGCCAAGTGGCGTCTCTTCTGCGACAGAGGCAACAACAAGATCTTTGGCAAGTCGACAGAGCCAAATTGCTGGAGCAGGGCTCCCTCCATCGACAGCTGCTGCGGCGAATGGGTCCAGCTCGACGACCCTAAATACAAAGACTACCCGTCGCGGTACGTGCCAGTGGAGAAAGGGTTTTCGGACGACACGTACGTGGGGACTTGGGTGCAGGAGTTGGGGGGCCACGGAGACCGCCGCATCGTCAAGCCCGGTTGGCACGAGTACAACGTTGAGACGGACAGATGCCAGTTCTGGAGGCCGGAGAACGACCTCGAATTCGCGTACTTTATCAACTCGCTCCAGAACTATGGAATCCGGGATGTTGACGAGACGGGCAAGATTCGCGGACAGGAAGCCTATAATGCCGAGGGCGTTTCTCCTGGCCCGCTGATCCCGGGTTCGGACAGCGAACTAGATACCTTCAAAAACATCAAGATGGACTGAATGCCGAAGGCAACAGCCCGCGTTGAATTGATGTTTTCGGCTTTTGGAACAAGCGAGCGTCTGGTTGGTATGTTTGAGCGATGGTCTGGTTAGCGTTTTTGCACGAGGGACTGTGTTATTAGCAAGGCACCGGGCGGAGGGCTGCAGAGCACTATCATGAAATCGCGTGTTCAGTATGAGGCTCTGTGGGCCAGAGAGATGATGCTTTTTGGGCAACGTCTAGTTGTGCTCTTTTACTTTCATGTATGGTCTATTGCTATCTTTGCATCCCGAGGCAGAGGAAATTGTACAGAACTTGACAACTTTACGACGTGTTAGCCTGTACATCCTGAGCCCTCGCCCGGTATAACTTCAGTGGACGATCTTAACAAGCCACTGACCTGTGGATGTAGTTGACCGAGGCAGGGGATTCAGCCTTACGCCCAGTTCCGTCTACGGAGCGAATATTAGTCGGTGAAAAGCGAGTCCAACAAGGCAGGGTGAGTGGGTCAATAGTCCTTCGCAAGTATCGTGCTAACTATAGAGTCCCAAGCACGGTCACCAGTTACTCTGTCAAGTTCTACAGATACTCGCTAGCTCTCCAGAGTGAGCTTTGTAGGTTTCGACACCAATAATATTGTATTCGAAGAAAGCTTTCTACATCATCATGCACCTACTCTTGGTCCACACCCGGTCCAACAAGAACCGGTCCAGCATCGATTCCCTGCAGGGCGCACGGCCGAAGAAGCTATTGGCCGCCTCGGTGTGTAACAAGGAATGTGGCTGTCGTGGAAATCACAGCCGTCCGTCAGTCGGAAAATAACAGGCCACAGATCATCGACTCCTCTTGCCTCATTCGACCCTGCCCATGCCCATACTTGACCAATGCCGCCGCAACAGGGCCACAGTCCCTTCACCTGATTGCTCCCAACGTCAGCGGGGGACAGGCCCAATGCAACTTTCCATCAGAGGCGAGACGCAGGTGCTTGGGTCGCCTGAGTCGACGGGCTCGACCGATCTTTCTGCAGAAGTTCACGCCATTCCTTCACCTCGGCCCTAATCTCCTGTTCATGCCGGATCTTGTTCTCGCTTTCTCTTCGCGCCAGTATTTCCTTTGGCACTGCCAGTAGTCAGCGAGTTTGGCTCTTGGGAGGAACCAACAAGGGCGGCTACCCTCAGGTCAAACATACCTTTCTTCATGAATCCCGGATAGCTTCCTGGGTTGCAGGCTGAATGCCACCTGTCAAACGCCTCCAAGCCCAAAACGATTTCGTGGTCACCCGTCGGAACAATGAGGAAATCATCATCTAGGCTCTTTGCCCTCTCAATCGGTCCCCAAACGAGTCGCAACGATTTCCGCTTCTCTCCATTCTGGTCATAGAGGGAAAAGCCGAGTGATTCGACACACGCTTCAGTAATTTCACTGTGTTCTCGGGTTTGCCAATCCTTTTTAGCGAGCTTTGTCACCGGATCTTGGTTCTCTCGCTCTACCACGATCTCGCAGAGGCCTTTGTCGGCTGTTGTCTCACCCCCCATTTTTCACGCAGCTTCCCCTTTATCGGTCTTTCCAGCGTCTGTCAGTGCCGGGATGATGAAACAACTCACCGAGGATTCTTCTGAAAGGCTCGATATATACCCTCATCCCTATAGCAATGTTGCCCCATGAGAGCCTCCCGTGCAAGACCTCCCCCCCAGCCACCACCGCCAGGGATCAGGGACGCCAGGACACAGGCTGCCCCGACATTCAGCAAGCACATGACCGAGGGCATTGGCTAGAGAGCTGCAGTGGCGGCCCAATTGCTGAGACGGGCAAAGATGATGGTGTTCATCCTCGTCCCAGTTCGCCTACGTTCAGGCAACGTTCTGTGTGTCACCCGTTCAGAGGGTGGATGCCGGTGGCATAGAAGCAGCGGTTGACGACATGGTCTCATAACAGCCTCATCTATGCAAACGCTATCTTCTGAATTCGACCTCTCAGAGAGCTGTGCACCCTGGTTACCGAGCAAGGCAGCCGCACCGCCGATGCCATCGGGGCGGCCAACTCATCACCCAGCTCTCAGCACTCTCTGCAGCAATCTCAGGCAACTCCATGCATCACTTTGAATTTCAAGCATTTGTGCTGTCCTTACAAATGACCGGGCAAAGAGTCGGCTGAACTCGTCCTCCTCTCAACAACTCACTTTTCTCCACGAATTTGGCACCCAGCAACATATCGTATCTGTCATCATCCACCACAAAAAAGGTATGCCTGTAAGGTTTACCATCTATGAAGAACTTCAGCCTAATCGCACCCAGCATGAAGAGCTTGGCTCCCTTGACAAGGCCTTCAATTGGGTCCAAGTTACGAGGTTCGATGGACGCCAACCCTAACTGTTCGGCTCGATGTGCAGCCCATAGGCTAATCAAACTCGGGAGGAGGCCTGTATCCAGCTGTGTTCTACACAGCAATTTGCGTATTCCGTCGACTTCAACCATGACAATCCTGATGTAAGTGTTTTCATCCTTGGAGCTGGTGGTAGACACGGACAACGTTGAAACCGGCCCACACCTGCTCCAACCCTCGGAGTTTTCATTCAAATTTGCCTGCTGCTCACTTTGCATTGGAATTATGTTTTGAGGCTGAAGGAGAGCCATTCCCGAACCTCCACCTTCTGGAGTCTTGATCTTGGAAGATGACTTGGATCGAATTTTGTATGGCTCTCTGTCTTGTCCTGCTGGTTTCACTACTTTTGGCCGTTTTTGTCGGCTATCTCGCGGCGATCGTTGTGGGAACCGGAGCTTTCTACATTGGCCGGTGTTCAGATCACCCTTTTGGTGTGTTCCTAGGGACTTGTCGCTCTAAACAGACTGCCTCGTCCCGTCTGGATCACCAAAATGTTCCCGGCTTAACCTGTCCGACAAGGTATGAACGGCCACGCGGTGCCTGCGGTTCGAAGGCTGCAGCTGAGAAATTGTGAATGATGAGTGAAAAGGCAGATTCAAGAACGATGCGGTTCACACGGATGTGGAATGCTTTGGATGGCTTTCCGGGGGAGAGGAGACGACGGTCGGCGCACTGGGTAACAATAGGGCGATGTTGGGTGAAGGATGGCAGCCAAAAACCCCCCAAAGAAAAAAAACAAGGCCACAGCTCGCAGATAAGAACAAGCACGAAGGTTCAAAAAGCCCTGGAGATTGGGAGAGCAGTAAGGACTTGCAAACAAGAGATGCGATGGGTGTGGTGTGCGCATAAACACAGCGCAGGCAGTTGGGTCTACAATTTTTGGTGTCAGAGACGCACTAACAATATGGATTGTAGGCTCCACAACACAAACAATCAACACAGATACTTCACTTCTCACCTCACCTCCAACCGGCCTTGCACGGGATATACAATTGTCGCTTATAGCTTATGATGCAAACTCTACCAATCTTTCATTCATGGTTCAAATTCCCGGTCTCCTAGCTCGACATTGGATCTTTAGCCACCGCAAGACGTAGGTTGTATGCGAAATGAAGTACCGAGTACGACAACAGGTCATTTGAAGTACCGTCGACCATCGGCCGCGCTGTGAAAGCGCCCAGCCCTTCAAAGGGCCGTCAACAGCGCTGTACAGCCTCTGGTCACATAATCAAAAGCAAAGCAAGAGCAAGGAAAAGACCTGGTGGCAACCCGGAAATGCGAGCTCTTTAATGTTCGAGAGCTTGAGCCACCAACCCCCACGCCGGCGAACGACGGGATCAAGCTGGCCGTGGTTTCACGATGATGCCGAGGGACGATGGCTGATGGCTGCATGCCTGATGGCTGCATGCTCAGCTGAACATGATTGGAACTCGCCCTCAAATCCCTACACCCATATCGCTGTGGTGATGTTACTTTCGCTAGCATTGCTCACCACTGTTCGGGATCGCGGCGCTTCCCTTCTTCCCCAGGAACGTTCGGTTGCCTCCTCGGGAAAGGCGCGAGCAGGTGTTCGCGCCAACCGTCCGAAGGCATCCTTGCCGATGTTGGGCATCAGCTTCTGGTCCGCATATGTGTTCGCCTTGTCCAATGCTCTTTCGTTCATGCAGCCAGTGCCAGCGCATACATCAAAGGTCGATGCGAACCTAGTAGCATTACAAAGGAGCCCAAAGAGGCATTTGAGGCTCTAATAACACACCATCTCAGTACGAAAGGTGCTCCTCTTTTTGAAATGGATGCTTACACTCATCTGTCGTCAATCCAGGCCAGCCAGCCAGAGTACGCCATCTTCCGCCTCTATCTGCCTCTACAAGCTCTCCAGCTGAACCTTCTGCAAGCCGAGATCGCGCGCCTGCGCCAGGGGCTAGGCGCCGCCGAACTCGAGTTGGACGGCAAATCCGGAAACACTGAGAAGCTGTTTTCTCATTTTCCCACCCGCCAAACCCAGTCTTCCTCTGGAAGAGAACCTCAGACCTCGCTGCAAGAGGCTCTCTGGAACCGACTTGAAGCAGCCCTCAAGAAATACAGTGCGCAGTAACTCAATCCCTCGTGCCAGACATACCCTTTACTGAACAATAGCCAAACACAAAAGGCAAAGCGCTGCTCCGTTACCGCGCCCTTTCCCAATTGCCTCCGGTCGATCCCTTACACCACAAGCAACTCCGTAATTGGAACTCAGACCTCGAAGGTGGTGATGGGTCCCTCTGTGGGGCTGAAGCTGTCGTCTGGGACGAAGAGAATGCCGGCGATCTCACCTCGATAGCTCTGCCGAGCGAGAGTAGAGATCCCCTGACGTATTTTCTCCAAACTCGCGTCCTTCCATGGTACCATAACGCGATAGGGTACAGATACAGGCCACGAACCCACGTTGCTGATGCCTTCACCGATGTGAGACAGCAGACGCCCATCTATTATTACTCGGGCAGACCGATTCTCCTAGCCGTGAACATCTGCAGCACGGTACTGTCTTCGATGATTCCCGCGCTCTGCTCACTTGCCCTCTATTTCATCCAGCGGGAAGGCGCCAGGATGGGAGCGATCGTGGGCTTCACGTTCCTCTTTAGCGTTGTTATCGCATTGATCACGCCGGCCAAGAAGATAGAGACTTTTGTGGCCACAGCAGCCTTTGCGGCCGTTCTTATTGTCTTTGTCGGGAATGGCAATGGCAATGGCAATGCTGGAGGATGCGCCTGTTGAGCGCTCTAATGGTCGGCATTGCTAGAGATAGCTTTGCTTGGGAGACGGCCTCTAGAGCCGATATGAAGTGTGTGGACGCACTCCCATGCACAATAACAGATGGCTCCATTGAACTCGCCTCGAATGTCAGGCCCGGATCTGGTGAAGATATTGCCCATCGGGGCCCCTTGGATCGGCATAGCGGAACTGAGTGCCTCCAGAATACCGTCTTATTTGGATACGTTTCACGTTTTCCTGAGGGAACGAACAATGTCGCAACCATGATCTGACCTTCGATCCACAAGCTCGAGGCGAGAGTCCCGCCCACCAACATCACCCAAGAAGGTAAAGGCTTGGACGGTGGATCCCATATGCACACCCTCTGCTCAGTTATCAAGGCCGGCTTTCTCACCATGAGGCCGGCTCCGCAGAGGTTTCGGTCTACGTACGTGCAGATCGGATGAAGTTGATATGTTACAGATGTCTACTTGATCTCCCCGACCGCATATCGAATTCCAATTGTGTTCCTTACTCACTCAACTGTCCTCTCGATCAGTGCTTTGTCTCAGATAGTTTCTTCGACAATTTGAAGGCTGACAACTGTCACAATGCCCCATATGTGTGAAAGCCAGAGTTTCAATCTTCGTCAAAGGCTCTCATCTTCTAGGGAGTCAATGTGACGATCTCCAGATGCTCGTCTTCAGGAGCAAAGTGATATTCCAGAGTGCCCAGCTTGTCACTCTCTCCCTACAATTTCTTCTGTTTGGGCTTTTCTTCGCTGAGTTTGGGCTTTTTCTGGAGCAGTTTTGGACGCCAGTACCACCCACTCATGAATACAATAGCACCATCATCCCGAAGTTCTCGGAGTTGGAAGAAGCTGGAGGATGGACCGTTGATGGTGGTGCCTGACGACTTATGTTCTGGTGCAGCATCCATACTTCCTTCTGGCTTGTCCACCAGCCGATCTCTGGTGCAATCTTGCCAATAGCAGCCAGGCCGACATCCAGTCCGAACGAAACCGATGTTTCCTTGGATCTCAACAGAGCTACGGCGCGCTGTTTGGCAGTGCAGGTTTTGGCGACCACAAAGATGCCCTTCTTCTTGGTCGTTTCGTGTATTTTTGGCAGGATCATCTCGGCGTCAGATACGAACCAGATTTTCGCTTTTGTGGAACTCACGGGAGCAATTTGGTTGTGCGTCACCTCGCCTTTGGTGACAAGAACTGCGCCAGTGTCTGCGTCGCACTCAGAGCCTATCTTGAACCCAACTCTGACCGGGGCATTTGGGATGCTGGCCCTAGGAGATTAGGAGAGACGCTGTGACAGTCGACTTTATTTGCCCCTCAGCCTTGACGGGAAATTGGACTAAGGTTTTTGATATCATAGCTCCCCAAATGTCCTTTCCCGGATCGGGGCCGACTTCTATCGTGCTGGCCGCTCTGTTGGCTCCAGGGCAGCGGTACGAAGTTCCCACTATCCCGGTAGCGACTTCAGCAGGACCCAAGTCCATCCCCCGAAACGATCGAGACGAGATATATATTGCGACCACGAAGACTGTAGCCACGATGCGCCTACCTTGGAATCAGTCGTTGACCAGACTCAACGCCGGAACGAGTATCGTAAAGCGAAACATTAAAGTGGAATTTTGTAAGACGCAGTCCGTGCCCAAATGCTGAGTTCGCGGGGAACCAGAATCCAGGCCGCCAGGGACGTCGAGTAGGCCCAGGAAGCGGAGCGGCAGGCTAGATATTACAGATCATGTTAAATCCATCATGTCGAAGCCAACTCACCTATGTATTAGAGAGAAATCTCGACTAAAATTGCCCTTGTCTCGGACGGGGTCTAACCTGAAGCGCAACATCCTTCACAGGTGCATCAGCCCACCTTGCTGCCTCACTGGCTCCACTAACTTTCACACAAGAATGGGAAAAAGGTGCGACGGAACCATCTCAACGAAGCCAAGGGAGTAGACAGTCGACACAGGCTTCATTTCCGTATGGTGTGACGTACCCGTATGAGGATTCCCATTCCCATATATGGTTGGAAGCTTTGGGCTGGAGCGTCTCGCTTGCTTGCTTAATAGCACCTTGATTGAAAACCCGTTGGATCCAGCTGCCGAGGAGTCGCGAAGTTCAGGCAATGGGATAAGGCGGCCTGAAAATTCGCCCACAAGCCTTCTATGCAGCGAGATCCCGGCCGAGAACGCGAAGCTTGTGTGGGATTGGGCTGTCCTTGCGGCTGAACAAGACATTTTGTCTCGAGCCCTTCAGCGATTTGAGCAGTCCGTGTGATCTTGGCGTACCAAGAAGAGCTGCAGATATGTAACAACGAGGGTGTTGGTAGGATAGGTCGAAGCGACGAAGTTCTGCGACAAAGTCGAAGTTCCCGCCAAGGCTTTGTGCAACAATGTGCCCGCGAGGCTGGTACCTGCCTTTCACGCACACCGCCTTAACCCTGCCTGCTGGGCCGTAGAATATACCAGTGTTTCCAACATTTCTGCCCAGTGGCCTTCAAGTTCTGATGGCGGGACACATGTAAGGTGATTAACCCACCAATGTCCGGTCTCGAGATTGTCGGCCTGGCCGCGAGCGTCATTCAGATTGCCGAGCTGGGCGGAAAGCTGTCCGTCAGGCTTTTCACTTTCTCGCGGAAGATTAAAAACGCCCACCAGAGTATCGACAGTATCTCTCAAGACATCGCTGCCACGGGCGCCGTCCTGGCCCAACTTGGGAATGAGCTGCGCAAGGAAGACAATTTGAGGCTGCGCTCACCGGCGGCGCTTGCGACGACGGAAAACTTGGTCGACAGCTGCAACAAGCTGTTCACAGAGCTCAATGAAGCCATCGATGAGGGCGGGAACGGTCACAAGCTAATCGTGGAGTTCAAGAAGCGGCTCCGCTTTCCCTTCCTTGAGCCTCAGATTGAGCTGCTGCGATCCAACCTCGAGAGACTGAAGACTTCACTGCTCGTCATACTCAATGTGCTGATCTTGGCCGAGCAACTCAGAAGGTATGGTGTGGCCGATCTCAGTGACCTAGCGCAATCTCGATAGATTATTCTCTGACAGAAAGGGACTTCAGTCAGAAAGACAGCGAAATCTTGAAAGATCAACACGAACTGCTGCGCACATTAATCAAAGAAAAAGACACAAGCGAACAAAATTACAAACGAATTCTTCAGGCAATAGAAGCCTCCAAGATCCCAGAAGGGGCGCAATCAGACCCAGATACCTGCGGAGTTGGTGAGCAGGATAGCGCTTCCTGCAACTTGTTGCAAGCAAACACACAGGCTAGCTCAGCTGCCAGCAATGACGATGCAGCACCAAGAGGGCTCTCAGTTGACCTGCCACTGGCCGTCGAAAATCACACACAACTTGCCGACCATTGTCTGCTCATCGGTAAAATATTACAGGAAATCGGGATTGTCAAGTACAGGATAGACTACGGCCAACGAGACAGAGTGCAAAAAGCAGTCCTCAAGGTACACTGGGACGAATGGACCCACCTGCGGAAGAAACACGGCGACAAGCGCCTCCTAGAACTATTTACAGCGTTGAGACAGAATGAAGTGGTGAGCGGGGTGGCAATTATTGTGAATGAATTGTTGCTCAGCTTGTTTTAGGCTCAATACTGGAGGCAGACGGCGGAGACACAGGAAGAATTTGAAGCCCAGCAGCCAGACACCTCGTCCGAGGCCGTCGTTCGGTCAGGAACCACGCAACAGAGTCGTCAGGATTTGGCCGCTAACAGAGCGATATCGGATTCGACAATCAGAGACGGACCGGATAAGCCCCAATCAGAAGACCCTCAATCAAGACCAATGCTTTCACGGAATCAGGACAGTGAAAGCTCAGGAACGAACATTGAAAGCCAGCCTGTGGCGAGCAGGACTCCACAATCGGCAACCGCGCAGGAACCTCTATTGTCCAAGAGCAGCTGGTTCAAAACCCGGCAAAGCGGTAGAGTGCTGCCGTTAAGAAGAATGGTAAGTGGTTTCAGGCCACAGTGTCTCCCATTCCCACCCCAAGGCGGGATCATTGGCTAAATTGACGGATGTTCCGTACATTTTGACAGGATGATCGAGAAAACGGCATCGGGGGGGATGATAGTGATCAGGCGATCAAAGACTTGCTATCAGGCCTGGCGAATGAAACAGAGATTGAGAAGCTGGCTCATACGCTCGAGCCAACAGACTTTCCAACAGAAGCGTCTCCTCGCTGTTTCTGTAAAGGCGCCGTCCGGCTCCTGTCCGCCAACGAAAAGGATCAAAAACGTGCCTTTTCAATTGTCTTACGTCCCTCAGGCTTCTGGAGCACCAGCCGTTGCTTCGAATGCAGTGGATGTGACTACAAAGTGCTCATCCCCTCACGCTCGAAGCCCGGTGGGAACGCAGGTGAGACGGAGGAGAGCTTTGAGACAACAGTCAGAGAGAGTCGCTGCGGGGTGAGGTACAAATGGGCGTTTCTAGCGAAATGTCACGTTCGATCATCAAACGCCACATCCATGGTACAGAAAAACTTGGGCTTCGGGCTGTTCGCCTGCATTTTTTGCTGCGCCATGGTCAGTGCTACGGGCGTGCCTAGCAAATTTGCATCAGGAGACGTGCCCATGTTTGACAGCGTGGACGCTTTCATGGAGCATTTGACCGCGGCGCACAGAGAAGGGAGAGCCTGGCCGAATGCCGACACACTGACAAGGATGAAGTGCATTGTAGGGCGAGTAGCGAGGGCAGACGAAGAGTGGGATATCAATCTACCGCCACTGGCTGTTGGGCACAGCCCGGAGCATCCCACTTCGAAGCTTCCAACCGTGAGGTAAGGAAAAGAGCCGAGGAAGTTCTTTCAGGACTGTGCGAAAGCTGGATATCCCGCTCTGCTCGAAGCCACAAGATTCAATATCCATAGCCGTCTTTTGGGTCTCGCGCCGAGGCAGCGGCTTGGTATGATTTACAGCGTGCTCATCTCTTGTGTACTTTGGTCCGCTTATCTCGCCGTCGTCACTCACTCAGAGTATTGACGCTCGTGTTGACGCCCCATGTTGCGCAGCGAATGTGGTGAAGGCTGTCCAGCTTGGCCCGTACCTTTCTGGAAAGTTGAAGAGGGCCACAAACAGGGACTCCTCTCCGACTTGAGGCTGTTGAGTCCGAATTACAATTCATGTGAATGAGGACATCGACGAAATCAGTCAGTACCCCTCACGAGACGTTGTCGATCGTCTCTTCGACGGTGATCAATGCCCTTCCATTGAAGTTTGTGAAAGCAACCTGAGCATGGACTCTTACTTGTCTGGCTGTGTCCCCAGGATGAGATACAAGGTACAACAATGCCTATTATGTCAGGAAAGACATTCCCGAACCTGGTCCGGTGAAGAGAGTGTTGTATAAATTCGCGCTCTGTATGCCCTTCGTGGTTGCACATGGCTTCGTTGAGGGCGAGGGCGTCACACTGACCCTGCTCACCTGCTGTTGCTTTACTTCAACTCTTGTCCTTGTAAGAACCTCGGTTCTACCTGATTAATTAGGCATAGTAGATTGTTTAAGTAATTCCTTAACTAAGCAATCAATTTTGTGCCACACTACTGAACGCTCTCGCACACTCCTACTAGATGGCGAGATGGGATGGTGGCCTGCCTGCACAACAAAGAACATGACAGAATCGTGTATGTACCCAGTATGTAGAATCAGTGCAGCTGTCTCGCTGTCGCCGTGGAGCTGGCGAGCTGGATTGGGACGCGTCTATCAATGACGTCGCGTTAGTGGCGTGCGAAAAAGTGGCAGCTGAACGTGATCGTGTCACAATTGGGGAGAAGCAGGTCGAGGTGTAGTTTGGATGTCACAGCCATAGTCGACCAGCTTCATCCGTCATCCTGCGAGCAACTGATAGTAGCATCATTGCGCCTGTGATCCAGTCAGCCATCATCCTGACATTTGTTCTGTCCTGCGTGGACTCCAAGTTGACCTCCTGAGGGAGCTATCAATTGAGCTCGGCAGCCACGCCTCACTTCTCAATCCTCAGCTCTTAGCTCTCAGCGCAGTCACAGTCACACAACCTCCCCCTGCCCCTCAACATCAACACCACTGCAATTGAACGGTCAATATCTCTGCGTTAGCATTCCATCGAGCACACTCAATTTACCCCCATCATTCTGACTGTCATGGCAGTATCGTAGTACAATACTCCTCCCCCTGACTATTGCGCCGTTATGGCCGCTCCTCCGCTGCCCAGCAGGGTCAAGACTGCTAATGATTCCGATGATGATGTCGTGACCGAGGGAGATCCTTCCAGCACCGCCGGTCTCTTGATCGAGCGGCTGCAGGCCTGGAAACACATGTGTGGCTATCTCGAGAACTACATCTCCGCAGTTTCAAAGGAGCAGGCTGGACGCGCCAAAGACCAAGAGAAAGTCCTCAAGACACTGTCGAGCCCTCTTCGTGAGGCTCACCACTTCGACTCCGCATTGGGTGGCATAGCTGGTCTGTTCGAAAACCTGCGCGCCAACACCCAGGGCCAAATCAATCTGTACACTGAGACTTCCAAGAACCTCACTGCATCGGTGCTTCCCATCCTCGAACGTTTGCACGCCGAGATCAAGAATAAGAACAAAGAAATCTCCGGTGCCACTGGGAAAGGTACAAAGGCGGTTGAGGCGGCGCGCACCCAATCACAGAAGCACATTGAACTGCTGGGGCAACAGGCCGCCCATTTCGACTCGGCTGGGGGGAAAGTGTCGGCGCATCATGATCCCTATGTAGTCAAGAGAGGAACTCTCCACCGTCTCAACAAGCAACTGCTCGAAGAGAACAGCAACAGACAAGATCTAATTGCGGTTCAGAACTCCTTTGCCAAGTTCGAGTCGCACGTCGTGCAAACCGTACAGACAGCATTGAACTCCTACAACCAATTCATGAGCGGCCAGGCTGATCGGCAGAAAGCCATGTTCGGCGATATTGCATCAACTGCAAGCAACATTCCGCTGGACTTCGAATGGAATGGCTTTACCAAACGCAACCAGCATATCCTGGTTAACCCTAATGCACCGCCGCGGACTATGGAAGGCGTGTCTTTCCCAAACGAAAAGCATCGTTCGACCAAGCCGCTCGTTGAAGGCACTCTTGAGCGCAAATCTCGTGGGATGGGTGCCCTCAAGGGCTACAGCAGTGGATACTATGCGGTCACCCCGGCAGGCTACTTGCACGAGTACAAAGACAACGATAACTTTCACAAAGATCCCAGTCCCGAGGTCTCACTCTACCTCCCTGATTGCATCATCGGAGCTGTGGATGGGCTGAAATTCACCATCAAAGGCAAAGACTCATCAGGCAGCAAGCTGGGGCAGAAGATGGCTATCACCTCCGACTTCCAGTTCAAGGCGCATACCAACTCGGACGCACAGCAATGGCACTCAATCATTGCCAGCTTTGCTAATTCGTCCAACAGCTTGCCCACTAGCCCGGTAGAGTCCCGCAATATCACCCCCATCACCACGAGGATGGAAGAGAATCAGACGCAGGGTGTAACCAGCGGACCAACAAGTGCAGCAACACCCAAGAGTGCACAGCCAATGAGCGCCACATTTGCTGCTACCCCATCTTCAGCTGGAGCGTCTCATGCTGGGCCCAGTTCGAATCCGCTGGAAGACAAGAAGTATGGGGGAAAGTAGGGAGATTGCTGTGAGTTTTCAAGAGGCAATTTCTGGTGCACTATTGTGATTTGATATTGTCCAGCCGTTTCAAGTAGGTAATAATTTGATACCCATTTGTGTTAATTTCAGCCATATATATATATCTTTGCACACCCATACTTTCGCTGGCTGCTCGTTCACGGCTTTTTGCCATTCAAAACGACCATCTCTCTCCCGTCCCTCCCTCCGCTTCCGCCCAGGTCATTGCCCAACTCGTCCGTTCCTGTTAGATCAAAGCCGACAAGTCCGCTCCTCTTGGGCACGAACTGCCTCAGCACGACCCCAGCCTCGCGCAAGACTTTCCGACTGGCCTCGTCCATGTTATAAGTCTGGCTGTAGACGACCTCTTTGACGCCGACCTGGGCGATCTTGACCGAGCAAGTCAAGCACGGGCATGTGTCGCAGTAGAGCACGGCGCCTTCCCTGATCCGCTCGCGACCGGCCTCGAGCAGCGCGTTCTCCTCGGCGTGCAGGCACAGGCAGGTGCTGAGGGCGATGCCGCCCGAGTTTCCCGAGCCGTTGCACCGCGGACACCCTCCTTCGTTGCAGTTCACAAGACCCCTGGGTGTGCCGTTGTAGCCCGTGCTGATGATGCGGGCGTTGTGCACGAGCACACACCCCACGCGCCGCTTCATGCAGTTCGATCGGTGTGACGCCAGGTGGGCCAGCGTCATGAAGTATGCGTCCCACGTCGGCCGTAGGCGGAGCGGGGATGGGAGGTCGAGCGTTGCGAGGAAGGCGTGGCTGTTGATCGATCCAGCGAGGTGGGATTGTTAGTTACTCCGTTTGACTTTAACATTCAAGATGAGGAGTGGATTATAGAGAGACACAGAAGTTGGGTGGGGATGGGGATGTGATTCGAGCCTGCTTGGATCAATGGGCGGAATGTGCTGCATATTCTTTTGCCGGGGTTGGTCTTTTATTTGGTGTAAGGAAGGGAAAAGGGACCGGGAGGACTAATACTCACTACGCAGAGATGCTGGGGAAGGAGTTGAGGATGGACAGGTGCGCGTGGGACAGGAGCGGGAGGAGCGCCGTTCGCGGCGAGGAATGGTTCTGAGTCGGATCATCCTCGACGGCGGCGTTTGTCGTTGCCGCGGAGCGCTGAGAGTCAGAGGAGGAGAAAGAATCGGCCCCGGCGCGAGACCCGTACAGTTTAAGGTCATTGTAGAAGACAAAGTCGGTCAGGGACATGGGTGCGAGTTTGCGGGTTTGACACCTGCATGTCACAAAGCACAGACACCAACTTGGTCAGTTCACGGTCTCCCAAAGTTCTTTCCGTCTGTGTCTCTTGCTGGTCGGGGAGAAGAGAAAGTAAGAGAGGAATAGAAAAGAAAAAAGCGGAATTTCTGCAGCTGATATTGCTCGTGGCGCGGCCGTCATGAATCAGGAAAAGATTCAAAAGAGAAGCTAGAAAGGAAAGGAAAGGAAGGGAGAGGTCTGAGCTGCGAGAAAACCGGACGAGATGGACGGACGGACAGATGAGACACAGACAGACATACCGCTCATTAAACCTCTCGAACCGGGTCCCAACCGGCGCATCCACGTTCACCAGCAGAAAAAATGGCCTCCTCAAAAGGATTTCCAGGGTCGCTTCGTCATAAATGTCCGTCAGAACCCAGTGCTCACGCCATCGCTTGGTGACGAAGTCTAAGAGCGATTCGACGTCGGGGAAGGAGAGGCCGCGCGTGCCGATTTGGTCGGTGATGCTGGGCAGGAGGCGGAGGTAGTCCGGCGAGTGATCTGAAACTGGCAATGATGTCCATGGCCATGGCGACGGCGGGGACGATGGTTGGAACTGTGCGGGCGTGGGGAGATGGAGGCGGAGGAAGCCGTGGTGCTGGACTAGGTATTCGGCTGTGGTGTGTTTGCCTGAGCAGATGGAGCCGCAGATGCCGATTAGCATTGCAGCAAACAACCTGGAGATAAGGCGGGCGCAAGGCTGTGGTGTTTGATATTCCTCCGAACCTCCCCGGATCTCTGACTTTGCGGGTCGTGTGGGTGCCTGGTAGATTTGCCCGATGTTTCTTTTAAGGTGCGATGATCAGGAAGGCCCTCTCCCCTGACGTTGGCTGAATACGCCTGCTTGATTGCTGTCCGCTGATGTGGTTGAACGTGACGCCCTTCTCGATTGAGACACGCGTAAAGTGGTCATGCACCCGACGCGTCCAAGTGACTGACTAAGAACAGGGTTGCAGTCTAACTGAAAGGGGCACAGGTCATTAAAGCAGCAGGCGCACTGACTGGAGATGTGTTCCGCCCGAGGCTGTTTTTAGCCTTGGAGACCTTCGAGGCTGCAGCCGGCCGCCTGGCCGCCTCCCAGCCCCGTCGCTTCACCACGCACACCACCACATGTTCCTGCCTAGACAATCCCAGTCAGTTCTGACACTCGAACAAGTCTCTACCATTTTCATCATCATCCTTTTATTCTTTCTGTTGCCTGGAACCGAATCTTTTCCGTCTACGCAAAACATCGTCTTATCAATCCGGGATATCGGGACTCTATTCGTGTCTGACCAGGCGCATCAGAACAATCCTCTTCGGCCTGATTAGGGTCGTCGCAAATCGGCCTGGACAATGCAGTACGTGCCTTTCGCCTCCGACATCGAAATCCCCTTCTACGCCTCCCTGGCGTCGCACAAAATCAACCATGACAAGCTGGACGACTCGGCCCGGAAATTGTTGGGTCTCTACGAAATCCGTCCCGCCGACAACAAGGAGCATTCCTGCCGCATGCAGATCCACGCCAATGCCCTTACCAGTGATGAAGTCCCGGCCGCCTCTTATCGTGCAGAGGGCATGATCAAGAACGTCAACACGATCGAGGAGTATCGCAACATCGACAAGTTGGCCATGATCCAACAGGCCGGGAAGACCATTTGGGACGCCATCAACGACGGCACCATCTACTCGTGTCCCAGCCTCCTGGCCTCCTTCTTGGTCCTCAGCTTCGCAGACCTCAAGAAATACAAGTTTAACTACTGGTTTGCGTTTCCGGCCCTGGTCATGGATCCGCCCTGGGTGCCGGTGGCCAGTAATGGAAGTCTCGCAAGTCCAGACACAGGCATCTCTTACAGGACACTGACCTCGATCGAAAGCACGACCCTGGTGGATCGTATCCAGGCCTGGAAATACGCCGTGGACCCGAGACAGCATGGATTCTTTCTCGTCAAAAAGGTGCGCGAGGCTTCTTTAGGTCACAATTCCAACAATGGCGGCGGCGGCGGCGGCGGCGGCGAGGAGGAATTCGGTCCCCCTTCTCCGCAGTCGCCACTTACTCCTACGGCAAGTCTCGGCTTTACCTGGCATGTGTCCTCATTATCGAACTTCGACACGGGGTTCTTTGATGGCGTAGATCCGGAAGACTGTTTCGTCGCTTTCGCCGACCCTTCCAACTACGCCGAGCCGGGCCCGGTGGCGCCGGGATGGATGCTGCGAAACCTCCTTGTTCTGGTCCGGCAACGGTGGAAACTCGACAAAGTACAAATCCTCTGCTATCGCGAGACGCAAATGCGTCGAGACGCCGCGCGGAGCGTCATCTTCAACATGGAAATATCTAAACAACCGTCTAAACAGACCAGCAATGCAGGAGACGCCGCGCAACCGCTAGACTATTCGCAGACCATGCCCAAAGTCGTAGGCTGGGAACGTAACGCCCTGAACAAGCTCACCGGCCGCATGGCCGACCTCACCGAATACATGGACCCGACCAAACTGGCCGACTCGTCCGTCGACCTCAACCTGAAACTCATGAAATGGCGGATCTCACCGAACCTGAACCTCGAGAAGATCAAGGAGACAAAATGCCTCCTCCTCGGCGCCGGGACGCTCGGGTCTTATGTGTCGAGAAACCTGATGGGGTGGGGAGTCCGGCACATCACGTTCGTGGACAACGGGAGCGTTTCGTTTTCCAACCCAGTCAGACAGCCACTCTTCACATTTGAGGATTGTCTCGAGGGCGGAAAGAAGAAGGCCACTGCCGCTGCGGAGGCGCTGAAGACGGTCTATCCCGGCGTCCAGTCCAGGGGGTATGTGTTGAGCGTGCCCATGGCGGGACACCCGATTACGGATCCCGAGAAGACGAAGGCGGAATATGACACGTTGGAAGCACTGGTGGATGAACACGACGTGATTTTCCTGCTGATGGACACGAGAGAGTCAAGGTGGTTGCCGACCGTCATGGGGAAAGCAAAGGGCAAGATCGTCATGAACGCGGCGCTGGGGTTTGACACATACGTGGTCATGAGACACGGCGTCAGGCCCGAACCCACCCTGCCGGGCACGCAGAGAGAGGAGGCCGAGAAACAGGCCCAGAACCAGGGACAAGGGGAAGGCGAACTGGGCTGCTACTTCTGCAACGACGTCGTCGCACCCGCAGACTCGATGAAAGACCTGACCCTCGACCAGCAGTGCACGGTGACGCGGCCGGGCATCGCAGCCATCGCGTCCGCCCTGCTCGCCGAGCTCTTCGTTTCCGTCCTGCAGCATCCTCGCGGCGGCGCCGCCCTGGCCTCCCTCTCCTCCGCCCACCGGACCGGCGACAGGGGCGGCGACCAAGACCACGACCACCCGCTCGGCCTCGTCCCGCACACGATCCGCGGCTTCCTGGCCACCTTCTCCAACATGACCATTACGGGCACGGCGTACAAACACTGCAGCGCCTGCTCGGACAAGGTCCTTGACGCGTACGAGGCCGGGGGGTGGGAGTTTGTCCAGCGCGCACTGAACGAGAAGGGCTTCGTCGAGGAGATCAGTGGGTTGAAGGAGGTGCAGAGACTGGCTGAGGAGGCTGCGAGGGATATCGAGTTCAGCGAGGAAGATGAAGGCGCTGAGGATGAGGAGGGGGAATTGATTTAGTTGGCTTGCCTGCTTGCTAGCTGGCTAGCAGTGCAGAAAGAGCTTGGTACACCTCTTGCCTAGTGCCCCCTGCTTTACGCACGGTGCTAGCGGTTTAAACATGAGGCGATGGTCGCAGCCTTCCATCACCGCTTATATAGTTATAGTCATCACATATACCTTTTTTTCGTTTCTCTTTCTTCTTTTCTCTCCTCTACTCTAGATGAGCACGAGTCCAGTCTCAGGGCTCGGTAAACACCGCATCCCGATCCACCTTGGCCAATCGCTTGATGCCCACGAAATAGGCCTCGCGGGATTCACTCCTCGAACTCTCAGGCTTTTCGCGGTGAACCTTGTGGAACATGGCTTTCAGGCTCCTCTCCAAAGCCTTGTCTTCGGCCCCCTGGTAGAATTTGCACACAAAGTGTCCCCCGACTTTGAGCGTGTCGTAGCTGAATCGCAGCGCTGCTCTGCAGAGATCCTGCTCATTTCCCAAAGATCGTCAGTCGAGTAATCTTTCATGCGATGAATGCGTAGGTGTGAAGATCCGAAACAACAAGAGAAGGGAAGGAAGCACTGATCGAGGTCAAAATTCTGGTAGACCTACCATACTCCCGGCATGATCGCGGAAGGCATTTCCACTCGTATTCATCAACCTGCGATACGGGTTACTGATGCTCTTCTTGTAAAGCCCTTCAAGAGGGTCCCAGGGTTCAGACATGTCGCTCAATACCACGTCGACGCATTTGTCAACATGTTCTCGATCCTGCTCTTCCTCGATTGTCGTCTCGTGACTCTCCCGATCGAGATACCCTGTTGCCTCATCCTCGAGCAGCGCCTGCTCCAATCCGGTCTCTGAAGTCTCGGAAGAGCCTAGCATGAGTGTGCGTCGTAGACGGCCCCGATCAGGGTTTCGGAGAAAGGACTTTATCTCGGCTTGAATGTCCGGGGACAGGAAGTCGCCTTGGATTGTTGACACGCCCTTTGGGGGTTGGACGGGCAGGAGGTCAACACCTAGAACTCGGCCACGAGGTTTCGTTAAGTCGATGGCGACCTGCATCAAGGAGGAGACATGTGTCAGCGGCAGACCCTAACATCTTCCTTTCCGTCCTCTCCAATCTCCAATCGTGACCCCTTGAATTCGTCGCAAATGGTTTCTTACCTGACTCCAACTTCCCGGCGCAAACCCCAAGTCCACCACAGTCATCCCAGGCTTAAAAAGTCTGTACCGCTCATTGATCTGCAACAGCTTGAAAGCCGCCCGACTCTTGAGTCCCTGAACCTTTGCTGCTCGAGCAAACTGATCCCCTCGCTGCCGATCAGTCCAACGCCTCGTGCTCGAGGACGAGAAGCGCACCCCTTTCATGCAGGTCCAGGTTGACAAGGGTGAAGGTAACGTTGAAGGAGATGATGTAGGACCAGCACGCAATGAGATAGAGTTTTGCGAGGGGAGACATGGTGTTGGTCGCTGGCGAGGAGCAAGGCTGCTGGGGAGGTGGGGAAGGTTGCACGGAGGGTTTGTTTTGATGGATGTGAGTGCGCAAACCGAAGAGCGAAGAGGAAGACGTGGGTTACATGATCGCATAGCACGCTCTAGCGAGGCTGAAGAGCACTCGGCAAGAGAATATAGGAGGGTCGCGAAACGAGGGAAGTTGCCAGGATTCAATTTGGTACAGCGTTAATGACTTTTGCTCCGCGATTTATGCAGATGCCAGTGGATGTCATGAATCCATAAAGCGGCGGCGCACGACTTCTGCAGATGGGCAATTGGCGGTTGCCGCTTTTGCGCGACCTCAACTGCCATTTATCTTGCCATGAAGGACGAGGTAATACTCCATAAATCTTGTGTTCTACAAGCAGCGACGAATTTTGACAAACAGTCCATCCTGAATGCATCTGGCGGTCATACATGTGAACCCAACTCATCAGCGACCCATGCGTTGGAACCTCCACTTCCCCATCATCACTCGATCACACTAACAGCCCTCCGGTCCCTCTTAAGAGGCGAGAACTCAGCCAGTGTTTTCCCTTTGCCCATAGCCTTTGCCTTAAGATTGATGCGCCCCAATACCCCCCCTTTCCCAGCAAGGCCACCTGCCAGACTCCTGATCTTGGGTGCGGGCGCACTGTCTTCATCGAAGATGTTGGCTCGTTTGGTCGCTGCCTTTTGTTTTCTAGGTGGCTCTGACTGTGTTGCCTCCTCAGCTGTGGGGTCGGCATTCCGCGTTCGCTCTGTGTCTTCTTTGCTTGTCTTCTGGGCTTCAGTAGCGACTATGACTCCTTGATCGCTTTCCATATCCGACTCCTCTTCGATGATTTTGTCAGGTCGCGAAGTTTTGACTATACCGTTTGCTTTTGAATTGGTGGTTTCTTTAAGAGGTTGGGCGCCTTTCCGCTTGACTGCTGGTGCAGTTGATCTTTTTGCGGTGGTCTGCTTTTTCCTCACTGGTTGGGCCTTGGGTGCCACATCCTCGTCCTCGTCTAGCCCGTCCACCTGTTCAGTAACATTCGTGTTCTGTTCCTTTTGCCGCTGACCTTCCTCCTCAGGCGGTGTTTCCGGCAAGATGCTCAGAGTGCGGTTCAGGAACGGCGTGATGGAAAAATTTGATTTGTCCCCGACATTGACTGAAATTCGAGGTTTCTTCGCCGCAGGGCCGCCATTTCCCGGCGTGCCAATGGTCATGTCTGGATCAAACCTAGCAACGTTTCTCTTCCTAGCATTGGCCGTGGTGGCTACCCCATTAAGTCTTGCTTTGGTCATCTCAGTAGACTGCGCCATCTGCGCTGCCTGCAACCTCTCAATTTCTTCTTGCGCATCCTTGAGTTGTTCCTTTGTAGATCGGACTTTGTTGCGGAAAGCATCCAGTTTCCCTTCCAAAACCTCCTTCTCGTTCTCCCATTCGGTTGTTCTCTTCCTGCTCTCGCGCTCGTTTTTTTGTGCATCCCGTTGTAATTTTGCAAGCTCCCTTCTCAAGCTGTCGATCTCTTCTGCTAGCTCCGAGTCTTCACGATTGGATGACTTTTCCTGTGATTTCAGTCGTTGAACTGCTCGTTTCTCGGTCTCGAGTTCAACTTGAAGGGAGCTTAATTCCCGCTGTAGAGCCAGCTTTTCGGAAAGCAGCTTCTGGTACGACGAGCTTTGGGATCTCAGGTGCTCAAGTTCCGGTTTGAGAGTGTTTAACTCTCTTGACAATGCTAGCTTCTCTGCAAGGAGTTTGCTTGCGTCACTGCTCGCAGCACTCAAAGCGTTGACTTCTGTTCTTAAGTATTCTAGATCGCGTAGGCGCGCCTTGAGATCCATCTGTGCTTGTTGCAGGTCTGCCTCGACTTCGGCGAGACGGCCTTGTAACTCCTCATTGGTTTCACGCAAATGGTGTTGTTGATCCTCGCCGCTCTCTGCCTCTTCTTGGAGCCCATCATTTTCGTGTTCCAGCAGCAGCAGCTGTACGCGCATCCCTCGTGCTCGTTCTTCTTCGTAGATGCGATCCGCGTCTCTCAGGGTGCGCTCGTAGGCAAGTTCGAGTTGGGTGGTTTGGATGGATTGTGAAATTTCGGCAAAGCTCATGCAAGATAATTCTGCGTCCATTTTTGAATAGTATCTTCAGCAAAGAGATGACTAGGGTATGATGCAGTTCGCTGACGCTGGGGAGTCTGGTAGCGTTTGTCGTGTATTTACAAGCGACTGGAAATGGACTAGTGTACAGCATCTGCGCCACTGACCAATGGGGTGCTTGTTGCGCCAAGCTGTCTTGGCCGTCCCGATTAGTTCAGCCTCGGCACTATCCGCCTCTTCGTTCCTCCTCTTGCTCCTCTTTGGCTTCACGCCTGATCACCCGCTTTGCCCAATGACACCGAGATGATGAGGGAAAGCTGACCTTTGTGACTGCACCAGATGTCGTTGAATTGCGCTTAGTCCCCCGACCGGCCCCTCATGTTGTTGAGAAAGGTTGCCGACGCCCCTCTTCCATGCTTTGCTACCGGTTTCGAGATGGTATTTAGGGTGCTGGGACGCGACGGGGCAGGAGACACAACAGTTGAGATGATCATGAAACCCGACTTCAGGCCTGTCTGCGCACCAAGAGTTATTTAAGTTTCCACCCTGCTGACGTCTCGCCCCTTTTTCTTTTTCCTTCTCTTTTCACCATCGAGCATCATATCTGCCTCGGGTGCTTTTTGCGAATTGATCCGAGAGCAACCATGTCCGAAGTCGTTCTGCCGACGTCGGCTGTCCTCAATGAGCATCTAGGCAAGGTTGTTCTTGTGACCGGCGCAGCAAGTGGAATAGGTCTTGCAACTGCGCGACTGTTTGCCCAGCACGGTGCGAAGGTTATCTTGGTTGATTTGGAGGCAACAAGATTGCAAGATGTCGCACAAACCATCGGCCATGGTTGTGATTTTTATGCGTGTGATGTCTCATCCTGGGAGCAACAACTGTCCTTGTTCCACTGGGCAACACGCAAACACGGCCCTCCCAAAATAGTGTGTCTGAATGCCGGTATCGATCCTGAATTGGCGACCTCGGAGTCCGCGTCGGGCAAGGAGCGAGTTTTAAGTAACTACCTTGCGGACGAGTACGAAGCCTCTGGTAACCCAATTCAAGTCTCCGACGAAAGCGGACAGCTTCTGAAGCCACCGCCAAAAGCAATCTTCGATGTGAACTTCTATGGCGTTCTTTATGGGGTTAAATTGGCCGTGCATCATCTTGGGCACGGCTGCGGGGGCCGCATCATCATAACCGGATCAGCTGCCTCGTACATTCCCGTTACCTATCAAGACGTTTATGTGGCATCGAAGCATGCACTTATTGGGTTAATGCGCAGCTCGTCCCAAAGAGAAGAGCTAAAGGAAAAGAACATCTCCATCACGATGGTAGGGCCGTGGCTCACGCGTACGGCGTTGACCGCCAATCTACCGCCCGAGGCTACACAGGGACATGAAGCGAGTGAACCGGAGGATGTTGCTATGGGGATTGCGTATCTCGCATCAGCAGAGAAAGGTGAAGATGTCAATGGACGGTGCTTGTGGATCAGAGGAAAGAGATGCATTGAGATCGAGGGTGCATATGAGAAATGGCTGGCGCAGATGATGGGGATTTAAATACCTCGTAGAGGCTTGGAATACTTCCTGCATCGACGAGATTTCAACTTACTCTATTCATCTGAGTAGGGGCATTAAAACAATAAAATCACCTCAAGTCCCATCCGAAGCCCTCGAACTTTAGAAGCATATCGCACGTCAATCAGGCGCGTCCTACCGACTTTTCCCGGAGCTCTGTTAGAGTGGACAATTCTCAAGGGCTGTTTATGCCCTTAAAGCTTCGACCCATCTTAGCTGTTAACGACGGTTTGGAGAATCGAAAGAGCTGATACACAGGTGGAAATGGCGACGGAGGTCCAAATCTCATATTAACATGGATCTGTCGGCTTGTCTGGATTCCTCGAGAATGACAAGTCGTTGGATTAGAGACTCAGCTATCGCCATCCGAACGACAGATGCGTCAGACAGAGGTCCTATGTATGGTTCGAATCGCATCGTCCTCGGTCGCTGGAGGCTCACCCTCCAGCCGGACATCTCTCAGTTAATACCCAGTTTCAGACTTATATATTAATGATCCGTTGGTAGGTTCTCCATGTAAGTGGGATATTGTGGTCTCTATGTCAGCAAAAGCTCGGCGCGCCTGTCGGGCGCTTTCCAGTCGTAAGCAGATTTCCGGAGCATGGAGCATATCTGGTGGATTTAACATCCGTGATTGACTTATTGATTCGGCATCTTGAACGGCCAGACTTTCAAGTTTGAGCTTTAAACTCGCCGTTCTCGTCCCACGGTACGCCTAGGTACTCCATATCTGAATCTGCTGGCACCGAATCCCGCGTGGCTTGCATCCCTGTGGAGTAGAGTTACCATACCTGGTAAAGAGGTACCCCTAGCGCCATCTTGTTCCTTGCTTGACTCTTTCTGGTTAAATATCACCAGCTAACAGTCAACCAGTAAGAAGGCCAATGCCTTGAGTTGGATTGCCGTCTGGCATTGCATAATCCCCTTCCGGGATGTCGGCCCCTGCAAGGGACTTTGTCATCAGCTTCGCCCCCTTCAATATCGATGGCTTTGGACCTCGCAATTATGGTTCTATTCCCCGAGAAGGTTGTCCTCGCCAAACCAATCTCAGCGATCCTTCTCTTCTCTCGAACCATGCCTTCCACCGTGCGCGTACAAGGCTATGGTTGGGCTATTATTGCTCGGACTTGAAAGCTCGACCACTCCCGGCCCGGGTACGTTGTGCTATTATGCAGACGAACCCAGTTAGCTGTGGCTATGTTTTTCCTCGTCTCATTTGTTATCGACAAACAGTTATCAAAACGGTCTACTTGCTTATTAACTCCAATCATGAGCTTCCGCACGCCATTGCTCAGCGTTGATAATGATTGCATTTCCCAATTGCGTAATGGCCAGTATCGCTTATTGGAGAACGAAAGTGTCGGGTTGCAGAGCAAGTGAAGGAAGAGAGGCTTCAAGTCTCCTGGACCTCGATTCGAATGTCAAAAGTCGGGCACGTGTTGCTCAATTAGAGAGCCTTGCACGGCTCTATCAGTCTCGGCCGACTTTATATGCAGGCATATTAGCTCAGCACTTTGCTTTCGGTTTGCCTCCTCGACGACCCTGGGTCTTCTGTGCTTAAATATATTGAAAAAAGTGGCCCAGTTCCCGGCATGGCTTTTATCTGATTATGTTGATATACTTCTTTTGGAAATTGCCAGTTGAATTACATGAATACGAGACCATGAAACCTCCCCAATATATGACCCTGAGATTTGTGCCGCAGCTTGATGCTAAAGCTACACAAATCGAGAAAGAACTTGAGATCGCAAACCAAAAATCGCACGCTGCAAGATGGTCCCACCAGAAGCGCAAGAAGAGGAAGAAGGAGCAAGCAGAAGCTTTGCTGACCGAAGATCCAGGCAAGTCCAATCTTCTCACTCTTGATATGCATGCTCCAAATTGACAAGTTACTCTATCCTCAGGTCAATCCACAGGCGTCCGTGATGGAAATGTGCCAATTCAGCAAGGGGATGTACGCGGGCATGGCGGATTGATCCTGTACAAAGCAAGTAGCCATTCGCAATCTGGAGGACATCACGCCGCCGGAGACAATAGCCCGAGCCTCTTGCAATTACTGCGAGGTGGTAACTCTGACCCTTTCGACGCCCAGGGTCTACGGATCACTCCTCGGATCAACAAACTCATCACCTTCATTAGGGATGGCTATCTACCTGGGATCTATATCACATCCTACATGGAGTTCAAAGACGCTCCTCCTGGGGCTCCGATGCTCACCACGATCGGAGAGGGGTTCCACGTCTTTGGTCGGCGTACTGTTGCCAAAGTGTGGAATTCGATGAAAAAAGAATTCTCAGATGAAGGGCGAGCGCTTTCGTGGTGTTCGAGCTACCTTCCAGTTCTTGCAAAGTTCTCATCGCCAGACACCGCTCGTGATCTACATTTCCTTGCCATCAAGATGCGGACGAAGAGCATGCAAATCCTGAAAGACCGAATTGAGAACCTCTCGCTTGATACTCCGCCCGATATGTCGTTGATCTCGCAAATTGTTTCACTCTTTCGAGCAGCATGCAAAGAGAATGACATTCCCGCGGCGAAGGTCCATGCGAGCATCATACAACGCCTGGTCGACAGGGTCGAAACCTCGGATCTCCATATCCGGACACTGTTCATGACCTGCATGAACAACGACACGGAACTGGCCATCGCCCAAATGCGGAACACGTTCTTCGACTTTGAGAACTGGGTCCAGAGGCAGATTGCTAGATTGTGGGTGGAAACGCCTGAGACGCACATGCCCAAGTTGCCGGGGGAATACAAAGCATTTCATGATAGCGTTCAACTGCGTGCCACTCGCCAAGCGGCCATCAGGCTCCGTTTATACTTATCCGTCCGGTCAACGACCGTCAATCTCAATGATCCCGAAGACCTTGACCGTACGGATGCGGTCTTCACGATCTTCACAACGTATTCTCAATACGACTCTGGGGCGTTAATCAATGTCTACATCAATCTTGTTGCAGGCAAGGGCTATGAAATCATGACGGAGTCTTTGCGCTATATCGAGGCATCACTAGCTCTTACAACATTGCACATACTGCGGCGAGGGATCTTTGAAGCCACTATCTATGGATGTGACCATCGCACCAGCCACCATATGATTACGATCAATCACCTGGAGGGGACGATGAAAAATGCGTTGGACCTAGCAACGGCAGATGAATTAGCCCAGTATCGCGAGGCGCTATTGTGGATATTCTTCTATGGAGCGAGATTCGAATGGCGTGTGAATCAAACGATCAAAGGCATCACCCCGCTAAGGACATGGTTCACTAAGGGATTCGTCCGACAGGCAGAGATCCTGGAACTGACCGACTGGCCTCAAGCCCGAGAAATTCTCAACCAGTTCGTGTTTTATGAGTTTCTGGAGCCTTGCCTGACCGCGTGGTTCGCAGAGACTCTGGCCGGCATTGAGCAACCTCAATGAGCAAGAAACAGGATACAAGAAAGGATTACAAAACGGGCTTCGTCCGACATAGACAACATCGATCCTGACCTATTCTTGTATACGGGAAATACACCTACATATCTCAACGGACCAAAATGCTCAACAACTAAACGGTGGAGGAGCAAGCTACCTGTACCGATAAGGAACCGCTCACAAATGACGGACACCTCCTCGTGAAAAACATCTTCAGCATGGGTGGTCCAACGAGGGCGGTACTTGGGAGATGATATTTCCATATCCGGTCATCAAAATCAAGCCATCTGCCACGACACCCGCGTCACAACCTTTCTGCCGATCGCCTACACAATGCTTGATTCGGCGTCATGACCGATGTGCACAAGGCCCACATCCCCACACAGTGTGGCGTGTTTATATCCCTTCCTAAGAGCCCGCAATGATCCACCACCAATATTCCAGACCGTCCCGCCCTTTCAGCGTTCACCCACAATCCCCACCCGTTTCCGGGGAACAGTCCGTCTCTCTGAGAAGGCAAGCGTTGTTTAACAGGTAGAGAGGAAGGTGGGTCTATTGAAAAGGCCTGTATCGACAGTTGCAAGATCAGAACAAAGATGCTGCCTCGAATGACTTTGGCCACCGTCCCAGAGAGCAGATCGATGAACAAGCCCGTGTGCCAGAGCTCGACATCGCCGTTCTTCTAGCGCTGACCATAGTGTATCTTCTGTCATTCTTTGACTAGGGCGATGTCGGCAATGCATGCATCGAGTGTTTAGCGGCTGATTTACGTATGAGGGGGGGGGCTAATATCTCACCGGACTTACGCTTACTGGGTCGGTTATCTCTTCTTCGTGGATCTTTTGCGATCTGATCTTGAAAATATGGACGCCGCAGCCCGAAGGTTTGGTTGCCTTTGCTGACGCTCGCGTGGGGTGTCGTCAGTACGCTCGTGGGTGTTACTCAATCTCGTGCTGGGTTATTTTGTTGTTGGGTGCTTCTTGGGGGTAACGGAATCGGGACCGTCCCCGTGTATGTTTCCCCCGCGTGGTACTTTTCTGGGACACTCGTCCACTTTGGCATACATAGTGGCCAACTCGATCATGACTGCGACTCTGTGGCTGGTCTTGAAAAGGGAGAATGAGCAAAGGGAAGCCACTCCAACGGAGATTTCTGATCTCCACTGACCGTGGCTTGGAGACGAAGAGCCGAGGTGGAGGTTTCACTTGTGAGGATTTGAGATCTTGTGCGTTCGCTCAATCATACCTATGTCGGTAGTATCTAGGATGTAGCATTCTTCAGTGGCAAGGCCGGCCAGGAATCACTGGAATTCTTATCCTGGGAGGGATATAATAAATCTCAAATAGGTCACACAAGGCTTCGGGTGTGCGAGATCAGCAGGGGCAGACAAGGCTGGATGCTTCTCCGTACAATCCACTGAATCTCTTTATTCCGATTGGCTGTCTACGAATGCAAGGGCGCAGACGAAAAAGATTCCGACTTCTTCCAAGATTCCCCCAGATTTTTCCCACAAGCGACGAAAAAGAGAGATCAAACCCAGCGCGGCAATACCTTTTACCTGCGTATATTTCGATCTTGATTGCCCCAGTCTCACTTAGAGCTAGAATATTAGCGCTCGGGATTCTCCTGCTCGAAAGCCATGTCTTCACCATAAATCTTACATCTACTGTCAGTCTCCCCGGCCATGAGTCAAGGTAACCCTCCTCCAAAACTCCCCTCTCCAGACCACAACAACAGTATCTCTCCTCCTAGTACCTTACACCCCAAACCTCGCTCTGCGGTGCCTTCGTACCTGTTGAACGGCTCTTCTCCTCTGCACCGCTCTCAAACTACAACAACCCGAGCGCAGGAACGAGAGAACTTGGCTTCTTCGATAAAGGCTACCTACGGCCGACGGAAGACAATAGATCTCACGGCCGAAAGCGCGACCGCCTCGCAAGCTACCATGCAAAGCGGGACATCATGGCTGGGCCTAGATCATGCGCAAAAAGACCCCGAATCCAAACGTCTGCCACAACTCCACACCCCAGCCCGAGATGAGAGAGATGAAGCACCACCCACGCCTCCTGCCTCTACCGTCTCACGCCCTGCAAGCCCATATACACTAAACCCGCCCATCGACTTCGACGGCCTCTCCTGGCCCTGCATCGGGACTCGCGAACGCCTCGAACAAACTCCTGAACAAGCACAAGCTCGTCTAGACAAACTTGCCGGTGCAGTCAGGACGATATTCGAATGTATAGGCGAAGACCCTGATCGTGAGGGGTTGCGAGATACTCCAGAGAGATATGCGAAGGCGTTGATGTATTTCACCAAGGGCTACGAGGAGAATGTTCGAGATTTGGTCAATGGGGCAGTCTTTCATGAAGATCACGATGAATTGGTTATTGTGAAGGACATTGAAGTGTTCAGCTTATGTGAGCATCACATGGTGCCGTTTATTGGGAAAATGCACATTGGTTATATTCCTAACCGGCGCGTGCTCGGACTGTCCAAGCTGGCCAGGTTGGCGGAGATGTTCTCGCGCAGATTGCAAGTTCAAGAACGGTTGACGAAACAGGTTGCACTGGCGATTGCCGAGGTGTTGAAACCACAGGGCGTCGCGGTTGTGATGGAGAGCAGCCATCTCTGCATGGTGATGAGAGGTGTGCAGAAGACGAGTAGCTCGACAACGACGAGTTGCATGCTGGGCGCTATGAGGAGCAGTGCCAAAACGAGAGAGGAGTTCTTGAGCCTGTTGAATCGGAGGTGATTGCCCGCGCAAACACGGACGTCGGCTTCGGCCACCTGATTATGCGCAACGAGAGAAGACATGTTTGAAACATGAGGCGCATTGGGCGAAATTTCAACAAAATGGGAATGAATGGTGTGACCTCACCTCAACGGCGGTTGACTTATTTTTGTTACCAAAGGTGTACAGTACTTCGTACTGGGAGATTGGTACAGGGGAGCTATGCTACCTAGTAAATCTGGACACGTTTGGAGTTGATGCCGCTGGTTAGCCTCGTCCAACCTGAGTATTCATGGTGCAGGATCATAAATGCCGCCTCGCCAGCCATCAGTCACATGTATTCCGTAGTCGGATCCACGTGACATGTCTTGGCACCATTTGCATCTTTGGTGGATAGTGTCCCTGCTACAATGACTCCCTCTTCCGTACCTTTGATCAATTGACGAATTGTGACACGTCCTGCATCTTGACCGGACACACCAATCCAGCGAACGCCGTGGCATCGGTGGACTGTGTCTGTAACTCTGTCAAGATCGTGATAGATACCGGCTCGAGCCCATCGAAGCCATATATCATTAGCGGCAATCAAGTCCGGTAAGCCCATCATTTCATAGAAGACGGAGAACATTTCGGATTCTCTAACAGCCAGCTACTAGAGCTTGCAAAAGGTGGTCCTCACCGCCTCGATTCCATAGAGCCACTTTGTTGCAAACTTGCATCTCGTCTGCATTCCACTCTTTCCGGCAACTCTGACAGACCTTGACAATATCGTCATCGAAAATGGGCATGCTTGTGACAGTAGCGACCTGCTCCCTCAACCAGTATGTCCTACCCCGAGCCCACCATAGAGAACTTCTAACGGCTTCTAGGTGGGCGCTTGATTTCGATGGCAATACGGAGCGCATAATCGCAAGCATTAAACAAGCGAAAGCAGCAGGGGCTCGACTCAGAGTCGGTCCTGAGCTGGAGATTCCTGGATATGGAGTACGTGGTCCCAGCATGCTACCTCAACACCACCTGAGCCTTTACGTTATCACCTCTGTCTGTTCTGGTAAGGATTCTCGTGCTAACCGGCCATCAGTGTGCAGACCACTAGTAAGCTCTCTGGCTCATGATCTTCTCAGATGTTGCTAACCGTGGCAGCTTGGAGGGCGATCTCTTTCTTCATTGCTGGGAATCCCTGGCGACCATCATCACCAACCCAGATGTCGGCGATTGTATCCTCGATATCGGCATGCCCGTGCGGCACAATTCAGTCCGCTACAACTGCCGTGTGATTGTCTTGAACAAGAAGATCCTTCTTATCCGTCCCAAAATGGCCCTGTGCGAGGAGGGAAACTATTTCGAGTCTCGATGGTTCACACCCTGGACACGGCAACGAGAGGTTGAAGACTACCCACTCGAAGATGCGATTAGCAGTGTCACTGGCCAGAAGACTGTAAGTCCAAGCCTGCCTTTCTCGTCACTTGCAGAGCCCTTGTTCAATCTAATCTAAGCTTCCGACACACTACAGGCCCCGTTTGGAGATGGAGTCCTCCAGACAATTGACACGTTGGTTGGTGCTGAAACATGCGAGGAATTATTTACCCCAGCCGCGCCGCACATCCCAATGGGACTTAATGGCGGTATGTATATGGTCGAGAGATCTGCTATATTGCCTCTAGAACATTATCCTCTCCCTTATTGTGTCTCTGCAGCCTTTTGGTGCTAATCTATCATTAGTTGAGATCTTTGTGAACTCTAGTGGCTCCCATTATGAATTGCGGAAACTACAAACCCGTGTCTCCCTGTGAGTCTCCGGTTCCCATCAAGTCTCTATCAGCACCTAGACGCTTTGCGTCTGGGACACTGACCTAGACATACGATACTAACTTTGCGGCTGTATAGCATCCGGGAGGCAACAAGGCAGAATGGTGGTATATACGTGGTACGTGATCCTGAAAGCCCTCAAAAGATGCATATGCCCTTTCTTTTCGCTCTCTCAGTTTCTTTGTTTTTAGGACGCTTCCATGCTAACGGGCCGGTAGTATTCTAATCAACGAGGCTGCTCTGGAGACAGATTATACTAGTACGTGATGACGAAAAGCTGATGCTTGACCTCTATCTTCTGCTCCCGCCTTTTTCGGTACGAGCATTTTGTGCTAACGAGCGACAAGTGATGGCTGCGCCATGATCATCGTGAACGGCAGGCTTCTAGCTCAAGGAAGCCAATTCAGCCTGAATGACGTCGAGACCATCACCGCTAATGTCGATCTCGAGGACGGTAAGTGATGCGGAAAAGCTGCCACATTTACTACGAGCCTCCGTTCCTTTTGGCTACCGTTGCACACCTGTTTGATTCTGACAAGGCGTTAGTGCGGTCGTTCCGTGTCTCTCACTCGCGGAACCTTCAGGGTGCCCAGGCTGCTCCCTACCCACGTATACCAGTCGACATCCGCTTGACACATCCAGGGTTCGAACAAACCGGAAAATTCATAGCTCCCTCTCCAGATATCCCGGTTCGTTACCACTCTGCCGCTGAGGAAATCCAATTGTAGGTTCTTTCGTTCTGGCCAACCTCTTGTCCTTATCCTCTTATTCATATCGTTCCTACTGCGATGAGAGTCAGAAACATGTTCCCCCGTTAAAAGGCCTTTGTCTCCGCGGAATGGTGCATACGCACATTTTTGAGAGGGACAGGAACTTCTCGAGTCGGACGAGTGTTGCTCGAGTCTAACTTCTATGTCGAACTTCCTGTGCATGCTCGGTTCCTCAGATATGCTTTCTACACAGTCTTCTATTTCTATTTTCCGTGTTGGATTAATGCTGACGGAACTTTTCAAATAACCGCAGCGCCCCTGCGCTTTGGCTTTGGGACTATCTAAGGCGCTCCAGGACAGCGGGATATTTCCTGCCTTTGTCCGGCGGTATCGACTCTGCCTCAACGGCTGTGCTGGTGTTTTCGATGTGCCGGCTGCTGCATGATGCAGTCACATCCGAGAAAACTCTAGTTCACACAAAGAAGCTCGTCCTAGACGACCTTCGTCGGGTCTGTGCACAAGCTGACGACTGGACTCCTTCCAGCCCACAAGAAATTTGCAATCACATTTTCCATTCTACCTACATGGGCTCAGAGTATGTGAGAAACAGCCCAGCAGCGCATGGCCATTGTGCCCTTTCACTGTGCTCTTTCCAATGCAACTTTCGGTGCTGATTAGTTATCAGGAACAGCAGCAAGGAGACTCGGTCCAGAGCAGCGGCTCTTGCAAATGCGATAGGATCTTACCACATCGATCTGAACATTGATGGTGTTGTGTCCGCTCTCACCATGCTCTTCACTACTGTCACCGGCTTCACTCCAAGCTTTACTTCCAAAAATCCCTCCGAGGGGCTTGCTCTACAGTGCGTGAACCTGGATACCTGTCTCGGGGTGTCCAGCCGTTGATCTCCTCCCTCTTCATATCCCTATGTAGCTGCTAACAAGGATTAGAAACATCCAGGCGCGCATCCGCGTAAGTATTTCCTGTGCAATATGTTAAAGATTTCGAAAGAGCAAATGAGCTAATTCATCGCATTATGCAGATGGTTATAGCGTATTTCTTGTTAGTATTCCCGGACATCTGTTCCAGTGGGGGCAGAGAGATTGTCCCCCTCTCTCTGGCGCTTTTGGTACAGGTTTCATTAACAGTTCATTAGTGCCCAACTCTTGCCCAGCGTCAGAAAACGCAAAGGGGGTGGTGGTCTTCTGGTTCTGGGCTCCGCCAACGTCGACGGTACCTCAATTTTCTCTACACTCACTGAATGATTTTACTAATCAGATCAGAGCAACTCCGTGGCTACCTGACGAAATATGACGCCAGTAGCGCTGACATAAATCCAATCGGTGGTATATCCAAGGTCGATCTTAGAATGTTCCTCGCTCACGCCCGGGACAATCTCGACCTGCCTCTCTTGCAGAGCTTCCTTGACGCTACGCCAACAGCCGAACTAATCCCGACAACCAACGCCGATGCCCACACCCAATCCGACGAGGAGGAAATGGGTATGACATACGCCGAACTCAGCGTACTGGGCCGTCTGCGCAAGGTCGGGCGGCTCGGGCCATGGGGTGTCTTCGAGAAGGTCAGTGCTTCAATCGCCTTATTCATCAACCACACTAATTCGCCATCTCCAGCTCCTCCCAGTCTGGACATCCACGCCGCCGAACCCAGAGATGCTCGCCACCGAAGATCGCGGCACACACTCAGATCCCCAGTACGTCCACAGCGTGGCGCACGGGAAGGGCATGACGCCACGTGCCGTATATGAGAAAGTCAGAAAATTCTTTTGTAAGTATCGTGTGTGCCACCGTAAGTTTCTCAAGATTAACATCGCAAAGATTATTACGCAATCAACAGACATAAACAAACTACCCTGACGCCTGGACTGCACATGGAACAGTAAGCAACATTGCTGGAAACCGATACCCCCTTAGCTTTGGTCTCTCAGCATCAGCTCCTTGTACTGAACAGTGATTAGGTATTCGCCGGACGACCATCGATATGATATGCGACCATTTTTGTACCCCAGTTTCACAGCCCAGTACCGTAAGATGGAGCACGCAGTGAAGGTCCTGGAGGAAAACGCGAATGGGTACACAAGACAATAGCAGATGAAGAATAACATCCCCTGTGCGTAGATAATTGCCGTCCGAGAATATAAATGGAGCTAGATCGCATAGATTCTACTTGTGCCTCTCCATGACTGCGAGAAATGGCGGTGGCAACCCGAGACTGAAGAACCAAATTGATGCCAAGAACTCCGCCGGGTCGGGATTCCGATACCGGCGGCTGCGGGGATCCAGGGGATCTCCTATTATCACGTGTGAGGGGTAAATGGTCACCTCCATCTCACCGCGTTCGGTGGGCGCATTGAGGTCCCGAATCCCGAGGCAGACAAATCAAACACTTGAGAGATCCTTCTTGCCTGGTAATCGAGGGGCTGCTGGTTCTGTGGGCTGGGTTTGCTACCTCGAGCGAGAGATCCTGGAGAAATCCAAAAGCGTCAAGTCACACCAATCTGAGCAAAGCTCACTGGTGGCCCTCACCCCCAATTCTCATCTACCTATCTTCGTTCCGTGTCCCGCATTAATTACATATCACAAATCTTTGCTCCCATTTCTTCCCTTCCCTTTCTTTCGTCCTGTTGCGGGTATATGCTCAGAAACTCCTCTCTATGCAGATTTCGCTCGCGCCATAGACTTGTTCTTTTCCACCGCGTCATAAACGGGCACAACAATAGATCTGCGCACTCTGGCGTTCGCGCTCCGCACATCATCACCGAGCTGAGCAAGATGGCCGCGATCCCGCACCCAGAACTACCGCGCCCGGCGCATCTGGACCGCGACTCTGCGCTGGGGCGCAAGTTTGGGAAGGAGGTGACGAATTACTTTGGGGGTGAGTTGTATAGTCTCTCTGGGGTTTCCCCCAAAAGAGATCTCACGGCTAACTTGTTTCGTTTCTTTTCCTCTCCGCGAACAGGCTCCCCCATCAATCGAGTGTCGTTCCTTCGCGAAGACTACACCTTCCTGGCCGGCGCGTTCGCGCACCACTCCACAAGATTCCTCGTCTTCAAGACTCTCGCGCCCCTGATAACGTCCCCCACCGAGATCTACTTCGCCACGTACGACGAGATCAAGTCTCTCCTATCCACGAACCCGTTCGAGAGGCCCGAAAAGGAGATAGTGGACGACTTTGACTCGAGCAAAGATATCCCCCAGTTGGTCTTTTTGGGGCTAGACGAAAACGTCACCGATGGGTACTCGTACAAGAATTTCACAGGCGCGCCGCATTGGGCCGTGGACATAACGCCCAAGAGAACCTTTGAAAAGGAGGCCAAGGAGCTGATCGAGTCGTTTTTGGAATCAGGGCTGAAGTTTAGTGAAGGGATGCGGGCCATGAATTTCCCGCCCGACATTGGTGAGTTTTGCCAGTATAAATTTTGACCTTGGGGGGAGAGTTAGTTACTCATGCTGAAATTCCGGTGAAAAAAAGCTGCCCAGTACGCCCAAGGCCGCCACTACCTCGACTGGAACCACCGCAACACGTTCTGTGGCACATGCGGCCATAGGACCCTCTCCGTCCATGGCGGAGCTAAACGAGTCTGTCCCCCAACAGACAAGGCCGAAACCCCCCAAGAACGAGAACCTTGCTCAACCCGGACGACGCTCTCGAATCTCACATTCCCACGAACCGATCCCACCATCATCGTCGCGGTCCTCAGCCACGACAGCAAACGCCTCCTGCTGGGCCGACAAAGACGGTGGCCGCCCCATTGGTATTCCACACTTGCGGGATTCATCGAGCCGGCTGAGAGCGTCGAGGACGCCGTGCGGCGCGAAGTCTGGGAAGAATCCGGAGTCGTCCTTTCGCGTGTGCTCGTGCACTCGACGCAACCCTGGCCGTACCCAGCGAACCTGATGATCGGCGCCATTGCGCAGGCGGCGTCTCCGGAAGACGAAGAGATCAGGCTGGAGTACGACCCGGAGCTGGAGGTTGCCAAGTGGTTCACGTTGGAGGAGATCCAGGAAGCGCTGCAAAATGGGACGAGCGGGCTCGGGGATTCGCCGCCAGAAGGATATAAGGAGGGAAATCTGAGGTTGCCGCCTCCGACGGCAATTGCAAATCAATTGATCTCGGCGGTTGTGAAGGGTGGGTTTTTGGAGGGTGTCACGCCGATAACGAAGCTGTAGAGCCGCGAGAGAATCTTTGCTATGTTGGACCGGATGGGATCGTTTGAGAGATCTCGTTGGTTTTTGTTGCATCCCTCCCGTTCCGTCGGCCGGATTAGACACGTCCCAAGTCCTAGCTATTTAGATCGGACCCCATTAGAAGCAAAAAAACAGCAACCCGAATATCCGGAAAAAAGGTGAACTTTATCCTATTATTCCTGCTTCTTCTTGATACCCACGACGACAAAATTGCGCGGGCTCTGCTTGTAGTCGAAAACAATATCGACCCAGCAGTCATCTACAAGGTCCTGCTGCTCTCTCAAGAACAGCCAGCGGTCCGCGACGATGATGCTCTCGACGACGCCGGCGCTGAAGGCCATGAGGCTCCAGATGACCGCGAGGTTCTTCTTCGCGTACATGAACCTCTGCTCGTAGTCGTCGATCACGTCGTCGGTGAGGTTTTGGGTCAGGGACGCGATCATGGCGCCGTCGACGGGGTCGCTCTTCAGCTTTGCCAGCGCGCCGTGCACGTAGGCGCGGAAGCTGGCAAAGCATGACTTGCGCAGCGAGCCCACGATCAGGGGTGTGCCGGCTTCGTTGCGTCCCGTGATACTGCCCCCTGCCACGGCGGCCCCGGGGTCAGGACACTGCTTGACCACGCCTACGTCGAGCAGGATTTTTTGGAGGAGCGTGCGGTAGAAGTGCCGCCGGAAAAAGGCCTCGCTGTCCTCGGGCCCCCAGTTGTACGGCGCCTGCACGGCCATCATGCGCGCCGTGATGTTCAGCCGCACCCCCCGCTGGGCGTCTCCGTCGGCGTCGGGGTGGCAGAAGTCCTCCAGCGTGCGCGACAGAGGGAACCCGTGCAGGTCGTACGCCGAACCCGTCGCCTCCAGGCGCGGGTGGTTCGGTCGCAGCCGCGGTAGCTTGTATGTCGCGGGCCCCAGCCGCTCCGTGAGCAGGTTGTAGCAGCAGCCTATGATGGCGACTGCGCAGACGCTGGGGTTGAGCGTCAGGGTGCGCAGCGCGTGGTGGGACAGATTGCCGCACGAGTGCAGCGATACCACCATGGCCTTGGGATTTCTGTTCACGGGCACGGGTGTAGATGTTGGTATCGTTGAAGAATCGACAATGTCTGGCGGTGCTTGTTCTTCTTCCCCTTGACTGTGATCTGCTGGGTAAAGAATATTCTCGAGATACCCGTCTTGGACGTCGTGCTCGATGTACGTCATAGACCCATTTTCGGGACCAAAGTCCTTGTTTAGAATCCTTGCCGCAGCGAACATCGGATTTGGTGCAGGCGAGGGTTCCGCATCAACCTCCTCAAAAGGAGTAATGGTGGGAGAAGGTCTAGGAGTGGCAATGCCGTTCTTCGGTGCCATCTGCCTCTTCCACTCCTTCTTGTTGCGCATAATCTTCTCCTTCTGGGCAAGTTTCGCATGCACGTCCATTGTTCTCGCACCGGCAATGTTGTGGTGTTTCCTTTCGATCGCCACCACATGCTTGTTGTAAGGCGGCGACGCCAGCGTCCGACCAAGGTAATTCTGGCCCGAGCCGAAGTCGACCACCGAGATCGGCTCTTGAAATTGCTGGCAGACGTCTTCGGACAGCCTGTCCACGTATGCGGCGAAGTTAGTGACTTCGTGCATCTTCTTGGTTTTCATGCCGACGGACAGTTGTCTGGGCATGTCTGTGACGTTGTCCGACACGGGAGAAAACTGCCGCTGGAGGCAGTGTTTCCGGATTGTCTGCACATATTCCAGCAGGCTTGAAGGTGGAGAATGCTTGGGATTTGAGGTTGCGGACGCTGCTACATCGGCAGAGTCTCGCAGCTCGGTTCGAAGGAGCAGGTCAAGCACGTCGTCAACGTCCACTCTGTCGAACCAGTCGCGCCATTCCAGCGGTAAGACCGTCGTGTAGAGGTCCGGCTCTCGCGTGAGAAAATCGAGAATATGTACTCCGCCGCAGAGATTTCGAAAGAGGTCAGAGCTCGTTGCAAAGCTCAACACCGACTGTATGTATCCGTCCTCAGACGTCCAAGCTGGGTCAAGAGGTAGGCGGAGACTCCCTTTGCGCCCTGGAAGATGTCTCTTCATGGTAGCAGACCCTCTTAGTCTCTGGGTGAGTTGAATGTAAGGAAATAGCTCCTTCTTTTACCTGTTGCTATGCCATGTTTCAATGTATGTCTTACTGATCGAGCAGGAAAATTGAAAAGTACTCTAATGCCAAGGCGCTAACGCATTTTAGCCAAACGAGGACGGCACAAGAAAAGGGGCTACAGCCTCACAACCCACGCTCAGCCGCCTAATGGGTTCGTCTAGCTTTGAAATTAATTCACCATGGCAATGGAGCACAACCTGGGTTGGGATGGAATGGGGAGGGGCAACCGCGATCCAAAGCTTATGATTGATGAGGCATCGGACGGCTGGCCGCCAGACTCTGGGATAACAACTATGTCATGAGATTACATTCGGAGCAGATCTTTCCTCAAGATTCCCTTTACTTACGTCCTGTGGTGGAAACGGCATGGCCTTAACAAGGAGTATGTCAATAACAACTGAACTGACTCTTGGTAAGCATTGGCCCGAAGAACGAAACGGGGACCCATCTCGGACCCGTGCGGTTCCATATCGGTGGATGCTTTGGACCAGCTTGAGTAGTTTTGATTGTCTATGTCCCTTTCACTATTTGCCGCTGGCTCGTTTGTGGTCATCTATGTCTGTTCGTATCACCATGCTTATGGGTATCACTGCGTAAACAATATTCGGGAGGAGTGCTCAATCCAAGCCGATCCACCCGTCCTCATCACCCTCAGCGTTGATCATCTCTGCATTTGGGGTGGGCATCTTGTTCCAACAGTTCCGGCGGCAACTTCTGGTTGCCTTTAGGTTGTTGGCACAGGAAATCAATCTCAAACACATTTCGCTCGCTGAGACTGCGCACTGTTCTCCCTACACCGTCGACTCCGCGAAGGATTGAGCGAAGTTCAGCCGCGAATTCGCCATGTCTTTCCTTGATGTATCGGCCATGAACACTTAGTATCTCACCTAACCAACGAAGTGCAAATTCCAAGTGAGGATTACTTTCCATTTGCTGGGCGACCAGTATCAACAGTTTTCCAAGATACACCCTAGGTAGTTCACGCACAAGTAGCGAAACGGATCCATACGGTACCGACTCATAAGCTTGTCGGAGCAAAGATTTGTCGTTCAGTCTGAATGCCATGATAAGAGCCTTGAGATACTCGGGTTCGTCTTGTGCAAGGATAGCTCGAACATTTTGCGGAGTAACATCGATGTCGAGATCGAATGGGTCAAAGTCCTCCATTCCCACATTGTCAAGGCTGTAAATCAAGAGGCCTTCGGTACTGGCTGCACAGAAGCTTCTCCCCATTGGCGCAAACTCAACATCAGTGACCCTGACTTCTGGACGAATAGTCCTTGCTGTAGCATCTCTGCCGCGCTTGACGCCCGGAAGGCTACGGTCGATCCGGTCTTCAAGATCGCTTGCTTCACCTTCTGTATCAAGCATGTCTCTGGGAAGACCATTGGACATAATTGCGGCAGAGTTCAAGAACTCCTGTGTCCCATCTAAACTCAGGTTGATAGAAATTGTAAATTTCTTGATCAGCGTCAGTGTGCTGACCGAGTACAAGCAGATGTATTTGCTGTTGCCTCCTGCAAGAAGGCAACTGCCGTCCGCGGAATACTCAATCGAGTTGAATGATTTAGTTCCTGGCGTTGAAGCTGCTGTACGTCGAGAGGTCAACGTTCGACCTCCACTGACGTCTCGACGACCATCGAAACCAGACTCTTGCACCGAAGTGTTCACATTCCAAAAGGTGAGTTGTCCATCAAGTGTCGAGGCTGCAATTTGCGCAGAATCAGGCCGAACTGCAATACAAAGCAAGTCCGACATGAGCTGCAACGCTTCTGACGTCTGTGAGCGATCAAACACAGACCATACTCGTATGGTGTGGTCCCAAGATCCCGAGACGAGATATCGCCCGTCAGGAGTAAATGCAAGAGTAGAGATTGGTCCCTCGTGGCCTGCCAGGCGGTCCAGAAGAGCTCCTGTTTGGACGGACCATAGATAAATGTCGAAAGAGTCGTGTGATGCGGCGCAGACGACTTCCGCAAAAGGGTCAATCGCTAAGCAAGAGAAGGAGAGCCTTTGAGGCGCGGTGAAAGTTCTAAAATTTCGATACCTCAACATATCCCAGGCACGGACTGATCCATCCAGGGATGAAGTAAAGAGGATGTTGCCTCTTTTAGAGTACGCAGAGGCCGTGACAGCAGAGTTGTGTTCCGAGAAAGTTGCTATGTGGAAGCCAGACGAAACGTCCCAAACCTTGATCAGTCCATCATCGGCCCCGGTAATGATGCGGCTGGAGTCTGGAGAATAAGTCAAAGTTGTCATCGCGTCAAGATGTGAAGACTGTTTGAGAATGTTTGACTCGGAAGCATACTCCCAGACAAGTAATTGACCGGTCTTGGACGAGCCGAAGGCCAGCCATTCTCCCGTGCTGTTGGTGGCTACTGCCGAGATGGGGGAGGATGCCATTGACAGGCTATGGATGTTTGAAAAGGACGGCGTCTCATACAACGTAAACAGGCCATTGCCGAAGCAGGCAGTGAGTAAATTCGTCGAGGGATGGTAGGAAGCACACTTTAGCTTTGCGTTTTGCATGAAATAGTCCCTTTTTACAATGCGCCACCTCTCATCAGCCGCCTCTGTCGACTCGTCGTTTTCGGCTTGTTGACTGGACACATACTCCCAGCGGAAGAGAGCTCCATCTTCGCTCACTGTGAAAATAGACTCTTGGTCGGCGGAGAACCAGACGCCCTTGACCTGCTGTCTATGGCCAGAGAGCACGGTCGGTTCGAAACCCTCTTCTGGGTCGAGACTCCATATTCGTGCGGTAAGGTCCTTAGATGCACTGAGGAAGAAGCGCGAATCACCCGACCAGCTTAGATGTCTGACTTCGTCAAAATGACCACCGTACTCCCGATGCAGAATGAACGGGGCGAATTCGAGGTCCCCATCTGCATTGCGGCCGGGCGTGGAAGGTGTCCACCACGCTTGAATCTTTCTTCCCAGTCCCACGACGAAATGACGACCGTCTGGAGAGAATGCCAGAGATGTTACCGACGATTTAAAGGAGAAATGATAGATTGCAACTCTTCTAGAGAAAATAGACAGTATTGCCCGGCCATCCTCGTCGATTGTGAGGAGAAGGTTCCCATCCGGGGAAAGGTCAAGGTGGGTGATGTTCTTCCGGTGGGCGAAAGGGAAAGTATAACTGGTGTTTCTGTCAAGTGACTTGTTAGAAGAGAGTCGATCTCGACGCCAATGAGGATTCTCACTTTGTTAGATTAAAGACAGTCACGCGGTTGCCAACTGGCGAGAGCAGAGAGTTGCCATCTGGAGTAAAGACAAGATTGCCTTGACGATAAACAGTACCCAAGAGGTTGGAAAACTGTAACCGCCTGTTAGAGTGGTAGGATTAACCATGGTGTCCGTGACACGTACCTTGAATTCCGTCTTCATTATCTCATGACTGTGTAGTCCACGTTGGCGCTTCTGTACGGTGCATATTCCCAATTTTCAACTGCGGCTTCAAAAAAAAGTTATCGGAGAAACTATTGATTTTCTCCGGAACTAGTATGTTTAGGGTTAAGCGCACGCCGTGATCTGGGGCAGGCCGCTAGTGAAAATTGGCGTTTCAGGGGCGCGACTGTGCACTTTTTGTAAGGGTCAATCGAGGGAAACCCCTAACCACAAACCACCTTGTCATTTTGAGACGGCGGCCTTTAATTCTTCACCTCTTCATCGTTTCTGCATCCGAGCTCTCATTGTCCTCGCCTCTCGTTCTTGGTCTCTCTTTCTTGATTGTTTCTCGTCAGAACCTGCGATCAAGATGGCTCCAGCAGCAGCGGAGTCCGCATCGCCCATTGGCATTGCCAATCTGCCCAACCAGCGACACAAGATCGTCGCAAAGAGAGGCGCTGCTTTCACCATCATGGTAGGACTGAATGTCTTCTAAGAGCTGTCGGGCGGATGCTAATCATTGTCATTCAGGTGGCTGGCGAGTCGGGCTTGGGCAAGACCACCTTCATCAACACTCTCTTCTCTACAACCATCAAGAACTATCAAGATCACAAGAGGCGACACGCGAAGCAAGTTGATAAGACGGTGGAGATCGAAATCACAAAGGCCGAGTTGGAGGAGAAGTTCTTCAAAGGTACACTTGGAATACAGCGCATCCGTTAACTATGACCGCGCTGACATTTGCTAGTCCGTCTCACCGTCATTGACACTCCTGGTTTTGGTGACTATGTCAACAACCGTGACTCCTGGATGCCCATCATCGAATTCCTCGACGACCAGCATGAATCCTACATGTTGCAAGAGCAACAGCCCCGACGACAAGACAAGATTGATCTCCGTGTCCATGCTTGCCTTTACTTCATTCGACCCACCGGCCATACCTTGAAACCCTTGGATATCGAGGTCATGAAGCGGCTATGCACACGCGTCAACTTAATCCCGGTTGTTGCAAAGGCTGACACCCTTTCCCCGGCTGACCTCGCCCGCTTCAAACATCGCATTCGAGCTGTGATTGAAGCTCAAGGCATCAAGATTTACCAACCTCCGATTGAAGATGACGACGAGGCCGCGGCACAACATGCTCGTGCTCTTATGGCAGCTATGCCATTTGCTGTCATTGGCAGTGAGAAGGATGTCAAGACTTCCGACGGTCGCATTGTCAAGGGCCGGCAGTATGCTTGGGGTGTGGCCGAAGTGGAGAATGAAGAGCACTGTGACTTCAAGAAACTCCGGTCGATCCTCATCCGAACCCACATGCTCGACCTCATCCACACCACTGAAGAGAATCATTACGAGGCCTACCGTGCGCAGCAGATGGAGACGAGGAAGTTTGGCGAGGCCAGGCCGAGAAAATTGGACAACCCCAAGTTCAAGGAAGAGGAAGAAGCACTCAGGAAGAGATTCACCGAGCAGGTCAAGGTGGAAGAACAGAGATTCAGGGCATGGGAGCAGAAGTTGATTGGTGAAAGAGACCGCCTGAACAAGGACCTGGAGGCAACTCATGCTGCAATCAAGCAATTGGAGCAGGAACTGGAACAGATGCAAGGCAGTGCCGTGAGGAGCCATGGTCGCCGCTAGGCAAGAGTGGGGACTTGAAGAAGCAGGCTTGACCGGGTGGTTGGCTAAGATGGGCCAGAAGCAAGGGTTCTGGCAATTCTTCGCTTCCGGTGCTGTGCTCCGGGATCGTGGGTGTACACAAAGCGTGGAGCTCTTTCTAAGGTTAGCATTGCTACGAAAATACCTTTCTAATGTCAGATGTTTCCTTTCCGGCAAACTTGATCTAATTCTATCTGGACTGGCCGTGCCGCCTTGTGGTCTATCGAGTCTATCCTTGACCCTATGCCTTGCGGCGAATTCTATACGGCAGCCTCCTTCAATTGTTGCGTGATATGTCCGTTCGCCCCTCTCCCGCCCATTGGGTCATATCCAGGTGTGTTCGTCCCATTCCCCTGGCTCTTCTCCTGTGTCCGCCGCGAATCCTCTTCTGCCACAGCTCTGTCGACATCAGCAAAGCCCTCATCAACCTCGACATCATCATCGTCTTCAATTCCCATCCACGCACGCATCTTGTCTCGTTTGAATGCTTCAAAATCCCACTCTTGAGGCTCTAACGTTTCCTCACCTTCAAGCCAGACATATGTTTGTGCTTCGACTTCTTCCAGGACCTGGGGGTGGTCCCTCTCTTGTTCGGGGGCTGCCTGGTCTAGTTCCACGTCTTTCAAGAGTTGGACCTTCACCACATCCCTCTTGTACTGACTGCCTTCGAAAATATCTAACCGATAGATATCACCCGGCGTCAGTCCAGTCACCACGCTCCCACGTACCCGAGAGCCGGAGTGAGGTATTATGGCAGGGTAATCTGCATATCGGACTCTATGTCGACGGTAGTCCTGCAGCATTGCTGGACGCACAGTGATGAGGTCTTTCTGCCATGGCTCGGGAGTGTGTGTTCCGTGGATGACCCGATGAAGAACGCCGGGCGCCATGAGCGTTCCTTTTGTGCCTTGTTTAGAGGGTGAAGCGAGAAAGGGGAGGGGAAATACCGTAAAAAAAGGCCGTGTAGTCGCCCATTTTCTTTTGGCAAGCCCGCAGTCCACGCGAACAAGAGGGCCCGGCTGTGGAGAACCGAGCGGCCTGGAACTGAACAAGGATATTTGACCTAGAATATTGAGGGGCAGTCAAACGAACAGCTCTTTTGATTTAGCTTGGGTACTCTGTGCTCTGACTGTGTACTTCGCTGTTGTACTGGTCGCCCCTGCTATGAATCCCTCCCAATGCAGACGATATCAAACAAAGAAGTTTTAAAGCGGAAGGTGCGCCGATATCCGCCTCACAAACTGAGGGGCGAGGAGTACAACTTGAACAGCCTCTCTTCCATCTCACTTTCACTTCTTCTACTGTGCCTCCTTTTGCTGTAATACGCACACCATCTCGCTCGAGTCTTGTTGGTACTTCTGCTCGCATCTGACCCTCAAATCATGATTGTGGCGGCCTGTTATATGCAGCAGTGACCTGTTACGAAGTCAGTGAGGCTGCATGAGGGGCGCCCATACTTGAGAACGCCACTCTGCCCTGAAGCCTCAAAAGCTTGATAGCGCGTTACCAGGCGCCTGCCCTCGTCGAATGGCTATTTCCCCCTTTTCGAAGTAATGACTCGGCCCAGCTAGCCACAAGATCTAGACCCAACGAAAGATGTCCCTCAGCTTTGATCATAATGATGTCGCGAATTTATGAAGCTAGCAGCTCTCCTTCGCCACTAGCGCGATTTGACGAATTATTATGTTCTCACAGTCATTACTGAGACTGGACTTGAAGTTCCGATTCTAGCCGATCCAGCATATTAAATGCCATCAAGAGCCTCATTGGAAAGGGGCGGCGAGAAACAACAGGAGCGGAAAATGTGCGCGGAAGAATCGTCATCATATGGCGTGCACAAGTCGGTGACAATCAGCCCGATCTGGGTAGGAGAGTCTCTTGGATACCAAGGTAGATAGCGAGGCCATAGGTTCATCCTTCATTTTGTGTCTTCATCCATAACCGGAATACCACTTTGACCTTTAGCACAGTTACTGGCTCATTTTGACCTTGAATGCGCTGGGAAATAAAATGGCGCCAGGGGCTTCAGCCTTGTGCTCCCTCCATCCAGCTTGGCACCCTTGGGTTACTGGGCCTTTTGCTGAGAATAAGCAGGACTCCAATTTTATTATTTAGACTGTTCACACTATGTGCATAGAGAAAAATACGAGTTTGCTGGTCGGACTTGTCAGAACTGCTGACATTTTCACTCACATCCACAGGCAGCTCTTTCGCCAATAATCTCCAGATGGGGTAGAAAATTGGTACTGTGGCACTTTCACCGCTTACCTCTCATTCAAGGGTCTATATGCTCGCAGCTGCTGAGAGCTCAGGGGGCTGATTCTTTTCATGCCAGTTATTCACTATCATTCCGAGCGGCAAGGCTTTTCTGCTGAATGGCCGTCACCGCTTATGTCGAGACAATACGAGGCTGACCAAGACACGAGAACGGAGAAACATGGTTACGACTTCTGGCTGTTCTTATGAGAGCGTCTATCTCCCATTCGCTGAGTAGACATCTTCGGAATTTTCCGCATTTGATCTATAGGATCCTGGATCCAGGGCGTACGGAGACCGATCCAGAGTATAGAAATATGGCAAACTCTCCAAGGGGGGGAAGACGGACCAAAACTCTGATCGCACCATAACTACAACAAAGTGCTTAAGACCAAGAGCGACACCGGGATATCACTTTAGGCTATAGATACAGTGATAGAAAGGACACGAGCTAGCGCCAGCGATGCAGCTTCCGGTGTTTACTGTCGCCATCCTGGCTTTTCAGGTACTTCAGGTGTCCGCCGCGGCCTTGAACGCTCGTGTATGTCTTTGCAAGCGTTCTTGTTATCATGTCCTGCTAACTGGGATTCTAAAATTCCATAGCTCACACCATTGCAAAACGACTGCAATCTCCCAGAGGGGGATCCTCAGGGGGCAGACTGTGTAGTATCTGATTCTAACGCAATATTGCGCCCCCGTGTAAGTCCCCTGCTCTGCTGTTGATCATGCTGCCTTCTTCTTTTTTTCTTTTTGCCACGCAAGAACGCAGTTATAACTTTCCCACCGGCAGTTGACACCGGTACAAAGCGACTGCAATCTCCCTGAAGGCGATCCACTGGGAGCAGACTGTACTATCTCCACAGTGCGCGCCCGAGTATGCGACTCTCTCCCCTATCACCGAACAAGTCTGTTAGGAACTCACCCGCTAACCCTCTGCCTTCTGAAAGCAAGACGGCGACGTACCTCTTGGTCTGGCCTCCATCACCGTCGGCACCGCAACCACGTCGTCCGGAGGGGTTGTAACTATCTCCGTCCCCTACTCACTCTCCCGCGACCCTACAGGACCGCTGACCGGAAGCGGCACCAGCACGTTTAACTCTTCCCCACTCAAGGGCGCGACGTTAATCCCCAGCGACGTGAGCAGTTCGTCGCAGGGCGCATTCTCATCGGCACAATGCACGTTCTACACGGGGAGCGCGGGCCTAGGAGACGGGGATGTGTCGTGTGTTGGTACCTCAGTGGGATCGGCTTCGACCGACGACGACGGGACGGAAGTGGTGTTTAGTGTCCCGGCGACTTGCGTCAGCTGCAGTTACTCGTGAACGGGCGGTGGTTGGTGAGATTTTCATGTTCAGCTTTTCCTGCGAAATTTACCTGTTCGTTCTGCGGCGGCTTTGCTGGGTGGGTGCGCATGCACCGGGTCGCGGGCACCCTGACGAGGGGTGGGGTCTATGGCCAGGGATGGCTACCCGTAAAAGAATCGGTTGGCAAACCAAAAAGATGGTTCGGACGGCGGCAGAAGGAATGTCGTGGGTCTTACAGGATGACGTAAGGTAAGGTGTGGAGATATGAAGAGAAAGACACAGAGAGCCTATATAGGATAAATAGCGAAAGATGAACACAGATGATGAAGAACATGCCGATAGAGGTGTGTAAGGGATATCGATCTTTCAGTGGTAATAAGCAGAATACATTGCTAGGTAGGATATCGATGTAAAGAAACAACGCTAAAACTCATAATCCTCATTCCCGTCGGTATCAGTAGCCAACAAACTCCCAATAACCATATTCATGAATTCTTAGGCAAGCTTAGAACAATAACCCACCGAGCAATAACCCTCCGAGCAAGCCCCCGGCAATGGGTAATCCATAGCCTCCGCCCGGATAAGCACCGTATGGACGGTTGTAGGGGTAACCGGGTCGAATAAATCTGGCGTTGGGATCTGCGTAGGGTCCGCTTGCGTATGGGTTGACGCCATAACCACCTGCTCCATATCCGCCATATCCATAGCCTGGACCCCCAGGTGGCTCAATGTAGACGTTCTTGCCATCTCTGTCCTTGGCGAAGAATTGAGGTTGACCCGTCACTTGTGCTCGCTGCATTGCTTGTCGCAATTTCATGTGTGCTTCGTAATATTGTCTCTCTTCTTCCGCTCGTTGAGCGCGACTGCGTACACGCTCTTCGTGCGTCGTGCCGGTGACTTTATCCTTTAACTTTTCGCCAAGGCTCTTCTTTTGGGCGGCCGCTTGTTGTGAGGATGAAGGTCGTGCAGGGAGTTCTGGCGGGAAGTGTTCGTCTTCAGAGTGGTCTGGGGTATGCGCTGCCTGCTTTCTCATCCTGTCCTCTTCTTCTTGCAATCTTTCACGCTCTTCGCTACTCAGGCTCTTCAGGACTTCAGGGATATCCAAAGGATGCTCCCAATATGACTTCGGTGGGTCAACTTTGGTATTTACGAAGAACTGGTGGTTCTCCTTGGGATCGTATTGCCTCACCCATCCTTCGGGGAGAGGTCTCTGGAGGTCTTCCATAGAGCGACGGACTTCGGTTGGGATTCCATTTTTTGCCGAGGGCACTTCTAGATGTGATGATTTCTGAGGTTTGGAGGATGCTGTGGCGGATGAACCTGTGGCCTGGTCATAGCTTGGCGGGGGTTCTGGCGGCGGCGCCGACATGGTGGGTGTGATGGCAGGAAACGAAGGTGGAAAAGAATCAGAATTAGAAGAGCGATAGATTAAAATCCTGTTGCTTGTTGCCTGCGGAACCGGGAAGATTTGTAGAGAAGTGAGAGCAGTGAGGGAGGTGAGAGGCGCGACAGAAATGCAAATGCAGAGTTGAGGCTCAGACGCTGATAGCGACCGAGGTGACGTATATCGTATAGATGGCGCCTGCTGTGCCTCGGTGCCTGACCAATCAGGGCTCGTATGGTGGTGCTCAGCCACAGACATTCCACCAATGATTTACTTGATCACAAATACTGTGGCGAACACGCTTAACCCGATCAAGCCTCATGCTGCGAGCTCAAATCCAACCTTCACCGACCTCAACTCCTGAGATTTGGATCATTTCGTGCTGGAGCTGCTATCATCGAGCAATCAGAAATGCCTCAGCAACGTTTACTTAGCAGCCTCACATAAATTGCTGCTCTGGCACTTCATCCCCCCTACCACGGCGAAGTCACATAACCAAGACCTCAATGAACTTAATACCGATTGCGCACAGAGAAATAATATCTTCGATGTCCCGGCCATGATTTTTTTTTCACGGGCAATCGAAGACAGAAGACATCATTCTGCCGGGTGGTAATCCATATCCTTCGTCTCTCCTATTACCTGTAGTAGTATGGCACTCATGACTGAAAACATAAGATACCGATCATGTAGGGTCTTCCCAATGGCTGTAAGAAATCTGTATTCAGCCTCCATTCATGCGCTTGCAGCACTGCAGTCGATCACCATCGAGGTCTCGGTGCGGACGATATACGCCTTTCTGCACCGTATATCAAGTTCCCGAGTAGTTCGCTGCTGGCAGGACAGGAAATCTTTGAGAAAGCGGCACTGGCACCAGATGGGCTTTGAGAGGAATGCGGCTGAAAGGACGTGAAGTCAGCTTTACTGACATCAACGAGGTTTTCTGCCTCACCCGATATCAATTCACTGTAAGAGCTCTTTGTTTACCCGCCAAGCCCATCTCATATTTAACCTCGCCTTGAATTCAATCTCTTCACTATTCCCTCCCGTATCCCAGTCTCCAAACACATCAATTTCTTGTACAAGTCCCTTGTATCATGGTCAACGGTCTGGTCTGTCTCTTTGCCCGAAATCCCTAGCCCGATTCAGAACCTCAAGTCTTCCTCATCTCCGCCGAGGAGAGCAGCATCCTGCTGCTTCTCCGTCAGCGGTTTGTACAGGGCACGATGAGAGCTGAGGCCGTGAGCTTCATCTTTGAACAAGTTTTTCTACCTCCAAAACTGCCTCAAGAATATCACAACGAATCAGGCGCTGATGATCTTCTCAAAGAGATCTCACATGCTGCTCGTGATTTCTCGCATGGCTTTCCTGTACCCAGCAATGAGCGCCACATCTGGACGCAGCTATCACGCTCATTAATCCAGTGGATTAAGGTCTATGACCGGGGTGTTCCGTGCCGCGACGTCATCACCACTACTCTTGAAAACATCCGTCAAGACGGTAAGTGCTACCCCATTGGATCAATTTCATGATTCTCTGCTAACCAGCCTTAAGACGTCTTGCTTTTCTACATCGAGCCTCAGAATGCTGCAATCCTGGTCAGAAACAGACCAAAGGGCGCCGTATTCGAGTGCTTCGAGGTGCTTGCCAAGACTAGTGCGGTTGTAAATGCTAAAGACGCGCTGATTCGACATTTTCCAACACGCGCGGCCTTCTTGTCGAAAGAGAGACTCGCTGATAAGTCTTTCATTAAGGAACTCGGAAATGCAATCTACATGCTGTCTGTTGAGCCATTGCAGATGGCTATGGAAAAAACAAAGAAAGGAGACAACATTATGGTTGAGGAGCGCCAATCCGTCCACCCGAGAGCTGTCAGTGAATGGCTCTTCAGCATTTTGGGTGCTTGCGGGAAGGCCGCGTCGAGTGTCGCAATTTGCAAACGTGTACATGACGATGTTTGCTGGAAGAATGCCCACTTGCCCTGGAGCCGCTCAGGTGTTTGGCTGTCTGCCCGAGTTGCTCTTCAGATCGCCCTCATCAACGCAGACCTTGAAGGCGTAGGGAATTGCCATTACAAAAACTTCATGCTATTCCTTTTGTCTAGGGTAGCAGTTGGTATTGTCGCCATCGACTCTAAGCCTGATGTTCTCCACGTTCTGCGTGTGAAACTAGCCAGACGAAATGCCAAACTGGGATCGTCTACCTTTGGCTTTGTCCAAAACATTGTTGATTCGACCTTAAACCTCATCGAAGACAGCATCCGACGTCAGTGGACAGAAGCCATCGAGAGAGACACAATTATCGTTCCACTTGTGCCTCTCTACCAAGTATCGGATCAACTGATGTTGAAGAACAGTCGCCCTATTTTGGACAACACTTGGAGCCGCTCTCAGAAAGCCTTTACTTACTCGATCACCCCTTACACTCCTCCATCATCCGCAAGAGTGGCCTTATCAAAACGAAAACTGCCGCAAGTTTCAACCTTCACAACCACGGAAGACATCCTCTTTTGTCTTGTCGACTTTGAGCTATGGGTTGAGGAGTGCCTGAGCAGTTGGTTAGCTGCCAACATGTCAACCTCATCTGCATGTACTTCCCTCGCTCGACTGATGCAGAAATATTATGCTGTGGCTAAAGGGAAGTACCAGTCACATGTAGAAAGAGTATCGCTTATGCTTCTCACGCTGTTCGAGTTGTGGGTGGCACTGGACACCATTGCAAGTACCATATATCCGCTCCTCTACGCGTATCCACCGGAATTCCCCGTAAAGTTTTTTGAGCCACTTCTTCTCAGGAACAGAACGGAGTTGGAGAGACTTTCCAAAATCGAACTTCACATCAGATCGCGACAGTCACGGTGTACTTTGAACAATCCTTCTCTCTTCGCCGACCCGTCACCAGAATGCTTTGCTGTTAGATTCTATGACCAATCTTCTGATCTACAAAATTTGCGCGCCCGAGTCGAACAGGATGCCCACCAAGCGAAGAGAGCCAAGTCCCGCGAGTGGGAACAGAAGAAGAGAGAATTTGACACACTCATGAAACAAGTTGAACAAATGGAATGTGGCGTCTTCACCCCCCGAGGGGTGGACGAGCATGGGAAGCCATATATTGGAAGACCCCGGCATGACAGATTTTGCCGCAAATGTGAAAAGGAGAAGATTGCCAAGAATATTAAGATATCGAAGCACGAGTGGCCGCTCCCAGAAGACGAGACAATGTGCAAAGCTGTCATCTTTGAACTTGCCACGCCCGAGTCGATTGTCTCATGGAGGGACGCTACATTTTTCTTACTCCACGATGTGGGCAGGGCGAGAAATACTATCGGGTCGCCGCCGCAGCCGGTATTGCTATCATACGCGCCACTTGAGAAATACGCCCAGCGGAAAAATAGACGTATCACTCTCGCGTCCTCGGTCAAGCCTGTGATCCAGTCGCACTACCTCAGAGCGTCATTGAATGTTGATCCAGTCTTCGTCAGCAACGGCCTCCATCCGAGAATGAGAGATACCTCGACTCTGGGTCTTTGGACTGCAGAACAGACTTCGATCCCTTCGCTGCACCGCTACTGCTATACTAAGCTCATTGCTGGTTCGGATGGAAGTCTCGATGAATATGTCAACCTCACCAGTCATACGCAGAATCGGGTCATCTCACAACAATCAAGATGTCCTTCGGAGATGGGCTCTCATGAATATGTGCTATTCGGATCGCTAAGGTCCGGAGAAAGACTACAACTATTCAATGTTCTCGGAGCTTTTATGTCTGCTGAAATTGACTTCAACTCACCCGCAACGGCTCTGCTGTTTCGTTACGCTATTTCCCAAGTGGGCACAGCGCGCTGTGCTTCGCCGCTTTATCTACGTGAATCTCAGATTGTGTTGGAGGATGAACACTTCAGTTGTTCTCTCCTAGATGCCCTGGAGAGCGCATTTTTGAAAATCGAAGTCAACTTCAAAGAAGCAGCAGCTGCGGCAATATTGGTTGGAGTGGTTCTCAAGGCTTTATCATTGTCATCGTTCTCCCAAATTGCGACGCGCTGCATGAACCTTGTCCTCCAGATTCGTCAATCCGCTCTAGGTTGGATACGCCAGATGAACAAGCTCTACGCGGATCACAAGAACGCTCATGCCGACAACTCTATTCTCAGAGATCTATCGCGTCAGATCTTGACTGCTTGTATTCTTTGTCGCCGCACCTATGGTGTCGACACAGAGGCCCAGCCGTCGATGTTCTCCGACCACGATGCTGTGGCGGACTATGTAGAGGCTTCAGTCCACCTCCATACACATCGAAAATCCCACTCTGACACAAAAGATCCCAAGAACAAAATGGAACTTTTGAATGATGCGTATCTTGCGCGGCGAAATGAGAAGCATCTCCTAGTCGCTTTTCAGCTCAACGAGTCAGCAATCACAGATGGTATCAAGAGATTCTGGACAACTGCAGTGCTCACCGACAAGTGGCAGCTTGTACACCGAGATGATTCTTCCTGGATCTCGAATCGGGCTTCTTCTAAAGTCGTCCACTATAATCTTGTGACGGGTAGCCTCCTTGTCTCTGGTCGGGCAATTTCTCAGCTTCCCGCTCAGTACACATCTAGCCCTCTTTACCGCTCGATCTTCGGAGAACTTGACCTCGATGTCTTTGCCGCTGATACCGAAGACATGGAGTATGTGTCCAAAGATGATTTTCACGGCCATCGAGTTTATTTTGGCATGCGTGGCGATGTTCTTCTTATTCGTTCGCAGAATAACGATGAGACCTTCGAAGCAATCCAGCGTGACCATTTTCGAGGAGATCTTCCGCGAGTAATTGTTGAGGATACCACTCCTTGGATGTCCTTGAGGGACGGCAGAGTGGAATTTCGTTCTAGGAAGCGACCATTCCGCTCAGATGTATCTGACTGGACTCTCATCACTGATGTCAAGTCAGGGTCCAAGAAACGCATGTATGCCGACCAGAAGTATCTGATAGATACCCACAGTCAGGTTGGCTCGATCATCTGTAACGCCCTACGGCCGATTGAACAGTCATATCACATCGTCGTCACGTTCTGCAAAAACACGACAATCGAGATTGAGCTCCCTCGCTATCATTTGCACTTTTTCGTCGATTTCCAAGGTCGAATTGTTTGCAAGGAGCTTTCGGCCTTTGTTGATTCTGACCAGGCACTAGGGACTCTGCATGGATTCCGGTCTCGTCTGATTTTGCGGACTACGAGCAAGCTTCCAGGATCGAACTTGAGAACCGTTCTTATTCCACACGGCGATGTGAGCATAACAGCAGCACCTCCTCATATATCTGCTCAAGTCCAGTTGGACGATACTCATTCTGTGAGTTTTTCGCAATTCCGGGTTGATGTCAGACTTGGACAGTTGATCAGCCAAGATCTGGAAGCCCATCTTTACAAGGCATACCTGCATGCCATCACAAGCTTCCCGGAATCTGATTCTCTGACTGGCAGAACTGGCACGGAGGAGAGCCTGTTCGCTTTGTCAGATCATATCTGTCGCACCTGCCAACCACTTTCCAAGCGTGCCCAAGCCATTCTGTCTTTGATAGCTCAACTCACTCCAGGGCGGAAATTCTATCCGCCTCATCTCAAGACTATGCAGACTGTCACTTTCGACAATATTCTTCCTGTTATGGCCCAACGCGATATCTTCTTTGGAACAGTCCATAAGATTATCGCCCACAACATGAAAGCAGATTGGTTGTTTGATGCCAATGTGACTGCCATACCGTACAAGGGAGACTTTGCACTGTTGGATAGATCTCACCACCGAACACGCAAGCTTTTCCCAAGCGAATCTGTGGCATCAATGTCTCACTCTGTTAATGACGAGAATTATTGCTCGCGGGATCAAGAGTTGGATCGCAACTTCCGCGCGTCAGCTGACATGGCTTGCCTTGTAGAATCCTCGCAATCTGCATTCAGTGTTGATACGTCCTGGACGAGCAAGATACAAACATGGAAAAAAGTCAGTGGATTCAGCAAGGGCTTTACATTCAACTCCTTCTCGAGTCTGTTAGGTCAGGACTTTAGAGACATCTTTCCCCGCCTAATGGGTTTTTGCAGATCAGCCTCTACCTCAAAGGAGAGCCTCATGTTCGTTCTATCGCTCTTAGCGTTTGAACAGCCCGCAATTGGCGAACAGTTAAGGGCACTCCTCGCGTTCGCAATCTCACCCGCACTCAGGGATCTCGCGGCTCCCAGACACGATTCCTACGATTTGAGAGACGGGCACACACTCCATCACAAGGAGATCTTGATGCTCCTTTCTCAATGTGAGCAACCATTTGTCCCCAGCCAAACTTCAGAAGCCGATGAGGACAGAATTGCAGAAGAGCGACTACGGTTTCGAAAAGAGCTGGCAGCTCAGCGCGAATCAATCCTAGAAGCTTTGCGCAAAGCCTGGCCGTGTGAAACTGTTCAGTTGCCGGCAGAGCAATCCCTGAATCACTACAAAGTTTCAGAGCTAGAAGTGCTTCTGGATGGGAGGGTTGCGGTGTGGCACAAGAATTACCTCTTCTTGCAACTCTTGGAAGATTATGATCGGAGGCTGGAAGCTTTTAATACCAGCTGGACTGGCCCGGATATTCCTGACACTATTGTCGACTTTGAGCACACCACCTGTTCTTCGCCTCAAGATACACATTTTTCGCTACTTGGCCTCATGGCCATGACCCCAATCACCGTTGAGGACTTTAACGAGAGCGAGCCCACTGGCTTGGACGGCGATCTTTCGCAATTGGTATCTCAAAAGTTGACTCTTCCACTTCTGGAGTCTAACCAAGCTCGTTCTAGCTGGGAGGATCTAGAAGATATTGTTGAAGATCTGTCCTGTGATTCTTCCGTAGCGGTCCGCGAGTATGGGCAGCTATTGGGAAACAGTATCGAAGCCATGAAGTCCCGATCGGATCAGGCCCAACCGAAGATGAAGTTGCCTTCGAGCGAGGTTCTGACTCAAAAGCTCGAAGAGTCTAGAGGTCACATTGCCTATGTCTTAGCTCGGACATGTACGCTTTTACGACCGCGCCTTCCCTCCTATCGGGGTCTGGTTACCGCTAAAATTTGGCCCCAGGTTTCTGAGTTAACTTTACTCCAGCTCCTCTCAGCTAAACATCGAAAGAGAGTTACTGCTTGTTGGATGCCAGTTCTACTCCAGTTCGCAAGAGAGATTACAGCCGCTCAGCGAGTGGAAAGATTACAGAAGTATCTTGACACCGAGGATGCGTTCGCTCTCAACAATGAGCTGGCAAATCCTGCGCATTCTGTATGGTCACCTGAAGAGCGGCCTGACTGGCTGCTACTCGAATGCCAAAACAACTTTCTTATTCGCCCAGTCCAGATTCAGGTGGCAAAAGAGTTGCTCAAGCCGGAAAATGGGACCGTGTTGTTGGGTATGGGCGAGGGAAAGACAAGTGTCATTCTAAATCTAGTGGTAACGGCACTTGCTCGAGGTTCACATCTAGTTCGGGTTGTTGTTCTGAAGCCTCTCGCTCAAGAAATGCTCCGGCTTTTGTCGCGATCTCTTGCAGGCTTGGTGGGACGAACCCTCTACTATCTGCCCTTCTCCAGGCAGACCACTCTAACTGCTGAAACACCACAGCGATTAATGAGTCTGTATCAGGAGTGCCGTCAAACCGGAGGAATCCTTCTTACTCTACCCGAGTATTTGAACTCGTTTCGTCTTGTGGGAATCGATAAGCTGGCACAGGACACACATGATATCGCTACTAAACTCATCCGTGTTCAGAAGTGGCTCGATTTTAATGCTAGAGATGTCCTCGATGAATCTGACGAGTTGTTAAAGCCTGCATACGAGCTCGTTTACACGAACGGGGAAGCAAACCTCCTTTCGGGAGCGCCGGATCGCTGGAATATCTCGTTAGAGATCTTGGATCTAATTCGGAAAAAAGCGAAGGCACTCTACATCGAGTTCCCAAAAGCTGTTGAAGTCGAAATACAAAGCCGGGGCTCGTTCCCTCACGTCAGAGTGCTTAATGAAGACGGCGCCGCAGCAGTAGCTAACTTAGTTACCAAGGCCATCGTCGATGGGCAACTTCCAAGCCTTTCTCTCGGTCACTGCAACCCACACGTGCTTCAGGCCATCAGCTCATTCATACTTAATGTCGACATCGAAGCCGCGCAATTGGAATTGGTGGCCCGACACTTTCAGAGCTCTGCTAAACTCGATCTTCTCTACGTCGCTAGAGGATTGGTTTCCCACCAGATACTGAGCCACACTCTTCGTAAACGTTGGAAAGTAAATTATGGACTGGATCGGACGCGAACTCTAAGCGCAGTTCCATATCGCGCAAAATCAGTTCCATCGCCCAGTGCTGAATTCGCCCAGCCGGAAGCATCAATCATCCTGACCGCGCTCTCGTTTTACTACACGGGCATCCTTCGCCCAGATTTGAGGAGATGTCTCCTTATTTTGCTCAGATTGCCAGACCCTGCTGATGCTTATGGTAAATGGGTGAAATATTCTGGTCTCCCGGGCAAATATAGCAAAGTCAACTCTATCAACCTGGACGATGCTTCTTGTGTTGATATTCTGTATGACCATCTCCGCTACAATAGTGAGTTGATAAGTTTCTTCCTACGGCATGTCGTCTACCCTTCGGAAGCAAAAGAGTTTCGATACAAATTATCCACCTCGGCTTGGGATTTGTGTCAAAACGTCGGAGTTCTCACGGTGGGCTTCAGTGGAACTTGCGATAGCAAAATACCAATCGTGCAGAAGGATCTTCCTGATTTAAGACATATCACGGCCTCTACTCTGAGCACGCTGCTACGATACGAAAATCGGCAGTACTTCTGTGCTGCGTCACCGTCTGGTCAGCGTCTCACAACTAAGAAGCTGTTGCAACGTATCACTGCAGACGGACTAGTCGACGTCATTATCGACGTCGGTGCTCAAATGCTAGAGGGAAACAAGGAAATAGCCCAGTTATGTTTGCAGATCAGTCCGAAGAAGATGGCAACGATATTCTTTTCGGACAACGATGAGAAGATGGTCTTGAATCGTGATGGTTCAACCGAATCACTTGCATCATCCATCTTTAAAGACGAGCTGAAAAGCTGTCTGATTTTTCTCGATCAGTTTCATACAAGAGGCACAGACTTTCAGCTCCCAGACAACTTTACTGCCGCAGTTCTTTTGGGACCTGGAATCCTGAAAGATAATCTGGCACAAGCTTGTATGCGGATGAGGAAACTAGCTGTCTCTCAGCGAGTCAGATTCTATGCTCCCCCAGAGGTTGATCAAGCAATTCGAAGCATTACCAATGATCCATCAGGAAATCTTGACAGCCTACATGTTGTCCGCTGGGCCATTAACGAGTCCTGTCTTGCTCTGAAAAAGCAAGATCCACAGTACATAACTCGAGGTCTACTGCACTCACGACGGCGACTTGCTGCAGATCGTCACATCTCTTCGGATGGAAAAATTACGAATCCCGAGCAGTATCTGGACACTATTCGAGAACGAGAGTGCCGCCCTGTGTCTGAGCTGTACTGTGCGAGCGGAGGTCACGGAGCAGAGCTGCCGTTTGAACCAACTTTCAAAGAGTCACAAGATTCTGTGATCCAATGTTTGCGCGCAGATTTGGAGCGAATTAAAATGGTGGAGTTCGAGGACAGTGGAATCACACAAGAACAAGAGCGGGAAATATTGCATGAAGTTGAAGAAGAGAGGGAGGTACAACGTCCCCGAGAAGTTTTGCCTGCCACCCCTCAACACTGTCAGAGACTATTGGACTTCATTCGAAACGGGACACCTCTTACTGGCACCCCTGAGCTTCGTCCGTGCTTCGAGATCCTGGAGCAGACCCGTCTCGCGCTTTATTATCATCGAGATTTTCCGGCACATGTCTTGGTGACCAGAGATTTCATGCGAACCGTCCAGAACAAGGACGATTCTCCTGAAGATGATTTCTTGAGACCGGTACAGTGGGTCGTGAAGACATCAGAAATAAACCAGCTCATCATCATTAGCCCGCATGAAGCTGACGTGTTTTTTCATTCGATTCGGGAATCAACGCGGGCTACCATGCATATGTATCAAGCTCGTACCTCTCGCGGTATGGTTTCCTTCGACGCATTGAATATATGCAAGCTTCCAGCGAACAACGCCTCTGGAGAAATCACACCACAAGCGGTGGCTCTGCTTGGCCTCTTCGCGGGTCAGTTGTACTTCACTTCTTTCGAGCACTACAAGGAATTTTGTACGCTAACTGGTCTCTTCGATGGAGAACGTCCCCTACCTCACAAGAGGCAGGTGGCGAACGACAACTTTGTTTCACCTTCCTGTCGGAAAGCGAATGGGTGGACAGAGTGTACGTTCAAGACAAGCCCGGTCACTTGGATCAAGGGATTTATTGATATGCGGCGGGCAGGCATCGAGTGGACGCATACTCATATGGGACGAGTTCTCAATGGACAGATCTTGCGGAGACAGGATTTCGAAGAAGAAGATGAGGAGAAAGCCAGGGCACAGGATATGGAAGAGTTGAGCCTTGACGGGGAGGATGCTAATGAAGAGTCGGAGACTGCAGAGTCAGAATGAATTGCCTTGGGTGGCGTGGCGATTGTTGGCACACTTGATGCATTGAGGTCGGGTTGGGTTCCGCTTTTATCAGAGTCGAACCGAGACAATCTGAGGAGAGACAGTGGATGGGTTGCTGAGGAAAGAAAAGGTTCCTGAGGGGCCACAAAGAGCTGTGAAATGGACATTGGGTGAGACCTGTGATGGCCATGCTCAGGTTGTTCGTTGTGTCGACCAATTGCCTGGAAAACGTGCTAAAGGAAAGAAAATTAACAAAGACCGAAAAGAAAAAGAAAAAGAACAAGAAAATCATGTGACAATGAAATTATGTTCAAGTAAAAATCGTTCCTCCCTCTTTCCTTAATATGCCTCTAAAAAAAAGGCATCATTAATGTGAAGGAGTCCGGGGACTCATTGCTCTCCGTCCACGTCGTATAAACTGTGATGGAAGGGGCTGTAAGTATTGACCTGCGTCGCTCTCGCCTAATGAGTGATAGTGAAGAATAGCAACGAAGTAACGAGGTGCAGTCGGGGCAGATAGCCAATTAGAATCATGTGAGCGGTTGTTGATGCAGCACATGTTACCGAGTGACGGACCATTTTCCCAGCAAACTGTTAGCACATGTGCCATTCCCTCCCATGTGTCTCGAGGAGAAACGAGACTAGCAAGTAGTCGAGCTCCTGAAGTGTCGGAAAAAAAAAACCCCCCGCAGGGAATTAATGTTCCCGCAATGACGCTTAACGTAGGGGACAAGGCAGTGCACTCAGTTGGATGACAGGATGACATGGCCAAGGCTATACCCAGCAGAAAGGCCTTAAACTCGGATTAGCGTGGTAGGACAAGGCCTAGACCTAAGTCGGGGAACTTTCTTTCCAGACTTTGTTGGGTGCCTTCGGCAGCGTTTTCCGAAGCCCTTCTCACTGGCACAATACGATAAATCGCCTCCCGATAACGGAGAGCCCTAGGCGCCACTTTCCACGGTGTAGCCAATGGTTTCTGGTCAAACACCAAAGACTTTGCGGCAACTTGGAAAGTGAAAGAAGTCGAGGAAGGAAGGGTCTGTCAGCTGCCAAACAAGGCCGAGTCTTCCAAGGTCTCTCGAGTCATCACATGGTAAAGAAGACGAAACCGGTGGGAGATTGGCTGCAATGGCGCAATTGGCTATCTATCTATCTGGCTGCCTGTTTGTTTTGTGGGCTGTCTCTGCCGGAGGAGAGAAAAGAGAAGGAGGGGAAAGAGGGGGTAGAAGAGGCTAAATAGCCTTCGGCATACCTTCCATCCTCTTAGGCTAACGGCCGGGCCTTCCCTGGCATACCTTCCCATCCAGCACATACATGTGACATGAGCACCGAGACTATGATTATCTTCCGGACTCACAAGTACAGTAGAGACGGCGACTCCACCTTTTAGAAGGGCGTTTGGCGAATAATTTTGTTCTGGCGCGATATTTACGTGTTGCATTCTCGCGCGCGAAATTTACACATTTTTCTCAATCCAAGGACATGGGCGGCGGAAAGTTCGTGGGCACACCGCTGCTAACTGTTCACCGGGGACACTGACTGGTGGAATGAGGCCTTCTGGGGTATCTAGCGAAAATACAGATCGCAAAATACCGGCCATGTGCACACCTCCTGGCACACACCCAAGGTTGATGATGATATGTATGATTTCTGTCGCTCTCATGGAGCATATTTATCGGCAAAGAGGACATTCTTCCAGCATATCATCAGCGCTCCAGGATAACTGCCAATAGTTGAAGATTCCAAGCACATCCTTTACTCCGGCAGACGCTGCAGATGCGTACAATCAGGAAGAACTCCGGCACCGCAAAACCTGCTTTCAGCATCCGACCAACCCTTCACGCCGCCAGCTTAATACAATGCTTCCGCATCCTGCCCTTGATGACAATCGACCTTGGGAGAAAATTTTCCATGTTGTCCTCTTTCCCAGCTACTGCGCTGCTCCCGGTCTGCCAGAGGAGACCCTCCAGAGTCTTCGCTCATTTTGTGTTGATGCGAGGCATTTGCATTCGATTTGACGTTGCTGTCGCTAGGTACGGGGGCGGAGAGACGGGGGATTGTGCCGGACACCGGATGTTGCTTTCCCGTTTGCGGGTGGCCAGTCACAGTATCGTCAGAAGCCTTGGAAATGGCAAAATCTCCCGAGTCAAAGAACTTGCGTTCCTGTGGAATGTGGATGTCAGCGTTCAGATACCAATGGTAGGGCCACAGAGAGGGGCGACGTACAGTCACTTGAGAACGGAGGAGTAAGTTTCGCTTTGGCAAAATTCCGAACCGTGCAACAACTTGTCTCTCGTGTTCAGTCAGGCCCTAGCGCGATATTTGTCAGTAAGGCAGCTGGTTTGCAATCACAGTACTTGCTTCACCTCGTTTGAAATTTCGGGCGACTTGCTATCATCCATTGAAGGGAGTATTTCTCTGCTGAGGTCTATCAAGATTTACAAGGCAGGCAAGTGCACCCGCTGGTGGTTATAAAGGTTGTTCCAGGACACACCTCTCGGCTGTCCGGCTGTTGGAATAGGGTGTTCCTTGCGTACAAGGGTTAGAAATGAACGAAGCACGAACGAGCGAAAAGCTGGTCCGGTCTTGTGAGTGCTTTTCGTCAGCCAATGAACATGCATCTGCTGCAAACATGGTTGATCTAGCGTAGCAGTCCCATGACCAATAAAAGGTAGTCCTTGCCTATGACCTCATTATCGACACTTTTGTCGCTGAGGGCTGTCATCCCCCCCCCCTTTTTCCCTCTTCAATTACAGCCTGCGACATACCTTCTGACATGGCAAGTATATGATTGAATGATGTCCCACCCGCTTCCAGAAGCCGCGGGAAATCCTTCGTGGGGGAAGCAGCGCTTCCGAATTCCATACAGGTACATTATCACAGTATCAGTTCTCAACTGCAAGACAGATGCCACGCGTGGCGAACAAACTAAAGAAGATCAAGAGACGAGGACATTTCCAACAACTTGGTTCAGGGCCCACTGCTGCAGTGAATAATAACAACTCTTCACAATCCATCCCGTCTCCACAAAGGACCTCGACATCCGCCAAGAGTTCGACGTGTTTGAACAGCGGAAAACAGTCTCCCTTCTCTAGGTAGCTGAATGCGGGCGAAGGTGTTCATCGTGACGACTTTCGGCGATAAATACATGGACAAGTACACGGCAGTAGACCGTTCCCCGTGGACGAGGGACGCCAATTCATCATCAAGGTCGCAGGGATGTAGTTCGCCACGCTCGTGGCCATACATATCAGCAAGAAGAACAGAACGAAGAGGTTAAGTAACCAGCCAATGGGTTCCAATTTTGCGGCAACTAGGAAATTCCGTTGTTAGCACGACTAACAAGGAGAGGGCCGCAGCCCGCAGAATTACAAGTAGTGCGACCGGAAAAGGCATCTAACCATGTCGGGTCATGAAGTTCAGTAACTTTCCGTTCCAGGCAAGAGACTCATCACGGTCCGGACTCTAGAGGATCACTTCCTATCATTGAGTGGAAAGGTTATGTGCGCTTAATCTACTATAATGGCTAAGATATCCATGAATCTTTAACCGCCGAGTGAAGCGTGACCCGCTGGGTAACCTGGTAAATATTACATAGACTCACTTATCCACAGCAATGGATCCAGGTGTGTACAAGTACTGCGTGTGCGCCATGGCGAACGACGGATCGCACAGAAGACCCTAAGTCCCCGGTCATCCAACAGCGACAGCGGCGACAATGTCAACAACGACAACAACAAACAACCGCAACCAGCTTAAAATTAGTCCACAACGCGCACCCCACGTCCTAAATCTTGAAAGAGAGGCGTAGCCATTCTCTCAGTTCATAAATAGCCACGAGAGGAGACACCATTTGTTGTGGCCTGCGGTCAACTTCGACTCCAGTATGGCAACCTCCTCGCTCAGTCGTCGTTAGGTCTCTTCCCCGGTGCCTTGGGCCAGGCTCAGGCCCGCGGAGCGGGGATGGAAAAGATGTTCCCCTCTAGTCTCTCCACCTAGACATGAGGGACCCTAAACCGGCTCGCGATCCCTTCCGTGGCGTTGCTCCTGCGGAATCCCACATCCGGGGACCTTATCGCAGGAGTTCTCTTGAATACCCTGACGTTGCGAACGGGGTTCAAGCACTATCTCCCTAGCCGAATAATTCCGGCTCCCTGGTCGGCACCCGCGTTTATCCTTTTACGGTCGCAGGGCGATTACGTTCCTCTTCTTCGCGATGAACCGGGTATAGCAAAGCATACCGCAAGAGTATATTTCTCTCTATGTGTTGGCCGGGTGGATTTGCATGGGAAATCACATTTAAGAGAGTGGAAGATATAGTTGGCCTGCGTTTGTGGTATACTTTGATCGCCTTTTAGTTCAATGCCCAGAACACCGGCGGCGGGATTTCGCACGAAGATGCCCTTTAAGTTCTCTTTTGTACATAGGCCGCCACTAACGGACATATCTAGGACACAATAGGGCTTGCCCACTTAGGGCATGTTGTATAATCAGCACGCCAATAAGTTCACTGTTTTCAAAAGAGGCTTGAGAACTTCGTCCGAAAAGCGACCCGGAAGCACCTTAACCCCGGATATTACAAAAGCGAAGAAGCTAAAAGTTGTGCCTAATAATTTATTTACACTGAGACCATGGAATTGTATCGTCATTGAGCTAAGATCTTATCGTCGGACATCTGCAAATTGGGGTTTCGATGAGTGGCAAAGTCCAGTCGTGATCGACGGCTTTGAGTCCTTGGGAGAAGATGGAGACGTGAAGAGATGAGACTATGACAAGCTAATAATAGTCTCCGCTCACCCGAATCTGGTGGGAAAGGACTCTTTTTTTCTTCTTCTCACGCGTTGAGTCGTTGTCATATAGGACTGCGTGAACAGGACATGCCATTCAGCCACTCCAATTCTCAGTTACCGACCGCGTAACGTGGGTCCTGATACTTGATGTGGTCAACAGCTTTGACTCCCTCGGAGAAGAAGACGTGTGACAGGTACAAATTTAACTCAAATAAGAATATGACGATACTATACCGAAGCATTCAGTTCAAGACATATGGGAACTGAGAAATATTCATCATTATATCTTTCCTGAAAAGCTTTTGAGATTTCCGGCGCTGCCACCACCCTTTTGGCGCGCTCGTCCTTCGTAACACTGAGGAGTTATCCTGTCCGGTCGTGGATGAACGAACAAAAACCAACTCTGAGACCGCCAAAAGCGTCGGCAGTCGACAAGATTTTGGGGTGATCAATGACTTGCATATACATTTCCGCCCAGGCTTAAAATGTCGTTTCAGCAAACGCATAAGAGGTCGGGGAGAACAGAAAAAAAGTCACTGCAAATCCACAACATGGGACGGCAATGTTAGGCCTTTAAACAATGCCGAGCAACACCATATCCTTCAGCGGCGAGCAGTCGTCGCAGTTGACGAGCTTCTGGAATATGCAAACTTGGTCCTGGAGACGTTTGATTTCGTCATCCATGTGCCGGATCTCGACTTCCGACTGGTGGATGTAATTGACGGCTCTTAACATGATGTCGGACTTGCGAACTCGGCCGGAGAGAGCTGGGCCTACCGAGGACGAGTTGTTCAAGTGAGATGTCGAAGCCTGGTCCGTCTCTGCGGCTAATAGCACTTGGTGAAGCTGTATTAGCTTACCCTTGAGATTGTCACGATACCGCCGCTCAATGACCGAGTGAGAGTACTTGGCTTTCTGAATGGCCGCCTCGTCCTCGCTGGGCGCGGATTGATTGCGCTTCTTCCGAGGTCTGCCCCTCTTGGGCTGTCGACCTGAAGAAGAGCGTGCAACGCGAGTTCGTAAAATATTCTTTCTGGTATCTACCAGGCTCGATGGTGGTAATAGGGAGAGATTACCGCCGTCGCCCTTGAGGCCTAATGTAGGGTGGCCTTCTTCAGGCGATTGGCACGTCTGGAAGTCTGTAGAGGATTCAGAGCCACCATTTAACTGTAATTGAGCTAGTGCGACTGTCTGCATAGTAGAGGGCTGGAATGGTTCTAGCAAGGGACTGAGAAATGAATCATCTAAGCAGGGTTGTATGGCGTAGCTGGGAGGTTGTCCTTGTTGGGTGTCTAGTGGTATGGGCCATGTATTGAACTCTTTTGCGGCAAAGTTATGGCTATCACTATCTGATTGGAAGTTGATGTATGTTTCATTTAGAAATTGCTGTGATCCTTGGTTAAGAAAGAAAGGATCTTGATAGTATGACATTGTAGTTCGAAGTAGCCGGTAATATTTCCTTTCTTTTGAACAGATGGTGAGTTATAACCTCCACTGAAACATTTGGGAACGCAGCACAACACAATATTCTCAAGCGTCTAGTGCTCTTTATAGAGGGTTTTTCCAAAGTCGAGATAAGCCCTGGATCCCCGAGGAGCCACTCTTTGGGGCACGTGGCTTGGAAGTTTGTTGAAACAGACCCCGACGAACTAAGGAAGATAGGCCCATGTGTTGGTTGGATTTCGCCGCTTGCTTCCACTAGAACCCCGGCTCTATAGCGGGGAAGGGCATTATTAGAGAGAAAAGAATGCGTACCATCTGAAAGCAGCTCAAGCGTTGGCCTAGGGAAGGAATGGCATGCTTCTGCGCACGGAGCTCGCAACAGCTCGGAGATGTCTCGCTCTCTCGCTGACGATTGGCTCTGGCCATCCTTACCTTGGACCCATTATGCGCTTCATAGAACGTCATCCCCGTCACCGAATCTTGGGGGTCCGACGAGGAATTGCACTGGTTCGTCGCTTCAACACAGCAGATGAAATCTCACGTGAGAACATTTACATATTTTCAAGAATCTAAACATCAGGTGAGCTTCGCGGTAGGGCAACTTCTCAGCGATCATTTGAATTAAGGCAAATTGCTTGCCAAGGAGTCTAGAGACTTGGAGTCTCCGAAAATCCTTGGAGCGGGGTGACAACAATCGCGCTCCAACAGTAAGCGGAGAGCGGATCAGCTGCGAAACAGGACAGGTCGGTGGTCTGACCTATTGCCATCTCTTTCTCATACCTTTACTTGTTACAAGATAGCTCAAAGAGCTTGTCAACTGCGTATGTTCCTGAAAGATTGCTCCAGCCATTGCTCATGGAATAGATCGCCTAACTACCATTCCAGTCAAAAACTTGTCTAAAAGAATGCTCTCCTAACAGTTCTAGGCCAGTAGGCTCCGCTTCGCCATTCGCCCCCTGGGGCTGTGTTGCTTACTTCTGATTCTTGCACTACTCAAAACTGCCGCCTACGCCGCGCATAACCGCAAGATCTTCATCATTCCAATTCTACATATCCTCTGGTCAAATCATCGTTGTGAGCGTTGAGCATTTGCTCGCCTCGGCTCAGATCTCAATATCGTGAGATGTATCGGTGGTACAGAAACGGGGTTCATAATCCTTGAACACGGATAGCTCCCTCGGACAGTATATCGACAAACGAATGCAGATTTGATTCTGTTGGACAGAAGACTTCGCTGGTCAATAGACGCGGCCGAGAGGGCGCGATGTATGCATGAGAGCGGGGATAATCCACGCCGACGTTTCGTTGTCACCATATAATCTTGATTGAAGGATGTCTAAAATTCATCGACTTCGAAGGTTGCAGCATTGACAGCAATGAAGCTGCATCCTGTTGCGGTGTAGAGCGTCATATCTTTCAAATCCTTCCCTTAAGTCCGCCACCCAAGAAGTGCAACGCATTTGTTGCGGATTTCTTATGGATTTCACGAGGTCGCGAATGCATTTCTACCCCAATAACACCTGTTAGAGCTCAGACCCTTCTCGCGAAGGCGTTTTGCTGAGTAAAACAGTGGGCCCTGCCCACTTGAGGCGACTGAGCTGATGGGTCTGAGAACTGAGGCAAAGACAGGGCCTGGCTACTTAGCCTCGCCTATCCGCTCTTTCCCTTCTCTTTTTCTCCTCTCTCAGAGACAGCTCACCAACAAACAGATAGCTACACTAGCTAGCCATTGATCGAGCTATTACACCCAATTCGCTGCCATTGTGACGTTCCTCTTTCGCCTTTTTCCTTTCTCTTCGAGATACGACAGCTGTAACTCAGCTATATATTGCTGTAATAAGTCAACCGTCACAAAGGGAGCATCTACTATGGACAAAAGCAGTCCTTATAATTGAGACAGAGAATCCATTTTGAAGCGTCTGCCTTCAAACATGAGTCAGCGCAGTCTTGTACCATGGCTCGTGTCCTTGTACTCAAGATTCCAGTGAAGAAATATCAAGAGACGTATCGTCCGCCGTCAACATTGAACCCAGCACCACTGTATGAGTGAGGATCAGCTATTCCGAGCACCAATCGCTCCTGTCAAGTAACCACCTACGTGATATAGTTTGCTTCATCCGATGCCAGAAAAGCTGTCATGTTGGCGATATCTTCGGGCTCGCACAGCCGGCCGAGAGGTAAAGTCGCCAGCCGTTTGGCTCTTCCCTCTGCGCTGTCGACACCGCCGTAGACCCGTGGCGCCCTGTGCAGATCAGCCCGTCAGTGCATTTTCAGAACGGTTACTGTGTTGCTTCACTTGCATTGGTGTGTTGCCGAACGATGGTCTTATAATGTTGAAGCGGACACGATGTTTGGCATATGCTCCGGCTAGGCCTTCGGTTGCCTGTCACGACGCTCAGCTGAGAACATCAAGCTTAGTCGGGGGATCGGTAGGCACAGTGTCAAGAGCTCCTTTGCTGGCAGTATACCATATTGTACTTGCTCTTGGTCTCTGCGAGCCGATACTGCCAATGTTGATAACATGCCCCGGAATACCTTTCTCGATCCAGTAGGGCACGACGACCTTGACCGTGAGATATAGTGGCTTGACATTGACCTGCCAGACTCGATCAAAGTCCTCTTCGGGCACCATGTGTGCGTCGGCGCCCAGGTGGACGTAGCCGGCGCAGTTGACTACAGTGTCAGGGATTGCGGAGAATTTGTGCTGTGCCAACTGAAGAGCCTCACGCCACGTTTGCTCAGACGCAACGCTGGCTGTCAAGTGGGAAAATGTCCCCTGAGGGACCAACGTGGCTGTCTCTTCGTTTCCAGCTTGATTTATATCAATGCCGAGGACATGTGATCCTTCAGATGTCGCTTTCTTGACAATCTTCAACGCTCACCGTGTCAGAAGATTGTGGTTGAGGGCTCACATCAGGGCCACCAACTTACTCCCCTTCCAAACCCGGACCCTGCGCCGGTCACAATAATGACTTTGCCCTCCAGTCTTCCCATCTTGTTCGAATTTTGCGATGAAAAGTGTCAATAATAATAAGCCTCTGGGCGGGAGCAACGAGCTTTGAGTTGTGTTATTCGGCGCCGTAAGATCCGCTCGCCTTCCACATCAATAGCCAGCAGAAGGTTTGTTATATGATGAAACAATCAAATCTTCGAGTGTACATCGACGTAGCTTCGCAAGGTCGGTTCGCCGCTATGATCCCCACACGATCTACTCCATCCGTGCGGGCAGCGCAACTCGGCTAACAAGCCAGCATTGCCGCGTGCCGGCACTCTCGAACTGTATGTTTCCCCGTTGTTCGGTTATAGAATCCTTCCTTCCGAGCCCAACAAGCTGTTGGTAATGCAGACTTTCGCATCAACGCCGCTGCAATCCAGTTAACTGGCTCGGACACGGGCAACTCTTGCCTGCCGGGGTTGTTGTGAGAAAAAGGTGTGTTTTGTAGGAGAAACCGCAGACGCGGCTGAGAAGGTGGAAGATGTAGCCAAGCGTGGGGTTCCAGCAAAGACATTTAACAGCAGGATGATCACCATATGCGATGCTTACATCTCGATGCTATGTCTGGCTTTGCCACTGTTTCTGCCTGACTGCCCCCGATGTGTGGAAAAGCCTCGACTTTGACTTGTTCAAACACAACCTGGACGCATGTACGTTCAACTTTAGATAACGAGTGACTACACAGCTACTTATAAGCTTCAATATCCTGGACATCGGAAAATTGGTAGGTTAGAAACAGAACCGGTCTGAAAAGCCCCGCGGAAGTCTCTCAAGAAGGTCCACAATGTCTTCTCCCGCCATCCCCGAGCCTTCCAATCATTAGCTTGTTTGGGGTATATGTCTACCACGCCCTCGATAGTGTCGTCGTGTGCTGCAATAAAGAAAACGTTGTCCTGTCCATCGGCTTCTTGTGCATGGGCGATCGTTCTCAAAGCCTCATTGAAATCGCTTGTGATCACAGGATCGAAAAAGGATTGACTGACATTGCGTCCTCGCGACGTTTGAAGTGACTCGAGAATCTCAACCGTGGCAGTGTGATTGCCTACATTCTCTGCACCAATGGAAGCTGCAGCCGATGCGAAGCTCAGATGCTTGGACGGTCGAAGTTCACCGCCGTGATGAGTTAAATCACCCCCAAGAAACGCAAAAGTCTCCGGGTTCGATGTGGTGCGTACGAGGCCCCCCAGGTGGCCAACGGCGTGACCAGGTGTATCGAGAAGGTAGAATGAGCCATCGCCGAAGTAATCCATGGCTCTCATCTCCCCTACCTGCACAGTCTCTGGGCCGTCGAAGTTGATCTCTCGCAAACGCCTGCCACTATTATAGGGATGAGCATTAGCAATTCAGACAGGGGCATGCTCAGTTGCTCCAAAGACCGTGGTCCAGCTGATGGCCGGTGGCTAATCGGGGCGATATACTTACTTGAGATCTTTCTGCCGGATTGGTGATTTGGGACCAGCCGGGTATGCCGGAAGAAATTCTTTGCTGAACCCTGGTCCGACGACCAGATCAGTAGTGGAAGGGAAATGCTGGATGTCACCTTGGTGATCCCAATGCCAATGACTGTCGAAACGGTCAAATCAGTGTATAAAATTCATTGTTGTAACCAAAGATATTCCCCAGGCTCATAAGAGAGTGTGGGCAGTGGATAATTGCCCGCTTACCTCCAAATCACGGCCTCGATATCCTCAAGTTGCAAGGGCCGGCCTGCGTCGCCAACAGCGTTGCTATGCTGCAGCAAAACCTCAGCGGTGGTCTTTGGTACGTTGATAACCCAGTCTTTGGACTTCAATCTATCCGAGACAATGGGCGGGAGCGAATAGACGTCCTGAGGAATCCCGAGGTCGAAGAGCACCCTCCTCGTCTTGCCCGAAATCGTTGTCTCGATCAGAAACGACCAACTAGGGACTCTCGGGAACATGTCAAAAGTCGGGAGATGCGGCTTCACTAGATGGTCCGCTGGCATACCCTCGATGGTGCCGGTGGTGTCGATGATCCACAACTTCGCTGTGGCTCCATGTGGAACAGGAAGAAGGTGATTTGTTGTACTTGTAGGGCACATTGTTTCAGCTACAGACGAAGATGGTTTCGATCTTCTTTAACGCTTCTATGTGTGCAACGCAACCAACTTTTCGTTTTCGGGTTCTGTCTTTGAGAATGCGACGAAGTGAACACTTGCGTCCCGAGCACGCCATGTTGAAGCCACGAGAGACAATGGTATGGTCCGGCAATGAGACCCCGTCCCGCACTCGACAAGTCGTGAACCACATAGCCGAAATTGGGATTGATAAAGCGGGGTTGATGCTGCCCTGTTTCCCCCCATCGGTTGACATGTGACGAGGCTGAACTCCGCAGTATAAATTTGACCCCAATGCTGTCCAAGTGTTACGAACGCTTCAAACGGGAGGTACGTATACAACACATAGAACCTAGCTTACTTGAAAGGAGCAGTACTGTGCTGGGATAGAGGGAGCGGTCGTCTGATAAGAGTCCCCAGTGCTTCGCACACGGTACAGGGATATTGATGGCAGATCGAGGCGGGGCCAGTGCGAGGAAAGAGGAGGTTGTTGGTCTGCAGTTCTTTTGTTTCACATAAAGATAGACAAATGTCCCGAGGAAGTCGAAGAAGCAGTAAAGCAGTCTCATGTGGATTGTTTAAAGCTCGCTCTTTAGAATTTTCCATTTTCCGGTGTCTGTCTCCGTGCTACCCAGATATCCGTCACTTTTGACAGAGTCGCTTTCTCTACCCGCATTATTCAAGACATTTGGAACTCCCTGGGTCTCCATGTGCCGAATGTAGCTGACCCTATCTAGTATTATCCATATTGCATAACGTCCGGCAGCATTTTCAAGATCGAGTCAGTCCACCCAGGCGGATAATGGGTTTCTGGGACGAAGGGGAGGAGCATATCATTACCGATCTGGTCGTGGCTTTGGAAATCGAATAACGCCGATATATCAGACAGTCCTAACGACCAGGAAGATGGTTGTATACTATTCAGATCTAGAATCGGATCAGGCATGGGATCTAAAGGTTCGAATGTGTCAGCGGCGGGGACCGTTCCGGAAGGTTGAGCTTGAGGTAGGCTTGCAGTTGGCGGCGCAGGAGCTTCAACTTCAGTGACTTCATGCTGCGGTGATGGTCTCATGGTGGAGAAGGGTGGGTTCTGGTTGAGCCCAGAGTCTGGAAGTGACGCGCAGGTAACTGTGACACAATCTGGGCCAGTCGAAAGGCGTCGCCGTTTCGTTGCAGGCCGTGACTCTGAATGACGTTCGGCGTTGGCCTGTCGGGCAGAGGTCGCTGTTGATGGCGAGACGGGGTATATCGGTGTATTAGGTGGCGTCGGTAAATCGCTGAAGTCAATCTCAAGTCGTTCCATCTCATGCTTGACCACACGACACATCAAATCGGCTGGACTGTAGATCTGAGACATCTCTCGCAGCTGCTCCATCAGCATATATAGATGGTGTAGCCCAGAATTACGTTTTCCTGCCTCTTTGCTGACTTTGATGGTTGACATCAAGGCCAGCAGAGCCGTACCTCCTTGTTGAAGAGAGAAAACTCCCGTCTCGCAAGTGCCAAATCTTTGCCGGTAAGCCGAAAAGCCCTGAGCGATTTTCATCGCCGCATTCATAGTGATTGATCGAGCTAAGTGTTGTAGCGCACCGCCATTGCCGCTGTCGCTGGTCCCTGCACAGAAGACGTGTGCCTTCTCCATCTCTACCCCTAGTGCGTCCTCGTAGCGTCCATACGGACCATGGAGATTGAGCTGAGCAACGTGGAATTGTTGACTTGATGAAATGTTAACCAAATCCAAATGAATGAATACGATTGCTAATTCAGGAAAACTGGGAGAGACATTCCGTGCAAGATTGGAGAGCCGCTGAATTTTAATAGAAAGCAGTTTTGAAAGAAATGACTTACTGTATTATGAAAAAGAGGCGCGGTGCGTCTCTGAGATTTTCCTCTGTCCACGTAAGGCGTGCGGGAAGCATAGAGTACCAAGTCTTCAACTTTGCATCCAGTGCTGCAACGTCAATCAAACGATCTTCATCGGCAATGCTCCCAAAAGTCAGCCTTGGCTGTGCTAGCGCTTGTATCTTCGAACTGAGCTCTGAAAGCTCAAGCAAGGCGTCCAATATATGTCCGTGAAGATCTCCATTTAAGCCCGTTGATTCATTCCTGGATTTTCGCTGGACCACCCCGGAGTCGTTCAGGCAAGAGACGCGGTTGGTCAAGCAGGACCTGGAAATATCGGAAATTTTCATGTTAGTCGGCCGTTCCACATATAACGCCCAAGCTTGATCGTATATCAGGCATGAACGGAGTAAATCTTTTCGGAATTTTGTCTCTTCAGTGGACAGCCCAAACCTTGAACAGTCTAGATTGAGTCCGAAATCAAAAGCAAGTCGGCAAGAGGTTGCTATGTGCATTCCCGCCAGGTCATCTCTGCCAGACGCACATTCGAGGTCGCTCAAGACCAGCATTGCTTGGATGATTGTGAGACCTCGGGGATCTTCAAGTTCTCGATCCAGGAGGAATTTCGCTTCTCGTTGGAAAACACTGGAACTATCATTGAGAATCACTTGTTGCATTCCTGGCCGGCTCTTGTCTGCAAACCGAAAACCCATAGCCAAACAAACGAGATGGAGGAATATGGAATAATATGTCGACCCCCCACTGCTCTGGTCATTTTGAAATGCTTGCCGATCAATCACACATAACGTGTCATTGTACCTATTCCAGAAAAGGTCCATTATATAGCTCTCCAGGTCGACAGGAATTTCCGCAAGTATTCTGTAAGAGTGCTTGTCCAAATGCGACGGCTTGAGGGTCGCATGGTCGTCCGAATTCAGATACCTCTTGTAGCAGGTAGAGGGACTGAAGTAGTGGATACGCCCCTTTCCTCTGTCATAAATGAATCGGTCAGGTCCATAGATCAGACTCCATATTGTGCTTTTTCTGTTGGTCAGTTGGTGCGGTTCAGAAGCACTTCGTTGGCGGACCGAATTGTGACTTCTGATTGAATCCCAGCCAGCTGAGTCAGGTCTGAGTACACCTGATGACCGTTGAACAGACTCCAACACGGCATCGACAGAAGCGGGTGAGCCATGTACGCGATCTTGCTCCAAGCTCGTGTGCGGTTCAACGGCTGGGCAACTAACTGGTTGAAATTGGGGCTGATCGGTCGTTGATATTATATTCCGTGATGATTCTTTATCTCGTGGAGAGCAATATCGGTGATGACGCTGCGTTGGTTGAGACTGAGTAACATTTTGCTGGAATTGGGGAGGTTCATGTCCAGCCTCCCTTAGTCGCTGTTCGAGAATTTGAATGTTTTCGAGTAGTGAGTTTAGGTACACCTTGGACTTTGGTCTTGCACACTTAGTCTGGAGTTCTTGCTTGTCAACAAGATGTTGCTGCTACCTACCTCTTGCGATCATCCAACGCCTGGAAGGTGCACTCCATGCCTTTGCTTTGGCAATAGTCGCAAGAGGATTGTCCGGAGTCCACGATACACTGGATCATAGCCTGTATTAGTCATGGGAGAGTTGCATTGTAAGATTTGTCCACCACCGACCTTGGTGCGCCGAATGCGACAGGCGATACATGCTGCAGAGGCTCGAGATTGCGGATCTGCAGTACGGGGAGTCATTCTCTGAGGCGTAGCGGTATAAGTACAATTAATACCAAGTTGGGAACAGGAGAAACAGCGTCTGCGAAGGAAACAAGTTTGGAAAGTACAGAAGTGGAAGGGGAAAAGAATCCAGGGTCAGCAGCGTGTGAGGACTTCGTCTCCTTGACAATACACAGGATGGAGTTGCGGGGTAGAAGCGGGTTAGTTTCGTTAAACTAATGGTTCCACCTGGAGCTGCGGGCGTGCGACGGAAAGGAAAAGGAACCAAGATCCAGCTTAACTGCGAGGAGGGCCTAGTGACTTGGTATGCATTTATGCAACTAAGCACTGGGGGCTTTCGTAACTGTGACCTGCGGAAAAGGGCAATAATCGCGATGCTGACAGGTGAGCGAGCGTGTGGAGTCGAAATCCAGCCTGCAAGGGGCAAGAACACGGCCGAATCTGGCGAAATCGTCTCGCATATTACTCGCCCTCCAGGTATGTGCGAAGAGAAGATCCTTAGACGAGCCAAGGGTCTACCTGGTAACATACAGTCCCCGCAGGGGCATGCTAAGCGGTAACGGTAAGCTGCGATTTGCGATCACTGGGCGGGGCCAGCATGCCTATTGTTATGCTCTCGACAACCGCAAAAAGCCCTGCTTCACTCTGTAGGTTATTAAAGAGTAACTTCACTTCTGGTGAAGCACTGGCGAAGCATTCTCTCAAAGGTGGTTGAAGTCAATCTTTTGAGCAAGTTCCTGGAGCGGATCAGTCTTACGTTGCAGAAAAAAATATGGAGACGCAAGATCAAAGCCGTTCGCATTTACGAGAGCAGTTTGCATTATACAAACATATCCAGGTCTACCATTGGCTTGCAGACACCTGGAATTGGAATGAAATGGCCAAATTGTTCTCGGAGGACACTGAGTACGAATTTGAAACTGCTGAGAGTGGAGAAAGTCGGGCTGGTTCGTTGAACCCCTTTCAGTCCCGTGAATGTGCTGGACATTGCTGCGATCCCCAAGATGTGGGAGTATTTCCATTTGCAACGCAGATTTCGAAAGCTTGAGCTCTTTTGTTTATATATGGATCGCTGACGATGGTGCCTTCTACCAGGTGGAGTCCAGCTCCAGAACCAAACCATAAGAGGGCCCGATGCCGTAGTCACGACGTTTGATGGGCTGGTGAAGCCATTCAAGAAGGCTCAACATGTCATCGTCAACACAAACTTCGACATCAGTGGCGAAACCGCAACTGGAACTGCAAACATTGTGTTTTGGGGCGTTCCAGACCCGACCAAGCCCCATCTCCACTACAGTATGGGGTCCCGATATTACTGGAAGTTCCGCAAAGAAGGCAGTCCATCGCCCACAGGGAGCACTTGGAAGACCGCTTACACCAAAGTGGAAAAGATATGGGAGCATTCAACGCTTGGCCCATGAGCTGGGAGCATGAGGGGCTACTTTAATGTTATTGGACCGGGGGTTCCGGTCGGAAAACAATAGCCGATAGAGGCCTTCTCAACTCAAAATTCGTCTGAGGACATGCTTCTGTGCTGTTGGAGGAGCACCCGCTATATCTTCTGAGCCAAGTCGGTTTCCTCGTGATACCATGGTATAGCGGAACAATGTGGAGTCGACGGTGCACAGTTCATGAGAAAAATCGCTCCTGTGTGAGTTTTACCGCAAGCTAAACTTCCCGAACGTCTTGCTGGTCCTTCGTCTATATTTTCTTAACCGCTAGTGTACATTGAGGCATTTGGGAGTGAATATGAGCATTGTCTCGCCGAGTGTGGGGTTGCACAGGATACATAGAATATTCCACGCATAAATCAGAGCCTGGATTTGATGCTCTCAAGCTCGGGAATTTCTCGAGCCATTAGCATTTCAAACTCGCGAGTGTTGACCATACGTGGGCTTAGATCGTCCAGACTTGTAGCACCCAGTAGCCGCATCGCAGTCTCGATCTCATCATTGAGCACTGTTGCAAGCTCAGAGTCAGCAGGGAACTCGACAAGCATTCGGGAGTAAGAGGACGCCAGCGACCGGGGTGGTCTATCGTAAATGGAACTTACTTTCGATTGCTCTGTGCACCCCTTCGGTACCATAGGCACTGAGAGCGTACATGAAAGGTCGACCCAGCCCGACGCCAGCGGCCCCGAGGCAAAGAGCTTTGAGAATGTCTCCTCCTCGACGAATACCGCCATCGAGAAGGATCTGGCATCTGCTAAAGACTTCAGGGCAGAGTCGACGGATTTCCATCAGAGCCCCAAGAGCTGATGTCGCGGAATCCAGCTGGCGCCCACCGTGGTTGCTCAAGTAAATGGCGTCCATTCCGAAGTCACAAGCAATTCTGGCATCCTCGGCCGTCAAGATCCCTTTCAAGCATATGGGTCCAGCGTTTTGCCATGCGTCTTCGATCCAGTGCAAGTCTTCCCAGTTTAGTGTTGACGAGTGAGGTCCCCGAAGCACTGCTTCGGGGTCTGGATTGGACAGCGCGGCTCTCCATGGGCTTACATGGTGCTGTCCATTTTTCAGTGCTTCGCGAATTTTGAACCTATCATCATCCTCTCTGATGCCAACCACGTTCGTGTCCACAGTAATGACAAGTGCCTTGTAACCTAAGGCTCGAGCACGTCGGATATTCTCGAGCGTCTCTTCCTGCGATCTCTTCACATATAGTTGGAAGAAGAGAGATCCCCCACTCGCCTCCGAAGCCAGGCATTCTGTGAGGGCTTCGTGGGAAACTGACGAAGAGTTGCTCGGACAGTAGGGAATATTGGCCCGAGCTGCTCCCCTTGCCAGACAGAGTTCTCCGTCTGGATGACCTAGTTTTGCCAATGCGCATGGGGCAATGAAGAATGGCAGACTGCTTTGGAAGCCCAGTATTGTCCGACGAGTGTTGACCTTTTGCACGTTCCTCATGATCCGCGGACGGAAACGTAGTCGCCTCCAATCATCCAGGTTGTGACAAAATGTCATCCTGTCTTGCGCCGCCGAGGAATAATAAACCCATGCGCGTTCGGAGAGAACGTCTTTTGCTGCCAACTCCAGATCATTCAGGTTCAGGCACATCTCAATGGGTATGGGGCCTCGTAGTGTACCGATCACACCAGTGGTTGCTGCTTTTGGCTCACTTGTCGCTTTTATTGATTGTTCAACTTTACCAAGATGTCTGGCTACCCAATGTTAGCACCTAAGCTCGGGGACCTGGGTCGACTATTCTTACCTCGTGGCAGTGTTTTTTCGATAGTATTGGGTGGGTGTATCGCATCGTACTCCTCTGTTGCATCCTGTCCATTTATGAGCTGACTTCGACGTTGGGTCAAGGCTACTCTGCTCAACATACCTTGCCTGCATACCGCAGAATCGACGCCGCACCCCCTGGATGCTTGTCGAGGAATTCTGAAAGATCATATACAGATCCATGGATAATTACCCAACAGGACCCTTGATTATTATGCTTTCGCACCTCCTCGATGCTAAGCATCTTGAATGAATTTCTCTCGAGGTGACCAAAGGGATTTGTCGCAGCCTCGATCAACGGCATCTATCGAAGTGTGTTGTTTGCCAATCACGATACAGTGACCGAGGCATTCTGTGAGACTAGATTCACGTGAATTATGCCAGTTCAGCTCTATCAAGGAAGCGCGTGCCATTTCAAAGGTAGATGCTGTACCAAGTCCGGAGTAGTGTGAATTGTGCAAAGCTAGGGTTCACGAAGCGGTCGAGTTGGTTGTTCGTTTAATCACGACGCTCCACAATCTTCGCCTGCAGCTAATATCCGTCAAATTATCATTGGCTTCTATTCCGCATGATTTCCGCCAATATTCCGCAGTGCTTTTGGCATCGGCTCTTATATTCCGCTGGTGACTACACACGCAGGTCAGACTGCCGCGTCTCCACAGAGCCACCCCATTCAACGAGATCTCCGGCGCGCGAAGGATAAAGAGCGATTAGTCTTGTTTCGCACGCGGATAGGACGCAGTAAAGCGAATAATCAACACGCGCTCCAGGCATTGTCCACGGGGACAATTACGCCATTGACATTGCGGGACGCTTCGACAGAGAGAAACAGGATCACGTTTGCAATGTCGGCTGTTGAGATGCTTTGGCCGCCATCTCGGGCGTGATTCAACCGATGGAAGGGCCTGTTTCTCACAAGTCAACCTGTTGAATCTACGTATGGAGTTGCTGTGGTGCCTCAAAACATTATGGCCGGCAAACGTACGTGAGCGTATCCAAGGACTCTTGGTCGAAATTCTCTTTGTGGATCGAATCTTTGATGTTCGTCGGGACTCCTGCATATCAAGGTCAGAAAGCATCCCTCAGAACAGCGTATTTGCAATGTCAATACCCCCTGGGCAAACCGCATTGGTGCGGATTCCATCGTGGCGGTAACGCCAGGCCGCATGTTTGGTCATTCCGATCTGAGCGATGGCAAAGTGTTAGCGGGCTCTTGCTGCAATTCTTCGACGACGGTCGCCGTGAGACCACTCTTATCGTCTCAAAAGCTGGGTCTGATAATTGAAAGCTGATGGCTATCGATATCACCTACTAGGGCATGTTTGCTAGCGGTATAAGCAAATCCTGCTGCAGCTCCACTTAGGCCAGCTTTGCTAGCAACGTTAATGATTCGACCTGACTTCTGCTCGAGCATACCTCCTTCATTCAATACCGCTCGCATCAGCTTCATTGGCACCGTGGTGTTCACGCTTATAAGCCTATCCCAGGTTGTGTCTTTGGTTTTGTGAACTGCTTCAAAGGCGTCCATAATGCCAGCAACGTTAGCCAGGACATCGATCTTTTTTCCCGTCTTCGAGAGACAGGCCGCGACCGAGTCATCGCAGGCGCCAGGGGCTGTCAGATCGGCCTTATGGAAATGGAAGTTGTCACAGAGAGCTCTGGGGATTGGAGATGGTTCAGGAAAAGTTGAGATGTCGATGCCGAAGACCGTTGCGCCCGCTTCAAGGTAAAGTCTCGTTGTCGTCAGGCCGATGCCAGATGCGCAGCCGGTTACAATCGCAAGCTTTCCGTCAAGCTTCCAAGCCATTCTTGTTGCAATTGATTATGAACTCTAGGCTGGAGAGAATGTAGACAATTGCAGGGTAAATTTTGACGCTCACTCGGGCTTCTGTGTACGAGTCTTGCAGGATCTCACTTTACCGTAGCGAAAATCTTCTGAGAAAGTGTGTTTCTCTGCCCAGATCTTTATCGATTGTTGTAGAATTTATAATGGACGGAAAAATTAAACAAGATTCTAATATCTTTCACCATTCACGGCTCGACTGAGAGCAGGGATATCAATTTAAGAATACGAAAGGTCCTTGGAGACTTTAATGTCACGGGCTCATTTCTGGACACACAAAAGTGATAGTCCCTATCCGTTCACCTTGGGACATGCTGTCATCTCTTTTCCGTTGGGCGGAGGTACATTTGACCGCCTTCTAGGCTCTTCACATGCCTCCACAACGAGAACATTGTTTCCTCCACCCACGGTTCAGTTATCAAATTATCTGATATTCCGGTGGTTTATGGCGGGATAGAAGGTGCTGGGGTGGATGCTTTTGAGTCCGGCTAATAATAGGCGGACTGATCGGAGGCAATTTAGATCCTTAAAAACATTTGATTTGTTCCCTCCAGGAGACAGACCGTGATATGTCCAATGGAGCCTACTTTCGGTATCGCGGTACAAGCCCTAGGTTGCAAACCAACGTAGCTGTGGCTTACCGGCATCTAGGCAGTCATATTTCTTATGACGACAATAGTGCCCTTCAAGGGTGATTCTCTTTCTTGTGACACAGCCTGACACCTTTGACCATGGGGATAAGCCTGTTGACTATGAGCTTTGGGAGCGCGCTGATGGCGCTGGGAAGCCATTTCGCATTCAAACAGAAGGAGCCAACAGTACCTCAGTTTTTGGGCCTCATTGCATGCCTCGAACTGACACTGTGCTTGATCTGGCGAAACAATCAAGAGTTGAAAATCCTTGGGTTTATCAATCTGGTCTTAACTTTCAATCTGTGTTACTTTGCGGTACTGGGCTCTAGTATTGCTATATACAGGATATTCTTCCACCCTTTACGGAAATACCCTGGACCTGTTCTCGGAAAACTAAGCAAATTTCACTTCTCATATATCTGTGGAACGGGAAACAGCCACAGGTATCTCGAGGCCCTGCACCGAAAGCACGGAGACATTGTTCGATGCGGTCCAAATGAGCTCTCTTTCATCGATCCTGAAGATGTGACTTTTATCCATGGGGCTCAATCCTTCAAACTTCGCAGAGGGCCATGGTACGACGGCAACCCTGGAAGAGCAGGTCATAATACTTTGGTTATGGCCAGTACGCGCAATGTGGAGAATCACAAAATGCGCCGGAGAATATGGGATAAAGCATTCACAGCGAACGCTTTGAAGGTCTACGAGTCGAGAATTATTCGGTTGACCGACCGACTGATCAAACATTGTGAATCAAAAAGTGGAAGTATCATTGACGTCAGTGGTGAGGTTGACCACTTCTCATTCGACATAATGGGTGATCTGGGCTTTGGAGAGGACTTTGGAATGATTGAGGGCACGAACAAGGAGTCACTAAAGTGGGCCGGTCTATTACACAGCTATATGCGCATGCTTTCAATCATTCGCCCCGTGCCATGGTTCAAAGAGCTTTACAAATGGCTTCCAATCGATCGAGAACGGAAAAGAAACGGCCTGGAATTTGTTCGATTTACTGCTAAGCGATTCGAAACACGCTACCAGAGAGGTCAAGAAGCTGGTGGGGATATTTTCGAATATTTGCTGCAGCCTGATCCCAAGTCTGGAATTCAGCTAAACAAATCCCAGGTTGCCGAGGAAGCCATCGTCGTGGTCGTGGGTGGGAGTGACACAAGCAGCATCTGTATGACGTTTGCCTTTTACTATTTGCTGTTGAATGCCGAAAAGCACAAAAAGGCGCAAGCAGAGGTGGACTCGCTTTGGGACGGCACAACTGAGCTCGATGGACAGCAGTTGGTTCCAGCACGCGCCCCGTACCTGAATGCTGTTATAAACGAATCACTGCGCCTTGCAGAACCCGATCCAAACGGAAACCAGCGCTCGACACCAAAAGGTGGTGCTGTGGTCAATGGAAAGATCATCCCAGAATTCACGCAACTAAGCATCCACAAGTGGACAATGCAGCGAGACGAGAGGAATTTCACAAGGGCGCTAGAGTTCATTCCAGAGAGATGGATAGATGAAGAGCGAGAGAGGTACGGCCTCCACAGTCACAATATCAAAGGTTATATTCCTTTCGGTGCTGGAGTATACAGCTGTGTGGGAAAACCATTGGCATTGCTCGAAATGCGTCTGTTCATGGCGCGATTCATGAGAAAACTCGAGCTGGAGCCGGCGCCAAGTTACGATCTTGAGCGGTATCCCTTGGAGGTCACGTCAAGCTTGACTCTTATGAAAACCTCTCTGCCAGTTTTGGTAAGGAAGCGGACTCTATGAGAAGGAATTTAGAGTGATTGCAGGTAATCAGAATGAGTTCATACAACGCGAGGCTGTTTTGTTGTTGAAGTTTTTGTTGTGCGCGAGGGATTTCTGAGCGCATGGTGTGTGATTTCGTTGTCGATGAGGCACCACAGAGATCCTGGATCTTTTTATATTGCTATTCAATCCAGAGCTAAGCCCTGAATTCCGACTGAGGATCTCCGACCCCAAGTCCAGATTTCTTCCTGTTTCAAGGAAAGCCTTAAGGAGACCTTTGAGGTAGGGATAGCCTTTAAATGATGAATTAGTCCAACATTACACGATATACAAAAGCGTAATATCCGTCACTGTGTTCTTTACAAGGGATGCAGTGTGTTTCGAATCGCTCTGCTCCTATTTTCGTGTATCGTTGGCTGGAAAATGTGTATGTACTTGCTATGGAGTCATGCCACCGTCGATTGTATAGACTGCGCCTGTTGTAAATGTGGCTTCGTCGCTCAATAAGAATGCAATCAATGCGGCGACTTCCTCTGGCTTCCCTAGCCGATTGATCGGGGCCAGTGGTTTATCACTGCCGGGCATGTTTACGTCACGAGCTATACCAAGCATCTTAGTGTCGATGCTTCCACTACAGATACAAATTAGCGGTGGATGTCTTACACAGAGATAGAATAGGGGAATAACTCACGGTGCCACCGCATTCACTCTCACATTCCGATGACCATTCTCCATTGCGGCAGTCCTAGTTATCCCAATGACAGCGTGCTTGCTTGCACCGTATGCCAGCAGGTTGGGTATGCCTATCTTCCCGGCGACGCTGGCGGCGTTGACGATAGATCCTCCATCTTCGATATTTCGTAACTGGGCTCTCTGGCAGGCCATGACCCCTCTGACATTTATCGCCATGACCAGGTCGAAATCTTCGTCCGAGACTTCATGAGCAGCCTTCAATCCGATTTCTCTCCCAACTGTACCTGCCAGGTTAACCCCTCCAGAAAGCTTGCCGAAGTGCTTTACACTAGCTGCAATCCAGTCATCCACTTGTTTAGAGTCTGTGACATCGACCTTAGTAGTGAGGACATCGATTTTGTGCTTGTCACGAATTTCTCTGGCAGTGTCATTAAGAGCCTTTTCGTCCATGTCGGCCAAAGAAAGGCTCGCGCCCCTAGCGGCAAGCAAATCAGCGGTCACTGATCCTATGCCTCCGGCCGCACCAGTGACAGCAATGACTTTTCCTTTCAGAGATGTCATGATTGAGTTCGGTTCTCCGTTGGCGGTGGAATTCTGGCTGGTCGAAAGACCGGAATGAGCATGAAACTGCGCTGACTTGATAGAAGACTCAGAGCTCCAGGAATAGCTTTTCTCAACTCGTGATCCACACTCTCAGAACTCGCTAGACTGAACGTTCTTCTTTATGATATAGTGGCACTCTTGTCGAAGCTTTGTTACTTTCAGACCATCTGAGTGCACTGAAGGACGTCTTTCCACTGCAGCAGCGGGCATTTGGTGTCAATACACGCAACGCAAATAATCCCCCTAACAATGTGCAGGGCCGCCAAAGCCCATAATAGGCTATGTAGAGCCATCTCCAATCCGCATCTCTCTCGGCCCTGTTCATTCCGCAAGTGGATCTTCTGGCCATCCACCTTCCGTTCCAAGCTCGCCTCAAAGGGTGCCGCTTCTCTAACTCCTGCGGAGAATGAATCGATTGGTGAACCGTCTTTTAAAGTTTTTGACTAACCAAAGACGGCCGGCTCGTGGGGATCCCAACATTTGTACCCAAATTTTGCGAGGAGTCGGGTTGAAGTCTATCTCGTGGCACAAATTTCCCAAGCATAGGTCTGAAGGCAAGCTGTAGAGTTCTTGCAGGCTGTGGGGATTACTACGGACATTGTCAGAACTTTACGAATGACGCTGAATGAGCTCCGGTCTATCAGTCGGAGTGAGCCTATCTGCATAAGAAAACCTTTCTAACTGTCAGCTGTTGCTGAAAAAAGGACCAACTTCTCATCCTCAGTATAGTCTGGCTGCTTGTCCCCGCCATCCACGATACCGAGATACCATGTTGGATCTCGTCCATCGAGCTCGCGCACCGTAAATCCATTACCCCAGAAATAGAATCTGTTGGAACTCTCATACCCCATCTCAAAGTCTTCATACCGTGGCTGCATCGTCTCCACGAAGTGTGCTCTTGATGCTGGGTAGAGACGTGGGTGTCCGTCGATGGTGCCGCCTTTATACCAGCTTCGACATTTTTGATTCCACACAGTTCTCTTCAGAAACAGGTCCGAATGCTCTCGAAACTCGGCGGTGACATCGGCCTTGGGCGCGATGGAACGTATATGTTCAATTTGGCATTTCTCTATGATTTTGAGCATATATTTGCATCCATGTTCAATGGGAGGAAGGAGTGACCCATTTGTTGCACTGTATGGTCCAATAGAGAGAAAATAGTTTGGGAAGTCCGGTATCATAACAGAAAAGTATGACACAGGATCTTCGGCCCACTCTTCCCTAAGGTCTTTGCCATTCGCAATGACTGGAAACCTTGGAACATAGGATGTATCGAATCCCGTTGCACAGATAATGACATCAACTTCGCGTTCATTGCCATCAGCATCGATGAATCCTGACGGGATGATCTGCTGGACGTCTGCCGTATAAACAGTCACATTTGGTTCCATCAAGGCTTCCAGATACCCATTTCCAGGGGTGGGCCGGCGGCATCCGGGTCCATATGCCGTAGGAATGATTCGTTCGATCAGATCCGGGCGACTTTTTAACTTCTCCTCCATCTGCCTGCGAGAAAATTCCTTAGCCATTTGTGCATCCTTGGTGTTGATAAAGTTGAAGTAGAACCGTTGACCTAGCTCAGCGTCCAGCATTTTGACATAACGAAGTTGTTTGACGGGATCCTCTGCAAATTTCTTTTTAATATCCTTCCCGTATTTGAAATTTTGGCCATTCGGCCCAGCAAACCTGGAGGCAAATCCTGCACTGATCCAAATGGGAGACCGAATCCAAGTGTAAAGCTGCTTAACGATCGGTTGGATGTTAGCAACGATCTGGACACCGGATGAGCCTGCCCCAAAGACGGCCACCCTTTTCCCATCAAGAACGGTAGACTCGTCATAGGCAGCCGAGTGCAGAAGCTTGCCCTTGAAACTATGAAGACCCTTGATGCTCGGCCATTTCCAGTTGTTCAAGAGGCCGCAAGCATTGACGAGAAAATCGCATTCATCTTTGAAGATTGTTCCATCGGGTTTCCGAACCTGGACTTCCCATTTCGCAGTTTCAGAGTTCCAACTCGCATGAACGACCTGATGCCGCAATTTGATGTACTTCCGCAGCCCATGAGCGTCCACAACACCTTTGAAGTATTCAAATATTTCACGAGCGTCAGAGTAATAGTGGGACCAGTTAGGATTCATAGCCCACTGGAACTGATAGATGTGAGACGGGATGTCGCAGCCGCATCCAGGGTACCTGTTCTCCCACCAGGTGCCTGAGACCTCATCATTTTTCTCATATATTTGCAAGTCGAGGTTCGCTAAGGCCTCGGAAAATTTGGCCATGCATATTCCGGTTGCTCCAGCGCCAATCACAATAACGCGCCTGTGCTGAGGTAGTCCATGTGGCTTCTCCAATATCGAGTAGCCTCTGCTGTTAACATTCTGCCAGCCGCAAACTTTAGCGGCCTCTTCTGAGTCGGCTCTGGGGTCGTCCTTTGGGAGATTTGGAAGAGGAGCCATTGCCTTAACATAATCTTGACAAGACTCAACGTTATTGTCAAGCAAGTCTTGTAGCATCCCAAATTGCGGTTATGATCTTTTGAGGAGTTGTAGCTCTAGTAGACAGCAAACGTATATATTGTTAATGGTGTCAGGGTATGGCTATGGCCACTCGTCGGGATTGTCCTCTCAGTCTATTTTGTGCCATCCGCTAGAGAGCAAAATCGTTGCTTTGGGGTATACAGACAATTGTCGCCACTGTCCTGCAGAATGGAGATTGACGTCCGATGCCGCGGAAAATGTTATCAGCTATAGTCTCACCTGACCATGGCAATTCAGAAACCATATTTGACACCTGTGGGGTCCCTAATTATTCCGCTACTTTTTCAATGGCTCTTTGCCACTGCCATCAATCGGAATTGTCTTTGAGGAAGTCGAAAGGCAGTTGTGATTTGAGCTTTTCCGCTTGTCTTAGCTAGCATGGCCCTGCATGGTTTTGACAGGGAACAACGTGATCTTCACATTTAAAGCCTTCTTGATAGTCTCAAATTCGTTCTCGCTGATGATATCGCTACCCAAAGCTTATCCTGAATTCTTTCAACAGTTCACCCAGGATGTCGGTCCAGAAGGCACTGAAGTTTAAGCCTCTTCACCCTACATTCGCTGCTGAAGTGGATGGTATTGACTTTTCGAAGCCGATACCCGACTCTGTGATCGCGGAGGTTCAGGAGGGTATCGACAAATATGGTTGTCTAGTGTTCCGAAATGCAAACATGGACAACGACACTCATGTTTCGTTCACCCGACGGTTCGGTGAGCTAGATTCAATGCCTTTCATTCGTCGCCGAGGTCGATTCCCAGACCAACCACACATTTTCGACGTATCCAACTTGGATGACTCTGGAGAAATAGTCAAAAACACAGACCGCATAACCGCTATGCTGAAGAAGGGCAATGAGCTGTGGCACGCCGATATGCAGTACCACCCGCGAAGAGACAAATATTCTCTCCTCCGTGCAGTGGAGATTCCTCCTAAAGGCTTGGGTGGTGAGACAGAATTTGCAGACTCCCGCACTGCTTATGAAGACCTCAGCCAAGAATGGAAAGACAGGCTCGAGAATTTGGTATGCGATTGTTCTCTGATCCACAATCGCCGATTGGCCGCTCCTGATCTCTATAAAGATGTGGATCCATACGACTGGTCTATTTCTCGCTTCAAGGCGGTTTACCCGCACGAGGGGAGCGGACGCAAAAATCTATATATGACCAGTTACGTCTACAGATTTCAGGGATATTCCATTGAAGAAAGCCACAGGATGAGAGAGGAGCTGATTGCGCACGGGACGCAGCCAAAATATGTGTACAAGGTTGCTTGGGAGCAGCCCGGTGATGCGGTCATGTGGGACAACACAGCCGTCTGGCATCGAGCACTAGACGCGTCGGAGTACATCTTCAAGTACAGGAGGGACATGCGCCGCACAAACACATACGACAATGGTCCATATGCTTGGGGAGAAAATGAGGTCGGGAAGGACTGGAAGGTGCAACTGCCAAAGGATCCTCTAGCACATGAAAGCCAGTTCAATCGAGTGGTTGGGTAGATAGTCTAAGCCAATAAATAATTTCCACCGCCTTGTTAGCTGAGTGAGGGACAAACACCTAGAGACTATGAGACAAAACTTGGAAGACTGAAGAATGTTCTATTGTAAGATACGAGACCACGGGAGGGAAGAGTAATCCATTGATGTATTGATGTGCTCCCAGCAACCGAGGCCAATCTCACTGCCTCCGAGTTTTGTGTAGGTTAGTTGTGTCCATGAGGCGTTTTAATAACCGAATTCACGTGAGAGAAGAAGCTGTTGGTTCTGTGTAGTGGAAGAGCATTTTGGCATACCCAGTACAGTTTGCGGAAGGTGGAAGACGGAAGGCGGAAAATAACGGGCGAAGTCCCAGCATCCGGGTGACAAATACTTTTTTTTGTTGCGAGGGAGGCTTCTAGCACTTATATTTTCAATCAAGTCTTCAGTGCCTTCCTAGAAGCACGCTTGAGCAAAGCTTCACATTACTGGAATAACTCATCTAAATTCAGGATTGCCGAATAAAACTCAAAATGGGTCGACTGATTCCACGCATCACTGTCTATAATTGGGCAATCGTGATGCTGCTTGCTACTGGCCCGATGGCGTGCGGTTATGCAATGTCGTGTCTCAGTGGCGCGATCGGACAGCATGGCTTCTATGTGTCCATGGGCTACACTGACGACCCCAGTGACCCTGATTATAAGCGCACGTCACATTTCCTCAGCGCGGCCTCTGGGACTTTCATCGGAGGTGCCTCAGTAGGGGCTGTTATGGCTGCTTGGGCTGCAGATGCGTTAGGCCGAAAACTCAGCCTGCAATTGACTACACTGGTCTATATGCTCGGTGGATCACTGCAGAGCGGTGCTGTCAACCCATCCATGTTTCTTGCGGCGCGGTTCTTGTCTGGCGTTGGTATGGGCTCGCTGCTTGCAGTAGCGCCAATGTATCAAGCTGAAGTCTCGCCCCCAGAATCACGCGGATTCATGGTGGCAATGACTGGCTTTATGTTTGCGATTGGAAATTCACTTTCTTGCTGGATCAATGTCGGCACTTATTTCAGGGGTATCAGTGATCCCGAATCAGGCTTCGCGTGGCGGTTCCCTCTTGCCGTCCAACTGTTACCTACCTTTATCTTACTGCTAGGATCACCTATTCTCCCAGCATCGCCGCGGTGGCTCATCATGAAAGAGCGCCACGAAGAGGCCTCGAATATCCTACGCCAGCTACATGGTCATTTAGGAGAGCAAGCAGACGAATACGCAAAACGCGAATTCAGTCAGATGTCCAGGCAGATCGCTTTCGACTCCAGTGTTTCAAAACGAATCGGGCGTTTTCCTATTATTCGGACAGCTTCCAACCGAAAACGGGTTTTCCTGGCTTTTAACTTGCTTTGGGGCACGCAATTCCTAGGCCTAACAACGGTCGGAATCTACGGAGTCTTGGTGTACCAGCAGCTGGGAATGACGGGGCCTGTGCCATTGATTCTGCAGGCGATCTGGGTCAGCATTACAATACCAGGAAACTTCATCAACGCAGCCCTAGTCGACAAAGTTGGGCGTCGCCCTTTGCTCCTGATCGGCACATGCGGCATCCTCATGTGTGTGATACTGAACTGCATCCTTCAAGGCTTATACCTAGAGCCTAACTACAGACCAGGGCTAAAGGCATCTATTTTCCTCACCTTCTTGATGATCTGCTTCTGGTGCACATGCATAGATGCCACTCAGTTTGTCTATATCTCGGAGATATTCCCAAGCTATATACGTGCACAGGGACAGGCAGTCGGCACGTTGGGATTGACACTGTCAAATGTTATCCTCCTAGTCGCCGCTCCAATTGCCTTGGATGCTATCCACTGGAAATTCTATCTCGTCAACATCTCCTGGACCGTGCTGTTTATAATCACAATCTTCTTCCTCTACCCCGAGACCAGTGGGAAGTCGATCGAGGACCTCAGTGCTACCTTTGGGGACACCGTGGTCGTCAGCTTCGAAGACGCTGTTTCAGAGGATAAAGTGGAGGTGCAAGGGGATGGCAAGATATCGATTTATGATACATATCAGCAAATTGAGATTTCCAAATGATTCAAACACGAGATAAGAGCAACGAGATAGTGATTTGCGTTGACTTTCCACGAACAGGGGGGACTTCTTCAACCATGAAGGGGGAAGTTGCAGATGTGAGCTGCACGCAAAGGTACATATAACAGAGGTCGGAGAGAGCAGAAGAAAGACGTGCCTATCATCTAAGCTAGCCTGAGCAGCAATATCGTGAAGCACCATGGTGGATAGTTGCGGGATAGTGAGGGTGTAAGGTATATCGTAAGGCTCTGCTTATAGTTTTCCGATGGAAACTCAGGATCTGAAGAAAAGGGAAGTCTTGGAAGCCTGCAAGATCAAGAGCGTTCCCAATCAACTCTTGTTCCGCAAAGTGATAATGCCTTTGGTAGTGGACCAATGGTCCCAGGAATCCCCTAGTAAAAACCCTATGGATGGTAGGGACCTAGAAGCCGCCAGTCCAGATATACCTACATTTTCCGTCTTCCGCAGCGAGATCCACCTCAGCGGCGGATAACCACACCGTCAGGCGCGTGACCGACTTGTTCAACAGAATCTTCGTTTACAACTCGTCACTTCAAATATGACTTCAAATATGGGCGTGAATGCATGAGCATTTTCATCTCTCAGTCACTTGTTAACTCTGGATTTCTCTCGACCTTGAATCACGGCAGTCTGGGAGAATGGCTACGTGGGACCCAGACTCCGACCATTTGCCAAAGCTCAACGAGCTACCGAGGATACCTGGCGCGCCCGAATATGCCGCTTGGTTCTGGGGACCAGATGATGAGGTGAAATTTTCAGTCTCCTTGGGTCCTTCATTTTACTTCTAGCTTTCTGTTGAGCTCGAGTCCTAACTTCTTCACCACTCACAGTTAGGGCGGCTAAATCTGCTTACACCACGAAGGGTGATTGAAGCTTCAAAGTTGATCCAGACAGGGGAAAGGACATGTTTGAAGTAGGACAGAACCGACTCCATTTGTGATTGTCGATGTAAAGCGAAACTCTTCTGATGGGAAGCTGATCTCCGACTTCGAAAGTCTCCCTGCTGAGTGGCCTGAGCCTCCATTTTTCGGACGTCCGTCCTTCAAACATACCGTTTTGAAAGTTCGACCTTATGCATTCGACGACTTGTATGAGTTGAACACGCAGAGCGGCTCTCAATGGGACGGATTCCGCCATGTGAGCCCCCGGTCAGACATCTTCTGGTCTTTTTGAAGGTGCTCTCATTGTGATGGGCTTTTCTAACTGTGTCGGAAAGGCGGGCATTAAGCATAATGACGGGTTTATATGGTACAACAATGTATTGTCTCTTTGCACTCGATAAATTTGAGGGACTCTGCTAACTTGGTTTAGACTACCGTCGAACAGATCGAAGACGAGTCGGGCAGGATCGGCACCAGCGTCTGGGCCCGTCGAGGAATCGGTACCATATATCTTTGCTCTGTTTTAGAAGCATCAGTGAGCTGACAACCATCCTATTGAGTTGGCCGAGGTGTCCTCATTGACTTCTACGACTATTGCGGGAAGTCTTACGACCCATTCACGCCCCGAAAAATTACAGCTGAAGAGGTTCAGTCCTGCGCAAAGGCGCAAGGTGTGGAGTTCAGGTCCGGCGACATTTTCATTGTGAGAACGGGCTTTTCGGAGGCATATAGGAAACTCGAAAAGAAACAACGCGAGGAATTGGGCGCGAAGGCCTACCTTGAGCTACAATTTGCAGGTCTCTCGCGCGCTCATGAAATGGTTGAACTGCTCCACGACAACTATTTCAGCGCCGTGGCAAGTGACGCACCTTCTTTTGAAACATGGCCGATGGACGAGCCAGAGCACCTTCATCATTGGCTACTCCCCCTCTGGGGCTGCCCTATTGGCGAACTGTGGGATCTTGAGGAATTGGCTGCTTTGTGCAAGAGACACAACAGGTACACCTTCTTCCTCTCCAGTACTCCAGCGAATGTGAAAGGTAAGTCCGTATCCCACTCGGAATCGATCAGCTTTAACGGGGTGACCAGGAGGAGTCGGTAGCCACTCTAACGTTGTGGCCATATTCTGACTTGCTACATTTGTCATTTGCAGCCATGCTCCCCAAGACAGGTCAAGGTCTCCAAAGATTGACTCCATCAACCGAACAAAGATTTAAACAAGTCCAAAAAAATTGACTCCGAGACAGGCGTGAAGACTTTCCAGCAAATTTTACTATAGCTTCTATATTCCGGGTTTAGCTCTTGATAAGTAATCTCGGGGGTCTAATGAAAAGCTGAAGAAGTCGAGGGCAACGAGGAACCCAATGTATTGGGCGTCAGGAATAGAACTTCAGTTTGAGAGGAGAGCTCCCACTGCGGCACAAACAGAGGCTCGAATACTCATAAATTGCTAGTTCTCGCGGCATTCATTCCCCGCTGACACTGTTGCAAAGTCGATTTAGCACCAGCCACCAGGAAATTTGGCTCTTGGCCAGTAAGTAAGAACCTGAAACCCATCTCCACCTTCCGTCTTGCAGATGCTTCGGTTGCACCGACTGTGCCGATGACTACATTGTTCCTCTTTCCTGCCTCAAGAATATTCTGCAATGCATTAAGGTAGGCAGCCTCTTCACCGTCACCACCAGGGAGCCCCATGGACTGTCGAAGGTCGTAAGGCCCGACAAAGCAAGCTGTTACGCCTGGAACTCGCAATATTGCTTCAGCGTTCTGCACGCCCTCCATAGACTCAATCATTGGAATGATAGCCACTTCTTTTACACGGTCTTTCATATACTTCGTGACGTCGGCCATGGGGTCGACATCGGCATATGGGGCGAGAAAAGGCCCAAAGCTTCGTTGACCTCGTGGTGGGTAGATGGCCCGTTGGATTATGTTTTCGCATTCTTGTGCAGTCATCACCATGGGAATGATGATACCGGCAGCTCCAGAGTCCAAAGCCCATTTGATCCATTCCACACCATGTGAAGGGGTGCGTATTACTGGAACACACTGTCCACCTGATGCTGTTACCACGGCCTGGACTAGGGTGGACGCTTCCCTGGGAGAGACCGGGGCATGTTCCATGTCAATGAGCACCCAGTCGAAACCCACTCGTGCTGTGATCTGGGCACAAAGGGTATTTCCAATTGTAACGGCGGCTCCAACGAGATTCCCTTTCTCCTTGAGAAGATTAGAGAATGATTGAAGCCTTGCAGCGGATGCTGCCGGCCTGGGTGTCTGCCTTTTCTCAAAATTAGCCACTGCATAGGACAAGTATTCAATGCGCCCGCTCAGTGAAAATGAAACTATAGGACTTGCCCTTCCGAAGTATACATTGAATGTAGTGTCGTGAATAGAAGTTGGAAGCAAAAAGAACTTAGTGAGGAGCTGGTCCTCGAGGAAATTCAAGGTCGCTTTGTGAGAACGGCCCCTTTTCCATCTCTAGAGTTAAAGAATTAAGAGATTAACCATCATAAGGGACGTCGAAGCCTCTCACCAATCTGTGAATGCTTCATTCACCAATAACATCGTTCCAGAGAGATGAACGAAGAAGCTATGGTAGCCATGCGAGGAGAGATTGGGCGCAAGGAATTCCGCTTGCTGAGAGGCTAAATCGTGCCGATATCCGATGCGCAGGGGTTCCACCTAGCCTCTCTTAGGGCCCAGCGGCTTTGAACGAAAGAGCATGGCTGCGAAAGCACTGTAATTAAGAAACCTGCCCTCAAAAAGTTAGCATTGATAGGCTGCTCTAAAACCTGAGAGGGGCTGGCATGTTGCCTTGGACTCGTATCTTGCGAGGGTTTTCTTCCACAGTAGTCCGTAGCTGTCAACACCTTTCCCTTGCCATCTCGCTGCATCCACTCCACACCTGCTCCATGCGGGGAGCCGAGCCTGAGGGGCGCATTTCTCATCAAATTATGCAGGCAGCTTCGTGGAAAGAGGAAGGCTCTCGACACGTCACAGCTCTGCCACAACAGCAAGCCCTGGAATCCGTTTGGGAGGCATTGCACAACCATGACTTCTTCAGGTTCGAATGCTGTCAGAGTCCGCGATAAATACACTTCGCGAGCGTGTAATGAGTGCCAGCGCCGTAAGCGGAAGTGCAGTGGCGAAAAGATATGCCGAAATTGTCGCCATTGTGGTACCGATTGTGTCTTTTCGGAGCCACGAGGCTCCAGGCATTCGAGGGCAACAGCTTTGCTCGCGCCAAATGTTACTTCTTCGGATTGGGTCAACGTTGATAATCGAACGAACCAAGGTCCCAACCTTGGTACGGCCGCCGGAAGAGACAATGCTCCTGAGACCTTGGCTGCCAGCGCACAAGAGCTGCAAGGAAGCCGCAGGAATGCACAGAACGAACCAGAAAGAGCACCAACACAGCCTCAGGGTGACCAGCAAATGATGGTGCAAATGCTGTCACCAAACGCACCAATATTCGGGGACAATCAGGGGCAGACTCCCCTTAGCACTATCGACACCGAGACGTCCTCCCCTCGAGAAAGCGTTTTTGAACGCAACACTAATTTTATGACTGGTACCGCTTTTTTTCAGCAGATCGATCTCCTCGACCGTTCTGTGACTCGGGCACAAGGGACAGACATGAAAGTCGGTGGCTTCCTGGGAAGTTCGACCTTTGAACCAAATACTTGGGTCGCAGACATCTACCGTGACATAGATCAGACGGTCGAACAGGCACGAGTTGCAGACGCGACCAAGATCCACAGGTCATTGGACATGTTCTTTGCAAATGTGCAGCCGCATTACCCATGCATGAACGAAGGCTACCTGCGTGCGCAATTCTCTGCCTTTGTCGCAAACGACTCAAATTCTCTTACAAAGAACGGTTCGGTACAACTAGCCGCTCTTCTGCAATTTATCATGGCAGTGGTGAGCATTTTGTGCGACGGTTCCACCCAGGGTCAATACCTCCCGGGATGGAAGGAGTTCTGTCGTGGTGACAAGCTCCTCAGTCACGCTACGTGGCTAGAGAGAGCTAATATTGTGACGATTCAAACGCTGCTTGTGAAAACGCTATATTTCATGTATGCGGGGCTTTTGAATTCGGCCTATGATACAATGGGTACGGCGGTACGGCTTTGTTTCCAGTTAGGGCTACACAATGAACCCTCATGGGGTGAGGATTGCAAGTTCTATGACAGAACATACCGGCAGCGAGTTTTCTGGTCGGTCTTTTGTCTGAACCACAATGTTGCTCAGACGCGCGGTGTGCCTGAACTCCTCCGGGAGTCAGATCTCAATGTTGGCCTGCCCAAATGCGTTGATGATCGCATGCTATACCCGGATTGTCCTTCCCTGCCGGAAATGCCTACAACTTCTCCCGTTCCCTACCTCTTGGAAACTATCAAGTTGACGAGACTCTCCTCGGAGGTCTGGGAAGCCATGTTTGGTGTACGAGCAAAGAAGCCGGTCAGCCAAGATTTCATTGCTGCCATGGACAATAAAATTATTGAATTATCACGAGAGATCCCTTCCTCACTCCGTTGGCCTCAAACTGCTGGATCCCAGCAGATCTACGACGGAGCACCGTCTTTCATCCAACAACAAGGCTTCATTTTGCATCTACGCATCCTGTACCTGCGAATGCTGCTGAGGCGAGAGGAAATGATCAGCCTGGCCTATGGGAGGAAGGCTGCACAGCTCTGCATCGACGTGGCTACGGAAGTTGTCGCTGCTGTCGAGGCATCTTATACTTCTCAGAGATCAAAACGCTGCGAGCGTCACGCTTATCTACACCATCTGACCGGTGCTCTGGTTCCCATGATCTGCATCATTGTTAAACAGAATAACTCAGATGATTTGACCCGGCCAGCTATAACTCTCCTCAACAAGTCCCTCAAAATTATGGAGTCCTTCTCTCAAGGCTCTTTCCTGGCTCGACGCATCTTACAACAACTACGGCGACCCATTAAGGTGGCTCGGGACATTATTGAATCTCAATGGCCTCAGAATGCTCGATCTGGCGCAGCTCCGAATACGATTACAGCGCCTCTGGGTCCCATACAGAATGGTCGCTGGAACAGTGGCAATGTTAATCCTTATAATGATTGGGACCTTTCTCTGCCGCATATTTATCAGGAGCCCTTCCAAGACCCCATGCAGAAGTCATCGGAAATGCCTTTTCTATGGGATGATAGTAGTGTAGATCTTTGGAATAACTTCAACTGGTCAGGGTAGCTTGTTGCCAACTCGTTTACGCTGCTGGGCTGTTCACTATTCTGCTCCTTATCACTATCAATACCATCTTTACAGCCAGGAGGCTGACAGTATAATGGAGTTGGTATATTCTTTCAAGATTCAAACCATTTGTTACAGTCGTCATTACTGGGGGCCAGGCTTATTGAGATGCACCACTCTGCCGTCGCCCAACCGAACGACAAGCATGCCCTTCACGGAGACAATCTCAGATCACCAGGCACCTTTTGGTCAGTAAAGCCCCAGGGAACCCCGATAGTATGTTTTGGATCTGTGATGATCGTGTGCTCGTTCTGCATCAGCAACGGAATCTTCTTTGCTTCTAGGTGCCGCCGGACCTTGGCAAGATCTCTCACTTTCCACGTGAGCGCGTGATATGTGTCAAAAGGGGCATTCAACTTCAGGTCCTCTGCCGCAAAAGATCCTGCGCGAGTAGGAACGGCAACTTCATATACACCGTCTCCGAGAGAAATATATGTACTATCCGTTTCAAGGAGTTCATTGCGGCCCTGGTTGATGATTTTGCCCTTCAATATGCCGATGAGGAAGTTGAAAGCTTTGGCGGGATTTGCCGTCAGAATTGTGTGATGCGAACAGAATTCTAGCGAGAGAGGGTCGTTCTCTGACACAGGAGGAAGCTTCCAGCCAGGTTCGGCTCGGGGATCAGGAGGTCCCGTGGCGTCGTGGGGATAGATTTGATACCGTAGCCCAGCGCTCTCGGGAAGTGTGAAAAAGAGCGTTGCATTCTTGAAGCCTGTGATAGGGGGTTTCTTGAGACTGCCCAGACGGTTTGCTTGGTCGGTGCTGCGAATTCCGTTCTCAATGCACACCTTGTAGATCTCGTCTGCGCCGTCTACAGCCAGGCCAAAGCAGAACAGGTGTCCTGGTTCGCCAACATCTTCCAGGGACTGCCGCCCTTCGACAATGTACTTTGTAGGGTCAACGCAGTCGAACATGACCTCGCGAATCATTGTGAGGATCGAATAGTCGCGGGGATACGTGGGACATTCCTCTTTGGGTGGAAGATTGGCCTCCACCGGAGTGCTCTCCAAGTTAAACACGTCGTGGAAGAACTTTTCGCACGCTTTCAAGTCTGTCACTTTGTGTGTGGGATGCCACATATACCGAACCTTGTACGCCATGATAGTTCAGGTTTTGGCTGGTTGACTTGGGTGATAGTGTGGTAGAGAACAAAGCACAGGGCTCTGTGCTCTAAGAATATGCCTAACTTCTCACGAAATATAGAAAACTTTTATTTTACGAGGCGTGAGCGTGCGGACATAACGTACCGGGGAAGTATTGTCCTGGTGATAACACACATAACCCGGAGTGGAACCTGGCGCGGAACAATCAACCAAGGTTTAAATGGGTATGAGAATCATTTATTCACCAAAGCGCTGGTTAATGGAACTACGGAAACGAGACTTAATGCAGAATAGAAGAAATTTCCATTGTTTCCAAATGCCTAATAGCATCAGCAATAAATAAGGGGCCGCAAGTCGTGATGGAATAATTGTACGCCTTCATCGTAGGAAGACTTTTATCACATGTAAATTTCACCACCAATACGGAGTCAATTTTGACGGAAATTCAGTCTTTTGACTGAAGAGGCTGCCAGAAGCTTTTGATTATGGCCTACGTGCCGCTTCTGCCTAAATCCGCTCTTAGAGACGGACGGCTAGGTTGATACGAGACGAATATCAGCAACCGCCTTTTTCTTCGAGGGTGATGAACAATGTTGGAAGGACTGACTGTCAGCTGAACGGCTAGCGAAGCCTGGAAATAACGAAGCGACCACGACTATGGGTGGGAGGTGTGTCCGACTTGTGTCTCTCCAAAACCCCAGGTTGTTCCGGCTGAAAGGTTCTGTGTAACACACTGCTATTTCACGAAGGTAACTAGCGGTACCCTTGATCCAATAATAGCCATTCATCGGCGAGCACGAAACCTCTCTATAATTCGATTAGAACACGATGCACCCATCATTCCTTGCTGGCAGTGGAACTGCACATTCCGTAATTCCGCTCATTAATCGTCGCCTCCTGATTCAGTTCCGCTTAAATTCCACCTCCGTTTCCGCTTTGTTTTCGGCCGCTAAATCTGGCCAACATTGGGATGTTGGACTTTCATGCGAGCCAGAACCTAGAGAAGAACTAAGAAACCCCACTTTGAGTCCGAATTTTGGGCCGACAATCCAGCCGCAGGCTCTTGGTCGATCCGACGTTTGAACCGAAGCTCTACCCGTGGAGGGGATGCCTCTGGGCGAGGGAGATGAGTTGCTACCACGTGGGAGATCAGGGCTCTGCCAGATCAATTCCAGCATTGCAAGGAAGGGTGATTGCAATCATCTCTACTAACAATCCATATTTGCTCCTTAGGATTACGGCTTGGCTCGCGTATAATAAAAATTGACCTCCCCCTCCTAGCACTGAATGGATGACGGCAAAGTCCTCGATCTAAGTCGAAACCAACAGAAAACAATCTGTCCAAGAGATATATGCTTGATGCGAGATGGAATTTTAGTACATCGAGTTACAAAGAAAGATGAGTGCTCTGCATCAAGCGCAATAAGGCATATCTCAATACCTTACGATGAATCTGACGAACTCTCTGAGACCGAGAGCACGCCGCCATCAGTATCAGATCCTGGAAGTGAAGAGACGTTTTTTGAGCATGACTGTTTCGACATCCATGATGTGCTCTTCGATTCGAGTAAGTCACTTACCTCGCTTTCCCGTACAAGATTTGGCTTCCGATCATAAAACTACAGTTGGATTGGAGCGGGTCTACGAATGTTGGCAAAAGCTACACGAGAGACGCGAAGTCAGCGTTAACGACGACTTCCAAATGGTGGGTGAAGCCTTTCAACCTATCACAGCTATTCAAGTAGATAGTTTTGCAAATATTAACTAAGTTTGAACAGTCTGAAGTGCTGCTACTGTCGAAAAGCCTTCGAGATGAGCTCATCGAGGTATACTTTAGGCAGTTCCACCCGATCTGCCCAGCAGTAGATCGGACAGGGTTTCTCAGATGGTACCAAGCGCCCGAGCAGGATGCCACCGTCCATCCACAGCTCATGCAATTGGTATTCTTGTCAATCCTATTCGCAGCTTTATCCCATGTTGATGAGAATTTACTGCGACGCGAACCGTGTGGCTCAGTAAAGCATGCACAGAAAGCTCTTTTCTCGTCTGCTCAGAACTTGTATCACCATCTCGAACAGGAGTTCACGGGAGCTGAACATCTCGCGCAAAGTGCATTGCTTTTGAGTTACTGGAGTCCTTGCGACTCCATTAGGGAGGTCAATAGTTACTGGGTGGAGGAGGCCATCCGCCACGCCGTGGCGGGAGGAATGTCTGACCTATCATTTACTCATCACAGAAGGATCATTTGGTGGTGCTGTATCATCCGCAACCGCATGATTTCCCTGGGTCTGCGCCGATTCAGTCGGCTAGAGAGGCGGCCAGAGGGTCGACTGCCTGAGATAACTGATTTTTGCGATGACAGCTCAGGTCACCACTTAATATCCATCGAAGCAAACCTTTATTTCACACGGGCATTTATATTGTTGTGTAAGCTGACAAAGATCATGGTGGACTCGGTGAGGTTGAAAGATCGAGACTACAACGATGCCTGGGCCTTCCCCCGAGACCAACGAGGATTCGATATGATGGAAGAAGTTGGCAAGCTAGACGAGAAATTGAAGGTCTGGGGCGCCAATTTCGCGCATCTTTACGCCTCATTACAGGATATGAATGTCCCGAGCACTGACCTCGTCATCTTCCATCTTATTGGACTAATGCATCAGTACGTTTGCATCAGTCAAATCCTTTGGGAATTGAGATACTAATCCCTGTCTGCTGCAGGTTTGCTGTCTCAATTTTATACGAGCCATTTCTAAGGCTGTCAAACAGCCGTAGCTCTCGGGCATGGTTTGTGAAAGATTTGGCTCTCCTCAAACTCAAAGAGGCATCAAGAAACACAGCTGCTATCACAGCATCAATGCTCCGATTCGCAAGTCCGAAGGACTTGCCAATTGTTTTGTAAGTAATCGCCCATCTTGGAAAGTATCTTGTCTAGGACCGCGGGTATGTGAGCAAAGAGACCAAGAATCTGACATGACATGATAGGCCACCATGGATAATCCTCCCGATTGCGTTGCATCTAATCCAACTGAGCGAGCCGCAAGACCTAGACATGAAGACAGAAACCACCCAGCAACTGGGATACCTGATGCGCACGCTACACACCTTGACGTGCAGATTTGAGGGTGTTCAGTTTGTCATCAAAATCATCAACGCCATTATCATGCTTGTCAGGAACTCCACAGAAGAGTTGGTACTAAGTCAACCTTTCGCTTGGTCAGGGACATCACAGAGGCGGGGCTTAGGAACGCGGTACACGCGACTTGAGCAGGACAAGGTTGTCACTCGCGTGCTCGAGGCGATCAAAATGGGGCTCGCCGACGAAATTGTTCAGACATGATGTCCAGAATTTCTCAGAGGATCTTGATTTGAAAAATTATGTTGATCTGCTCTCGCGCGCTGTCGATCCTTCTCTTGCTTCCAAGTCGACTTTGAAATGACTGCATTCTTGTCCCAGGCGTAACAACTTTTCCATCTGAGCCCAGAACGCAAAACATAACAGAAGATGCGGCGAACGTGACGTACGAACACCAAGCACCCTGTCCAGATCGAAAAGAAATTAAAGAGATATTCTTCATCAATTTGCATTATTTGCTGAGCAATAGCACAAGCAATCATTCCAAGGACGCGGCCAGCAAGCCTTTGTCAAGGCCGACAAGGCTGCAAAAATAAAGGGGCTAGAGCCTTGTCCGTCATTGGCTTCTTGGGGCCAGCTGGTACTGGCTAAACCGCGATTTCCGCATAGGCTGTTGCACGTTGTCGCACACAAAACTGCTCAGGTAAGGCCAATATGTGGCTCAATGGCATAGCTCAGATAGGGGCTCCTCTCTACATCTGCAGCCTTTTTTTGTGAGGTTAGTCGGCTTAACGTGTATGTCTATGAGGGTCTCAATAGACCTCCCCGAAGTGCCAGCGGCATTGCGGTCATCGCCTCTCTACGTCTCGTAGAGTGAACTTAAGTGGGACGACGAAACTGATCTACGATATAGTATACTCCGTATATCTACCAGAGCACTATACTTCGGTCGCGAAACTCCTCCTCAGTCTCCCGTTCTAAGCGACTAGAAGCCCCCTCCCTGAAGTAAAAGCCGCTTTCCTCGGGACATGTCTCTTTTTTCTAGTGTAAAAAGGTAAAGGCGCATGGGGAAGAAGCGGGGGAGCGATTTGGCTGGCAACATGCAAGGACAAAAAGGACTAGCATTCTGTCTGTGACTGTGAGGGTGGAAGGTAGGAAGGACTAGCTGAACATTCAACAAGGATAGCGAGAACGACAGACAGTGACATTTCTGCTCGTAGGCAATCGTTGCCGGCGCGCTTGACAGTTTACAGTGCTGGCCGTGTGCCATTCTTTACAGTTTTATGAGAGTATTTCATGGTTTTTAATACTGTCTACTTATTCCTGAGTATCTTCTGTGCCCTTTTTCACTCCCTAACGCCGCCGCTGTGCTAGGCGCTCGTTTCCCTAGTCATTACCTCTCTGTGGGTGGTGTTTGTGGTGGTGTTGTTTCGCCAGCGCCGACCAGAAAGGCATTCTCGATTACCGACCTGCCAGATAGGCCACTGTGTGTTGTTGCACGTGCATGCTAAACCCAGAAGTGCTCAATTACACTACGAAGAAGTCTGTTCTTTTATATAGAAGCTTATATCCTAGTCTAGGAGTCCCCCCCTTCGCGTAGAAATTTCTCTTCCCTTATAGAAACTTTCTCTATTTCTATGAAAAATCTCCTGTTTAGTGGAGAAGGATCTCCTACCGTAGAGAGGATTCTTTTATGGTAGAGAATGCTCTGTTCTTGTGGAAAAATATCTTCTATTGAGTAAAAGCTTGTTGGTTTGCGTAGAAGACACTCTCCTCATGTAGAAGTCCCTTTCTTTAGGCAGTAGAGATATCTAGGTATTCAGCCACTGGCCTCTCTTCGCCGCTTATGTGGAGTTTGCCCTTTATCATATGAGTGTCTGCGTTAAGGACAATATCCTCCTGGCGAACGACAACGAGATCCGTGCCCTCAAACAGAAGCGCAACTTTCTCCAAGGTCTTTCCTTGGGTGTCTGGAAAGAAGAAGTAGATGATCGGCGTGGTCACTATCGTGATCAGATAAATACCAGGAAGAACTTCCATTCGATATTGGCAATTGCAGAGGAAGCCGATTGAGTCCAAAGAATGCTGACAACGCAAGAGGTGACGACGTTGATGGTCGCACCTTTGCTTCGGAGATGAGTTGGGTAGAGCTTCGCACTCCAGTAAGCGCAAGGCCCTTCGGTAAACGCAGCACTAAAGACAGGATAGATATATACGAGGGCGACACCAGCAATCCGAACTGACTTGTTGCTGGAATCGGCCGAGAATTGTGCCGAAACAGCAGTATAACATGACAAAAGAATCACCATGCTCGAAAGGCCCAGTGCAGCCATAGTGGGCCGACGTAATCTTTCTGCGAACTGATAGTCTCTGTTAGCCTCAGCATACAATGACGAATTTCATAGCGATACCGCCAAAAAGAAAAAGGAATGTCGAAACTCTCAAAGGAGCTTGGGAAAAGAATCCAACCCCAACGTAACTAGCCAAAGGGTACCAGTGTTTATGCCTATCGCGTGGAACTGGGCAAATGCGCCTCTCACTTCCGGCGGGACACATTCGGTAATCGATACTGGAATGGACATTGACAAGGTCAGTGCCCCAAACCCGCTGACGAAGCGAAATTCAATGAACATGGCGATGTGAACCGAGCCTGCACAAAGAGCCGCCCAGGCCATCTGTAAGCCACGGTTAGGCCAGAAGAATAATACAAGCTCATAACAGTCGAGTTAGGAATAGTCTGCAAAGTAAAGGAGCCTTACGAGGACAGCACCCCCTATGTAAATGGATGTCTTCCGACCAAAACGATCTCCGATCTAGTGGCAGAAAATTGCTTCCAAGACGCCACTAGCGTAGTAAAGTGAGGTCGTTGCACCGATAAGGGCCGCGGCGTTGGAGTCATTCAGTTTCATATACGGATAAAAGCTGGGTTGTGCAATCATGTTTCCAATCACCCCGGCAGAGTACGCATACGAAACGGAGCCAAAACACACGACAATGAAGCTGAAAATAGTCCGAGCACGGAAATGCCTCTTCCCCCTTTCTTCGGAGGGCACGGTGCTCTCGACATCTTGATTCTCGTGAGTAGCTCTCATTTGCATTTTTTTCTGTCTTTTAGATGACGGATTCCTCGATCGGTCCAGAGCAACGCTGTAGATGCTGTTTACTCGTGCTAATGGATGTGGATGTGAAGTAATTTTCAAGAGAGCGATGGGTGCTAGACAATCATATAGAGGCTGATCCCATTCGGACTGTTAACTCCTGCGACGCAAAACAAGTTCATAATCTGGATATCCGTGTCTCTATAGAGCTCACTAAATGAGTCTTTTCTGACGTTCGATCATTTGCTAGCTTCCACGATCCTGCTAGCGAACGTATCTAGTCAGCGAAATGGAACGAAAGCAATGAAAGAAATGTGTTCGATTTCCGCTCTAAGCTTGCACCGGACATGCGGAAGGTGATTCGTAGCCGCAGTTGGCGCAATGGCCTTTTGGGCGGCGAGGATAAAGTTTAATATACGTGTGTGTGGAAACAGACGGCAGCCATGCTGAGGTAAACATGTACCGGGATCAAGCGGCCATGAATCGACGAAGCGTCCTAGATTCGAAAGCAGGAGCGAACCAAAGCCTTGATCGTTTCATTGCAGGACTTGTTCAATTGAATAATTTTGGGATATCTACCTTCCTGCATTTACTCGAATAAACAGACCATCTTTGCAAGATTTAATCCTTTGTCACGATTGTCTGCTAAGTTTCGATGAGATGTGCGAAATGATTTCTTGATTGTCACCATCTCTTATCATTGATGTTCAACACAGTTCATCCCAATACTTTTGCCACATAGCCGCCGTCTTCGACGCCGCCTAGCTTTGTTGTTAGAAGATTTTTGTCAAGGATCTCTTGCTTTCGTTCCATAATCTCCGTTGACATCCCACTATGTATGCTCTTAGACTCGAATTTTGGTAGCACAGAATCAGGGGAATGACGCAAAGTCTTACGTTGGCAGTTGTATATCTTCCGCTCATAAACTCAGCCTCATCGCTAGCAGCCCAGTTGATGACGCCTCCGGCAAGTTTGTTGGTGTCCACAGCGTAGAAACGGTATATATCCTCGAGTATATCTGTGACAAAAATACCTGGATGAACAGCAACGGCTTGCACTTGGATCTCTTCGTTACTCTCAGCATGGGCGTACGCGGCCAACTGGTTGATGATAAGCTTGGAGAAAGAGTCGGCGGATTGACCTGGGTTGACAATATAGCTTATCCCCGAACTGACATAGACGATCTTTCGTTTTAGGGGCTTCTCCTTCGAGGTGGTGGGTTGAGTGAGGAAATATTTTGTCAGCAGCAGAGATCCACGGGTGTTGGTGGTGTGAAATGAAGCGTAAAAGTGTATTGGACTATTCTAAATCTATCTGGTCGGGGAGGTTGCTTTTATAGCCATAATTACTAGCGTCTTGGCGTATTTCACAGTGGTTAGGTCATGATCTCACCATTTCTCAATATCACAGGTAGTAATCCATTGATCAGCCGCCGTTTTTGAAACTGCATTACTGACAAGTATGTCAACACCGCCTGGAAAGTGCTCTGATATGGTCTTGAAGGCTGCAGTTATTGATGATTCTCTGCTTATGTCAAGGTCGAGAGCTAGCACTTCAACAGAAGAGTCGATACTTTTGAGGTTTGCCACCGTGTCCACGAGGCTAGTTGCTTTGCGAGCCGTGATGATAATTGCGCGCGCCCCCGCCACAGCAAAGACGGGTGCGAGAGCCTGTGAGGTCAGCCATGAGCAACTCAGAATTGGTTCCCATGGAACGTCCAGTCAATGCCTAACAGATCCTCGACGGAGATACTCACATCTCTCCCTATGCCTTTGGATGCTCCTGTTATCATGACAACCATCCCTTTCTGCGAGAGCTCTGGACGAGTCGGATCTATCGTCGGGTATGCATCGCGATATATCCCTTTCGTGAAACTTCCGTGGATGCTCAAGTCATGTGGCGTAGCGCCGTTCAAATGAACCCGTTGAGTCATGATGGTTTCTAGGGGTTTCTAGGATATATTTGTCGAAATGATGCTGTTCAGTTGCTTTGGTGAACTAGAGAAAGTCAATATCTGAGCATTACCACGAGGCGCTCGATGTCAATAGTCTGGTAGTGGGATGTGCTTTGCTTTCTCTGGTCGAGTTGACAACCTTCCGGGCCTAGCATTGGGTTTCCGGGGTTGAGTGTTGAAGATTGAACGGTCTTCTTCGTCAATCATCATATTCCGCATTATTCCGCCAGTAGGAAACCAGTCTCACACGTCAGATTGAATCGGAAGATATAGGTGCAACATCAGTGTTCAATGACACCTCTTCACGGGTCCGTAACGACTCGGTCGGGTTTGGCCTTTTCAACTCACTTCGAACCCTGGATTATGACGGCCCATAGCCTTTCTTTGCGACAGGATCCCAGGTAAAGTTCCGCCGTAGGAGTATTGTTCTCGAGTTCAATCGAGAAGGCGTCTGAGATATTGAGGGCTTTTCTCCATTGTATTTCCACAGACTAAGCCTCGCAATCAATGGCCATAAAGGATGTAGAAACGATGAAAAAGAAGGAGCGTCGAGATGATGGGGCAGAAAGTTTGCAGACACTGGCACCCAATCATCAGATGGTCCCGACTTTTACTTAAGATGTGGCTTACCGTGGCTAGCATCATCCGACGTTTAAGGCTAAATCTCCCTGATAGTGTGTGGACTGCTTCAGGTGTGCACAGGCAAGCCAAAGGTCCCCCTTTACCCGGATTAGGGCCCAAATGTGCGAAACCCTTTCCTGCTGTCAAGGCAACAATCGGTCCATCAAATGAACATATGAATCTATTTTTCTACGTGGCCAACTTGTCTCTTAACCCGTAGTTCGCCATTGATTCCTAAAGCTGTTCAAACTAGCTATAAGACTCAAAAGGGAAACTATACCTGCATTCATGCCCCGAATGCCCTTAGGGTAAAAACTGCTGTGGACGGCAACAGGCAACCAGCACGCAGCGACCATAAGTTCATTCCACCACTTTCGATTGAAATCTGCCTGCTCCTGAGCCGTCTTCCTTCCACGCTTCTTCTTTTCGATCTCGGCCTCACGCCACAGCCGGAAGAAATCGCTTACCACGCCTACACACCAGGCGCGGCAACTCCACGCTATCCATTTGGCCATCCCACCTCTTTTTTCGATCATGGACGAAGGTAATATCCCTTTTCCCTGTAAGTGGCAGATATTCTCGATGGCTTGAAATACAATGTAGGCATTGCATTGAAGAAGTACCAGGCGATGAAGAATGGGGTCCATCTCCCTGAGGGTTTTCCTTGATGTCAGGAACTTGAGCCTGACATACAGGGGAATAAGACCTGTAAGGCGCTGAGTCTTACGCCAATCCGAAATAAGCGAGCTGAGAGGTGTGAGAATTGACGAGATTGAAAGCGCTTTAGTGAGCACACTGGGCGACCGCTTCGATCGTGTGCGCCATAGAAATCGATAAACGAGGTCGGATTGCGTTGACGATCGTACAGAGAGATACGTCGCAAGATTGGCCGAGAAATTGATGGTTGCGAGAACTGCGCCTAGACCAGCAGTGGTTTGAATCAATCTGTCTCTTGTGAGCCCGCAGTTCTCTCGACCTTGCCTTCAACACCCATCCAGCACGAGAAGCGGACCTACTTGCTCATGCGGACGACAATCTGGTCGTGTTTGGGGATTGTTTCTTTGGATTGACTGGGAAGGTCGCCCGGCTTAACTGAATAATCCTCGTTCTTTTCCGTCTTCTGAACATTTGAATGACTTGACCGAGCAGAATCGGCGCCTGCCATGTGTGCTCTTGGTAAGAGACCTTGAATTCGCGCAAACGAGACCGCAATAGTCAGCCAGAAGAAGCTTTTGAAATGAACCTCTAGTGCAGATCTATCGTATTACTCATTGGGATCGGATTCTGGCGATTCGGCTTTCGGTAAATAGTCATCTTCTAACCGAGGCGCAGAATTCAGAGATCAGGGGTCCAGCTTCGACTGACTTGCGGAATTGGAACTTGCCCAATATGCTTAGGCCTCTTGTACGACGGTAGTACAAGTACTTGGTACACGTACATCTGAGGTGGGGAATGTGGTCTGGCCATCGCAACCAATTGGCAGCGTGAATATCACGCTTGAAACCTGGACAGGACGCCCTGCCTGGAGTTGGGTGAGAGTCAGCCGGCACTTGTTGTCCGCCTCCACGGACCCAGGATCCCTCCAAAGCTCCCTGCTTCTTCGCTTACGCAGAGTCCCATTTCCACCCCACACCCATACCTCGGACATGCAGTCTCATCTCCAGCAAGCAGCCAAAGGAAATCACATGCCCCAGCCCGCTAGACCTTACCGCGCCCACAGGATTTCGTGCGTCAATTACGGCTTTTGTGTCTGCTTCTCGTCCTGGAGAAAGCATCCACGGCGACTTAGAACTTCCAGTGAGATTCAAGCTAGAGCAAGTTGAACCTTTTCCGAAGTTTCGGTAATGAACAATAGCGGGGAAAGGCTCATTCGTGGGCTCGACAAACGAGTTGGACGGGGCTCCAGAGCTTTTGTAAATTCCCTGCTCCAAGATATTGAACTGCTTGAGAACCGGCTGAGAGAGTCTGGCCAGGAACCGCCCGAGCCACAGAATCCCCTACTGAAAGGGCGACCGCTACAGTTTTCTCGAAATTGTCGCGATGTAGACAAATCCCAATCGAATGGATCAGTAAGCGGGCACAACGCGTACCTAGACACGCCAAATGGAGTGCCATCAAAGTCCAACTCAGGGTTGACAGCGTTCAGGCTCGGACAGAACACACTTCTCAACCATGACAGCCCAAACACATCAGACAGTCAGGTCCAATTCCAGATCAACAACGCCGCCGCTCTCACCCAGACTCTTTCTGAACCCGCCATAGTACACAGTATCCAGACAGACTCAAGCTCCTTATCATTGGAAGCACGCCAACGTGCATTAGCATTGCGACATTCCCTCTTCAGCCCATGTCAGATTGTTTTTGACAGGCCCAGTGGCAGAGTTCAATATTTCTGTCCGAGTAATTGTTTCAAGCGCTATTTCAACGAGCATGTTCGACCAGGATCGGGAGTCTCTAAAAGTCAGCGGCTAGAAAGGCACGCTTACCGTATCCTCGCAGACGTGCCAGCACATATCCAAGACTACTTGATGGGACTTTTCTAGACTTGCTACAATGAGACGTTTCACATCCTAGACCGAAAAGCATTTTACGAAGACCTTGAAACCGGTGCGTCAGGGACATACTCTGGCTTTTTACACATCTCGTGCCTAGCCACGGGGTTCTTATTCGCGGACAAGAAGAACCCGGCAATGCGATATATCACGGTTTCTGATAATCTCAGCATTTTCCACCAGGAGATTAAATATATACTCGATGGTGAACTAGAGGACCCTGAAGGCCTCACAACGATCCAAACGATGCTAATATTAAGCGACCTTCAATGTGCACTTGGGATGGATGATGTTGGTGGATTGTATGCAGGTACGTTCTTTCTTCGCGCCACCTGAAGCACCCGCCCCTTGAAAATTGGACCTGAACAGTGAACAGGTATTGCCTGCCGTCTTGCTTTCGATTATGGCCTCAACCTGGAGCACTCACAGCTGGGACTATCACAGACAGAAATACAGTCACGTCGGAGACTGCTCCGTTCCTGTATTCTTTATGACAGAGGTTGGTCATTGTACCTAGGCAGGCCTACGAGTATAAAAAACTCAGACCTTGATATGTCTCAGCTTACAGACATGTTCTCGCGTTTGGGAGGCTTCTGTGACTTAGACAAGCCTCAGACATCGGCCGGCTCAGATGCAGATATTGACGAAGTTGAAAACTTGGTGTACGACGCCATGCTTCAACTTCTAGAGATTGCCAGCAAAGTTCAAGAGAAAACCCATTCAGACATCCTCCCCGGATCGGAATCCCATGAGCACTTATTGCTTGAGGTCGCTGCACTGGGGAACAATTTAAGTTCCTGGTCTGCGAGGCTTCCTCCACTGCTTCGTTGGAGTCCTGAAAATGCTAAGAGGGCACCGTCACTCTACTTCGTAATGCAGTAAGTGTTCTTCCCATTCGCAGTCAAACCTTCTCCGACGCGAGCCCGAGGGGTACTCTCTGTTTAACACAATATTGTAAAGCATGAATGAGCTAACTCCAGGGCAAATTAGTCAACAATTTCATACAACCCAAGCCTTATTGCACGGACCATATGGACAATATGGAGAAGCGCTTCAGGGTCAATATAGCGCCTCTAGTGTTGAACAGCCGAATGAAGCATACTCCTTCGTACCTTTGGCTCGATCAATTGCGTTCAAACATGCATTGAAGGTTGCGCAGATATTCGCATTTCATCGGACGAGATTTGGCCAGAGCCAGTTTGGCCTGTTTTCGCTCACACATGCTGCTACAGCAAGTCTTGTTCTGATTGCAAATGCATCACTTGGTGAGAATTCTAGCGAGCGACTTCTCACCTTGCAGCGGATTCGGACCCTACTAGAAGAACTGAAACAGATGTCTCTGGTCTATCAACCGGCCAAAATGATGACCGCCGTGATGGAACACTACATGGAGAACACTGGTGTGGATTTCAACAGTCTACCAATCTCGGATTCGAGCTCAACACCGTTTACAGAGTCTAGTAACGGTGTATCCGCTCGACGGCCTAGTGAGCATGATCAAGAAACTGCAAGTCAATGCAACAAGAAGAGACACATCTCAAACCGGGGATCTTCAACTCTGACTACTCCATCGTCTGCGAATGCCGCCGTTGTATTCCATCCGCCTAGCAGACCCGAAATTTCTGCCTCACACGCACGAAGCGAAGCTGAAGTTGAGGACTTCGAAATCCTGGGTAATGACACGGCTGGAAACCATGCACATATTGCCGATGAAGAGAGCTGCAATGCTTTGAAATCCACCACTCTTCACGTGTCAGATAATGCGATAGAGACCTTTTTATGGACAGAAGTTTCTATCGAGCCGCCATTAGGCGATGGGGGTGCTCAAATACCGGGTTTAGCAGAATTTTCGCCCTCGTTTCTATTGCGCGAAAGTTCCGACGACGGTACAAGACTTCAAAGTTTGGGAAATGATTTTGGGGATGTCTTCCTCGGATATCAAGGAGAAAACTTCGAGAACACCACCTGGTAGCCGGACAATGGCTGAATTTACCGCAGTATTGATTTCAAGTATATTCAGATTCTCGGCCTTTTAGCATATCTTCAATAAGCCAAACATCCTTTTCGATCCCTACGGTTCTCATCTTCGAGGGACTTCAAATTCTGTTCCGGTTGGGTGATGAAAACCTACCTTCAAAGTGCAACCGCATGGCATTGACGCCGGTTAAATCGCGCCGAGGATTCCCAACCGTACCATCTTGAAGGCTACGACCGTAGAATGTCAGAGTATAGGAAGGAAGAAGCACAACTCCTTTCTAATCACCACTTGATGGTCGGATATCTCTTTATTCCGCACAATTTCCGCGAATTATCGGTCCCACCGTCCGGCAAACGAAGCCCACCTACAATCCGCGAGTGGCGGCCTTTCGGACCCTTTACCTACGAAGCCTACTCAGTCGTAGCCGCGCCACCAGCACCTAGCCATAGCTTGCGTCGTCGCCATCAGCACGCAATGCAGTGCTCGGTTGCACAAAGTTATATGATCTAGTCCACTGTAGTGTATGGCAATTGTTTGCACTGGCCAAATAGCATCCATTTTCAACAACTGCAGCATCATGGCAGTTTCAACGACACAAGTCCAAGAACATCGGGCACTCACGCACCATATCAACAACTATGGCTGGTTCGCCGATATGTACGCATGGGACGACATCGCAAATTGCCTCACAGAAGACTGTACCTTTGACTTCAAAGTCACGACAGATCTCGAAGGCCAGGGTTTGTAGCAGTTACTCCAGCACGAGTCGCCATTGCACGGACACCGGATCGCTAACCCTTTGTTTTCAATTACAGCCCCGATGTACCTCAACTCCGGCACAATAAAAGGGCGATCAAACACGGCCAAGGCACTGGCCGCTATTACGGAGAGGTTCCAACGCACACAACATAACATTTTGAACATGGACTTTGATATTGAACCTTCTAACGCGACTGCCACTGGCAGAGCGAACATATTCTGGGCTGGAGTCACAGAGCAGAACGGTCGCTATGTCACCGTGCAGACTGGCTGCAGGTACACATGGAAATTTAAGAAGAGTGTCGACAAGGGTCGTTGGGAGACAGACTATACGCAGGTGGAGCTTATCTGGGTGTCCTCGGCCCCAGTCGAAGGATTCAAGCTCGTCAATATGCTCTAGCCAGAAGTTGTGAAATAAGCATACTCCACGGTAGTTTTTGGTGGAATGGCAACGCAGTTCATTGAGCAGTTTAATGCCATCTTATAGATCTGTCTAGCCAGATGTTGGAGATAGAAGCAATGCCAATACTAGTTGAGGGAACTGACGTTGTGAGCGTCGCAAAGCGCGGAAAATGATGAAAAAAACCGATAGGTCCGGCCGATGAGCATCCCAACGCGTTTGTGTTGGAATCTATTGGTTTAGGAGAACTAAATCATATATGCAAGTTACGAAACGGACGAAACAGCCCGATGAATAATTCAGCGCTCATGCCAGGCAGGCGATGGGCGCGTTTAATATCATGCGTCCGAAAAGAGTAATTTCACAGAGTACTTAACCATATTAGGCTGAGCACGATTCTGTCGGAGGCCCTTCAATATTCTCACTACCCGCTAAGGGTCGCCTCCTAGTTTGTATTGAACAATGCAATTAATCATGAGAAGCGAGTTCCGCATCATACAAGTAAGCCGTAGATGCGAAAGAAGACAAATATATTGTTTGTTGTTTTTTATGTTATGGAATAGGAACTTGCACGCTATCCTCGAGCTGCAGCATTGCCGGCAAGCTAGGCTGGCCATCCAAGTTCGAAACAGGCTCCGCCCCGAGCCACTAAAACAGTACGGCCATCCTTCCTGTAGACTTTTGCGCCCTCATTTTTGTAATCATATCAGGTACGTCCTCCAACTTGTGGAAGCTGACAACGTTCGGTTGGATGTTGTGCTGCGCGGTGAATTCAATGGCGCGTGACATGCGTTGTGGAATACCGGTGCAATCGCCTTTGAGCCGATAAAGGCCGGTGATGATCTCGGTCAAATTCACCTGGAATGTCTTCGCCGGTAAACCCACAGCCATCAGAAGACCGCCTATTCGGAGTGCAATTTTTGCGTTCTCGTACGCTGCTATCGAAGCGCTATAGACTGCCGCGGCGTGCGCACCGCCTCCGGTGGCCTTCCTGATTTCGTCCAAGTAGTTCGAGTTCGTTGCAGAATTAAACGTCAGATCGGCACCAACTCTCTTACTCTCGGCAAGAGTTTCGTCGTTAATGTCCAGCCCGATCACCTTGATGCCCATGGCTTTTGCGTATTGTACGGCAGCCTGGCCCAAGCCTCCGCAGCCGACAACTACAAGCCATTCCCCTGGGTTCAGCCCGCATGACTCAACAGTATGGAACGCTACGAGGGTTAAAGAACTGTCCCGATCACGGTAGGAGATTACTTGCCTGCAATGCCACCACAGAATAGAGGGGAAGCTGTTTCGATCTTAATTGCCTCCGGCAGAACTATTGCATTGCGGTAGTCAACAACGGCATATTCGGCGAAAAATCCGTCAGAACCCTCGGTCATCCCTTGAATGCGTGGCGCGCCTTTGGTGCAATAGAGGTTGTAGACCTTGCACGCTTCACATTCAACTAAGACTCCTTTAGCAAAGGGAAAAGCTCAGGAGGGACGGTTAAGCCACACAATGCATACGTACAACAGCATCCTGTGATGTACAAGAAACCAACCCGATCTCCAGGCCTGAACCCGGTCACTTTGGAACCTAGTTTCTCCACAATTCCGGCGCCTTCGTGGCCCAGAGTGATGGGCTTCACGCTGCTCGGCGTCGGCGTCCAACCCTCGATGGCCATGATATCTGAGTGACATAGCGAGGCGGACTTGATCTTGACCAATATATCTGTGCCTTCTGGCTCCGGGATGGGAACCTCGTTTACTTGGATTTTCCCCGTATTCTGGCGGGAAGGTCTTGTTAGCTCTGAGATTGTTGTATACCTGGACCGACAAGCCTTACACGATGAAACTGTGCAGCGCGCATTGTGGCCAAGCTCCCAATATTGACTCGTTTGATTCACTTGTTGTCACGACTGTGCAACTCTCATTTGCAAAGAGGATATGAGAAATGGCAGGTGTCTATCAAGGTCTCGCATCTTTGGATGAACGACATTATAACACGAATAGAACTTGCTGCCGAAGCTGGAACTCTGAATGCTTGCAATGGCCTTGTTCGCAAAAACCAGGTGGCTCTGTTGCCCCATCAGCAAAAGGCCCGAAATGGGCGTAACCTTTCGTGCGAAATCAGAATCACCTTTAACGCTCGGCGATTGACAGGCTATGCACTCATGACAATTAAGAAACATTTTCCGCTGCGGCTATTGCTGCGTCCGCGGTATCAACAGACACGAAGTAGGCAAGGTAGGCCTGGGCGAATGACGCTCGCAAGAGGCTGTATTATTATTATGCTGCTGGTCGAACTGATGACCTATACGGCTCTCTTTGGGCGGAACCTAAAATCCCCGGCATGCTACTCGGACTTGCATAAAGCTTTCCGCTCGACCAATCCGCAGCCGACATGTCCCAACGAGGTTGTTGTTCCAATGGTCAAGCCATTTCTGACAATGAAATCCACAAAATGATAATCCCCTCTTCGAGAAAAGGGGGGAAATTTTACTTCACTCAGTGAGCCTGGTATCCAAAGCTTCAGTGATACTCCTGAAAGAGCACACACACCATGTCGAGCCTCAAGTATACTTGGCTCTCTGAAGCGGATCCTGTTTGGATCCCTTTAAAGCAAGCATGCGACGAACAATTTGACGGGTTCTACGCTTTACCAATAGAAAAACAGCACGAGACTTGGGTGAATTATCCCCATCCTGTCCCGGAGGGTACGCCAATGGACTTGGAAGTATCCTTTGAACAGGTCCCGGTGAGAGATGGAGCGAAAGTGGGGATCAAGATCTACCGGAACACCGAAAAGCTGAAGGCGATGGGCAAAGTCAAAGCACCCCTTGTCCTAGTAGCTCATGGAGGTGGTTGGGTTCTTGGAAACCATGATGTCGAGGAAGGCGTTTGTCGTTGGATTGCAAAGGAGACCGGCGCAGTCGTTGTAGATGTCGATTACAGACTGTGAGTTCGGTTATTCGAGGCGCTTTTAGTTAACGTTGGGGAGCCACATATTGATAAGCTGACAGGGCTCCCGCATATCGATTTCCGTACGCAATTAACGACTTCTACGATGGGTTTAAATGGGTAAGCAAGAAACACACCTCTCCAATGTTGGCCAGTCCTAATCGATAGTACCACTTGATTGCGACAGTGCAAGGACAATGCAACTACTCTCGGAATCGATCCTTCGCTTATTGTGTCTAATGGCAGCTCTGCTGGAGCCAACCTGGCTGCTGTTCTTCCGATAATGGCAAAAGATCACAATGAGGAAGGGATCGTTGGCCAAGTACTGAATGGCCCAGTTGTGTGTCATCCGAGATTCTTTCCAAAGGATAAATACGAATACACAAGTTGGGAACAGAACAAAAAAGCCTCTATCCTTGGTAAAGACCATATGCTACGATGCTGGGATACCTACTACCCTAATACGGGCCCTGATGTCTACGCAAACCCATTCTTGGTTGAAACAATGGAAGGTCTGCCTCCTGCTTGTGAGTTTTTTCTATCATTTTCATTCTTTCAAACACCCGATGCTTCCTTGAGAATGTGCCTCTACTGAGACGGAGAGTGCAGTAATACAGATAACCGGTATGGACCCTCTTAGAGACGAGGCATTTGCCTACGCAGACAGATTGAAGGAAGCTGGGTACGTAACATGATGCAAACTCTGACGATACTTTCTCTCCAAATTAGGTATCGAGACAGCCTAAACGGAAAGAGTTGCTGACTGCTTTATAGCGTTCCAGTTGAGGTTGCAACCTACCCTGGGCTACCTCATGGCTTCTACACCTTCCCGCAACTCGAGGCATCAACGCGATATTTCAAGAAGGCTGCATCGTGGATTAAAGAACTTCTGGCCAAGAAAGGATGGGAGTCATAGGAGAAAGGGTCTTCGCTGGTAGTCTAACTTTCGAGACATGGATTCTTGAAAACTGCTTTCGTGGTCTTGTTTATTCTCGGCATCCAGAAATGCTGCACTCGAAACAGGTGGAGGGTATCGAGAGATACGGGACTGTGAGGTTGTCAGCTCTGGCCAATCCGTTGACAACATATCACACCCATCTCCTTTGTGTTACGTAGGAGCAGGCCAATCCCCGCAGTCACACGACGGGCGCGGGATGCGGCTGTGAAATGAAGTGTAAAAGTGTATTGGACTATTCTCAATCTATCTGGTCGGGGAGGCTGCTTTTATAGCCATAATTACTAGCGTCTTGGCGTATTTCACACGGCTATCGTTTTCCGACAGGCGGCCCAAGAGACTTTCTCGCTTGCCCAATTCCAAGCAGTAGGTAGACGACCAAACCCCTCACTCCACATTTTTCGAACGTCAGACTCAAACAAAGGCATTTATAGAGTCAAAGTGCCTTTATGCTCGATCACCAAAGTCCCTCGCGCTTCAAAATATCATGAACTCCACGAAAGGACCATCTTCGCGGCTGGCACCTGGACGAACTCGCGCATCGGTGGCATGCACAGGTTGCCGACACAAGAGGAAAAAGGTACGAGGGAGGCCCGACTTCGCCCGGACGCAGCAGCCTAATGAGAGCAGTGTGTAATCGAGATTGGCGAGAAGTCGTGCAATCACTGTAAAGATAGCGGACTAACGTGTGTGTTCCGGAACGATGATGAGCGAAGGAGGTACGCAGTCAGTCCCAGCAAAATGGCATCGTCCAATTCCTGCTTTGCAATGAGACCTCGCATGGCGCTGCGCTGAGAAAATACAGGCCTAGATCTCGGGTTTTCGTGCATTCTTTGCTCGAGCACATTGAACTTCTAGAAAGTCGTTTGAAGGAGGTAGACGGCGAATTACCACAGCAACCACAGCAACCTGATACCCAAGAGCAAATGCAGCAAACGAAAGATGGGGAGGGTGTTGCTCGACCACACTCAAGATCCTGGGCTGATCACGGTGCCAGCGATTGCTTCGACCTATCGCACCTTGAACCCGAGGATGGTGGCCTCCAGCAAGGCCCGGCCTTATCTAGTCTAAGTGACACGGAACGGCAGGATCAGACTCCTACATCAAATGCTACGTCAGGAGAGGATGGGCTTTTCCTTCATTCAGACCCTATTAATCTGGGGCAACCCCTTCAAACCCGCGAGAATCCTGTATGTTCATTTCTATTCGACTCGGCACAGCTGAAATACGACAGCACTACTGGGCAATTACGATATTTTACTCCCCTTGTAGGATACCAACTCTACGCAGACCAACTTGCGGGCCCTCACAGAAACTCTGCAGGATCATGGCATTTACAGAGGCGACTACATCATATGATCAAGGACCTAAATGCGGAGGCTTACGATCACCTAATGACCTGTTTCTGGACGCACTACAATAATGCCTTGCAGATTGTTGACCAAGCAACGTTCCAACAGGACAGAGATGGGGACAAACTTCATTATTCAGGATTTCTACACGTGTGCTGCCTGGCAATGGGCTTCAGATATGCTGATAGGTCTAGACCAGATATCAAAGCACTCGACAGGGGAAACAGGCACAGTACTTTCCACGAAAGTGCGCGATATATGGTGGAGACCGAGTTGGAAAATCCCCGGGGCTTGACCACAGTGCAAGGGCTTCTCATTTTGAGCGACTTGGAGTGCGCTGTCGGCAGAGATCGATCAGGTTGGATGTATGCTGGTATGTATCACATCGATATTTACTGCTGCTATCTTGACGTCGCCCCCGTTATTGCCACATCGCCACGCTGCATCATACTAACTCTAAGAACAGGTGTCGCCTGTCGATTCGCGTTTGACATGGGTTTGACGATAGACCACTCTAAGTCAACCTTGCCTCAGCAGGAGATTCGATCTCGACAGCGTCTCTTGCGAGCCTGCGTTTTCTACGACAGAATTTGGGCCATATTTTCTGGACACCCTACTGTAATCAAAAGATCTGACCTGTGTATGGCCGAATTCAGTCCTGCATATTCCACATTGATAAGCTCCATCTCCGAATCTTCGACACGGTTAGCCGAAAGCCCAACGGAAACAGAAGCCTGGGAAGCTCTCTTGGGTGTGATGGAATTGGCCATCAAAGTGTCCAGTTACGCCGGCAATGCAGCCCCAACAGCAGGATCTGACGATGGCACCACCAAGTTCATGGAAGCTGCGGCTCTGCACGGCGAGCTCGAATCATGGCAGAGGAAGCTCCCGCATCAACTGAAGTGGAACTCGGAAAACATGCAGAATTCACCTGCCATGTTCTTTTTCATACAGTAAGGGTCCCATCTTGCTGTTCATTTCTGAATCACGCGAGTGTCTCTTCAGCATTAACTGATGAAGCGAACGATCAGTCAACTTTTTCACAGCACCCTCATACAACTGCATCGCTCACTAGTCGAAAATCAGAAGCCTCAATTATACGAAGGCGCAGAGCAGATCCCGGCATTTGAGACGACGTCGCCATTTCAAACACTCTCGAAGGGCATCTGCCTGGAAAATGCAACGACCATCGTCCGAATCATGGATGCATATTGCACGCGATTTGGCATGCAATCTGTGAGTGTCTTTAGTCCCCAGCCCGTCAGTGTAGCTTTAACTGCTCTCCTTGCAAACTTGTCCGAGCTGGGATATTCTCCGCAAACGGCAACAATACTCCAGCATGTTCACACACTATCCAAGGTCCTTCAAAAATGGTCCCTAAGCTACCAAACAGCACAGAATATGTGCACGGTTCTGGATCACATCTTGCCCCAGACCAGGAGGGACGTCTCCAATAGGACCGAGTTGGGTTATTGCGATGGAAGTCTCCAGGGGTTGCCACAGCAGTCGTCTTTGCAGCCCCCACCACAAAGGGGCTTGGAAGAAGTGACGTGCCTGGAGCAATGGCCGCCTTTTCAGGGCAACAGCATAATTGCAACTAAGGATGCTATTACGGTTGCTCGCTTTGATATCTCTAGACCTACGGCAAATAGGGACCTTCATGGTGACATGTCAATATGAGCATGAGCTTCCCTGCTAACAACGTGTACCGATGTCGGTCAAGGCAACATTATACATCACACAGACGCAAAATTCCCCGTTTCAAGCAGCTCCTGTCAAGTTCCGTTGTTTCAATCGAAAGATGCGGTAGAGCCGTAGACATCGATCGGTAGATCCAATGAGCGAGATACAGGGCGGAGAACCCGAGATTTTGCGAGCTTTGTTGACGCTGATCCTGTACAAGCATAATTTGGTGTTATCATTGGGACCGAAGACACTTTATAGAATGTATTCTGCTCCAATAACTGCTATGCTCATATATTCTGCTCAATCTGGCGGTCCCAACAGGATTCTTCTTGTGACTACTGTAATAGAGCACTTCAGGGTTCGGCGTGCACGTGTAACAACGCACAGAGGCCTGTCCAGTAGATTGGGAATCGAGAACGCGTTTCTGGTTGATACTGACAAGACAACACCACCACCAACACCACCCAGAGGGGCAGCGGCTAGGGCTACGAACACCTAGCACAGCGGCAGCATCGAGGAATAGGACAGGACTGATAAAACACTTGAGAATAGAGGTAGACGGCACCAAAAGCCATAGAATTCATGATACTCTGCTCAAACTAATGAATGGCACACTGCCAGCACTGTAAACTGTTCTGCACCCCCCTCTCTGCCAGCCCATTTAGGTTTGACATGTGACTAGACAACTTTTCCTCCCTGCCACCGCTCTACCAGCCCAGCACAGCCCATCACAGCACAGCCACCTCGCCTTGTTACACTACATCCAGGGACCATTCACTAGGCACCTGGCTGTCTCACATAGTAGCCTAGATCGCCACCCTGTTCCTCTCGCCTCGTCTTGCCATTGCCGAAATATGAAAAGCGATTATGCGTGGTGTACTTCATGTCCCAGTCCTCCCATCGAGGCTCCGCCATCGCCTCGAGGAAATGCAGCGCGCTTCCCGGCCAAGGTCCCCAGACCTTACCGTCGACTTGACCGTTCTTGTACCATGATCGACAACCACTTGTCCAGACCAAATCTTTCATCAAGGAATCTTTATATTCTTGAAAGTCGTCAACAGCCTCTTGCTTCGGCGAAACAGATTTGATTCCTTGTCGCTGCATCTTGGCAACTAGCTCAAAGATGTAGGACATGGTCCGCTCGAGACATGGGACAAAGGTGCCATTTGCGAGTGGACAGTTCGGGCCAGTGGCAACTGATAATAGAGATGGTCAGAAAACCTTCACGAACTACAGGTTACTCTGGACACCAATACTCACAGAAAAAGTTCGGAAAGCCAGCCGCTCCGACCGAGAGGTAGGACTTGGGCTCATCTTTCCAAACCTCTCGCAAATCTTGCTGCTCTCCAACAACAGCGAAAGCAGGACGAAACGACGTATCAAATCCTGTAGCGCAAACGATGGCGTCAATATCTGTATACTGTCTTCCATCCTCCATCTCGAACCCATCCGGCGTGATCTTTAAAATATGCCCTGTTTCTATCGTCACATTATCGGCAGCGAGGGACTCGAGATAATTGTGTCCTGGGGTAACCCTAATCAGGTGTTGAGCAACAGGGTAGCAACGTGAAGCGACCTATGACCATTTTCTTACCTTCGACATCCCACAGAAAAGTTCGGGACAAGCTTGTCAGCAAGATATGCTTTCTTTCCAAGTCTCTGTTTCATGTTGTTCCGGAAATGTTGCATCGCGTCCTTCTGCATCTGCGATTCTTTGTAAAATAGGTCAAAGACCTGATTCATGGTGGTCTCGACTCGTTTCCGATACTCCACAAACCCTTTCGGATCGCTTGCCCATGCAGATTTCTGTTCTTCAGTGAAGAGTTGCTCACGACCCTCTGGAGCAAACTCTTGGCCAAACTCCGGCGTTATCCAGGTGGGAGATCTGTTGAATGACACCAGATGGCAGGCAACTTGGATTGAGAGAGTTAGCCTGAGAGTCGACGACAAACTCTTCGCACGTGGATCAAAATGCATACCAGATCGCAGGATTGGCACAATTTGAATCGCCGATGAACCATTTCCAATGACTGCAACCTTCTTCCCTGTGAAATCAAACGAGTCGTCCCACCTGGCGGAATGGACCTTGTGACCCTTGTAGGTGTCAAGCCCGCGAATATCAGGCCATCTCCATTTACTGCGCCATTTTTGTTAAACCTATCTTCAGCGCGTCTCTCACACAGAAGCTTTACTCACTTGAGAAATCCAGTTGCATTAATAACAACTTCAGCACGGTCAGTGAACGTCCGCGCCTGGGAAAGGTCCTCCACTCCGAGCTCCCAAATGCCTTGCTTCTTATCCCAGACAGCGCCCACAACGCGGTGATTCTTCCGCAAGTACTCATACACCCCGTATGCTCTGGCGCGTCCTTGATAATATTCGCAAATCTCCGGAGCCGTCACATACGCCCGAGACCAGTTCGGATTCCCTTCCCATGAGAATGTATATCCGTGTGCCGGTACGTCACAGGCACATCTAGCACCTGCCGTGTCAGCATCCCGATCATTGCTTCTATCGTCGTTTCTGGCGAGCCTTACCCTGGATACCTATTTTCTAACCAAGTCCCACCCACATCAGCATTCTTTTCATATATCGTCAGACTCACGGGGAGCCCCTCGAAGCGTTCTCTAAACAGCTTGACAGCAGCGATACCTGCTATGCCTGCCCCTATAATGATGATCCGCAGACGCCGGGGCTGACCGAGGACATGTTTTGGGTATTGGAATTCATTAGGTACGACGTGATTGCCATTCACTTCGGCCGATACAGCTGGAACTTCAGAGACATAGTCAAGTGCGGTGCCCTGCGAGATTGCCATATTCGAAGTCGCGATAGAGATGTCAATGCAACACAACTCACCTCCGTGGAAGATATCGGGCTACCAGGTGATATCAACACTTCTAGACTGTCCTCCTGGGCTGTCACGCCTGGTTAGGCTCTATAGAAGTGGATAATTTAGCTATGTCGGAATCTTTCGGCGGTATGCCGACTCGTTAGTCACGTAGCGAAAATGCATCTCCGCGACTACTACTAAGAAGGACAGGGAGTCTGATAGCCAAGCGGCACAAAATGTCTTCAGTACATGAGATGGAAAATTCCCTGATTGGGTATATATCGCCAATACGAGACTTATTCTATGAAACCCCACCCTAGTAGCGATCCTTCAATCCTTTGAGGGTTGTAATAGCATTTCAACGTATTTTACGGGTCGCTTGAACTCACTGAAAGGGCGGAACAAAGTGGAATTGAATATTGCCATTAGGATTTTTGTTATATTGGTCTGGACTCAGTGCGATTAACGGGAGAACTATATCCCATTCTTAACTTGGTTTTCGGAAATCTTCGAGGTCATCCGATCTTGAATGTCGGAAATGGCTATCATTGGGCGAGGCAGTACAGCAGCAGACAACAAGTTTACAAATTGTTGGTATCCAAGTTTGGATTATTCCAGAAAAAAACCTGATAGTACGCGACGACTTTTCAAATTTCAGACCAGAATAGATTAAGCAGTGCGATATCCGAATGGCGTCTGTGGAGGGTAGAGTAGTGAGTGAAAATCATCCTGGGTCGGCCCCGAGAGCAAATCGTGGGTTAACTGCTAACGTTATCCAGGTTGCGTTGACTGGCGGTGCCAGCGGCATCGGTTTGGAGGCTGCTAAGCTCCTGTCTGAGAGGGGAGCCATCCTCTCCATCGCAGACGTCAACCAGCAGGGCCTGGACGATGCTCTCAAGGCGATTAAAGGAAACAAGCATATCGCGACGGCCGTGGATGTCCGCGATGGTGCTCAAGTCAAGGACTGGATTGGGAAAACAGTGCAGCAATTTGGCAGACTGGACAGCGGGGTAAACCTCGCAGGTGTTGCGCGCATGCAGGCCCCCATCACAGAAGGGACCGACGATGACTGGGACTTTATGATGGGTGTCAACGGCAAAGGCGTCTTTCACTGTATGAGGGAGCAGTTGAAGCATATGAAGAATGGAGGAAGTATCGTGAGTCTCTCAACGGCCCCTTTCCTCCCACAGAAAAACAAGATTTGCTTCAATGAGTATTTGATTTCAAAAGTGCTGGCGGGTTCTAAACTTCTTCCAGGTCAATGCTGCAAGCATCCAGGGCATGGTAGGTTGCGCGAACACGTCCATTTACGCCGCCAGTAAATCTGTGGTCATTTCCCTTACAAAATCCGTGGCAAGAGAGGTGGGCCCACGCAATATCCGAGTTAATTGCATTGCTCCAGGTAGGCGAGTTCCATCCTTGTTTCTATTCTTGGGCTCAGTTTTCAGGGGCGTCTATAAATTGCCCTGGCGCAAACTCCTGCATTCGTTGGTGGTGCTGACGCAGACACCAAATATGCAACAGGCGTTGTCAAGACTCCTTTACTGGACCCTTTTGAGAAAGGTGGCCAAAAAGTGCCGACGACTATGCAGTGTTTTGACAGGCAGGCTCACCCCATAGAGATCGCAAGAGTCATCGCTTTCCTCGTGAGCGACGAGGCGTCTTATATCACCGGCAGCAATTACCCTGTAGATGGCGGCACGACGGCTTGAGTTTGAGAGAGGCAGAGGGCTCTCATTGATTTGACATATGTATAGACATCTCAAGAAAGCGCTTAGGCAACAGATATGGCTTGAAGCGGCAGTAACAGAATACCACACCTTCAACTTGGGATATTTGTGAGACTTGTTAGACAGTGATACTGTGCTCACTGGTTCTTATGGCATGCTAGCCTCACATGTTAGAAGATTCCCATGGAGGACACCACTGCTTACTCCTGCTTTTTAACACATCTCGATCAATCACTCGTGGAGAGTGAGGAATGTAAGACAATTTTCCTGCAGAGTGGCAGTGAATGGCCTGTGTTGTCAAGGTATAGCTTGAATCATTCGACCTGATGTTTACTGAGCCGTCTACGTTGCCATCGCAGCTTAGTCGCTGGCAATACCTCTCGGCAGTGAATGACGTGCCAAGATGCAGCGTCCACTCGGGAGATTGGTCCTTATTTGGTCCCGGTCGAAAGCCTCTTAAGAGAGCAGGGCATACCGCTCGGGAATCTAGAGCAGCGTAGGGCGTTTTTACTATTGTGAATCAGTATGATCCTCCTATACTGAGACCTAGACTAATAGGCGTTAATGGGAATGGGAATGTCACTATTCCGAACGTACGGAGTACCTACAGATCCAAGAGAAGCATTTAGTGAGTTATTCCAAGCCCAAATGAGTTAGATAAAGAAACCCACCAGTCAGAGGCTTTTCCGCCAGCTCCACATTAATATTTCCGTCTTTTCCGTCACTTCTCAACAAGGCGTAGTAGGAGGGTAAGTCCTGTTTGCACGATGTGGGGCTGCATCAACGCGACTTGCATGTACGCTCCCCACGGGGGTGATCGTGGAGAAGTGCAGATTCTGGACGTTGGAGCGCACATGGTAACCGTCACGCCTTCTTGGCAATCCTGTGAAGTATCTTTGATCGACATGTCCAAGTTGTTTGAAGGAAACTCCACAAAATGTGGGATTCCGAGTACACGATCTCAGACTCTTCTGAACATCTGCAAGCTCCCCTCCTCGCTTCTCACAAATCTATTCCACATCGCAAACGGCAGTTCTCATGAACTTCTTTAACGTAGCTGCCTTGAAAAAGGACTGGATAACAGCCCAAAAGCATATTGAGGCACATAGTCCTGTTTCATTGGCAAGCAGACAATAGGCGGAAACGGCGGACGCGGCTGCCAGGTAGCTTGAACTATCTTGCGGAATGAGAGGCTAGACCACAAAGTTCCCGTTGAGCAGTATGACTGAGGTCCAAATCATACAATGCTCCTCACCTTCGCATAAATCTCATCTGCTCGCCAGACGGTGGTTTACTTTGAGGTCTTTCAGCAGTTGTTACAGGGCCTTGATTTTTTGGGGGCAAAGCCAAAGCTTCAACGCGGATGCTGCCTTTCCTCACCTTTCAGCAGACTCTCCCATCATTAACCGACAAATTCGAACCCTGAAAACATCGGCTTGACATCCTCAGTATGGCTGACAAAAGCCAAGATGTGTCGACGACAGTGGAGTCGCAATCCCATGGGACAATGAACTTTGTGGAGAAGCGAAAACGCCATTTCGGACCAAGGATGATCTTCAGCGTCATCATCATGTGCATGGGGACCCTCACTTACTCCTACGGCGCCGGGGTCATCGCGACCACTATTGGACAGCCGTCCTTCTACGCCTACATGAAGCTTGACAGCGGCTCTCAAACATCTGCGATCATTGGTGCCACTACAGCGCTTTACTATGCCGGCGGTATCTTCGGTGCCTTTTGCGCCAACTTCGTCGCCGACCGCTGGGGACGGAAGGCATCCATCTACACTGGCGCCCTCACTTCGCTTGCTGCGGCCGCGCTCTGCGCCGGCTCCGTTCACATTGCCATGTTCATCGTCTTCCGGTTTATGTACGGCGTCGGAGGCTTCATGCTGTTGATGACCGTCCCTCTGTGGATCACCGAGGTCGTGCCAGCAGAGGTTCGCGGGGCATTCGCTCAGTGCCACGGAGTGTGCACCTCTCTTGGGTACTTCCTCTCCAGCTACGTCGGAGTAGGATTCTATACGAACGGCTCCGTCAAAGGGCTCAATTCTTGGCGAGGTCCTCTGGCGATCGGGGCGCTTCCTCCCATCCTCTTCCTTTGCGGGCTGTGGTGGGTGCCTGAGTCGCCTCGGTTTCTCCTGCTGAAAGAACGCACCGGCAAAGCCTGGGAGATTGTGCGCAAATTCCACACAACGCCAGGGGACGCAGACCACCGCTACGCAGAGATTGAGATGTTTCAAATGAAGAACCAGATCGAGCTGGATCGCACTCTGCCTACATCGTGGCTCTTCATGTTCAAGACACCGTCGATGCGGAGGCGCATGTGCATGACTGTCTTCATCGTTTTCGCGGTCCTGTCGAGCGGTAACCTCTGCGTCGCGACCTATGCTACGGTGATCATGAGCCATTCCGGCTGGGATCCACGGGCGCAACTGAATATCCAAGCTGGAATGATGGCGGCCGTCATGCCCGGCATTTTCGCTGCCATATTCTTCACCGAGAAACTTCGGCGCCCTACCTTGGTCATGATTGGTCTGCTTGGAGAAAACATAGTACTCTCCTGTTATACGGGAGTCGCTGCAAGCTTCAATCTGGCCGACGCCCAACATAAATCCGCTCAAACAGCTTGCGTCGCCCTCCTCTACCTCTTCTCGATGTTTTCGGCAGCCTTCACCGAAGGGCCAATGTCGTACTGGGCCGCCGAGTTCTACCCAACTCACCTGCGCGCCCGAGGTCAAACCATACAGGTAGTGAGTTATGGAGCGTTCAGCATCCTCTGGGGCCAGTCTGGACCAACTGCGATTGCCAACCTTGGCTGGAAGTTCTTCTTGGTGTTCATTTGCATCACAATCGTCACTGCGTATATCATCTACAGGTATTTCCCGGACACCCAGGGCAAGAGCCTGGAAGAGATGGCTCTTTTGTTCGGCGACGATGACCTAGTTGTCGTCCGCCAACGGGACATCCATGTCGATGCAGATCACCATATCGTTGGCACAGTGCACAAGGATAAAGAGGGACAGGCCATCGTGGTGAATTTGGAGGATATCAACGACGCTAAAGAGACTGCGTAGCTGGGCTAGCTAAATCAATTCGCCATTGGGGGAAGAAAGGTAGATTCAAAAGGTTAGAGTGCTACCGATCTTGTAAGGGGATTGTAAAACGATGACAGACTGGGTGGACACCCTGTCAAATACTTGATTTTACAGGGATTCCGCAAGAATTGAAGGGAAGTGTTCTGCAAAATCAGACTCTTGGTGCACTTTTTCTAGTGCATCATCGTCCGCAGTTTATGTTCGACCCGTCGCCCCAACAGGGATTCGACGAAGTAGTACCTCTGCCCCTGCTATCGTCCACTTCCGCAAATAATATGTCCAATATTGGTCGAACGGGTCGGCTGAAGATATCCTCTTGACATTGTTGATTGATCCGCTCAGACCAAAAGCTGTCTCCCCCTTCACGGACGGGCCTTCGTGTTTGCACGGATTATCAATCATTTCCTCCTTTAGTCTGCCTGCCAGTCTCCATGATCCGACACGTCAGTTATAACAAAGCGTCTCAGTCACGCTCTCGGCCCTGAGCTTCCCGGTCAAGATAGGGGGGAAAAAGGAAGGGTGGTTGGTAACCATTCTCTCACACCACTCCTACGGCGCGGGAATACATTATGGACCTCCAATCGATATCCGATCACCTCGAGATCACGCAACGCATGACGCTGTGGTCAGAGATAGTCGACTCCATGTCCCTCGACCGGCTCAGCGAGCTGTTCGTGCCGGACCTCGTCTGGGACTTTGGCGGGGGGACCATCGACCACAGCCTCGCGGCGGTGCGTGCGCGGATGGAAGCGCACTTCAACCCGGACTCGTATTGTGCTGCGACTCGGCATGACCTCTCCAACCACATGATCACGCTGCTCGACGACCGCGACCGCGCCGAGTCAAAAGTCAACGTCTTCGCCGCGCACGCCGGTAGAGGTCCTTACGCCGGACAGGCCCAACTCACATGGCTTACATATGAGGACAAGTGGAGGCGCCTTGGGGGCAAATGGTACATTGAGCATAGGACGTATCGCATTCAGTTCACGCAGGGGCCGGATGATATTGTATATGGCACTGGCAGGGGGACGTGGGCGGAGGGCGACGACCGTCGTAAGGGCGATGCTCATTAGCTTGTCGGTGGCAGCGGATTACGATGTTTAGAGCAGACAGCCAACCCTTCTGGAACAGGATGCCGACCTTTCTAAAGCTCTGCATCTGAGCATAGGCTTTGCAAGTCATTGTATTCTTGCTCAAGAATGCTTGAATTCAACTGTAGAGATTGCTGAAGAGACATACAGAAACCGCGAGTTCGAAGGAGGATAGTGAGGCGCAAGGCCCTTGCTGATGTGGAGGCCCCATGGATACATTCTATTTTCTATTCTAATGACGGATCCCTCACGCATTCAATCCGGGTCCATCATACAGGATGCACCCGTCTTCAGAGCAAATCTATCCACTCCAGAGGGGCTGCAGAAGCTTACCGCCCATTGCTCTTACGTTCTTCACGGAGGCAGAACGTTGGTTCTAGTTAATGAGAGAGAGCAGACGATACCCCCAACGTCTCGGAGAAATGTAGTTCCTGTGCCTTCAACATGCCAAGTTGACGCCGCCCTTTGGAATTGGCATTTACATTTGAATTCCGCTCTCACTTAGGTCCTGCCCGCCGCTTCACTGACATTAAAGTTCCGCCAAATTCTGGAATGGCCGGCTGGATGGATGGATGGATGCAGTGTCTCATGAGCAGGTTTGGATGACTGGTCAAATCTACCAAGCAGGGTAAGGAAGGTGGAAACTGGTCCGAACCCCAGATATTTCTCAATGGAGCGGATATACGATAGCCTAATCAACTCCGTCTGGGGCGTAGTGGTAAAGACGATCCTAGAAAACAGAGACTCTCAAAATGAAGATGATCTAGACACATTCAGTTGGGGACACAACCAGTCAGTCAGTCAGCCAGTCAGCCAGTCAGCCAGTCAGCCAGTTCGGTCTTTCGTGCTTTGCTGAGCTATTTTCTGCGCAGAGACTCTGTTACTCTATTTCGTCCCTTCTTCTCTTTTCCGAAGCTGAAACTTTCTAGATGGGGTCCATGAGTCCCGAGAAACAATGGGAGGTGATGATTGTAGGCGGAGGGTTTGGAGGGATGTATCTCCTGAACAAGCTCCGCAAATTCGGGTTCGATGTCCATCTCTACGAAGCCGCGAGCACCTTCGGAGGGACCTGGTACTGGAACTGTTACCCGGGGGCCCGTGTCGACTCGATCGTTCCTACCTACCAATTCTCGTCCGACGAGACGTGGGATCAGTGGGAATGGAGCGAGGCGTACCCGAAGCGCGAGGAGCTCGAGGCGTACTTTCAGCACGTCGGGAAGCTCTGGAGTCTGCACTCGGACGCGACGTTCAACTCGCGTGTTGTCAGTGCGCACTGGGACATGGCGCAGAAGATGTGGACGTGCGAGATATCGAATGACCAAGACAACACGACGACCATCGTCAAGACGCGGATTTTGCTCTTCTGCGCCGGCCTCGCGGCTGTGCCGTACAAACCACCGTTCAAAGGAGTCGACGACTTCAAGGGAAGTATATACCACACGTCGAGATGGCCACGCGAAGGCGTCGATCTCACGGGGAAGCGATGCGCCGTCATCGGCACCGGAGCCACGGGAGTCCAAGTTGTCCAGGAAGTCGGGCCAGTGGCATCGCGACTGACCGTGTTTCAGCGGACGCCGAACACAGCATTGCCGATGGACCAGGCCGCGCTGAGCAGAGAAGACAACAACAAGCTGAAGAAGGAGATGCCGGAGACGATAGAGCTCGCCAAGGCCACGTGGGCGGGCTTCCTGTACTCCTGGCACGACAAGTGCGCGATGGAAGACAGCCCGGAGGAGCGGGAGAAGTTCTACGAGGAGTTGTGGAAGAGAGGAGGCTTTGGTTTTTGGGTCGGCAACTACAAGGACACGTCGTTCACGCAGGAGGCCGCCGACGCGGCGTACGCGTTCTGGCGGAAGAAGACGGCGCCCCTGATCAAGGACCCCTACAAGCGAGAGAAACTGTGCCCCGAGAAGGCTCCGAACCCGTTCGGCACCAAGCGGATATCCTTGTACAGGACCTATTTCGATGTCTTCAACCTGCCCACCGTGGACCTTATCGACGTCAACGAGAACCCGATCGACGAGTTCACAGAGAGGGGAATCAAGCTGCAGGACGGCAAGGAAATCGAGCTGGATGTCATCATCTTCGCCACGGGCTTCGACACCATCACCGGTGGCCTCACGCACGTCGACATCCGCGGCATCGACCCGTCCTTCACGCTCGGGGAGAAGTGGAAGAAGGGCTGCCAGACGTACCTGGGCATGTGCAGCAACGGGTTCCCGAATTTCTTCTGGGTCTACGGCCCCCAGTCGCCCGGTCCGTTCTCCATCGGCCCCAACTGCATAGAGTACCAGGGCGACTGGCTGACGGACTTGTTGCGCGACTTGCGGAGGGACAAGATCACCACGATCGAAGCCACGCTGGAGGCCGAGCAGAAGTGGAGGGAGGGCATTCTTGAGGCCGGCGACAAGGGTCTCTTCAAGTACGCAAAGAGCTGGTGGTTCGGCGCCAATATCCCCGGAAAGCCCAGGGAGTGCTACAACTACATGATGGGCATGCCGCAGTATAGGAAGACGTGCGGCGAGGTCAGGAAGAATGGGTATGAAGGATTTCAACTGAAGTGAAGATCAGACTCGAGTATTTAAACCGGAAATTGTATATAGAACGCAGCCTTTTTTTCGCTTGTCACGTACGGAGTCCCGAGCAGATTGTGATAATTCTCTTCGGCTCTATCACCTTACTTCCAAATCCCTGGCTGCTGACTGTCTCTGCATACCCCGCAGCTTAAGCATCCCATCTTTTCGCTTCCAAAAGCTTCTTGACCCAAGCCGCAGACTGTTTGAAGTATTTCGTTGTCGCTTCCAACTGCGGAAAGGTGTAGAACCCATGAGGCAGCCCGGGAAAGACCTCGACGTCGACCGGAATGCTAGAGAGGGTAGTGAAGTCGAAAAGTCAGCCCATATATTATTTCTTCTTGCACTTCTTCCGCAAACGAGGTAGCACGGAGGGGGTGGGATAAGAAGTGTGTCTGCCGTTTTTTTGAGGTACATACCCAGCTTTTTTGAGCCTATCTGCGAACGCAAATTCTTCGTCTCGTAATGGATCCATTCCGGAAATTTGCATCACTGGAAAAGAATCCCGGTCGGGTCCGTTAGATTAATTTTCCAATTTCAAGAAGGGGTACTTTGAGCTGCGTAGTAGTCTGCCTCGCAACAAGACGCTGATGTTCACTCACACGCAGGTGGCAGGCCTTCGACCGACTCTACTAGTAAGGGGTTCGCGTAGACGTCAGGCCCAGTGTTGGGATAATATTCAGACCAGCAATTAAGCATGTTCTCCTCTCCCAAGATCGAGGAGTATTTGTTTTGTTGAAAACTGTTGTATTCGTACCCTTTGTCCTTTGGAAAGTATTTCGGATGACACAGGACCGGGCTGTTGAGCAGCTGTCCTATGATGCCGCCTTCGTTCTGATCCCGTGCAATGATCGGGAGGACAGCGGCCATGTTGCCGCCTGCGGAGCTGCCGCAGGTTATGATCATAGAGGGATCAATGCCTAAGACGGAGGCGTTCGATTTACACTGTTCCTTGGTCAGTGCTCGTCGTCAAACCGACCATTATCTTTCAGCCGGAGATCCTCATGACACAAAACTTAGGACGGACGCAAATGATGCGGACGCATTAAACTTGGTGATCAAGCTGAGTCAACCTACAAGGTTGGCATGTCCGGGGTGGTAAGCTCATCAGTCAGTTATGCCATTTGCGAATCTTCGAGGAGACCCGGTCAGTTCCAAGAGCGACACTTCCCAAGGCTGGACACGGCACCTCAAACCTCACTTGTTGCAATTGGGCAGGGGTTTTTCGTGAGTAGATAGAAAACTTCAAAAGGAGCTCACCCATTTGAATGCGTCGTAGTAGTCGTTCACTTGCTGTGGGAAGCGATAGTTGGGCGCACTGTGAGACTAAGTTATGCTCCTGTACTCGACACACCGTAAGGGACTTTGTATAGTGTACGTACAGTCTGTAATCCACACTGACCACCACGGCTCCTGTTTCTTTGGCGGTGTACCGGCAAACGCCCTCCTCGACGGCATGATCGCCCATCATCCAGCCGCCCCCGTGTGCGACGAGCATAAGTGGTGCGCTCTCTCCTTTCTTGCCCATGGCCTTCAACTTTCCAATGTTCTTGTAAATCTTGAGCTCTGCCTCGTACCCGTCCCTGAATGGAATCGTCTTGAATGTCACTTCCAGGTCCATCGGGGTTCCTGCTGGCATGACGAGCGGATTCGATTTCCAGGCTTCCTGGTATCTTTCGGCGGGGAGGTCCCAAAACACACGGAAAAGCGCGTCGCATTCTTGCTGGATAGGTGCCCAGACGGGGTCGACCTGGGAAAGCCATGCGTACTTGAGGGGAGTCGTTGTCTGTGACATGGCCATGCTGATTTGATCCTGGCTGGGGTTTTTCATAAATGATGGGAAGCTATCTGTGTACCGGGAAGAGAAGTGACAGTTAGAATCTTCCAGTATCCTTACCCAGAATCTACAGCTCCACGAGCGGATAGGCATATATCAATCATAACGGTTTGCCGGATCACGCCCCGCACAGACAGCGACATCTTGGTGTCGTTCGAGATGCATTGCTGACGGGTCTTGAAAGTTCGCGTAGCATGTTCCGCCTCCATGGCCGCTCCGCAAAAGCATGGCACAGGCGAGCCTATGGGAGAGCTCTTGTTGTCGGATATGCTGCAAGGTTGTACAAATTGTAACCTCTAGGAGAGCATATACTTGACCAATAGGAAAATGTCCACCGGGTGGGACATATCTCAAGACTATCGGGACATGGGTGGAATCTAGGGCGAACTTACAACTGTGTGGTATCATGGACCCCAGAGTGTGAATACGTTTCCAATGGGGATGTGGACATAAAGCGGCCGGATGGTTGACAAGCCAGATACAACCCGGGCAGAGGAATCCATCTGGACTGGGACACAACATCACCTTTCTGGGTGAAATACTCACTTGTTTTTGGTTTTTTTTTTGGTCAGCTTCTCTCGCGCTATGACTTGGTCTCATCATCCGGCTCCAACAATATCGTCCATAGTCTAGCCCCTTCGCCTCTTCCGCCGTCATGTCCCCCTCTGAACGACTGGCCCACGACATTTACTAACACATTCTCCCTTCCCATCTTCTCCAGAAACCCAGCTTCCTGGCTTCCTCTAGGGAAACAGCGCTTCCACTCATGCCATATCGCGTACGCTTCTTGGGCCCAGGCGCGGAAGGATTCGGCCTCAATGATGGTCGGGGTGAGGATTTCGCGGGAGGGGAAGACACCCCATGTCACTGCATTGACCGTGTTCACTGGAGACGTCGTAGTGGCGGATTTCTGGTTGGATAGCTGTGGTGTAGAGACTGGGATAGTGTTCTCTTTCTCGGTATCCACCGGCGATGTCTTCTTGTTTCGAGCCTGATCCCGAGCTACAAGCTCACTACTTTCGAACACCCCTTCGTTGTCCGTCTTCATCCAACCGACCACGTCACTCCCATACTTCATGAGGCGCGGCCGCAACTTCTCCTCCCACTCCTCTCGCCCACAGAAGAACTCCACAAATGCCTTTTGGAAGACGAATCCTTCACCTGGAGGCCCCCAGCCGAAGATAGGGTCGGATGAGGGGGCACCGTCGACGGCGGGCTGGGAGGCGAGAGTCCAGTAATTTTGGCTGCTGATGAGGGATAGGAGCTCAGATCGAATCACGTCCGTCTCGGCACGTAGCGCGCCCGAGGTCTGAGACACATTGGTTGGTGTCCCATTAGGAGCGGAGAGATCTGTGTCGATATCATCACTCCATGGTACACCCACCAACTCGCCCAACACGTGCCGTCTGAACAGTTCGGTTACGTCCTCTCTGCTCCGTGGATATCCCCACAACTTCCTCGCCATAAGCGGACTCACTTTTAGACTCGGTCCATAGCCATCAATCTCCCCAAACGCAGGTGAGTGAGAGGGCCCCCAGCGGCCATTGGGGAAATCATCCCAGGTTGCTTCACGACCTAGAGAGCCTTGCCCTTCAGAGATGAGCAGGTTATGCCGCCGGGTGGGAGAGGCAGCTGGAATGCCAGTGCCGCGGTCTCTTGCAGAATGTTGGGATGCTAGTTTTAGATTTGGACCCGGCCCCACCCCAGGAGGGTCAGTGTCTGAGTCAGGTCGGCGCGATTGTGTTCGAGGGTCGGATCTCCGGTCTGTTATCACACGGTTGTGAGGCTGGGCGTTGACAGAACTTCTCCTGCGCCGCAGGAGGCTGGTAGGTTGCTGTCCATTTTCGTTTCTGCTGTTCATAGGTCCAGTGGTAACGACAGCCGGAGAATCCTGTTTGCTGTCGTCGACAACCACCTCTGAGTCAGACACTGAATCATCATCTTTGCCGTCAACGCTCCCTTCGCTTGAGATTAGCGGAATCAGCCCGGTCCGCTCGAGTATAAACGATACACTCTTCTCCAGATTCAAGGTGTAGAAATGGAACCCTCGAGGAAGGCCTTCCGGCTGCGGTAACGTCTTCATCTCTTCCACCAACTCCGAGAGGATGTCGACTCCGACTTTTTTGACCGCTTCGTCGTCCGATTTCACTCGTTCAATCCGTTCAGAGATTTTCCTGGGCAGTTTCGCGTGGCTAAGTTTGGTGATTCGTTTGATGATCTGGTAGGATTGGATGGGCATCAGGCCGGGGATGACAGGGATCTTTTCAAACAACTTCTTGCCGTCTGGGTCGGTGTACTCTCGCAACCTCTTCTCATATGCGGCGTAAGCCTCGATGTCGTAGGTGAGCTGCGTCATGATAAAATCTGCGCCGGCGGCGACTTTCTCGGCAAGATAAGGAAGATCATGTTCGACACTCTGTTTCCCTTGCTCCGGGTGCGATTCATCTGCATGGCCCTCAGGGTAGCCCGCGACACCCACAGCGAAATAGTCACCGTGTTTTCGCCGGATGTATCGTACCAGATCCACAGCCCAGGCAAATTCTTTGTTACTCTCCGTGCCCGAACCACCGCTTCCACTGTCATTCTCATCCGCGGACGTGGTATCCTTGTACTCTTCTCTAGGCAGATCCCCTCTCAGCGCCAAAATATTCCTAATCCCAATCTCCTTTGCCCCCTCGAGCGCCTCATCAATCATATGCCTCTTCATGTTCGTACAGGTCAAGTGCAGCACCGTCGTGAGCCCAATTTGTCGTTGACATACTTCGGCCAGTTCCAGGGATTTTGTCGCTGTAGAGCCGCCTGCGCCCCATGTTACGGTGACAAATAAAGGGCGCAAGGCCGCGGCCATGCGAGTAAGACGCGCTTGGAGGTTGGAGAAACCGGAGGATGTTTTGGGGGGGAAGAATTCGAGAGAGAAGTAATATGACGAGGGCGGAAGGGAGGCCAGGAGCGTGGGGAGACGGTCGTCATCTTCAGAGGTCATGGTTTGTGAGTCTTTGTGTTTCTAGTCACGTTGTCTCTCGTTCCCAGACGGTGGTGTGTCAAAGGCAGGGTGTTTCGATCACGTCAAAAGGGTTGGTCGTGTGCATGTGTGTTTAGCAACCCTCGATTGATGGGAGATGCCTGCTGTGTTGTCGAGGTGAATCCTGTCCAGACCATCTGTCGTTTACTGGGTATTCCACATTCACGTCCCTCAGGAGTGAGGCGGATGGGGTCCCTCTTTCTGGTGGTGCAGCGAGGATTGTTACAACTTATTTGTCGCGGGTAGAGTCGTGGAAGAGGGCAAGGAAACGTGAAAAGTTGCCCCGCGACAACATTTTGCCAGAGGGGAGAGTCACCCAGGACTCAAGAGGGGCCACCAAATGACGCCAATCGCTTAACTGCCGAGCTGCGGCCCCTCCGCACACTTTCATTTACAAGGGATGGAGAATCTCTTACAGAATACAGACTGTACACACATAGGACTCTTCATTCAAGCATCAAGCATGGACACACACACACACACACAGGAAGACATGTAGCCATTGTCTCGGTCCCAGGTCTTGTACACACGGTGGAGAACGATGCTGCTACTATCCCACCACATTCCAGCCCATGAAACTGCCGCCCTTCCATTCATTCCACCTCGACTGCTTTATGAGTCGTGGTGATAAGATAGTCCGTACAGTAGTACACCAGTACATATGTAAACGCCCCCGCCCTGGGCCGCCAGAATATCAAAGTTCCGTCACGGCTCCATGCAGCTCAATTTTGCTAAGTCGCCAGACATACCAAGTCAAAGCGCCGATGATGGTTGTCCATATTTTCCTTTCTCGCGTAAACGCCAGGTATCCTTATCCATCTCTAGGTCTGTTCGTCTCCATTGATAAAGTCGTCAAAGTGTTTGGAGACGTTATCTCCATCCTCCGAGTCCCCATGATCGCTCGCCGAATCATTGCTCGCTGTTCGAATCATGTCAAGTGCCTCGCTCGCGTGGCCGGCCTCTTGCTCCAGGCTCGGCACAGGCTCATTACTCGTGTCCGCATCTGGATTTGTCATGTCCATGAACATGTTATCGTATTCACCTCTTCCTGATGAAGAGCCACCCCTAGCAGAGTTGGGTGCACTCGCAGATGCGTTGGAAAGTCCACTGGCTATATCGTCTTCGCCATCAAGACCCAATCCAGCATCCGATCGGAACATAGGGAACGACGGGTCATGGTTTCGTCCTTCCGAGTTATCTCCACCAAATGCGGGCATCATCGGATCCCTCAGCTCTGCATGTGGTGGCTCCCTAGTGGGGCTGAACAATGTCGGTGAATTGGGTGAAAAAGGAGAAGGGCGACGTTCTGCAAAGGACGATCCGGATATGAATCCAGCTTCAAACGTCCTACTAGGTCCTGCATTGTCGTTGGATTCTTGCCTCTGCATGGCAGAAGAACCTTCAGCGGTCGCACCATTCTGACTGGGACTGGCGGCTGAGCCTGGTGCTGATGGTGATTGCGTCGACGGCTTCGGAAGCAGAGGCCCGGTAACGAACGATTCCTGCGTCTTTCTTCGCACATATGTCTTTGTGCGCAAGTGCGGTGGAAGGTCCTCGGGTTTCTCGACTCCCAGCTCCTTCATCAATTTCTGCTGCTTAGTTGGCCGAGGTTTGCGGGTCGACAGACTCTGATCTAGAATAGGCGGTGGCTCGGGAGCAATCGGCTGCCATTTGTGCAGCTCTTGCCGTAACACGTTGGTTTCGTAGGCCAGAAGAACTTCTGCGCCCTCAATCTTGCGGAGGTAGAACAGCATTTCGGGCATCTCGTCAATGGTCCGACAAAGTTGGCCGCTGGTAGTGTATCGCATCAGGAACTCGCGGAATGCCTGCGCCTTATCGATTATTCGCTTGAGCAAGTCTTCCTCCTCCGGTTGAAAGGGTAGATCTTGGATTTCATCCTGCCAGGCCTGTAGATCCTCGAGTTTCGGCCGGGCTGCATCTCGAGGGATCTTAACTCGCCAATCGCAAATAGGGCAAGTGAACATCTCGCATTCCTTGACTTTTCCTCTTGCAAGCTTGAGACATTTTGCATGATACCTGAAGACCAGTTAGTCAAGTCTGGCTTGAAATACAGACAGTTCAGCTCACCAATCGTGACAAATTTCGCACTCAATCATAAGCCCCGCCTCTGGTTGACGACAAATACAGAAAACAGGCTTCTCCTCATCACCAAGGGCGCCCTTCTCCTGACCCTCAATGGGAGTAGCTTCTCGCGACGCGGGTTCAACTGGGGGCCTGAACGTGTCATTCAGGTCGAAGCAGTAATTGTTCTTCTCCTCCACGAACTTCATGTGTTGTTCGAGGATGTGAAGCGGGGCGTTGGCCTTGCCAAACAATTTCTTGCCTCTCCTCATCCAGTCTTCGTGTCGTCTCAATTCCTTCTCCAAGTCGGAAGCGCCGTGAGGTTTGCCATTCAGATCCTCAAAGCTCTTGACAACATCCCTGACATGGACGTACATCGGGCGCTTTCGGAAATCCGGGTCGTGGCTCCGTTCGACCAACGTTATGATCTGCCGTTTCGCCTCACGATTCTTAGCTAGAATAACGTCCATCTGCTCCAAGGTCTCCTTGTTGACGGGGAAGACTTGATTCTGCACTTGCGAGTGTAGCGATTCCAACTGTGGATAGTGGACATCCTCGGCCGCCATGACTTCTTTTGCTTTGATCTCCCAGAACTCACCCTGTCTCACCACTTCAGTCAGAAACAAAATTTCAGGCACTTGTGGTGTGATTTCTAGTTCCGTGGCACGCTTGAGAAGTTCTTTGCAATCGTCAAGGGTCTTTGACTGCACATCTTTCTGAACCTTTTGAACATCTTGTAGCCAGTTCGTCCGTGCGTAGACTTGCTCCAAACTTGTCAGTTCGGGCATAGCAGCCACAAACCCGCGACCTTCCTCGAGCAAGGCGTCCAGCTCGTCGGGCGTCGCTTGATGCTGGCCCGCCAAGATCCGATTCACGCTGGTCCGCCACTCGTCGACACGGGTAACTTTTTCTCTCAGGCTTTCGAGCTGAGGCGCAGTGAACCCGAGCAGCTCTCCGTCTTCAATCAACTCCTTCATACGTTCCACGGTGAGTTGTGGCTCAGTGTCCTTATCCTCTGCTTTGCCAGACCGGAGAGAAGAACGTCGCCAAGATTTGTCATTCTTTCGTCTGTTCTGCTGCTTTCGGGTGAGGTAGAGGTTTGCCTCATCCACCCATTGGTCGCATTTCTTGACGAAATCGGCCAGATCATCCAATCCCTTTAGTGGACATGGTATCTTCTCGCCTTCTGTCAAGAGGGTATGCATTGACCTGAGCGCAGGTCGAGCTTCGTCCGCTAAAAGAGCCTCTACCTTTGCCTCCCATGCTTCAGGGACGTTTGCTCTGTCTACCACTTTCTGAACAATATTGCTCAGCTCCTGGTTGGTGTAGCGCACCGTAAGGCTATGGTTGGGTCCCCTCAGCCTTTCACTGGGAGAGGCAGAGCAGCAATCAGCCACCTCAGGATGCAGAAGACATGTGACCTTGCCGCTGCGGTGGCACCGGAATTGAGAAAGGTAAGAAAACGCTTTACAATAGCAGCACTGATATTCATCCTCTTCCAGCTCGACGTTCTCGACCTTGATAATCAGGCCGCAAGACTCTGTGGGCTCAGGAGTCAACGTGTCAAACGTACAGTCATCGTGCGGAAAGTGTCGCTTGTGCAGAGCCACGAAGCCTTGACGTTCGGCCAATTCTCGGGCTCGGGTCCGCTCGAGCGCAGGTCCCAACCACTTGGCTGTCCTGATTGTGCCATCTGACGCCGCCGCAGTGAAGAGAAGCTCATCATGTGAGAAGCATGGCTGGCGCCGGAATTCCTGTAGTCGCTGCACTCCTGCCTCGCCGAATGGTTCCCAGTCAGCAGGCGCAAAATTGACGGCTTCGTTGAAGTTGAACCCATGATTGAATCCCGCATGGTACGCTTGGGGAAACGTGATGACGAATTGACCTGCGCGTTGGTCGAGGGCGTAAACCTCGACTCCAGCTTTTCGCAGTTGATGTGGCGGAAGAATGGTGACCAATTGAAACAGTAAATCGGGCTGCGTCTCGAACAATTCGGGGACCGCTTTTCGCATTGCGTCTTCAAACCGATACGCGTCTTTGCCAGGAATGCCATACCACGTCTTGGTGGCACCAAAATGCTGATAATTTGCTGAATATGCATAATGATCCTCATTGTGCCAGCAGAATGTCGAAAAACACATGCCCACGTATAGCCATGGCACCGTCATCCCAGAAATATCACCTTTGATGTGTCTGAATAGCGACTCTTCGAGAAATGGCATGACATTCAAGTTCCAGGGGTCCTTCGAATATGGATCGAGGGGGTTCTTCTCCACGGTCGGGAAGCCGCTGCCGTGAGTCGTCGAGTGAATGTCTGCACCGTATTCAACTTCGACCGACTCAGTGATGTCTTCAACCAGTCTCCAAAACTCACGTTCGACATCATCTTCGGTCGGTTTTCTTTGTGTATTGGAGACAGGGTCGAAAGGCATCCGGGCCGAAAAGTAATGGTCTTTGAAGTTGTTGGCCTTCTCTTGAAATTGTTTCAAAGAGTAGATGCTGCCTTCCTCGAAACCGTAGTCATTCGTCCCCACCAAGCATTTCGAACAGTGCCAGTCATATTCAGGCACATGGTTCAAAGGTGGCTCCACACAATGCTTGTGATACCCAGTGTCACAGCTGTCGCATACAAGAATGCTCTCCTTGTTGTCTGACTTTCCGCATTTCTCGCATTTCTCGCCATGTCTCCGGGGAACCGTTTTGGTACGCACTTGAGGGGTTGTCGGACGCATTGCAGGTATGTGATTGCCCGGAATCGTGGGCATAACATCCTTTTTAGGCCTCTTGCTTCTCCTGCCATTTGCGACATCTCCTTCACCATCTAATCCCTCGGAGCCAGACTCGCCATTGAGACTGTCAAGGCTCATTGTCCGCTTCAGTGGGTTCGATGTCCCATTCGGCATTTGTATTGTCGTTATTGTGGGTCCATTGATTGAGGGGAACGATGGAGCCGGACTTTGAGTTGATGCTGGCACACCGTTGACTTCTTTCTTGACCACGGGAGGGGGGACAGAATTCACAGCCGTAAAACCTGAAGGGCTGTTTACCGCGGTGAAGCCACTGTTGACAGCAGTGAAACTTGACGATGACGCTGCTCTCGGTTGAGCGGCAGGTGGTATTGATGAAACCGGTGGCTGTTGTTGTGATGGGCCAGGAGGATTTGGTATTTGGGGAGTTAGGGACCTTGCGGGGGTGGGTTTGGGAGAATCCGTTGTAGTGGCAGGCGCAACAGACTGAGATGGAGGTGGGTGATTGATCCCGGGCTGATGGGGTGTGACTGATGGTGAGTACGCTCCGCCATGTTCGTGATCGAGCTGTTGTTGGACGCCGGGTTTGGCGTACTTCAGCCATTCCTCGTACGGATGTAACCATCGTTGATAGGAATTCTTGAGGGATGTTGATAGTGATGACATGATCTTTCCACTGTATCCCAAGTCTCTGCCAATCTCAGCCCACTTCTTGTCCTTGCAGACTCGTTCAAAACCGCCACGGACTTCGACGGCCTTTTTGAGTTTATAAAGATCAAGTGGACGCTTATCGACCGAGGGAAACCGATTGAGGTGTGCGCCATATTGTTTGTGAAACTTGGCCAGCTGGTCTAGATAGTTGAGATTCGTACGATTTCCTGCGAAGCAAGTAAGAATAGACACATCAGACGGACCATACGAAATCTCACCTCCTTCGACCAGATTGATCTCCTGGCGCCGGGTGCGAAAATGAAAGCGCTATACCACGTTATAATTGTATTCCTGGCTGATAATCACAGATTGCTCACCTCTGTATCGATGGCGAAGTCTGGGTTCCAATTTTCTGGCGGGATAATCTTGCAGATACCGTACTTGCTAGCCTTCTCCGATATACTTCGAATGTATTCCATCGGGTCACGAAATTCTGCCTCTGTAGGTCGGAAAGTGGGCGCTTCGGGTAGGTCATGAAGTCTCCTTCTCGCAGGAGGATCGCGACTGGAGGCATGGCCTTTGCGCTCGACGGTTCGCAAATCAAGTGGTGGTGCATACCGGGCACTGTAGGGAAACGAGGGCGTGGCCATGGCGACAGGAGGAGCACCGTTCATCCTCGAAGCTGTTGACGATGGCTTTATAGTGGGAGCCTGCGGTGCGACACCACCAGTCGAGGGTGGAGCGACCATGACTGCGACAGGTGGGAAAGCCCGACCAAGCTGCGGGATATGCCTATTCGGATAATCGTAATTGGGCAAGGATGATGCGCAGGATTGTCGAGTCTGGTCGATTTAATGCGAATGGGAGCGTGGAGAAAGCTTTTGGTATGAATGGATCTTGATATTGGTACCGGGAAAGCGAAAAAAGAGAAAACGAGCGGCAGGGCGGGTTGACAGGTGAGTTTGCCTGCGGGCAGCCTCGTAGAGGGACAGGGAATGGATCGAAGCGTTAGCCTTGGACTCTGAGCTTATTGGGAGGCATGCTAAGTGCTAGGAGAGCACTTTGAGTTGTAGTGGTTCACATGCGGAGTGAGAGAGGCTCTAGTTGTAAGAGTACCGGGAGGGTTGTGGTGTGAGAGGAGGATATAGTAGTGAGTTAGTCGAGAGACAAGTACCAAGTGGATAGATGGGGATCGTCGGGCAAGCGCGAGAGAGACGCAGAGAGAGCAAAGAGAAGCCAGGAAGTGGCTCCAGATGCTCTCCAGGGCAGGACACTCGATTGGCTGCCACCTCGGAGGCTTGTCAGGCCTGCCAAACTTGCCAAGACTCTCGGCATGTTGCTCGGTTGCCTCGCTCTCTGGCACGGCGAGAGGGGATGAGGCGACTTCTTCCCGCTTTTGTAAACAAGGCCCCCATCCGCCACTCGACCAAACAAGATAGATACTGATCATTGATCAATGCATGTTTCTCATGTTCCAAAACAGCATCGCTACACGCTACAGGCATATATGCGTCCTGCATCGCTGGTCCATCAATTGACGAGGGGCTGCTTTCATGAACCATTAGACACCCGTCCTATCTCGTCTGTGCCCCGAGCGCCACGTGTAGACTAACGCCACGTCGGCCTGGTCTTCAGATGGTACAAGATTGAACATGGACATCAAACCCATTCCCGCCTTCTACTGCTGTTACCTCCTCCGCTCCACAGTGCGGCACTCGAGTCTCTACATCGGATCCTCACCAGACCCAGCCCGTCGCCTCGCTCAGCACAACGGTCGAATCAAAGGTGGCGCCATACGCACTTCTCGAGCGAGCCTTCGTCCCTGGGAAATGGCATGTATCGTCGCCGGGTTTCCCTCCAACATTGCGGCTTTGCAATTTGAATGGGCATGGCAAAATTCCCACTTGACCCGCCACATTTCCCCTGAGCAGCGCATCTCCTTTGCCACCATTCGGACCAAAACCTCCAGGACGGGGAAAACCACCAGCAGGTCAGGGCGGCCCCGGACCTCTTTGATCGACAGGTTATCAAATCTCCACCTACTGCTGCGAGCGCCCTATTTCTCTAAGTGGCCACTCGAAGTCCGTTTCTTCAGTGAAGATGCGTATCGTTCCTGGTCAACGTGGTGTGGACGGGTTGACACTCAGATCCGACCGGAGATTCAAGTGCATTTTGATCCACCAGGACCAGGAACCCAACAGCTGGAGGAGTTCACTTCTGCTCAGCCTCAGCCAATCCAGAAAAAGAAGAAAAGAACCGATCGGATCGGCAAGGGCGGCGTCGACGGCGTCGATCCCACATACGCGCGACTTCAAGGGGTCTTTGAAAAGAGCCAATTTCTCCTCGATGAAGGTGATAATCAGCAATGTTCGGTATGCGCAAAGATCATCGATCTCCGTAAGAGCCTCTTCGTCATTTGTCATACGCACAACTGTCAGGCCATATCCCATATTAGATGTCTAGCCGACGCGTCTCGAAATAAAAGCCAGTCAGCTTCATCGATCATCCCAGAATCTGCAACGTGTCCAAAATGCCAACAGGAACATGCTTGGTTGGCATTAATGCAGCAAGTCTCCCTGCGGCACAGGGGGTTGACGGAGGTGAAAAAGCTCCTGGGTAAGAAGAGCAGGGGTTCGGCAACCGTAGCGGCAGAGATATTGGAGACAGAAAGCGAAGAAGAGGATAGTCCGTCGGAAAGGGAAGAAGAAACGCTTACCGCGAGACATGTGGTTGATGAGGAGACTGAGATGAGCTTTAACGATGACGATGAAGACACGCTGTCCGTTGCATCTGCAGATTCGCTCGTAAGTATGGCGTCCAATAAGTCGAGTAGGCTAGCAGTTAAGCCTGATGCCGGTATGGAAGAAACTGATAGACTCCAAATAGTCATTGAAGATAGTGAAGACGAAGGATGACCACCTCAGCCGTCGATTGCAGTGTCCCCCTGTTCTCTCCAAGACCTTTGGTTGAGCAATGGGCCCAATTTGTGCAAAGCACTAGACATAAGAGTTTCATCCTCTGTCGTCCCTTGAACAATCGACAGGACATCGGCAGCGACCTCCTCCATCGTCCTGCTGGCGTCAACCTGATGAACGGCGACTCCATCAAGTCTTGCAAACAGTTCCTTAAATAAGGTCCGGACGCGAGATTGCATTTCTTCCTTCTCGTACCTCTCGGCACCGTAGCCACCACGTTTGGCAGCGTCAGCCGAAGAAATGTCGAAAAAGAACAATAAATCTGGCTTCAAGAGGCCGATCTCGGGTGACCACGCCCATTCAAGAGATAAATCTGGATTTTGCTTTGCAGCAGAGTAGACAGCTCCAGAGAAGGAATATCGGTCAACAATCACGTCGATGCCAGACAGAAGGTCCAAAGAAATAGATTTAATTGCTTCCCACCTGTTGGCACTGAAGATCAAGTGGATCGAGTGGTCGTCTTGTTGGGCTTGGCCCGTCAGGTAGCTATTGATCATATGGCCTGTAGACGTGGATCGATCTACGCGGAGACAGATCAGCTAAAGGGGCTCTTCAATGACAGATCTTCATGTTGGACAAACCAGGGAACTTGACATAGCGGACCTTTCGGCCTTGCGATTGGAATCGATCAAAAAGGCGTTGGCATTGGCTGGACTTTCCGGAGCGATCAAGACCTTCGATGACGATGAGGATGCCTCGTTTCGAGACAGTAGTTGCAGAAGCCATCTAACAGGCTCCAAATTGTACATTTGAAGCAGTCTGCAAGACAGAAATATCAAAGGTTGAGGTAGGGAATGTCAGGAGCTCAAATGAGAGCTTCGTACAGCAGATCACTCGCAAGCTTGCGCTAGCAGCAGTTCGCAGGGGTGCAAATGCTCCGCACTATCTAGTTCTACGGCCGAGTTTTATGGCCAGAAACGCAAGTGCGATACATCATTCGCCTCTACAAAATCCACGCAGTGGTGGCAGACTTTCTCCAACAACCTACCACAACCAATGTTATCATGGAGTCTGTGACCGGCGCCTCACTCGCTCAGCTGCCGGATGAGATGTTCAAGTTCATTCTTCAACCGGTGTCAATGCCAGATTGCGCTGGCAGGCTCGGGCAGTTGATCCTGCGCGGGCGTCCAGCGATCTCGACACCAAACTATGTCGTTCCAACTTCTCGCGGCGTGATCCCTCATCTGTCACAAGATAATTTACAAAAGCACACGAATATTTCCACTGTCTATGTGCCTCTAGAAGACTGTAAGTTCCCAAATTTCAGCGTCAAGCTGGATTGCTGACTTGTCTGGCTTACAGTTGGTGGTTAACAGTCATTGAGAAGTCGCATGCCAAAGCGCCCCTCTACAATACTCCTGCACCAAATGGTGAATCTCCTCTACGGCAGTATATCGGCCTGCCCGACAGACATCTCTCAATTTTCGGCCTGCGAAGAGTCCCAAATATACCTTGCCCGGCGCACAACACGGATTCGTCCGTAGCAATTTCGACTTCAGTTGGATTCAGGTCGCTGGAAGTTGAGCAGTATCATGAGGCGGTCAGAAAGTTGAAGGCCGATATTTCAACAAGCTTACCCGATCTGATCAACACGAAAGTCGCCAGCGCCAAGAGGATCGAAAAGAGCGCAGATAGGACACGTGCCTGGTTGCGGGATTTCGTGGAGGACATAGGGGAAGAGACGGGCCTTCCGTTCTTCGCATCAATACCACCGCATGAAACGGAACTCCTGTCGCTATATCTTTCAGATCTGAAGGACGAATACAACTCTCACATATCCGGGCTGTGTGTCTACTCGCCCTCGACAGTCTCTGGGTTGCCGGGAGCACTCAGAGACATACCGACAATATGCCTTACGGATCCGTCGTCACCACAGGCAGTTCTCGCAGCTATACATGCGGGAGTTGATCTCTTGACAGTGCCTTTCGTGACAAAGTCCTCCGAGCACGGAATCGCCTTCTCGTTCACTTTTCCCGGGTGGCCACAGACTCCCAATCAACCCCTCGGATTCGATCTTTGGTCCACATCCCACGCCACCGACCTCTCCACTTTGAGCACCAATTGCACCTGCTACACGTGCACACGCCATCACCGCGCCTACGTGCACCATCTCCTCCAAGCGAACGAAATGCTTGCCTGGACACTACTTCAAATCCACAATTTCTCCGTCATTGATGCCTTTTTCTCTGCCGTGCGCCAAAGCATCAAGGGTAGGACGTTCGAAGATGATATGAGAACATTCAGTCGTGCGTATGAATCCGAGTTGCCAGCATTGACTGGCCAAGGACCAAGAGTGAGAGGGTACCAGATGAAGAGCATCGGAAGAGGCGAGCCGAAGAAGAATGCCAAGGCATATGGGAAGTTGGATGAACAGGTGCAGAAACTCTCGGAGGCAGAGAGCGGTGTTGCTTCGCCAGAGGGCGATGCAGATTATATTGAAGCACATGGGGGAGCCAAGAAGGTTGAATGAATAGCCTTCTCTTGCTATCGCGCCCACGCGAGAGAGAGAATCCAAGCAAACATGGTCCCGCAAGCAGAAGAAATTGGATCGATCCAGCAGATTGGATTGGAGTGAATCCCATGTCCTAGATACGTCTCACGGCCTCTCTCAATAGCGGCCCGACTTGTTTGCGACTCTTGCTCGTATCGCCCATCCACCAGATCTTCCACTCCCCCTTCCCGCCGAACGTCCTGCTTAGTCCCTCCACAAGGCCAAGGCCCTTGACGTTACTATTGTCCTCGGCAGCCCACTCGGCCAATTGCAGCTCGTCGCGGGAATTCCGCTCGAACTCGTCGAGCGCGCCCTTTGCGGCCTCGTCCAGCACCAGCACGGCGACCTCTTTCCTGCCGTCCGGCGTGCGCGTGAGCATGCAGAACACGCCCAGCTGCCTGTCTGGGGCGGAGGCGAACTTTTCGACCTCGGAAAGGAATGCGGTAACAGCGTCACGTGCACTTCCACCACCGTCTCCACGGCCGTCGCCTTCGGCGCCGTTGTCGCCGCGGGCGGTGGCTGCGTGGGAGATCAGCCAGGAAAGAGGCTTCACGAGGCTGGAAATGCCGATGTTGATTTCCTTGCCGGACGATGTCGAGGAGCGGGAACTAGAGCTAGAGCTGGAGCTAGTAGTGCGCTCGGTCCAGGCCTTGTAGTCGCGATCGAACACCTCCTGCATGGTCAGGAGGTCCAGCGAGTTGGCCTTTGCCGTGGCGATGCAAGAGAAGAAGGCGTCGCGGTCCCACTCCGCCGCCGGCTCGGAGTGTTGTGGCAGCGACGATGACCGCGGCGATTTTGAACCCGACTGGGCCGCCGTGGTTGAGACCACTGATTCGAGAAAGCGCACAACTTCCCTGTCCGTGTCGGAGCATTTGTCGCCCTTGGCCCTCAGGTTCCAGGTATCGATAAGGATGGGAGCGAGTGCAAGTTTAGATATCTGCTGCAATACTTCTGGGTCGACCTGCGGGCTTGAAATCTGTCCTCCCAAGTTTTGGGATTCGGAAGAAGGCCAGATGCCCTGCTCTCGGAGATGCTTAACCACAAGACTGGTGCAGCTCCCTATCCCAGTCTTGACGATCCTTGGATCTGCATCCTGGGAGACGTAGCGTTCGTCGACATGATGGTCGATGCAGCCTGATACGGTAAATTTGGCAGATATGGTTTCATTGGACAAGCCAGGTATTGACGGAGAATTATGGTCGACTAGAAAGAGGGATTGTTTCTCGGTTGAATCTGAGGACTGTGTTTCTGAATTCCTAGAGTCGAGGAATAGTTTCTGTAGTGCTGATCCCTCATCATCCTTGATGTCCGCGATGGTGATAAGTTCATTCAACACATCAGTATTGCCCTGCGTTCGCTCCCCTTTACCGACGGTGTCCGGCGACTCCCCCAGAGCCAATCTTAGAGCGACCCCAAACTCCGGCCGAAGTCTCCACAAGTCACTTGCTTTGACTGACGGAAGATTCAAAATCGGTACGTAAGCGGTTTTCCTAGGATGAGCCGCCTTGTCCGCTACTAGATTATACCAAAAGGAGGTCTCAACAGCGGAGATGAAGCTGTCCAGGTCTGCAGATGGATTCCCCATTACAAGGACCAGCCTCTGCGATACCCCATTGACAGAATGTGAAGACTTTGAAGCCACACCACTGCCGAGGGCTAGATTCCTCATGCGCGAGAGATAAGACGTCATTGAAGGCATACTGCCCTCCCCGTTCTTGTGATTCTTGTCCAGGGGAAGGTCGGACATTGAGGGAGATTTCCAAATGACAGCAGAAGAAATTTTGAGTCTAATAGATCACTGAAGGAGGGAGATGAAGAAGAGCCAATGAGGCCAGCTGCATTCGACACTAGAAGTCTCCTGAATGGTCCTGAAGCAATGCCATGAAAAGTGCGAGGAGTTGAGAAAAAGGGAAATGACAGCCTTGCAGCCTCGCCGCCGATCGTGACGTAAGGCTGTGCGGGCGCATTACACATCGCACCATCACCCGGCGCGGGGGAGTATGATCGACGACTGTTACTGTCCGTTACCGTAAACCCAGTCTATACCCAGTACCCTGCAAGTTGGGTCTGCACAAACCCCAAATCTAAGTTCAAGCCTATTCGACGAGCTTGGATCCCCATGCTCTTGTCCTCCGTACCATTCCCAATTCGTGCCCGTACTCGGATTTATGTCAGCGAAATGCATCAGTCTAGCCGGAGTCGTCGGTATCAACAACACAAGATCCCTGGCATTCCCCATCCACTGCGGGCAAGGCAGAAACGCCAGGGGTACGGCGAGTATAGCGATGGAGAGCACGATCGGCGAGACTGGGAGATTACTGGTTGCGCTTTCGACACATTCCCGAGCCGTCTCGCCGGGATAACGAATTCTTGTGGGTTCGGCTCCTCAATTCATCCGTCTGTGGCTTCCGGACTTACTCCTTTCGGCCATTTGGAGCGAACGGACGATTGTTGAACTCTGCCTAGCTATATTGACTCGCGCAGAATGTCGTTTTGTCTATGATCCAGCAGGGGGAGATCAAAGACAGCTCAGTTTTTACGGCCGCAGGATTCCCAAACTGGTGCCGGGCTGTTTTATCTAACGTATTAGATCCATGCATGTTCTGAGGTAAGGCGTCTTTGCAATAGCAATACCGTTACCAGCAGCGCAGCAGCTCCAGGCGCATACACATGTATATATTTGTCCGGGACCCCACCTTAAGACGAGTCTCTTCTTAACAGACAACACCCACAGAACATAGGGCTTCGACAACTCAACCAGAGACCAAAAAAGTTTACAACCAACCTTCAAGAGACTGGAAAGAATGCAGTGGCTTGTCACAGGTTGCAGCACAGGCCTAGGTCTCGAGATCGCACGAGCTGCTCTCGAATCCGGACAGAAATGCATTGCCACATCACGCAATCCAGCCAACTCTCCCGATGCAGTCGAGGAAATTGAGAAACTCGGCGGCGTTTGGGCCAAGTTGGACGTTTCCAGTCCAAGTCTTGAAAGTGACATCGATGAGATTGTGAAAGAACACGGCGCCGTGGATGTTGTGGTGAACAATGCCGGATATGCAGATGGCGGGCCTTTGGAAAAGATGGAGTAAGTCGGCTTTGACTCAACGCCTGCCCCAGCACAGTGCCGGTCGAGGGAAACGGCTAATTCCGACTGCCTGTTGACAGCCTTGATAAGGCCCGCCAGCTGTTTGAGACGAATTTCTGGGGGCCCATCCGTGTCATTCGAGCACTTGTGCCATCCATGAGAGGCCGAAACTGTGGGGTTGTTGTCAACGTCTCCAGTGCAGTCAATTGGAACGCTCCTCCTGGAGCTGCTGTGTACGCTGCCTCCAAATTTGCGATCGAGGGAGTGTCCGAGGCATTGGCCACGGAATTGTCGCCCTTTCATATAAGAGTTTTGATCGCCGAGCCAGGCGCGATGAAGACCAGCTTTTACGATCCGAAGAAGATGAACATAGTAGCCATTTCCGACGTGTATAAGGGAACTGTCACAGAGTTTGTGTTGCAGGCCATCACAGGCCTGCATGATGGAGCGCCACAGGATCCGAAGAAGACTGCTGAAGCGATTGTGAAGGAAGTTTTGAAGCCTTCGTCCGACCCCATGATTTTGCGAATGCCATTAGGCAAGGAGTCTCTGGGGGGAATGCGGAAAAGAGCAGAGGAGTATACCAAGATAGCCGACAGCGTGGAAATGATCGCCGCGGCTTGTGACTTCTGATGCTAAACGTCGTTGACGGAAGTTGAAGATGAGAGAGATGACCAGGCAAGACCATGATCATTTCCACGAAGAATACAACCCCGTCGTCTCACTCAAAGATCACTTTTTGCATCCGATAATGATTCAAGCGCTGTCAAACGAACACCGTGGCAACGGCCAGCTCTTCCCGCGGGTAAGGATGGCAACTCGTGTCGTAGTCCCTCCGGTTAGATAGAATCCTGTTCAGTGCAGATGAAGAGGCCGCAGTGATCAGGAATAGATAGTCGAGTTGAGACAAATTCTAATGATCTAGAGAGATCTGGAGCTCAGAAGGCCAAATGTTGCATTCCAAGAGTAGCACTTGCCTGGTAGGTGGTACCTCCCCGATCTTGCATGCGACAGTCTCCCGCATTTCGTTCGATAGCCTCGTGAGCGGAATAAAGGTTGGGATCGAGTAATAGAGCCTGGCACGGAATATTGAGCCCGAATTGGGACCAACGCTATGTAAACGGGGAGCTCTTTTTGCTGGGCGTAGACTTCCAAAGTTTGAAGAGATCTCTGTTTCTCCCACCCGCAGTTGTGGTAAACGGTGGCAATGTGTAAACTCTGACCGTGGCAAGTGAATTATCAGAGGAGTAGCTGAGGGCTGAGTTGAGTGGAATTGAGCACCGGTGGCCACAGCTCGGCTTCAGCATAAGAGGCCTCTATTTCCTGAAGGACCATCTCTTTTCACTGAAGAGTGGTCTCTTTTGGTTGAAGAATGGCTGACGATTTTGAAAGGACGGTCTCGTTTCGTTGAAAAGCGGCCCCTTTCGCCTCCTGGGCTTTGAGGATGGCCTCCCAGCCAGACGGGCTTAACGCATAGTTACCCACGCTGCTCCTGTCGAGGTATTTCGCAAGTCGTCTACCACCGAGGAGCAGCAAGATTGTGAAACAAAAGAGAAATACAACACTCAACGGATCCCCGCTAACTGGTGTGAGCTCCTCACTCGAGTCGGTATACTCACCGAAGCCAAGCAAGGCGTTGAAAACCTCGAAAAGCAATAGAAACCTTCCCCTCTCCACGGCTTTCAGAGCAGCAAGGACGAATTGATGCGTGTTGATGTTTTCCCTACCATATGCAGGACTCTGCGGAATCGGTCTCACAAATCTCGTCCCGTGCGCTGAAGGGGTTGATATACTGAGTAGCGAGTCGACGAGATCCACACCAGCCTCGAGAGCATTCATCGGTTCCGTAATTCGGGGATTCACATCGATGTAATATGGTATCCCCTCCACAAGGATTGCATCGATGGACATGGCAGCATCGTACTTCAAGAATGCGCCAAGCTTCATCAGATCATCCTCGAACACAGGGAGTGGAAGAGAGGTCTTTTTTGTTGCCCCTCCAGATGGACCTTCCCGAGCGCGTAGGCATGCATGCCAACTCAGCAGTCTTCCACCGGAGAACACCCCTTCTACCATCACAAGCGGCCCAGCTACCGCTTTCTGGATCAAGAGTTGGCCATTGTTCCGAAAAGAGCCTAGGTGTTCGAACTCTCGGCCAATGTGCGCCAGATCCTCATCAGTCTTCGCAAATCTGACGCCTTTGCTGGCTGTGCCAATGGGAGTCTTGACAAAGGCAGGCAAAAGGTCAGTCATGGACCTCAACTCGTCCGTTGAGCCCACAACTACACTCTCTGGCTGGCGCACAGACGCTTGTTGGAGAGTATGGGAGGCCGAGATCTTGTCCATGACCCGACTGACTGCTTCAAAGGATGGCACAGCGATGCCCACGCCCAGACTCCGTATCTGGTCCACCTCGGCTGAGAGAACAGCGACTTGTTCTTGCGTGCAGATGACAGTCTCGATCTTTTCACGAATCATGACGCCCAGTGCAGAGTGTAGCCATGCGTAAGGATCCGGTCCAAAGGGCGGCACCAGATGCGTCTTTTTAACCCACCCTGTGACCTTAGTAAGAGAGAGTCCGGCCGCGCAGAGAACGTGGACATCGTAACCTTTGCGGCCAAGAATTGTTGCCAATTGTCGAGAAGTCAGGCCCGATCCATCGGAAAGGAGGACCTTCATGATGTCTCAGAAGGATTGAATAGATCGTAGCCGTACACCCGAAGCACAGAATTTCACAGCACAGTACGCTTTCAAGTAAGGTTGGTGAGGAGGGCAAGTTCCCAGATTGAGTCTACCCATACACAATGGGAGTATCGCAGTGCCGTCTCATGAATATATCAACTATTGGTATGGGCTATCACAGTCAAGAGATGGGATGACAACCGCCACGGTGGTCTGATTGTTGCAGCACCCGACATCTCCGCAGAACGCCTTACCAAGTCAGCTGTCAGCAACCGCAGCCCTTCACTAAAATGATGTCTCTATCATCACCATACTTTGTTACTCGTGTCGTGGATATTACCCTCAGTTTCGCGTCGCGGTTATTTGTTGTCTACTACCTAAAGCGACAAGTCGGCTTTCGACGCAAACACGGGGCAGAGTTGCTGTATCAGGATTTATGAAATATTGGGGTTGCCGAAGTTGTGCCGAGAGGCTGTCTGTATACGGTTAGTAGCAGAAGCGCTTCAGGGGATGGCAAAAGCGGCACCATTTCTCTGTGGAGACTGCCACGTGCGACTCTCTGCACAGTGTCGCTTACGGATATCTTTCCCCCAGACCGACACAAGGGTAAGTGACGACTCCGGGCGAGAAGGACTTGGAATCTAACACGCCCATCAAAAGGGCTGGCAGCACATGCTCTATGGCGTGGTAAAGTTCTTTTGACGAGGCGCATTGCTTCCATGATTCCTTTCTACAGCAGCCAACCAAGAGGAGACTTTTCCGTCCTCCTGTGGCACTTCGGACGCATCAGAACCATCAACCCAATGAGACTGGCCCATGTCTCCAAGTTTGACATAATTTGTACTTACCGCTCTCGGTTCCTTCGGCTCTCATTCCTGTTGCAATTGTGCTTGTTGCATCTTCAATTCCTTTGGCTCCCCTTATTGTTCCTTCTGCTGCAGCCGCTGTTCTCATTGTCGCCTCCAGGCCTGCGGGAGCCAGAGGGCTATTACCCGTAACTCCTGAATCGACAGAACAAAATTCTCAATGTTCCACAGGGGACAGAATGGCGATAAGGAGAGCTTTCCCCAAGATCTGTATGAGGCTTAGGTGCCTATCCTCGTGCCCTTGCCGAAAACTAATGTAGGTCTATGTTATTACGGCTTAGCGTCGTTCCATCTTGACTCAATACTTGTCCGCCACGTTACCACAGTCGCCTGCCTGACGATATCACGGCCACCATTGGCCGGACTCGATGGGACGTTATCAAATGTCTGAACAGTGCTGGGGTGAGTGGGGGACGCGCACGTGCACGGACCTAGCCCTCTCCAATTCCTCTTCGGAGTCCCTTGAGGCTCTGGGTCTATGTATAATAACCTTGTTAAGATCAAATAATATAGCTGCTTTCTTGGTATTTCGACCGTCTATCTCAACAGTCTCCTCGTCTCCCAGTAAAGAGGACACGATGTGGCTTTTGGATAGCAGGACTCTCAAGCTAACGGAATTCAAAAAGGACCGTCCGAAGTATGCGATCTTTTCACATTGCTGGCTCTCCGATGAGGATGGCGGGGAAGTCACATTCCAAGAAATCCAAGGCTCAGAGTCGAAACACAAGGCCGAGAAGGGATATGAGAAGATCCAGAGTGTCTGTGCCATCGCGCGCGATCACTACCAGTATATCTGGATGGATACCTGCTGCATCGACAAAAGAAGCAGCGCAGAGCTCCAAGAGGCCATCAATTCCATGTTCCAGTATTACCACCACGCTGAGCTTTGCTATGTATATCTGGACGATGTACCGTCGAGACAACATCCCAGAGCGATGGCCGCCTTTCACGAGGCCAGATGGTTCACAAGAGGTTGGACGTTGCAAGAACTGATTGCTCCCCGGGATCTGGTCTTCTACGCGAAGAACTGGACTTTCTTCGACACCAAGGAAAGACTCACAGATGAAATTGCCCAAATCACCGATATCGACATTGCTTTTCTTCGAGGTAGAGACCTCCACAAGGCCAGTGCGGCTCAGAAATTGTCTTCGGCTTCTAAGAGAAACACATCGAGGGAGGAAGACATGGCATACTGCCTGATAGGGCTGTTTGATCTCTCTATACCAGTGATATATGAAGAAGGGCTGAAGAAGGCGTTTGGTCGTCTGCAAGACGCTATCCTAAAGGATACGGGCGATCAATCTTTGTTTGCTTGGACTGATAAGGCACCCACCAACGAAATCTATGGAAAGCAACCCTTCGCAGATTCTCCCAAGCGTTTCGCTAAACAAGGCAAGGCCAAGACCTCGACGACGCCCCGAGCACCCAAACACGCATTTCAGATCGTGATCTTCCCATCGCTCAAAGCCTACAAGCTGATCAGCGTCTTCCCTTCTCAAAACTGGCAAAAGAGCACGAATCCCCTGCTAATCCCACATATAGTTAACGTCACGCCAGATACAAATGTTGCTGGCGCGGTCTTGCAGTTCGAACATATATTGGGGATTCTCCCTCATTTTCTGGTGGTGGTGGGCATGAGCAATTCCTCCGGGGGTAAGACAGGCTGGTGCAACGCGATCCGCGACCCCGGCCACGGAGACCTGGCCAAGGTGTGGAAGTCGTATGCCAAAAAGCTGGAGGAGCAAGAATTTGGGGAAAGCGACAAGCTGATACTTGGCAAGCTTCTTTTTCCACTCGGTGTTGTGGATGTCAAAGTCACACCGCCCTCTCTTGCGGAAATCAATTTTACCCTCTACGTCACTGTTTGGTGACCTCTCACCTGTTTTACTGCAGCCCCGTACACTGCAACGAGATGGTTCTCACGGTTGTTCGCGCTAAGACTATGCTTGCCAGATGGTGAATTTGACGGGCCGCAGGTGTCTGCGAGGATGAACTTGGCTTCGGGGCGATGTATGGTCTTTCACGTTGTTGGTCATCTGATATAAGGTAAATAGATTCAGAAATCTTTGCCACTCAGTGGAAAATCCTTCTACAATAATTGTACTAGGTGTTCGACAGGAATTACCTCTTCGTGCCATTCCGGAACAATCCCTCGGTGGAAGTAGCAGTCCGGAAAGCGGATGGCTAGGACGCTTATACCTAGCTATCCTGTCACTAGTTGGATTTGACTTCCTTCTTTCCTGAACGAGATGGACAATGTTGCTTCCGTTATCTGGCCCCTTATCCGCATCCCCTGAGCACTGAAAGGACTGAGGCGGAAGGACGAGGGTTGATCGAGCGAGGGCGATATGATTATGACCGAGAGTTGAAATGGCGTCAAAGAGGACCAGTCGGCTTGACGATAATTGTTTTGGGTCCTCGTCCGCATTGCATGTAAGTATGTACCCACCTAGGTAGGTTTGTAGTGGTGATGGAGCAGTTTCAGGGATCAAGGGGTGAGTGGGTGCGGAGAAGAGAAGATGGGCGGGTCTGGGGGGTGGCTCTAAAAGCAGCATGGCCAGGGGAAGTCGCACGTGATACTCTAAAATGCCAAGATTTCAACTGCGAACGCGAAATCTGGCCCCTTTTTGGGATTTTGGTTCGGACTCGCGTACCATTGAACTGTGTCTCTTCCTTTCCTCCCTCGCTTGCAGCAATATTTTCCAGCCATGCGACTGTATTCCATTCTTCTCAGCCTGCTGGCACTGGCTGTTGCCAGAGTGTGCAGCACCGCATTGACGTATAAACTCGGCGCCAATGAGAAGGCCTGTTTCTTCAGCAATGTCGAGCGACAAGGCGCCAAAATCGCATTCTATTTTGCTGTAGGATTCTTTCTGGGTTCACTTGGGTGTATCGACTGACATACGATGTCAAGGTTCAATCCGGTGGTTCCTTCGACATTGACTATGAGGTGGTAGGCCCCAATGACAAGAGAATCATGGCAGGGGAAAAGGAAAGACAGGGCGATTTTGTCTTCACCGCGCAGACTGCGGGCGAGTACCGGGTCTGTTTCAACAATGAGATGTCTACGTTCGCGGACAAGATGGTGGACTTTGAGGTTGCCGTACGTCGTCACCCCGAGTAGTTCGCCCCCATGAAGACCACGTCCTCTGACTGATGGGATCAAACAGGTCGAAGATGAATCCAAGTCCGCCCTCCTCCCACAGAAAGCCGGCTCAACTCCTGAACAAACATCTGCATTGGAAGATCTGGTCTTCAAGATCAGTGGGCAGCTCAGCACAGTCAGCAGAATGCAAAAATACTTCCGCACGCGAGAGAACCGTAACTTCAGCACGGTCAGGAGTACTGAACAGAGAATCTTCAACTTCAGTTTGATTGAGGTGTGCATGATGGTTGGTATGGCTGGACTCCAGGTCTTGGTGGTAAGATTTTTCTTTCAGGGGGCGAGGAAAGGTGAGTTCTCTCATACGGTGATTTGAGATGTTGTATAACGACTAATGTGATGGACATCTGCAGGTTATGTATAAATTACTGCATCTGTACCACTGTTTGCATAGGCTACGGCACACTATCATGTCACGGCATGGAAAGGACGATCTTGACGAGTATGACAAGGTCATAGACACGGAAGATCTGGGAGTTTTGGAGCTGATATCTGATCCGACTAGGCCATTAGCGCTCCATACTGCAAGGCGGGTTCGAGACCCCTGCGAACCTGCTAGGGGATTGCAAGCTGGCTGCGAACATGATCTTCGACAGAAGACAAAAGTTACCCTTGCCCTCTTGCTGTCAGCCGCCTCGAATGACCCATTCCTGTATTCATTTCCCAGGCTACGCTCACCTCTTTCTTTCCCTCTTCCCCTCTTTGCTCCTTCTGCGTCCTTCAAACGGAACTGACTTCCCAGGAGGAGATTACCGATCAAGGATTATTTGATGTCAGCCTTACGTCCCGGCGCAGGCGGTGGTCCCCACCTTGCAGGACATCACAGTGTTGATAGAGATATATAACCCTGCGTTGATAGTAGGGCTGGCCTCCGAGATGTCACGAACCCAGTCTTGAACACATTATTCTCGGAGGTCAGCCCTCCTCCCACAACCCTATTCGGCAGCAGCCTCGCCATCGGATTCATTGACCGGCTGTCTCAATTTATTGAGATAAATATTCCATTTTCTCTCATCTCTCTTCTGCGGGCTCAATTGGACCATACAGCTCTACGGATCGCGGGCTATCCGCTGATAGCCCCAACTTTCGTCGTCGGCATTTCTATCAGTGTTTAGCTAGATTGGATGTTATTCCAATCGGGCATACGCAGTTGGATAAGCCCTCTACGTGTCTCTCCGTTGAAATGAGCTTGAATTGCAGGAGCTCTCTGAAATCCTAGCGGAGACCTTCCTGCCACGGTGCTTTCTTTACGAACTACCTTGGGGATAGGAAGAATGTCCCAGGCCCAGACCTCACCAGCTCCGAGCAGGAACAGAGAAGATAGCCATGTTCTCACGGGCGCGAAGACGCCGCAGTTGGATGCCACGGATATCCTGGATGTCATGTTCTTTGGTGAATAGAACCACCGTTGCCGATGTTGGTTCTTCGCTTCCAGTTAGCCATGCAAGGGAGTTGTGATTGAAATAAGTTGTCCCGATACGTCCGCCATTTAGGCAGAACTCCGTAGAGACTAACGGCAATAGAGCAGATGTAGGCTGTTCAACGAAGCCGGGACGGAGGAAATAAATCATACGATAGATCGGATCAGGCTGTGGTCACTCAAGGCGCGCCCGATCTGTCTCGGTTCCTATATCATCGACCTATTCTGTGTATCTATCTATTCACCATTTGACAACCCGCGGCAACTGGGCGCTGCAGATTCCATCTGCAATATTGCATCTCTTTACTATATTTAAAACCTTGATATATGATGTATGGTCTTTAAGGCTGCTTCGCATTCGCAACCACCATACTCGGTGCACACAGGCGCACCCGCCCTCTTTGCATATATGCCATCAAGAATCTCACAAAGTGACTGGCGCTGTGGAGCGGAGAAGGGCAATGCATGGCATTCCATGGTTGCTTGCCAAGGCAACCTTCGGCCCCCTAGAGGCGCGGACGGGCGTCTGACTCTCGTGCGAGGAGGTCCTATTTTCGGGCTCCTCACCAGTCAGCAGCAACAGGCAGTGTCAGGCAATTCGAGCTTTTTGAGATCGGGCCCGGCAATGGGGCCTTTTCATCCTTTACAGAGCACGGGCGCACGGTTGAATAGGGGAAAAGGCATTTAAAAGGCGTCGGTCTGATTGCAGCGTTCATCGCAACTTTGGAATATCCCGAGGCGCGCGCCCGCACACACATCTGTGGAACTTCATACGACACAACACCACGGACTGGCTGATCAACCAAACGTAGGTGCAGCTGGATGGGATCGCGATAGGGAGGCCCGTTGGAAAACCATCAAGCACGGCAAGGCCGAGAAGGAACTACGAATACTATTGGCACTGGAGGGCGGGAGAGAGACTTGGATTTCATCAGGCTTTTCGATCTTTTGGATGGTCGTCTGTGGGACTCCAAACGGCAGAATCATCATTTCTACGTGCTGAGCCCGGCGGAAATTACCTATCATCAGCCTTGTGCACTTGTTGGATATCCCTCCGGGCTCGCTGTGGTTGGTATCACAGCTATCTGAAGAAGATGCCATCAACACCAGTCAACACGATAGAGGACATCCTCGCAACAGCGACCATCGACCCGGCCTTCTCCGCTGCGCTGGGATCGAGCAATCTCTTGCCTGGATCAAACTACACCCTCGCGGACATCAAGCAAGGCACAGTGGCGGGCCTCGCCCCATTGCAAACACGACTCTCCGAGTCGCAGCCGCCCCAAATTACCGAGACAGAACACTGCATCAAACTCCGCGACGACTGGGCCTCCCGCATCATCGTGTGCCATCTGACCTCCGACCTCCAAGGCACTGCGCCACCGCGACCGCTCATCCTCCTGCTGCATGGCGGGGGCCATACCATCGGCTACCCTGAAATGCAGCTGCGCCTAGCTAGGGAACTCGTGCTGGCGCACTCGGCCGTGGTGATCTGCTCGTCGTACCGTCTGGCGCCGGAGTTCCCGTTCCCCTTCTCTATCTGCGATTCCTGGGAGGTGCTCGAGTTCTGCGCCAGCGAGAACAGGAAGTCCAACTCGGCCATCTTGCCCCGGTGCACCGACGCGCGCGTGGGATTCCTCGTCGGCGGCGAGAGCGCAGGCGCAAACCTCGCGGCCTCGCTGGCCCACCTGGCCAGGGACCACAACTTGAATCCTCCGCTGACGGGACAGATCCTGGTGGCGGGTACCTACATCTCTCCGGAGCGCGTACCTGAAAGGTACAAGGACAGGTATTTGAGTCGAGAACAAAACGCCGACGCCCCGATCCTGGACCGACATCTCATCAAACTCTTCACCGACGCCTTCCAACCGGATCCGACTTCGAAGCTGTGCTACCCATTCGATCAGAACGATCCGCGCGACGAAGTCGAAGGCGCAGGTACGAGATCCGTCAAACACGGGCACTTAGGCGTCGCGCCTGCGTATTTCCAAGTTTGCGGCTTGGACCCGTCCAGGGACGACGGGTTGATCTATGAGAAGGTGTTGAGGGAGGAGTGTGACGTGCCGACCAGGTTGGATCTGTATAATGGGTTGGCACATTGTTGGTGGGCGATGTTTCCGGACCTGGAGATGTCGCAAAGGAGGACAAAAGACACCGTGAACGGAGTGGGATGGCTATTGAGTCTGAAGAAGAACGGATGATGTCTTAACGGGGGGTGATTGCATGGTCGACAAGCGACACACTCGCATTCCTAGCCTGAGGGGAACCCAGAGAGCTCGCGTCCCGTCATGAGACTGGTGATGATACCTATGTATCTGCGTGTGATTCTGGAAAAATCACCCCTCGTGTGGGAAAGCGAGGCAGGCGGATTATGGCAGCCAAATATCTCCTGCTCGTCAATCAAGAATCATTTCACTTCCTTCCATTCGCTCGCGCGCGCGTGCGTCAGCACTCGAACATCTTGGCCGTACTGACGTTCGCGCGGCTCCATTTCTTGCTCTGGCTGATGCGGCTCCAGAACCGCATCGGCCAGTAAACGTGGTACAACCACCACCAGGGCAGCGGATCCCAGAGTGCGTACGTGCCGTCGTTCCATGTCAGCAGGTGGTCGAAGAAGGCCATGTAACCCTGACAAAGATCTGGGATCGACGCGTCGTCGGATAGCGTGAGGAAAGACAATGTCGGAAGGATGACCAGGGTGACGAGATCGTGTCCGATCCAGTAGTAGGACTTGCCGTGCGTCACGGGTCGTGTGATCCGAGGAGCGTCGTCGGCCAGGCGACTGCTATGCTGGCTTTCGAGGACCGATAGATAGGCGTCCACCAGCGCCGGTGTCCCCTCGAATAGCGCCACCGCAGTGTGTGCCCGCGGGTTGCACTCGATGGGGTAAAGAACGATGCTGTTTCCGGGATCCGACGACGGCGGCTCCTCTTCCTCGTCCTGCGCCATGAAGTCGAAAGACAGATGGCCTGTAAAGTCTGGTCCGCCGCTCGTAGCACATGTCTCGGTGAACGCCAGCATCGCCCGACTCAGGGCTGACTCGGCAGGGAGCGCCTGGTAATGCATGAGCAATTCGGCGGAGGGACAGGCCACGAACGCCTTCACCCGGCCTCCCACGACCAGTGAGTGCGTGCAGTATTCTTTGCCCACGATGAACTCCTGCAGTATCCATGGCGTCTCCGCTGAGATCTGGAGCCGTGCAATGTGCGCTGACGTTTCGCAGTCCGAGTCTTTGGGCAGCAGCGTCAGATCGCCGCGGGCTGAGTCGTCGACCCCGATCGTCTTCATGATGTACTTTCGGCCAGGCGGTGCGCTGCCCAGGATCCTCTCAACGGCCACACGGCTTGTGATTTCGTGCGTTTCAGGGACCGCGAGACCCATGGTCTTGGTATGTTGTACGAACGAATGCTTCTCGTGCAGAGTCTGCGTTGTTTTGACGTCGAATTGAATGGCCTTGCACCTGGTCCTTGCTTCGACAACTTCTTTCGCCATTCCGTCCTCGACCGCCGAGGAGACCCCAGAGCAACTGACCCAGAGCTCGATCTTCTCCTTGGTCACGATATCTAGCAGGTTTTGGATATACGGAGCGGACCCGGATTTCAGGTCGGGCTTTTGAAGACGGTAGAACCTCCTCAGAGACGTTGATACTCTCCCACAGACCAACGAACCGTTGGGCTCAAAGTCGGCTCCGATAACGTCGTGGCCAGCCTCATAGAAGAGTCGTGCTAACACCAATCCCTTGGTCATACCGACTCCAGTGACCAGGACTCTCCGCCTTCTAAATCCGGTCTGGCGATATGCCGCTTTTCGATTCGACTTTACCTTGGTTGGAAGGGCTTTGCTCATGAGAAGAGAGACGAGCAGAACGAAAGTATCTAGGGGAAGGAAGGCAAGGCTCAAAATCAAGAGGGAGGCATTTTGCATCTTGTGAGCAAGCAGCGAGGAGCTTGCCTGGAGCATTTTGACTTCGGGCTCGAGGCTTTGGGAAAAATAAAATTCTGACAATTCGAGTAGACTGAAGAGGATGGAGAAAAACGAAAGCTTTCCCTTGTTTTGACGTTGGAGAGTTGCTTGCAAGGAACAGGTTGGCCAACAATATAGACGTCACGCAAGTAACTAGACCAAGTGGAGACAATACCTAGGCATGGAAATGATGGCATTACGTCCGCAAGGCGGGAGAGCATGATGGAAGTGCTCTCCTTGCGTGCTCTCCTTGCTGGGCACGCTGCACCCTTACCTGCAATGAAAGAAATGATCATGGGCAATAACTGTACTCGCCCTGATGAGGACAGCTAGACCAGGAAGAGAAAAATAGAGGAAAGCCACGAGGGCGGAAATTTTACAGGCCTTTTCAAAAGACACAGATGTCCGTCAAGGGTCGTCATTCTAGAAGCACATTACCAGCCTCGCCGGTTGCCTACGTTTGCTTCATAGTGGACCAGCCTGCTCAGGCCCCATATATCTCAACAACTCAATCACTGTGGAAGGAGGGAAGAAGCACTAGTGCCTTGCACCCAAGAAATGGATTGAAATGTCTGTTCTATATGGCTTCATGCCGGCGCGTAGCTGCCTGCTTCTGCAACTCCAATGCATCTCGTAATTTCGACTCCGTCCTGGTAGATTCTGTAAGGATGAGAAAACAATTAATCTCAGTGTGGTCACTTACTGGCACTCCTGACGGTTCGAAGCTGTGAACGAGACGACTTTCATAGATCAGCAGTGGATTTCCCACCCTCGTCTCGTCCAGCTTAGCCTCGCCCTCTCTTTGAAGGTATTGATTGGCTGTCCGATTGGCAAAACGAGTGTCCACGCCGTTGACGGTTTGTGCTGCCTTGGTCACCTGCTTCTTCTGCTTGACACTGCTCCGAACGTATTCTAGATAAGGAGGATTCCCGGGCTTGATCACATTGTCTGCGGCCAAGACAGAGCCCGGTGCAATCAGTTTCAGCTCCTCGCAGAGCTTCAGGTCGGTGGTGTATGCAGGCTTGTAATGATCCAGAAACATTAGGTCGATGTGCTGCAGAGTTCCTGTCGCATGCAACTCCTTGATAGAGGCATCACTTGGTCCCTCAATGACCTGTACGATGTCGCTCAAGCCGGCAAGGTCAACCAGGGAGGAGATGACAGTTACAAAGTCGGGGTGTCGTTCAAGGCTGAAGTACCTTTTGCCTCCAGCCTTGCGAAGAGCATTCCCGAACAAAATGCACGAGTACCCAACATAACCGCCGAGCTCGACCATAACCTGTGGTTTAAATCCGGCTATGAGATCCGTGATGATTCGGCCTTTGTCTTCTCCCACATTCATCAGGTATTTCTGCGTGCGAGCGAACTCATCGATAGCGGCCAGCACTTTATGCGGCGAGCCTCGAATATCCTCAAGATCCTGCTTGTTGTAAATGAATTGTAACAGTTCCATCTCACGGCCATCATCGAACTGGGACAGGTTAGTGAGTTTGACTAGAGAGCTTGTGGTTGGCTATACAAATATCTCCTCCTGTTCCTTATATTTCTTCCGAGGGTCGAACTTAGCCATTATTTCTTGAGGATGGGAGCCTAGACCATGAAAGAAAAAAAGCGAGAAGATTATGGGAAAGGAGTGGATATCTGCTCCCTCAAAATGCGGCAGAAATGTAATACCACAGACACAAGGTCACATCTCACCGAGACCTTGCTGCGCGGTCATTAAGATGATTTTGTTCATTCCAGTGACGGAAATTGATTCAACGGATGTGGTTCAAACAGGGAACCCAGAGCGCCTAGATCTGACGTGGAGTAGCAAGCAAGACGCGAGATGAGTTTCGAAAAGACCGAAATGAATCACCATGTTTCGACATGATGCCGCCGACGCAGTGGGCTGGTGGGAATAGGAAGTCATGGTCGAAGCCAGCACAAATGTCCAATGTAATGATGATTCGTTGATGTTGGTGCCGCCAATGAAGCCGGAGACGCTAGACTTTATTTGGTCTAGCTCTCCGCAGCCCGATCTGGCGAGCTGGCCAATGCCTCTTGGCGTTCTAGCACAAAACATCCCCTTTTCTTTGGCGGTCAAGAACGGTCTTGTTGTGGAGCGCCATCAATCGTCATCAACCGCTGAATATGGGCGGTCTTATGCGGAAGAAGCTGGTAAATCGCCGTTTACTCCGAACCGACATCTTACGCCGCCCTTTGCCCCATTGCGGTCACCGCAGATTGGGCCGGATCTTGAATCCTTGAGAATCAGATCCAGGGGGTGGATCTATTAGATCGAGACGCTAGGATCTGCTCTCTTTCGATATCTGTGTGGAAGGATTTAGCATTCAAGTAAGGTATTGGCTCAGGGAGACACCGCATTCAGCCCGTTCGACATGCGCGGATGATGCTGTCAGGTTCCAGACCAAGTTACCTCATCGACTTTTCACGACTACATCATGACTCCAACTGGTCGAATCTAAAATGGTGCCAAGTTGGCTTTTGATGCCTCTGAAATGTTGGGGCAAGAGTCAATCTCTTCGCAAATCTGGTTTCTGGCGTCGGTTGAGGACCCACATGCGGACGGATATTGCAGAGCTCTTGAATCCTGCTGGAGAATGTACCCCTTTTCTCTACTCCACAGCCTGGTCTGTCCAGCCGGATGACTCGCCGTTTGTTTCTTCGGAGACACCTGGCGACCAGAAACCTACTTTTCCAGGACGAATTTGTTGACTGCCATGCTCACGGAGCTGTTGATAAATCAGGACCGAATTCCCTGACTTCAGTCTTTTAATCTTCTCGACCTTTGCTCCTCCATCTCCTTTGCCTCGACACTTCTCATAATTCAAGAATTTTGCGGTATCTCGCAATGTCTGACCTCAAAGCCTCAGTTGCGGAAACGGCAACTGGATTCCACATCGAGGGCTATGAGAAGATTGAATACGACTTTACCTTCATTGACGGAGTTTTTGATCTCAAACGACGTGACCTGGCCGACTGCTATACACGGTGGAGTCGTTGCCTGGCCGTCATGGACTACAATATCTTCAACATCTATGGCGAGCAAATGCAGAAATACTTCGATCATTACAACATTGATCTGGACGTCCACAAGACCATGATTGGAGAGAAAGCTAAATCCATTGACACCTTCCTGAGCATCGTCGATTCCATGAGCAAATTCGGAATTTACAGAAAGGTAAGGATGGATTGGTAAAATTTGCAGTAATGCCGCTGACACGTCTTCCTAGGAGCCTTTACTTGTTATCGGCGGTGGACTCGTCACTGATGTTGCTGGGTAAAAGTCACCACCTACCCGGCATTACTTCAAGGCACTCTGGCCCATCTATCTATTTAGTGATTGCATAGAAGGACATGTTGCTGATATCACGATCGACAGTTTCGCCTGTGCTGCCTACCGCGGGAACACGAACTACATTCGCATTCCTACAACTGTCATTGGCCTGATTGACGCGTCGGTCTCCATCAAGGTCGCTGTCAACTATGGCAACTACAAGAACCGCCTCGGCGCCTACCACGCTCCAATTCATACGTTTCTCGACTTCACATTTCTCCGTACTCTGCCGAAAGCTCAAATCCGCAATGGTTTTGCTGAGCTGATCAAGATCTCCACGTGCGCTCATTTGCCGACCTTCGAGTTACTCGACAAATACTGCGAGCAGTTGATCAACTCTGGCTTCGGTCGGTGTGATGGTGCGTCTGAAGAAGTGCGAAAGGCTGCAGATGCCATCAACAGGGCGGGCATCCACGAAATGCTAAAGCTTGAGACGCCCAACCTCCATGAGATCGGGCTTGATCGAGTCATTGCATATGGTCACACGTAAGTTTGACCTCCCTGCCGTGTAACTTGCTCTTACCTGTCCAAGATGGTCGCCTTTGCATGAACTTGTCCCAGATGTGCCCCTTCGCCATGGACATGCGATCTCAATCGATATGGCGTACTCCGCGACGTTGGCCAATATGCGTGGTATACTCAACGACAAAGATCACCAGCGAATATTGCGTCTCTTCTCGCGAGCAGGGCTATCCATGGATCACCACCAATTCGATGAAGACATCCTCGACAGAGGTACCAAGGCGATCTTGAGGACTCGAGATGGAAAGCTTCGAGCTGCAGTGCCCGGTCCGCTCGGATCGTGTATTTTTCTGAACGACGTCTCTATGGAGGAGATGTATGCCGCTCTCAAGCAACATAAAGCTCTGATGAAGAACTATCCTCGCAACGGAGAAGGTATCGAAGCATTCGTTGACGTAAGTGACACCGGCTACACGGTGAATAACAAGCCAGTCGAGAGCAATAGCTTGTCAAATGGCCCGAGCTCATTGAATGTGCTCAATGATGATACCTACAACAATGTCATCCAAGCCAATGATCACAAAAATGCCAACGGTGGAATGGTCAAGAGTGTTTCGATCGCAACGAAACACGCGTCGGGTCTTGAAAGAGTTCCCAGCCCTATTGTTGGCAGCACAGGTAATACCTCCGATGGTTTGAATGGTGATTTCGCCAATGGGGGCCCTGATAGTGTTTCCAATGAGTTGAATGGCTACAGCAAGGAAGTTGAAGTGCGGGCGTGATCGAAGAGATAGGTTGATTAATGCTCTCACGGTAGCACAGTTGAGCATGCTCCAATCTATCACGATATCATTTCCCGGTTTTAAGTCAATCACATGTGCCATAGCTCGAAAGCTCAATTTCACTGACTGCCGCCCACTTGGAATCCGCCCCTGGGAGTATTGTCCTCCAGATTGAGTCCCTTTGTTGGTGTCTACCTATCTGCACAGCGTTTGTTACGAGGAGGGTATGCTGCCACGATTGACATTGGTGTTACGCTTCGGTGCGACAATCTCAACTCCAACCCTGATCTGAAGCAATTGTCTCTGGCCGTGCATTCCATTCGCCACTAGTTTTGAAGCCTGGTTTTATCTGGAGGATTGGGCCGAATTGTGGTCTCGACGTGGCATCGGCTCATTCGGTGCCGTCTAGCACAGAGCCCGAGGATTGCAATGTTCTTGCATGACTTTTGGAGACGACCTCAATGGTGGCTTACGGACACGGGCGCGCGAACCGTCGTCCAAGCTCACCGTGATACAAAAAGCCTCACATCAAAAGAGAAAATCAGGCGCTAGCAAAATATCACCGTCGCTCATTTCCGTTACTTCATTAGAGGATCGTCTCATTCGAAATAACAAGTATAGTCTACCCCTATCACGCCACGCTCTGAGCAAAGAGCACGCTCATACCCAACGCTAGCAGGCCGATAACCTAACATCAATTCGGGAGAATGCCCGTCTAGCTTCCTACGGTGAAGTGACGAAAATCCTTCTGACATGGAGGTCAGCGTCCGGTAATTGAGACTTGGGCAGGGCACTTGCATCTGGAATGTTCGTTGGCGTAGTAATGATGAATTTCCCGAGCCTGCACTGTTTCCAACAATGAGTCCCTGGAATTCTGTAGAGAGGACCCCAATGACAGAATACTGTACCTGAACTTTCCAAGTCCCCCGCGCAAAGTTCTTTTCCATATATGCTCTCAGCGCAACCGGGTCGATGTATTTATCGCTGACAATCTGTTCGGGCGAGGATGAAGAGCCACCGCCGCCGCTGTTCGAGTGCTGGCTGCTTGCCACCGAGGACGTCGTGCTTCGCCTTTGTAGAGACATTACGCAAATTCTAATTAATGCTTGTTCCAATAGAGCAACGTAGGGTACTAGTTGTCAACTCTTGAAAGATTTGGCGGCGCGTGTCTTCCGTGTTAGCCGAACGGATTTGAAGGAGATGCTCCGGAGCAGCGAAAGTGTGTACTATCCGCTCTTAGCATGTGGGCAGGTGGGCACAATGGATAAGAGGATCATCTGCCGTGTTACAGTATCGGCGCCCAAAGGCGCACCATAGTGGCAGGTGCCTCATCTGTCTTGCAACGGTTCGTTGGGCACTCTTGAGTCTTACGGTAGCATTCGACAAACTCTTTGTTTCACAAGGAAGTTGAGCAAATTATATACGGCTCTTGTCTGGGTTCTTTCCATGCATGAATGAGCCTTATACACGGGCGGATGGTACATCTCTGGACCTGAATCTCCACAATCCGGCCTGGTGTATCCCCCACTGTTGTCGGTCGAAAGGAATATCAGGCTCTGAGAACAAACAACTGCGCTTTACCAAAGAAACGAGACTATGTTCAAATCGAACTCCCTCATCCAAGCAGGTTTGAGTCAGACTGTGGAGGCTCGTGGCGGTCAATGTCGGACAACATACGCCTGAGGTTGGAGCTACAAGCGGGCATGACGATGATTGTCCTCCATCGACCTCTGGTTTTCCATCGGACTCCGCCCACCCGTCGAGGGCTGCAGATCGAAGTTCTGGCACTTTTCTGGAGAATGAAATCGCACACTGAAAGTGACGCGCCGCCGCAGGCAGCCATCAACCGTCTCACAAATGCCACATTGTTCACCGTCTAAATATGGAAATATCCTCCTGACGAAATTAGACCAGCCAACAACCAACACGTGGATTCGACCAATCTCACCCAACTGAGTTGTCGAACTTTAGAACTCGTGTATTGAATCTGATATTTGTCGAGGACCCTGGTCACTTTGACCGAGCCGGGATCATTCGTCGTGGACAAGTAGTCTTCAAGCTTCGCTTTGTGAATATACTTGCTAGGTATCACTTGTTGGACTGTGACCGTTCTGTTGTTTCCAGCCATTTCTGTATTGACGGCGGCGACCAAGAGCCTGCGCGCTGGCGAGGGGCTCAAAACAAGGCTGAAATCGTAGATTAGAAGTGTGAAAAGGGGGGAGCTAAGTACTGGGGAAAGAAGAAGCCGGCAAGGAGGGGCACGGGCTTTTATTTTGCAGCAGCTGAACGACGTCTGTGTGTGCCAATTCGAGGCATCCTCTTGTTCAGCAGTACTACCTCGGAGCACTGTAATTTAGTTGTTTGAGAGGGGGGAAGGCGGCCAAATGGAGGCAGATTCGCAGGCCCTGGGTTGTCAATCTGGAAACAGGAACAAGCAGCCAATAACATCCCGAAGCAACGCGAACTGTCGTCGTTACCCTGCCAGAACCGCTCTGATCGCAGTCGTTATCTAGCCAATAGCAATTGAATATATATATATATATATATATACATATATATCAAGCTTTGGTGATGTGAGCTTTCCGCCTGCTTTGATAGAGCCCTCGACGTCCGAGCTTGCTAACGACGTCCGACAAAATTGTTCAACCGCTACATATCGACAACAGCGGTTTCCTGTCCGCCAACACAACTATGGCATCATCAAAGTTCCTCCAAGACATGATATGGAATAGTCCAGCTATGGTCTCAAATGAATACCTCAGGGAGCGGCTCAATGTGTGCTTGGCCGGGGAAGACGATCCGTCCTTCGTTGAACTCCTGGTCGACGAACACGAGACCAGCCGCTCCAGGGGGGAGCCTGTTCCAGAATACATTTCATTTCAACTGGACTCACTTGATACCCGCTACAGCAAGGCAATACTTCTGCCGCTGGCAACCTATTACAACGTGAAGGAGTTCAGGTATCAGATGACGGTGTGTAGCTCTCCATCTCTGCTGTAATTTCCCACTGCTCACACCAGGCTCAGCAACAGATGAAAGCTCTGAAACTCATGTTTGTGACTCCCATCTTTTGCAACCATTTGCTAATCAAGATAGCTTCATTCGACAGCGCAATTCTTTCAGTGAGCTCAGCATTAATAGAGAGTTCGTGGATTGTTTGCTGCACATTTGCGACATATCCTTGAGGTTCCTTGACTTTGTCGTATACTTCGGTCCGAAGAGTGGAGAGACGAGCTTGACACCTCCACGGATCTGGACATCACCGACCTTTCGGTAGGTTTCATCCTGTACAGACTGGAGCTGATGTTGATCAACAAGAATGCACCTACATTATACGATTTCCAGAGCTCAATCACCGCTCTGAGTCTAGTCCCTGGTCCATGAGACAGTTCTTGCCTTATCATCAGATTCCGACGGATTCCGCCACGGCATGTATTATATTTGCTGGCATCGGTAAAGGCGCAGAAAGGTTGCTCGGTCATTACATCTCCTGCTGTGGAAGAAACGAGGTCTTCGATCCAGTGGAAGTCCATCTTGTCCTGCTGAGCAGTGTTACAGCCACCTGGCGGCCGTACATGGGATATCTCGACAAGGAAGTGAGCACTCAAGTGAGTACTAGTCATCCATGAGAAAACAAGTCAGTGACGACGAGTAGGCCGACCGTGCGATATTGACCGACCTTAACGGTGATGGGGTTGAAATGACGCAACTGGAGGAGCGACAGTACTTGAAACAGCTTGAAGATGCTCTTGACGAGGCAGCAGCGATTCTTGAACATACGACAGATACGGCTGATACAGTGCACAAGAGCTTCATGCCCGCCTGGCCGAATATCACACGAAATATTCCATTCGAGATACTTGATCATGGCTTCCAAGAAGTCATCCAAGGGCTTAGACACTACGGCACACAGACGGAAACTCTACGAAACAAGGTCAAAAGCGCTTCTGACTTGGTAACATATTTTTCCTGGTACTTTCGACGTGGTCCGTTGCTAACATCCTAGGTTTCCAATATTTTGGATCTCGGTAACAGTAATACGTTAAAAGTATTGGCAGTAGAATCGGCTCGAGAGACGGCTGTTATGCACCATCTCACCAAGAAGGCCACTCAGGACGCGGCAGCAGTCAAAGTCCTGACAATACTCACAATAATATACCTCCCGGCTACAGTCATATCGGTGAGCAATACTCGCAGACCGACAAACTCTGTTGACAAGTTGGTAGAATTTCTTTTCCACTTCTTTCGTCAATAATGTAATGACACGGGACGGCAACTTCTCGCTAGTTGTCGCTAGTAACTGGTGGATTTTTATAGCTGGTGCACTCCCTCTGACTGTCATCACCATCTATGCTTGGTGGTTCTACGTTCAAAGGGAGATCCATGGGCAATATCCGACATGGTGGCGATATGTGCAACGCAAATACCACTTATTGCTAGGAACACAATTCAGCGGGCGGCGCCAGAAACGACATGAGGCTGACGGAGAGATGCGCCAGCTTTGAAAAGACGGGTTGAGACCAAGTGTGGTCGAAGCCTCAGACCAGCCTCTCAAGCCTTAACATGTAAGGAGGGAGGGAGGGTGGGCGTTGACGTGCATGAACGTTTCCCTTGTCCTAGACCTGTCACCTCCGACCCTTGATGAGCTACTGCACGCTAACGCAAGAGCCCTCTTTAGTCACATCGCATCGTAGGTGTTCTCGTGGTTCATCGCCTCGTCGTCTCTTCGCCTCGTCGCCTTGTCGCCTCGAGCAGTCCTCAGAGCAGCGTCCGAATGGGCCTGAGCCAACACATCCCCAATCCTGGGCGGGATTCTTGCCCATCATGCTGTCTTTTGTGCAGCCTGACTCTCCATCTACCTCTCTCTCCAAAGAAAATGCGCTCTTTAGCACCGCCTGACAGCAGCCGTCCAACGATTCCTCCCAAGCCGCAACGCATATCTAGCCTGATGCCCCTCCCGCAGGCAGCACGGCAACTACCTTTCATTACGCTATACTGTGCGTCGAGCGGGCTAGCAGGAGTAAAAAGCTCTTTCGTGAGAACGCGACTTATCTGTCAGCCTGACTGAGGCAAGAGGGACGCAAGAATTGACTCGACGGCTACCTTTGTTCTGCTGAAGCAGATACTAGTGCTTATGCCCGCATTGGTCGCGAAGTCACAGCGCTTCACTCAACCTTTCAAAACCATTACCTACCGAGAGACGCCAGAGTGCATATAACTACCTCCAGGGGCGGGGGCGCTCCAGGGTTATGAGTTACAACCCACCGACACAGCCATCAGGCAGTCAAACACCCCTTTCGGTCAACATCCAATATGCTTCTAGCCGATCACTTGCACCTCCTTCACCAATATCCCCACACCACCTCTCCCCCCACCAGCCTCGTTCTCGCTCGCGGAGTCTTACAAATCGAATTCGTGCTCCGCCATCACAGATAACGGAGGACAAGTGGTTGAGAAGTATCTTACCGACTGCCAAAGAAACTGAGTGCCATCTTCGCATTGATGTGGACGGCCCGGACGGGAGTGCATGGAAAGGACAGAGAGTCCAATTTTCCAAATGGGCGTGGGATCGCAACGAGCCTTATGAGTGCCTCCATAAACAGATTATGGAAACGCTGCAGGCCTACAAAGAAGAGCTCTGGCACAATCCCGAGAACTACGGTCTTAGCGTCTATCGAAGACACGGATCTTGCCACATTATGAGACTTCAGCATGAAGGGTCACATTCCGTGATCGAGGACTATGATGCGGACTATCTTGGCCATAAGGCGATTCAGAACATCTGTGGCTTCATCCACAAGCATCCCTACGAGCCCATCCGACTAGAAATCCGTTTGCATTTTTCAAACATTCGAATGTTGCCTGGGTCTGTGTACTGTGAATGGGAGAGGATTGTGATTGGAGAGATCGATGCAAAGCTAGCTGAAAGCCCTTTCCCCGGTCGAGATTTTCTGCCCCGTGTCCACCGCGATCAACTGACCTCCAAAAAGTTGATATTTGAAATCACAAAAGAGAGGCTGAATCGAAGATGCTCGCAGGCAGATCCGGCAAATATATGTGATGAGATTGTCAGCAAACGAGCCTCAACTCTATTCATAGCGTGCATCTACCACAAGCTAGACATCGATATCATTTTACACTTGGTCCAGGATCACGGTTACAACGATGGCAATCTCCCACCATCCACCGCAGTGGCCGGACAATGAAACTCAACAAACAAATGCGACAAATGCGGCAAGAACATCAAGAAATTGCGCCAAAAACTTACTGCGTTCTTTGCCAGGAACATCGAACATGATGGGAAACGACATGTTTTGGAGTTCGACGAGGTGATGCCATTGCTAAACATACCAGATGAAAATGACGAAACTGGTCAAAGCACGCAAACGGTGCTTGGCCATGGCTCGTTCGGGATGGTTAAAGCAGTCTCCATCGACTCTTCTCATCATTATCTGACGGGCGTAGGTAATATCCCCGGGCTCACTGCAATCTACTGACTCGGTTCAGGACCCCGATCGCACTTATGCCCTGAAGATTTTCCACACAACAGGTAACCAGGCTGAAGACTTCAAGAGAGAAATCTGTATGCTGGAAAGGATATTCCACGAAGGGCATCCGCATCTTGTAACACACATTACAGGTCGGACTCAAAATCAGGAGCATTATATTCTTTATCCCAGAGCCATACGGAATCTCCGGTCACATATGAATGGGCACGATCCTCCAGCGCACAACAGTGTCAACGTTGCTTGGCTCTTGCGACAATTCCACGGGTTAGCCAGTGCCCTCCGAAGCATTCATGAGATGAAAGAAGAAACGCCAACAAATCCAAGCCAGGCGAGCTCCTCGACAATAGCGGTAGAAAGCCAGAACCATTTTGTGTTCGGCTATCATCACGACATCAAGCCAGAGAATATCCTTTTATTTGAACATGTGAAAGAGAGAAATCCGATGTTCAAATTGAGCGACTTTGGTGCCCGGCGATTCCACTCAATGCCCAAGAACAATTTTGACAAGAGAATCCAACAAGGTTCAGCCCTGTGTGGCACTCTCGCTTACTTCTGCCCCGAATATGAACAACCGAAGAGCCGTAAATTCGACATCTGGGCCTTAGCCTGTGTGTACTTTGAAATGATGATGTGGTTTTGCCTGCCAGAGCGTCTTGAGGAGTTCCATGTGAAACGGGTCGAACAATCGCGCCAACGTTCAGAATGGGAAGATGACTGTTATTGGCGACTCGTACCCGGTACTAAAATTGCAGAGCTGCGTCCCGTGGTGGACGAGTTCTTCCGCCATCTGCAAATGCAGATTGTAAATGATCCAGAGGACATCGAGGGGCTTTTGTCCAAAGTGTTGGATCAAATCAAAGCGGGCTTCACAATCAATCCCGCCAAGAGACCTACAATTGAGGAGCTTTGCAGCGAGTTCGACAATCTCCGTGTAGAGGCGGAATTGCTGGTCTACCAGACCGAGCGCGACTTGCGATCACAACCTTCTACCCGAGGCAACAGCCCAAGCAGCAGCAAGGGCTCAGACTTGGACGAGTCTACTCGATTCTCGCCAACTCAACGGCATCACACTTTTCCAGAAGACCAAACATCGTCTTCGTATGACCGGTGACTCCCACCGGCCACCGCCACAGGGATAGGGAGCTTGCTGTAGCAGTCAGATTCGCCAGAGCTTTGGATAACCGACACCCAAACGTTAGTTGCGTCGGCCTCGCTGAAAAAGAGCGTGTGAAGTTATTGTAACAAGGCAAAGTGGCTGTGCTGGGCTGGTAGAGGAGTAGCAGGGAGGAGATTTGGCTGGTCGCATGTCAAACCAAAATGGACGAGGAGAGCAGCACAGTTTAATTACAGTGCTGGCAGTGTGCCATTCTTTACAGTTTGAACAGAGGATCATCATTCCATAGTTTTTTGGCGCCGTCTACCTATTTCCTGAGTGTTTTATCGGTCCTTTCCTACCATGCCGCCGCCGTGCTAGGCTCTCGCTGCCCTAGCCACTGCCTCTCTGGGGGTGGTGTTGGTGGTGTTACCCTGTCAGCGCCGACTAGAAACGCGTTCTCGATTCCCGACCTGCTGGACAGGCCTCTGTGCGTTGTTGCACGTGCATGCCAAACCCTGAAGTGCTCTGTTACATTATGACCTATTTATCCTGACAAAAGCAGGCCTGGGAGGTGCAATCGGCCCATGCGTGCACTTGGTGGAGCATGACACGTTCTCCAGAAAGTTATGGAGGCCTGACTAGCCTGCTCAATTGGCGGACGATTGCAATGTACAAAGTAATGAATTAAAAGGTTTTGTGGCGTTTCGTATCCATCCAAGGGAAGACGTCAGGGAAAGACACCAAGGCAGGATACCGGGGCAGGACACCAGGGCAAGACATCAGGGCAAGAGGCCAGGAGGCATTAATGCTGTATTGAAATTCCCGGGGTTCAGAACAGGCAAAGGCACGGAGAGAGAACAGGCTCCAAATAGCGCGAAAACACGCAGGACTCGCGAGCATCCTGCAGCCTCGTCAGTAGAAACATGTGGTGCGCACCTACCTACGGGCAATACGGGGTAGGCAGCGTCACCAGCTTCATTTCTTAGATCGTATGCGAGAATCTGCTTCTATCGGAGTTGGTGGCATCGATTCTAGATCTATTCGGTATTTAACAGTCAACCTACTAGCCCCAATGTAAGTTAGGTTAACGCATACCGCTAGCCCATCTAGCTTAGGAGGACTAGTGAGCCGTACCCGAATGCCAATACACTATCCAACTTCTGCCTCGGTGGATCCGTAATAAGAACTCCTACACCTGATCAATGCGTTCTTGGCACCCATTAGAAGCATCTTATGTCACAGACAGACCTTCTCTTCCATCCCAATCAATCAATCAACTTATGGCCTCAGATTCGTTCAACACCTGTACAGATTGATGGCCAGGCGCCTTTTGTTGAAGCAAAGGCCCCGGGTGGGTCGGTGCGGCGGCGGGGAGTGTCACGTGGCTCTGCCACACGAACGCACTAGCCCATTCCAGGACTAGCCCTGGCACCCCCTCTCTTTCCTTTAGTTAGTCTCGAGTCCTTCCGACTCTCTACTTTACACTTAGACAGAGACTTCATACAGAAAAGGCTTGACCACCAACCTGGACAGGGTCATTATGACCTTTCCGCCCGTTCGCTAGCCTGAGTTGTGATAGGGAGGGAATGGTTACAGCCTTGCAGGGACAAGCATGTCATGATGTCAGTGACGAGCCGCGCAACGGATGAAAAGTAAAAACATAGCATCATGACTAGCTACGTTTACGCCTCGATCGACCTTGATTGCTGGTTGTCCACAATGCCGGGCTTTGAGCAGTCTCTGCTGTGTGGATCATGGGTTCTCGTCCTTCGTCTCACGCGGATGCGTCGCAGTTCTTGCTCTCGATCTATACGCCTGCTCCTCCCATTTGAAAAATGACGGTCAACTATTTCACCTGTACGTTAGGTCAGGCTGTGAGCCGCCACCAGCAGCAGGACAAGTCCTATGGAACGGTTGCCGGGTTTCTCGATTTCAAGGCACGAACTGCTCCGGACGTCCCCGTCCTCGGCTTGTACGAGGTCACGCAAAGGCCCTCACAGTTATGGAAACCGCATATGTTGACTTTTAAGGACATTCAGAGAGGCGTTACCCTTGTCGCTGGGGCATTGCAGAACGAATTTGATATAGAGCAGCGACAGATGGTAGCGCTTCTCTGCCCAAGCTCCGCAAGTCTCCTATTTACGTGGCTTGGTTTGGTTTGGTTGGGCCACCCGGTCCTTCTTGTGGCGCCTCAATGCTCTGCCTCTGCAGTTGCCCAACTGTGCAAATCTTGCGAAGCCGAGTTGATGCTCTACGAGGGAGCTTACCGGGATCTTGCGGCAGAAGCTTCGCAGGAGGCATCACGATTGGGGAACGCGTGCCTCACAACACAACCTGTGCCCTTTGCGGGAGAAAATATCTTCGAAGTGATCAAGCGGACGCCCGATGGCTCTTTTGCACCACCACCAGTCGATGTCCGAGAGTCAGATGTGGCATATCTTCATCACACCTCGGGCACGTCGAGCGGTGCTCCGAAACCCATTCCTCAAACGCACAGGGCAGCGATCGGGGTCCTCCCGATCCTCAACGGCGCAGGGCGCGCAACTTTCACAACAACACCGCTCTACCACGGTGGCGTTGCTGATTTATTCCGTGCTTGGACGAGCAACGCCTTGATATGGTTGTTTCCTGGCAAAGACCTTCCGATCACTGCTACAAATGTTGGCAAGTGTCTTGAAGTTGCTGCAGCCTCTGCTTCTAGCGGAACGCACCCGGAGGTAAGATATTTCTCCTCGGTACCGTACGTCCTACAGATGGTGGCAGATGACGAGGATGGCCGGAGGCATCTTCAAAGAATGGACATCGTCGGCGTTGGAGGCGCAGCTTTACCTGCTGAAGTCGGAGACAGCCTCGTCAGGGACAATGTGAATCTGGTATCACGATTCGGCAGTGCTGAATGTGGATTTCTCTTGTCTTCTCATCGGGACTACGCAAACGACAAGGAATGGCAGTATCTCAGAGCCGCATCTGGCAGAGAGCTTCTCCAGTTCGAGCCAAGAGACGACGGCCTTTCAGAACTCATAATTCAATCGGGATGGCCTCATATGGTAAGTACTAAACTCCAAATCCCTCCCATGCGGCAGAGGAATTTAACTAATAGCGGGCAGGCCAAATGCAACCGACGTGACGGCTCCTTTGCCACAGCCGACCTGTTCGCGCCGCACCCGACAATCATCAACGCATGGCGGTACCACTCGCGAGCCGACTCGCAACTGACGCTCATCACGGGCAAGAAATTCGACCCGGCACCCCTAGAAGATGCCATTCGGGCATCAGCCTCGTCTGTCGTCCAGGACGTTCTGATCTTCGGAAACGGCAGACCCTATCCTGGAGCTTTACTGTTTCCTCTCGACGTGGTCCAGATGAGCGATGAAGATCTCCTCCGTCATGTCGCGCCTGTGGTCGACGACTTGAACCGCAAGAGCCAGAGCCACGCGCGGATATCGAAAAACATGCTCATCCCCGTGGGCCATCTCGATAGGAGGCTTGAGAAGAGCAGCAAAGGCACGATCTTGAGGAATAAGGCTGAAGAAAGGTTTGCCGAGAAAATTGCCGCTGCATATGAAGATGTCCATCCGGACGGGACCGCTCCTCCTTCTTCTTCAAATGTCCCCGACGATGAAGTGCCTGCGAGAATCCGCGATATTGTCCAAAGGATCGTTGGCGAATGCCAGAGAGGCCTCGACAACGACCCCGAGGCTCTGACAGAACATACGGACCTGTTTGCATATGGAGTTGACTCGGTCGCGTGCATCCAAATCCGACATGCGCTGTCTCGACTCCTGCCTAGAGGTTCAGCCTTGCCGCTGACCGTGGTTGAAGACACAGGAACCATCGCGGGACTTAGCGACTTTGTTCTACATACACGGTCGGGGAAGGCGGGTTCCGAAATGGGGGGAAGCCAGCGAGGTGAACACGACCAACATCGGCTCATGCTCGATATGGTCGACGAGTACGGTGTCTTCGACAAGCCGCGGTCCCACCCGTCCTCTACAGCCTCGGGTTGCACCCGAACCGCGACATATTGCTCACCGCTCCATCGCCCACTAGGTCACTTGGGCATACACGCCCTTCTCACGGGCCCGACAGGCTCTCTAGGCGCACACATCCTGCACCAGCTCCTGTCCAGCCCCTACATCTCGAAGATCCATCTCCTCGTCCGCGGCGCCACATACGCAGCCTCACGCGAAAGTGTCTTGAAAGCTCTGACTTCGCGCGGTCTTCCTGTGCCAGTGTGCTTCGAATCCAAAACACAGATTCACAGCTGCAGACTTTCGGATACCAAGCTCGGATTGTCCGAGAAGGCATATGAGCAGTTGGCAGAGGAGGTGGATGTGATAATCCATCTAGCGTGGAGCGTGAACTTCCTCTTGCCCCTGCGAGCTTTTGCGGCGACTCACCTCGCCGGCACAAGAAATCTGATCAACCTCGCTCTAGCCTCGTCAGAAGGGAAAGCGGCGCCGAGATTCATATTCTGCTCGAGCGTGGCGGCCGTCTCAACATCCTCTTCGAGGTCTCCTCCGGCAATAATACCCGAAATAGTCCTCTCCGATCCGGCTGTCGCAGGCTCGACGGGCTACGCTCGTTCGAAATGGGTCGCTGAACAGATCTGCCAACGTGCCGCTCAGCAAATACCGCGGTTGAGGGACCGCATCTCCATCGCTCGGGTAGGGCAGCTGTCCGGGGCAAGTGACACGGGAGTGTGGAGCCATAGCGAAGCGTACCCTCTGATGCTGAGTAGCCTCAAGGTGACGGGGTGTCTGCCAGATCTGGACGGCGCGAAGAGGGACAGGGACGAGAGAGGAGGGGAGGTACTGGATTGGTTACCGGTTGATGTCGCCGCAAGTGCGTTTGTGCAGGATATCGTGCATCAGAGTGACCTCCCAGCATCGCTTCAAGCACAAGAAAGCGTCAAGGACGTCGCGACGGACGCAGAGAGAGACGATGCGCGGGCCGGAGACGGACTCCCGGTCCACCATATCCTCAATCCATGCACCAGGACTACCTGGTCCGACCTGCTAGCCTGGCTCTTGCGGCAGCAAGCCTTTGAAACCGTCCCCGCCGCCGAATGGCTCTCGCGCCTCTCATCCTTACAGGAGAGCAACGACGCGGAAAAGCACAACCATCCCGCCCTGAGGCTGCTGGGGTTTTGGGAGAAGGCGTACGGTGCCTTGACACCGCCATTGAGAGCTCCGGAGGGAGGAGCAGTAAAGTCCCGGGGGGCAAGGCCAGAAGAAAAGGAGGCAAAAGTTGAAGAAGAAGCCCGACGACCCGCAATACCGCGATACGAAATGGCAAAGACGTACGAGCGGATGCCCCTGCTGAGGGACTTGGAAAGAGTGGTGAACGCGGAGTACGTTTCGAGGCTGTGGCGATGGATCACGCACAATGTCTAACTGGCCTTCCTTAGGGAGACCATCCCTTCCTCCATGGTGAGCATGGAGGCTTGAGCATGACACAACAAACAGATATCACACCCGCCTTGATCACAGACCTTCGTACTGTCATTGAAAATGAGGCAAAATAGATCAGCAATTAATCCTGGGCGCATCTAACTATCATCATCGCTTTTCTTCTGTCCTATAAACATTTCATGATGCCATGAAGCATAATCTCGTCTCTACGTTTATTGTGTACACTCCAGCAGTTCAGCCTCGCAAACTCATACGTGCTGCTGCCTAGTCCTCCATACGAGTTGGCCATAGCCTTTGAGCGACGATCCCTTCTTGCGGTTCTGCAACAACTCACAGCTCGCCATGCTTCCTCTGCCCCTGGCTGTCACAATGCTGGCTGATCGGTTGCCGACGTCGTAATGGACGACAAAACGCTATCGATGTAGACCACTTGACGCTGGCGTGACGTTTGCTACCTCTGTGCATGCTACCAAAACATCCCAGCCACATTGAGGATATTGTTCCTGCGCTTCCTTCGGGTTGTAGCCGGCGGCTGATTTGTTGGAAGTGGCCTGGTAGGATGTGGAGTAAAAGATGCATAGCTCTTAGGCATCATCACAACTCAGGCATGAAGAATTTTGGATGCCCTCTCCACGGATCTACCGGATAAACATCCCCTCGGCTCTTCCCCAGAAGTTGCGCGCCTTGTTGACATGGTCCAGCCCGAGCATCTCATCTCCGTCTTGGATCAGATCGACGATGATATCGTCGTCTTCGATGTATCTCGGTTTTGCATAAAGCGTCCTCGAGATAAGCGCAAACTTGATTTGCTGCAACAATTTGCCTTTGATCCCTGTTCTCTTACTGATTCTTTCTTTGGTCTCTTTGAGGGGTTCGCCTGGTTTGAGCATAAACTTGAATGGGACACCGTGGGGTTTGTTGGCTTCTTTGTCGAAGTGGTAGCAGTAGATGAATCGGTCATCCTCGGAGGCGTTCAGTTCTTCGTCTGGGATCTTCTCGGCATATAACGTGGTAAACTCATTAACTCCAACCACGTTGAAATCCTCGATGAGTTCCTTGTGGATTTTGCCGCCATGTACTTCGAGGACCCGTAGACTGCGAGCTGTCTGTTCGTCCAGGTTGAGCTTCTTGACAATGCCGGCGATCAAATCTCCAATGATGCCGTTTTTGGCGACGAGTATTTCTAATGGTTCCTGCCCTTTGTTAGGATCATGATTCACACTCAACGGTTAGAACTCTACCTCTTTACTGATGCCGTCACTTAGCCAGATCACTTTCATTATCTTTTTGGTCTCGTAGTCAGCGAGACTTGTTTCCAAAACCTCGTAATACAATGCGTCGCCGCGATGAGTGGCATATCCACCGTAGGAGGAAAACTGTGACTGTAGGATTTGTTGGAGGTTATGGTTCATCCCGCGTTTAATCCACATTTTGATCTTGTTGTTGGTAGCGCTGATAGTGGCGAACCGAATATGAGTAGGGTCAACCTTGAGGTGCTCGCCCACCTTAGCGGAAAGTTGATCATAGGTCATCTTCTTGCTGAGGCTAAGCACGAAGGCTTCTCCTTCAGTGCCGGGTTTCGGATAAAAGCTGACCGGTATTCGGTTCAACAGGTAATCATAGTATTGCCGAGCATCGGTATATGTTGCAGTAGACAGATCAAGATCGGGGAGATTTTGTTGAAAGCAGATGATGTCGCCGTCTTGAATTTCGGATTGTTGGAAGGTTTGTTTCGGCTTCATAGCCTCGATCATTGAGAATTTGATCTCTTCAAACAGCAGAATTGGCGTAGTTGGATCCCAATGCATGATTCGATTGATTTGAGGCGCGATTTCTTGCACTTTGTCCAGTTTCTTGACATAGACATGGCCAACGCCAGTTAAAGTTTGAGCCTTGACGTCGAAATATTTGAGGAAAACCAGGATTGGGACGTTGCCGCCCACGGCTTGTGTGAGGTCTGGCCATTGGATTTTGCCGTCGTCCCCTTTCGTTCCATTTTCAGCCCACAGATAGAACGGCCTGCCTCTTGACCCGTACTTGTTCATTGCTTCTTCCATGGTTATTTCGACATCACGAATGGGTTGATCGGGGCGATTTGTTTTATTTTGTCGACCCACCATGACCCAAAACCGAACTTGATCAGACTCCAATCCAAGCTCCCCGGCGATGGTAGCGGCAAACTCGCTGATTTTGGTTGTGCGCAGGACCCGGTGGACCTGGGCACTGGCCGGATCTGATTGCTCAAGCTCATAACTCGTCAAGTCGAACCCGTGATGGGCCTGGAAACTCTTCTCCGTAATCACGCCAACATTCATATAGAGGTGAGCCTCCTCGCGCTCTTTCTTCTTTCTGGCAAGTTCCGCTTGCTCCTCGGCAATTCTGGTTTCGATGTGTGCAGGGATATCAGACTCGCTCACACTAAGGAGGACGTCGTCAAGTCTGCTCTTCCGAATATATACCAACATATACGCATTCATGGATCGTTTAGTGGAGTAGCCTCGCATGTACGGTTGCCGTTGTCCGAGGCCACCGTTGGCAACGTTGGCGTACTCTCCTCCAAAGTTTTCTTCCAGTACTTCTTTCATGGTTGATCGTGTGACTCGGTCGTCGTCGAATTTGTAGAAGTGACCATCTTTGGTGGGCTTCAGAAAAGCGTAATAGTGGCCTGCATTGAAATCGCCGCTGTGGACTAGCACGCCGTGTAATTGGTATATCCACGGTTCGGTTGAAGCAACTTTAGCTTCCTCTGATAGATAGAGAGACGCATCAAATTCTTCGGGAAACTCGTGCCTGTCGTTGACCTTCATCATCGCATCACGGTTGATGTCATATTCGAATCTCTTCAGCTGCAGGTGCAGAACAGGTGGAAAGGATTCGAAGATGACGCCCTTGCGGGCATCTTGCAGCTTGTAAGGTTCACCAGCGTCGTACTTGTTTTCGCCCTCCAGCGTCTCGACTTGGATATAGTCCATGAAGCTCTCATGCAGGTTTTTGTTGCCCCTGACATTGAGTTGGATGTCCCAGAATTCCTCTATCCTCGAAGACTCAAAGTCGACGTTTATGCACGAAATGTAAGTCTTGGTCTTTCCGACGAAAAGTTCTGGCAGAGTTCGTTCTGCAGGGGTGCCCTTCATCTTCTTCTCCAAGACCTCCATCAATATTCGCGACAGTTCTTGAACGTCTTGCTGCTCGAAAATTTGCCGAGTGTCCCAGCCAAACGATGCAGTTAACTCGTTCGTCGAGACTGCAAATCTGTCTTTTTGCAGCCTATAGAACAACCGCTGAAGTGTCCAAGCACTGTTACTCCGGTTCGCTTCCTGCTCGGTGGGGATCTGGTAGACGGCTTTGCGGAACAAGTTCGTAAAATAAAGGGATTGGAGAAGGGAGTTCAAATAGCAGGTTGCACCTTGATTCTTTAAGCCGACCATACCCGTCTCCTTCTTTGAGTCGTACCCTTCAAAATTGTGCCATAGGACACCAGTAGGGTCTTTGATGATGCGGACATAGGCCGTCAGTTTAGCTTCGTCGTTCTCCACCAAGTGACGCGACCCATCTTCCCAGGGTTGATGAAAGGCCTTCCTGAGTTCCACAAACCTTGTAAAGCCCCAGTCGCCTTCTTTTGCGTTGAACCGGTGAGTGGCGGTATGGGTTCGGTACAGGGTTGGATCGTTCGGATTCCATAGGACGAGGGCAAACTGAACGCAGGCGTACCAGTCCGGCGGTGGGTCGCCCTCGAACCCGTGTTCTAGGTAGAAGGAGGCACAGTCGACCTGGTTCCCGTATGGGAAGAAGAGCACTCTCCAGGGGTGGCCGCCACATTCAAATACTGGCCCATGCTCTCGCCGGGAAAGCGTCCGCCATTTTTCTATGTGCCAAGTATGATATGCTTCGGCTTCCACTTCGACATCGGGTAGGTCGACAAGGACATGGCGTTTCATCGTCTCGACTGCGATATTGGTCAGTTGCGGGCAAGCGGAGAGAGGGAGGAAGGGCAAGCTGTCGGGAGAACATACAGTCATCAGCCCGGGGAAGAGCTTCTGCAGGTTCCTCTGAAGCATCGTCGGGAGAGATGTTGACAACCTCGTTTTCCTGTTGGTGGTACTGGTCGTAGCCATCAATCAGCATGTCGGGCCCTGCCAACTGCAAGTCATCAAGCCGCGCGGCGAGGTCAGTATCCATGGCTGGTGAAAGATATACTGGTGCGGAAAGGAGGGCAGCGTCAACCTACGTTGTCCATGTTGAGGAGAATCTAGAGACAAGGGTGGTTTTAAAGTGAGTGGAAGAGCAGGCGAGGACGGGAGGCGGCAGCTCTTTCCTCAGGTTTCCGCAGTCAACGCTGCAAAATGGCGAGATGTGTGTCGGTGATGCAGGCAGGCTCGTCAGCAAAACAAGGGCAACCTTGCCACCAGCACGTGAACCTGGAATCTAGATAGAGCGGCAGGGCCGATGGACGGCTGTGTGCTAGAAGAATCGCGCAGGTACCTGGGGGAGAAATGAAGATGGGACACAGTATCCAAGGGTCAAATCATTCCCAGTCCATGGTCTGCAGGCTTCCAGAATAGACGTCAAATTGTTGTCTAGGCTGCACAAGCTTTTGAATGACGAATGGTGACGGCGCTCGCTGCTAAACGCCCACTCTCCGTAGCGTGAGTGACGCCCATCGAACAAGCACCTGTCATCGACATACCTACTTAACTAGGCTTTGTCCCGCTAGACAATAGTCACCAAAATGCCTCCATTGGCACGACCTCGGCGTCACTCCCAGGGTGACTATGCCTAAACCGCCTAAACCGCCTAAACCGCAGGAATGCAGTCACGACCAGGGAATTCGAATGCCAATCCCTCCCATTTTGCTCTTGGTATGACTCCATGCCCCTCTCCAAGAACCAGGACTTCACCACGACTCTTTACACCACGTTCACTGCCCATGCGCTTATTCAGACGACGGTGACGGTGGCGAGATGACCATCAATTGTCTATATGAGTCGTCGGGCCTGTCATTTGGTATGAAATGCTCCAGGTCGCTCAGTTCTCGAGGCCCCGAGCCTTGCGCCTAAACTTCTTCAGCTTTTGTGCGCGGTCCTGCAGATGGACGTCTTCTCAAGCAGGGAGAAATCCGCCTCCATGGCGGCCAGCTTCGACTTTGGATGAGTATGAGACTGTTCTCGCCGTCGCTTGTGTCAGTGATTTGCTAACAGCCATGCCGCAGTTGGGTCGACCGCCCAATTCGCCCCATCAGTCTGCGCCAGCTCTTCTTTTTTGGTCGTACCTTGACTGAAAGTCGTTTGCTCAGCTCTGCCAACTATGTCCGCATGGAACTGCCTACAAGGTTCGTTTCCTGCCAGCAAAGCGTGCAACCGCTCACCTGGTCCCAGACTTGCTCATCGCCTGCGAGATATGCAGCGTTTGCCCTATGTGGTGGTCACCAATCCGCACCTGTCATTCGTCTACGAGCTCTACTACAAGTCCTTTGAGAGTTTTCGCCGTGTCCCCGTCATCAGAACCGTGGAAGAAAATGATGCTTTTTGCAAAGTCATTGGTGACAACTTGAAGGAACATCTGGCGGTGATTCCCAATCTGGTCATGGGGGTGCTCGAGTGCCAAGACTTGGTTTCGGTGGACACAATGGACAATTTCGTGCAGGCCATGCTGCGAGCTCGAATCTCGAGACGAGTCATTGCCGAACAACACCTTGCCCTCACGGAAACATTCAACTCGCCTTGGCACGTGCCCCAACCCAGTTCTGAGAACGAGTTTGTGGGCGAGGTCCTGCTCCGATGCAACGCGAAGGAGGTTATTGAACGTTGTGGCCGGTTCACCCAAGAGATTTGCAGATCGACCGCAGGCGCTGACCCAGTGGTACCAGACATTCGAATCCAGGGTCATACGGGGGCTACATTTCCGTACGTGTTGAGTCATCTTGAATACATTGTCGGCGAGTTGTTGCGGAATTCCACACAGGCGGTCATGGACAAGTACCGGAATCCTCGAGAACCACCACCACCCATTGACGTTCTGATCTGCGAGGCACCACAGAACGTGGTTATCCGCATCTCTGACCAGGGCGGAGGCATACCCCGAGATATCATGCCCTTTTTGTGGTCCTTTAACAAAGGCCCCAGAAGCGCTTCACGGCTACAAAACTTCAGGGACGTGCCAACCCTCGCAGCCACCATGCAGGAAGTGCGATTGCATGCGGGCGACAAGCCCAGCGGGAAAATCAGAGACACTTCCCTGAGCACTTTGGCCACAAGGCCACCTGACCTCAGGCTGGGCATGGGTTTGCCAATGAGTCGTGTATACGCTGAATATTGGGCGGGCAAGCTCGAGTTACATAGTCTCGAGGGTTATGGCGTGGATGCATTCCTGCAAATCTCGAAATTGGGAAACCAGAACGAACAGCTTACATCGCGCGCCAGCATTGACGCGGTCTGAGCAGGTAGGCCATTAGAGAGGGGGGGGATGATGGTCAGTCCAAGTCTTAACTCGATGATCATTTTGCCGAACCCGTAACCAAGCAGAAATGAAGAGGCAGTCCTCGGATATTCCGCGAGGAGATGTTCAGAAGGGTTCTTCGCCTACGTACTACTGAAATCAGTCCACACAGTCACTGTAGGCAATGATTCATACAACGGCACCAAACAAAAGGACTTCGATCAGACTGTGCCAATTATCCTCCCGCTCTGCCAGCAACCGCGTAGAGATGACTCGTACGTTGCGGCTGAGCTCTCGGCTTACCAGAGCAGCTTGCTTCTTCACGGACGTCTCAAAGAAACGGGGTCTTCAATAAGGGAAGAATGTCACCCACATTCTTTCATGTCTGACTTGTAGTGTTACTGTCCGCTATTCCAGGTCATCACCGCATCATGGGAAGCCACAGAGGCCCTCGTGATGATGGTTTTAAGATGCGGATTCTCGGGAGAGATTGATCTCGACATACTCATCGGAAACCACCAGCTTCATGGTGTCGAGGGTTGTAGCTGACGTTGATTTGAATTGAGTGTCTGGGGAGAAGAAAGGGAGAGAAAATTCGAGGCATGATTTTTTTCCACGGGCAGGGAAAAGGACGAGTCGTGCCTGGAAAACACGCCTAGGGCCAAAGCGGCTAGCTGGAGCTGGGGGAAGATGGCGCAAACGGCTCATCGATTGGCGGGCTGCAGGGACGTCGAGGGTCTCTAGTCGCTGGTGTCCGCCCAGACAAATGAAAGCAACTGCGCTGCGAAGTCCAATCCAAACTGCGCTTCAAACCTTCTGATTTTGTATTCTGTGCTCCTTTGTGTCCGCAACATCTTCAAAAACGACTCCCAAAACGACTCCCGTTGATCATTCCTATAGCCCATTTACTCCTTGTGTCCATTACCACAATTGTGTTCACGAACTGTGCGCTCAGCCATTCCTGGCCTCTCTCGCTCGCGCCCGCCACCGTTGACTTTCCCTCCCTCTCCGCCTCCACCAGTCGTCTCGAACAGCCCCAACAATCACTCGTCTCTCCGCCCTTGACGTCTCCTTTAACCAGTGCCTTAGTTGACGTCGACCGGGTGTGATCCCACTGACAGACCTCCCTGCCGCCTTACCTGATCCTCTCATGGAAAACGCAAATTTATGGACCAGACGCTCCAAGTGAGTCCTTCCACAGTTCTACAATGGGGTCGCGAGGAATACCAATGGACTAATCATCCTCACAGCACTGGCAAACTATCGTTGTCTATGAGAGATCAGGAGGGCAAGGATGTCAGTAAGATAGATTCCCCTCGCTCCCACAGCAGCAGACGTTTCGGCGACACTTCGTCCCACGGCAAATCTAATCCCTTCAACGCCCTTTCCCCCTCCGCTACAAAGACCCCTTCAGCGAGCGCATCTTCAGCTTTCGGACTGGGTAGCGGGGCGTTTGCTTCCTTTGGTTCAGCAAAGACTCCAAAGACCCCTGGCGCCGGGTCAGCCTTTGATTTCTCGTCACGTGAGAAAAACGAGAAGAAAGAAAGGGACCCAGATACACCCGGAGAGACCTCAGAAGCAGAACCGTTACAAGAATCTCCAGGGTCACCTAAAACATCCTCGGAGCACCCTCTAAGAAACACGTGGAATCTCTTCTACCGCCCCCCTGCCAATAAGTTCTCCGACTACGAGAAGTCTACGCTAAAGCTAGCATCCATCAGCTCTGTGGAAAATTTCTGGACAATATACTCTCACCTCAAGCGGCCGTCTCTGCTACCTACTGTCTCCGACTACCATATTTTCAAGGACGGCATTCGTCCGGTCTGGGAGGACGAGGCTAACAAGAAGGGCGGCAAGTGGATCGTGAGATTAAAGAAAGGCGTGGCGGACCGCTACTGGGAGGATCTACTACTGGCAATCATCGGTGACCAATTCATGGAGGCAGGAGAGGAGGTTTGTGGTGCAGTTCTCAGTGTCAGAAGCGGCGAGGATGTTCTGAGTGTATGGACCAAGATTGATGGTGGTCGGAACATCAAGATTAGGTATGGAGAGAAGACGGGTTCAAAGACTATGGTGCTAACCGTGAGACAGGGAGACCATTAAACGAATATTGGCATTCCCTCCGGACACTAACATTGTGTGGAAAAGCCACGACGACAGCATTGCGCAACGATCAGCTCTGGATGAAGCCAGACACCAGAAGGTCAGTGGCGCTCCAGGCCATCCCGGAGCAGAGAGACGACGTCCAACCCTACACGAAGACTCTGAAAAGACTAGAGGCAAAGGGATATCATGATACTTGCACGGAGATGGCTTGGGATGAGACGATCCCTCTTGTAGCATTATAGCATCGACTACTGGCTTTTAAATTCCTGGATAGGATAGCTAGATTCTCCCATGGAATTCCAGCTGACTGCGGGTTGGTGCATCCAACACAACATTGTTTTGGGTCATGTCTGTGTCCTTTGTGTGGAGTGTAGCAGTTTGAGCCTTGTAGCCTTGTCTTGTGCGTGTGCGTGTTGGACTGCGGGGAAATGTTCGGATTTGGCGCTTTTTTTATGGGACTGCGCGCTCCGCAGTCACAGCAGGCGCACTTCACCCTCCCTCACATTGATACCGCGCACATACCCTTTGAACAACTACCTGGTGATGTGGTCTCGCGAAGGACGTATGGGTGGCCACGTAACAAATGACTGTCCCCTGGCGCGAGGTCGTGCACAGCACATTACAGAATCTTAGCCGGGACGGCCTCAGTTCAGCACTCAAAGCAGACAAAGGGCAGAGGGACCTAGACGACAATCCAAAAACCGCACCTCCAATCCCTCCACCTTCAAATGCCTCTCCATCGCAGTCACAGAGGGGATCAATGCCTCGAACCTCTCCTAGATCACTCACCAAGGTCGTAGGAGTCTTCCTTGGTATGCACGACAATGCCGCATGCGCCCCGATCCATGTAAGTCACCCAGCTTCATGCTCAACCCTAGAGAGGAGGCTAACAATGCTTCCACACATAGATCGAGAGTGATGACGAAGCTGCGACAGCGGAAAAGAACAGACAGATGGCAAAGACTGGTCTCCCTTCAACCCAGTACACATCCACATTCCCAGGAAAACACAAGCCATGGACTGAGCAGTTCACTTCCAGGTCTAGTGGCCCAACGCTAGGACAGAGTACTCCGTGGTCGGAGCCAAGAGACGAGGCCAGGATTAAGGGAGGATTGGTGTATGTCCCAAGTGCATATCAAGGGAACAGACTGCTGAAAATATCGCGTAGTAGGCGGGACCCCAGCGCTGTACGAGTCGAAGACTCAATGAAGAAGAAGCCTTTCAAAGTACGCGACCCTTCCCTTCAAGCTTGGGGCCTCTGACAATATATCCAGACTCCTACGGGGCCTTACAGACCATATGATACCTTGACCGCAAGATCGGATTTTCTTCAGCAAAGGGCATCTCGGGCTCGAGCCACAGTAAACGCCCCCAGGACGAAGTTGCTTGCTAAGGACGACGTGCATGCCAATGACCACAGTACACCGAATAAGAAGCGCAAGATCGGAGACGAGCGAGGGTCCGGAAGTTCTGCTGCCTCAACCATCCCTCTCCAGGACAGTCAGAATCCGGACGACTCTGAAGATGAACTTGGGCTGGACTCGAAGCCCGCCGATGGCAAGTGGTGTGGAAAGACCCAGCAACCCAGTAACTTGAATGATACGGAACAAAATTGCGTGCCCCCACTAGGAAGTCGAAACAATGCCCACGATGCCCAGGTCAATCAGGTCGACCGCTCATCGCCCGAGGACGAATGCGCTTTCACTAAAGGCACCGCACAGCAGAGGAAAGCCGAGAAAGATAAAATACTGGAAAGCCCTTCAGATTCCCCGAAGCAGGCTTCGGCCCAGCCTCGCACCTCGCCATACTTTACGTTACCACGGACCAGGACCACAGAGAGCAGCGGGAAGAAGCATAATCGGAGAAGGAATTCAACATCAGAGAGTCCGGATGCTCTGCAGAGTGCGGAGACTCTGTCTACCCTGGCCCAACGAGTGCTGATCAATGCAGCCTATCCTAATATGAAAACCAAGGACCTAGGAGACCTGATTTTAGGGAGCAACTCCAACTCCAGTGCTGTGACTAACAAGCTGTCGAGCGCCTATGTGAAAAAACCAGTCAACTCGAAGACGTCCTTTGCTCTCGAAGAACTTGTGTACAGAGATCTTCTCGATACTTCAGGCTACATAATTGAGCTCGACAGGGCGACGAGGGAGGTGGTAATCAATATGAAAGATCCGCTGTTGGGCGACGAACCTCTTTCCATGCCCCGTGGCTTCAACCAAATTCGCAAACTCGAACTTGGAGACAATCAATCTCCTCTAGTAACGCTCCACTTTTCTCGAACCGTCATGGCGTCAGAAAAGATGTATCTCAGATTGGAATCTCACGAAGCGGCTGTCGACTTCGTTAACTTTCTGCAGGATGCACAGAAGAAGCTGAAAGTGAAGACCAAGGAGGAGTAAGTACTTTGCACTTGTAAGACTGAGGTCTGTCTGACTTTGTCTAGTCACTGGATGGAGCTGGCCTTTGAAAAAGCCAAAAGTGGAGTTTCCGAACACAAGGAGGGAGCTTTGATAAAGACTCATCGAACGATGGCAGCGTCTACTGAAAAATCGGAGCCTTCGAATACAACAGGACCAGGCATCAGCAAGAAACGTGTCCGACTTGTCGACGCATTGGATGCACCTGTTGATGTCTCACAACATCCCACCGTGACACCAGCCGCAGGTCGAAGGACGGCTGTGTCCGAAATGGACGCCACGCTACAGGCGGCCCAAAATAGAGCATCTCCTAAGGAATCGACCCATTTAGTTCTACCAGAAGTTAGCCACCCACGAGCCGATAAGGAACAGTCCGGCGATGGACTGAAACAGAACGAATCCTCACCCAAACCAAAGGCATCGCAAACTGGAACTCTAGTCAGACGTTGGACTAAGGACCTCGTCTACCCGCAACCGGGGCGGAGAGCTGCAGTAGTCCCATTCGAAGATCTAAGACGACTCAATGATGATGAATTTCTGAACGATAATCTGATTTCATTTTTCATGAGGTATCTGGAAACCCACATGGAGAAGAGCAAACCCGAACTCTACAAGAGGATCCATTTCTTCAACACCTATTTCTATGAGGCCCTGTCCAAGACGAAGGGTAGGAAGAGCGGCATCAATTATGATGCTGTCAGTCGATGGACCAAAAATATCAACCTCTTCAGCCGCGACTTTATAGTTGTGCCAGTCAACGAGAATTTTCACTGGTATCTCGCCATAATCTGTAACCTACCGTACTTTCTCGGAGACCGGAAAGCAAAGAGCGGATGGTCCGAGGAACTGCAATCGAGCGACCAGCAGAGTGAGGAGGGAGAGCGCCGGGTTGAACTGCCGACCGACGAGACCCAGAGAACGCTGGCCGAACTGTCACTCAGTGATGACGAGGAAAATAGCCAAGACCGAACCACGAAAAGACCTGGCCGACGGAAATTGGTTCGCAGATCACTGCCAAAGTATGAGGTAACCAAACCTGTCATTATCACGTTGGATTCTCTTGGACTCTCACGAGCAGCGACATGTGCACTGCTCAAACAATATGTAGTATTGGAGGCCCGGGACAAGCGAAATATGAACATTGACGTGAGTGAACTAAGGGGAATGACGGCCAAGGAAATCCCTACTCAGAACAACTTCAGTGACTGTGGGCTTTATCTGTGCGTGTACCTGGAACAATTTGTCGCTGACCCGTACAATTTTGTCCGCCGAATCCTTCAGCGGGAAGAGAATGCACAACAATGGCCGCGCCGAATTCACAGCGAGGACCTAAGGTCAAGACTGCTCGAATTGATCTTGGAAATGCATCGGCGGCAAGAAAAGCAACCCTCGGAGATGGAGGAGCCGTCTATTGGAAGCATCTTGATCAATAAACAAGAGGTCTCTCGCTCGCCGCCGCTAACTCAAGGTTCACTCACAAGGCAAAACATTCAAGAAGCGCAGAAGAGGTTCGAAGGCGTGGTACGCAGTCATCCGTCTGGCTCAGGGGATGATTTTGAGAGTGTATCTCCAGATGCTGAAGTGAGATCTATGAAGACAAAGAATACCGTGGCAGAGAGTTCAGAGACTCGAGGTTCTGTGAACGAGGACGGGAATGGCGGGGCCTACGAACAGATGTCACCAGCACCAGCTGTGCCCACGTGGGACACCAGACTTACCCGGAAGTCACGCACCGAACCCTCTCGTCTGCAGGCACAAGTCCGTGCGTCTCCTCCACCACGAGATGTTCGCCCTGCACTAAACAAGAATTCCGTCTCGCATATGACAGTCACGAAACAGGCGGCAGAAATTGACCCCGAAAATGCTGGACCCTACGCGAACAAAAGACGGAAGCTAAATGATGAAGATGACTTTGACGTAAGAAGGTCGAGATCGCCGAGTCGGACAAGTGAGTTGACAGATTACCTTTCCGGGGCTGCTGGGGTCAGAACTTATCTCTATGGGATAGACGAGTACCCTGCACGGGACGAGAACAGAGAGTGGAAGAGTCCTAGTCATGAACCAGAAGTCATCGCTGAGAGGAAAGTTGTGCCCAACACAGAAACATCCCTTTTAGGCAAGCGGAAGAAGCCAGCTGCAAAAGCGACAGCTCCCAATACTGCATCCGAGTACAAGGAATTTGTCGGGTTGGAGTCGAGGAGGGGAACGCCATTATCGCCTGCCTATAGGGAGGCCGGGGCCGGTCGAGCACGGGCGAGAATGGGAAGGTATGATGGCGGCGAGGATGGCGAGATGCTCCTCAAGATGTGAGACGGCATGCATCAAAGAAATATGGACAATATGGGAGACTATGCCAATCACGGCTCCTGGGTTCTAATGCTGTTTGGGAATGCACCTCGCTGCTGCACTGGTGGCAACTAGTTATCAATGCCATGGGCTCAGTCCAAGAGACAATTGAACGATTATGAAGGGATATTTTACAGGTAACGGCATGCCATGACAGCCAATAAGGCTTTTCTAGGCGTTTGATTGTGTGATTCTTCCCATCTTTGTTTCTATTTTCAGTTCGCAACGGCATGGATATGTGAAGCACGGCCCGCTGGCAGACAAGACAGCCTAGCCCAGTACGTGCCGAAGTGTCTGGCTGAAACAACGCATGATAATGCTGATGATGGTGGAGTCCTTCCGTGGCAGAGGACGGAGCCCGGAGCCTTGTCGACGGAGTCCTCCGCTGTGATCTTGCGCGTTAGGAGGCACGCATCCCTCATATTGGCCAGCGAGGTAGTTCCCCCAAAGCCGATCAGCGGGCACGGCAAATGGGATTGGCAACCGATTTGGAAATCCCCCTTCATCACGATGCAAGAGAACTACCGTGGTAGGTACGCAAATGTGGTGCGTTGTCAACATGCCTGACGCTCCGCAAGGCTTCGATAACCCTGATTGAGTTGCTCCTGGTACGAGCCTGGAGCGCCCTAGTATTCCCTGTACTAATGGACCGAATTCTGTCGGTGGAGCAAAAGGCAGTTCTAGCTCTAACACCCTACTTGACCCTATTAACCGCAAATGGATCATGCCCTAAATTGGCGGGTGCTCATGCGGCGCCATCCGTCAGTATCAAGATTTCTACCGGGCGATGATCTTTCACCTTGCGCTTTTTCCTCGTCTCCAAGGAACGCCAATGGTGGGCTATGATGCTGGTTCTTCCGGATGAAGAATGACTCGTTTGCGACAGGACGAAGAACCCCGCTTCATAACAATACAACACGCACGATGAGACATAGTCGTCCTGCCGCTGCCCGCAGCTGCACTATACAGACCCGTGCACAGGCCTATACCACACATACCCTTGTGGCGGAACAAAGTCCACCGCCCCAGCGTCTTTCTGCACCATTCTGAGGGAGAAATGCGCCATATCAGACTTCTTCCTAAGACTGTCAAATTCATCGTCAGTCGGCCGATATCTCAAGGCGGCAGAGAGGAATTTGGTTGTGGATCTGTGCTTCGACACGATGTAGAATCCGAGGCCCACGCGAAGAAAGACACAAAGTGAACCAAAAATCACAACGACCATACCGACCCTAAATGTGTGCGATGAGTGGCCGTATGCCCAGACTCGGAGCCTTCGCGACATAGCTAGACGCGGATGCAGCGCATCGTCTCCTGCAGGAGCGTCGGTAGCATTCAGCGTTGTGAAGTCCACTAACGTCAAGGCATGGAGCAATGACCCTGCGTGTAGGTTAGAGATTGCAACTAATCCGGGGTCTTCACCGAATGTCTGAGGCGGTTGTGTGGAGGCGGCCGTTTGCAGTGCGTTGACCAGATTCGATGCTGCCGCGCTGTTGCCATCCACCGTACCAAATCGGGGCACTGCCCAGGCTGCAAGCACCCAGTCGGGATGAAAGGCAATGGGCTGCTGCTTCTCAACTAGGTCACCAGCTGGCGAAATCAGACTGACCAGACCAAGCGAATTCGTCTCGGGAGAAATGTCGATATTGTACCAAACGGTGGCGAGATAAGTATTGCTATAGCACACGAGCGTGGCATTGGTAACGCCTGGCTGTGATAAGACATACTCGATGTATTGTTGTTGACTTGCCAGGTTGATTGTGGCACCTGGGGATTTTCCAGAAAACAGAAGATCCCAGTCGCAAGGTTGAGTGCCTTCACTCTGGAAGACACATGAGAAAGATTCCTCCCCCAGGAGTATGCTCTCAGTCTCTGCGTAGGCGCCGACTGAGACATTTGCCTTTGGCGTGCTGGCGATGCCTCCGATAAGGAAATGGGAGTTCACTAGGCTGGCATTGTTCCACCCGAGACCAACGCGGATACACTGGTATCCGTTGTAGACTCCATCAATAGACCAGTTGAAATAATAGCAGCGCACAGATTTCGCCTCCGAGACAACGATCTCCGTGGCATTTCCCCTAGCGCAGCGCGATACCATTGTTCCGAGGCTGGGTCCCTGGCGTGACAGCGAGACGTCGAGCACATTCCGGTAGGAGTTGTAGAGAGCTTCGTCGAGATTTCGGTTCCATGCTGCGGCGATAGACCTCGCTTCTTCGAACGTTCTATTGGCAACTTGGGTTGCTTGGAACTCAACATAGTCATTAGACATTTCTCGTATGACCTGGCGGTTCGGTGCCCATACAATCGACTCACTAGCCAAAATTGTATTGTTGAAGGCGAATGACAAGCCACTCTCGCGGAAGATACCGAGATTCACACCATAACCTTGCTGATACTCTTGAAGGCCAAATAATATGGCTGATGATAGGGCATCCAGTGTTGGTAGGTAGTAATCTGTACAAGTGTAATTGCCACTTGCTAGCGATGAAGCATCACAGCCAGGTGCAACCGCAGGATTGCTTGGAGGATCCGACGCCGCTATCTCCCTCAATCTTTCGGCACCGGGAACGGTACTCTCCGACCATCCTAACGTCGGGATCACCAGTACAGCGGTAGCGGGGCCCATGAGGTTGCAGGCGATGCACAAAAGGGCAACCAAGACTGCAAACAAGGCAAGACTTCCTCTCCTCCGACGACTGAAGAGGCCGGACGACGTCCAGAATGTATGGCTGAAAATCGTCGATATGTCTCCAAATTCTACATGCGTCAAAAGGTACGCCATCGGAAGTCCCGTGCCCTGCCGGCCCAGCAGCATTGTCAAGTCATATATCAAGCTTGTGGCCACAATGCTGAACCAGACCTCGAGTGCTTTGGCCACAAGTTGCAACGCGCCCAGGATTTCGTGGTCGCTTTGATCCAGCTTGGCCGCCCTCGACGAGGTATCAGACCGGTCGGTGCCCAAGAGGCCGATGTAGCAGTGGTCTTTGCGCCATTTGAGGCGGCAACCAACGCCGGCACCGACAGTCCAGTTGTTGTAGTTCAGGATGAGGAGGATAGCAATGGGGACGACCCAGGCAAGACAGAAGAGGTCGAACAACCTTCTCAAGAGGTCAGCGGATAGCTTGTACCGGCGATCGGATTCGAAGGTAGCGGCGTTGGTAGCGGCTACCATAGGAGAGTTCGAGAAAAGCGGTCTGTTCATCTGTCCCAGGTCATATTGGTCAGTTATTGCCCTCTTGGACACAGCGACAGATGTCATAACGGATGACTATTAGGTGTTCAGCAAGCACACGTTAAACCATGAGGCCTCTTCAAAGGTTAGACAAAGGAGCATTCTCTAGATACGCAAGTCCGCAGAAAAGTCACAGCCGGGGGATAGGTTTGATAGAGAGCGGGCAACCGCTGGGAGAAGGGGCAAAGGCACTGGGATAACAGGACCGGCAGAGGTAAGACTTTCCATCTCCTGAGCATTGCAAGTTTGTGGTCGACGTATTCGGGACCTCTGTGATAGGGCATACTATGCAGCATGCCTTGCGATGTTGCCTGTCGCTGCAGGTTAGCCTGGCGTCCATTCCCTCTTCAATGGCGTCCAGAACAGGCTTTCATGCTTCTGGATAGGTCTTCCGTGCTAAGCAACGAGTCAAAGGTTATCTTGCCCTGAAGCTTTCTTGGATACGAGTTCCGGCCCCACGAGTAGGATTGGGGGCCGCGAAACACGAGCAAGGCTATCTGGTCTCTGCGTTCGAGTTGAGATAGCCAGTCAACGCCAGAAACATAACCGCTTGCCCCAACAGCTTTTACCAAATCGGCCACTGTGAGACTTCTTCCAACTACATAGCCACATCACAAAATCAAGCAGCATAGTGGCAGCATACAAGCAGTACACTCTCGCAGGCCCCAGCGCGCAAGGCTATAACGTGGTAGTTGTTTAGCTTGGCATAGGTGTGTGGTCTACTATCCTGAACAAATATGCGTCAATCGTAATCATGGTATGAATGACTCAAAGGGCAATGCATAAACCGGCATGACTCTTCGTCCCCACCCGTACGCTGCCGTAGAGTCCGCTCTGCACGAGACATTATTGTTGAACTTGATGCAGGTCGACTTTAGGAATGGAATAGAGATACATAGCAGGGCCCGTGACAAAGAATCGTTCAAGCACCATGACGACTCTGGGATGATAGCAAAACAGTCTTCGGTACACCTTCTATCCTCTCAGGCTAGTGGGCTAACAGCCAGGCCTTCCCCGGTATGATACGAGGTGCCATCCCATCTAGCACATGCATGTGACCAGCGGGGCAATATTAACAGCAATGATTTCCACTGGCGGATCTAGTCTGGGGCATGTTTTTCACACCTCGTTATCAACGCTCTTCGCTTCCTGGATTTTGTCCACCTTCTCCACCGTCGCCTCGATGCGATCCGTCATAAGCTTCTTGACCTCCTTCAAAAAGGCGACGGCGACAATGGCGAGCGCGGTGAAGGGAATTATACTAGACCACGCCAGACGGTATGCGTGCGCGTATGTCCAGTGGCCCGCACTCACTGCTTCGGCGAGGATAGGATCCGTGAGCCCCTCAATCGAGTTCAGCAGGGTTTTATTCCCGCTGCGGATGCCGATGATGAGGTCTGGTACGGAGGAGGACGGCAGACCGGCGTCGATGGCGGCGCCTCCAACGTCCTTGGCATAATGCGACGACAGGTACCCGTTGATGATGGAGTTAAGGACTGCGGCGCCAAATGCGCCACCGATCGCGCGGGAGGTGAACGCTAGACCAGTGGCGGTAGAAAGAAACGCGTGAGGAGCGGTAAATTGCACCGTGGCCACAATGAGCGTGAGCGGCCCGGACTGGCCGATGCCACAGAGAACGTTGAAGACATATTGGACGTTCGCCCAGGAAGGACGGATGTTTGCATAGAGGATGGTGACGATCAAAAACAGGGTGAAGGTCACCACAAGCGGCCACTTGAGGTCTTTGTAGCGTGTGGCATACCACCTGCGCCAGTGTCAAAAGCGAATCAGGTCCGGAGGGGACAGGACGGACATACGTGATTGGGATGGAGGTAACAAGGATCGGCACTTGATAAGACATCTGACGCACCGCAATATCCCACGAGTTATTTTCGAAACCAAGATTAAGGACAAGTTGAGGCGTGATGGCGTTGACAGCGGAATAGTAGACCCATCTGTGGTCCCAGTCAGCTTCCTAGCTCATGCCACAATTTAGCCACAGCATCAAGTGCTCACCCCTCGACAGCGAAGGCAAATATAGCCAGGGAAAAGTTGGGGCCACCCTTGAAAAAGACGTGGGCGATGATGCCGTCGTTGCGGCCCTTCCATTCTACTTCAAGTCAGCGTCGAAGGCTGGAAGAGCGGTAGGAAATTAGACGGCGGGGAACACTTGCCGTAAACACAAAACAGAACCAAAACGACGCAACCAACAGTCAGAGGGGCTACTACTTGGCCGCTGGCCCAAGGGTAACGGCTCCCACCCCAGTTGAGGGACAAGAGCATTAATGTAGTACTGACAATGAAGAGGCCAGAGCCGATAGGGTCGATGGCCCAGAACATCTGACGCAAGGTCATTCGTGGGTAGTCGGAGCGGCGCTGAGGCCAGTAGAAGGCGAGGAACCCCAGAGCGGTTGTCAAGTGGAATGCAACCTGCATCCAGAAGATGTAGCGCCAACCTGAGGCTGAGATGTTGGTGACCGCACCAGCCCCGAGCTTACCGACGCTGTTACACGCTATCAGCTTATTTTGTAGTAGGTGAAGAGAGAAAACAGACGGAAACGGGGGGGGGGGAGGTCTACTCACAGGCTTCCTACAGCGCCTCCCACGAATGCCATGCCGTTCGCAAGAGGGCGGTACTTCATGGGCAGGACCTCGGAGGGAATGGACTGCACAATGGAAATGCAGGCGAGAGTGGTGCCAATTAGAATACCCCCGCCGATAAGCATAGACATGTCCTTCGATAGGGCGCAGACGACGGCTCCGCCGGCGGCGATGATGGGCGGGATGCTCACCATCCACTTGCGGTCTAGAACATCTGAGAGACGGCCGACAATTGGTGACAGGACGCTCTGCATTAACAACGGGCCCTGTAGAAGGACGAGGTTAGATAGAACAGGATCCATTTGAAACACGTAAACACTATGTTGTCGACGAACCTGGATGATCCACGTCGAATTTGGGGCGTCTCCTATGTCACGGACGATGAAGGCGATGACAGATGTGGCCGCCGCGACGACGAAGACTTGGGTCGTAATGCTGGCGAAACGTCAAAATGGCTGATATGCAGACAAGAAAGGAGCCTTGACTAGCGGGGGGAAGAGTGAAAGGAGGAGGGGGACAGTTCCATACGCGAAGCAGGAGATGAAGACAACAACCCAAGTCTTCCAGGAAAGCTTCACTTTAACCGCTTCCGGTGAAGGGATCTGGATTTGCTCGCTGGCAGTCTTCTCGTGATGTTGCGAGGAGTCTATCACCTCTACGGGCTCGACCCGAAACTCTTCGGACTTGCTGTCGGTGGTAGCCATTGTCAACACGAATGGGAGAACCTAGGAGTCCTGAAGCTGGCGAGGAGGCGGTGGACAACCGTGGTTATATATTCCGCCTACGGCATGCATCGGCAGTTGTATAGACGTTCAGCGGTCAACCGCCAAGAGTGCCATATTGGCCTCCTATCCGATGCCGCTTGCTTGGCACATAGACTCTGGCGGAGGAATGTCCCACAATTTTGGGGTAGAGGCCCTGGTTGTATAAAGCTGCGAAGAGTATGCTGGCGAGGGTTGGCTAAAAGGATCCCCGCATTTTCTTGGCCGAATACCCCGCATTTCGGCAGAAGAGGAAACAATGCAATGTTGATGCCAGGTTGGCCAGGGTAGGAGATGGGAGAGATGGGAGAGATGGGAGAGATGGACCGTCAGTCACACGACAGGATCGGTAGCTGTCAGTACGGCCAGAACAAGAGCAGGGGGTGACGCCACAGCACACCGAAAGGACAGAGAAACTTTTGAAACGGTAAGGATTGCATATTCACGAGAATCTAAGCTGAAGAAAAAAGAAAAGAAGAAAAAGAAGTCATTTACCCAGTATCGTGCTGTCTGCATCTGCACCCCGGACTCGGTACTGGGTATTATACCTACAGTAGTACATACTTGGACTGGTAGTTGGATGGGGAAGGCAGGTGCACCGAGCAAGACCGAGGCACGGCTTGGCATAGCGCCCCTGCTTAGCCTTCTCCACCCACTCTTCCCCTCATCTTTTCTCTCTTCTCTTCTCTCAGAGACAGCCACCGAACAGCCCACCAAAAAAATAGATAGCTACTCTAGCTAGTCATTGATTGAGCTCTTGCAGCCAATTCCTTGCCATTGTGGCGCTGCTCTTCCTCCTTTGCTCCTTCGCTATCCAAAGTTGTGGAGGGATGGAAGGGATACGCCATCAACCAGCCCTTATCTTTGATTTCCGATTTGAGGATCGTTGTGTTCTTGTATACTCCTTCTATTGTAACAAGGCAAAGTGGCTGTGCTGGGCTGGGCTGGTAGGGGGGAGTGCTGAACAGTTTTACAGTGCTGGCAGAGTGCCATTCTTTACAGTTTGAGAAGAGTATCATGAATCCCATGGTTTTTTGGTGCCGTCTACCTATTTTCTAAGTGTTTATCGGTCCTGTCCCAGCTCTTCAATGCCGCCGCCGTGCTAGGCGTTCGTTGCCCTAGCCACTGCCTCTCTGGGGGTGGTGTTGGTGGTGGTGTTGGTGGTGGTGTTGGTGGTGGTGTTGCCTTGTCAGCGCCAACTAGAAACGCGTTCTCGTTCCGTTGTTGCACGTGCACGCCGAAACCCCGAAGTGCTCTGTTACACTATGTTGCTAGCCTCATGGCAAAGTGGCAATATAGCTTCGACTCGTGAGAGTGGTGCCTTGAACTCTCTCCCCCCTCTCAAATTTTACCCGAGGGAGCGAGCGCTCCAGATGTACTCCAAAACCGCCAACGATTCAAGGACTCTAGACCTAATAATCTCTCCATCGCCGTGCAGTGAGTCGAATGACCAAGATCATAAATTTCAAAGACTCAGAGCGAGCGCAAGTGAAGTGTCCCCGCGCATACGGTAGAGTCTAGGGTCGCGGTCTCGGATCTCTCTGCAGCATGGGACTTGGCCGGCAGATCGCATGCTGTCGGTTCTCGCTCCTTACGCGGTATCGGATAGAGAGTCCGATGGCTAAGTCCTTCGAAACTTGTAGGGTGTGAGATCTCTTTGACGAGGAAGACTGTGCGCGAAGTTGATCGTTTGGGAAGGGAAGGGCCAGGGGAGAATTCCCGAGAGGCGAAGTCGTTAGTGGGTTAAGCCGCCCTATCTCATTTCTGTAAGTGGCACCTCGATTTTCCCCTTATGCTTGCTTGCCGGCTTGTACTGGGTACCTGGAACTCTTGGACTTTGAATGCGGATTGAGAGTATCTTCTCATTGACAACCTACGTCCAGTGACATTTCGTACACCAATGAGCAATTGCAATAAATCACGTGCGCCGACAGCTGAAATCTCAGACAAGGGACAAGGCAGAACCGGACCATGTCGATTCGGCATTATTATAGTCACTCGAGCTAGCCAGGGGTGAGAAGGGGCGGCGTCACTCCAGACAGGAAGAGGGGTCCAGCTGGCCATGAATTTGCCATTCCCAGGCAAGATTTCCACACCACGATTTAATTCGAGACGAGTACTCAAACTTCCTTAAATATCAGCTCGCACTTCCCTCCGACTGGAACGAGAAGAAAATGATCCTTTGTTGCCATGGACTCCTCCGTGGTCGACGGGGCAGGCACACACTCGAACCGCCGCGCCAGATGTGCTGTGATCAGTTTCAACTCCATCATTGCCAGATTCTTCCCCAGGCATGCTCTCGTTCCCTTCGAAAACGGCATGAAGAGCTCCTTCATCTCATACGAGATATTCTTGGGGTCCACCCACCTCTCGGGCGCGAAGCGTTCCGGGTCTGGGAAAACTGCCGGATCACGGTGCGTCGTATAGCATTGCATAGACACAATTGTCTGGTAAGGATCAGCGCCAATCACTCATATCCCCGCTGTTCCTTACCTTTCCAGGAATAAAAAAGCCGTTCAGCTCTTTGCCGCCCGCGGGTGTCTCTCTGGGGAGACTCGCAGGTGCCGCTGGATGCAGCCGAAGAGCTTCGTTGATTACTGCTTCAAGCACAGAAAGGTCCTGAATTTGTTGGAAGGTGGGCGAGCCGTCAGTGTGAGCCAGCAGTTCCTCCCGCAATCGCTTCTGCCAGATTTGGCTACGGGAAAGCTCCCAGAACAAGAACGTCAGAGTGGTGCTTGTGGTGTCTCCATGCGATCAGCGACACTTTTTGCTGGACTCATGTGCGTGGCGGCGGCCTACCTGTACCGGCAAAGATGAGATTGCCAATCTCGAGTGATGTTTCTTTATCACTCAGTTGGTTATCCCCAGTCTCGGCTTTGGCTGAAAGGATCTTTGTCAAAAGATCTCGGCGTCCTGAACTCCGTCCATGTTGGTCAACATAGCGGCGGAAAGCCTGTTCTCCATACTATGGGAGAGAGGTGAGCGGCATGGCCTTTGGTATATTACCGTTGATGAAGAATATGGTACTCACATCTGCTAGTCTCTGCATTGCGCCCAGAAAATATCGAACGGAAGGCAAAGGAATCCATAGGATCAGTCGTGCGAGCCAGGGGTTGTTCCATTGCAGATCGGCCAAGATAAAAAACATTTCAATGTCACTCAAAAATTGAGGGGTCACACCTGACTCGAGCCCGCCAAACGACTGGCCTAGAAAGAGTTCTCCTGAAGGTAGGTCAGGCATGCTAGGGAATCAATGGTGTTTCTCATACCGACGACGTCAAAGGCTGTCAGCCTGAACCAGTTGAGCATATCTATGGGAGTACCTGCATTTCTCTGCAGTACATCCAGCAAAGTCTCTATCTGTTTCTGTATGAGAGGCTCGCATTCCTGCAGATTTGATTGGGAAAAGGCGTGGCTGAGCAGCCTCCTCCGTTGACTGTGCTGAATCTTGTCTCTCATACTGAAAACCCCGTTCTGAAATCCGCTCGAAAGTCGTGTCAGCAATCGGATTTATCAGAATGAGGGACTGTGTCGCCGAGAGAATGACACAATTTGGAAATCAACTTACTGGCGGCATGGTCATTGACTCGTAGACGGGAGCTTTCATGAAGCTCGTCCCTTGGCCGTAGATTTCTCTTACATTCGAGATGTCGGCCAAGGAGATTTCGTCGGGTCCAATCAACACTGTCGAGCCGTAGCGCTGATGCAACCGGTTGATGGTGGATGTGCGGTTGCCTGCCAGGTCAACGAATCTCAGCCACAATGGCGTCAATCGTGCCACAAAGGGCCCAGGTATCTTGCACAAAGGCGAGAAGAACAAGGCGTACACCACCTGGGACGAGGTTAGCCTTTCGAGAGGTTATTCTGAGGTAATTGAACAATTACCTTCGACACAAGCCACCCTGCCATCAGCACAACTCCGAGCGCCGTCAATTTACTCAGAGAGAAGCCCATTTCCTCTAGCTATGCCCTGCGCTAGCAGCCAGTGAAGTTTCTCTTGTACAAGACTGGGAGGGAAGTAGTAAGGACAAATACAACTTTCTTTCAACACCCAAGAGCAAAAAAATGGCAATGCCAGTAGCTAAAATTGCACAGCTAGCAATTATAGCAATGTATTCGATTCTCTTCCAACAAAGACACTCCATCTTTACTCCACGGCTACCGCTGGTGCCGAGAAAACGTATAATCAACCCCGAAGTCCCACGTCTGTCCATACTGGGGCAGATCCGAAGAGCTGGTGGATCAAATGACTATGCCAAAGAAGGTATCGACCGTTTTGACCTCGGGCCGGACGAAGTAACCATCGTTCAACTAGGTTCTCTGAACAGCAGATACCACCTTGTTCTCAGATGAATTTGCGACTCTCTCGCCGTGCAAGTGGCGTACAGTACCAGGCTTGGCTTTTCCTGCTGAGTCGGCACGAGAGGATCTGAATGCTATCACCGCCCATTCAACTTTCAACGACCAGAGCAATATTATCATAGTTCTACCTACGTTGCTCAATTCTGGGAGAATCCTGGATGCCCGTTGAATTTTACCCCATCTCGCCAAATTCCTCTGATATTAAGCAGATCGGTTATGTCGACCGAGGGATTCCCTTCAACAAGCAGTAAATCTGCCTTTAACCCAGCAGCTATTCTTCCTCTGTCTGACCATCCGAAACGATCGGCGGTCACGCTTGTGGTGGCTCTCAATACCTCAATGGGTGACAACCCAGCCTTGTTCACCAGTAAATACATTTCAATGTGTAGATTGGCTCCAAACACTAGACCTGGAGCTCCTGCTGCCGCGTCCGAGCCACTGAATTGACAGAGTTAGCATCCGATGTGGCGAATGAGACTGGGTCTTACCAGATAATGTCAACCCCAGCCGCTTTCAATTGTCGCACGCTATCAATGGCGTATTCCCATTTCGCTCCTGGCGACTTCATATGCAAGCAGTCATGAATCAACTGTACGTCTTCGGTCGAGACCCTACTTTTGACCCGTTCGTCTTCCGAAAAGGATTTGAGAATCTCCTTCGACTCACAGGTCAGAGACCCTGCGGCCACTAGTGTCGGATTGACCCAGGCATTGTTACGCTTGTACAGGTCAATGACCTCCGGGGTGATGGGCTCATCGAAGAATGTGTGCGCGAGGCCGTCCACGCCTGCCCTTAATACTTCTAAGGTGTCCTTGAGCGACAAGGCATGAGCGACGACTTTAAGTCCGCGCTCGTGTGCCGCGCGGACTATTGCCGCTTGTACTGCCTCTCGCGGCTGGACAATCAGACCTTTTTTAATCCCGATAGCCCTGCCAGCTTCGTGCATCAACTTGATGTAATCGGAACCATTGCGAATGGCCGTCTCAATGAAAGGTTCAGCGTCGTCCTCCGTCGCCACGTTTGGCCAATCGTCGTAAGTAGCAAACTGAAAATATCAGCCCTGGCACGGAACCTCTCAGAACCATTGATTCCACCCACCTCATTGTTACTCAACCTCTTTTCGACCCACGCAGGCCATCCGCCTTCGATGGTCGCGGAAAAATGGCAGCTCTTGATATCCGGGAAATCCTTTCTTTCCTTTGCCCATTGCTTCTGTTGGACCGCGTTGTCATGTAAATTGTGCATGTCCATTAAAGTGGTGATTCCAAATCGAAATGCTTGCTCCGAGAGCCTGGATTCTCGATACGGATGACTGTGCGCATCGATCAGGCCTGGGAGTAAGGTGTGGCCCGGTTTTGAAAAGATTAGAAGACCAGACTTTTCGATGTCTTGTTGGACTTGCTTGATGATGCCATCTTCGACGAGGACGCTGCTATCCTCGTGTATATTCTCGCCGTCAAACAGGCGCACGTTTTTAATGATGAAGGAGTTCATGATGAAGACAGTCGCCGGAATATTTCGACTCTTGGAGTACTGAAATTACTTCCTGGACATAAACTTATGTTGTTCTGTAATTGCCAACAATTCGAGACATTGGTTTGGTGAGTAGACTGTTGTTGCTGCTACTGTCGAGAGGGAGGCTTACCACGGAAAGGTGTATTGCCCACCTATCGACACCCTTCATAACGTGCAACCGAATTTCTCGGACCGGCCTTGGATACCTCCTATTCCGAAGTTTGCCTCCCCTACAAATCCGAGCCCGAGCTCCACCTGGGGCAAGGCTTTGAACCGAAAAGCGAGGAGAAGTCATCCGAATCAACATCAAGATGACTTTGTCCCGTCGAAGAAGTTACTACTCTGCGATAGAATAATCTTCGAAGGAATAACTCACATCGAATCAAACATGGGATCAATCACCGACAAGGACAGCACAAAGCATAGCGTCGAAGTACAAATGTCTCCAAGACCAAGTCCCATTGGTCTCGCGCATATCGTTCTCCGCTCCACGCCAACCAGCTATCGCAAAATGGTCACATTCTACCAGGAATTGCTCAACGGCGAGATCATCCTGGAAGAGAAGACGTTCGCGTTCCTCCGCTACGACTACGAACACCACCGCGTCGGCATCCTCATGACACCCGAGACACAAGCCAAAGATGGCTCCGACGTTGCTGGTCTCGAGCACGTTTCTTTCACGTTTGCAACTTTGACGGCCATGGCGAGGGTGTACCAGCATCTCAAAAGCCTGGGCCATGAGCCGTATTGGGCGGTCAACCACGGGATGACGAGCAGCATGTACTACCGCGATCCCGAGCGCAACAAGGTCGAAATCCAGATTGAAAATTTTGACACGCCAGCGGAAGCGGATGCGTTTGTCAGGGGCCCCTTGTTCAGGGAGAACCCTGTCGGGACGGATATTGATCCACCGGCGTGGGCAGAGAGGATTTTGAGCAAGATGACCCCGGACGGGGAGGAGGGGCTTTCGGGGGAGGAAATCAGGGATATCAAGGTGAGAAAAGAGATTGGGCCGAGACACGAGATCCCTTGGGTTGCGCTTGCACCGTGATTAACTCTGCAGACGAGAAATGAATATACTTCAAGTTCAGTACTCAACTTCTTTTCAACGCCAAGGTAATCGAAGATAGAAACATTGAATCGTCATGAGACCATAAAAAGAACATTCATTCTAGAAAAAGCCTCTGCTTCGTGTTTGATGGCCGTATTGCAAACACCCAGGCTTTCTCCTGAGTAGGATTCCGCATCTCGTCTCATTCGGCAGCAACTACCATTTTGTTCTCAATCGCACCGATGCCCTCGATCTCGATTTTGACCACATCTCCATCCTTGAGCCAATTCCGAGGCTGCAAAAAAGCAGCCACGCCGCTAGAGCATAAATTAGTAATGCACGCATCTTCAGACGCGGACGGCGCTTACTTGGGTGTGCCTGTCATGATGACAGTCCCTTTCCTAAGCGTCATCCCCTGGCTCAGATGCTCGATCAGTCTCGCGATGCCGAAGATCAAATCGTCCGTCTTGCAATCCTGTCTCAAATCGCCATTGACCCAGGTCTTCAACTTCAAACTTTCAGGCTTGGGGATAGCTGTCCGAGAGGCAATAACCGGACCGATAGGACCGAAATTGTCAAAGGATTTGGCATAGCCATGCTGGGAGCCTGACATCTTAGGCCACTGCCAATATCGAGCAGACACGTCGTTGCCAACGGTGTACCCTAGGACGTAGTCGAACGGGTCTTCACCAGATCTAAGGTTCTTCACGTCTTTGCCGATGACCACGGACAGTTCGCCTTCGTAGTCGAGTTCCTTTGCGATAGCGCCGACGTGGATGTCTTGAAAAGGGCCAGCAAGGGTGTCTAACCTGCGTTAGATTTCTGTGCAAGCAAGTCAATCCTTCCAAGGGAAAAGGAATCGTAATACCCGCAAATTTGGTAAACACCACCGGGTACTCGGGGATGGGCAGCTGAACACAGCTTGTTAGTTTTGGTGAGGATCATTCGAAATTATGGATGCTACCTTTGCTTCCTCCGCATGAACTTTATAGTTTAGTCCAATTCCGATGATAATTGGCACTGAAGTCACAGGGCAAAGAACCTATAATATATCAGCTGGTCATTGATGTCATTGATGGAGGTCGTTTTACTTTTGCGATCTCAACATTTTTGCCGGTCAGGGCAAACTCGCCGTCAAAGGCATCAGAGATGTCATATGTAGGAACGGACTGGCCTACAAGCTCTTTCTGCCACTCTGTTCCAGCTTCGCCGTAGTGGATATTACCTCTTGGGTCTTCGAAACGGACAAGTCGAGAAAATTTGGCCATGTGTCTAGTGAGCAACAATTTGGTTGACGAGATGACACTGGATTCGAAACTGTAGACCGGACGCGTTCTTACAAGTATAGCACGCCATCCTCCTTCGCCCGAGAGTAATCGTGATCTCAAAACACTCTTTTGGACAAGCTTGGGATGATACTCGCCTCGGATGTGTCTGGTCCGAGCTGGTGCTCACCCCGGATATGGCCACCAATGGCTTCGGCCCGGACTCCTGTGATCTAGAAGCACTTCGGGTTTCCCTTCCCTTTCGACGTGTCGGAAGGATGTGATCATACCGATATGAGCGAGCCGTTGTTCTGTGCCCAGTCACATGCAGATGGCTTCGCGAGATTGATGTTGGCGTCCCAAAGGCTCCAAAGTATATACAGGCTGCGATTACGCCAAGCGAACACGGCGTGCTGAAGAACTGTATCCAAGATCAGATCAGTCCGTTTCTGTCGTTTGTACAATGGGTTCTTTGGACGAGTTCCGCGTGCTCATCATTGGGGGCGGCACTTGCGGGCTAGCTATCGCACAAGGGTTGCAAAAGGTAGGTATTGCTTTCGATGTCGAAATTAGGCGTTTTGAGAAGATCGAAAAGAGCTGAAGACTGACAGTGAGACTTTAGGAAAACATCTCTTACACAATCTTCGAGCGGGACTCTGCGGATGATTACTGGAATAAAACACGAGACTGGGGTAAGCACACCTCCTGCGAGGTCTATAAAGCAGGCTTGACACCAAGAAACAGGCATGCTGTTGCACTGGGGAAAGGACTTCCTGATGAGAATGCTTCCGGAAGACTTGAAAGAGAGATTTAAAGAAACCCTCGTTGATCCTGCGTATGACGGAACAGAGGGGATTCCTATCCCGCACGTTCATGGGGAGACCGGAGAGGTCATGGCTAGAATAGCAATGCCAGGAATGGTTCGCGTGTCGAGGAAAAAACTGCGTGAATTTTTGACGTCAAAGCAAGATCTCAACATATCGGTGAATTCCGCAAGCCCGAAGAGAGTGGCAATGTTGGCTGATGGTGTGAAATAGTTCGCAAAGAAACTTGTCTCGGTGGAATCGACAGGCGCGAGCGTGACGGCGATATTCGATGACGGCTCCAGAGAAAAAGGCAGCTTCATGGTAGGCTGCGATGGCTCAAGGTCGAAGGTTCGAGAATATCTGGTCGGGCCAGAAGCCGCAAAACCATATGATACAGGCATGACTATCATCAACCACGCTGCTTCTGGTTTCACACCAGAATCGGCTCGCCTTCTCCGAAAATATCATCCAATTGGAACGTGTTTTTATGACCCCGAAGTGTCCGGTATCTTTCTCTTGACAAGTGTGTCTCTGGTTCCCGATTCGCGATCATCCACTGACAACTACAGTACTTGATGGCTCCAATGCTGAAAAGCCAGAAACGTGGAGTTTCCAAATCCATCATGCGTGGTGGGGAGCTCCGAACGCGGCTGATTTGAAAGACCCAAGAGGACGACTAAAATTCTTCAAGGAAAGAAGTTCCAGGATCTGTGAACCGTTTTCAACTGCGGCTGCTGCTCTTCCAGATGATGCTGTGCTACCTGCAGATCCTGGTCAACAATGGTCTCCGACCCTCTGGGACAATCATAAGGGAACCGTCACAATTGCAGGAGATGCCGCGCATTCAATGCTTCCCAGTGAGTAAGAAGCTAAGCGCGGGACGATTAGTTAAACTGACGCAGTACAGACCGGGGCCAGGGCTTGAATAATGCAATGCAAGATGCTGCCGAAATTGTGGATGCAGTCAAGTTGGCCGTTTCTGGGACATCTCCGCTGGCAGATGCAGTGACCGCGTATGAGGATGGGATGCGACCAAGGGGCGCCAGAGACGTTGCGTTATCGTTGGAAACTGCATCCAAGCTCTATGTCTCGGAACTTCGAGAGAGTCCCATGTTCAAGGTGGGCTTGCAAAAAATGGACGTAGATGGAGTAAAGGTGGTCGCAGTTCCAAATGCGGTCCAGCTTATAGATTGAGTGGATGTGTCTGTTCCGTGATTTAAGAATGAATATAAAGCCAACGGACATCTAAAGCCCAGAAGTGTGTTGTTGTTGTTGTTGTTGTTGTTGTTGTTGTTGTTGTTGTTGTTGTTGTTGTTGTTGTTGTTTGACCGTCTTTCTCGGCAACCTGTTTTTTTTCTGCTTGGGGCTTGGGACGTTAGACACATTCAGCCACACCATTTTTGAGCTGAGAAGTAGTAGACAACACATTGTCGGTGTCGCAGCTATCGGGGTTGCAGATATTAATATTCGATTCTTAGATTTTGTTGTCGAGTGGAAGACTCAGATTGATGTTAGCATGACAATATGTCAACCCGAACTCTCGTCTTCTGCGGGATCCAACTGTGTTACCCAAGCGCAACACTTCGAATTTTAGTAGGAGAGGGTCCTCGATATGGGGGTGGGTTTGCTGGTCGGCTGGCGTGAGTGTCCATTATCTGACGTCCAAATGTTGCAATGTCCCGTGTGAAAGGGAAGCTCAGCTTGGAGCCAGTGATGAAATCCATCTGTCCAAAATAGCCCGCTGCCACATCTAGTAGTGCAAGATCTGTCCGAACGGACTCCAGCCTCGGAGACTGGATGATGTATATGAATAAGTTTATAAAGGCGTGCATGGGATAGTGCAGCATAAATCTGTATCGCCATGAGTACAGAGTCGCCGTGTTAGTGAACTAGATTTATCTTACGCGTGAGTATTTGCTCCATTTATTTCGAAGTTTCTGGCCATGATGATGATATTTCGGGCGGCTCTCGCCGTTTCTTCCGAGCTTTGAGCAATCTGAGCCTCTATTCTGGCGCGAATATTCGTATTCGAGTCGTATTGAATTCTGTTGGTGATCCAGGGGTATGAAAGTGGGGCGTGGATCACCATCACAAGGTCATAGTATGAGCTTTGTATCAGAATTTTCTCCAAGGAGCTCGCGTTTTGGGAGACTTCGAATTGCTTGAGATGATCCTTGGGCCGCATTGCGACCGGAATGGAATTTTTCCATCTCCGAATCTCATTATCGAACTCGGCCACAATACCCAAGAACTTCCCGGGTTGATTGTCCAGCCTTTTCGCCGACATCAGCTTTTTACAGATTCGGCTCGAGATCTGGCAGCTTTCAACGATGTATTTCATAATGATGGGGTCGATCGTACTCCTGGAGTGGGCCACCGCAGGAATGTCGCAGCTAATGTCGTCGTCGTCAATGACCTGCAGAGCTGTCAGTCGATCTGTAACCGGATAACGACATTGCGGGAGCCTGGGTACGTACGGAAGATCGCCCTGTCCTCCGCGCAATGTTCTTTTCACAGCAATATACTGCCCAGAAAAGCCAACTTCGCTGTAATGTCTCAGAGTCCAGTGGCAATTCTGGGAGCAGGATTTTCTTGTGCAACCCAAGGGACTGTGATAGGAAGATAGCATTCGCAATCAGACCAGATCCCAAGGCAGGGCTTCCTAGCCCTTCTGCGAATAGTGCCTGATTTGGTCAAATCATTTGATAGCGTCATTGGGGTTGCTCGTGTGGATCACTAACCATAGCCAACAATGCTCGAACAGCTCGCAGAGAGGGGCTTCTCAGCAGCAGTTCACTGTGGACGGAGAGTGCATTGGAAAAATAACCCCAGGCTTCTTCTTGAATACTGGTGAAATTGGCTGCGTGGTTCTCACAGTGATGTAGGCGGCAGCCAGAGGCATACACTGCATTACGAAGAGCATACCATGCAGGATCGTCGTTGCTTTGTCGATTCTCAACATGACCACGCAAATGCAATTCAAACTCCGGCCGATAGACAACCTCGAATATTGAATCCACAGATCTCTCGAAATATGCTATAGCTAGTCAGTATGGATGCTCTAAAAGTGGCCTTTTAGAGTCAGGGTTCTGCATCACCATATGAGTATTTCCATGCCAGTTCAGGCTCAGGCTCAGAAGTGCGCAGCGTTGGCTCGTTACGCTCCAATCTCAGTTGCTTTGCCCAAGCCGCAGTCAAATCTGCAGCTATGCTTGCAAATTCATCCACCCCAGCACGCTGTTGTATCCATGCGAGACCCGGAGGCGAGCACACAGACAGCCAGCCCCCAGGACCTAGGCAAATTACTTGACGTGCTGATACCCTGCGGGCTAGACTCACCGTAACTTTCTGGAATGATCTGTCATTGTATCAGCCGCTGAAATGCTTGGTAGGTCATTATGTCTGCCATCCTACACTTTGCGACTCCTCTGAATTGCGGGATGACTTTGGGCTCTCGTAGCAAAGTGCACCTGTCGCTTGGAGATTCAAGGTTTCTCGTCGTTCATGCGCGGCATTGTCGGCTACGAATTGGTCGTTCTCATAGGCGTCAAACGACATGAAAGCATCCAAGTCCAACATGTCTGTTGCCAAGACTTCACTCGATCCGAACAGTCTGGAATCGTGACCAAGAGCATCTGGTTCTTCATCAATCATGACGGCCTCCGAGAGATCGAAGTGGGAATCAAAGTTGCTGTGATCAGAAGGTTGAAATGTTGATTGAGGATGCTGCAAAGTGTCGAGTTGCAGCACGCGTTCCATGGTAGTTTTGCCCTTGCTGATTTGGACGATTTGGCAACAATACCATGTCGTTGATGACTTGGTGCTGCTCGTGCTCTGGCTTTTGAAGTAGTCGACTGGCCAGCTCAGATCTTGCCGTTTAGACTTTGCTTCGTCAGTTGCTGCTCTGACTCGTCACTCAGCAGTAGCATAGAGGCCTTGTGATTGCGTACACTTGGGCCATGGCGATGTCTTCCAACGCTTCAATGCAGACCGGGTGGAAATTGTGGGAAGGTTTTAGTCGTAACGTGGGCTCGCCTCGCGAGAGATGGAAGGGGGGAGGAGGCCACTAGGTCCTAGGCGGAGGTGGGGGAAGTTTCCAGCCTAACTCGTATTTCCCCCCCCCTGGAACATGGTTTGTCGCACTGCACTAAGCCCCGCGATTCCAGGCTGGTGGGCTGGGAGCCCATGTGGATTCGGGCCCCAGGGTCAATCATTGGCAGCTCACTCAGTGCTCTTGCTTCAGGCAGGGTGCACGCGCTAATTATTAGTAGGCCAACTTGGCCAACTCAATTGGGCCAAAGGCTAAGCTCGCCTCCCAGAACTTCTACCCAGTACTGCTGCTTTTCCCGAGGTTCCTGCGTTTTCTTCCACTTCTTGATACTCGGTATCGATGCTCTTTTTAATTCCCTGCTCCTGAAAGTTGAACTGCCCTGCTCTCTTTGCGATCAGACACTGATCATAATGTCCTCGCGGTCGCCAAGGCTCAGGGTCGAAAGAGTGGCAACTGCTTGTCGCAACTGTCGCCAGAGGAAAGTCAGATGTAGACAGCCCTTCTCACACTCCCTTTGGGTGCGATAGTGACTTTTTGGACAGGCACCGGCGGTGAGCCTTGCAAGGATTGTGTGAGACTGAGGAAAGAATGCATCTATCCTCCGGTCCAACGGAGAAAACGCAAGGCTCAAGACGCAGACGAGCGCGCGCCTGACGAATATAGCGAGACGGTCTGGCAAGCTCAACATCCGAATAGCAGAATTGCAGACGACAATTCGAGTCCAACACAATCTTTCTTCAACGGTGCTTCCAGAGAACGTGTAGCAACATTTTCCGCATTCCAAGCCGAGAACGAGCCCACCACATCGGCTAATCGTCACTCGTGGGAGACGGTACACGCTCTCAGGTCTCCGATAAGTCGGGGGTTTCGTGAGACACGTAATGATTCTGAGTGCTTGCCCTCCCCTGAAGCTCGATCCGCAGCTCGCTCAAGAGAACTAGCCTCTGCGTTTGACGTTGCAGTTTCGCACAGTTCAACCCCCCACCCGAGTGACGACGAACTTTCCTGTGACGGCTCAGACTGGGAGTATCATGAGCCTTGGTCTTGGACGTCAATTTGCTCTGAGACGGGGTCAAAGTGGATATGGAGTGTTACTGGAAATCGTGACTTTGGGGCGGCGGCGAAGCGTTTCACAAAGGACATGGTCCGGCGGACGCCACATAAAAAATATGTGTCAGCCAGTGCGAGTTCGCCAGAAATAAGTGAAACAACCGCATGGGAGTATGTGAATGGTGAGTGGCTGTTTCATGTCTGATGCTCACAAGAGGCTGTGGTGACTCGTGCCTTTTCAGCCTTTTACGAGAATTGTTGGGAAGCCGACCTTGGACTTATCGACCGCACGGATTTGGAAGCCCTTCTAAAAGCTCAATACTACAATCAGCTATCAACCACTGGAGCTGCCTGGCTGGCCCTTCGAAACACTGTCTTTGCTGGTGGTTATCGGAGCTTACTCGCGAAAGACCCGAACGTTTCTTTCGCTTCGGCACAGGCGAAGGCAGGCCGCTTTTTCAAGACTGCGTTATCGGTGTTTACAAGGCTTGTATTGCCTCCTTCGAGTTTGATGGCGATTCGAGCCCTCACACTCATGGTATGCTGCGATACAACTGGGACAGGAGAGAAAGTGGTTTCATACTGACTCTTTGTAGGCATGTTATGTCGAAGGACTGGGCAACGCTCCTCTCAAGCATCTTTTGTGCTCCAATGCCGTCCATCTGGCTCAATCTAAGGGTCTTCATCGTCAGCCGGACAAAACATGGGGGCATTCTGAAAATGAAGTCCTGAAAAGAAACTGGCTTTGGTGGACGATTTATGCCCTCGAGAAACATCTTGCACTGTGTGGGAGCCGGCCGTCTGCCATTGATGACGACAATATCAGTGCTCAAATTCCCACAACAGTACCCAGCAGAAGCAACATTCACTCACCAACCCTCTCTATTGGCATCCGCTACTCCAAAATACACTCACAGATCTCCCGTCAGCTCTTGTCTTTCAAAGCTCTCTCGATGTCGACGAATGAACTCATCAGATGCGTGACTCACTTTCATGCTCAACTAAAACAATTGCTTGATGAAATGCCTGCCGAGTTCAAGATTGGTACGCTGGCTAGGCCACACCATTCGACTCGTCGCCTCATCCACATACT